AAAAAAAAAAAAAATTATTATGCCCTAGACTGCGTTGCGCGCTGCTGACAATTTGCATTCACCTCCCCCATAAACTCTGACTTCCTTCAAATGATTAGGTATGATGGCTACAGTTGACCTTGAGGTACGTATTAATCACCAGTCCTTCCGTTCCTACAAAATCATATCATATGCTTATGTCTAATTGCATGTGAACGTCGTAGCCTGGTGATACCCTGGTCTCCGTTCCCAAGAATATCCTGATAACAGCTTCAGAAGTGGCGAAGCGACTCAATGTGGGACATCAGCTAGACTCTAACCAGCTGCTGGTGCTTGAGATATGCCGTTTGAAGCAGCAAGGCGCAAAAAGCTCATGGTGGCCCTACGTCCGTCTATTACCTCAAGACTTCAACACTATGCCCGTCACTTATCCTGAAGATGTTTTGAAATCAGCTTTGCCTCCACATCTGACTGGTACGTACAGCATGGTTGATTGTCTGGAAGCACCTATTCTGTCCTGACCGATCGGTCAAACCAAACTTTGTAGCGGAGATACAAGAGCAAAAAGCCAAGATCGACGCCGACTATCGACATGTAGTACAGTATTCAAAGGTACGGGCGTCATTCCGTCAATTTAAATGGCTATGTGGTTGCTAATTTGAGTTTGCTTTCACCATATAGAATACTTCTCTTGGTGTTGAGGATATAGATTACAAAGAATTCGAATGGGCATGGCTATGTGGTAAGTATTTGTTGTTTTGGGGAGACTTCCAGAGAGTATGTTGGTTTACATATAACTTTTCATTAGTGAATACACGATGCATCCATTTAGGGATGGAGGATAGATCGATTGTGGGTGGGAACATTGCCCTAGCGCCAATGCTGGACTTTTTGAACCACAAGAGTGACGCACAGGTTTGTGTATTAGCGTGATCGCATGCTTCTTGTTACATGGCGATATTCACAGCCTTGCATGCAGTTTGAATGTGGTTACAATCGCAAAACCCAATCGTTCGATATTCGGACGCTTATGCCTTACCGCCGTGGCCAGCAGGTGAGCCTGAGTTCTCCGTTCATCCACCAACAAAACGAACAACTTATCCCTGTGTTTTAGGTATTCTTTCAGTATGGCGCCCATGATAATGCGTTTCTCCTAAAGGAGTACGGCTTTGTTGTGGCGAACAACCCGTACAGCGCAATCAATCTAGACGATCAAATGTCAAAATTGTTTGCAAGGCTACGAGTGAGCGGAAAATTCGGCGCTATGAAACTCAAGATGTTGGAAGAGAATGGGTAGGTCACAGGCGTTGTCAGTTTCCTTTGGTTAGGGAATGCTTTGTTATAAGTTATTCTGTTCTGTTCTGTTCTTTTCTATTCTGACCTCTTTGTCTTGATTTGTGGAAATAGTTATTATGGGTAAGTTCCAATATGATCTCCTGCATTAACTTTTCATGGCTGGCCCTTGCAAAGCCATGACCCTAAAGTAAATTATCTTATTCCCATTTACAGTGATTACACCATTCGGAGGAACGACATCTCGTTCCGAACACTGACAGCACTTCGGTTGATAATGGCTACCGATAAAGTACAGTGTTCGGCTTGGCAGCGTTGTCTTTTGGGAAGTCAAGATATAATTAGCGAGGAGATCGAGCAGCAAGTTGGCCTGCTTTTGGGAGATATGTGCGCCAACACTGTAAGGCGGTCAGAGCGGGCTTTGGAATACCTGCAGGTAATGGAAATGATAAATGTTTGATGTACACATACCTTAATTTTGACATCGACCATACATGGACTTTCAGAATTTAAAGCTACAAGAATCTTCGGAATTGATGGTCGATTCTTTCGCTGCCCTGTTTCTTGAAACTCTGTGGAAAGAATACATAAGTATTGGCCAGGCTGCACAAATAGAATTGATACCCGGTTTGCTTACATCCAGCAACTCATGATAGACATGGACTATATGTCATGATAATAAATAAGAAGAACAAAAAATAAATAACAAAGTTTCCAAATGAGATCTCCCAAGCGAAGTAATCAGAATATGGAGGCGTTAGGATCGATCGCGGCTTCATGTTGGACGTCATACAGAGTTTGGAACACACAACGCATGGTGTAGTACACGGACTCAGCGGAACTGTCGGAATGGACGGCGTATGCGATGAAAAATACTTAGTGTGTATCACATATCTGGGTCCTAGCCAAGTACATTAACTGGATGGTGGTGTTGGAGACAGTTTGCTGCCAATCAACAAATTTTGCGCAGAGCTATTTTGTTTGTAGAGGGAATAGCGATAATAAAAGGCAAGCTTCCAATTTAGTTGAGCGCCACGATATATGATACCCATCGTCGATTTACTGGAACCATTGAATCTTACGACTGCCTACTTAGTAAAGTTGCCGAACAGATGGGAGCTATCCAAAAATTTGGTTAACGCCGAGCGTAAATGGAAAAGATACCTGCCTTCGTTTACAGGTCGTGGGCTGTTTATGGTTACTGATCTGCAATCATCATAGTCACAGCAATTACATACCTCGATGATCTGCAATTACAGACATCAACTATGCGTGCTTGACAGGGGAAGGCATCGACTTACGATATGAAAATGGTTTTTATCAACGATATTTAAGAATTGAACATAGAACACTTGAAAATCAAAAACTTTTTTAAACTCCAATAATATGGGGTATTGTACTATGCAGAAAAAGCGAGCGAAGAAAATGAAACGTATGCTGTAAAAGCAAGGTATCCAAACCAAAAGAAGAAAAAAAAATTTTTCTCTTCGGGCAAACCCAAATAACCAGTATCTAGTGCACAACATCTAAGGGATGATGTGTATTATTTGGGTCGCGGTAAAGGTTTAGGATAAGGTCTGGGAAGTGCTGGCTTTGTTGGACGATCCGGAGGCATTATGTTGTAATGATATTATTTGGTATAGCTAGGGGATGTTGTGCCTTTAGTATCCTTCAAGGAAGAGAAAGAAAATCTTGCTATTTCAAAGCACACCACACAATAGATTAAAGAGAGAGAGAGAGAGAGAAAAGCGTCAGGGGCGTATTCATCATTTTGATCCATAAATAACCAAGTAGCTTACCAGTACTCTTTTGACGTGCGTGCCGTGCTAATGGTAATCAAACTGCCGATTGCCTGAAAAAGATGAAGTGACAGCTGTCAGTTATTGAGAACTACTCGTTCTTACGATGGCTAATTGACCTACGTCTTCAAAGTATTCGAAGTGCTGGTATGAAAATGCTGAAGAATTAGGAACCGAGATAGTTGTGTTGAAGTTTCAATCCAAAGTTAATTATTCGTTCCTATTTATTGTTTCGCTTTGACTGAACGATAATCACCACATGGTTGAGACGCATGATAACCAACATTCCCCTAAATTTGACTCGTTTCGCCAACATAACTGGTCGGCGCGTTAAAAACCAAAGAGCACGCTGACAACGAGCTGTTCAATAGTATACAAAGAATACTGGGCTCCAACGTAGCTTTTACCTTGCGCACTTGAATTACGAGCATTGTATAGGTTCAAGAACAACTTGCTTATAGATGATGTATCTGACATTATCAACGATTGCATTCGATGTCATGCCCAGAGACTCGATATTTCCGGATCGTGGCATTACCCCGATCTGGTAAGAACTGAACGCACATCGATTGTTACGATTTCGACGCTCAAAGTGTAAACCACCGTTGTCTTCCAAATCCAAACATGATAAACAAAACCTTTGTTGCCAGTGCAACATCATCATTGCACAAATTACGACAACAAAGCGCGATGGTTGCACCTTCTGGTGTCATGGCCGTGGACCGATTCGATGACTGATACTCAGTGCTGTACAGGTCTAAGATTAGTTGTTTCATCTAGGGTGTACGCTCAGTGTATGGTGTGGAGTATGCCTACTACTCACATTCTTTAGTGTGCCATTTCAATATGCTTCATGTTGCTTCACCATAGAGGATTTGATGCGGCGGATTCAGGCACATAACGCGCAAGGTTAAGGGATTAAAGTTTCGCGATCTATCATCCGCAACACTGAACATCCAAGCATGGCCGTCCTCGCACAAATTCATCTGAGACCATTTTCCAACGCGGTTTGGTAATAGATGATGTGCGAAATTTTTCCCCTTGACACGAGGGTAAATTGTATCAGACATGATTGTTGTGACAAAAAAAGAAATGAAGGATCAGTGTGATGAGTTGAGGCAGGGAAGTTAGTTATGGAAAAAAAAGTCAGCAGGGGGTGATCTGCACTCGATTTGAAGTATGTGCATGCGCAATTAGCTGTCAAACAGCATGGTGGGCGTTAGCGAATAGGTAAGGGTTGTTACTGTTAAACGCCTTTATCACTGTGGATTTATCAATGTCACGCCACGCCATATGTGAATCAAAGTAACGGTAAGAAGGACTGTTTCCAGGCAAAATTGCCGCGATGATGCATATGATGCCTGCACTTTTGCTGCCCATACAAACAATTACGAGAACTTAACATTACCTCAACTATTTTTGTGTGGAAAGACACATGTGGATACACAGGTAAATGATAGTGTCCATGTCCACTATTGTTTATTGGCTATGTAAATCGCAACATGGCAGAGATTTTCACATATATTTTAAGACATGAATGGCAATACCATGCTGTTTGAAGAAATCGTCTTTAATTTTTTGCGACATGGTGGCCTGGACACCAACGTCCCAAATAAAACGAACACCATCTTTCATCATGCGTTTCCTACGCCTCAAATACGCGGAAGTCATGAAAGGGGATGATGGTGTTGATATTATGAATAATTGCTTGATGGCGGATTATGTGCTTTAATGACTCAGAAAAAAAAACACAGACAGACAACATTGACCGTGCGTACTTTTCCATTTCGCGCTCTATAATAGCCATTTGGCATGCCTGAATCTGGGAGCTGTGATGGAGTCAGTTTTGTTTATAAACTCTTGATAACTTAATGTGTAAAATATTTGGTGCAACTTTCACACTACAGAATAGCAAAAGGCTGCGATAACGTGCCATGGTTTTTAGGCTGGGTCAACCAGCCAGCCTTTCGTTTGACGGATCAGTAAGGCGACATTACCATTTAACATGTGCCGCATATGAAACCCAGTCCGCGGGATCTTCACCAAATTTCTTAATCTTTCTGGGGGAGAAGCCATCAAAATTTTGGATCTAGGAGTGCTGGGATTTGACAGGTTCTCAAGCCGTGTTCCCCAAAATTGTGGGAGGCAAATTCTTTCATATCGCCATTGATCCCAAAGTGCAACCACCGGTGCGAAATTTTTTGGGTCAGTCCCGTGTAGAGATGAGATCCGGAACGGCTTGGGTCACGAGGTCCTCAACACTGCAATCCGGAAGACATGAATAATCACCAGCCAAGCGCGCTAACATCTCCCAAGCGTATATAAAGCATTTATCATCATAACCTCAATATATCAAGATTTCTAGCAAAGAAAAAAGGAGAGAAATCATGATTTTCTCTTCGATATTGATCCGCAGCGCAAATGGACGACCAAGGCTGCTTGGACAAATCAGATTTATCTCGTCCCAGGAACCACTTCGATTCACTAAAAATACTTGTAAGCTAATCCTGTCGATCTAATGAGAAATCGGGCAAGTAGTAACACTATCTCTACCATAGCCCTTGTCAGCACTAAGACTAGAACCCTCGGTCGATCGCAGGGTCGAGTAGTTATTCTAGGCAAGTGTAATTTGGGGTATGGATCGCATTCTACAGATCATCTTGTTAACATCGCATTATGACAACTCTCGGACCGGAAACAGGTTCTGGATGGGCAGGTATGTACAAGTTCCTAAGAAGGCTTTCCCGCACAACTACCATAATAGCTAACCATGAATCTGCTTCAGGTTTTAAACTGATGAAAGATCTGAATAGAAAGGACTACGAAGTATCTGTCGTGTCTCCTAGGTAATGCTCAAAGAGAAGGATTGCTTAAGGGGGATTGCACCTGTCTACCACGCTAACCTGTCATCGCAACCAGAAATTATTTTGTGTTCACACCCTTACTGGCAAGCACTTCCGTCGGCACCCTCGAATTTCGTTGTATTACTGAACCGGTTAGAGGCTACTCACAAAATATTTCTTACCACCAAGCATGGTGTGATTCCGTCGGTACGAGTCGATATACCTCGATTTGACTCCATAGCATATGCATTTCTCGCCTAATGCTGAATTTGCAATTTCAATAGATCTTCAAAATCAGGTCATTCACTGTACCTCAAACGTCGACGGAAGTAAGATCTCACAGTCTAACAAAAGTCTTTCCGTCAAAACCTTATTGACCACTCTCCTCTCACAGATAAAGGAGTCCAGTTCTCTCTAGACTATGATAAATTGGTTATCGGAGTTGGCTCCTATTCACAGACATTTGGCATACCAGGAGTTAAGGAGCACGGCTTGTTTCTCAAAGATGTCAATGATGCTCGCTTGATACGCAGCCGCGTGGTTTCATGTAAGAAGGATAATCTGTACAATTGAAACCGCCAAACATATAATTTAAACTACCGCTGTTCGTAGGCTTTGAATACGCTTCGCAGCCTGGCATTACGGATCAGGAGAAAGCAAACAGGTTGCATTTTGCGGTTGTAGGCGGAGGTCCAACGGTAGGATATACATTGCTTCCTGTTCCGCGGTATTCACAACATAATACTCAATAGTTATGCTCCACAATGCAGGGAATTGAATTTTCTGCCGAGCTATATGACTTTATATCGTCAGATATGTCAAGGCTGTATCCACAACTTATGTCACAGACCCGCATGACTTTGTACGATGTTGCTCCAAATATTCTCGGCACATTTGATTCTCAACTTTCGGAATACGCGCACAAAAAGTTCAGTCGTAAAGGAATTCAGATCAAGACGAGTGAGTGGCCACCAGCATTCCAAGTATGAGTTGTTTTGCTTCTTATACTAATCAATTTAATGATGATGATAGAGCGACGTGTTTTGGAGGTAACCAAGGATGATTTGGTCATTGAGGGGGATGGAAAAGGTTAGTTAGCAATGTGAATAATATGGAATGCAGTATCATAGGTGAGACCAGACAGACGACTGACACACTTCTGTAGTTCCCTACGGCATGCTGGTATGGTCTACCGGCCTCATGCAGAATCCATTGATAGAATCATTGAATGAGCTTGAAAAAGACAAAAGAAGCCAAAGGTGGGTATTGACAAAACATCACCTGAAAAAAAATGTGCCGCTGATCTAAATCAAACTGCCAACTTCTTCCCTAGACTTTTGACAGACGAACAACTACGAGTGCTTTCGAAAGATTCGAAGAAACCTTTGAACAATGTGTAGGTATCTTTGGCAATAATTCAATACCTCATGTTACATAATATGCTCACTCAAAGCATTCAGGTATGCGCTGGGCGACTGTGCAACCATAGAGGGCCTTGACTTGCCGGCAACCGCTCAAGTGGCGAACCAAAAAGCCATATATTTAAGCAATGGTATATTGACATTGGATTCAAGTACGCTAGTAACATACCTACCTTAATGCTAACCAACGTTTCAATATCAGTTTTGAACAAGCAAGTCAAGAAAGGATCGGACTACCTTGCGAAGCCATTCATATTCAAAAACAGAGGATCCATGGCCTACATAGGGTCCTCCGAAGCACTTGTAGATATGTCAACAGTACACCAAAAGGCTAAACGCTCAGGGCACCTTGCCTGGTTACTATGGCGCTCTGCCTACCTCAGTATGAGTGTGAGCATTCGGAACAAAATGCTCATCCCGCTTCATTGGTGAGTTACAGCTAAGCTATAGTATCATTCAGTACAAGTACTAACGGATTATTATTATTTTTTCCAGGTTTTTGACTTGGGGCTTTGGAAGAGACATCAGTCGATTCTAAAGTAGGAGCCTACTTTGCGCCAAATGCCTGTCTGTACCTGCACTATGAAATTTCACTTTGAGCCTACATCACAGTAAGAAATGCTTTAGATATTTCCCCCTCCCTTACAATATAGTCCTCCAACAAACTAGTATGCCTTGCATTGTCTATGAATTCTTTTATGTCTGCAACGAATTGCAAATAATCGCTATGTACAATATATAAATTGAAAGATGAATTTATAGAAAGAATGCCGGTTTCTTTTTCGTATCGGATCCCGCCTCTACTGGAAGAGGTTGTATAGATGTAGCGGGCTCCTTTGAGGGTTCAAAGACAGTGGTTGCTGAAGTAGATGGTTCGGCAACGAACACTACGGAATGGAGAGGTTACCATCGGGTTTTACATAACATAGAGCAAGAAAAGAAGATACTCACGCTTTTCCAAATATTCGTCGTCTATTTCTGCCATGTCTTCCTCGTTTTTGCCGGCTTTCTTTTTCAGTAGCATGGATATCTCAGTGTGCAAGTTGTCGTCGACCGATTCGCCTCGCTCCAGACGCTGTATGACTTCTTTCAGGACTGCAATCTGGTGACTGGACTTGTCAACATACTCTTGCTGATCAATCTTGAGCCATATTAAATGAAGAGCTTCGGAGCCAAACACGACCCACATGAAATACTCAAGAAAGAAGGGTAAATGCTTCTGTTTTTTGAAATGCTGCGCTGCTGATTTGAGCTTTTCAGGCTGTGTGTTGGGTAATTGAGTAGGGGTGGCATACTGGCGTCGTGACCACTGTGGTAACTCTCTTCGTACTGTCTGTATTAATGAGGCTCGGTGCTGCAACAGCCGTTTACCGTTGGAATTGAGGATGCGGCCCAGCATTTTTCGAGGTGGTGGTGGAGTTGTACGCAAAGGAAACAAAAAAACCAGGACAGCAAAAATTGCCAGATAATTAAAACTCCGTACCCCTACATGCCAAAAATCGGTGCAGCGTCTTGTCATATCGGCTTGTTAACATAAGAACGAAGCGATGAATGGAAGCAGCGCTGCATAAACATACATTTAAAAATTGTTAAGATGGATAAGCTGATTAAAATTGAATTTGGAATCTATCTTCAGGATTCACGTTACAATAATTATCAGAAAAAGAATTTCAAAAAGAAATATAATGGAAACACAAATTATAGGCATCCAACCATTTGCATATCAAATCACTACGGTTATTTATCTACACAAATTCATAATCAACAGATGGAAATGTGCTGCCCGTTTGCAACAGAAAGCATTATCTAAAGCCCAGTCCATTCTATGAAATTGTCCTCTAGATCTGACATAGGAATAAAAGCATAATCTAATAAAATTGGATAGGATTCATGCTTCTAATGTTACGTAATACTTCTCATTGGAACCATTGCGATTGATTGTGCATCGAGCATGAAGCTTCCATGCATAATGTGTGCGGCTGGTGTCATTGTTCCCGTTTAGAAAATCATTTTGGAAATTTTTGGTTTCGGATGAAGCTGTCCCGGTGTTTGGGAAATGGGGATAATGTAATTTGCCTCACAAGCCCCCCTCATCCGAGACAAAAAATGCGTAATTTTGTGTGGGATGACCTAAAAGATATAAACTGTTTATGGCTTCAAGAAACGAAAGATGCACTGATCACGGTGGTTTGAAGGCTGCGATGCTACAGTAATCAGATGCGCTTTTTCTATATACATGAGTAGCGGTAAATCAGCTTTGTTGTTCTAGCTGGTTTGTTCTACATTTGTTTACTGACATGAAAACGCCAACAATACATTGATGGGAGAGTCAATGGTTTCAGATTAACTACTAACATTTAAAAACCAAAATGCTCAGCAAACCGAAGCAAATATTTACCCGAATCCAATGTCAGCAGCGTGAGGATCACATAAGTGCATTTCACCTGTAATGGCATTTTGCATGTATGGTGTGATATTGTTGGGTAGAAGCTTCTGCGGACAAACAATTGAGTGACGAGTGAGCGATCGAATGCTGAGTTCGTGTCAAAAAATGGTGCTGTGACCAACTCGAGTAACGAGAGGTCCAGTGGAGATCGCTGGGTGGAGATAGATGCGAAATGTACACAGGAATAAAGTGTGCTATGGCCTCAATCTCAGTTGTATTACATATACTGACTTCAGGGGGGTTGTACGTCCCACGTTGCGGATTACCCTTCTAATCGGTCGTCAACCAGGGAGAACGTACGCCACTCTACGACTAAATCCATTAGGTTAGGTAAACGCGGAGTAACGATGGTGTTGTATTAAATTTTTTAACCAAATTGATAGGTTCTTTTATCTATGTCTACGACAGTGTGTCCTCATCGACGTGCAAGTGCTCAAAACAGCCTGATGGGCTGCTTAGACGAGCTAGTAAATGCCAGCACACACATCGGAATTGGAAGAGATCAAAATGACGTTGAAGGGGATGGTTTTCTCAACATAGCATGTAGAGTGATCTAACAAAGAGATTTGGTTGATGATATTGAAACCGGCAAGAGCTTCGCCGATGAATCTCCGTCTCAATACGTTTTTAACAGAGAGAGGGAGAGTAATTTCATTTGACAGTTTACACCGCCTTCAAGTCCGATTATCATCCCACTTCCTGGATTTTTTTTTTTTTTCGAATGCTTCAATCCTACAGGTAGGTAATGGCAGTGTATTTAGTACTTGTCACAAGATAATGTGGTCCACATCTACTTTGAATCAGACGGGCGATACCATTCGGGGCGAAAGGAGGAATGAAGGTGCCGGCCGTCGAACCAACATGTAGAACCATCTTCATGTAGACCGAAGGGGTTTCAATATCGTAATGTCAACGAGTGAAGTGGATACAAATTGTACTTTTCTCTCTGCTGAAACCATAGATGATTCTTAACGAATCAACCGAAGTCCAAAAGTAGTCGTGACATTAGTGTCAAAGGGAGCCGCCATGTTAAGGTCCGACATAACGATTTTGCGTTCTCCAGAGTCGTCCGCTTGGTCACACAGTTTGCAACACAGCAAGAAAAAAAAAATCATCAAATAATGCGACATTGCCTTTTGCAGTCAGTCCAGTTACCAAAATCGCGTATTTGTCACCGTAAACGTTACGGCCATCCGAGCCCTGCCTAAAGCAGCCCGGGCGTGAAAAAGATTCATTTACTTGCCGGTTTATCAATGGGGGAATGAAAGCGTTTTGAAAGCCCTCAGTGAAGCGACGGGTTTTCCTTCTTTCTTCTTTCTTCCTCTCCCCGCAAAACCTGAAACCAAACGATAGCAACCTCACCCCACTTGTACAGATAGAACCTGAGCCCAAAAGTGTCTTCTCTCGTTGGTCTCCAACCTGAACTGAACTGAAACTGATTAAACTACTCTTTCCCTCCGCCACTCCGCCCAGGTTAGATGTTCCATCAACATAATACCTTGTCTTGTCCATCATATAAGAATACGCCAGAACCTCCATTTTTTTTATCTGTTTAAGCTTTCTGAATAGACCTATTCTTTTTGCTCCTTTTTTCCATTCCCTTCCCATCATCATTTCGCCTCGTTGTCAGGTGCGACCCGCCGTCGATCATACATCACACTATCGAATCACCCCAACGCTTATGTCCTTTGATGATACTTCAACGACGTCGGTGACTTCAGCCAATCCCATCTCCAGTAACAACAGTGGAAACGACGATGATAGCACATCAGAAGGATTTGCCTCAACCAATAGCCTGGTGACAGACGATGAATCTGTCATCGAATGCGCCTGTGGTCGACCGCTTAGTCCTGGGTGGACCTGCCCAGTGTGCCGTCGAAGTTGTCCTTTATGTCAGCGTGCGCTGATATCGGATTCTTCCGACTATTGTGACAGATGTTACAGTCTATGTGATACTCATGGATTGTATAGAAACGATCCTCGCCTACCTACCAGCCCTTGTCCCGAATGGCATCCGCCGCAAAGCACTACACCAGTAACCCACACCTCCAATAATCAACCTAACGACGCCACTGAGCCATAATCATCGTACCATGGTGTCAGAGAGGAAGAGGAGATCCCATACCTTCCAGGCTTGTTATCGTCTTTACGTTTTTAATGAATAATTTGTAGTATACACTATTTCCTTTTTGCCTTGTTCCACTTTTGTAATTTTGGAAATTTCGAATTTTTTGACTTCGGTTTCATCTTGAAAAAACCATTTACTCATTTTTATACCGTTCAAATCTATTATCAGACGCAATGGGATAGACGATAACCCATCACCCTGGAGGTGCGTTCGTTTCAACTGTAACATGTGCTTGAATTTAACAATAGAAAAACTTAGCAATAGAGGAATAAAAATAACCATCATTAGAATTTAGCAGGCGAACGCGTGTCTATGACAGCCCCCAAGCTGACTTTTTTTTTTGTGTGGGATTTGAGGTTTAGTGCAATGTGACTTGGGGTTGGACATAGTACGTAATGGTGTAGGTAAGATTGGATCGTAGCCTGAATATGACCAAATCGTATCTTTATTCGAGAAGTGTTCTTAGATGCTGCTTGCGTCCAGCTTATGACCCAAACAAACAAATTTGCACTCACTTCGGACCGGCTATTTATTTTCTTGACACACTTTTGATGAATGGTGATTTGCTTATTCAAGGTCAAAACCTGTAGATATCTGTCTGCGCTTGAAATGCCGAATTTAAATGGTTGCCACCAAAGAGAATAATGATGATGCAAGCTAGGAAATGCTGAGAATACAAACCGGTGGGGTGAGGTTAAGATGGTTCGCTATAACGTTTTTGCACGGTTGTACCAAAAGGTGGGTAAAGCCAGTTTTGGTAACGGAACAACTGCCTGCCATCTTCCATGCCACAGACAAGTTTGAGGGGGCTGCAGCATGACGATCCGTTCTTCAATAAACTGCCTGATTTATAAAACGTAGAATCGCCTTCGCTTTCTAATATTACAAGTTCCATTTTTATTTTTTTGGTTTTTAACGGAAAATTCTGTCCAGAGGCAAATAAAAACAAAACTCTTCAAAAGTATCTATAAATCAGAAAGAGCTGTCATCAGCAATTTCGCCATCTTCTACATCCAATTTTCGCTTAACGCCAACATGACTTTGTGCAACCGGTAGCGACGAATCGTCCAGAACCATTGGATCGTAAGATTGTTCTTGTTCAGCCTCATCCTTGTTATTTCCTACGACGCGTCTATCGTTATCGATCCAGTGATGGCCAAACCCGAGTTTGAACCATCTTGAATACGTTACTTCTTCTCTCTTGATCTTGCGAGCATTAAACCACATCAAGTTGAGTGGTGCATCGTTATCTTGAACAGGTTCAGGTACATAGTCTTCAATCCACTCCCAAGGTCGAGGTTGCTGGAGATACAGTTGTAATTGCTGTTGGTTGTTCAGTGGGTGGTCAAACGTCGATGGGGTTTGCAAGGCAGCGGGTAGTTTAACATTGGTCAAATATGCATTATGGGTCTGGAACGGCAATATTCTCTTGATACGACTGGCAAAGATAAGTGGGATTTTGAGATTTGGCTGTAGATTAGAAAGTTGCTGCAGGTTGGTTTTCCGCAACTCTCTTGGCACCTCTGTAGTACAAACGTTAGCAATCCTAGTCATGGGTACATTATCATCACTATAAGGCAACAAGATGCCCTCTTCAAACCTACCGTCCATGAGTAAAGAAACAAGGTCGAGAACAAATTCAAAAAAGCACTCTTGTGTTCCACTGCCATGCACCAATGGTGTCTGTAATAAATTAAGATAGAAGAATGAGCATATTGTGTTGCATGGCTGCGAGTTGGTGTTAATCTCGCCATTTACCTCCAATAACTCCACCAGTGTAACAATCCACTGCAGCAATTCGCATTTGTCAGGGTGCTCCCAAATTAGCGAAACGAACGGGATTACCAGGCGCAGCCGCACCAATAAGCTGATTCGAATATCCTGCAGCTTGACTGATCTTTCCCAGCCCACCTCTTCTGATTCCTGTTGTACAGTCGAGTCTGTCTTTAAAAGAGCCACCGCCGCATCCTGATAAAGACGAACGAACATAAGCTAAAGGGTTTAGAAATACAATCTGCCATGACTACTTACCGTATTGTTCGAGCATAACTGTAAGGCTCGTGCTGCATCTACGTAGTTTACATTGCAACTGTGCATCACCGTATAGATATTGGCTGGCTGAGTGAATCGCTTGATCTGCGCCATGCTGTAACGGAGAAATTCCATCTTGTGGGTATTGTCCCATACATTCTCAGCAATGAGAACTTGCATAATCTCAAAAAAGGACTTGGCTCGACAGTCATGTCGCTTTGAGGCGAAATCAGGTTGTTGTGAGTCGCAAATACTGCAGAGAAGAATGCTCTCTAGGAAATTGGCAGACGTTGCCTCGGTGTTCACTACAGTCGGTCCCGCTAGTATCTCGACGCCATGATTCAAAAGAGCTTCGACCAATTCGTTTCGTATGCTTTGCACCAGATTTTTCAAAAATCGAGTTTTCCTCAGAGCGGCTTCACGATTGGATCGCGAATCTTGGTCGTCGTCACTCACCATTGAAGCACGGTGTTCGGCATCTTGTTCGTTCATAAGGATAGCTTGATCAAAGAAAAATCGAACAAACGCTTTGAGGTCGTCGTCAGACCATTCATCTATCTGGCGATTTCCATCAAACCCTTGATCCACTGCTGATAAACTCTGCGCCATGTTCATATTGACATCCCCACCACTGGTTCCATCATTGGTGTGTGAGTGTTTGCGCTTCACTTTGGTATCCAGTAATAAGCAGAGCTGAACCCTGGAGCGCTCAAAGTTCCATTGATTGATGTTGCTTAGGATGTCCTTGAATTTGTCGATGATGTTGGGAGAAGTGGTCGTATTTACATTGTTGGAACTGTCTTGATCGAAACTTTGAGTCGATGTAGTACAAATTAATTCATTCAATATGCTCAGAATCCGTGATCGATAGCTATGTTGTTCCGTCACAGTTTCCACTTGCATAGCATCGTCATTGACTGACCCATTGGAAGGTTCTTCGGCAATGTGGTCATATATAATGCCCATATCTCGCAAAAATGCGCACTTGAACCAGGGAAGTGTTAGAATATCCGAGCGCAATACCGTGAGATCATGTAGTAGCGGACTGCTCAATGCCAATTGCGCCGCCACCTGGGCAAATCCATGGAGCAAGTGAAATACTTCCATTAAGCCTTGCATGGTACTGGCAAAGTATTGCTTGCGAATGGTTTGTAGGCTCGTGAGCTCATCAAGACCTAATAGCCATGTTTGAGGTTCCTTCCACACGTAGCCACCACCATTGAAAGGTTGTTCGTCGTATCCGCTGGTAGATTGCCTTCGTCGATCATTGGATCGTGGTTTTAAAATGTTGGTATTCTGTACAATTAACGTTCGTACCATGATGGAAATGTTGTTACAAAGTTGCATTAATTGATGTTCCCTGTTGTTATTGTTGGATAAAGCATCATGCTGGTCTTGTTGGAGCTGAATCAACCGCTTTGCGATGGAATCAAGTGTGGGGTTGACGAACCGAACCAGCAACACATCCATACGAAGGACTTTGCGAGTTACCAGTGCCGTAACGAACATAAACAGCCAATTGCCAAAACCGTGATTTCTTGGCTGCCCTGTCACTGCATCTTTGATGAGCTGTGTAGAGGGGTGATCGGTAAATAGGTCACAGCCTTGTTTGAGAAGTTCGATAATCTCGTTATCAAGTTGACCACTAATCCGGCATAAGTTGGTGACCTCCGCAACCAAGTCCGCAAACGTCCGAATGTGTTCACGAAATTGAATCAGCCGAACAGGCAGAGTAGCAAGACTGCCATTAGGACTCGTCAGTTGCGGAATCGTCACCTCCACTTCTTCACCTGGTAGTCTATTTTCTGTTGCATCTAATACGCCTTTTTCCTTGGCCAGCTGTTGAAGAGTTTGAAAAATGGTGTCCAATAACATTGGAATCCAGTCTAGTTCTCCTTGGTGGCGTGTAAAGAGAGACATGGCGATTTGTTGCCCCTCCTTTGGATTTTGAATCAAGCGAAGCAGTTCTTGGGGTATTGAGGATTTCGAATCTTGTCGCCTTAAACTCATCTCAGGAGACATTATCTGTGAAATCAATGGCAAAAAAGTGAATACCGAAAGGCAACAGTGGACTATGCTTGCTACGACGATATATGGGCTTCTTCCAATTACATACCTTCACTTGCATATCAGCTTGAAGCTTCTTCTTATCATCTTCAGATATTAAAACCCCAGCTTGGATAAGTTGTGCCATGAAGATCATGATAGATCGCTCGGATATCCCTCTGCCTGACAGAGCGAGATGCTTTGCCCACGTAATACTAGCAATTCGACTTGTCATGTTTGCCAATTTCCAAATGCTGCTGTGCCGATGGAGGGTATCTATTATGAATGGATATATTGAGCTCTCATTTGTGTTCTCCAAAACCCACAAACTGATCTCGATGGCATGGGTGTAGTCTTGTAAAATTTCGAATATTTTGATCACGGTAACGTATTGTCGAACATTCATTAAGCATGCACCAGGAGACGTCATAACTCGCCAATTATCCTCACCGATTCTGAAAGGTAGTTAAGGAGAGCATATTAGCATAGGCAAGGCAAGGCGCTTCTCAGCAACGGCAGAGTGGTGAAAATGTGTAAAACTTACTGAACGTTTCGAACAACAAATTTCTTGACTTCTGGAACCAGCCAGTCGCGCGCAAATTTGACAACACAGTATCTCGAGGACCGTCGTACGGCTCTTTGGACAGCTTCATCCAAATGATCCGTGAGAATAAGTGGAAAGTCTTCTATCGGATGGTCAGCATCGGGCTGAGTCATGACATCCACGTCCAAGCCAAAAGAGCCTTTTGAAGGATCGCCCTTGCCGAGTAAAGCTGGACGGACCGCTCGTTTTAGATCGTTGTACATTTGTCGCTCATCCAAATCGCCTTTCTTATTATCGGGTCCATAGATGGCGACTCGGCGTTGATTTTGCAAATACATTGGCATATTTTCAGCTGAAGATAAAAAGCGAAGATAAAACAGGCAGCGTCTCGACTTTTCAGAATTTCGACGTTCCGCTTCCAAATCACCGCGTGCGATTAAACGAAGTAGATACTTGTGGTAAGAGAAGATTGACTGTTGGGTCAAGATATCGAAAAAGTAGCCGATTGAGCTTCTTGTCATGGATGATTCGGCTGGATGCAACAACTGGTTAACAACACAGACTTAGCTACAGCGACATCCTTGAGAAGGCTACACTTACCATGATCCACATCCATATGTAATCCATCGTCAGACAACTTCTCGTTTTCATGTACATCACTGTGGTCCAAGAATCGCATCAAGGACTCTTGAACAGTCAGTTTTCGTTGTTGCTTGTCCAATGTGCTGTCTGGCGTATGTCTTTCGCCCTCTATCTTTACAGCCTCAGTGTCCGCTGCTCCATTGATATAATGAGAAAGGACGGACGCAATGAAGTATGCTCTCCAGTCACCACTTCGTTCGGTTGTAGTGGCCCATGTACATAGCGTTTCGATCTTCTTAGAGAGCATTACGGTATCTTCCAATTTTTCGCATGATCCAAAAATCTTACTACACACACTGGCAGCGTACCATCCTCGGACATCTCTCCATTCATTGTTGTTGGCGCCATCAACTTGTAACCCGACGCCACTGTCTATCGTCAGGCCAACATCATCCAAAAACGATATAAGCCGCTCTTCCTCGTCTACTTCATTGTTGCTTGAGTCACCAATGGTAATGAATTGATTGAAAGAAACAACTTTGTCATCGTCTGCATGATTTACTGGGGGTTTTAGTTCTCGAGATGAGCCACAGTATAGTTCATTTCTTGCGCTGATTTCTTTCCAATAATACTTCATCAAACTTCTGGCTTCAGGAGTCGTCTTCGGTGGAACGTGTGTGTTAATCACAAGAACGTCCTGAAGTAAATGCCAGTACTGGTGATACAGCTTTGGATTAAAGAACATGTCGGGAATGGAGAGAAATAATGACTGTGGTCGAAAGGAAGAAAAAAATACATAGGTTAGAGTTTAGCATGTTGAGAGTTCCTCCGTTTCGATTTGATACGTTACCTGAAGAATTTGTTTGATGTCGGTATGCAGATAGCCATATATCCAATTGCCATCTTCAGCATAGCTTGGGTGTTCGGTTAGCTGATAGGGCAGGGGGTTAGTAGCGGCTCAATTGATCTAGCACTGACATCCATAGTCAACTTACAGCCTTGTTCGCTTTGACAAGCGTTTCGATTAGAAGATGCATGAGCAGTCTGTTCTGCTTATATTCATCCAAATAATCTTTCACCACAGCACTCAAGATCAACCACATGACTTCGAAAGATGAGCTATTCGCTAGTGAATCTAGTGACCACTTCAAATATGTGCGCTGATCAAGTAAACCTTCGCAGTATTGCCATCTAGCAAGCTTGGTGCTATAATGCCAACGTTGCTCAAATTTCTGGCGAAGTTCCGGAGTGGTCCACGGTTTTGTCGTATTTGCACTTGGACTGTTCTCTGCTTGTGAATTTCCTTGATATTTATAAGCACGCGGCGTCGGGTAGTTCGCGGGAGTGCCATATGTGACTACCGAAGATGTATACGGTGATATTTCGGATAACTGCTTCTTCAAGTGATTCGCGACGACGATCGTCCACTGTAAACTGTGCTGCTGTGCAGAGTGAGTGTTGTTGGTGATATTGGTTCTCTGGCTCTACGTTAATGAGAATCGTCAGATATGTGAAGTAAACAATACAACTTTAGCAAAGCAAGCAACTAACCATTTCATTCATGCCCACGATTTTGATATACCATGTTGCGCGCATGAATGGGACTTGTTTCGAAGCCAATGTGTCTAATAACTTTTCTCCTTTGAACCCATGGGGGACATTCCTTGCTAATTTACGCAATGGGACAACACCTTCAGCCAGATCTGTCATCCATTGGTCCTTCTTTTGGTCATTAAGAGTGGCTCTATTTGGTGCTTTGAACGTTGCAGGTCTATGGACATATCATATTGAATCAATATTGCGAATAAACAGAATCAATGAACAAATTCTATGCATACCCTGCGATCTTTCCCGCTTCTCGTCGTCGCTTGAGCACGTCTACCATGAAATTACCCAATTCACTCAATAATCGCTGTTCATCTTGAAGCTTTCCATACACCATATCGTGTGCACAGGTATGCTCATTCTAAATAAGTCAATCACAGAGTTGTATGGATGAGATATGGCCAAGCTTATCAAAGACATTGAGAATAAAGTACATACCGAAACCACGCTTTTATCAAAGAAGCCATTCCTCATTGTCTGCTCGTTCAAGAAATCTTCCTCTTGCCCAGGCTTTTGAGGAAATATGTCCGGATAACCCAAGCTCGGCATAGTTTTGCTCAATGGAAGGCGTTTTGCTGGAGGTTGTAAGACGTATTTTTTCAGCGGTTGATTGTGATTCTGTTGGTACTTTGGAATGTTTGGAGAATAGTAGCCAGGGGAAGAGCTACTGGAGTACGGTGAAGACATGCTAGTGGTTGAATTGAAAGAAGAAACCTGACCGTTGGCATAACCATTGGAAACATTGTTCTGTGCGTATCCTAGGTTTAGATTGCCACCTGTGCCTCCATACGGCTGATTAGTCGACTGTGTATTGTAGCGCGAATACGGCGCTGTGAATGGCAGAAAATGGCGAGATTGATTAGATCCACAAAACATTATGATCTTAAAAGTAGCGATTCAAAGTTTTTCGTTATAATACCTGATGGGCGACCAGCCATTGCCGGTTCAGTGTCTGGTTGGATGTAATGAGCTTTCCTGGGATTTCCTCAACTTGGTCGTTTCGCACCGCACAAGGGAAGTCATCGGACTTCCATTCTGAAATTTCTCAGTTGCACTTCTCCCAGCGAAACGCTCCCAGACAACTCCAGTTTATTTGTATTACGGAAGGCAAGCTACTCGACGTGTAGGCAAGGTCATCGGCTAGTGCTGGAGCATGTAGTTCTATTGCTTATCATTCATAGAAGTTAATCTTCTTATCCAAACTTTTATTGTTATTGTTTTGTTGGGCAACGGAGAACCAAAGTCAGGTGCCTTAGGTAAGGCAGAGCCTTGTATTCGAAAGGTCGGATCAAAGAACCGTGGTCTCGACAAGTAATGCATCCAAGACCTTTATGTTAATATTGTACATCAAAAAAGTCCTTAAGCTTCTAAGCCAAGACTGTCTAAAATCCCGTCAAGCATATCTAATTTATCATTGTACTCGGCCTCCATGGCCGTCAAGGTCTCCTTCACATACACATGCACTCTTCCAGAAGCATCCAAATCAGCTGTTGGGACACTGTACTTCTTTCCAAGGAAGTATCTTAGCTCATCGATAAATGGTATAGTATCTAAAAATTGGGAATGGAAGGGCTGTTTAGAACGCATACGATGGCCATAGATTTCGCATCAAAGTGATCACAAACCTGTTTCTTCTCTGTCTGCGATGCTCTCAGCACTTTCCTTGATCAGATTCTTAAACTCTGTATCTTCAATGTAGTCGTCCAAATTTTCAGCAAGATACTTTGTACAGTACTGCTCAATTCGATCAACTCCTAGGTCAATGGCAGTTCGCATGAGTTCGTATACATCCATTATGGGAGACCGCTCGCTTGTAATGATAATAGCTGCTATAGACTTGAGTCGATGAAACAAGAACCGGTCAGCAGCCATCAAAACTTCGAATGCCATATCAATTGGAATAGCAGCAGCATCAGTGTATATAAACTCCAGTATTATGGTAAAAGCTTCTGCTGAAATGTCGGATATGCGGATGATCGGCATTTCCAATGTGACTGAAGGATAATTGACTTGCGATCCTTCAATGTACGATTCAGAGAAGCGGCCAGAGAACATAATGTCAAAATATTCGCTTCTCAGCTTCAAAAGAGCTTTGTGGCAGGGAAAAGCGAGATCTTCGACCAATATACAGATATCAGCATGAACTGCTCGTGGGTCAATCGGCTCAATATCCGAGACGCTTCCTTCCAAAATAACAGTCACGGAGCGAATGTCTGTGCCATCACCATCTTGATCAATGATTCGACCCGTGGCTCCAAATATGTTGGTCTTGACGAACTTTTCGAAATCAGATCGTATTTGTACGATGTCCATTGTGTCACCATGAGCATTTTTCTTGGTGTCAGAAATCTCGTTTTCGCACTTTTTCTTCAGGTCGGATAGCTCCAAATGCTGACAGACAAACATCAGATTGGTGATAGACTCACGGTTCAAATCTGCCAGCTGACCAGTGTACAGATAATGAAGCACGGCATCAAAGCTTTCTGGATCCACCAATTGACTCTGTAGCTTGACCTCTTTTTCATTCAACCAACGCTGCATCAAATTTCGTTGAAAGTATGTAGAACGTGCAGCGATGACAAAGCGATGAACTGGATATTCTCGGTAGACGGGGTGCACATCGTCAGTTGTTACGATACGAATCTTGAACTTTATATCGCTTTCTTGCGGATCCTCGTACAATTCAGTCAAGAATTTCTGGAAAGGCTGTGTTTCGTCTGTAGCCTTTGTGATTTTATAAGAAAGTAGTAGATTTCTAATTTGGCTTGTCAGCGCTCCGTAAATGCATCGTTCACTAAAGTATAGGTATTAGTTGAAAAAGCAAAATTACAAGACTAATTGCATTGTAGTGATGCTTACCCTTGGAAAGTATTTCGATCACACTTTGCGCCATTTTCTAGTAGATATCTAGTGACATCGTAGTGACCGCAAAGACCTATTGGAGTACAGCTACTGTGAGTTCAACTGGCGACATGCTGACTAGCTTCAGTGCTAAACACCTACATGCCCAGTACAATGGTGAGCATTGCCACTTGTCGACAGCATTGACGGGTCCTCCCACGGAGATTATGTATGCAACTCGCTCCAAGTCGCCTTCTCGTGTTGCATTACATAATTCATCGAACAATGTCGTCTCGGAGCGATCTAGAACTGGGCTTATATTATCAGCTTCAGCAGGAGCTTCCTCAGCTGCGGATGCAAGTCGCATAATGTTGCGCTTATTAGTCACAGGTTTTTTGCCCATATTGCATACTCCTTTGGTGCAATGAAGGCTCTTTGTAAGAATGAGTGTTACAAAAAAAAAAAAAGAAGCGGTACGCTAAGTGGGTTACTGCGGTCGTATTAAATTTTGCCTGGAAGTCTCGACCTTAGGCTTACCACGGCAATATGTAGCTCTAGAGGCGGTGATTATGCCAATCCTTAGCAGTGACCAACGTACCCATTGCATACAATATAATTTTTCACTCGATGTTGTAGCTTCACTGAGATACAACGAAAAAGCATACATCATTGCATTAATCGGTAAGTCCGGATAAACAATGTTAATATCCATTTTTGTTCACCACTGCATAAACGAACGCAAAGTCTACCAGATTGGCTTTATCCTTGTAGCATTGGTAAAGCGCCCTTCACAACCGGTATTTTGGTTTGGGTTCAAACAAAATATGTGTGTGCAAAAAGCCAACGATATCCAAGCAGAACAACAATTTGTAAACTTTTAAAATTTGTTTGCCTTGCTTAACGTGATGCAAACCGCTTTCTTGGGGGGTTGTAGAAGATAGTACCCATTCTTATTGGACGCGATTGTGGCTGTCCCGTGGGTTCCTTGCATCGCAACGAGCAATCAAGGTTTTATCCTTCTGCTTTTATTTTTTTCCCATTGGCTCACCATGCCATTGGGCACAGCCACTGGATATGTGTTGCACGTTTCTGAGGTACTTCTCTACCCAAAAAGTGATAGCGTTATTGCATACTTCCTAAAGAAGTCTTCATACATAAAAACGCCCAGATCATATTTGCTTCCCTCTCAAAGTATTTAAGGAAGAGCATTTTCCATTCGCAGGTGGGTCAAGAACAACGCAATTTTTTCAAAAATGTCAAAACTCATCGTTGTATTTGGTGGCACTGGAACACAGGTAAGGAAAACAAATCGTGCGTAGACAACTCGATGGTGGCCCTGAAAAATATTGCTACATAGGGTGGATCAGTTATCAGTGCTTTCTTAAAGGACCCAAACTGGAAAATCCGTACCATCACCCGCGACGTTACCAAACTTCAAAGTTTAGCTTTGCAAGAAAAAGGAGTTGAAGTTGTCCAAGGCGATATTGGCAATGTTGATTCCCTCGTTGCAGCTGTTCAAGGCGCGAATGCTGTGTACGGTGTTACTGACTTTTGGGGACCTTTCTTCAATCCAGCTACGCAGAAGCAGCTGGCTCCTGGTCAAACCATCAATAAACACTGCTATGAACTGGAAGTACAACAAGGCAAGAACATTGTCGATGCCGTGGCCACCATTGCTGACACAACACTTGAGGTGTTTGTATGGTCCAGCTTAGCCGACGTGGCCAAGCTGAGCAGCGGAAAGTATACCTGGGTTTATCACTTTGATTCCAAAGCCCACGTGTACGATTACATCAAGGAAGCGTATCCCAATCTAGCAAAGAAAACCTCAACTTATCGACCAGGCCAATACGCCGAAAATTGGCTATCTGCTGGACCTTTCGCTCCCCATAAAGCAGAAGACGGCGTGTATGAGCAAATCAGCAACGTCGGCGAAGAAGTTATTCACCCTTGGACTGATACTCGAGGAGACACTGGCAAATTTGTACGCGCTCTCACGCAAACCTCGCCAGAGAAGCATTTGATGGGTGTCAGCCAAACCTTGTCCTATGGTGACTATCTTAAGATATGGGGAGAAGTCAATGGTGTTCCAACCAGATATGTGAAAATCACTCAAGAGCAGTTCTATGGACTTCTTCCATCAGCTGCTGCCAAGGAATTTGATGAAATGAATGCTTTCATTGCTGAGTTTGGATATTATGGCGGCGAACCTGGTTTGTTGTCTCCATCAGATGTGAGTATTTGATTTGTACACGTTGAAGTATTGGTTAATAGGTATTGATATGTTCGCTTACCCACAGCTCAAACTCGATGAACAACCGATAACTGCCAAGGAATGGATCAAAGCTCAGGATTGGTCCAAGATCTTGAAATAAAAGGGTTGAACTGCTGTAGTTATATCTTGCTTCAAAGTGCCCTGTGTTTACAAAGATGATCATGTATATGATGTCTATGATCAATTTTGAATTCTTCTATATAGCTGAACTTATCGACGTACTGCTTGCAGTAAATAAATAAATCTTACTGACTAGCAACATAACTTGTACCAAATGCAATACAGCCAAAATTCCATCCGTCTCTGGTGCCCAATAACATTGCTACTTTTGAACATCTTGTGAACTTATTCATAGAGTTTTATAAAATGGGGTTGCGTTCTAATTTTTGAGTAGATGCAAGTATTATGGATGCATAAGATACTTTACACCATATCAATGGAGGATAAAAAACTCAAGTTCCGGTGTTGAAGACCCAATGTACACAATATGTATGATTGCTCGAACTTTTGTTTCCGCCGTAAATTACATAAAAAAGATACTGTACAATTTTCAAAGCATGCAAAGGCTAGCATAATTATCAGAGTAGGAATAGATCCATATCGTTTGCCTTTTGTTCTCCATCAGCTTTTGAAATTCCTTTCTCGTTCGTTCGATGATCTCTCGTTGGCTCAGAGTGATGTCTTCTTGAATCTTCTTGAAGCCTTCATCTTCCCAAAAGCGGTAGCTCGACATTTTTTCCACTGTGCTCTTTGGTAGATCCAAAACGATGATAGGCACCTGGCCACGTTTCATGTCTTCCAGAACTGGAGTTATCTTGTCAACCGCCTTATCCATTAACATATTCTTCTGTTTGTGCTTCAACTTGCTGTGAGACTTTCCACGAGTTTCATTTCTAATTATCTGAATGTCAAATTCAGTGCGGGAAGAGTCAGTCAAATCTCCTTTGGACATATCATGTTGCTGATGGTGATATTCATGACGAAGAGCTTTGGCTGCGGGAAAATCGGTTGTGACTTAGTATAGGAAATGTATGTTTACGAGGACATGATAGACAGGACTTACGGGTATCATTAACTTCTTTGCTTTTGATATCATGCTTGCGCATCTTGGAGAGGGACTGTCCATGATCGATTCGGCGTTGTTCGCCGATTTCAGTAACCAACCAAAAAGCTAGCTCGGATCTCGGTACTGTGCATACCACATGTTAGCAAAAGAAAACAAGTGTCGAATCCACTGGTGGTGGTGTTAACACGAACCTTCATATTCAGTTTTCCTCAAGATATCCTTTACTTTGACAGTAGCATTATCTCTAGCACTGGCTTTGGAATCGTGAATTCTGTGTTTAATGAGTACCACCCAGTTAATACTAGATTTTCGGCACCGTGCAAACAGTTCTTCAGGATAATCTGGATCGTTGCGATCATCGTATTGCAGTTCAGCCCTGATACCATGGCTCCAGAGTTCGCGTACAACATCGAACCTCTCTTGGAGTAAAACTTTACCAAAGCTGGCCACGTAAACGTCGCACTATAAGCAAGTATGTTAGCGGTCTGCATGGTAACATACCAAGGGGGAGGGAAAGCAAACCTTTTTCGGTGCCCAAATACCAAAGCTGCGAGCTTTATCATTCTTCACATTCATCAAGAGTTTGATTTGCTCAGTTTGGTATATGTCAAGGTGGCGAATAAGCTTTTGTATCGCAATATTGACGCCAACCGCTTTGAGATTTCTGCTCGGCATGACGTTTGGTGGCGAAAATTGTTGAACCAAAAAGTCGTACCTAACAAAGATAAGGGCCGTCATCAATGCATGCTATTGTAAATATGTAAGTGTAGATCATGCGCTTACCTGCCACCGACCGCAAGGACATCTTTTTTCTTCATATCAATCGTATCCACAACGGCTTCAAAGACCATGCCATTCTTGTAAAAGTGATTGTTATATCTGGAAAAGGCATGAAGTTATTAGCTTTTGTGGTTGACGCTTGTCATTCGTAATCATTACAAAACATACACTAGAAGCGGTTGGAAAACCAGTTTGTGGCGTACACCAAGTGCTTTGGCATGAGCCACAAGCAGGCGTAGTTCTGTGATGGCTTCCTTGTACTTTGCTCTTAGGGGACCCACAAATAGAGTCTCTAATTTGCGAGACACAGACTCTAGATCTCCGCTGACATTGAATAACGACAGCTCATCCAGCGTGCTACGCTGAAGTTGGAACTTGAGTTTTAGCCCATTTCTGACATTGGCGAAAGACGGTCCTCTACCTAAACTTGACAAAGCCGTCAGCACACCACGCCGCATATCTGAAGGGATTCGACAGCTTTCTAGAATCGCATCAGTGATGTTGGCATGGTTGATGATAAAATAGAAAGCACCATTTTTGTACGGAGGGAGGTCTTCCAGTACTTCTTCCACGATCTTGATAATTTCCGCGTCTGGTACCATGGAGGTGGTTTCACGATGCACAATATCAAAGTCCACTTCAAGAACTGCCTCAGGTTGTCCGCCACTGGGGTTTTCACGATATACTCGGTCAAAGGTATACCGTTTGACTTCCGGGAAATTCTTCTTACGAGAAATGTAGCGCGCGAATGGGGCGGTCAAGTCAAATGGCAGCTGATTCAATGCACCCTGCGAATCCATTAAATGGACCGGGTTCCTCCATCCGTTTTCGTACAAGTCATTTTTGGGCATCAAGAGAGGCACAGAAATGTCAATAGCTCCATGTTTTCGAAATACCTTCAACATATGCTCGCGAATGCGATCATAAAACAGTGGATTGAATGGATCGAAAGGTTTTTCCACCTCGGTTTGATAATCGTATGTAAAATCCTTGTATCGATCGGATGATTGCGAAAACATTGCTGACATCAGTTTGTGGTAGTAAGGAGTGTTGGGATTTGCAATGGTACGAACACACTCGTTGATGTATTCATCTTCCAATTTTGGAGGCAGTAGATCACTTCTAAGTAGTTCAAAACTGTTTGGCCGATCCTTAGGTTGCGATGATGTAAGCATTTGGATGATGTCTTTCTGGTTGACATAATTTGGATTGAAGTCATCTGGAAATTTGCCGTTGCGAAGATCTTGAAGGACCATGGCACGCTGCATACCCGTGTGAAGCGGATAACACATTTCAAAGAAGATGATACCGAGCGAAAACATATCGACTTTTTGATTATATCGCATACCGGGAGATGCACCTTTCGAAGGATCCGGAAGGACTTCAGGAGAAACGTAGAAGGTAGTTCCAACCCCTGTGGTCATGCTTTCGTCCAAATTGTGATTCCAGGTTGCGCCACTAGCGGAGGTTACTGTCCCATCCATGCTATGATCGTGCATTTTTGTGGTCAGCGTATGCAATGTATCGTGATGGTTTCGTGCAAACGCTGAGACAGCTTCTATGAGAGTTTGGTTCGAAGTAGCTAGGCCAAAGTCACCAATCTTCACATCGTTATTGGAGTCCAAGAAAATATTGGAAGGTTTGAGATCTCGATGAATCATGCCTTGCGAATGAATGTGCACTAGCGCTTCCAAGATTTGCCGGAATAATCTCCAGCCTTCTTGTTCGTCTAACCCTTCGTCTATAATATCTCGAAGAGTCTTCTTTTCACAATATTCCATCTGTATGTACAATACTCGTATTCGAGATGACCGTTTGGATTCTTCGCTAGAGGTGTTTGTTCTTGAACCTGATCTGCGTTTGTGATTCCGAATTGCCAGCTTGGCTCTCGATATCTTTGAGCGATCGGTACTGTTATCTGAAGCAACAAATGATATATGATCATCGTCCCCTTCATTGGGGATGCTGTCATCGTTGGAATCATCCGACGTTTCTTCAAATTGGATGGCAGAATAGCTTTTACTATGAGATCTCTCTGTTGATAAAAAGTCATAGCGTTTGGGCATGACGCTTAGATCACCATCTTCATCGTCTTCATCAAAGTCGGAATCTTCACCGGAATAAGAGTCACCCTCAGTGTCGCTATCTCTCCAATTACCATCCTCATCTTCAAACCAAGTTGTGTAGTAGCGAACGACGTATTGATGATGAAGGCTGGACAATGTTTGTACTTCTCGAAGAATCTTGCGGATATCTTCATTATCTCGAGGATCCAGACGAATTTTCTTGATAGCATAGAATCTGCCATCTAATTTGTTGCGAGCTTTAACCACTTCTCCAAAGCCTCCTTTTCCGAGAAATTCAATTTCTTCAAAATCAGCCTTATAACGAGATCCACTACCGGTGCCATAACCATACTGATCAGCGTCGTTTGGTGGATTGTTGTCGTCATAGCGTCTTCGGTATTCCTGAGCTTGGCTGATGGCAGGAGAATGCGAGAAAGGTGACATGCTTGAATTTGCAGGTGGGTCAAAAAGCATTACTTGCTTTGACTGTGCTTTTTTATCTCGATAGGCTGCTACTGGTCGTTTTGGATGCTGGGAAAGCGCATTGACAGGGTATCGGGTGGAGAAATCAATGCCAGAAGGTGATGTAGTTTTATCATCCGCGAAGAAAGGATCATTGGAGAGGTCGACAGCAGTGGGTCGCTTCCTGGCGTCTGGTTCGAACATCTTCATTGCGAAATGGCGAACTGACTCTGGAATATCATGCTCTACCACTCTGAAAAAGGCCTCTACACTGCCAAACTCTTTGGTGACATCTTGGCCCCATAACATCTCCAAAAAGACGATACCAAGGCACCATATGTCGTTCTTACGTCCATAGGATCCTGGCTTATCTTTCAGTTCGGGTGAAGTCCAATTCCGAGATCTATCACTATTAGTCACTGGAGCTAACTTATCGTCTAGAGGGTTGGAATGGTGTAGATCATGGAGCCTTTGAACATAACTTATGTTGGATAATTTGACATTCTGGTGTGTATCAAAGAATATGCTGGATGAACATATATCGCGACAAACGAAGCCACTGAGATGGACATGATTGACAGCCCACAAAAGCTGCTTCAGGTATTTTCGGCATGTTGCTAGTCGAATTCCTCCACCACACTTTTCCAGTAAACTCTGAAGCGTATCCCCCTCCTGATATTCCATCAAAATTTGAAATGACCAGGCATGATGATTGAGGCTACTTTGACGCTCCAACTTGGACTCATAGATACATGCAATGTGGGCATGCCGGAGAGTTTTTAACCGCTCAAGTTCTCTTTCAATTTCTTGCATCTGGTGACCCAAAATGGTCAGCATAACAATGCTATGTGGTTTGCCTTTCTCTCTCCATCTTTTCTTCAATTTACCTTTTTCTTGCCATTTTGTGTCATGTAGTATGAGGAGGTCACATTGATCTGCTTGATGACCAATTTACATCCCAAGTCCAAGTCTTGTTTGGTAGATACATCGCCAGATGGTTCGTTAATTTGATATCGATAGGGTGTGGCAGTGTACGTTCTGCTGATAGAACCTATTTCAAACCCATTTCAGTAATTGGTTAACCTCTATCTTTACAATATTAGTTAGTACATACCAGATCCAATGCATGGCCCGAGCATAACGGAGCGAAATAACACAGTCTGGAGTTTATACATGTTAGCTTTCTAATTTCGGTAAAACTGATCTGCCTCTGGACTCACCTTCTGGAAAGCTCCCAGACTCCCGTCTCCATCATCTTCAAGTCCCAGCTCAATCATATTATCGAATGAAATTAGCTTGAAGTCCTCATAGTGGTTGCTCGCATGATCATTGTCGTTATTGTTTTGGCGAAAATGAGAGTCGGAGTCACTATCGCTACCAGCATCATATTCTAGTTCTTTACGTCGCTGATCTATGAGTCTAGCATGCTCCCTCTTCCGCTGTATATCTTCCTGAATTTTGGCGTTTATCATGTCAGATTGCGCTCGTCGTTCCTCTTCTTCTTCTTTTTCCAACCTTGACTTTTCTCGCATTGCCTCTTCTTCCACTGCCTATGAAACAATTAACGTGAATGACAACATCTTATTGCTTTTTATTTCACATGCCCACTTTACCTTAGAAACTTCATGCTGTCTGATAACCATCTGTTCGTAGAAGCTGAGCTTGCTTGCTTCAGAAGGCGGTTTGTTATGAACTGATAGGAAGGTTTTAATGTGATCGGTAATATCGAAAATCATTTCTTGGTTGAGTAGATTTTTGCATATAGGCTGTAGGGAACTACGCAGTTCTTGTACTGTTGCAGGAAGAAGTCCATGAGGGTTCAGCAATCGCAATTCAGGCATTCGCTTTGGATAAGTCTTGGGAAGTCTAATAAAATAGCAACGAATTCAATATGCTTGGTTGGGCCAGCCATTTCGATAACCAGTAACTCAAATTTTACCTAACGTTGAGATCAATACTGGTGTGAGCCGTTTCATGCTCTTCCTCACTTGGTGTTAAATGTATTACGAACTCAGTGGTTTTGGTCGCAACCTAATTAGAATGGATTAGGATAATTGAAAAGTCCAGGATTGATATTTATCAATTGTAATTATCTTACATTCCAAGCTGTTTTCTTCTCTTCTACTTCTTTGAAATCATCCATAAAGATAGCCTTTAAGGCTTCGATTTCGTTGGTTTGTATCTCATGCAGTTCGTTAATTTCGCTTTGGTCCATATTGATATATTAAATACAGGTGTAGGGATTAGTGATAAGTTGTAAGTGAGCGATCTGGCTAGTAGTTATTCTTGATTGCTTTGGATTCAAGATTTGCGCAGTGCGACGGACGATCGGATCAATATGCGAGCAGGTGTATTGAAGTAGACGAAAGTAGCAAGAGTAATGCAGGAGTTTTGAAAGCAGTGATGGCCGAGACTGGACAATCGTTCACTGCATTTTGCTGTCGAATTAAGTGTCTAGAACAAATGAATAGGTATAATGTAAAGAACGAACGAAAAGACGCCGAGACAGTTGAGCTCAACGAGATAAAGCACAGACAAAATTTCGAAGTCGGAAAACGCAGGATCTGTCACCCCACGTCATCAATTGCTGCCTTCTTTTCCAGACTGACAGAATAATGGTCACCGTCGAGCGGAATTCATGAGCAGATTTACCATTTGTCAGTCATAATAGTGCTTTAGACATTTCCAGCATTATCAGAATCCATCTTCTTTTCGATCATTATAATGGATGCCTTGACGATCGCTGATTTTACAGCTGTGATCTTTCAAAATCAGCACAATAGCTAAGCAGTGGCACCCAACGAATAGTTAGCGATGAATGAAACGAGTCAGTAGCTTGAAGAAAGATGAGCGTACACTAAAATGAGCTAAGAAAAGAAATAGATATATTCAAATTTGAAGACAGTAATTGTGAGGAAAGACATGGCCGCCTACTACAATTGAATATCTCGACTTTGCCTGTCAGCACCATCCACGCAATATATCGAACTACTTCTGATTTGTACTTTTATTTGGTTTCATTTTCGTTGAGTAAAAAATGATCAACTCTATAGCTCTTCGTGGATGACTCTAGCTTCAGTTTCATCTTCGCCTTTAGTAGCAATAAGCGGGCAAACGGCAGGAGATCTCATCTTGAACTGATACTCGCATTTTTCAGGTTCAGTGACTTCGAGAATTTCTGTCTTAGCTCCACACTCGAAAACAGCCTTCACACTTCGTTCAGGGCCATTCCAGCATTTGGTTCCACGGCTGTAAAGTTGTTTGTTGTAGTATTCAGGAGAGCTATTGTCTGCGCTGCCAGTGTAACCTTCAAAGGAACTGCAATATATCCAAAGTTACAAACTGTTATATCGTCAGACCTTTCACTACAATGAACAGTATGCTTACCCAAGATTGGTGTTGGCACCATCACGGTTGGACTTTTGATGTGCACCGCCAAAGATGCAGATAGAATAGACATATCTAGGATATGAAAGCCAATGTTAGCTGAAACGGCAATGGCAAAGTACATAGGTTGGCAGAAGTTAACTTACTCTCCCTCATCCTTCTCAAAACATTCATTCTCTAACTTCATCCATTCTAAATCTCGTCCATAATCTTTGTTGAGCTTTCCGTTCACTCCATTCAAGTCATTTTCTTTGGTGCCAATGTCATTTCGCTTTTCTCGGACAGCATCAGAAGCTTTTGAAGCGGCTGTCGAAGAATTTGGATGGTTAGATGGAGTGATAATGAAAAGTGTAAACTGCAACCACGTATGTCATAATATCAAATGGTGTGCGCACCTTGTTGGAGTCGCTCAGCCTCATCGACATTCAATAGAATGGAAGGCAAAGCCTCCTTGACCTTTGCTGGTAACAGCTTCTCCAATTTGGTGACAAATGCGCTTGTAATTCGAGAAACAACATTACCTTATGATGAGAACAAATGTAGAAAATTTGGAATGGTCATTAGGATGGTGAATTTTGCAAGGAAGGATGAATACTGAGCTGGATCAAGAGTTACGGTACATCAAGATGAGTAATTTACCTTGTGCTGCCTCTTTCACAACGGGATCAGTGTCCTCTTCAACGACTTCGTTGGTGAAATCTTGCTCTTCCTCTTGTGCATCATCAGCTTGCTCGACGATATTTTCTTCATCGACATCTTCTTGTCGCTCTGTCTTAATGATATCGTAGTCTACCAAAAACTCATCGTAGCCGGAAATGGCGGTTTTGACAGCCATGTCATGATAATTTTGGTTGTGATCACGCTTCATGTCGTGCAATATAGTTAAAAGTTCGTCCACTTCCTCTTGAAGAGTTTTGATGTGGTTTCTCAAAGATGAAATCTTGAAGGCAGCACTATCGCTACTAACTTTGCATGGAGGACATTTAGAGTCAGTTTTAACGACGGTGACAGGAGCTGCCGAATCTCGAGCAGCCTGTTCCTTTTCTCGAGCAACTTCCTCGATCTTTTCCAAGGCGCCTAACTCTGTACGCATAATGGCAATCTGCTCCTCCAGCTTCGCCTTTTCGATTTGCAGTTCAGCCATCTTTGACTTTCCGTATTCGATCCATTCTTTCTTTGTGGAAACCCCGGAAGTGAGAACGGCATCCATTTCAGCTTTGTGCTTGCGATATTGAATGCCAACTTCCTTGCAGATATTGTCACATTTAATCAATCCTGATGACTCGTCCGAGCCATCACAGCATTCGGGATCACAGACACCGTCGTTGACACGGTAGGATTTGATGTACGAGGGTATATGACCCTTATTTTCGCAGTAAAAAACGCTGTTAGGGCAAGCGGACGTTCCTGTTTCATTTGGCGTTTAGTCAGTGGCGTTTATGGACTCGCGTAAACGTGAAGGAAAGCGTACTATTCAGAACGTACCTGGTTCGTCGGATCCATCAGGGCAATCACAGTAATCATCATTGATGGCTGATGCAGGGATTGTCTTTGACTTGTCTAGGCAGGTCCAAGTGTTACCGCTGACTTGGTATAGAGCTTGCTCTGGAATGATGTTAGTTCTTTTCATGCTACAGGTATCATTGGATAGAATGGGGTGGATCAGATCGTACTTTCTGGTGCAACGCCTTTAACATTGGACGATAGAGCTGGCGATACTAATAGGACAGCAGCCAATATGCAGGATAGCGATGCCTTTCCTACCATTGTGTCGAGACAAGAATGAGACTAACTTAACGCTGAGGCTGCCACGTCAAATTCCGCTCCTCATATTGGCTGGTTGAAATTTTGAATTTAGCAATCGCTGGACGTGACTGACCAGCCAGCAGTCTGATCAAAGGTCTGCCTATGCTCTCAACGTTATCCATCCACCATATGATTATTTTCATAGCTGATAAGTGTTCTCCTTCAATAATGAAAGTTCGAGGTCTCTTAACAAGATTGGTATACGAGAAAAAGGACGTTGGATCAGCATTTGCAAAGGTATTTAGGTAAGGTATTTTTGATGACTGCTTGAACTAGGACTCTGAATACATGTATATTTTGATTGTAATTGATATTTAGTTTACGGAAACATCTTGAAAGTCTTTGTCAACAAAGCTGCCATGAAAAGTCACAGGAGTCATATCACCAATCTGAGCCTTGCCGAGTTCCTCGAGTGTCTCTCCGTCCAAGATCACAACATAGCATAGGTCTAAGCTTTCGTCACTTTCATGAAAATCATTGGCTAAAGATACCACAATACCATCATCTTCGTTCTCAGCTCCTGGCTTGGGAATAAAGATGGGCTCGGAACAGTAATAGCCAGGGCGATAATATTGTACCGTTTTGCCAGTGGAGGTATCAACTTTGACAACACTAACAGTTTCGTTTTTGTCCATGGTTGCAGGATGCAATTTACAAGCCCAAACATAGCGACTTGGTTTTCCAGTCATTTTGGCATTGAATCGAGGGAATTCCACGTTAGGAGCGATCTCCTTGTACGTAGCTTGACCAGCTCCGCGTTGAATCGCATCGTAAGAGATAGTGTATCGTCGTAGATCTCCAAAGCTCGATTGCCTAGGAGGATTCACTGTAATACCTTTTGACTTCTTTTGCTTGTTGTCGCCATGATGGTTATCTTGTGAAGAGAGTTGTGTCTTGCGTACAGGTTTGCCAAAGGTGTGAAGTTGGTGTGCAATATCTCCATCAGGAAAAGCTCCACACTCGAAATGAATGCCTTCTGCATCCTCCCAGCAATTGCCCATATGGAAAGCAAAAGCAGGATCAGCTTCAATGGTAGCGACGTGTTTTTTCTTTTCGCGAGAAATCACATGAAAATATGTTTTAGCGTTCGAATCCCATGCAAATGCGGCCTCTATGGTACCTTCCAAAAGGATTGGTAGTCCTCCACCGGCAAAGTACAATGGGTATTCAGGTATAACAATATAATTTTGAGTCAGAGCAAAAGAGTGGATATATGAGGATTTGATAGGTACGTTATCGTGCAGTCGCTTGACAATGTCGCCATAAAGCGTGCCTTTGCCCTCCGGATTGATTGAGAATACTTTGATTGTTGTGCTGCGACCGAACGAGAGTACGATGTTGAACAGCTCTTTAGTATATGGACATGTTTGATGGTGCGCGGCAGATAGCTGACCTTGAACCTCAGGTATGATGGTGGTGTAATTGAAAATCTTTTTGGGTACTGAAAGCAGCAGGGGACACAAAAAAAAAAAAAAAGATCATGTTAGCCAATGATTTTTACTATCGTTCACGACCGCGGTTGGTTTTCCCTACCTAGTGAATCCACATCTATCAACTGAAGTAGATTCGCATCCGTTTTAGCGACAAGAACTTGATCTCCCACCTTGCGAACATCAGCTAGGTGGTCATTTCCCAAGGGAAAATTGGGTGTGGCTGTTACACCGACCATGGCGTCTGAAGGATGACGAGTCTCGTTCGCTATTGAGGATGAGCGTAGCCTTTTGTATGCACGGTATAATTTGATAAATAAACTGGTTGCCGGGTCGGAGTGGCCGAAGAACAAGGGATAATCATCATTATCTGCTAGTTGTCTTTCCACTTCTTGGGACAAATTTCGGGAATTGTACTGAATCTGGTTGTTGACTGCAGAAAACACGAACCGATGCAAGTATGGAAGACCGTCAAATGCATGGCGAATATGCATGTAACTTCCGTCCTTCCGCTTTATATTAAACTTTCCTGGACCTAAGGCATTTGTTGAGTAGACATCATCACTAAAATCACGTATGTTCAGCTTATTAACTGACCTATGCGAAACAAAGTGCCGTTTAACCAAGCTGGTAGTTGCCCATTGACTGGCAGTGCGACTGGCTGGGGAATCTCAGTGGTATTTCTAAACATTGGCGTGTCGATGGATTTTTGCGCTTTCAGCATTTTGTATACGGGAAAGGACGCCAGGACAGCAATAGCTAAGACGAGCAGATTAAATGTTTCCATTGCGGAGAGAGAAGTAGCGTTCCAGTCCGGCCAATTTTAGCTATTTATGGATGTCCGGCCAAACTACTTTTTCTTACGCCAATCCAACGCAAAAACATGCTCTTTCAAAAACTTATCGATATCATCAACGGTCATTCTATGGGTACTTTACGCCTTTTCCAGCTTCATGCATGCTGTTCATAAGCATAGTTTGGATCGTTTATGTTTCATTTAATTCATAGTGACAATGAAAACATTTCTAAATCATGAGATACATGGGATTCAAATGGACATAGGGCATACGCTGCAAATGCATTTGAGTTGAACATGATATTAGCTATGCTGTAGTAGTAAAAAATCTTAGGACAAACGTTTTCATTCTTGCAGGAAAGCGGCCTCAGGCTTACTGCAATCTCCGCTCCCCGGTTGGTTTCGAATTCTGGTGACTGGCGAATTTCGGTCCCTTGCTGGAAAGCCAGCCACATCAGGAACTCCGGTCAGGATCCATCTTTAGCACCATGAGCGATTTTTTCGATCGATGGGGAAAGAAAGCCAAAGACAAACCTGGTGCAGAACAAAGTCATGCTCCCCAACGAGATTCACAGTCTAGGTACTCTGGTACATTTCCAGGAAGACAACCATCGACCGCCTCAGTCACAAATACCAATCCACCAGCAATGCCGCCTCGACCAACTGGTAACGCATCGCCACCTCAGAGTAGGCCATCAAGCGAATACGGAATGCGTAATCCTGGATCCCTTTCTGCAAGAACCCCGTCAAGGTCATCAATAGGTACAGTGTGCTATGCCAAGCAAGTGTAAAATGATACCATGCTAACAGAAATTTTGATTTTGGCAGAGAGTCGACCTTCACTGGATCGATCTAGGCCAACCTCGTTGACTGCCACCGACTCAACATACGGGAAGAAGATAGGGAGACCGTCGGACGAGTCGATAAATGATATGTTTGAGCAGATGCTGGTATGTAAACAGCAGTTGGATGGGTTCTCAATCATTACTTTTCACGATGTTAATCATGCGTTTGAAATAATACAGTCGCGTAGAGGGATCCATGATCAAAATATCATATCCACCATGTTAAGTTGGGACTCTGAAAAGAAGTGGCTCATGATACAACAAGACCATCAAGCAGAGATGCTAGCTGCTGGTGTGAAGTCTCAGCAATCGTTCGATGATAAGAACCCTGCAGCCGCTCCATTAGTCAACATTTTGAAAGAAAAAGCCGGTGAAATGCTGACCGCGACTATTGATGCTGGGCAGCGTGCTGTGGAGCGACATACCGGTACTGGGGCTCTGACACCTCCGTTACCTGCAACTCCGGCTCATACACCGGCTCAATATTATGATAGCTCGGTCGCAGATCGAAACACGCCTGAATTTTTTATTAGGAAATTCATGGAAAAAGATTTGCGAGCTGTTACTCCGTCAATTGCTGGGCACTTGGAAGTTAGTCTCCGAACAAGACCACTAGAGTGAGAGCACTTTTTTGAGTGAATAGGAATCCATACAGTCTGTCTAATGGTTGGGTTTTTTTCAGTTGGCTATTGAAGTTTTTAGATCTTAAGGGTGTCCGAGTCTTAACCAATGGATTGTCCTACCTGAACCATGGCCCATCAAGGTATGACCTCATAAAGAGACGGGGCGTGTATCTACACGTGTATCATAGATCTGCTTCATGTTAATCACTGAGTTTCTGACAAATAGGAGAGATACAGCATTGGAACTGGAAGCAGAAATTGTTAAATGCTTCAAGGTCTTGCTAAATAACAGAGTATGTATAGCATTCTTGTATGCTGTGTGTGCTTGTCGGGCGATTCACTAATATTTCGTTTATGAACCTGTAGTGGGGTGCGAAGGAAGCTTTATTGGATGCAGAATCCGTGCATACTCTGGTATTCTCCATTGTTTGCCCGCAATGGCAGACCCGTAAGACCGTATGCGAGTTGCTCACGTTCCTGTGTTATTGTGAACCTCCCAATGGCCGTAACGAAGTCATGAAAGGCTTTGAACTGCTTCGACAACATCGCAAAGACCTAAGTATATTCGATGGCTGGCTGAAGGATTTAGAAAATACTCTAGATGGACGAGGCAAGATGGGTTCCTTAGTAGGCGCAAATGACGAATTTAGACGTCTTGGAGTGTTCAATGCTCCTGATAGCCATCTCATGGAATATGCGGTGAGTTCTGGTTTTTTTTTTTTTTGTTCAATCTCTCGTGAATTGTATTTAGTAAATAGAATACTGATGTACACAACTCTGCCAACAGCTCTCCAATATGATCCTCATCAATTCCATCATCAAAGTAGAACAAGATGTCGCCGCTCGAATTCAGCTCAGAAACCAACTAAATGCCGCTGGAATGCAAGCTCGTGTGCTTGGAAAACTAGAAGATTTGGATTATCGAAGACTTAACATTCAAATAGAGACGTACAAAGTGCAAGCAGAAAATGATTTTGAAGATTGTTTTGGCGAAGAACAATCGTTATATGGCAATATTGAAGAGCCTGAGCAACTTCTTTCTCTCATCTTGGCCAATTTGGCTGACACTCCTGAAGCTGTTACACATTTGGTGGCAACTCTTCGTGGTATGCTTCTCATCAAAGGCGAACAATCTACCAAGTAAGTAGAAAAGGCTGATGTGAACAGAAATAGTGAGGTAGACGTTTTTCCAACCTTCTATTTTCATTTGTAGAACCCGGTATCATCAAATGATTAGCACCCTTGTGAATCAAATTGTTATGGATCGCCGAGGTGTTGGAAGCGATTTCTCGTCGACATATGGTGTTTCAGTTGGCAACTTGATCCAAAAGTTTTCGGATATTGATCGTCTGCAAACAGAAGCCGAGCAATTGACTGGTGCAAAGGATACAATTGAGGAACTGCAAAAGGAGAAACAAGAGCTGGAGCAGGAAGTTGCTAGGCTCAAGGCTTCGAGTGCTGCCACGCCATATAATGGTCAGTACGATGTATATATAATTTAGTGGTATCCAACCGTGTATGCTGACGTTTTATGTTATGACACTCAGTTGACAAGTCTGCTGCGCTTCGCTATGCTACTGAGAATGCCTCACTTAGAGACCTTTTGCGCAAATCTCGCAATACGATCACTTTATTGCAAGGTTCACTCACTGATAGGAACGAAACCACTTATATTGACTATCCGGATCCTATGGCTGAATATTACAATCAGGATCAGGAGCCAAGCAAAATCGTGCTTGGTGGTGATTGGAAGACTACAGCACAACGCCCGCTAACGCCATACAATAACATGCCTCAGCAAAATGTAAGTTGCCAGCCACTTAACTTGTTGATCATGACCGGGAGATACTGATTTTAGACTTTGCCCATTAGCTTCAATCTCCTCAGGTGCCATCTACGCCCATAGCAACTGGTGCAAACATTGGCGCTGGTGGATTCTTCATCCCAGGCTCTGGAATGCCTGGTACCAATGCAGATCCATCCACTTACTATCCAACTCAGGAACAGCAAGCCTATCCTCCTCAGTCTCCTGGCTTTCAATCACAGTATGCTGCCGGAGGGTTTGTTTTCCCTGGTACGCCAATGTCTCCTGGCTATCAAGCAGCAGTATACCCACCAATTTATACAAACAATCAACCTTATCCTTACGGCACAGCAGATTCTGTAATGCAGCCACACGGAATAAGCCATTATCCGTCTGTTGGAGACAGTACTCAGATGCAAAATATCGGTGCTGCTGGTGATGCTGTGTCTCACTATAGTGATTCAACCATCGCACCATCCATTACATCAACTCAACCAGGTAAGATATATATTTTTTATAGTGGCCTGTTATGCAAATCATACTCACTTACCTATAGAAAAAGTGCCTGACACTGCCTCAACTGGGGCTCCTCCACCCCCACCCCCGCCTCCACCACCACGTCCTCCGGTTGCTTCGGCTTCAGGTATATATCTTTCATGCTTCTTTCTATGTTAAAACGCATATCTTTCTCAACAATACCGTATGATTTTTAGCTCCTCCTCCTCCTCCTCCTCCTCCGCCACCACCGCCTCCTATGCCTTCTGGTAAGTAACAGGTTTTGATTGACTTCTGGCATTTGAGTGTTTAGAAAGGCTAAAACGTCATCTAGGAGGTACACCTGCTGCAGCCCCACCACCACCACCTCCTCCGCCACCACCTCCTCCAGGCACTGCAAGTCAACGTAAGCATAACCGAAAAGAGTATATTCCGTAATTCTGTTTATTCGGGATGTTACTAATTAGTGTTTGTCTTAGCTGGACCTCCACCCCCTCCCCCTCCCCCTCCTCCTCCTCCTCCATCTGCTGCTGGTGGCCCACCACCCCCTCCACCACCTCCACCACCCGGTCCCGGAGGACCGCGAAGACCAGCTGCCCAGACAGCACCGATTGGCCCGTCGCGCAAGCAACTTCGTCACTATCCTCAAATCAAGATTCGAAACTTCCAATGGCAAAAGATTGAAAAGTCCAAGACAGATCAAACTATTTGGATGTTGGATGGTGTGAATGAGGATGAAATTGAAGATTTACTTGAACAAGACGGTGTATTCAGTAAGATCGAAGAGTTATTCCCAGTTCAATCCAATACCGTGTTTGAAGAGAAGATGAAACAACGCCAGGCTGAAAAGAAGGACGCTGTACGGTTTTTGAGCAAGGATAAGAGCCGCAATATCAGTGAGTAGATTCTAATGGTTGAACATAGAGGACACACTGTTGTCACTAACCGTCGATTGCTATTCTCAATAGACTTGGCCATTATACCCAAGATAAAGAATATGCCTCTATCTGATGTTCGTCTAAGGATTTTGCACATGGATGATGGCTTCTGTACGGATATATTCCTAAGCAATCTTATTGCCTTTGCACCTACAAACGACGATGATTTGAAAACGATGGAAATTTACATGAAGAAGTCGCCTGAAGAATGTGAAGAGCTGGATCTGCCAGAGCAACTCACCATAGAGGTAATGAATGGCTGCTTAGACTACATAAGAGGTGGTTTTTTATTGGATAGTCTAATCATGTCTGCTTGTCTACCTTTTAGATGAAGAAAATCTATAGATATGAGCCACGTCTCTCTCATATGCAATCTCGACTCAGCTTCCTGGAGCGCTTTGACCAACTGCGAGACGTATGTAACAAACACCTTCTGCTCGCATCATCATCATTTAATACCTCATAAGCTAACTTTGGGAGCTTGACATTATTAGAATATGACAGTCGTGTTAGAGGCTTCGACCAGCATTCGTAACTCCAAGAGCTTCAAGCAGTTGCTCTGTGTAAGTGTCTTATCTCTCTCACCGTTGTTATTACCGATGTTGTCGATGGGTGAATTTGAGCGAAAACTAAACAATATCCTCTAGTTGATCCTTACGGTTGGTAACTACATGAATGCATCTGGCATTCAAGGCGGTGCTTTCGGTCTCAGAATTGGCAGTCTTAACAAGGTAAGAACAAGGATTGAGTTGCTTTGTGAAATACTGATCTTGTCGCCAATAATAACCGTTCATATTATCTTTTACCAGCTGCCGGATACAAAGTCCTCAACCACAGCGTCCATGAATCTATTGGGATTTTTGGTCAATGTCGTTCGTGAGCATTTCCCTCACCTGTTGGACTTCCAGGAAGACCTGAAAGAAGCGGGATCCGCGGCAAGAATATCTGCCAGCATCAACGATGTGATCAAGCAGTACACCGACCTACGCCAAGGATTGAAACAACTCAACACGGAGTTGGCCGAATTCTGGTCTGATGAGAGTATTCTGGAGGCCGAAGACAAATTCCCAACGGTGATGACCAAGTACCGCACTTCTGCTGCCGCCAAGTTTGAACAACTAGAGGCTCTCTACGTCAATATGGACGCCAGTTGGAAGGATGTCATAGTGTACTATGGAGAGAATCCCAAGATGATGCGACCTGACGAATTCTTTGCTGTGTTTGCACGATTCTTGGACAACTGGGAGAAAGCTGTACAGGCGGATGAGAAATACAAAGAGAAGCTTCTGAAGGAGGAGCAAAAGAGGAAGCTTGAAGAGGAACGCAAGGAGAGGCTCCAGCAAAAGCAAGCCAAGGAAATCGATTCGGTCGATATATCAGCTCAAGCTGCTACCGGTACTGACGATGATCGACGCATGATGGACAACTTGCTTGACAAGCTGCGAAGCGGTGAAGTGGAGGCACGCACACGTCGTCGGCAGAAACCACGTCGCAATGAAACCGGGGATGCTTCCACGGCAAAACCTGAACATGTTCTAGATGAAATGGACACTTCTGTTTCCGCTCTTGACTTGTTGAATAGTTTAGACAATCTGTAGTCCAAGCAACTCTTCATACACATACACTGGATACCTCGTTACTTTCAAAAAATGAAGAAGCCCGGTTTGTTTTTGTGTCAACTTGCATATATGTCATTACCCCCTCCAAATAGCTACAATGTCCATACCATTTCAACCAATCGTTAGCTATATATTATTTTGTCATATTAATAATATCTTGAGATAAAGAAAGTAATAAAGGAAAAAAAAAAAGAGCACATATATAGAAGGTGAGCTCAGGTACTGTGGGAATTCAATAAAGAAGTGTGTACAGCAAAGAACAAAGGAGGAGTATGATATATCTGATGAATACAGAGAGAGAAAAGTATGGCACTATTCTAGGCACTACAAAAAGAAGTGATGAAACGGGGTTTTGGGAATGACTTTGAGTTGGAAAGTGAGGTTGGTGGATGGAGAGACGAGATAAAAAAAATTCAATCTACAGAAGGTATGCAATACCAGCCAGCGTTTGCAAGAAGGAAAGGAAAAGGAAAAACAATCCATTGTTGTTTTACCAATCTTCATCCATGACGCCAGCCAAAACTACTGGATCTCCCAAGTCAACGGAATGGTCACCTTTAAGTACTCGAGTGGTGTAAACGGTTCTCTCTTGTCGCTCTTTCTGAATTTCAAATTGAGGCGGAAGAGAGGGTAGCGAAAAGTAACTTGGAGGAGAGGTTGCGGGTGGACTAGCAAGTGCTGCTGTAAGAGGACCAATCAACTCACTTGGCAAACCAGTAGCCTGCGGAGGTTCATCCAGAGTTGCATCGAAGAACAATGGACATTCCTTGGATTGTCGGTAATCTTTGATAGCCGTCAGGTCGGGAATACGTAAAAGCTGATCGTACGGCAAATTGGCAATGGCAATGGGTATGGTGAATTCAGCATATTGGTTGGACTTGAAGAATTGTCCGCATTCATACAACACGGTGAACTGCAAGTCGTAATGAACTCTTGTATGCCTTGAAGCAAAGCTAGGAGAGACGAGTCGAGTTGGAACATCAAAATTGATAATGCTGGTGTATTGGTTGCCTTCTGAGGTAGCGGTTGCTGTTCCCGTGACGACTTGTCGTATATATTCTCTGAACGCCATGCCTTTCTGCACCAACATCTTTCCCTCGTGATGCTTTCGAAGCTTATACGATATCGAAACAACTTTGTAATCGGAAGCAATTAGCCCAATGTTGAGTTGCATAGAAAATGGTTCGTCTATAATAGAGAAGTTAGAAATCAGAAACAGCTTTTAAAAAATCCAGTGAATATGCAAAATGTACCTGGGCAAAATGTTTGTTTAGGAAGCTTAGCTTGCACTTCAGCAAGAGGTGTTGATTTTCGTTCCTTGAACAAGGTGGTTTTGTAAACCCATTCTTGTGAAACTGGAGCAACGATAATTGGACGCAAGGGGGTAAGATACTCTTTGCTTCTCAATCCAGATTGCAATCCTGGGCCATCGACCTGCGCTGTCCATACTAAAAATGGCAACATGATATAATTGAGATGAAAGTGCTCTACCTGATGGATTGTACATCTGTTTTCCTTAACTTACCATAACGAACGCAAAAGCCTTTTGGATCCTCTAACGAAGGAGGATAGTTGACATTTGGAAACTAAGGATGATGATAAGTATTTTATATAACATGGGTTCAAAGGTGTTACTGATGATCTTACCTTCAAGGCAAATGCATATTTGTGTTGGCCAATGTCTATCTCTGACCAGGTTGATTGAGAAAAAGCTGTGATAACGCTGGCATTAGTGACTTTGCCCAACTTGTCAAGAGATTCAAACAGCGAATAACCTCACCACTTATGTCATTGCCCCACAGTTTAAAGTCAGTTTCAAAGAAGGTAGTTGTAAGTTGGTGGAGTCTTTCACCTCGGCCATCGCCTGAGCCTTCCATTATCTTGACTGTAGCAATCTCCTCAGCACGGAACTACAAAATGAAATGAGAATTTAGATGCTGTCCCCTATCCATGTCGGCTTTCACTTGAAGATTCTTACCTTTATCCGAATACGAGTTGCATAGAGTCTTTCGGTTGCATTTAGGACTACGGTTCCTGTATCAGGTCGAAAAGAGTAAGTAAAACCATTTGTTTATCAGACGCCAAAACTTAGCACTTCCTTCCAAACACACTGAAGACTTTACCTCTGATAGTTCTATTGGGGCGAACAATAACGTGACTACCACCGTCGAATTCAATCAGCAATGAGGTTGGAGCTGATTCCGAGGCAGAAGCAGTGGAAGGTGCAACCACTATAGGTGCAGCAGCACTAGCATTCACACTGGAGCTACGATTGCGATTGCCAACATGGGCCAATCCATTCAAAGTTTGAGATAGACGGTGTGAGGCCACGGATAGCTGGTTGGTATGCGTTGACGAGGTGTCTTGAGAAGTACTTAAAAGCGACGTAGAGGACTCCATAGGGTTTATTAACAAAGGAGTTGGGTAAAGCGCAGAGAGAAAGGATGTTTCAACAAAAGGAAAGATATGGGAAAATGGTTTTGTCGCCAGCAATAGATAGATTTCCATTTTGAGACATGTTTCACTAATGACGTTCGCCAGCATCTTTTGCCTCCACAACGGAAAGGAACCCATTCATTATTTTAACTTCAAATCTACCATAACTTGATATCTGACACCCCTTCGTTTGCAGTCTTGGAAGCTAAAGCAACGCAGTAATGACCAGCGAGAAGTCGCCATTCTTCTAATTCATCTAGGAGTTCCAATTGCGATATTCTAATGGAAAAAAAAAACAGGTTTTATCAGTTTCAACCAGGTCCAGGCAAGGCGGGACATCTTCGACTGTAGCCATCATTTCACCTTCTTATCTCTTCCTGGGAACTGGGATGGTCATGAAGTGTATTGATATCCACAGCATGTACGTCATGCCAGTTGAGCTGTTTGAAGCGTTGAACTTGTGTATCAAGCGTTGGGTAAGCGTGGATACCTTTCAACTCGATATTGCGAAGCTGGCGGTAATGAATGATGAAATTCTTATTTTCCTGTCTGTGGCCCACCAAATAAAAAGTCTAGATTACCTTGAGGTTACGGATCATGACCTTTCCAAAAGCATCATCGGGTAAAATTTGTTCATACAAAAGAAATAAACACGATTGGGTATTGTCGGTTATCCATTTCAAGATAATTTGAGAATCCTCTGGTGCGAGATAGATGAGTACACATTCGGAGATGAATAGAGTCGGAGCGCTGGTAACTGATTAAATCGCGAACGTTTCCATGTCATGCCAACCAACCTGTACTTACTCTGGTTGAAAACCATGGTATGCTAGTCTATCTGCGATGTTGTCCCAGTGACGCAAATCGCCACCAATAAGAGCATAGTCTGCAGAACCAAGTTCCATGCCACCACGCTCTGCATCACCACCCGTTAATGTAAGACCCAAATCAAATTTTCGTCACACTACATAAACTACACATGCCTACGGTGGGCGAGTCCAACATTGTGGCTAGTTCTGTTCTTCGCCGAATGATAGATGCCTTCTTTGCAATCATTTCCGGGAAATCAATTTCGAAATATTTAAAATTAACACCCGAAGCTGGGATTTTTCCTGCCTGTAAACCAAATCGTCAGAAAAGCTTACGCATTCCTTTGGGGGTTCGCCACTTTTCAATACAAACCTTCAGAAGAAAATATCGGGTATCAAATCCGGCTCCCAAAGACACAATTTGCTTTTTTGAGGATGCATCACCGCTCTGTAGGAATCGTTGTACAACGTGATTGAGTGCCTGGTATCGAATGTACGAACCTGAGGTAAAACGTTGTTAAGTTGAGGTTGAAAACGCTATACCTGATATATACAATATTCCAATTTTACCTCTATTGATGATAGGTGGCCGCCTTATTGGCTTTTTTACGAAAAATTGCACATATGGATCGTCAATATAACCGAGGGAGGCAGCGGACCTAATGCAATGTGGCTTCAACATTTGGGATTTCGTGCAAAACAGGAAGATAATAAGAACAGTGTCCGTTACATTCTGCTAATGGTAGCGTCATCATTTGTCCCTCTGACCACATCGTCCTCGTTTTGCCATGGATCGTCTCTATCAAACGCGGATGGATTCATACTAAGCTGTGCCGGTTAAGGACGAGTCGACCAGCGTGTGTTAAAACTCGTTCACCCCCCACAACGGCAAAAAGTTATGAAACACAGTCACTGCCGACCCTTTCAACAAGAGGAAGCTTTCCTGTCAAGCAAAACCAGCTATGCGATCACGATTTCTTCACAATGGCATATGTACATCCAGCATAAAGCGTCACTATAGCTCACAGCTAAACACCTTCCGGGCTAATGACTTTTGCATCCTCCGAGATCGACGCAAAGGGCAAAAGTTTTTTATTGGCCCGCTGAAGGACGAAGGCAAACTGTTTATTAGCAAAGGGGTTGTTTCTCATAAGGATATCATTTCCAAACCACCACGGAGCATCATCAATACCCACAATGGTAAGAATTAATCTACACTTCATTCGTTGCCGTAGCTTGTATATGGTCTACTTGTGTTTATTATGGGCCTAAACATTTGATCTAAATGGTGCACAACGTTTATTCTGGTGAAACAAATAACAGGCAGCACCACTCTAACCGCCCATTTCCCAACTCTGGATGAGTAAGTTAACGCCATGGGAAATATGCCATTCATTCCAGACCATGTGAACTTACCCAACTCCCGTTCAGTTATATTCTTAACGTTAAGCGAGCGTGTACACCTATCTATCCTAAAGATGCCTCCACCATTGTAAGACATGTGTTTCTTGAGCTTTGTTGGATACCCTGCATTAAATATTTTCCCAACAGGTTCGATTTTTAGATTTGGATCCAGGCGCTCATGTCTTAGAAGCAGGCACCGGCAATGGATCATTGACGCTTTATTTGGCTCGTGCTGTAGCTGGATCAATAGACACTATGGAGGGTGCTAAAGTTCAACAAGGCAGAGTGGATACTTTTGACATCAGAGAGAGCCATATACGTCAGGCAGAACAGACTGTGGGTAACTTTGCTAGAGGAGTTTATGGTCCTACCGTGAAATTTCACAGCGGAAGCCCTTCCAGCGTCCTTTCAGATGATCTAGATTCTCTCTATGACGGCGCTGTCCTCGACATGCCTGAACCTCGACATGAACTAGGCGTGGTGGTACAACACCTCAAGAATGACCGGTTTTTAGTATGCTATTTGCCTAACATCACACAAGTGGTAGATTTACTTAGTTTCATCAAGAAAAACAATATGCCTCTCGCCATGGACGACTGCGTAGACGTGATGATACAAGAATGGGAAGTAAGGTCCACCTTAATAAGAAATCCACAAAATGATGGCGCCAGCCAAGAGCCTCAAGACCCAGTCTGGATTTGCAGACCTAAAAATTTTGATGTCAAAGGACACACCGCTTATCTTATAAAATTACGCAAATGCCAAAATATTGATTAACAGCGGCTATAAACCAGTTGCACAAAACACATAATATTTTTTTTTCCATATCTTCAAGCTCTTCAATTAGCGCGATTTCTGCTATATTAGAATTTACGTTGTACAATCCAGTACAACCAATAACATGCCATAGCAAATAAAAATAGAATAGAAAAAGGGAAGAAAACTGGGTAAATGAACTCTAACGGCGCCTAGATTGTGATCATCCAGGCATATGCACACAACTCTGTTTAATTGTATATGTTATGGAGCGATTTGCCATGAACACTCTGTCGTTTTTCACCATCTATTTGTGAACCACGGTTCGCCATAGAGATACCCACCCAGGTTCTCCGACGTGGATTGATCTTGAAATGGTGGAGTGCGGCATTGAAAAGTTATACTAAACTAACAATACTGGTCATGAAACGCATTTTACTTCTCCACGCATGACCAGTCCATCATGCCTTGGGACACGTATTGGAAAAAAGGGGGAACGGCACTTATCCTGAGAGAACAGGCCCTCCACTTTTAAGAACTAGGAGATCTTCAGCAACTGCGAGCGAGGTTTGAAAAAATGATAGTCCAAAGTGGGTGGATAAAGGTTACCATGGACGCGGAAGGACGAGTTTTGGGGCCGTGGCTGGTTACACACCACTCAGCATTTCTCCCTTAAGCCAAGCCATAATACGAATGTAAACTTCTACTGTTTCAGGGCAAGGCCGTAGCCATATAAATAATACGTTCTTCTTCCATTTGACATTCGTTTTTACGCTCGTTTCTTCCTCTCGCCATTTCCCCTTCCCTTTTTCTTTGACTGTATCGCGATAGCGAATACATTCCGGTTCGCTGGAATGAATGATGCCATCGCTTGGCATAGCCCACTGACCGCGTAAGCACATACAATGCCATGCTAGGCGTCAACTAATCCGGTGCTTCCATAAGGTGACAACGGGTTTCCCAATCACACACTGTTAGTGAATCTGTGACCGTGGAATATGTATTCCGCTTTTCCGTCGTATGTTGGCGAATTGAGAGGTATCAGATACACTTTGCTCTTTCGTGCCTTCTTCCGACTTTTCTGATGCTGCTGGCAGACCTAATTTTATCCCTGTGAGACTCTTCTTTTTTTTTCTTTCCCCTTTCTTTTCTTTTCTTTTCTTTCTTTTGTTTTTTTCTTTCGGTGCTTTTCTCTTTCCTCGTCTAGGACTCTCTGTTCTGTGGTCTCTTTGCTCTCTCCGCGCAAGGATCTGCCTGGGTTCAAGAAATGGCTTGCCATCCGATGTCTAGAGAGGAAAGAAAATGAGCCGCGTCTTTGCTTGGGGCAAGCCAAGATGCATACTAAAAGCTAGCTTCGGGGAGGGTCCTCGTCTCAAAAGCTTTGCTAGTGATACTACGTTATGCTAGCAACCAGAGAGGGGATCAAACACTATCCCAAGCACGACGCGGAATATGCGACATCGGTCAATCGGGAGCATTTCACGCGGTGATATGGATGCTCTCCTGAAAGGCGGCTCGAAACAACCTTGAGCAGTTGTGTACCTTTACTGTCACAATTAGCCTCGGTGCTCGTAAGTCAACGCTTTTTCATTTGATATGTAACACTGCTATGATGTTAAATCTTTTGCGCCATTTAGGGCGTCGCCTTTCTCTCTCGTGCTTCTCCGCTCAATCAAATTCATCATCCCCTTCGCTCTTGACGAAGCTAAACTTAATATGCTGGCGACGAGCATGGCCGCTCTACAAAACCTTGTAAACCCCTCTCCGGACTAATTGGTTAATGAAGTTATAAAAATATTGATAAAAAAACGTAATAAAATAAGCAAAAACAAACAGCTGCTCCCTCAGTCTGTGGTGGCAGCAAATTGGAGGAGGGAGGCCGAAAAAAAAACGCCAAATCTGGCTATTTTTATGACACAGTGTACGACTCCGCTCTCCACTTAAATACTGCCTCTCGCTCTTTCCTTCCTTCTTTTACCCTTAACTATGTTGACCGCAAGCAGCAACCACCCCGAATACTCTGATGAACACTACAGTCTCTCGAGAGAAGTAGAAGAGATCTTGAGCAACAACAACCATGAAGCTCTGATGAAGGTAAATAGCACTTTGGCTTATAGTCCTTTCCATTCGTCTCATAACCTTGTTTTCAAGACGTTTAGCAAGTCCGTTGATGCAACAACCAAGGGGAATCTAGGTAACTTTTCTTATCATGCGTTCATTCCATAAACATCAATGCTGACCCCCATGCAGTCAATGGAGGTATTCATTCCTCTTCCAACCCTGAACACCCCAAGTGGTATCACCGCAAGTTACCTGGATGGGTCCACTACCACCTGATCCCGGACTCGCTTATGGTATCTGTCAAGAAGCGATATGGAAACTTCGTCATCGATAGACAGGTACGTATATGAAGTGTTGATGCTCAGCCCGAATTGAGCAACCATATCATTACGCCATACTAAAAAACTTCCTCAATGCTAGACGTCAGAGTACAAGTATGAAGAAATGGTAAGAATTAACTTTGTCGATCAATATGGGCAAGTGATCAACGAAATTAATACTTTTATGATGTAGCCCATTGCCACTCGCGTTGGAATGCATTTGTTGTTTGCCGGTTATGCTGAAGAAAAATGTAGGTGTCGATTGTTACATAACACCCATCGATTTGTTTCAGATACTAACCAATGAACTAGTTGTTGAACTCAATACCATCCACCATCTCTTCCAAACCGAGACTCTTCGAGAAGGTGCCTACTTTGATGACCCCAAGTCCGTTAGTCAAATCCCTGCGTTTATTCAGCACTATGGTCTCGACATGAGCCAATATGAAATTAGTGATCCCGCCGGATACAAGACATTTAATGACTTTTTTGCTCGAAAAATCAAACCTGAAGCCCGACCTATTTCTGATCCCGAAGATGATGTAAGTATAAATTGTTGACGCTCGGATCCCCTCATTACCCTTCAGCATCTAACCTTTTTGAAAGTCTGTCATAACCTCTTCCGCTGACTGCCGATTAGTTGTGTTCCCCACTGTGACCGCGGCCACTGATTTATGGGTGAAGGGAAAAAAGTTCACCCTTGCCACCTTAATGCAGGACGAAGACCTTGCCAAAGAATTTGAAGATGGTTCAGTCGCTATCTTCCGTTTAGCTCCTCAAGACTACCATAGATACCATGCACCTGCAGCCTGTACCATGGAGACTGCAAAGGAAATTGCCGGAAGTTACTTCACCGTAAACCCATGCGCCGTGAAGGAAGACCTCAATGTCTTCACTGAAAACCACCGTTGTGTTGCATCCTTCAGACGTCCCGATGGCAAGCGCTTTGCTATGGTCTTTGTCGGTGCCCTACTGGTTGGCACCATTAAGAACACCAACACCTCTGCACCTGGCGACAGCGTGAAGAAGGGCGACGAAATGGGTTACTTCCAATACGGTGGATCTACTGTCATCGGTATATTCCCCAAGGGAGATGTTACCTGGGACGATGATCTGCTCAAGAACTCGCAACAACCAGTTGAGACCATCGTCCAAATGGGAGCTCATGTTGGCAAATTCAACCAATAATGAAGCAACATACCAACGACATTTGAGCATGGATTTTTCATCCACCTTCAATGAATACCATTATCAATAGCTTGATTCAATCTATATATATATATACAAACATATAAATATTATATTACACAATGATCCTGTTCTATACTGCGGTGACTTCCATCTTCACATCGGCAGGACCGTCTATAATCTGGAGTATGTCATCAATAAGCACTACGAGAAATGTGCTAGGCGTCAGTAGGGAGGATTAAGCTAGAGATGGACCAAACGAGTGTAAGACGTACCAGCATCACCAGAATCCCACTGGTCTTTGATAGCTTTGAGCCCACTCATAGACTTTTTTAGCGTCTCTTTTAAAACTGAGTCCAAGTTTTCGTGTATGGTTTGGACAGGAGTTTGTTGGAACAGCTGATAGACTATAGTGACGCTCAGATTGAGAGTCAGTTTGCTATTAGAAGAAAGAACATCAGTCAATGAACATCTAAAGCCTGAAGATGTCCTCAATTAACCTTTTCGCTGTCAGCCGAGTTTTCCTCTGGGACACAGTAGACTCTATTTCCATGTTCAAGTACGTCGAAATCATAACAAGCACCTAGGGCAGGAGGTCAGTGTATATTTCCAGCCTAATAGTCTCATCAAATTTACGTACCAGTTGCATCTCATCAGATAGCTCAGAAGAAGAGTCCGAGGACACCACAATATCAATGATGTTAACAACAGTCAGTCTCACAGATTGCCACTAGGGGTGTAAACGATTTCATCAATATTGAGAGTCTAGCTTTTTTTTTTCTCCAAACCTCAGCACTTCATGCTTACCTCTATCTCTTCTCGCTCGTCTTTACACTTGTACTTAATCAAGTCCGTCATGCAATCAAGAATGGACCGGAAGTTATCCACATTGTTAGACAATTGTTCGATCAAAGGCTCTGTAACAAGCTTCTCTGACCCACTAAGGGCCAAATGATCTGAAGTTGCCAGATGGACCGGCATACAGCAGGCGGTGAGTTGATCCAATATAACCTGCAGTGTATGCTGAATGATAACGACAGGACGGTCTACATGCAGCAGAGAAATAAAGGATTTGTCACGTAGGAAGTATAGACACCTAGTCGAGCACATTGATGAACAATTAGCGTTTACGTACGGCGCCTTTATCGGTTTGCGATTTCCCTGCCTCAAACTTACTCTGATTGACCTGGCTGTACGCTCGTGAATGCTCCATGAAAAATTCCTAAGATATCCAACAACGCTTTGTGCGAGAGCATCTTGTCCTTTTCGCTGTCGTATTCAAGATCGCTGAGCGTAATATTGTAGCTGGCCATATAGGCATCCATGTTTATGAGCGGCTCATGCTTAAGATTGGCGATGGCTTCTCGTTTTTCATATGCTTCCTTATACTGTGATTCGAAATCAGGTGAAGGAAAGAAAGATATGGATAAGAGTAGATTATTCAACGCTGCTTTTTCCTTGTCTAGTATCATCAATTGATCATTACTTAGTGACGTTGTTCGAATCATGGGAATGCCTCATATTATGAACGAGGTTATGCTGTCTTACCTTGCACTTGTGTTCGAAGAAGTTGTTCCTTGACGGCATCATATTGACGAGTCAGAGTGTGCAAGGCATGGATAGCTGGCTGTAAAAGCTTGATCTATTTCCTGCCGAATTAGCATCCAACACATTCTCTCTGATGCCATCAACCTTTGCATCTTACCGTTCGGTTTCTTTGTGTGATCATGATGTATTGACTAAATATATTGGTGAACTGTCGAAGGGTCCAGCTGAGGCTAACGTTTGGCGCCTCCACTAGGCATTCAAACAACAACAGTGATAAATCTTGAAGCTCTCTTTCCATGTCCTCATCCTGCAAGGGGGTAAATCTCTTGATAAACATGTCATATAGTTGGGTGAGTTGAGCAGTGTTTCCAATAATGCTAGCATCCATGGCAATGTCTTGTTGCTCGCTTTCATAAAATGTGTCGCAGAGTAAGCTTCTCAAAAGCTACAGAGGAAGTTAGTAGCTTGTAGAAATCCAGTTATCATACGCATTGCTTACCTTTTCTTTCTCGTTTATGGTCGCTTTCTCATTTTCTTTCTTCGGGCTGGTAACGTGAGTCTCCTGCATTTGATAATTTACCGCTTCTACTTCTGGTGTTTTCGTTCGGGGTAGGACTTTTGGCCGCTTGATTTTGGGACCAAGAAACATTGACGTTGGTAAAGCTATAGTAATTATGTAATGGGCTTAACAAAAGTTGCTATCGAAATTGAACGCTTGATATAGCAACTCACCCCTGTGTTGCCTTTTCCGAGATGCCAGTCCGTCAACATCAGCAGTCGATGGTGGCAAGCTTTGTTCTTTATCCCAGTTGGCTTTGGGTTCTTTTTGCTGTTCTCCAGCTTTGGCGTGAAGTCTAAGTCGACCATCCAACATTCTAATTTGTTGTCGAGCACTAAGTAATTCTCCATCCTTGAACGATATGTTAGACCATTTGACGCTATTTGTAGACGCCTTTTTAGTGCCTACCTTATTGGCAATTAATTTGTCTTTGTTCGCCATCTGCTGCTCCATAGATACTTTACTTTCATTTTCGTATCTAATGCTGGTCCTCAATTGCTCCAACAAAGCCCTTTGTTCCGAGATCTGCCTTTCTTTCTGTAATCGCAATGTCAGTCGCGTTGAGTTCGTGCCTATCCAAGTCGCGAGACTTACCTGAAGAAGCTGGGTCTTTAGCCTGGAAAGTTCATCTCCTTCGCCTCCATGTGATTCCAGTTGGATATCTTCTCGTTTAGCTTTTGTGCCAAACGCAATTGTCAGCAATGAAGCATTAAAGACGCAAAGTTGAATTGCAAACTCACTAAGCTCTGCTTTGTCGGCATATGATGTTGTATAATTTCCAAAGTACTGCGACTCTTGCTCTTCTACAGCTCTAACTAGATCCTCGTCAAAATCTTCGGCAAACGAATCATCGTCAATGTCCATGACCGCAAGAAGCTCGCCCCTAGGAGTGAAAGTCAACGGGTTTCGCGAAGCTCAAAGGTCCAAGTCCTATTTTTTCGAAAAATTAAAGACCGTGACTGGGAATTGGTTCTTCAGTTTTGACGCAGGTAGCAATTCAGCTTTTTTTTTGGTGTCAACAAAAATAACCTTTGTGCCGAAATGATGCCATTCAATGCTTGTACGTACACGATCGCTGGCCAAATCGCACATTGCCTTGTCTAACACCTCCTTGTAGTGAACAGAGCCATCCGCTCAAACCCATCATTCACCCCCATTCGGTCAACATTGGTGTCAACACAGCGTACCTGTAAGGATTCACCAAAAACCCTTGTCGACCACCACTATATCCCAACTAATCTAATAACTCTCACTTCCCCCACTATCTTAGATGCTACTACAGCTAGCGCTAGTGCGAAAGCTCACCCGCCTCGGCGTACCTTCTTGCACAACAAGTATAAGACGATTTTGGCCGACAATCGCATTGCCCTTATAATGCAATTCAACAACCTTAACGTCAAGGAACTCACTGCCCTTCGTCAAGAGCTCAACCAGCTTGGATCATCAACCACACTAACTGTTGTACGATCTGGAATTTTTGCTTCCGTCTTGCGTGAAACCCGTTTCGCCAACCTCGATCCTCTGGTTATGGGCCCTACGTGTGTCCTCCACACTAACGGAAGCGATGCCGAACACCCAACCCTCATCAAGGATATTGTCACTCTTCTCAACAAGAATAAGAAGTTGATGCTCATTGGCGGTAAGGTGGACGAAACCTTGCTTAACTTTGAAGGTGTTGAGAAGGTTAGCAGCATTGCTGGCATCTCATCTCTGCAGTCAGAACTCTTGGGTGTCTTGCAATCACCCGCCAGACAAGTTCTCAGCATTTTGGATAGACGGTAAGTCGAAATACTTTCAATTGTCATTTGAACCCCTTTGCATACTGACAGCTCCGATGCAGCCCTCAGGAACTCGTCATGGCGCTCGACCAACACGCAAAGAACTTGGATGGGGACTCTGAACCATCGAAATAAGTTGTGGATTCATTCATCAGCTTACTGGATGCCAGAGATTATTTTTCATATTTGAAGCATCAGTAATGTGGATTGCTGGATGTAAAAACTGTGCAACTCATATAGACCATTAGAATGCTGTGGACATACATTTGTGTTCTTACCATTGCCTTTCCTTACCATGTAGATTATGCTTTTCATTTTCTTTTCGTTTCTCTTTAATATAAACACTATTTCATGTGTTTTCACAGTGTGTAAAGATGTGTGTCATGCCGAAACTGTTCTATGTTGGAACGTAATGATTTTTATGTGAGGTGCCTACAATGAGCGACTAAGCGGATTAACTACAAAATTATGATTTTATTTATATCACTGATGGTATCTTCCTCTTCTCTCATTACAATCTTTTTTTTTTTTTTTCATCGATTCATAATACTTTAACATAATATATATATATGCATATTGGTGCGGTGTACAAATTAGTTCACAGCTATACCTCGACCAGCTTGATCAACAAAGCTTCCGTGAATAGTCATGGTATGCCATTGGCCCATGGTAGTACGCGCTAGTTCCTCCAGAGTAGCAGCGTTCAATATGAGCAGGAAACAACTATCTCCTTCCGGAAGACTCGCGTTCACGACACTAATAACAACACCATCATCTTCTGCCTTTCCATGGTCAGACGGCACAAAGATCGGTTCTGCACAAGAGCAACCAGGTTCATCCCAATAAAGAGCCGTCGAGCTTTGGGCCTTTGGATTATTTAGATCAAGCTTGATGATGCCGTTGACCACTGCACCCGATGCATACGACGGAGCATGTTTACTTTGACACACCCCCCACAGGTAGCGATAGGGCTTGAGCGCATATTTTTGGTTAAAACGGGGAAGCTCGAGGTCATAGCCAAGAACCTCGTAAGATGCGACTTTGCGAGAGTTGAAGTCTGTGCTGATTCCAAATAAACCTGTGTTGACACGGTTCGATTCATTTACAACTGGGACGTTTGACAAACGATATCTGCGGACTTGAGAAGGTGCAATCTTGTTGTTGGCCTTACCAAACGCCTTTTTCTTGATGACGAATGGAGCAGGCTTGACCTTCTCGGCATCAAAAAAGTCAACACCTTTTCCAAACTCGAAGCTGGCGTCGACAATATCAGTGTTTTCGTATACACTCATATCGAAGTAGATCACAGTCTCGGTTTTACCGTCAAAGGTAGGTATGTCTTCATCCCAAGCGTTGGCAGTGTGAAAAGCAAAGCAAGGCTCAGCTTCGTAGGTTGCAATATGTCGCCCAGAGTTACGATCAATGACATGGAAAAGCGTATGGCGATTTTCCTCCCAATGGAAAGTCTGGTAAGCATTGGAGTAGTACAAGGCCGACAAACCTCCAAAACTGTAGTAGTAAGGAAAATTAGGTATGATGATATATCGCTTGGTCATACTGAAGGAGTGTATGTAAGAAGGCTTCAACGGCTCCATTGTTTTCCATGCCCCTAGGTGTCTCCATACTGGCTCATGAAGGACTGCCATCACCTCTTGTGTTCCGATAGACATTTTCGGTAAGTATGGCCCTATTGTAAAGCTTTGAAACGATGGGAAAGGTCCTAAGGTCACCATGAAATTTACAAATTCATCCGTCTCTTCGTCGTATTGATGATGAGATGCGCAAAGCTGCCCTTTGATGCTCTTGTCGACATGACCGTAAGTGAACATCTTTAATGGCTCTGAGGAAATGAAATGTTAATGAAGATGCTCATCTCGGTAACAAATAAAGCCATACATACCAAGAGTTTTGCTGTCTACCAACTGCAACGTATTGGCATCACGCTTCACAACAACAGCCTCTCCAGGTAAAACTCCAGTCTTCTCCTCAAGAGTTTTACCGATTGGAAAGTTGGGTGTGATGGTTACATTCACCATGTCAAACTCTGGGTCTTCCTCCATATCATCTGCATTCTTTTTCATACGGCTTATATGATGGAAAACGGACTGCATACGACCAAAGATAGTTTTGCAAGGATCAGGACCAAATGTCAGTAATGTGGGATCTTTTTCCATGATTCGACGTTTCACGCCGTTTGACGTATGTCGAGAGCAGTAAGAGACCGAGTTTTGGACGCCGTTGATTTCGAACCTGTGCAGCATGGCCAGGCCATCAAAGGGATGCTTGATGTGGAAAGTGCTACCGTCTTGCAAAGGGATGTTGAAAGTTCCTGCGCCTTGAAATCCTTTTATTAATATACTTGCGCTCTTTTCATACGAACCTTGGCTTTTTGCCTACCTGCTCTGTACATGACTCCACAGAGCCACGAAGGTATAGTGCCTTTGACCTCCAGCTCAATAGGTGTGGCATTCTCGGGAGTGTTCTTTAGTCCAAGAGGAGATTCTGTGATGTCTTCGCTATGACTTTTCATAATAAAGAAATGAGAAAGAGAAAGAGGCAACAGATAAAACGAAATTGGGCTTTGGTTCAAAATTTTACCTTTGCATGGAAGTCAACGCAATCCAAATACATTTACACTGTGCGCATATCTTTCTTATGCCTTAAAAAAATCTTATTATATTGCAGTAGCGCTTTATTGCTTTCTTATGATGTACTATGTTGGCACAATGTCTCTCAAAATCTAAGTCAAAGTCGATCTGAAAGACCCATTTTGTGCCGTACAATGCACTTACCCGATTAGGCCAACATGCATTCGAGCTTACTTCTAAGCATAACATTGAGGATCATTGTATTGTAAGCTCTTAAGTTCACTTCATTTACTTGATATGCCAAGTCCATCACATGGACCTATATTTTGTGCAAACGCCAACACTTGCCTTGGATTCTTACTAGCTGTACCTTAAGTGGTGGAGTGGAGAAGATGGGCCCGATTTGCCAGGCGGTAGATAATATTGCCGAGTCGATAGGCATATGGCTGCACCGCCTTCTCGATTTCAAAATATACCACCAGGATAAACGGACATACCTTTAAGGATTCCACATGTCGAGGTGACAATGTCCTGAGTTATGCTAAAAGTCGATAGCTGGCAAAGCAAATTATGATATGAATGAAAAATTGTATTGTGTAGAGAATGGAATGGAATGGAATGGAATAGTAGAAAATCCCCCTTTCTTGCAAGAGTAAATACATTAAATGATTAGACTGGAAAAGGTAGGTTGAATAAGTCTTACGCTTCATCATTTAATGGCACAGCGTTCATAGCTATGAATGTAGCAGACTAAGCTATCGGGTTTATAAAAAAAAACTGGCGATTTCAGATGGTTCTAGCGGACACTGCTTAATAAATATATGATTAAATTGGAACATGTCAACTATTGATTCAGTAGCATCAAACTTTGGACTACTGTCCTTGTTTTTTAACTCGACAGCCTCTCGTCAGAATTCTTCCTGGCCTACTATGATTTCGTTATGAATATTTATCTCGAATACTCGAAAATTACACCCTGATATGTTGCGTCTGTGAAGCTTTGCTTCTAACATTTCTTTTGTCCCATATATGCCGTGATTGGCTGGTTGACAGATAATATTCATCACCGGACTCTGTGAGGCTGTACTTCAATGGAGAAGTGGTGCCACCATGTCCGCAACTACTCGCGATGCACTGCATGACAAAGTCGGCTCGAGTAGGTCTCAGACATCGTCGGATCTTTCGGCTTGAATTGTACTTCGAAGAACGCTTACAAGAGGCATCTGATTCACTGGATAATTTCTTTTTGGAATGCTTTGTAACAGCACTGCTATCGTGAGACTATATGAAGTTTGTTGCAGCAGCAGCGGTGCGCTGTGCAGCATGTCCTGGAAAGGGAGCATAGTTCGTGAAAGACACCAGGATCTTTCCAAGTCTTGTCAAAATCACTCTACAGTCAACGTAGTTTGCATTCGTCTGCACCCAGGCAATAGAAAACGACCCGAATTAAAGGCTCACAGATTATGCAGGCAGCTAGCAGAAGACGTCTTTTTCTACTTACAAGGCTTTGTCATGATCTCGAAAATGTAACTTCGTACTGGCTGTTCTGTTCGGGTGATAGCTCATTCCGAGATATACAACCAATTAATTTGATCCCAATCAGGTGGTTCATATTATATATTCTGCAGGCTGCAACGACATACCGAAAATATGCGGGGTCATAGTAGCGCGAGGGGCAAGCCTTCGTGTGACTGTGGCGTGGAAGTCTCAAACATTGAGTGAGAAAGGTTACGCGCATTCAACTAAGTGTATAGTTATCAAACGCTATGAGGTTAGTATTGGAGTCTGAATAACCAGACGCACTCCATAGACTATGTTAATAACCCTTCGACATGGTATCAATATTGTTTGATGCATCATTATACAGTATCGTCGATGTCCTATTAAGGTTTTGACTGTCACCTTTCATGGTCAGACAGATAGCTTACATAGAAGAAATTGCTCTTAAATTGGAAGGGAAAAATTTTGTGGATAGTGAAAAATAGTTTATCCTTAAATCCGGTGGGAGAAACTGATGAGAAACGTTCTATGAGAGGCTGATGAAACTAAAGAGTAGCCTAACAGTTATATATAAATCAAAAATTTTCATTTAGATCGGTCTATCACCACTTTCATACCTAAAATGTCTCTAAAATCGTTACCCAAGGAGCAGTTCAATGCGCTATTGGCATTGAGTATCCCGGATTTCCGGCAAGCTCTTGGAGTAATGGTGGCAAAAACAATGATGGCTCAGCCTGAGCCCATTGATATTCCTGCCAAAATTGAAGATTCCTCTTTCAAAGGCCCAGCGTCCGATATTCCTATCCGCATTTACACACCAGAAGGTATTTTGATTCAGATCATCAGCCTAAACACGCTTACCCTGTTCCTAAATCATTGCTATTGATGCAGGTACTGGTCCATTTCCAGCGGTTGTCTTCTATCATGGTGGAGGCTGGGTTTTGGGCAATATCCAGTCCCACGATAGTATTTGTCGACAAATGTGCGTTCAAACTGGAGCTGTTGTCATCTCCGTGGAATACCGTTTAGCTCCCGAAGCCAAGTTTCCAGCTGGACCAAATGATTGTTATGCCGCCTTTCAGTAAGTTTCGCTGTGGTTTCACCTCCCTTACTTGTAATAGCTTCAGTTGGGACTTGCGTCTGACGTTTGGTTGTCTTAGTCACGTTCAAAGCAATCCAGACAAGTACGGCATCGACGCAGAGCGTGTAGCCGTTGCTGGAGACTCTGCAGGCGGAAATCTTGCCACTGTAGTATCCATTATGTGCAGAGATCGTCAAGCACCCAGACCCAAGTTCCAGTGTCTCATATACCCTGCTTGTGATTTTACCGCAAACGGACCACATAAGCAATCAGATCCCAGTGACCTTCTCGTTATGGATTTTATGAACTAGTAAGTAGTATACTGGAGCAAGAAAAGCATGTGTTGCAAAATCTAACTGAACTTACCACAGCATGAAGGATGGATACATTAATGGTCCCGAAGACGAAATAAATCCGCTGGCGTCACCATTGAAAGCTGACTTGCACGATCTTCCTCCTGCCTTTGTGATGACTTGCTCGATGGACCCGTTGTTGGAAGAAGGCGTTGAGTACGTACAAAAATTGAAAGCATCTGGTGTTCCTTGTGAGCATATTAATGCTATTGGTATGGATCACGGATGCTTCAGCCAGGACCGACGAACGGACCCAGATATACAGCAATATCAAGATGCCGCATTTGCAGCTATCAAGAAAGCTTTGATCTAAAGAGGGTGCTTATGTCCACCCATTTGATGCAGACTCTTGATACCTACAGAGGCGTCAGTTTGGCCGTTTCCTCTGAAATTTTTAATAAACAACTACTGTTCTGTTGTGAAAGCGAATTTGGGTTCACTGAAAGCTGCTGTTGAAGAGGACGGCTCGTAGTGTGCTTTCATTGTGTTGAAGACGTTGATATTGACGGTTGACAGCGCATCTTAGATATGAGCTTCCACCCATGCCGGAAGTGAGCACTTTCAGTAGTCGGAAAAAACTGCCACCAGCACCGCTATAAGAGGTATTTTCCCAAGAGCTAACTTCATACTTTAAACCCACGTCATATAAGCCGCTGCTTTAAAGGTATGCGAGATATTGCAGGAGGTTTCGTCGTTAAAATACTGCGAGAAAAATAGCATTTGAAATGATCGAAATAAAAGAAAATCGCCCAAAAATCCGTCCTGAAGTCAAGCCTGGCAAGCACAAATCAGAATCGCTTGATATATTGCTATTCTTGGTGCTTCAATGTGGAAGTGGATGTTTATAGAGACTACCGTGGAAATTGGTCTCCTTCCGGAGATTCTAATGAAACGAGACTAAGCAAACTCTTCTACAAGCATTCAGCGTTATTTACCTGATGTTAGTGGAATAGAAAAGAGAAATGTGCTTACCGAGCTCTTAATGTATAAACGAACTTCCATCTTAAAGTGCTAAAGCAGGTATCACATTCAAATCATCTCGTCTATCACCTGAAGGTTTGGCTCAAGTTTTGGCTGGCGGAAAACTCATGTATGTTTATTACTCTTTGATTCTCTATTACATTCCATGTTACATTATCCTATTCTCACACCTGTGGCTATCCGTGAGGTAAGTTTGATGTGCCCCTCACAGCATCGATATATATCTGCACTTGTCCGTGTCGCTTTTCGAATGTGTAACGCATTCCTTTGGTGTCTCGTAGAGGTTCTGCCTTTCATTAGTATCGCCTGCTCTATTACATTGCATACCCCTATTTCGTCATCATTTTCTCTAGATATCGATGTGTACACTCCAGCTTGTAACAAATCTTCAGCTGAAGGAGGAATGCACAGTTTTTGAGCTCCCGTGAATTTAGCACTTTGAAACGCTCCAAAATTATTCTTGCTATACGTAGCCGATCCGCCTTCTACCTGAATGCACTTGAGTAACTCAGCCATTTCCTTTCCATCCATGACAATATCCGATGCTTGTAGCTCTTGCGATGCTTTCAATTCTTGATTTTTGCCATCCACATCTTGTCGATCCACCGCAAATATGAAAATACTCTCGTCTACCCTAAGATTTATCAAATCCTTATCTCCGGCAAGCAGTATTGCGCTTTTGATATTCCTTTTGAACTTGTAAGTACTGGTTGCATATCGGCGAGTACCTGGATGAAACTTTGAATACATAGAATGGGGGTCGTAAAAAGTAGCTCCAACAAAGACATTGGGCGGCGATCGACCGTCTGCAAGAAAACGATATGACGCTAACAACGTTGCCGCCTTGAGAATATCCCTTATATCGCCGCATTTTAGTTCTTGATCCGCTACTCCCAGATGGCTCAAGAAAGGAGTGCTTTTTGGTTGAATTAATGTTGCTTTGAAGTTCTCTAGATCAGTGTTACACTCGCTCGATAATTTGAGAATGTCATCGCGCGAAGTAAGCGGAGAAGTGCTTAGCAAGTCTTCGTATTCCACTTTACCTAATAAAGCTTGATGACTGCGCGAGATCAATTCACAGTCTTTGCAGTTTTTGCATTTATCTGCAAGGTCCAGTAGATAGTAGGAGCCAGAAGAGAGTGTGCATTCCAATATGCAAGATGCGTACAGGCGAATCCAGGCCAAAGCAGATGAGGGAGTATGCTGGGCTATAGCTTCTGCACAGTTAAATCTGAACAATTCAAGGACGTTTTCAAAAGCTGTATCTTCCTCTACAAGTACAGATTTCATCAGCTTTCGCAAACCATGAAGCAGTATTTTGGCGTACTTTGCAACCGCCCAGTCTGCTTTCGGCATTCCACAAGTTTCATCCCATCTTTCATCATCATTATGACCCTTAGGTGGACGATACCGGACCTTCACGGGATAGCGAGGATGGTTTAAAATGTTGATAGCGTGACCTACAAGAATCATCTCCAGACGTCGCCCATCGTGCATACAAAGTTTTCCGGTCCAGCACATTGGAGATGCTAAACACATCGTGAAGCGATCGCGAAAGCCAAAGCTGCGCCAAGTCTTCTTTCCAGGGAAATGTTTACCTTGCTCCAGCATCATATGGCACAGGGCTAGACCGTGAACATTAGATATGTCTGGGTTATCTACAATCATTGTCTTTAATATTTGACGACATTTCACGATAGACACATGCAGTTTAGATATAGCCAACAGCATTTTCACAAAGGTATCTTTGAAGTACAGTTCCCGGCAAATGGCTGCTTTATCGCATCTGTATTGTTGCAAGCGTTCTTGAACATTAGTGCGTTCTATAAAACCTTTCATAAATGCATTTGTGGGTAGTGCACGCGTATCGTACACACCGTTGATATTATGTTCCATTAGACAACGCGCATGTAGAATCTCCATTTTTGTAATTTTAGAGTGTTTCAGGGTCTTTGGAGATCAGTCGCATTTATACCAGAATACAAAGTTTTGACTTCATACAGAAATTTGGGTTGCACCTTACTTGATTGGACGCCATGTTAGCGCATCCTGAATAATGAGTTGCTGCGGGAATTCTGATACGCAGACACCATCGAGATTCAAAGTTAACTTCCAGCAACTATCCAGTTTGTAAATGACAGGGAAACGGTTCACACGAGCAATGAGATATCTTACTTTCATGCTCAGGAATCAGTCAGCAATGCCTTCAGTTGGGACGCCAGTATCAAAATCTTATCAGTCTTATGAAGAGTAACGAATGAAAATATCGATGGCGGTGAAGACAAGCCAAACTCACCAGTTCGTAGCGCCACTAAAATGCTAACTCTTGACATTCAATCTTTGCGTTCGAACTGACTTGCGAGAATGGCCGTTCGTTGCATAGATGTCGATGATACACTCGAAAGGAGACTTCAAGCTTGCGAACACTTGTGACCATTGGATTGAAACTCGGGTGCTGAAAATTAACATATTGCAAGGTATTAGTGAAATGAAATATCTTTGCTTCTGATTTTGATTTCTTTCCCAATGGTCAGTCGTCCCTTGGTTATGCTGAAAAGTAGTGATTGAATGAACTATCTACATCAATGAATTTACTGTAAATATATATTTGTACGTTACGGCTAGGGACCTTGCAGTTAAGATATGATGGAAAGCTTATACTAAATAATAAAACGTTCAAATACATGGGTTCATGACCACGTCTTTATAAAGTGGCAACTATATCGTCAAGCTCATTGCTGCAAATGATGATATAGCTCTTTAGAAGAGATCATTGGACATATCTGATGTGAAGAACCTAATTGCTATAGCGGTTTACTAGACATATCCTAGGAATTTCGTTACCGGATGTAATTTACTTGCCAAAGTTAATGAGATATAGACTGATCCCACTTATAATAACTAACAGGGTAGCTGGAGGAGATATGAGGTAGGTCCAGCGGAGTTATGGCCTTATTTGCATATGTGTAAATGCTTAGCCTACCACTACGACCATCATAGGCTCAGCAGTACAGTCAACCAATAACGATTCTATAAAGTCACAAGCAGCGTAGTTCATCTTATTCGGATGAGTACCACCCAGTACGCTACTTTATAAGAGCAACTGACTACCAATTGATTGTTTCACAATGTCACAGCTAACTACTGGCTCGATAGTATCCAAAATTGCAAACTCCATGAATGTCTTCCGTTTTACAACATTTACTGATTGCTTTGTTCTTGGACTCCAGTGCTTATTCACATGACGTTTATTTAGATTCGGTACTGCGGGTGTAACCAATGTGATCGGATCAAGAAATTGAAATCATCAAAATAGTGAGTAGCCATCCGCTTGTCCTTTTATCAACTTCTCTCTCAAAGCTAGAACGCTCAACAGTGGATAATTTGATAGAACTTCCTGTGATAGCGAGAGAACTTACAATACCAACGCAATGTGTATGTGCGGTGACCTTTGTAGGTAAAGCTAACTACCGCAATGCCTCTATGCGACTCAAAGTACGATGCCCATAACTAACGACCACATTTTTTATTCAGAGCTGAAACTAGCGGATATAATAGTCCCACGTCGCCTAATGAGACTATTTTAAATATCTCATACGAACTTCTACCGAGTAGCCAAATGCACGTATCAGTAGATGACCAGAAGAATTTTAGTAAGGTCATTATGGTTGCCTTCGAAGCTCAAGAAGGTGAGATCAGGAATGCGCCTACAACGCCATTGATGCGCGTTGAAGATAGCATAGATCACTTCAGAGAAGAGTTGCAGAAAAAGCACAGTTCCGTATCAAACCCAATTTTTTCAAACATTCTACACAATGGTCTGCTGACAATATCTTTTGTCAGTGCAATGGAAAATCCATTTGGAATCGCTCTTCTGATTTTGGCAACTTTGCCTGGAGTCTTAGCTGAATGCCGTATGGGGATTGATGAAATTAGCCAAGCTGCAGCTGCAATTATTAACCAAATCCCAGGACAGACCCTTCTATTGAGCATTGGTGCAGCTTTTGGAGGAAATCAAGACTTCGCCAACGATTCAGCGTTATCGATTGGCTTACTCCCCATAGGTGTGGCGGGAATTAATGGCATTCATGCAGCATCCAAAATATTCTCTGGAGACCAAGAAGTGCTTTGTAACGTGACTGATAACGAACTAGAAAACCGACCACCAGGGATGCGAGAATATGCTGGTCTGATTGCTCGGGTCTTGAGATTATCTTCGACGGCTATTGTGTTCATGGTGATTGGTATGATGACATGTCGCATCGTTTTTCTTGGATGGTTAGGGATACTTTTGCTGACCTTTGCTGTTGTTGCCATCGGGGAATGCTATGCCCCACTGGATATTATCGTTGTTGGTATTGCTGATGGTGCAGTTTATTACCGCGGTAGAGAGGATGGATCATACTCGGATGTATGGCGCTACACTCTGACACCTGCCGGCAACATTATCATCCATAACAATTCCTTGCAAAGCGAAATACTCAATGGGCGGAACGAAATAGCGATTGATACAGACTGGTACCGTTTCTATCTCAAGAGATGGGCAGGAACTTATTTGGCGGCAGCATTATCATTCGGATCGTGGGTTTGGTGGCTGTTCTCCTTACAGCTACTAGCTCCTTGGAGCTGGGCACCTACAGCAAGTATAGTGACTAGCGTATTTGCGCTATTACTTGCAGAATGGTGCGATTCAATTGATTCTAAAGATATCAGCTATGGCTTCAGTAGAAAGGCTTTATCTGCTCGTAGGAAGATAGCTGAATTGAATGGTATGTTTGGAGCTGCCAGTGTTAGTAACCACATGAGTCGCGAAGAGAAACTCTGGCTTACAAACCTCATGGTCGAATCCTTGGTGACAAGCGGATATCTGTCGAGTTCAAGGATTAAGTATCGAATTCCTCGTAGGCTAGGCTCTAACGTCTATATTGGAACCAAGCTTTCTGACGTCTACGATGCCGCGGCCAAAGTCACCAATGTGTTACAACACGAAAAGGATAGACTTGAGGTAGCTGGCAACTCTTGGCCACACCTTAGGGTAGTCGAGTGGGCGATAGGTTGGACAATGGAACTTAGCAACCATGCAATGAACTGCAGCTTATACATGTCTGAGCTGAAAAATTACTATCAGTCCGGCCTCCACCCAAATAGCACCGTCTTAAAGGCATGTGCTGCTATGTCGCACGATTCCTGCGATACAATCAGGAGGTTTAGGAAGGAAGCGGAGACAGTGTGGAAAAACCAGCTTTGGAAACTAGTCGCTCTTGCCCAAATATGCACCGATACCCATCCTCAACTTGCAGCTCGAGCAGCTTTTTGTGACCCTGGAAATCATGGAGAAGCTTTGAAACTATGGTCAGAGTATCTTTTCGGCCATCAAGATTGGGACCCATGTATTGTCATTCTCAACATGTTCTGTAAACTTTATCTTAATGATGCTATTGGTTACTCTGCATATTATACGGCCATGTCACCACCGGAGCAACTGACGGGATGTCAATACAATATTACTTTTGAAAAAGTTATCATCTGGTTTGGAAGCAAGGTGGTCGAGCTCAACCGAAGCATACCAGGTCCCCTAGCAGCTCCACCAAGGTTTGCTTCGAACAGCATGTTCATACCGATTACTGAAGCAGCATTGAGAGCTGAAACAAAAATATTATCTTATTTGAGAGAACATGACCCTCATATGCTCAATATCCATGCCGCTCACGCACTTCTGGAGGTACCAAATTATGGTACTGAGTTTAGGAGAGACTATGCTGACCACAGATACTTGGAGACGAACCAGTGCGGTCTACCATCGCCAGTGGATGAAGAAAAAATGGCTTAATCTAGCTTAAAGTAGCCACTGAGATGGCACAACTCTATCTAATGATATATACTACTACATACCATGATATCTTTGCCACTCTTAACGTTTGCAAACCATTCGTAAAAATAAGCTAACTTCACAAAACGGGCTCATTTATAACCACAAAGATACTGTAAACAATCATTTCAACCAGTAAAAGTTTTTCCAAAATTCAGTCCCCACGGCATATTGCATTTCAGCAGTTCGGTCAGCTTGGATGAACCACTTTGTCCACTCGGTGGACTTTTGGGTTTCTACCAGTCACAATTTCTTGAAATTTAAGAATTCAGGGCCTGGTTATTTTGTCAGTGCTGTCAACTTTCACCATGCAGTTGGCAATGCTGAGGCAAGTAACACGCTCCAGTGTACACAAGCCATATTATGCTCGACACTACGCAACTTCTCAGTCTAAACGCACAGTCGGTGGACTAAACTTCGGCGACATCGAGAAGAAATGGCAGAAACGCTGGGCGGAATCCGCGCCTACCCCACCAATGACAACCGGAAAGAGCTTTTACGTCTTGTCCATGTTCCCATACCCAAGTGGCATACTGCACATGGGCCATGTTCGAGTATACACCATTAGCGATACTGTCAGCAGGTTTAGAAAGATGGCAGGATACGATGTAATTGATTTAACCTTTCGGCCCTTGCAACCAGCGATCAAACAGTTACTAACACCGTTCGACTTTCGCAGGTGATACACCCCATGGGATGGGATGCTTTTGGTTTGCCAGCCGAAAATGCTGCAATTGAGAGAAATATTCATCCGGCAAAGTGGACCAAAGACAATATCACAACCATGAAGCGCCAAATGAAGAGATTGTCGTTAGACATGGATTGGTCTAGGGTATGGACTATCAACGTGGTCAACGAGCCTCGCATGTAGTGTTTAACTAAATCCCTTTAACGCTATAGGAATTGGCGACATGCGATCCCGAATACTACAAGTGGACACAATACTTTTTCTTGCAATTTCATAAAGCAGGATTGGCATACCAGAAGGAGGCGACGGTCAATTGGGATCCCGTAGATCAAACAGTTTTGGCTAACGAACAGGTAAACTATTATTTCTACTTATGCATCGAATTCTCTCATCTTTCTTCATTGAGATTATTCTAATGTGATTTCAATCATCTGTGGTAGGTCGATGCCGAAGGAAAGTCGTGGCGCTCTGGAGCATTGGTGGAGAGAAAGAAGCTGAAGCAATGGTTTTTCAAGATTACAGATTTTGCAGAGGTATGCATTATGATGAGAGTTTTCACTTTGCTCTCAGCATCTAACGTGATAAATTCCAGCCATTGCTTGAAGATCTTAAAGTGCTCGAGCACTGGCCGGACCGTGTAAAGCAGATGCAACATAACTGGATTGGTAAATCAACTGGAGCAAACTTCAAATTCCAAGTGGTAAGGACGACTGCTTCCAGAATGATGAAGTAACTGTTCAGCTTTCTGATCATATTCCAATGGACAGGATGCCAATGTGCCAGAAACTCTAAAGCATGTCGAAGTGTTCACCAGCAGACCTGATACGCTTCTTGGTGTACAGTATTTGACCTTGGCTCCTGAACATCCACTGATAAATTCAGAGTAAGATATTCTATCTTTTTCCTAACGTACAGCTACGTAGATTTTGCTCACCAAGAGACTCTCTACAGATATTTACCAAAGGAGCACTCAGGGAAGGTTACAGACTTTGTCGAAAGTTTGAAGAAAGTACAAAACATGGATGAAGCTGAAAATAACAAGCAAGGTTGGTATAATTACATTGATTTTAAGCAACCATTCAGGCATTTTACTAACTGCTCGATAGGTGTCTTCACTGGCTTGTATGCTCAACACCCGCTGACCAGCGAGCAATTACCCATCTACGTTGCTCCGTACGTCATCTCAGATTACGGTACAGGTGCTGTTATGGCTGTTCCAGCTCACGATAAGCGGGATTGGGAATTTGCCAAGGCCAATAACATTGTGGATGAGATCAAATTTGTTGTTGATCCTTTGGTGCAAGAAGAAGGAGCTGTAAGCGATCGTTCAGAGCCGTTTTTAGGAAACGGTGTTTTGAATGCTGCCTCTGGAAAATACCAAGGTATGAGATCTAATGAAGCTATGGCTGCTGTGGTCGCCGACGCAAAGGAGAACAACTTTGGTGAGTCGGCTGTTCAATACCGCCTGAGAGATTGGCTCTTGTCTCGACAACGCTATTGGGGAGCTCCTATTCCAATCATACATTGTCCAAGCTGCAAAGTGAGTCCATTTTTGCAACCATGCTGATGATTTGATCGGTCAGTAGCTCATATTTGGCAATAGGTGGTACCAGTGCCTGAGGCAGACCTTCCAGTTCACCTCCCTCTCGATATCGCATTAGAAGGAAAAGGGGGATCACCATTACAAAAAGTAGAAGACTGGGTGAACTGCAAATGTCCAAAGTAAGGCTTGAAAAATTTGTTTAGCTTGCACTTGTATCGCTTATCTAATGCGAGTGTAGATGTAATGGACCGGCCAAGCGTGATACGGATACCATGGATACTTTTGTCGATTCTTCATGGTACTACATGCGATACGTCGATCCTCATAACCAGAACCTGTAAGTAGAAACCATTGAAAAGCACCAACCACATACAGGCGATTGATTCTGTTCGTTCATTTAGTCCGTTCGATCATGACAAGGCTACTGAGAGACTACCTGTTGATGTGTACATCGGTGGTGTTGAGCATGCCATTTTGCATTTGCTGTACTCTCGCTTTTTCTCAAAGTTCCTACTGAAACAAGGATTTTATGCGGAAAAACCAGAAGCCAGTGGCAACAGAGGAGAGCCCTTCAAAGTTCTGTTAACACAGGTAAAGACTCAAAGAAATGTAGCGCAAACATTCAGACCTTCAGTTAGCTTACTCCTCAATACAGGGCATGGTTCAGGGCAAAACGTTCAAGGATCCGGTTAGTCAGCGCTTCCTAAAGCCAGAGGAAGTCGATTCATCAGGTAATGTATTTAATCGACATTGGATTTTTGCACATATGCGCAAGGCGATAGCTTTTACGTGCCATTTTATGACTGACACTCTATGCCGAATACAGACCCTAAGAATCCCAAGATCATTAGTAGTGGAGAGACGCCGCTAATGTCCTATGAGAAGATGTCCAAGAGTAAATACAATGGAGTCGACCCTACAGTATGTGCCAGTATCAGTAACGCTCTATCACCTGTCCACCGTAACCTTACTGATTAATTATCTCACAGGCGATAACGGAAAACCATGGCGTGGACCCAACTAGACTTCATATACTTTACAAAGCACCTCCGTCCGAGGCTTTGGAGTGGGACGATGTTAGCATTGTTGGTATGCAACGATGGTTGGCGAAATTACACAAGCTAGCTGTCAGTGCTGGCAATGAAGCTCCACACGTTTTTGAAGCTGACACCATAGATATGAGCACAATGAATAACGAAGAAAAGAAGGTCTACCGATTCACACATAATACCATTCAGCAAGTGACAGACGCTCTCTCCACATCGTTTGGATTTAACACCGCCATTGCAGATTTGATCAAGCTGTCCAATTTCATTAGCTCCAGCGCTATCAGTCCTGCCACACCTACTTACAGACACGCCGTGGAAAGTTTGGTGAAGATGGTGGCTCCTATGGCGCCAAATATTGCAGAAGAAAGTTGGGAAGCATTAGGAGGAGATCATACAAAGCAAAGTAGTGTATTTTCACAACGCTGGCCGTCATTGGATCAGAGAGCTTTGGTAGCTGATGAATTGAAATGTGTTGTTCAAGTAAGTAGAAGCCACTGTTGACCCCTCAATTACGCTGACATGCTAAATATTCACGCCTGCTATTAGATTAATGGCAAGACCAGATACACTGTCAATATCCCTGCGGATTTAGCTCAGGATCAAAGCAAAGTAGAGGAGTTTGCAAAGCAATCGCCCCAGAGTGACAAGTGGTTGGCAGGCAAGAACGTGCACAGAGTTATTATGGCAAAGGGTGGAAAGCTGGTCAACTTCCTTGTAAAATAATTTTTATGCTGCTCGTTTGGAGCAGATATCAATATGGAAGACATAATTGATACTATAGACAAAAAGTTATATATATAAAAACACCTTGTTTTAAAAAATTTAAGAACTACATGAACATTTAAGATCACGTCCCCATTGAGGCACATCCTGCTCTATCCATTTTTCTATTTGTTCATCGTCGTATTTGGATTCATAAGGGTTGATACTAGCATGGAGACAGCTATCCAGCATAGATTTCGCCTCATCCTCCGGCTTATTATCGAATGCGCTGCATACTTGCTGTGCAATCCAATTGCGTAGTATAAACCGAGGGTTCACCTTGTCCATTTGCTCTTTACGGCTTTCGTTGTCTAGCTTGGATAGCAAGACGCGGTGTCTGTATATGGATAGCCATGGTCGCAAGGCCTCCTTAGCCTTTTCTTCTCTTTGTAGGCCAGAAACAATTTTGAGCCTATCAACAGCCTTATCTGCGTCCTTTTCTTCGCCTTCCTCCGTTATTTGGTAATCTGAAAGCGATCGGAAGAACTTGTGATAGTCGACTCGATATTCACCCATCCAATGCAGCAGGGGGCCTATCACAGTCTCCATATCGGAGCTGTCTTCTGTCGATAATCCGAGCTTGGCGCGCATCTTTTCGGTATAACTTTCCATAAAGTATTCTCCAAGCTCTTCTCCGGCAATCTTTTCATTGATGTCGGCTCCAGCTTTTTTGTATTTTTCACGTCGTTCAGTATCATCCAGTGTCGTAATATCGATTTCGTCAATTTCGTCTCCTGCACCCATTAACTCCGTCATAGTGCTTCCAAGCTTCCAAACATTCCACATGCAAATAGTAGGCTGCTGAGAGAAAGCGTATCTTCCTGAAGTGTCAGAATGATTGCAAATGTACTGATGATCGTAGTAATCCATAAACTGGTATGGACCGTAGTCTATTGTCAACCCTAATATGGACATGTTGTCTAGAAAGATGGTCAGTCCAAGTAGTTTGAATACGCAGCTAGACAGGCATAATCTATTCTCTTACCGGTGTTCATAACGCCATGATTGAACCCTAGTAATTTTTGTTTAGCGTCCAATTGGTATGTAGCAGATAGTATCGCTGTTCTGCAAACTATCCTTACCTAAGCTTTGCCAGCCGGCAACCATGTCGGCTGTTGACTTCGCTACTTGCCGCAACAGGTTTTCATAACGGTTACCCTTGTTTTCCGTGGACTTTTGATCAATTTTCACCACTTCCTTAAGCACATAGTCTGCAAGTTTCTTGACATTGGCTCTGTCCCCACGCGCGTTGAAAATCTCGAAATTACCGAAGCGCAGCCATGATGGCGCCATTCGAGTGACTATAGCGCCTTGCTCTGGTTGTGGCACATCTATGAAAAACGCATTATGTAAAATTAATTACATGACATCATTAACACACAATAGTCTTACTACTGCAAAGCCTGAATTTACTCACCTGAAGGCGCATCCTCTCGGTATACTTCACGGTCGGTCAGGATAAGATTGAGGGCTCTGGAGGTCGGTACACCTAATGCAGCCATATGTTCAGATCCGAGGAATTCTCGAATTGATGAACGTAAAACGGCATAGCCATCGGCAAACCGAGAGTAAGGTGTACGGCCAGCCCCCTTCAATTGCAACTCCCAACGTTCGCCTTTTTTGTTTTCAGTTTCGAATAAAGATATAGCTCTGCCATCTCCTAATTGCCCAGCAAAATAGCTATAGAAGTCGAATTTAGCCAAAGGATACATTCATTAAATGTTGTAGCAAGTTGCTCACCCAAATTGATGGCCGGCATAACATAAAGACCAAGGATGAGTATCAGGTAGAAGCTGGTTTCCCGAGAACACATTGAGATATTCGCTTGTCTTTGTTTCCTCCATTGTCAGGTCAATTTCATTCAGTGCGGCTGGTGAAACGCTTAGTAACTGAGGATCTGGAGCCTTTTCGGGATTCACGTAGCTGAAGACAGCATTGTGGACTGGTCTCGAGATTCGTAAGACTTTCTCGGAGGCTTCCACGTCCAAAGGAGTCATAATATCATGTGGAAGCGAGGATGTGAGTCTCGCTGGATTGATAGGTAGATCTGTCAATGATTTCGTCATGGTGGACAAACGGCGTAACATAGTCATGTCGGTCATGTCGCTCATGTCGCTCGGTCCACTCAAGCTTACTTTTTGCTTGCAGTAAATTCAGTCTGTGCGGTGTTTCAATATACCCACCAAAAAGGGGATTTTACTGGTCTCTTCCGCCGTGAAACAAACAAGCAGGTTTCGACTGAAAGCATAATGGCATTCAAAGATTTACAGACTTCAATAAACAAGCTCTCGTCCGACTTGCAAGGTCAGATAGCAAGGGTAAAGTTAATTTGGCTTGGGTTCTGTAGCATACTCGAGACCTGCTAGTTGAAACTAAGCACCCGCCATTTCACTTTTTTGTAACAGAACAATCCCATGGTGAAAGAAGACTCCAGAAATATCTCTTTCTGGATCTTCAAGGTATGTTTACAATTCTCACTTTACCCCCCTTTACAAACTGTTGAATAAACTGAAGTTTGACCATTCTCCAGGAGCGTATGGTGCTCTCCAACTTGAAAGCGCTATCCTACGAGGAGTCACAAGCTATTACCAGCATGGAGACTTGGTCAAAGGACGAAGGAGAAGATATGAAGGTATTAGTTCATGTTGGTTGATAAGAGAAATGATTTTTTTTTTTGATGATAGGAGTTTCATATTTTCTTAGGACGTGCTCGGTTCTCTATCTACGCTGCTGAAAAAGCAAAATTCTATCGAAAGCGACCTTGCAGGTAGGAACGAATGGGTATGACGAGATTTAGGTTCACAGCTAACTTTGGTTAACGTTGTAGCTGGGATTCAGAGTTATCGACAACGACTCAAAATCATCCGTGAGAAAGAACTCGATTTGACGGTTACAAGAGACAGGAAGCGACATATCGAGTCAAAACAGAGTGGAAGTCACCGGTCTAGTAGCAAGGGTAAAAGCACCGAGATGACGAAAGAATTTGCTTCTCTTGAACAAGAATGTCGTGCTCAAGAGCAAGATTTAGCGGATTATAAGCGATTTGCGGTACGAGAGGCCTTCTATGTGCGCTTCAACGCTTTAACGGAATATGCCGAGAAACTTGCCATGATAGCAGGATTTGGCAAATATCTTGTTGATCAGATTTCAATTGAACCTACACCTTACGGTCAACCCCGTCAACCCTACACAGGTCACGAACAAACGAGTACTATCCTTGAAGATGCTCTTGCAGCGATTGATGGATGGCGGCCGATGGAACAGGACGAACGCCCTACTATGGACCTTCCTGACCGGCACTCCTCTTTTGATTTCCAAAGACGTTCAACAGCAGCCAGTATGCATAGTCACCAATCATCTGAAGACTTTGATAGCAATTATTTTGTGGATTCTCCTGCGACGGAGCACCACCCACCGCCGCTACCTACCCGTCCATCACGATCCCGCCAATCCGCACCGCCACTGCCGACCCATCCAAGTGTGGCCGATTTACCACCATCCTATCAAGAAAGCAATTTGGCAACACCTATTCCCTCTGCACCAGAGCATCCTGTTGAATTGCCCGAAGACACGGAGTTCTTGACCCCACACCAAGCCCACGGTCAAGTGTACCAACTTCCTAATGTGGCCACAAGCCCTGTTCATTCTCATTTCTCATCGGACCATACTTCAAACTATAATCAGCTGTATCGTCAAATATCTCAAAGACAAGGGCATACGCAGCGTCCGTACTTAGAATATAGAGCTCGACAGCAGGAACGGATAGGCGCAGGTGGATTTCGATTTCCTACTCACCAGCAGACTTACACTGTCTTATCAGCGGAAGAGGAAAAGCGAGAGCTAGCTGAACGTGAACGTTTAAAAGAAATACCTAACCAGCAGTCAACGCCTGGTTATTCAGGATCTTCAGCGCCCCCTTTCTGGAGCATGCCACCTCCTGCCCAGCCATACCAGATCCCGCCAGATGATAGTACGACGAACTCAACTACATCACATCATCGACATATGTCTTCAGGTAGCCTTCGGGATCAAGCACGTCCGTCAAGTCAACCACCTCAATATCACCAACAGTAATACCTATCTAATAAAAAAAAAATTAAGAAGGCATATTCTCTTCGTGATTTTGTTATCCCTGGATTGTTTTATCAAACGTTTTAGTTTAATCTGCGGCTCGCACGCATCTTACCACATTCGACCATTTCTTGATATAGGTTACCAGATTTCAGCAGAGTTTGCGAAACACGATGATGCAACTAGCAGAAATAAGACGTTAGCCGCAAGTAAACCCTTTTGATTTTTTAACTTTTGTGAGAAATTATAAATACTCGGTACATGCGAAATAACCAGTATCTCCATTACTCCACTTGCGGCTCCAAAACATTATGTGGGTAGAAATATGCAAGGCTCTCGTTATTACGTGGTTGTTACCTGTGCACTGCCTCCCTATCGAACAACGAGCCACGAATGTGTCACTGCAAAACCCTGACCTATTCGCTTTTCATCGAGCCATGCTGGCCATCGATTCAACTTCAGGCCGCGAAACAAACATGACTGACTTTGTGGCTAATCATTTACGCAGTCTGAACTGGACGGTTGAGCTTCAGGCAGTCCATAACCCTACGCTAGATCCTAATATTCGCCGTGAGAATATTTATGCCTACTTGGGCTCAAATCGCACCACAAGGCTCTTGATCAACTCTCATACAGACACCGTGCCTCCATATTACCCTCCCTCTGACGACGACGAGAACGTGTACGGTCGCGGTGCTAACGACGCAAAGGGTCAAATTGCAGTACAACTGTTTGCGTTAGAAAGGCTGCGAAAAGAAAACAAGATTAAAGAAGGAGACGTCGGTATCTTGTGGGATGTAGGCGAGGAAGAGTACGCTGATGGCATCAGAGCAGCAAATTCCCTCAACATCACGCCTATCTGGTCTATTACAGGCGAACCTACAGAATCTTTCCAAGCAACTGGACACAAAGGAGGTAAGTCGTACCATGCAGCATGTACATTGGACGGTTTAATAATCCCTAACACATAATTTCTGCCTGTCTATCCCAGGCTTCACGGTGTATTTAAACTCAACTGGTAAATCTGCCCATTCGTCTGTGCCGCAACTTGGCCGCAACGCAATTGTACAGCTTGTTGCAGCTTATAACGAGGTGGTGCAGAAGAAGTTCTCAGCAAATAGCTTTTGGGTCAATACCACCATTTCTTTAGACAAGGTATGTAACTTATGCGGACTTGCGCTATACCGTGATGAGGAAACCCCATATATCTGACGTTCTACCAGATTCAAGGTGGCCTAGTGCCAAATCAAGTTCCTGACAATGCCATCGGCACTATCAATGTGAGAAACGCTGCCAATGCCAGCTTGGTGTTAGAGGAGCTAACTGCGGCTTTTGACAAGATACCTCACATGTCTATCATCCGAAATGCTTCTATGAGCAATCCTATCAAGTTTGACGTGATCAAAAACTGGATGCCAGAGAAGGTTATGCCCTATGGTAAATTCATCTTATTTTCTATGTGGATTTTTGAGTTTTCTCCCTAATTTGATTCTAGGCACTGACCTGGCAAGCTGGACCGGCAAAAACTACCGGTTTCTCATCGGAGTTGGATCAATCACAACGGCTCATACCGATCACGAAGTGGTATCCAAGGCAGAGATGCTTCAAGGCGTTAATTACTACGCAGATTTTATAACGGGACTTTTGAATGGCACTTTTCAAGTTGACCATGCTGGTACATTTCCCAACATCACTCCATAATACAGGTAGAACAGCTGCTGTTCTTTCACAAATACTATCAGATTGTTTACGGAGCGTAAAATAAAAAATTTGCGACATTACCGAAGTGCCGCCGCAGTCTAGATTCGAAAACTTTGATTGGTGGTCGGAAAGTGTGATTTCAAAAAATCTGATAAGCATTTGAAAAAATTAGATCTGATAAAAAACCTTCGACCCATTAGAAACTAGAAACCTTGTCTTCCCTTCCTTCTCTTCAACATGGCCACCGTCGCAGCTCGCTCTCTCAAGTTTTCATACAAACAACTACGTTCCTTTGCTACTGAAGCTGTTATATCAGGCAGATCTTCCAATGCAACACATTCCTTTCCCTATTCACCGGCCATGACTCGTACGGCTTTGCCACCTCCCATCATCCCATTTGCCTGTACACAAGGAAAGGAGTACTTTAGAGAAGCCATGGACCACGGTACGGCGGAAGGCTTTTTCGGATTGATGGGAAACTTTTCATCTAACGTATTACCACAGCATGGGGGACAAGCATCACGTAAGTTTGATTGTGCAAGTGTCGAACTAAAAATAAAATTGATACTGACCCATTTTATCTGCAGTGTCAATGGTCCTTAATTCATTGGAAATTGACCCAAAGCGAACATGGAAAGGTGCTTGGAGATGGTACTCTACGGATTTACTGCAGGCATGCTCATCTCCCAACCAAATTCAAACTCGTGGAATCACATTCACTGAATTTGCGTGCCTGGCAAGGAACCACTGTCAAGTTACAGAGCATAAACCTTCATCCACCGCATATTCCACTTTCTTGTCTCATTTGACCGAAACCACTTCTAGTGCTGAGTCTCACATGGTTGTCTCCTTCTCAAGAAAAGCCCTTGGTCAAACTAGCCTCAAAGCGAAAACAGGCTTTGCTCCTATTGGTGGCTACAACCCGCTGCAGAATAAGGTGTTGCTGATGGATAGCTCCCGATCGGAGTATCCCTGCGTCTGGGTCGACGCTGCTCTGTTATATCGCGCAATGGCGGAAGTAGATCCTCTGCTTCAGTCGGAGCGAGGCTACTTTTTGCTTGCTCAGGGCCAGCAACTGGAAACACGCTGCACCTGCCCTAAGAAGTTCTAAACCCTTACCCTACCTGTTATCATTGTTACATTAACCTACTTCCTCCGGCCATTTGTATTATACCATTTCATCCCTTCTATTGTATTATGTTTCCATTAATGTACAGTCTCTCGCACATATTCCCTCCACTCTCGATCCTCCTCTCTCTGATTTGAATTAAATATCTCAATGCATATGAAATTGCCTGACTTGGATCCGACAATGCCAGAAATGTGATCAACGTACCCTATGTAATGCTATACCTATTTTACTCCCGGTTAGGTTGAAACCGAGCTTAATGAGGTTCAGGCGCAGAATTTTCACTATGTAATGACAGTATGTCACAAATACCACCAGCCGATGGTCACAATACAGAGCTTACATTGCTTGACTCAAATTCTAATCATACACTTGGTTTGATATCTTGGTTGCTATTACTCGTTAGATGCACTCGCCTATAGGACTCAATGCGGTGTTTGCAAGATCATTTTAAACACGCTCTCTATTTCTTCGTTGTCTGTTAATAGCCATATTGGAAGATAGTACAAGGCGCTATTAACCTACAAGGAGTCAATTTCATTAAATACATGTTGTGGTCAAGAAAGCCTTTCATCAACAAAGCTTCCTCAGGGCTAACGAATCAATGGATATTTTATTGTCGTAAAAGGGCTGAAATGTCTGTGCAATTTTCGCGGTCACAGTTTGAAATTCATTTCGTAGATTTCGTAGTCTCGAGATCATTCTGCTCGTATTGATCATGAGCAGAATCGCTATAACACGGGGTCTTGTACCGCTGCGATCCTTGTAAGTTATCCCTCTTCTTAATTTCACTGTGTATATTGCCTAATATCTCTTTAGAACCCAGCCTGTGCGAATACAGCCCGTTCGATCTGCATTCTCACCTCTGAGATCTGATCTACAGTTACTTCACAGGTATGTATCATATTCGTACGATACACACCGCAATAAGTAAACTCACCAGTCTGTCCAGGCCGCAATTCACACCAGTTGCATACTTCTCGCAATTCCCTGCCCGATTCAAGCAGGAAACTGCAGATCAACTTGGCTCAGACAAGGCGATTGACAAGTCCACAGCGAAGCAACTAGAGAATTCAGCCAAAGAACAAACTGATGTAGAAAAAAAGGAGAAGGAGCCATCCAAGATCGTTAAATTGTACCAGCAAACTAAAAAGTTGATGACATTCTACAAAGATGGTATCAAACTACTCTGGGCCAACCACAAAACCACTAAATCCCTAAAAGAAAAGGTCTCAAAGGAAGGCCATGTTCTCACAAGAGACGAATTTCAACTGGTAATTTACTGCGAGCAGATTGAAGCATTAATCCATATGAAGACTCCTCTGATGTACCGTTTGTAGATTCACCTCTCTGAAAAAGACATGATCAAACTCATTCCCTTTGCTGCTATTTTCCTCATTCTAGCCGAGTCGGTAAGCCTCATTTTCACATATGTGAACATAAATTTACGTCGGAACAAACTTTACTGATGACTCAAAAATTTACAGATACCCTTGGTTGTTATGTTCGCTCCGGGCCTTGTCCCAAGCACATGTGTGACACCCAGTCAAATGGTATGCACCTATTCTGATGATTGACTAGTCACTTACCCTCAATACTGACCATGATATAAAGAAAAAACAAAGGGAAAAGATGTACAACAAGAGATTAGAAATGTCTAAAAATGTCGTAGAGTCAACGTCACGAGTTGAAGGAGTAAGTTCTAGAGTATATACAGGCATTCTCACTATGGGATTAACTAATGATCATTATTCTCAAAGATATCCGTATCTGATTTTTTGAGCCATGCCAATGTTTGTCGATTGGCTAAGCGATATGAGATGGACTTTAACTTGGCCAATATCGACCGTAAGCATCTATCCTCCTACTGCCGGTACGTTATTTTGCAAGAATGTGGCACCCATAACAGCAATATCATTTCCTAATTATCTGTTTTTGCATGCTAGCTTCATGGGTTTGCCAAGCTATGGTACGCACGGAATGCTCCGCAAGCGACTAGATAAATATTTGGATTACATTGTTCGCGACGATAAGGTATTGAACATTGAGCTTTTCGCTTCGCATACGATGTTGTGAACCTCGATATGATGCTAACCTTTCATTCACCTCTCGTCTATATAGTACATTGCGGAAGAAGGTGTGGATCAGTTGGATATGGCTGAATTAGAACAGGCTGCTGAAGAACGTGGAATGTAAGACGCAAAACAGAGTTACTTGTCTCGCTACAACCCTGATTAACCCTTCTTCCCTTAATAGGCGTTCCGTTGACGTTCCTCCTGAACAGTTGCGCAAGTCGATTCAGTACTGGATCAGTCTCAGTTTGAAGGAAGATCCAATCATCCCCCGAGGACTGTTGGTGTTCAGCCGTCTGTTCCTTCTGAATGCTACCTATGACAAAAAATAGATATAAACCCCCATAGATATCGGTACACCACATACGTAAACAAATGAAAATAGAGAATTTATCTTCTTCTCAAGGAAGAACTACAACCTATATAACATTACACCATCTACTCCGTCTACTATATTGTTTCTATTAGTGATTTTAAGTCCAGACATAGCTTATTGTTGCAAGAATGGATCGGATTTGAGAGCATCGTAAGCTGGTCGCTTAAGTGATTGTCGGGCAACCTCAATGTCGGTGTTGATATCCTCGATAAGAGCATCCAGCGAAGGATAGTTTTGCTCGGCACGCACATAACCTGTTATCATGACCTTGATGCTAGTACCGTAAAAGTCCTCTTCAAACTGGTGCATAATGTGAACTTCCTGTTGATGATCGAGTAATCAGAAACAGCATAAATGATTGGTTGGTACAAATAAAAACTGGAAAAGATTCGCCATCAATACATACTGCCGATCGCTTTTCATTCTTGTAATAAGGATTCCAGCCGAGACTCATGACCATGGGATAAACAGTTGATTTGTCAGTGCCAATGGAGGTCCATCCGTAGTAAACACCAGTGTCGAATGCTGAGCATAACGTATCGAGAGCATCATTGGAGAGATTGGCTATTGAAGGGAACGAATGGTGATCAGTATTGGCATCCATCCTGCTTAAGCAATCGTAAAAAAAAAGCATTCAACTATGCTGCGCCAGTTACCTGTTGGAATACCGAGCTCCTTACTACCACGGCCGAAGCCTTTGACAACAGTGCCAGTCAATTTCAATGGATATGGTGCTTGAGGCTCTTCTGGACCGACGACGAGTTCACGGTTAGGATTGAGTTTAGGGGTGGCCATTTTGGAAAGGAAGGGGAATATGAAGAAAAGGAAGATAGGCGAATCCGATAGAAACGCTTACAAAGGAAAAAGAAAAAATTGCGGAACATAAGCCGACCCCAGGTTTAGCGGTTTGCTAAGGCATTATGAAGATCTCCATTGCTTTGCTTCTGCTATTTGTCGCACCATTCAATGCTCATTCCACCGAACAGACCGTACTGCAGCCACAGCATGCAGTGGAAAAGAGGATCGCTATCATTGGTAAGCGCTGACATAGCATTCCACTGACTGTATCTCGGTCGTTATATTGACTCCGTCCTTTCCCCGCTCCTTGGGTGTTAAGGTGGCGGCGCAGCTGGTACGTCGGCCGCGTTTTGGATCAGCAATGTCTTTGGCAACCGTATCAATGTGTCTACAACGTTGTATGAACGCAGCAGCTATTTGGGTGGACGCAGCACGGTAGTTCCGATCAAAGGCGATCCAAAGTATGGCTACATAGAACTCGGTGCTTCCATCTTCGTGCCTGTCAATTATAACCTTATGAACGCAACCAAGAGGTTCAATCTGACATTGACAACTCTGGTGGACAAAAACATCTCGGAAAAAATAGGTGTTTGGGATGGCCAGCAGTTTCTGTTCCAGGAGTCAAACTCGGGCTGGTTTGACAAGGTTCGAGCTGTGTGGCGATATGGTTTAACTCCATTGAAGGTATTTCCCATTTGAACCAGAGTCGAACTTCCCCGTGCTACAGAAGACAATGTTCTGATTATCATCATTATTTCTGCCTTCACAGGTCAAAAAAATGGTTTCAGATATAACGTCGAGATGGCTTAAAGTGTATGATAACGCTCCCGCGTTTACAAACATGGATCAGCTAGTGAAGGCCCTTGGTCTCAAGCGAGAAATCGAAATGACAGCTGCCAATTACTATGCTGCCGAGAAAGGTTTGAACGAGCGTTACCTTCGTGAAATTGTCCAGAGCGCAACACGCGTCAATTACGGGCAGGATCTTGACGAACTTCATGCTCTTGGATCACATGTAAGCAATATGACACTGTATTGCAGTACACTCATCCTTTGAGAAGGATGAGCTTACAGGAGCAAAAATCACTCATCACGCGTTCTGTCTCTTCAATACTGGTTTAAAACACCATCACTCTAGATCTCTATGGCAGCTGCAGGAGCACATTCAGTCAAAGGAGGCAATTTCAAGATATTTGAAGAATTTGCTCTTCGTTCCGGAGCTGATATTCGACTGAACACTGTTGTTAAAGACATACAAACATCTCTGGAATATGATGATAATTGTGACCCGGTAACACAGTACATTCTCCAGACAAGCGACGGTGCCATGGAAAGCTTCGATGCTGTCGTTATCGCTGCCCCACTGGTATGTCACTACCCTCCACATTTCGATTGTTTGTGCCGTCTGTCTAACCCTTTCACCTCTATGCCAGCAATCAACCAACTTAAAAAGCTTTCGCCGCCCAGAATACCCAAAATATAAGACAATACATGTTACGCTTGTTGCTGGACGGCCCAATCCTACTAAATTTGGAAAGAAAATATCGAATGTGCCTACCACCATTGTCACCACTGGTGCACCTTATCGTATGTTTAACGCTTAGAAATTAGCATCTGTGTAAGCTATCGCCAATGTACTGACTCTTGGAAACATCTCTCAATCCACTGTATAGTCGAGCACTTTGAAAACGGGACACAACCTTTTACAACGTTTGCTCAACACAAATTTGTCAAGCAAACAAAGGAAACGGTGGTCAAGATGTTTTCTGCAAAACGAATGGAAGAAGACGAATTGAGCAGACTTTTTTTCTCACGCAGTTGGACATATAGGAAGAAATGGGACGCATACCCAGAGCTTCGCACTGTAGAAGCGGCTCATTGGATGCCAATTGTGCTGGACGGCAATACTGAAAATGGTATTGATACAGCAGGAATCTTTTACGTAAATTCCTTCGAAAGTCTATTTTCGGTAGGTAACATTTCTATACTATACAGTGATTGCTTATCAGACCTGAATCTGACACGGAGTTTCTACGTACATGTAGACAATGGAAAGCCAAACGGTGGCCAGTAAAAACATTGTTCGTCTCTTGCATCAAGAATGGTGCACTAAGGAAGGAGACTGTCCAGATTTTGTTGACGGCTGGGGACGGCATTAACAGGTAGGTTTTTTACATAGACTGGTCAGCACCTCACTTGGATACGAGGTATACTTCGGACATGTTTTCGAGCTCAATATTCCTTCTTGAAAGATTGATTGAGAAAAATGTGTGGATGGCTCGCCATTCCAGTTGAGACTTTGGCATAGAATGGTCTTTTCCTGGGACGAAGAAATGGGAAACTTTGGCACTGGCATCGCAATACTTCTTGATGATTTCCAGCTTGTAGATAAATGTCAGGCATCGTACTTATATATATATTCTCATATGTTGATACCATTCAATTGTTTTTACCTTCTTCTCGGCTGCTCTTTTGTCGCCAATCGTACGATCGTTGTCTCCTTGCGTCACCAATATATTACCTTTGAACTTATCGCCAGTGATCTTTTCATGCGTTTGTTCTTCCAACAGATACCCACTGATGCTCACCACACCACCGAGATTTTTCTGATTTCCAAACAAAACTTGATCCAATGCAACAGTTCCACCTTGAGAAAATCCGAAGAAAAATATGTTGGAGGGTTGGTAATGGCAGTCGTGGATCAAGTGCTGGATTAGCTTGCTTAACAATGCGCGAGTTCGTGTCAAACCCTTTATACGATTAGGATCAGCTGGTGTCAGCACTGTCATGAATAGCAGATTATTAGATGAAAATGATATTTGTACCACACTCTGTTGAGTTATAATGGCATTCTACACTCACTTTCACCGGTCAACAAGTCGAAACTGGGAAACCATTGATATCCATCATCCATGTAAGGCACTGGCTCTGGAGCTTGTACTGCCATTGTGGCTGTTTGAGGCAGCTTAAGGTTGATCCCTAGCTTTTTATATGGCTCCTGAGTGTCACCTTTTATGTAAGGAGAGAGAATTTCCACGTTAGACTGGAGATTCGTCGTTTGTGGGTTTAGATCGTTTACGTGCAAAGTCTTACCTAGACCATGCAACAAAATGAGAATGTTCAAATTAACATTGTCCGCACTCGAAGTAAAAGAGAACGACAGCTCTGTCTTTTTCTTGTCTGGAGACTTTGTGGTGGTTGAGGCTGCCACTGGAGAGACATTCAAATGCGATTGGCTCATGATCGGTTGAGGTGACGATCAAAAAACGTAGAAGTCTTTGATTTAACGCTCCGCGCAAGTTCGACTTTAACCTCATGAACCCTGCTATTGAAAGTCGCATCCAAGTGGTCAACAACCATTACACCGCCTGCAAAACCTACATCGATCGTCTGCAAAGACTACATGGAGACATTGCTGTTCAGCAGGAACTTGCAGCCGTTGTGCGAGATCAAGTGCGGACATTTGCCCATGTGCTCCAGGTACTCATTGCTCCCAATCGCCAAGCCAACTCTTCTGCAGCCACTGACCAATACAATTTTACTAGAGCTTACAACAATTAGCTGACGAACAGGATGCACAGTCCTCTCGGCGAGTGGTTATGGAAAGATACAATCAAGGCGAAAAACAGCTGAAAGCGTATGTATAAGTTATGCATTTCTAATTGCCGACGACCACTAAAACTGACTTGCCAATACAGACTGCAGGCTAGTTCCAGGATAGCCTTAATTGAATCAAAGAAGCGCGCAGAGGAACAAGCAAAGCGCGATAGAGAATTATTGTTCTCTTCTCGGACTGGAGCAAATATGGAACAATACGAACTAATGCCACGAGGCGACAAAAAGTAATTATTTTCAGAAAATGAAAGACGAAAGTTGGGCTTTGACTGACATTACCTTTATGTTTGATCTCTATTCACTAGTAAGGAAGAATCTTTGCTGAGAGCATCGAGCAGCGTTACAGAGGCGCTCAAACGAACGAGTACTTTGATGCAGCAAGAGCTGGAAAAGAGTTCATTTTCCACCACGGTTCTGGGTAAGCCATGCACAGAGTCTAGCTGTCGTCAAACTTTTTTTTCTAACGCACCCAATGCCTTGCTATAGCTGATTCATCGAGAACTATGAACACTACATATTCCGAATACCAAAACTTTGGATCGTTGCTGACCTTATCCAAGTCTATCATCACTAAATTAGAAGCGTCCGATTGGCTTGACCGTATCTTCCTCCTTCTCGGCCTCCTATTCTTCGTTTGTGTTGTTATTTATATTATCAAGAAGCGAACGTGGGATGTTGGCATATCATGGGCCACTTGGCTTATGGGCAAAGGAGGAAAAACAGCGGCAAAAGTAGCCACTCAGGCAACCACCGCTATATTTGAACCTACACAAACCGTAGCTGCCACCATTTCAGAAGTGAGTAGCATAACAGACAGCTCTGTTGGTACGGTTGTTAGCAGCGTAGCTAGTAGCGCAGCGGACAGTTCTTTGAGTGCGACTATCAGTTCTACAATAGACACGTTCGTAGAGAATATCGTAAAAGATGAATTATAAGTTAAAATGAAAATTTGCCTTCCCGCCTTTATATTTTTGACGTGTATCGGAAACCAATTTCGGAAGCGTCAGGTTCACTCTTCTCTCCCCTTTGAGGCCAATAGCTTCTAAATGGACCCTTCAGATCTCTACGTCAGTCGCTCAACCATCAAGCCTCACCCACTACGTCCTTACTACACTCCAGGTCTAGTCCCCAATTACACCTCCATTACCACAAATGCTTCATCCTCAACTCCATCCAGCCTTGGCTCAGAAGCAGTCGGCTCTAATGCTCACCAGACTCTTAAAGAGTACGCTCGTTTTGCCGGCCTTAAATTCATGACGACCGCTGTGTTAGGTCCTTTTGAGACAGGAAAGACCCTCTTACAAGTACAATATTTACCGCATGAAGATATAGAAGTCGTGGCTCCGCTGGCAACAGTCGTTCCAAACCCGGTAGCTGAGGTAAATGAACCTACCAATATGATACGACACTCGGTTTGCATTTATTTCTTAAGTGACTAACACGTATCTTTGTTGTTCAGAGTCGCCAAAATGACTTTTACTCGTCGTCAGAGGAAGATGAAGACGATAGCTTTTTCACACCCAATGTACACTTGCGAAAGGCAAACCACAATGGCAGTAACCGATCGAAGCTGCCAAGATACAATAGCTCTTACACCGTCAGAAGTGTATATGATGATACCGCGCGACCTGCCCATCAACTAGCCCCGATTCAAGGCGGTATACTGGATGCTATGAGAGCGTTGATCAACAACCCTAGTGAAGGATGGCGGGCATTGTTCAAGGGTCAATATACAGGCTGGCTCCATGGAATGCTCCTATTGATTTTACAGCCTGCCATTGAGGGTTCCTTGAACGACCTGTTCGACCTTTATGATGACACCATTCCTCTCATTCACTTGGAACGTATTGGTCCTAATCTTGCCACCCTGTTGGGAAGCCATATTCTTGTAGGCGTATTTTTGAGCCCTCTTGAAATTGCTCGAACACGGTAATGTAATCTATTCCGCCTAGGATAGGATATGAAACGGCTGTATGCCTTTTTACTAACTTGGATTTCCTCGGTTTATAGTCTCATTGTTCAATCATCCGCCCCTGGTGTTAAGACATACAATGGTCTGCTCCATTGTTTAAGCAGTATGCTACAAAATGAAGGAGGCTTAAGAGGTGTCTACTTATCTCAAAATTTGATACCCACCATTTTATATCACTTGATTACTCCGCTTGTGTCCAGCACGGCTCCTTTGATCATTGACCGACTATTTCACGTAACCGCCTCCGATGCGCCTATCGTTTATGGTTTGGCTGAGCTAGCCTTGAGTACCCTGGAGGTCCTAATTACTCTCCCCATTGAAACCATCCGCAAACGCATTCAATGCCAAGTTCGATTTAAGGATGGAAGACCTTTCAACACCTGTGTCGCCACTCGTCCCGTCCATTACACTGGATTTTTAGACGCTATGTACAAGGTGATGAAGGAAGAGGGAAGCTCTGCAAGCGGACGAAAGCCCGCCAAAGATGAGGAATCTGCTAAAAAGGCTGCGGGATGGGGTCTTCAAGGCTTGTATAAAGGATTTAGCATCCAATGTGCATCCAATGTTCTATCAAGTTTGGGGCATACGCTGAACGGTATTGAAGGTAAGGCGGCTATAACGCTGTAGAAAAAGACAGTTGCATGGTTACTTAAAAGTTTCATGGATAGATGATTTAACCAAGTAGATATTTCAAATGCTGATAGAAGTTCAATTTTTTGTACCTTTATTCTTTGCTAAGATTGGGATAAAATTACCATATTCAGAAAGCAAATCTTTGACGGCGTGCCGGGCAATGAATTTCACATTGGAAACCTGCTTTTCCACGGCTGATCATCCTTTTCCTCATTTTGAATTGTCTTGTTAATCCCTATGGCTGATGAAGAAGACTTCCGTTCAGCAATGCTGAATCTCAGACCAGGTCATACTGCTCTACGTCGGAGACGAAAGGCTGAAGCTGAAAAAGCCGCCGCGGCAAGCCCTCCGCCTACGGTCCAGACGGATACCTCAGACTATAAGGCAAAGCTAGTGGTCTTTTCGATTTGTATGGCTTTGCTCTCGTGGGCTCTTTATTTTCCTTACAGCAGTAGTCTAAAGTTGAAAGGTTATCGGCGGGAGGCCATCGAAGATCTAGGCACCGAGAAATGTTTCAAGACCAAAGGTCCTTCATACTGCGACGACGTTCAGGTCCACAAGCCGTCTGGCCTGGCCATCTTCAGCTGCGACACAGCAAAGGTCGTCTGGAATCCACCACTTGGTATAGATAATGATACCCTTATCGAGAACTCGCCTCGATCTGGAGAAATTTGGGTGCAAGATATGCGTTCGGTAAGGTGCAGGCAAAAATTACAAAAGATAGAAAGCTCATTCTAACATCGTCGTAATAGGCTGCTTCTAGCCCCAAGAAACTAGAAATAGTCGGTTTGGCGGGTGCTTTTCATCCTCTGGGAATGGCCTTCTTTCCATATACAGATCCCGACCGACCAGTTCGTATTTTGGTGGTCAATCAAGCCAACTCCTCATCTTCGTCTGTTGAAGTATTTGAAGTCAAGGCGTCTGGAAGCAAGCTGGTACACCTTCGAACGATTACCGACCCTTTATTCAAAAACTTGTATCGTCTTACGGCTGACCCTCTCCAGTGGAGTATTGACGAAAAACTTCCTGTGCCTAGCTTTTGGGTGGTACAACACCATGGTTATGACCAAACGGAGCGCCCTCGTAGACGCTACTTTGAGGACAAGCTTGGATTGTCTGCTGCTACTGCAATCTACTATAATACTCCTGCCGAGTCTGCCGAAGCTAACCTTTGGTACCTATCATCCCCATCAGGCATTATAGTTGATACGAAGGAGAAAACAAAACGCAGGGTCTATGTAGCGAACTCTGGCTCTGGTTCGGTAGAGATTCACAGAAACACGCTTGTATCGCCGGAGAACCAACTTAAAACAGTTGAGGACAAACGCACAGGACAATTGGGCAAAGTGTACTGGCCATCCATGATCCATCAAGAATCATCACACTTCGATGCCTACCCTTACGGCATCGAACTAGCATTCCTTCCCAATGACGAGCAGAAAGATGGCTCGACTGCCACCTTCACTGTCGCTTTACCTCGATTTTATGAACTGTTAGATATCGCAAAGGACTCCGCGAAAAGGCAAAATGTGTCGGACAAACGAACCGGGACTAGAGTTTACAGAAGTTTCCCTGAGTTGCGATGGAGAAGTTCGCATCGCGCTGTTCTTCCAGAGGAGCACGATTTAGTCCCTAATTTTGAAGAGGTTACGTTCTGGGCTTCGGTGCAAAAGCTTATTTACAACAATGAAGACGGTTCGCTGTTCTCGGGAGCAACCTCAGTGGCTGTTAGTGAAGACGATAACAAAATGATACTGGCTGGAGCCTACGAGGAAGGAATTCTTGTGTGCTCTTTATAATAGACATTATAATTTTCTCATAAAAAGTTTACAATTGGGCCATACTTTCGAGCCAAACCTTTCCCCCCTCACGCATCTTTCAAGGGCCCAATGACCTCATTGTTGAGAATAATTCTTTTACCTGGATTCAAGTGATAAGCTTTCGCCTACCATGGCATATCTGACCCCAAAGCTACTGCTTTTTGTTCTTCATGCTGTGTTGGGCTCTGTTGGCTTCTACCTCACTCTTTTCTACCGACAGTCTTTGCACTTGTCATTGACAGCCATTGGAATCGCAGTTGCCATATCGGCCTTTGGAAATCTGCTGGCAGGCCCATTCTGGACTATAATCATTGAGCGATATCCTTCTCGACATGGCCAATTACTCGCCGTTATGATGCTCACTGGTACTATGAGTATGGTTGCTGTGAGACTTGCCGTGGATCTGATAGATCCTCAATACTGGCAGCTGGCATCTTTCATGTCCGCTGCATGTTATGGCGTTTTCGCTTTGCCGTGCTGTGCTCTGGCTGACTACGCAGTTTTGAAGATCCTTGGAAGCAATTCTATCCTTTATGGTAAACAGGATTTTTTTTCAGTCACTTTTGATGCTGGCTATCATTTAATAGCTTTTTTATTTAGGTAGCCAAGCTGTATACGGCTACGTATCGAAAGCATTATGTTTCCTTCTCGTTGGAGTTTTGATCGATAACACCACCAGCGGGTTTGATTCTGCTTTCTATCTTTGGGCACTTTCTGCTATCTTGTTCACCACACTGTGTTTGGCAACTGATGTCGCGCCTGATGATAAGTCAGCCCAGGAGGTTGCAGAGAGTAGCGTCGATTCATTTCAACCTCTTCTCAAGGACAATGTTTATGGCAACAATTATGCATATCATCCCTTCGAGGATCAACTTTCATACATCTCCGAAGAAGGCAGCATTCATCCCACTTTGGATGAACTGGAAAGACGGCAGACAAGCACCAGCTTCGCACCAACCTACAGGACATTTTCGTCCAATCCAAACTCCCACATGCACCGTGTGTTGACTGGATTCGATTCGTTACACCATACGTCTACAGCTATCATCCGCGATATACATGTAAAAGCCAGCTTCATCATTGCCGATATGGAAAACCAAGTTCCTTCTTTAGGGCTTGCCCTGTCCCATATACCAGCTGCCGATGTTGTGATGTCAGGCTTGTTTCCACTGGTCAACGACGATAACGAAATGCCGCCAATGCGCGTTATCTTTGCCACCAAAATTATTGGCTTGTCCTTCATGATGTTGCTGACTGGCATTTCATTCTCCCTTGTGAATACGGTGCTCCCAATCTACCTCAGAGAAGTCATCAATGCGCCGATCACTTGGTTGGCATTCTTACGGCCTACTGGACTTTTGACAGAAGTTTTGACTTTTTGGATGTCTAAAAGGGTAAATAAGGACCATCGTGTTTTGGGCTTGTTATAAAATGGTCCCTATTCTTACTCCTTGTGATCTTTTTTGGCATGATAGATTATTGACAAGCTCGGCACGACAGTTGCAGTCAGCTTAGGGCATATTATTCTGATGGCACGGCCAATCATCTTCTATTGTTTTTCTCAAATTTTTATGCGCTTCAAAGCTCTTGCCATAGCTACCGAGTGCCTTCAGGGTAAGTGTGGAAACATAAAGGGATTAAACACTGGTCAGCGTGACCTAATCATACTTGACATGATCAGGTGCATCTTACGCACTATTATGGGCCGGAACCGTGAACTACATCGACGTCTTCCTACCTGTTGAACAGCGTAGCCCCATGCACGGCCTGCTGGCTCTCTTACAGATCGGCTTTGGAAATGCCCTAGGTGCATTGATGAGCGGTATCTTCTATGACCAATTCAGTGCTTCGACCTTGTTCTTGATTGCGACAGGTTGTGGCGCCGCCTCTATGATGTCGTTATTCGTATCGATAATATAGCCTCGCCCAGACGTCTCTTGGCGAACTATATTATGGAAGAATCTCATATTTCTGGTAATTGGTAGCCCCAGCGGTACCTGTATACCTTATATAGCTGTATATACTGTTTTGAAATTAATATACTATAAACTTCGTCGTCGACTTGCTACCTTTTCCAACGTGTGTCATGTACCCCGTTATCGCAAAGTGAACTGCTCTGAATCAAAAATGTACTTACTTGTCTTCATGTACCTGATCCCATGGTTTCATAATACTATTGCCAAAGATCGAGCGCCACTCACTTGGCTTAGCATTTATGTTCGAGCTGAGTGGCAAAAAACCCCCCAAGGGAGCAAAAAAGTGATTTCTGCCGGATTCGAACCGGCGACCGTCTGTGTGTTAGACAGACGTGATAACCGACTACACCAAGAAATCGTGTTCTGTGAAGAAGACCACCATGTAATATATAGATTCTCAATATAAAAAGAATACTTTATTATAATAGGTTTACTCCATCCTATACACTGTTCGATGGTCTAAGAATTTTCATCGGCACATACATTTTCTCTACTTCTGCTAAACACCCAAAAAATTAATTTAGTGGCAGCATTCACAGTCTGTATCTGCTGGTAAACTGCTTGAAACCTCATGTCTCTAGCTGGTTCACTGGCATTCATGCTTCGGTCTTCAGACATTTGTAAATTTCAGCCTGTAGATTTCATCCCCGTAAAGATAAATGTGATTTCCATTTTTTCTTTTATATATCTCAGACCCATTTCTGCAAGTTTAGTGACTTTAAATGCACAAGACATAGGCAGAGTCGGTTTATTTTCTTAGCATTAAGAGAATTTACACAAACCTTGCCTAAAAACCCTCTGCTTTCCGCATTATATCTCAAAACAATCTTCCAAACTGTGGCTAGCAGTTTACATTCTGCTCTATCTCACTCTCACTGGTTTGGGTGGCTTAATATGGGCATTATAAGGTTTTTTTCCTGCTCACTTACATTCTTTTATTATTATTTTCCTTTAGAACCTCAGGGAGGGATATCATTTTCTAGAAAATAAAAATAACCATACGATAATTTTTTTTCATAGTAAATTATTTATATTCAGCGACAAGGGTTTCACTGAGTGCAAAGAGTCGCTTTGCATTTTCTCCAGTAGCATCAGCAGCCTCTTCAGTTAGTGGGTTGTAAATATGGCAATCTTCAAGATAAACGCCACCTTTGCCATTTAATTCAGGGGACGTAGCAGCGAAAACTTGAGTTGCTGCTCCTTGCTCCACGGTCTTCATCCAGCTTGGTTTAAGCGTTCCAACAAGTGGCCTGATATATGGCTGGATCATCATAGCGCCTTTCACAAACGTGCGCATAAAAGGGTTTGGAATGTTTCCTTTGAGCATTGTGTCTCTAGTTTCAGGTGACATATTTTTGGAGAGCTCAGTTGGGATCATGCCTGTGAAATAATAGAGTTAAATGCAATAAACTAGAATAAGTACGACAAAAGCTTCTATGCTGCTGACCTGGGTGTAGGGAGAAGCATTCAACACCTTGCTTAGAGTAAATCTCGTTGAAAGCTTTCGCGCAGAGGATGTTGGCAGTCTTGCTTTGTCCATATCCTTCAAAAGGGTCATACTTTTTTCCACCTTCGAATCCAATATCGTCGTAGCGGACCCCGCTAAATCGGTGTCCCTTTGAAGACACACATACCACTCTGCTACCTGGGCCAGCCTTGACCAAATCGTCGATAAGTAGCTGGATGAGCAAGAAATGAGCCAAGTGGTTGACACCAAATTGCATTTCGAACCCTTGTTTGGTGGTCTCATAAGGGCAGGCCATAATACCGGCATTGCAAATTAGGCCGTTGAGTGGAATTCCCAATGCCTTAAACTGTTTGACAAAATCTTTTACTGACTGTAAATCCGAAAGATCAAGAAAGATCCATTTAAGAGATGCTTTAGGGTGACGAGCTATGATGCGCTTCTTGCTTTCTTTAGCTGCGCTCTCATTTCTTGATCCCATGACCACGGTAGCTCCATATGCTGAGAGGACTCGGGCGGTCTCTTCTCCAAGTCCAGCGTTTGTACCGGTTACAATGAACACCTTGCCCTGTATCGATGCAGATTCAGGCAACTTTTTTATAATTTCATCGGAGGTCCATCGATAGCCTTCCGGTTCCTCTGCCTTGGACCTTGGGAGCGGGGGTGGTGCGTAAGACATGCTTAGGTTAGGTAGCGCAACACTTTCAGGTGTACCGTATCTAGAGGTAATGTGCTTATAAAGGGGTTTTGTGGATCTATTGGCTCATGTCATACAGAAGGGGGTACGCAATCGCCATGGTTCCAAAATAGCTTGCGTAAGTACACTGGGTTTTAAACACAAAAGTATATCCAGGTTCCGAACTTGCGTAAGTCATTTTGTTGGTCATTGGCATGGTGAATGACATTAAAATTTCCAACCGATGTGAGTATCATAATTTCAAGTAGATTTGCAAGATTAATAAAGTATTTATTGATAACAATAATAGTTCGTGTATAGTGACTTTCTCAGTATCCAAGGAAGATATATTCCCAGCGCTATTTCATAAAGCCGAGTTTTTATTTGGAACATGGTAAGGGAGATTGTGACTGAGATGAAAGAGCCCTCGAGAAAAACATTAAGTGCGCGTATTGTTTATTTTTTTCAATGGGCGAAAGGATCGGCCATCTTTGTTTGAATACTTGTTACAGAATAGAATCGCACATCGCTTGTTATATATGGATTTCTAAAGAGTAGGAGCATGACGGAATCCCGCCATTCAAGGTGTCTGTACCATGATAAGCCAGCCACAAGTTTCAGAATTAAATGGACTAAAGTCTATAGCGCCTTCGTATTCTTCAAGCCCCATGTTTTCCATTAAAATATGCACCATTGTAGATTCACAGCCATGCATCCAAAGTCTATAGGTTTTCGCTTGTATAGTGATCAATCGAGCAATCGAGAGACCATGCGTCCCATTGAGCAGTTCTGCGCTTGATATACCAAATGCTCTGTTCAAGGACTGCTTTGCTGCACAGCCATTGAAGCTGGAACATACAGCGTCATAGTCGCTCATCCCAAGTTGGCCAAGGTAAGAAATTGTCAGCCTCCATCATATTTCAGAAAGTTTGCTGGATGGAATTTCCTGGAGAGCAGTGTTGCCAAATCTTAGCAATGCAAAGGCTTGTCAATATTTTCGCTGGTAGCTCCGTCTACTGTATGCTAACCTCATAGTACAGTTAGATGCCATGGAAGGTACATCAAGTTTTCCTCTAATTTTTTTCTTCTTTTGATAGTGTGGGTTCGTGGCCATTCCATAGTCCTTCCAGAAATGGTTGCAAATGCCTTTTGCGCTTCTAAGAAATTTTGGGCGTCCCCGGGTTGTGCGCCTTTCTCTGCCTTACCGTGATATTTCATACCCCAACGTTTTTCACTATAAGCCCAAAGACCAAGATACTCCCGTCTTTTTTTGATATTGGCTGCATCCATTGGTATAGGCATTTTGATGTAAAGGTTGACATGTTCTGTCATCAGCTCGGCCGCCAAGAAAGTAGCCTTGTGCGCTCTCCTTACAAAGAAGAACAACGTACTCAAAAGCCTTTTCTCAAACCAAATGTGTTGTCGTTTTCTCACCACCTTGTTAAACATATTAGAGTCGTATCAATGGTGCAAGTCACTGTCAGCGCTGATTACCGAGGGTCATCCGGACGCATCCGGACTTTGAAACCCCTCTTTAAGTTAGCTCTACGCTGCGCGCAGCTTCCAAAACGACCTTGCCACCAGCAAACAAAAAGTGCTACAGAACTGAAAAATATTACAATTTATTTAGTGTTGCTGCTGGTTCAAACCATTCATAAGAATGCCCTGAAGAGCTGTTGACAACTCATTTTGGGTTACTAGTGTACTGTTGGTATCAACGTGGTTGTTATTCGAGTAGATAGCTTGGTATCTGGTGTTAAGGTCGGTCTTGATTTTCTTGAAGGTGAATTCTTCCCGTGGTAAGGTAGCAGTGGCAGCAAGAGAAATGGTGACTGATCGAGGTCCAATAGAAAACTTGTCATAGAAGATCTGAGCGTTCAAGTCCTTGTAGATCAAACCTTTGCCCTTCTGGAACGCTACCTGATAGTAGTGGCAGCCGTTGATAATGACGGTGTCATTATAGCACACCTCGGGCATAACAGAGCAACAGAACTCCTTGAACTCCTCTCGGCTGTTGATGGTGTACGTGTTTGTGTTCATCGCTTACTGTTCAGACCTTTTGGACTCTTGAAAAATGCTACGGACGGAAACCTTGAAAGATATTGAAATGTTATTCAGAAGTGGATATCAAACCAGTGAGTCATGAGTATCGTTCCTTTTTATATGCAGTTCTCGTTACACATTCTCACCTGTCCCTAAAATAAAGCGGTAGGCAACACTGTTCTTGCCATATCCAGGCCGCCACAAATCTGAAAATGCGCAGCAACCTGATCGTGCTAATTCGTCTGAAAAATTACAAGCCTCGTTTCATGGTAAGAAAGTCAGCTCAAGGAGGAACGCTAATCCTTCAAGGTCAAACCATAAGAAGGTTAAAAAACTTTAATTTTTGACGACTTCATGGCAAATACATCTAAACATCGCTGGTGTGAACTCGGTGACCACTCGTTCCCCAAGGTGGCCGATATCTTCAAGACAGATTCCTTGTAGTAAGGATGTACTACTTTACAGCGCAGTGCTCGGATTCAAGACGTCCGAAATTTTCAATTTATCATTCTAAATTGTGGGCATATAATACAATGGTATCCAAGACCTTACAATATCATGCTGTGGGCATGGTCTGGAATCGCATAGTCTGTGCGACATTACTTCGTGTTTGCCTGTAATCGCCATGGTACAGCAATTTCAAATTAAATGTGTATATTATTGTTTACAACTACATCTATGGATATCATCATTTTAAAACGAGATTCTTGGAATGTAGAAAGTAAGTTTTGCTACGGTCACGGTATGGGTCGCTCTCATGCTTGAGAGTGTACAACCGAATTCCTCGAAAGAGGAGGGAATATGTTCTTGTGATCGTTGTTCTGGTAGTACAACACCTTTTCAATGCACCAGCCTCGACATTAACAGTCCCGCTGGCAACTGCTAATTGAATGCATTGGGCACTTTTCATGTCAGCACAAGCAGCGCCATTGCATTCTGCAAGATTTATTTACTGTGTTGCACTTACAGAATAAAGTCCGTAGCCAGGGCGAGTGACACATACCCGTATCCAATAAACTGGGTAAACGTATGAGCTGGTATAAGACACGTATGCCCAAAGGTATTGTGACAATGACTGAATGGCTGACCAAGAAAGATTCCTTTTATAATGTATGAGCCTCACTTGAAAGAACCGCAAAATGTAACACAAGGTAGCAGCGCCACTACAAAGGATGGTGGTATTACCTTGCGTATTGAATTTATACCTTCGAACAATGGACAAGAACAGAACTGTTACGCAAAGCCCCAACTTGCGTATTTTTCTGTTGCCAAGTATGACAACCAAGTGTCGAAATTCAAATGTAGGTAGCGATTCGAGGCCACAATAACGTGATAATATGGATAGCCGTCTTCATGCATCGATCGAAAGCAGCATTGCAGAGCACAAAATCGTGCCTGCTAATAAGAAGTTTCATTTAATTTAAAAATATGAATGCTCTGTGAATGAATTGTGTAATAATGTTTACACAGAGGTTAAAACCCATCTCTGCCGACCAGAACCATCATCCAAGTTATACAAATCAATAAGATTGGAACTGTTTGTACAATCATGTCCACTAAGATATAAGTCGCAAGTTGCTCTTCCGCCGGAGACCATGAAGTTATATTGGTTCGTTGTACCTGGCACAGGGACAGCTAGCCATCTTTGTCTACCAGAACCTGAGTAAAGATGATATGAGTGCTGTTCCCATCGATATAAAATTAGATCCGATTATAACCTACCGTCATCAGAACCATAGAGGTCAACAAGGTCACTACCGCAGGATGCAGAGCTCAAATAGGTGTTGCAGCCAGATCGACCGCCAGAAACTTGGATTGTGTATACGTTGGTTTGCCCAGAAACAAGGCCAAATGTCCATCTCTGTCTTCCACTCCCTGTAATACAACACAAGCTTCTGTTTAGGATGACGCGCCTAACAAAACAAAAATTCACCAAAACCTACCGTCATCAGAGCCGTAGAAATCGACAAGGTCACTGCCGCAGGATGCACTGCTCAAATACTGATTACAGCCAGACCGGCCGCCACCAACCTTTACAGTATATGTTCCGGCCTTAAAAGGAGTACCTGGAGTAGAAATGGTGCCAGTGCCCGAACCTGACTTTGCCGCAGCAAGTATAGCAAAGTGTCCGCCAACAACAGGTCTTGCGAGGAAGCCAGCGCTTGCAGCCGTACTGCAATCATACCAATCGGAAAAGGGTACTCGACTTGCAGTGTTTTGCAGATATTTGCTAATGTCAGCAATGATGTGGCTGGAGAGGGTGGGATTAGCCGGTCCGAAAGCAGCTGCAGTCCACATTTCCCAATCTTTGACAGACAGAAAGTCAGCTCTAAGTCATGCCCGAGTGAATTTCAGTAATCACTTACCAGACTTGGTGTATGTATGCGTGGAAACAAATGGAATTCCATAAGTGGTTTCCTTTGTAAGGTAATAGTTGGCTTCTTCAGTATAGATGCTGGTAGGAATGAGGCCAAGCTTGAGGACGCGGTCTTGCAAGGCATTGTACCTATTGGGACGAGAATAAGTAACACTCTCATGATATGAAAAACCTGTATTGCGAAAGGCGCTTACTTGAATTCATAACCATCGCTGATGTATTCCAACATCAAATGTGACTTATCAGCGCTTTGTGAAAGATCAATCCATTGGGTCATGTAAGCTTGCGCCGCTGTTGAATAGACCGAAGAATCATTCGTGTGACCAGTAAGTTTTGCGATGTTGGAGAAGGCGCCCATGGCGAGAATGCCTTTCAGCGCGAGGCCAGAGTTGAGAGTGGTGGTTCCAGTGAAATCATCCGTAGTGAGTTGGTTCGTTGGTTGTAAGGTGTTTTGGTAAAGGTATGTTGCCCAGGTGGAAAGGATGCTGTAGTGCTGATTGGCATATGCAACAGCGTCGCTTGAAGCCGTTGATGGGTTAAGTATATAATTCGCTACCATCAAGATCACGTTTGCTGACTCCTCAATAGGCTGTTCGAAAAAAAGAATATTAGAATGATAAGAATACTACGGCTCATCAAACTGAGCATGTACTTACCATATCCTCTTCTTGGCCGTTAGCATGGCCACTGGCTACTGGGTAGCTTGATCCAGCGTCGTGTTCAGCAAATGGCTTTGACCAGTACCCATTCTCACATTGATAGAAAATAGGCTTAAGCAAATAAGTCAAGTAAACAGGGCTCAGGTAGTAGAACATGGGAGTTGCAGGGTAAGTGACATCGACAGTGTTCACGTTTCCATCGCTAGATATTTCTTTGAGGAAGGCATAAGGGTCACTCGTCGAACCGGATAGCTCTGTTCCACCGAAAGCTTGGCGCAAACTGAACGCTACAATATCTGCATGACTCTGTCCGCCATTGTTATATGCATCTAGCGAGGTATAATGGGTGAGTTTTCATCATCTATGTTTCGTATGTTTAGCGTTTGCGCCGCTCACCAGTTAAGATTTTGGTGTCAACAGAATTGGCAGTTGTCTGTGCGTTTGACAAATCACCATAGAAAAAGTTGACCATATCGTTGGCATTAGTCCAGTAGTTCTTCCAGTAAGCATTCATCGCTGATCCATCAAATTGGATATTTTGGGGTCGAACATGGCCTGTAAGCATGTATGGTGGCAAGTTAGGTATGATAGTGTCTATTCTCTCTCCAGGCAAAACTACGTACCAATTACAAACTCCACAGGAGCGGAAGCAGTGGAGGTAACAGTACCCACATTATAAGAGAAGGCAAATACGGGCCAGTTGCACTGAACGCATCGGAAGGAGCCGTCGTTTGTGTTGCCCAATGAGCCGCTAGATATGAAACTGTTCCTGATTGTAGTGTCTTGTCCCGAAGCGTACTTTGCAGAGGTGGATGCAGCGAACACAGCCTGACCCCAAGTAGGATAGTCCGAGTTTTCTGCAAACTGAGTCTGAGTCTGTAGCTGAGAAGTCCATATGTTGACACTTCCGTCGCCGGTAAGGGCCCACTGGATAGCCTGAGTTACGTCGTTAGATGCCCATTCACCGGAGATGTCACTGTAGACTTGAACAGAATGAGAGTTGCCGTCATTAGAGGCGACGCTAATAAGCATGTACGACAGAGGAATGGATTGGCGCTGGAGATCATTGTATTCCACGGGAGACAGAAAAGTAACAACAACGTTGACAGGACCTGCTGCTAAGGTGAAAATGGTTTGAGTAGGCGTTGTTGTCACCGATTTTTGAGTTGCTGATTTTAGCCCAGTGATATTTGCATTGGTTGAAGCAGCTCCAAGTATTTCATAAGATGTTCCATCAACTCTGACAATACCCTCCCATCCCTTGGTCTTTCCAGTCCTAATCACCCAATATCAATCCATTAATAGGCTGACGATGGTTTATATAATATATTATGGAATTATATCTCACCAAAATGTTGGCCAACTGCCAGGTAAATTGTTAGCTTCAAGCCAGGTCGACACATAGGGCTGTCGTACTGCTAAGGGGTACGCAGGAGCCCTTATAGTACTGGCATATTGTGCAACTGCAGACACAGTAGCAGTGAAAGTACCGAGTAGTACTATCCAAGAGTTGAAAGCCTTTACCATAGGATAATAATGAAGCCTAAGGTGTGATGAATCTCGTAATAAACCCTGACTTATATAAGTGTGCTGAATGGGAATGTGATAAAGCGATAAATCACGTACAGTACATAATTTCCATCTGTGGACAAGGAAAGGGACTTTTGCTATTATGTGATCTTCTGCATTGGGGTGTGAACTTTACGAACTGATGCCGCGGGGTTACAGTAAGCGCAGATCATTTGGAAAAACGTTATTTGTAAGATGTTACCAGTAGTTTTCGTTGATTTGGTTCACACAGCAGGAGTTCCGAGTTATAATGTTTGAGATTACCAATGAATTATACTTGTGCAATGCAACATTTGCTTCAGGGTTCATCTTGAGAGCCATGGTAATTACATTGCCGCCTGACATTTCAGGAATAGTCTATATTGGCAATATTTACAACGTTTTCTGCGAAGCTGTTGTGCCGTTTCATTTCTTCCTTTACCTCCAGTACTTATTTTATTACTATATACGTTGCTATGCGGTCATGAACATCCCTTACTTCAATATTTTCCAACGGCACAAGTTACATAATCTGACTAAAAAGATTAAAGGCGTTTCATTACACTACAGCTTTACCGGTCGCACATCCCCGCATGGTGGAACTTAATTAAATTCATTTCTTTTCGATATGTTCATGTGGCCACAGCAGCATTTTAAATTGTTTACAAGGGGATTTGGGATACTAACGTTGGTACCATCATGTTGATAAGGTTGTTTATTGACGCTCCCCAAAATGTCATTTTTCCAATAGTCAAGCTATTGACCTATCCCCAAGCGCTTCATGTTCAATAGCTTAACCCCACACAGAATGTTCAGCTGATGTGCAGTGAAGAGAAGGGCGATTGATACACTGAAAATCAGCGAGGATGTGGTACAATTTCCATCCCATTACCTAATGCCCGCTTTACAGTGGAGCGGGAAAGGCTTATGATATCAGTGTAACTTGAATCGTGCACTTCTCTATGCCACCGAGGTCCAGCTTAGCAAAATATGTTCAGCTGAAAAAAACGAATTTTTGTCTGGTGTGCTTGGCTACGACAGGGAGGTTGGCTACGGCATTGGCTGAGTTGGAATGGCAGTGGAAAGCAAGGATGTCGAGCTGGTCAACAATTTTTTTTTTTTTTGAGGGACAGCCCTGAAATTCACTCATTGCTCTCACCATGGCTGACCAATGCCCCGTTGACCACACCAAATTTCAAAAGCCTGCAGAAACTACCAACCAGGAAGCAAAATGTCCTGTCGACCACAAAAGCATGAGCTCCTCTTCAGAGTCCTCGGAAGAAGCCAAGTGCCCTGTAGACCCTTCGGCATATCAACACTTTTTGCCACCACCTACAAAAACGGCAGAAGGTTGCGAGTCTGATGCCATTAATGCCGCAAATAACATGCCCAACTTGTCACAGCAACCTTCACCTGGACAGAAAATGAAACTTAGCGTCGAACGGGAAATCTCAACCATTCCAAGAAGTGGCGACCCTAATGAGAAGATCTGGATCTATCCCTCTGAACAAATGTTCTTCAACGCAATGAGGAGGAAGAACTGGGATCCCAAGGAAAAAGATATGGAAGTAGTGGTACCAATTCACAATGCTGTTAATGAACAGGCATGGCAAAAGATATTACAATGGGAGAAGCGACATGAAACGTGAGTCAATGAAGCCGCCACACGAATGGTAGAGCCCAATTCACTAACAATTCCTTTTTTTCTAATAGGACCTGCGCCCAGCCAAAACTCGTTAAATTCCAAGGTAAACCCAAAGACATCACGCCGAAAGCTCGCATCCGTTCATGGTTTGGGTAAGTTCAGGACTTGATGTTCAGCAATACATACAATATGTGTTATAGAGACTCATAGCGTTTTCGTTGTAGTTATAAACTTCCCTTCGACCGACACGATTGGGTGGTAGACCGGTGTGGAGAAAAAGTTACCTACGTTATAGACTTTTACTCTGGCAAGGCCAACCCTAATGCACCTGGCTCAGTCAGCTTTTTCTTGGATGTCCGCCCAGCCTTGAGTCCGGCCGGTGTTTGGGACAGGATAAAAATGTCTTTTGAGAAAGGCGAATGGCTTTAGATATACTGTAGATTGAATTTCACAACCAATTATTTTGATATTACCAATTAGAACAATAAAATAAGCTGGCAGTCGTTGTGCTTTCATAAGGATTCAAAGGCAGTTGATTGATTTGCTGAAAAATTGTGTGGTGAAGCGTGACTGCTAATAATTTTTTCAATTCGTTCCTCATCGTACCCATATTGGCTTGATCTACTTACTCTTTTAAACATGGCAAGAAAGGACGAGAAGAATGTCGAGAAGGGACAGGAGAAGAAGCCAAAAAACACAAAATACACACGAGGAATACCGGTTGCTTACTCTGTAACTAGATTCGTTCCCTCATTCAAAAGCGATCCACCCGAATCGAGACATTGACCCACTCATTGCTTTGCAGAACATAAAAGACAAAAAGCTGAAATCCAGAATTAAAAAGACAGAAAGCAGATTCCAAGATGCAGCAGAAAAGGCTGAGAAGCTGGAAATGATTCTACCCGAGGAGGTCGGTTATTTGGAAGCCGAAGGAATGGAGAAGACGTATAACTTCAGACAAGAGGAATTGGCAAAGAACGTCGACATCAACACTTCCAAGAAGGTATGTTATTGAATTTCTGTCTGTAAAACGTTATGGGAATGCCAACCATTTGTCCCTTCAGATCTTCAATCTCGATCTCAAAGACTTTGGTCCTTACTCTATCGATTATACCCGTAACGGAAGGTTCGTTGAAATTTGAAAGGTTGTTATATACAGTGAGATCATGTCTAAGCGAACTTTTTCACATCACAGAAACCTATTGATTGGAGGCAAAAAGGGTCATATTGCTGCGTTCGATTGGCAAACTGGAAAGTTAGGCTTTGAATTGCATGTCAAGGAAACCGTTCGGGATGTACAGTAAGTGTCAGCGTCTACGACTCGTCATTGTATCATCTTCTCTGACCTTTCAATTAGCTGGCTACACAACGAGACACTACTAGCAGCAGCACAAAAGAAATATGTCTACATTTACGATAATAGAGGATTGGAAATTCATCGCTTGAAGAATCATATCGAAGTCAACAAGTTGGACTTCCTTCCTTATCACTACTTGCTTGCATCAGTGGTATGTTACCTTTCTTTTTGGACAATCCCATCTCAACTTCTTCAATGATACTGACTCCTATATCAGGGTAATGCAGGTTATCTCAAATATCAAGATACCTCAACTGGTCAGCTTGTTGCCGAGCACCGCACAAAGTTGGGTGCATGCCATGTTATGGCTCAAAACCCTCACAACGCTGTCATGCACTTGGGACACGGAAACGGCACTGTCACCTTATGGTCGCCCAGCATGACCACTCCTTTGGTGAAGATGCTTTGCCATAAGGGACCTGTGCAGGCTCTGGCAGTGGATCGTGGCGGTAATTATATGGCAACCTCTGGGTTGGATGGCCAACTCAAGATCTGGGATATAAGGAAGTACGGAGTTGTACAAGAATACTACACTCCCACTCCAGCTTCTTCTCTCTCAATATCACAGATGGGACTTTTGGCCGTTGGTTGGGGTCCTCATGTTTCGGTAAGTGATCGGTGGTACTTGACTAAGATACGGATGCGTTATTCATATCCTACCTTTTCAGATTTGGAAAGATGCTTTCAAGACCAAGCAACAGTCGCCATACATGGTTCATCATCAACCATCATCCGCTGTACATGATGTACATTTTGTTCCGTATGATGATGTTCTTGGACTTGGACATGGAAAGGGCATTTCCAGTATGGTTGTGCCAGGTATGATTGTGTTTACGTATGCGCATTGTATTCAGAAGCGTCAAATTAACCTTGTTGTTGTGTAGGTGCTGGAGAACCTAACTATGACAGTTTGGAGGCCAATGTGTTCCAGACCAAGAAGCAGAGACAAGAAATGGAAGTTCATAGTCTTTTGGATAAGGTATGTGTGATTGGCAAAGTGTGGGCCATGATGCGTTTATCCAGACATGGCATTCAATTTGATAATATCACATTACTAACTTCTCGCTCAGTTGCAACCTCATATGATTACCCTGGATCCTACTGTGGTCGGCAAAATGGATCGGGCTAGCAAAGATGTGATATCAAAGGAGCGACAGGAGGAATACGACGAGGCACATCCCAAGGGGCCAATCCAACTCCGTAACAAGGCGCGTGGCAAGAACTCCTCCCTTAAAAGATTCCTTCGCAAGAAGCAACACAACGTTGTTGATCAAAGAAAGGTAATGTTCACCAGCGTATTTTTATCATTCTTCCTGCATGTAGGCACCACATATATTGACATATCCCAACTTTTAGCTTGATGCCATGGCCAAGCTTGAAAAGGAGAAGCTCATTCGGGTTAAGCGAGCACGAGGCGAGGTTGAAGAAGGCGAGAAGCCATTCACAGCTTTGGACATCTTTGCTGGCAAGAAAGCAAAGACCAACTAATTTGTGTTTTGCTAGTTTTTTTGTAACCCATTGCATTTAGTCACACCGTTTTTCATTCCCTCTCAACAACCATTAGAAATTGTATTTGTACATTATTCAGTCATTCCAAAAGAAAAAAAAAAAAGCCATTGAGAACCATTTTAAGTACGTCGATCGGTATCACCGAAATGCGATTGCGAAGAGAAAAATTCATAAATTATATTATATCTTATTTTATATGCGTAAGGTTGGGGAAGGGGGTGGTTTGATGAGGAGTAGTAGTTGGAGTTAGTATGGAGTGGGTGCCAAAAAAAAAAGAAGAAAGAGGAGAGCAAAATAGAAAGCTACATTAGTGTACATCCACAACACTTATCGGATTTATCGCCATCGTCCATATCAAACTGCTGCCCACCATAACCATTCCCAGGACCGCCGCCACCTTGCTGCTCCTTGTTGAAGCGACGTATATCGCGAACAACGTGATAGAAGGCTTCATCTACGTTGATACGTTGCTTTGCGGAGGTTTCAATGAAGGTGCATCCAAAAAGTTTGGCAAGATCTCGTCCCTCTGCAATAGGAGCATGCATAAATAACTATAAGTGGGAAAAAAAAAGATTCGATCGCAGAATCTTTGAAAAAAAATAATCGTACCTTGACTAGAGACTTGACGATCATGCTCAAGATCGCATTTGTTAGCTATCAGCACCATGGGGAAAAAATCTCGGTCCTTTACACGACGAATTTGCTGATAGAATGTATTGATTTCTTCAAAACTCATACGTGACGTTATAGAGTAGACCAGCAAAAAACCTTCTCCGTTACGCATGTATTGTTCGCGCATTGCACTGCAATTAGACCATAAAATAAACATTTGGCTCTAGTGATCTCTCTTCCTCATATGCTAATTTACCTGTATTCTTCTTGACCAGCTGTATCCAATACATCCAAAAGAGCAGTTTCATGATCGATGACACACTGCTTGCGATAGGAATCTATAGAGGATCACCTGTGTTACATTCCGTAATGAAGTATCACGAAATTTATTAAATGGGTAAAATGGCTCTCTTACCTTCGATTGTGGGGTCATATTCATCAACAAAGTGTGACTGAATGAATTGGATAGTGAGTGCAGATTTGCCCACACCTGTATGAGAAATATGTGTCAGATATAAGGTTATATTTGTTAATTGCAATGCTTTTGTCTTTCTTCCATAGCGTAGAACAGGGTTATATTAAAAAATTGTTTTGATTTCAAGCTCAAAAGTTCTTGCATAGCAATGTCGAAAGGTAACCCCGATCACCCCAGTGGACATGAAATTCGTGTTCTCGTAGGGAAGCGAGCAAAAAATAATACGTTACCTCCACCACCTACAACGACAACCTTGTACTCTCTTAGAAATGACGCCTTGGACATGGCAGCTTGAATGTGTCGTTAATGCTGTTAATTCGACAAGGGAATAACGCAAGTCGGGAAAGCCTAGTTTTTTCCAGCTCCATGCAAGCTTATTGGGTAAAAACAAAGATCGAGTCACGTGGTTCACCCTTCTCCAGCATCATTCTGTTTCTCCGTTCTTGCCCCAGTGGTATCACTCTATTGAGTCTGTTCGCTGTGGTGGCGTACTGTCGCCATATATATCCAATGCTGTCATCGTATAAACATACTCGAATTTCGATTTTTTTGAACGGACTAGAAAAGGGAGCGGTCATTGAAGGATATGTGATGGACTCGAGGACGCACCATAGCTACGGGATATTCAGATCAAACTGTCAATATTTATTGAGATACGCGGAACGAGATATTGACAAAGCGGGTTGATGCCACATCTGACGAGCTTGCGTGCTGGTAGGCTTCGATGCTGGTCGGCTTCCCATTCAGCCTGTGGATGAGCGGAGTGAATTGCATCCGTCTGTTGGAGCCGAAAAAGTAGGGAAAAAAAAACTCTAATTCAGGTTCATTCAACTAGGACTCTCTCCATGTCAATCAAAATCATTGACTATGCTGCCGTAAAGGAAGTCGAGAATTCACCTGACAAGGTAGATATGAAGATGAATGAAACATTGGAATCGACGAAAATGTCACTGATCATTAGTCATATAAGAACACATTCTTAATTGATGTTCGAGACGCTGAGGAATTTCAGGCTGGCCATATTCCAACGTCATTGAATATCCCTCTTGTAAGTGTACCTTCTAGTTTGGCCATGCAGCGTTCTTTACATTGGCTCAATTTTCTTATCTGTACGGATAATTAGAAGGAATTTCGGGAAACAATGTCACTCTCAAACGATGAATGGGTATCAGTCTATGGAAAGGAGAAACCGCTTTTGAGTGATCGATTGGTCATTTATTGTAGAAGTGGAAGACGATCCAATCTTGCTAGTCTGGAGGCAATTGAATTGCAATACAGCTGGTAAGTTTTGGCTGTGAATGTGTGAGTGAATATGGCCAACTATCTAACACACAATACAAATATTTCGTAACGATTTGATAGGGTAGAAAATTACGCTGGCAGCTGGATCGAGTATTCTTCATTTTTGGCAGCCTGAAACTACGGTCGGTGGTCAGAAGGGTGCGGTGCGTTCTTATTGGTTCCGCTAGCTAAAACACGCCACGACGTTGGCTTTAAGCGCGACAATAAGCGTGTTTTCGAAGGGTATTCAACATGAAGATTAAAAATATGATGTCTAGAGATAAAAGTGCGCGCATGCTCGTTGTAAAATCATGGTGTTTGTATGTAGAATGGTTAACAAATCTTACTTTGAAAAAGCGGCATCCTTCAACATGACCTAAAATGGTAGTAGCAGAGACTACTCCTAAATTTTTTATAAACTTTGCGCAAAACTGGCAGCTCGCACTTTTCGACTTTTTTCCCTCTACTCCACTTATTTCTCCCAATGGCTCCACCAAAAGCAACAAAGGTTTCCTCATCCACCAAGAAGGCCGATCACCCCTCGGTAAGTAGTAACATGTCTTCATCTTGCCATCAGTAGACTTTTGCCTAACATGCTGGCTTTCATGCATCGCCTCCTTACCGTGCTTAGTATGAGGATATGATTCAAGGTGAGTAAAAGGGATAATGGGTTTTTTAGTGGTGGGTACCGCGTGTTTTCATCACTGACTAACGTGATACGTACTTGTTAGCTGCCATTGTCGCTCTCAAGGATCGCAAGGGTAGCTCCAGACCTGCTATCAAGAAGTATATCTTGGCAAACTACAAGATCACCCCTGGTTCTCATTTCGATACACAAATTGCTGCCGGTATTAAGCGCGGGTAAGTGTGCCGACCGAGTGTTCAAGTGAAATAGTCTGTGTCTCATTCAAGTTTGTTGCCGTTGCATAGTGCCGATAAGGGCGTTTTCACTCTTCCCAAGGGTAAGTTTTTTGCTTGACATCATCCATGTGACCAATGCGGAAAAAGGATTGAAGCTAACTGTATTACATCTCTAGGACCCAGTGGAAGTGTCAAGCTTGGCAAGCCTGAGAAGAAGGCTACTGCTGTTAAGAAGGAGGACAAGTCTGGTGAGAAGAAGGTCACCAAGGTCACCAAGGCTAAGGTAGCCAAGGTAAGAAATCAGCACAACTTTGTAAATGGAGAGACTCGCCCAATTGATTCTAACCCGCGTCTTACTACCCTTACTAGAAGGCTGCCCCCAAGAAGACTACCACTGCCAAGAAGGCTGCTGCCCCCAAGAAGGCCGCTGCTCCTAAGGCTAAGGCTGTCAAGAAGGAAGTTACCACTCCTAAGGTAAGATGTTTGTCTTCATATTGTCTACGAGAATGTGAGCTGAATGGAATAGTATATTGATCTGTCATTGGTTGGTTACAGGCTGCTCCCAAGAAGACCGCAACGAAAAAGACTGCTACCACCAAGGCTAAGGCTCCCGCTAAGAAGGCTGCACCAAAGACTTCATCTGCACGCAAGTCTACCACTGCTAAGGCTGGCTTGAAGGCACCTACCAAGAAGAAGGCTGCTACTACCAAGAAGGCTGCTGCCCCCAAGAAGGCTGCTGCTAAGAAGGCCTCTGCTTCTAAGAAGGCCACTGCCTCCGCATAAGCCTACAGATAAGGCGACATTCATATCCTCCTCTGTACAGCTCTTTCTCGTTTGATAATGTTTCTGTTCCTTCTCTCTCTGTGATTACTTGGATATACACCTCCCTATATTCCTATATTTTTATTTCGTTGTCTTTTTCTTATTTTGTCTCATCGTCAGTACCCAAAATCATTCAATGATTGTCTCAAAGAAAATTATCTTGCATTTGTCAAAATCGTACTGTGGGTTATATTGTGTTTGTGCAGTGAGAGGTGGTTTAAAAGGGAAAGCCTGGTTTCTTATGATGAACAGTAACCCACTTGAGCTCAGTGAAAGCTTCATATGAGTACTTTCCGTTTTCTCGGCCCATACCGCTACTCTTGATTCCTCCAAACGCGGCATCGGTTGGATCGTCCAATAAAGGGCCGTTTCCAATGTGGACCATACCTGTGTCCAAGCGGTTGGTGATATAGAAAGCCTTCTCCACGTCATTTGTTAATACTCCTCCGGACAGACCGTATTCGGAATCATTAGCAATGTCAATAGCCTCATCTATGGTGTCAAAGCCCATGATCGGCAATAGAGGCCCAAAGGTCTCATCTTTGAAAAGCTTCATGTCTCTAGTGACCCCCGTCAGAATGGTCGGAGGGTAAAACAGTCCATTGGAGTGTTCTCCGCCACACAGAACATTGGCACCTAATCGCTTAGCGTCCTCAACGTGGTCCTTCACCATATCCAGTTGTCTTTGAGACATCATAGGGCCGAGGTCTACGCTGTGATCGGATGGGTCACCCATCTTTAGACTTTGAACCTTTTTCAACAATTTCTCGGTGAACCGATCGACGATAGACGATTGCACTAGAATCCGTTCTGATGACCTGGAGAGATAGTCAAGCTGTGAATAGAGCAATTACACAAACTACAAAGGCATTGAAATTACTTACATGCATATTTGGCCTTGGTGGAACAACCCTGAAAAAGCTGTAACGTTCACAGCGAAGTCTATATCAATGTCCTCTAAAATGATGAGTGCATCTTTGCCTCCAAGCTCCAATACACATCGCTTGAGAAGACCACCGGCTTGCGCAGCAATCTTCTTTCCCGTGGCTGTAGAGCCAGTAAAAGTGACGGCCTTCGTCAGTGGATGTGCAATCAAAGCTCGTCCTACATCACTATGACCAGTGGTCAAATTCAGCACTCCAGGAGGAAGGTCTGCTGCAGCAAACATTTCCACTAGTTTCATCACACTCAGCGAGGAATCCTCTGATGGCTTGAGAACCACTGTATTTCCTGCAATCAAAGCACTTTTACACAAGTATCAGTTCACACTTTTCGAAGCTGGACTTTAAGGCGCAAGAGGAATTCTTAATACATACTTTGCAACCTTCTTGACGGTGAGAATCAAGGGAACGTTCCATGGCGAGATACAAGCAATGACGCCAAGCGGACGTCTAGTGGTATAGCTCTGTAACCAGCCGCGTGTTTGTTAATTGCATGTAACACACCGTTATCGTAGCTGCTAAAATAAACATACCAAGGTGCCATCGTCTGAAGGAAACACTTCACCGTTGCCGAACCGGAAGTCAGCACTAGCTGCTTTTAGAAACTTGACTGTATAGTCCAGTTCAAACATAGCCTAAACGTGAAATATCAATATATGACGCTTTGTAATCCAATTTCGAACACCAAGCTACCTTTGAAAACGAGGATCCTGTCTCAGCAATCAACAACTCCACAACTTCTGTTTGGTGATCTTCAAATTGCTTTGCGGTGTTGAGTAGATACTGAGCTCTTTCTACTCCAGGCAGTTGTCCCCATGCACCGAGCGCTTTATGCGCTGCTTGCACCGCGTCCTCTAATTGCTGAGGTGATGTTTCGGGAACCAGACCGAGGACCTTTTCGTTGACCGGGTTTCGCGATGGGAAGTTGGGAAGTTTTTCTGCGAGAATCCAAGAGCCATCGATGAATAAGCCAGGGTTGATAGCAACCATTGTTTGAGAAAGGGAAAGGAGATGGTGCAGAGCAAAAATTCCGATCAGTCTGACTTTTTGATCATGTCTATTTCTGTGACTGGTGGTAACACTTCTTCTTGTTCGTGGGAAATGAGATAATGAGCATTAAACGAAACTGGCATGCATAAAAGAACTACAACATCTCGACCGAGCTTATCAATTTAGTTCATAATTGTTCTATCATAATCAGGAGGCATATGAAACTGCAATGATCACCCTATAAAGCGCGACGAAACACCAGATCATGACGTTAAAAGGTTATGCTTGAAGACCAATTGGACCTTGAATAGCACTTGAATAGCATGAGAATGCATATCAACTAGTCATTTCATATACCTTTATTTGCATCAAGCGGCAGAGAATATAACCACACAAGGCGAGGAACAGCGGTAATACTGCATAAGTGGAATGCTAGTTGATTGCAATGAAAACAATCGGCCAACGTTACTTCCTTGTTTGTTATCATGACAAAAGTGGCGGGCAAAGATCAGCAACAGGTTGATGAGTGTGGTCGATCCCTGAAGGCCAGTGTGACTGTCGTGGCTTTTTCAGTGCAAAATTGCGCTGTTGCTTTGGGATTTTTGTATTGATTCCCTTTGACAAGCAGACATAACCATGGGCTTATTAGAGAAACCTAAGCAACAACAGAAACTCCAGGAGTTTCAAGCCATTATTTTGGCAGGTTACGGCAGTAGCAACAGGTAAACACTGGGCCCTTGTTTCGGCTGGCTGGAATCACACCCGATTGACACAAAATGTATCAGATTGTATCCCATTACCGAAGACGACAACATTCCCAAAGCACTTTTGCCCGTGGCAAATAAGCCTTTGATATCCTATACCCTTGATTGGCTTGAGAAAGCAGGAATCACAGGTCGGTTTCTACTGTAATGAACGGGACACACACTGAGAAATTGTTTCGTGACTGACCCCCTTCTAGACGCATTCGTATTGACCCAGTCTATGGGTAATGCACAGCAAAAAATTGCTGGTTACCTGGCTAGAGGATATCAGGGAAATGTTCATTGCAATCTCATTGGTGTGGATGAAGATTTCGGCACAGCAGACGCCATTCGAAGCATCAGCGACAGAATCACTGTAAGGAGAAAGCTTTCGAATCTGTATTGCTTGGTCTTATTCGCTTACCCTCAACTCAACTTTAGACTGATTTCATTGTCCTTCCGTGCGATCTTCATTGTGAAATGATTCCGCGCGAGTTTTTGGATCATCACCGCATCAACAACCCAACTATGACCGGCCTTTTTTATGAACCACCGAAGGGAGAAAAGGGCTCTGGAAAGGAAGACGGTATGCAAAAAGCACCATCTAATGTGTATTCGACTAGTATACTCATCATGTTGTAGAGCTGGCGCAGTATATCGGTATAGACACGGCTGAATCAAGACTTGTCCATATTGCGGATTGTGACTCATCGGAGGACGGAGACTTGTCGCTGCGCATGTCGCTGCTGTGGAGGTCAGTGGTTGGACAAATGATGTCTGCTTGCAGTAACTGGTATACTAAAACGCTCGTGTCATTTAGATTTCCTCGCGTCAAATTCCATGTCAACTTGTTAGATGCTCACGTATACATCTTCCAGCATTGGGTGTTGGACCTTATCAAGGCAAAGGAAAAAATATCGAGCATAAGACAGGATCTTGTTCCTTTGATTGTAAAGTGCCAATACCAGCGCAAACTTGTAGAAAACGAGGATATGGGTAAATGTAAGTGCTCATGCTGTGTTGTCATATCTATGACTGGTGAAGTAACCTTTGTTCCCGACAGATGCTGCCCTAGAAGACCCTTTAGATACAGCTCTTTCACTATCAACTGTGTACGATGAATTTGACGAAAACCTTTTGAACGAACACGATCCTTACCGATCCAACTTCAAGAGCAATATCAAGGTCAACACCGTTATCTACCGTGATGGCTATTGCGGCCGTGCCAACACCATTGCCAAATACAGCGAGATGAACAGATTGGTATGTGTGGAGGTTTAGGATAGAGAGGTTAAAAGCGTTTCTAACTTTAAATTGATACGATACTATAGGCCAGCAAGCAAGGATTGTCAATCAGACGAGTAGCCGAGACGGCAGAAGTAACTCAAAAGTCTCAAATTGGTAACGATTCCTTGGTTGGCGAGTACACTAAGATTGCAGAGAAGTCATCGGTCAAGCGATCAATTATTGGAGCTCACTGCGTTATTGGAAAGAATGTCAAGATAGCAAACTCTATCATCATGGATCACGTTGTCTTGGAAGACTTGTATGTATTCTATCCTCGAATTTTCAACATGTGCTCATGACCAAGTTACTGACAGTAGTTACATTACAGTGTCAAACTGGATGGGTGTATTGTATGTAATAACGCCAAGGTATTGGAAGGCTCTTCTTTAACTAAATGCGAGGTTGCTGGAGGTTATATTGTTGAACGAAAGAGTAAGTAGCGGTTGATTTTGATGAATTGGAAGGGATCTATCACTCACTCTTTTTCGTCTGTTACAGCTGAGGAGAATGGACAGAAGTTGGTCGGATTCCGAGAGGCGATATAATTGCTCATAGACATATTGTAAGATATTCGAATATTAATAAAAGACAAAGCATTCCAAAGCGAACAGAAAAAATGGTGACTGCCTGGCGGACTGTTGCATACTTTGCTCGGTCTCCTCAAGCTGTGCAACTTGAAACTGGTCGTGAGCAGCAGCTATGAATGACAGAGACGACGGCTCGTGTGTGTATGGATTAAGGCAGCAGGTACGATTTCGAAACATGTCACGGACGGTCCAATCAACAGCTGTTTGACATGCAGGATTCCAGGCACGATGTCTAGCTGGCGTTCACAATGAGTCAGATTCTAGTCAATTCCTGGTCGGCACCACCGGCCCTAAGAAGGACAATCACTTGCATCTCCTAGACTTTGATGACTCGACCTTCACCTTGCAATCTTCCCTGTATGGACATCCACAGGAAATATGGGATATAGCGACGTGCCCATTCAATGAACATCACTTTTTCACAACCTATAGTAATGACGGTAAATGACAGTTGCTATGGCTACTCAGGTCTTGTTTGACGGCGACGTTGATGTAAGTTTTATAGATGGATCTCTTGGTTCTTCGTTGTGGCAAAAGGACCCCGCAGATCACCAGGAGCAAACCATGTCTTCCAGATCGGACACATCCAAAGATCTCAAGTTGCTGACCACCATACCCACTACTGGCATGCACAAGTAAGAGAGTGATTTAACATGACGTACGATTGGATAGTATCTGATGGGGAATATGATAGGGTTCTCTGGGCTCCTTGTGGCGAGAAGAGCCGTATAGCCACGGTGTCAGATACGTCCATTGCTGTTTATGCTCTGGATGCAGGAAACCATAACGTTGAGGTAAAGTCACCTGCCATGGGCATAATGTGTTGTGCAATTGAAATTCACCGATATTGTTACAGAATATTACAACATGGGAAATTGAGAATGGGAAGGAAGCGTCGCCTTGGAGTGTGCACAATGCAATTTGGAGTAGTCATAACGATGAGCTGATTGCAACATACGGTTCGACCGTCGCTGGATGGGATGTTCGTTCAAACAAGGCCACATTCGAGAGACAACGGGCACATGCGTCTAATATTCGTTCTGTCGACTACAATCGTAACAAACCACATCACATTGTAACGGGAGGAGACGACGCTGCGATGCGCATATGGGACACGCGAAACCTCACGTCACCGCTAATGGAGGTCGTGAACCACACTCACTGGTATGTCGTCTGATGAGCTTCACTGTACATGACCAATCTTTCTCACAATACACGATCTTTTGTTAGGATTCGCTCGGTTGCATATAATATGGTGCATGATCAGTTGATTCTGTCGTCCGGCTCTGATACCTTGGTCAATTTACAAAGCGCCGTGTCCGTTTCTTCTGCATCCTACATGGGGAAAACTCTGGACTCAGATGACGACGAAAGTGATTCAAGTATGGATGAACCGAGAGAGTAAGTAGCAAGATACGTTTATCTATTGTTCAGTGAGACAACGACCTCCCTTTGACTGATGAATTGTTCTTTAGACTTCCTACCGATGGATTAATCAAGACGTACGATCAGCATGAGGATAGCGTTTATTCAGTTGCCTGGAGCCACTCGGATATATGGGTGTTTGCCTCTCTATCTTATGATGGACGTGTCGTTGTCAACCGTGTACCAACATCAGAAAAGTTCAAAATCTTGGGCATTTAATGCAGAAGCGCTTTGTGGTCATTCCTTTACATTTCGATTCTCCCTTTGTTGCAGTTCTATGTATATTCCTGTAATTATGATGCATACCCAATCGATCCACCCGAGGTTTTCCATCACGCTCTACTTGTTCCTTGAACGCCAAGTCGTCTTAAAAGCACATTAGAAAGTTGGTTTTCATAGATGCGTTTAAAACTGATAAACCTGCTCAAGTGCCTCCCTCCCCCCTTTCTTCTACTTTTTGTAGATCTGCAGTAGGCTCATCCATTATGGTGCGTGGATGCATATAGAATGATTGGAAACGATTCAATAGGAGATGTAGCAGCACTTCAATGTAGAAGCACCTTGCTTGAATAATGTACATTAAGTTTCCAAGCTGTACCGATAGGAAGGACGGTCTCCTGCTCATCCCTCACTGAGGATACTGACTTCAAACACACTTACAATCTAACAAGGTGAAAGCATGATAAAATAGATTGATTTATTCATCGAACGCGGCTGAAACTTCAGTGGCGCGCAGCGTCTCCTGTTCCTTCTTATTCTTTTGCTCATCTGTAGCATGTTAATATGAGTACAGGAATGAAAACCTAGCAATGACAGCCAGATCAAAAGACAATTACCTCTTGCGGACTTCAAGACATCTTTTTCCGCTTGTCGCTGTTCTTTCGATCGAGGAGCTCGTACTCCAAGAGCACCATGGACCAACCTTCTTGCCACCATATCAGTTGTTGGTGGTCGACGAGGAAGCTGGCCTTGAGAGGTAGCTACATGGTAATAAAAATGATGTAAGAAACGTTTCCAGCATGTTTTCTCCTCTTGGTCGAAATACTTACATCTCAAAACATTTACGGATCCACTATAGGGACGGATTTTCGCTAATGGGTTACTCACATTATCTATGTAGGCTTTCTTCGCTGTTGGATGAAAAAAAAAAGGGTTAATATACGCCATGGTTCATCATGATCTTGTCCATTCTAAGCGGTTCTCCTCATGTTAACCTACCGGATGAGGGATGCTCGAAAATGATGAGCGCTCTGGTATCCTCCAACCACTTTATCCTGTAGCCTCCGCGCATATTCTCGTATTCACGGAAAATGTCGTGCAAATGATGAGTCTTGAAAGCCGGTGGAAAATCGTAACAATCTAAAACTGTGGTTGGTTCTTCGATGACGGGTGCTTCAGCTAGTAGGAGATTTTTTTTTAATTTTGCAAGAGAAATGGCGTGCCACATGGTATCAATTGATATCGGCATACTTACCAGGTGGGGCAGCAAAGAGATCAATGTGGCTAGATAGCCTCTTCTTTCTAGCAGTCAATCTCGGTGAATCGTTTTCGTTAGTCTCATAATGATCGTATTCCTTCAATAAATCTTCCCACTCTTCTCGCTGTCCTTCGTCGGCCTCGTCATAGGGACCACCCGTCGATAGACCGGCCATTGCATTGCCAAGCTTGTCCATATCGCCAACGGATCCTCGGTGATCGGCTTGGAGTATTCTTGAGCGTCGTTTGTCTTGTACACCATCAGCGTGCTTTGTTGTCGCTGCTATTGAGTGATCGCTTACGGGCATGGATCTATGTTTGTTGGCGCGAGAAGATCTCTTTGAGTCATCGGGAGCATAAGTTCTCAATTGAGTTGCATCGAAATCGCGGCCTTTGGGAGATTGCATCTCTGTTTCTTCATCAACAGATACTTCGGATGGCGCATGAAATTTACCGCGACCTCTTCTGACACTTGATCGGGATACTTCAGGCTGCGACTCTTGATCATCGCGATGGGTCGGGTCACCTGTAGTCTCTGCTCGTTTATGTACCGGAACGTACATTTTTTGTACAGAGGTACGGCGAGATTTATTCTGCTGTTGCGGTTGCTGGTCCATACAATAATAAGGAATGAGAAGGAGGTTATTGACTGGCAAGTCGCATGCAATGAGTGAAGATGGGGGTTTCAGAGAAAAAAGGATAGTCTCAGCAATCCGGTTTTATAACGTCCCAGTATTTTTCTCACAGACCTTTTTTTGAAAAGCACACAGAGAAACGATCTAACAGATTGGAAACTACACAATCTCAGTTACTGTACGAAATTCATCCTCTCATTCGTAATTTCTCATCACCATTATTCTCAACCATCCCCGCGTTCGCCTTTTCCTTCCATGCTATGTCTTGAACTGCCGCACATGCTACCAGCTAACCATGAGACTGCGTTTTTTCGCTAACGGGTGATTTCGACAACCCAGCCATCATCAATATTCCATCTTGTGGAAAGAAAACGTCATATCCATTGGGATCAGAAACTGCTAAGATGATATCATGATTTATTTTTTCATTGCTACGGCATCTATCTATGACTTGGAAGAAGCCAGTTCGGTATATCAGGGACGTAAAACAGACCAATGCACAACAAAGTTTGTCTTATGTCGTAGACACGCACGCAACTCACTTAACAGACAAGGACATTCAAACACGCACAAACACCAATTACACACTCGTACCTACCACGGTTTTCGTTCTCTACTTCTACTACCAGCCCACTATCTTTCTTTCCCTATCTTTTTTCCAGTGCAGCCGCACCAATCCATTGCCTCCCCTAAGTGAATGGTGCGGCTGATAGAGAACCGCCATTTTGTTGGGTCTCGCTCGCCCGACGGTAGTCTCGCTGGTAGGTGATGATGAAGGATAGGCGAAGTAGTAGGAAAAGGAAAAAGAAAGAGTTCTCAAAAAGAGAAACGAAATAAACCGTAGGCACTTCCCCGCGCAAAAATTACTTTGATCTGGTTGTTAGGGTATGATCTCAGCCGCAAGACAACGTAAAACGTCGAATTGAAGCACCCCTAGTGCCTGGTTTATAGAAGTTCGGTGAAAGAAAAATTGGCTGTACCTGGATGTGCTTGGAGACATCGAGCCATGACGAAGAATAATAATAATAGAGTAGAAAGAAGATGGAATGGGATAAGGGTAGGGTAGGGTAGGTGATACTTACGCATGGAAGATCTCTTCCATGGATTCCAAAGTTCTGTTGCGAGTTTCTGGGATAAAGAAGATGACCACCGTCATAACAGCACAGCATGCTCCGAAGAAGAAGTAAGATCCTGAAAGGCTGTAGTAGAACGGACATGTAAGAAAATGTGGGGGTCCATTCAAATGACTAGGGCATTCAAAACTTACGTGGAAGCCATGAACAACGGCATGCAATAGGTAACCAAGATGGAAAATGCCCAGTTAAGACCGTATGCCAAACCAAGACCCTTAGCACGGCAACGCATGTTGAAAATTTCAGCCCTGTGAAGTGATGGTGGTTAGTGCACATATCCAATACCACGGCATAAATGCAAATATTCACTTACGGATAAACGTAGGAAGCAACGCCCCAGGTAAGAGAGAAGGCGGCCATGAAGATGAAGATGAAAGCCATGATGGTGTTGCGAGCATTATCATTGGTCATGACAATATCACCCGTGGTATCATCGATGTATGCATAGGCTTGGAACATGGCACCAGTGATAAACATGCTGATGCCCATAACGACAGAACCGAGGATGAACAAGAACTTGCGACCCCATCTGTCGATGAATATCAAGCTCACAATGGTGGCAAACAGGGAGACAATACCAGTGCCACCGGAAGCAGCAATGGCGCTAGATACATCACTCAAACCGGCAGCAGCAAAGATGGAAGGTCCATAGTAGAGAATAGCATCAATACCGGTGAACGAAGTGGCAATGGCAATGAAGAAAGCAATGAAGGTTCTCTTGCGGTTGCCCTTGTAAAACAATTCCGAGTAAGTTCGTTGACCCATGGCCTTTTCAGCGTCTAATTCAGTCTTGATTTCATCGAACTCGGCGCGGACGGCAGGATCATCCATTGGAGCCTCTTGAAGTTCAGCAATAACGGCAAGACCTTCGTCCTCCCGGCCAGTATCGATAAGCCAGCGAGGAGAGAAAGGAAGGAACAAAACAGCGGTACCAAGAACGACACAGATAATGAGCTGAATCAACCATGGAGCTCTCCATCCCCAAGCGGTGGTCAAATAGCTGGTGCCGAAAGTAACAAAATATCCTACAACTTGACCAAAGGAACTCATTACAGTGAACAAACTGACAAGACGACCACGGATATCCGGGGGAGCAATTTCCGAATGGTACAAAGGAACAGCATTGGTCATCAAACCGTTGCCAAAGCCAGCAACCAATCGACCAGTGAGCAAAAGACCAAACTTGAAGCCAATGATTTCAAACAAGATGCCCAAAGAAAAGACGTAAGAACCAAGGATAATGGCTCGCTTACGGCCAATGATGTCTAATGGAACGATTTTTTGCTTAGCACATGGGAAGATAAAAAAAAAGTGGTTCAAAGGGCAAATTCTCCTTACCACAAATAGGACCTGAGGCAAATGCTCCCAGGGCAGCAGTCATCAACATGAAGGCTACTAACAATCCCTCCAAGTATACGAATTGATCGTCCGAGGCAAGCTCGGGGAATGAGGCTCGGAATGTAGGCATGTACAAGATTCCGGCCACAGCACCAGTATCATATCCACAAACAAACTGCAATAAAAAAAAAAAAAGATTAGCCCAGGGGTTCTCACTAAATAGCCTGATCATCCAATACGTACACCACCAACAGCAGCCAAGGTAGCAGCGATGTAGACAGACTTGCGCCATCCTTTGTTCTTAGAAGCGTCCAGGATAATGTCCGACGACTTGAGAGCTTCAGTTGATCCCGGCATATTCGTTTGGATAGAAGAGAGAGGGCGCTCGGATCGGAAGAAGTATTGTGAGCATTTTAAAACAAAAGAAAAAAAATCCTCAAGCAAACAGTCACCCGCAACCTCCGCCTGCAGCCCTCTACTTTCCTCTTTCTCTGGCACTTCTTTATGTATATGAAAGATAGTTGATCAGAAATTTGTGATGAATGGCATTATTTCACCATTTAGAAATGTCAATAGTAGCATTATATTGATACAGCAGCATAAGCTGAACATTCTTGAAGCCATTTTTTTATTTACATCATTGTGCGCTAGGGGTCACACAACAGCAAAAGCTTTTGATTCGCTCCGGAGATTGAGAACATCTTTTGATTTTACGAATGTTCCCGTATGGCGTGGAGAGGAAGTAGCAGGTGTTGCACGCTACAGCCAACAATATATTTCATGTTCAAACATATGATGTTCTCTGGTTGTCTATAATATGTTGAACACCTTTACTGTTGAGTATTCTCTGTTCGTCCCTGTAAAAAAAAATTCACAGCCGCTATATCCGATAGAGTCATATCCGCATACATTTTTGTGACTACGACCAGATCAGAACATGTATCAAGGACGGATGAAAGATCATATCAAGATGATTGTAACCAGCCGTCCATCTATTGAGGGCTCAAATGAAACACACTAATCCGCTCAAAAATTTTCTTTAATTAAGGCTAAGTGGTCATAATGTAATTCGTAGCAGCATAGCATAGTAGATATGGAGGTATCATATACCTACGTAGAAGTGAACTATTCGACTAAAGAGACAAAGCGTATTTACTCTACTTTCTCGGCAACAATGTTCATACCAATGGGGGTGATTTCACCGGAACGGACAGCATGTTCTTCGTCAACGATCATCTTCGTCAGAGCTGCTCTTCCTTCTTCAGTATCCTTCAAGCTATTGAGAGACATTGTGTGAGCGACTATTGGGTAACTCATAATAAAGAAAAAATTTAAAAAACTTACCCGCAGAAGACATAATGATGATAGATGAAAGGCAAGGTATCAGTCACACGAGTATTGGCATTACCAAAGACATTGACGATGCTTTCAATAAGCTCTTTCTTCTCTGGTAGGCCATGAGTAGCGTTATAGAAGATATTCCATCTCTCAGTTGCAGGCTTTTTGGGATCACAGAACTCTTTCAATCGCTGCAATTGTGCTTCAGGGCCGCCATGGCTGTGTCCATGGTCGTGTCCGTGTCCATGATCGTGTGCGTGTCCATGGTTGTGTGCGTGTCCATGGTCGTGTCCGTGACCATGATGTCCGTGTGCGTGTTCGTGGCCATGGTGTTCGTGACTGTGATGTCCTTGATGTTGTTGCTCTCGCGGATCAGGACCAAAATGACCAGAAGAGAGGGTCTCGACCGGGTCAATCACGTTGGCAGCCACCAAGGGATCAAAGTGATCAAAGTACCACTGTATAGTGTGTGTAGGTGGGTAGTCACGGATGAGTTCCTCAGCAACGATCAGGCCATTGTTCTTGAGTAACTTCCATGCATTTTTGGCAGCCTGTAGAAACAAAATCACGTATTTTCATTAGCAGAATGGAATACAACGCATTTTTCCAAGTCATCTACATACCTCATTGATTGGTAGACAGTGGTGGAAAGACTTGGTGAACACAATGACATCGTACGGCGCACTATCCGAATACTTGTTGAAGTCCGCTTGCTTGAACGTGACGGAGCCTTCAACGAGACCTTCAGACAACTCATTTGCTTTCTTGATAACATTCTCATTGGCGTCAATAGCAGTGATCTTGATCTTGGATCCATAATGTGCGCTTAGGATTCTTGAAAAGTGACCAGCGCTGTCATAAGATAAAAGTGTTTAGTAAATATGTGCGAGCGGGTACCTCCGCGGTTATGAAGAGTGACTACGCTCAACTTACCCGCAGCCAACCTCCAAGGCTCTCAATGGCTCTGAATGACCCTTTGCAAAAAAGTGAGCGTCCAAAATCCCGGACAGGTAGGTAAGAAAGGCTTGGTTTTCCAAAACGTGAACAGAAGACATGGTTGTTGTAGTAGTAGTAGATTCGTAAAGACCAGTGTTGGAATCTGTGAGACTTTAAATACTGTGTGGTAAGAGCTGGGTTTGGGTTTTAATTTACATTAAGCTTCAAGGCTCCTTTTTGCGAGAGGTCGAAAGCTCGGTGTGCTTTCCTCAGTTTAATTGAATCATCCTCGCTAGTTGAAGGTACACCATCCTGTGTCCTATGCGTTTCTCTCTAAAAATACGATGATCGTTTCAGTATCCCAGCAGTCTCTTCATAATCACTTAGAGTCTGTTGAGACTCAATGAATGACATTATTTGCCTTTGTTCGGCTACAATGTGACTGGAAATTTTTTGGGACCAAAAATTTCGCCCAAAAATTTCGACAAAATCTTTTTCAATGATTTGTGTTCGCTGCTTGTTACAAGTAGATCTATGAGCATATATGCACCTTAGCTTCTTTAAGATGCATATTAAAATAGTGTATCAACTTAATATACCTCAAATCGCCAGTGAATCGTAAGAATAGTTGATTTTTTGGCTGCGGCAAGAATCTGATAGTACCGACCTGAGAAATTTCTTACCGGATGGTCCGCCGAAAAAAAAAATGACAAATCGCACCGTCTTACATGAACCAATGGCAGCGCGCTGTTAACTCCAGCAGCGACAGCCAACACATCACGAATGCACGCCGAAGATTAACTCCAGCTCACATTGCAGTTGGAGTATTGCAAACTCCAACGAGGTCACAAGAGATTCGTCACATTGCCGTTGGAGCAATACAGACTCCACCGCGTTTAGAAGACTTTCGGAATGCGGAGGTGGTTTCCACACCAATACAGGGACGCCACGTTGTTGCCAGCAAAGTCGTAGAACAAGGTACATCGATCTTTTCAGAAGAGCCATTTGTTCATGAAATTGATGGAAAGTGGATTGGTAAACGATGTAGTTTTTGTCTCGGTGCAAACACGACTATCGCCTGCCGACAATGCTCCTTCCATCGATACTGCTCTACATCCTGCGAGTCAAGCAATTGGACCAGCGGGCTGCATTCCATGATTTGCAATTTGTACGGCATTTTCGACAGCGATATGATGCTTGTTCTCAAAGCATTCACGAAGAGCTCATTTGATCAACGAACAATGCCTTTTTGTTTCAGCCAGGGAGGGAAAGAAATACCCTGTCTTGTTTCCAACATCGATTATATGTCTGAAAGTGACATCAAGGCTTACACTGTTGGAGCTCAACTTTGCGCTGATCTGTTTTACTGGCCAAAGGAAAGCGTGCAGTTGCTGGTCAAAATTATGGCTCAGATCAGATGCAACCGATTCGCCATCAAAGCAACAGTAAGCACCAATACGGCAGGAGGAATGGTCGAGCATCAGGAAACAGCCGTGGGTAGTGCTGTTTATGCCCAAACGTCCATGTTCAACCACTCCTGTGCGCCAAATGCATATGTGACATTTGACGGTCCACGAATTACTGTACGATGTTCGGAGACGGTTCTTAAAGGGAAGGAGATCAATATATCATATGGGCCAGTAGCCACGCGACATTCCACCTTAGACCGCCAAAAAGAGCTTACTGAGAAATACTGCTTTCTGTGCAATTGCCATGCTTGTCTTCAAAGGTGAGTTGAATTGGTGGTAATGATAGACAAATCGGTGAATGCCGCTAACAGATGGATTTGCTGTAGCGAACAAGGGAAAGGTGAAGTATATCGGTGTCCTTCTGGAAATGACCACTGTAAAATATATCGATCAGACACATTGTGCCCTAGTTGCGGCCGGCCCATCGACTGGGCTACAATCGATTTGGTATGTACCAACTTCAATGAAGCAACGTACTTGAGGGTGATGAGACAACTAACGATACCATTGCAGACCGAAAAACAGGCGAAGAAGCTACGGGATACAGCTAGGACAGTTGATGATCTGCTCAAGGCACTCGACATCGAACGACAATTATACCCCAAAGACTCTTTACGCCTTGGATCAACGTATGATGAACTGGCAGCATTCTACGCACACCGCCAGGACTTTAATACTGCGGCAAAATACTGTACACTGTCCAATGCTATTGTGGTGCAAAACTACGGACAAGTGAGCATCGAGAGTGCCGACGAGCAGTTCAAATTGGTGACTCTATTGTTCAATGGGTAAGTTGTGTAGCAGGCCAATTGGGCAGAAAAAAAACCGAATGCGGTGATAATGAATGCTATTCTTTATCTATAGATATCAAAGCGAAGCAGCATACAAAGCTATAAAAAAATGCATGGAATTATTTCGGACGCTAGGACTAGATCAAGCACGCAAAGACGATATGAAGGAATTGCAGGAGATGATGAATGCTCTAGGTGTACATTAGCAACCGTGTTTTTATCTACTCATAGATTACCAATCCATCATTTTCACACTGATTAAAAAAACGAAAAAAGGTTTGGATGCCATCAAAGATATTTTGATATTCTATAGGTTTACTCGCACATGGAGAGAACTGTGCTTTATAACTCTTTACGATAGATGTAGGAGGATGATTTGAAACAATTGCTCGAGATACAATTAGAAGAAGTAGAAGTGTTGGATGAAGAGGTTAGCATAAAGTGGTAAGGAGGATATGTACAGATCAGAACCAAAGATTGTTGAGCTTTTTTTTTTTTTGAAAAAGAAAATGGGAGTTAAAAGAGAATTATGCTTGAAAAACAAAATGGGGATTTCTTGATAATCGCTTTACTCGTCTTCGTCTGACCAGACTTCCTCACCACGCTTGCGACGCTCCATACGGTCCTTCTTCTTCTTTCGGAGTTCCTTGGAGGTAAGCTTGACCTTTCTAACGGTCTTGACAGTGTTACCAGTAGCATCGACTTGGTCCTCTTCGTCCTTCTCGGCGACAGCAGTGGTACCGTTACCAGTGACCCAGTTGTGTCCGGAAGCCATAAGCTGACCGTTGTCGACCTTCCAGACTTCAGTGCAAAGTTCCTCAGAGAATTCACGGTTGTGAGTAACGATAACGACACCACCACCGTATTCCTTAATGGCGGAAGCGAGACCACCAAGAGAGTCACGATCAAGATAATTAGTAGGTTCGTCAAGAACCAACATGTGGGGCTTGTTCCACATAGCAGCACCAATGACGAGCTTGACCTTTTGACCACCAGAAAGACCACGGATACGAGAGTGAGTGGCGAATTCGGGTTCAAGACCAACTTCAGCCAAGTGCTTTTCGATTTCCTTGGCAGTCAAGGGACGGTTAAGACCGAGCTTGGCGGCTTCAGCAGCATCGCATTCAGCGATCTTCTTGGAGAAACCCATTTCCTCGAGCTTGTGACGGGGCATCCAGGTGTTCTCAACAGAGGACTTGCCAACCCAAGAAACTTCGTATTCGTAAGATTGCTTGAGCTTACGACGACCAACGAGCTCCTCAACGACACGCTTCTCACCATCGATGATGTGGACAGCGTTCATGGCCTTCTCTTCTTCTTCGTTGATTTGACGATCAACCTTGTCGAGTTCTTCACGATCTTCACCAGTAGCGTAACGCCATTGGATATACTGGTTAGGAGTGGAATCCAAGTGCTTTTCAATATGGTGGAAAGCGTGTTGAGCGACGTAGGCAATACGCAAGTTAGGATGCTTCCAGACGACACCGCTGTTGGCTTCCATCTCACCAGTCAAAAGCTTGATGAGAGTAGACTTTCCGGCACCGTTGGGACCAATGACGGCAACACGGGAAGAGAGAGAGCACTGCATGGTAATACCAGTCAATTGCTTGCGGTCAGTACCGGGGTACTGGAAGTCACAGTCCTTCATCTTCAAGATGGCACGTTCCTTGGTCTTGATACCCTCAAGGAAACCGGGTTCAGGGAAACGGAAAGCGAAAGCAGCATCCTGGAGAGAGTAGTAGGAAGCAGCCTCAGGGACCTTCTTGACGAATTCGGTCAAGTTACCTCTGTAACGCTTGAGCTTGTAGTTCTTTTCATAATGGATAATGTCGGTACAGCACTTGTCAAGGAAACCAGAGTCGTGGGAAACGATCATGGAGGTGACAGTCTTAAGACCGAGAAGGTAGTTCTCCAACCAGGCGACGTTGACAACATCCAAATGGTTAGTAGGTTCGTCAAGCAACAAGATATCAGCGTTCTTAAGCATAGCACGGGCAAGAGCGAGCTTCATCTTCCAACCACCGGAAAGAGCACCAATGGGCTTGCTGGAGATCATCTCATCAGAGAAACCATATTCCTTAAGAATCTTGGTGACGGTGACGGGATCCTTGGTCTCAACACCTTCGTCAGCAAGGACGAAGTCAACAATAGGAGTATCAGCTTCGGAACCATCAATATCGTGCTCGACATAGACAGTCTTAAGCTCAGACTTGGGAGGGAAACCTTCAACTTGTTCGTTGGCGATAGCACGCATAAGAGTGGACTTTCCGGAACCGTTGGCACCGCAAAGACCGTAACGTCTACCACGCTTGAGACGGAGGGAGGTACGGTTAAGCAAAATCTTGGCACCATAAGCAAGGGAGAACTCGCAGTTGCAAAGATCTTCACCCTCATCATCATCTTCTTCAACATCCTTCTCAGCAACAGCCTCCTCGCACTTGGCAAGGAAAGAGTCAGCAAGAATGGTGGCATCGTCCTGGGACAAGAAAGCGGCAGCATAAGGAGTGACGTTGACAACCCATTCGTTCTTTTGGAATTCTTGAACGTTGGTCATGGCAATGGCGAGCTTGCCAATGTAGTCAACCTCAACCTGGAAGAAAGCATCATATTCGGTAGGCAAAAGTTCCTTGAGACCGGCAACGATGGCATCAGCCTTCTGCTCAGGGGTCTTGGTCCATTCCTTGGGGGTACCAACACGTTGAAGGGTGGCAAGAGCCTTCTCAACAACGGAACGGCACTCAGGATCAGCAACGATCTCGTGAGTGTGCTCGAGACCGGGCAAAAGAAGAGGCAAGAAAGGAGCGGCGACATTGGGGTCATCGACAAGCTTGGACATGTTGTCAATAATCAAAGCAGACTTGCGCTTGATGGGAGTAGCACGCTCGTTCAAACCACGGGCCAAAAGGGGAACCATGATGGACAAGGTAGCAGAGTCGACTTCCTGGACGAAAGTGGTGGCACCGAGCAAGTGAATGGTCTCAGGGACGTTCTCAGGCTTGTTGATACAAGCAATGACAGCGGGAATGAAACGTTCAATATCCTTGTTGTCAGCGAGGGAGCAGACATTGCCCATGGTGGCAGTGGCAGCCTTCTTGACCTCAGCCTTGGTATCCCACATGCAGTCAGAGATGGAGGGAACAATCTGGGGAATGCAGGAGTGGACTTGCTTGGGAGCAACCTTAACGAGCTCATCAATGATGGTCAAGGTAAGGAACTTGGTGGGCCACTTCTTGGAGTTGGTAAGACCTTCCAAAATAGCAGGGATCATGGTAAGAACAGCGAAGGGAGAGACAGTCTTGATAAGATCCTTGGCAGCCTCAGCAGCATCGTTCTTGACAGCGACTTGCTTGTCAGCTTGGAGCTCAAGAAGTTGGGGAAGGAAGTTAAGCAAGAAAGGCTCAGCTTGACGGTCAACGCTCTTGTGGGTAAGAGCCTTGATCAAGGCAACACCAGCTTGACGAGCAGCAGGGGCCTTCTTGTTGTTCAAGTTAGCAGTGATGGCATCCAAGATACCATAAAGCTTAAGAGAAAGGACGCCGTGAGTGTTGATAAAGCTGGCCAACTCCTCGGCGGCAGAGTAACGGTCAGCATCGGCAGAAGCAGCAGTGAGCTTTTGGAGAAGCTCCTGAACCTGCTTGGACTCGACCTCGCCGGGGTTAGTGGAGATGGACAAGGCGGCCATCTTCTTGGTAGGGATTTCGGAAGCCTGAGTGTTGTTAGCGACGGCAGGCATGGCGAGGGAGGGAGTAGGAAAGGGGGGAAAAAGTAAAGAAGTACGTCCAGGGGACGAAAAAAAAAATTATATTTTAAAAATTTTTCGTTGCCGTTGCAACCAATCATATTGCATTATCTGATTAACTTGAGACGTCACAGCCTGGATCAATCGAAGCCGCTCTAAGCCAGTGACGTCAAATTTTGGTCTTTGAAAAACTTGTACTGGCTTACTTCCCTCCCCCCACACTGTCTCAGAAAAACAAGTACTTTGGGCCCGTAGCTTAAATGTCTGTGATATGCTTTCATGAAAGCCTTTCGGTTTGGGGGAAAACCCTATCATTACACCCAGCACACGGAACAAATACAGACGGTGATTGGGTGGCGGAAGTCATGTGTACCGTGTGTGAAGGAGAGCTTTCATGGGAGGGGGTCGGTTATCATAGAGAGAGCTTCAATCGCTATTGCTTACAAATCTATGTTGGTCCACTGTATGTGACAATCCAATTAGAGCTGTTTCGCCGAAACCCTCAAAGCAAAGCAAGTAATTTTAGTGACCGGTACACTCTCCAGATTGGTATGGTTCGGACGGGGTACGAGCCAATTAAACTGAACGCCCGTCGTCTCTATTAGCTACAGTACCAATCACAATGAATTGAAACAACCGTGAATACTGCGGTTCAGCTTAAGCAACCTATCAGCTCAAACAGCCATACCAGCTTAAACAGCCATAATAAACCCTCCTTCCTCAGCTTTAAAAAAATCATAGTCTTTGGAGCACTGAGTAATGGGATCACACGACTTCCCTAAACGAGACACACTTTTCCGATGTTTTGGCTTGGGTTTATTATTGAATGGTGATAATGAGTTGGTTGGGTGAGGTCGTTTTCTATATGCGTTGTAATTTTATCCTAAGCTCCATAAGCGACTGAGATCGGCAAACGAAATGGCAGCATGAGGGTTGCCGCAATTGGGAGCTTTGTCTTTTCGGTCCGGACGAGGCATGCTGTAGGTAGCTCTGTCAACGTTACTGTGGAATGCAGCAAGCTTACCATAGCCTTGTGGGCTGATAACACGATAGGTGGTGCTAGCTAGGAGCCAGTTTTCAATCACAGCACTGTTGATTCCAGCCACCTTCTCTTCCTCCGTTTCAATATGTGGTTCGGTAATATTAATATACTTGGCCACTTGATTGGGTTCAAGATGTTCAATGGGTAAGCCGGTGGTCAAGATTGTGGCGTCTTCGTTGCCTAAGTATTTAAGCTGCATAGCTGGATCGTCGTTCAAAGCCATCATTTCATCTCGGAGCTTGGACGAGTCGGTGATCAGGAAGTAGATCACTCGCTTGTGGTGAGGCTTGCGATAAGCTTCGGTGAGTTGATTAGCGCAGGTCAAGAAGTAGGAATAGCTGTCAACCGTAAGTTCATCATCCTGGGGGTTGACGATTTGGTTGTCTCCTGTTCTGATTTGAATGCCGACACTGAAGATGCTGTCAAGTTCTAATAAGTTCTTGTAGGCATCGATAAATCGTCGGGAGCCAATGGTAGGCTTGAATAGAAAGTCGGTTAAGCAACCAAAGGCATTTTCAGGCGTGAGACCCATTTTGTGCAAAATGTCGGGATAAATATCAGAAGATTCAAAAGTGTGAATGATATAACCTCGGTTGGATCGAACTTCAACCAACGAGCTTGGCCACAAGTCTGAAAGATTTTGAGTTCGGCCCTCGGGGAAGATTTTGGTTTCCATGGTAGCCCATTTAGCATTGAGCAAATCGACATGTTCATTGGTAAGGTATGCATCGTCGGGTGGGTTGGTGAATAGTTCTTCCATGGTATCCATATCATAGTGCCAGTTGATGTGAGGCTTTTCGAACAAAATATCCAATGAAAATGGATTTTCACCGTCCCAGTAAGCAAAATAGGCTTTATCGGTCATTAAGGCATGGAAGAAAGTAGAAATCATGCCTATCTCACCAAAAAGTAATTTAATGAGTATCCAGATCAATGGTCATCCTGGAAAATGATGGGCCACTTACCACTCATGCGATCAGCTAATCCTCCACAACCACGGTTACCATTGGTGGCCACTTGAATACACTTGTATACAATGTATTGAGGCTTGTCTTGCTCTCGCAACATGTCATAACTGTGCGTTTGCAAAGCCTCCAACTGTTCTAGGCGCTTCTTGTGAAGGGCGATATAACTATTCTGCCAGTTGCCACATTCTCCGTTGAGGTTGTACTTATAAGGGGGGTTAGCTGAGTTTAGTACACGCCATCCTTGGCAGTACTGGTCATAATCATCTTCAGGCACAGCAGATAGAATATCCAATATAGTGTAATGAGGGGAGGTAGGAGTGTAACTGCCATCTTCAGATTTTGGTAGAGCCAGTGATGAAGGTAGGGTACATTTGCCTTGGGTTGCTGGCATTTCATAGTCACCGGTGCCTGCTTCAACAGGTTTATCGGCATCACTTTTGTGGTCTGGTACTGAGTATGCAACATCGTTATCTTCAGCATATTGTATATCTGTATGGCCTGTATGGAGAAAATGGTTATTGACATTGTCTGCTCTGCCGTGACCATCTCTACAAATGGCATACCTGTATAGAACATGGATGAAAAAGCCAAGATGACAATGGCAGCCATGCTAAGGACGGTCAATGCCTTTGCACACTGGTATTTCAGAGCCATCCCGGTGAAGTCACCTCCTCGGCCCAGACGTTGGTAATCGGGAGCCATGGCGAGATGAGAAGAGAGATAACAGTCGCTGCTGGGATATTGATGGCTTGCTACCACCTTTTTTTTTTTTTAGATTTTTGCGGCCGCTATAATGATTGGGCATTTCCATAAACGGAATATCAAATGAAACCATAACAGCTTCGCTTAGGGCTCGCGCTCAATTGTTCGTAAAGCAATCAGCCACCCGCGATGATCGCATTGTTTACTGAATCCCGCATTTTCCCTTATCCTCTGTGCACTTCAGATTCCATTCTACTGAAGTTTTTTGGATGTAGGGTCACATAGCGCGCTAACATTGATTTAGCAATATGTCTATGACAACACTTTCAGGAGTTCAGTCTCCTATGCAGATCCTTTAATTTCCTTCTATCCATGGTAAACCCTGGTAAATGTATTTATTAATCCTAGCTGGTCACGTACGACTCCCAACTCAGGTCACCGAAAGTTAAGAATGTTGCCTGCAGCGTCACTGTTTACAGTTGATAAGCCCTCCCGAAAATGTGGGCAACAAACTTTATGTTCAAATCTGTGGGTTTATCGTATACTTCATTCTTACTAATATGGTCGTCGGCACTTCTCCAAGGTCAGTAACTAAGTGCCAGGCGCCACCGGTAGCAGTGACGTCTATATCCCTACCATCTTTGTCGCAATGGGCTCAACTTCTTCATAGTCGGCAGTCAGTTATTCATCCTTTTCTTCAGCCTCGAGATAGGTTAAGCCAAGGTTTTCATGCAGGTTTAAGAATTGGGTAATGATCATTAGAAGAATTTTCTGTTGGAATGGCTTTGCTGTGTCTCTGAATAACTCTGAGCCCTACTTGCTTGTGGAATCAACGAATGAAAATCCTCCTCTATATGGCAATTTTGACAAACCATGCAATTTCCTCCTGAATATCCCGGGAACTCTCACTTTCCTTTGAACGGACCAGACAGTCAGAACCTAAAATGACAACCCAAAAATTCTTTGCTTACCGGTATGAAGTAGTAGCGAAGAACAAAGTAGTACATAACATAGTGCTAAGATCCCTGTGGTATTGGAAAACAGTATGATATAACCTGATTTCCGTATTTTTGACTATCCCAAAATCAAAAAAAAAAATTCAACTGACTTCCTCCGCCTTAATCGCCAATGCCTGGCATTGACTGCATTACCAAAATTCAAACGCCATTTTGTAGAAAAACATGGCAAGGAGAACAAGCCTATTTCGAATGGCTGTCTATGCTAGTGAGGAAGCTGAGGCAATTGTAAATACGCTGGTAACCATCTAGTCCCTGACAAAATTTGTGTAGGTTGTTGCTCTCCGCGCAAAATTTAGTTCGATGCTCCTTTGAAAGCGCGCGCGGCCGAATTTTCCGTGAGAAGTTTAGTACAAGTAACAACCACCCTACGATAAAATTTGCCAATGCATCGTATTATGAGAAAAGCTTAGTTCACACAGGATGTCATGGAAGGAACGATGACGATCTATGTAAAGTTATTTTGTTATTTATAGATTGTAAACACTTGTGATTAGAAGTCAAACTTTTGCATTGCTGAGTTCCAGTGATGGAAAGGGCTGTATAAATGGCTCTACTTACCTCTCATACTTTCTGACCAAATCGATTGAAAGCTGTTTCAGGAGTAAAGGTTGGAGGAAATCCATCATCATGTTGCATAGTTATAGTACATACAAATGGTTTGCGATTGAACATGATGGTATAAATGTTATTGGGACTGAATGTAACTGAGCTATCTTATGCTATAGAATATGAAAACTTTGTCCTAAAGATTCGATGTTTATCTCAAAATGATAATGATAGCTTATGCTTTACTGTAATGATTGAATATATAACAAGTTCTCTGTGTTGGCATGGAGACTTGAGTTTCATATGTCGGATCGTCGGTTGTATCGACACTCGCGAAATTTTCTGATTATTCCGCACCAATTTGCATTTCCTAGCTGTCATTATGATCAAATATTTCATTTCTATGCACTTTGGTTGACAGTGGCATGAGAGTACTTCTGAAAGGAATGCAGGCTTTCATCTTGTGAAATGGCAAACACTACCCCTTCAATAGCAGCCTCAATATCCATAGTATATTTCGTATGTTTGGTGAACTGCAACTCAGATCTCCATTGATCAGACGTTTTGGCAGCCACCTGCTTCAACTGTAATATCCAACGATTCCATTCCGTTTCCTTTGCTAATAGACTTTGATAGACATCCTCATTGACAGCACCTGTTAGTAGAGATACTGCCGATAAAGCAGCAGCTCTGTTGTTTGCGACAATAGTAGTAACATATTTCGTTCCGCTTTCTGTTTGGATCAACCTTCCTACTGTGTCGTTCAAATCATATGAAGAATAGAGAAAATTTGCAATGTAACCGATAAGATACGATAGCAACAGAAGTGCTTGCGTAGCTGGTAAAGCTTGGGGTATAACAAATAGCTGAGCAAGCGTAAGAATGTGAATCGAGACGCATATAACACCAAGTGAAGTTGATGATTTTGGCTTTAATTCAAGTTTCGTTTTGGTGATACAGTTTACATCGTTCTCTTCTCCAACTAAAAGTTTAAGATGATTACTGCCGTTTGATAAAAGTCCTAGACCAACAGGTATGTCGACATTGGTGGACGCATATTTCGAAACCTTCAAACCACCTGACGAAAGCGCTTTTGTCAACGCAAAAGTACAAGCGCTTAGGAGTGACATGACAGCAAAGGCGTAGAAGTCTCCAATGTAGTATATGACACAGTGGATGCAAATGGTTGCCACCGACGCGACAAGCGAAATGAATGTCTGATGATGGGTGAAAGTATTTTGTATGACATCTCCATTTTGGTATCCTCCTTTTACATGATAAACATCGACAGTACATTGCGTACTGCTACGTTGACTGTTGATTCTGATAACGTTGCGTTGATCACTATTGTCTTTCTGCAATAAATCAGGAATATTGCTATAGGGCTTCATTTGTGTTCCGGATAAAAGGCCATAAAATACGTATTGAGAGCTCTGGGCTAGATCTAGCACAGTTGCTAAACTCTCTCGTTTGCCGGGAAAGAAACTTGTCCATAGTCTACCAGGAAGAGTCCTCCCAATTTTCTGTGCACTGACATATAGTCCGGTGATAGAATAAGCGAAAAGTCTGTTCTTGGAGCCAGCCAGAACGGCAGAGGTAATGCCATCCAACGATGATTGAAATAAGAGTATGATCAGGACCAAAGGTAAATCCAAATAAACCTTCGGCTCCCAATCCGTAAGACGTTCAGCCAATGTCATCATTTTTTTTTCAAGTCTAAAGCGGTTCTTGGAGCTACTGCCTAAGTTACAATGACTGGGGAATAATTAAAATGAATAGGTATTTATGTTGGATTTTCTGACCCGAAAAGTCATCCGATGTAACTGCGCGCTGTAAAAGGATTACCTTTGTCAACAAACCCCCATCTCAGCCCCTTGGTTTCTAGAAGGTGGTATAGAGTTCTTCTCTCCCCCACATCACCACCCAAATGGGTGATCAAGCAGTCTAGATCGCACAAGTGCTGAGCTTCCATTCTGAACTTGAAAATGTAGCAGAGTAAGGAAGTTCCGTTTACCGCCAAAAGTATACGATGTTTACGTTGCACTGATGGTAGTACACGAATCAATCAAGTGGCTTCAATAAATCGCAAGAGAGAGCGGCAGCAAAGGTTCAGCACAATAACGAACCATCCGTTTTAAATTTCTTGGCTTCTTTTTTTTCTTTTGCTCTTCTTTTTCTATATCTTCACCGTTGTCTACATTGCTTCCTCTTTCACTACTTGCTCTATGCCATTAAGATCTCAACTTACAGCACGGTCATTCACCGAGAGAGTTGTTGGCCTCTTATTTCATGTATCGTATTTTTCTCTTTATATTATCATAACATATATGACAAACAAGTATATGTTCGTGGATGCTGCTCCTATACTACCGACAGCTTCTTGGGATCCACCTAATTTCACCTTGGATCTGTCTGGTGTCGCCGCTATCGTGGGCGGAGACGAAGCCGTGGCTGCTACCATAGCAGCATATACTACCGGGAACTCCTGGTTTGTGGGCGGATACCCTACTCCTGGCGCTTACGTGGTAGCGAAGTTTTTTGGACGGACCTTACATGGCTCTTGGTGGAATGGGGTTTTTCCAGGTGACCGCACTGATCTAGCTACCGCCTTCAGATTGCATGGTCCTTCGAAGTTCCATTATTACGGGATAAAGTCCGGATCGCAGCTCCCGCCCTTTAGCAATATTCCGGATTGCTTAATTAATGAAAAGCTCCTGCAAAAGATTAAGGACAACGAAGAATTGGTCGCTAAAGGTCAACCCAGTAATATCGATCTCAAAGAATTCAAGGGAAGAATTCACAACATCACAAAGAAAGGCGAACGTGGAACAGACTGTCTAATGTACATTTTCACCGCGGAAAACGGCTGGCAGAACGGAGATGAAGTCAATGTCACACCTAATCGAATCCATATGATAGTTGGTCTCTGCGCATCTTTACTCAATGCTGGTATTTGTGTTGTTCTTGCCCTCATGAATGACTGGTTTGCCTTCTCTATTATTATTCTTGGAATGCTGGTTAACTTTCTGTTTATGGGAACCGTGAGTTCTTGCAAGATTACTGTGAAAAAGCACAACATCAAAGAACCCAAAACCATCCCTCCTGGACATGGCATTTTCTCTCACAAAGATAATAATGTAATCATGGCCATTTTCGGAGACGAAATTTCTGTCAACAGCATCACCAAGACCAGGCTTGAGGTGGGGCCGAAACGAAAATCTTCCAATTTCAAGCTTGGTATTTGCTGTATAACCATGTACATGCTGTTCCTGGCTCAGCTTATTATTCCCGCTCAAGCAAGCCTCATGGGACAGATCTTCTTTCTCGCCTCTTTGCTAATTGGTTGGTTTTCAAATGCATATTACTCTTCTTTGGATGCAACCAAGGCACAGCGTCAAATTGTAAAGGAAAACTGTGGAGCTAAAGCTGTAGCGGTTCTACGGGGTAACCGAACCTCAGTATTTTTGACATTGGCTATTCTGGCTCGAATGGAAGATGTATGCTTGAGAGGCGTATATCCTCCACTGCTTGGAGACAGCGACGCTTGGAAAAGTGCCATGACCTGCATTGCTGATTCCGTTACATCGAAGCGTCTAATCGTAAGCAAAGAAGTAATGAACTCTCATGTAGGAATTGATCTTCAAAACGCCTGGAAGACTGCCCATGAACTGAAGGAGATGAATCATATCACCGAATTCTTGAGAAAGCTTGCCCAAACCAATGCGAACAATCGTGCTGCACTTGATCAAGGTAATCTTGCTGGTCTTGATCAAAGTAATTATATTGAACTTGATCAAAACACTCCTCCTGAGCTCAATCAAACCAATCCTCCGGAATCCAGTCAAGAAAATCGTACAGATTCTCCCGCTGCTTCTGCAGCTTAAATTTTTATATATCGAGTTTTAAACTCTTTCTTTGTCTCTTGCTTCGAGTATATTTTGCCATCAAACATTTCTTCTCTATACAATCTTTTGTACCTAACCATTGCCACATACATACTGTAACAAACGTGTATCAAAAAAACTAACGTAATAAAATATATTTAATTATACAGGATGGATTCGTTGAATTGAGAAGGAAAGCAGTATGGTCAATAGAAAGTTCACTTTCGAGCACATACATCCTTTAACAGTTCATTGCATAGAGGCACTTGTGATGCTCACCAGAATTGCATCTCATTTGACATTGTAAATTAAATTCAACAATGCTCAGCTATTGAAAAGCTAATAGAGCAAGCCTAGACATTATAGAGCATGGAACTTACCCTACATTTTTTGGTTAGGGGGTCACCAACCCCAAACCGCCAAATCATTTTTTCATTTTGACAAGTGAAGCTGAGCATACCTGCTGCAGTTCGTGCGGAACAGTTGGATGCACGGTCCCTCGAAATGCCTGTCACCGTATGGTGCTTTTGTCACGGCTGCGAGTAAATTGGAAGTTTCCATGAGCTCGCATCTGTCAGCAGCAAATGCATATAGGTAATTCCATGCGGTTGATGATAGCTTTGAAGGCAGCTCTCATCCGATAAGAACAAACTTACTTTCAGGCTGGTCAGCGGGCTGATGTTAGTAAGAAATGGAAACTATTGACCTGCGCAGTATTTTGATTACTTCTTTGGAGAAACCGCGTGTTTTAAACTTTGTCAACAATCTTGAAGAACCGCATGTTCGAACCCCCCAACTAAAGCCGATACTGTTACACTGCTTTGAACAGAAAGGCGTCACCATTTGCACAAAATCAAGTAAGGGAATATGCTCATCATTTGTGGCAACCTGCGGTCGATCAATTGAAGAAAGTGGCTACAAATTTGTTCGCTTCGCGTCGCAGGCAATAGATTATTCGACTGTAAAATATTTGAATATTGGTCTGATGAAGGGTGCGGTCATGTATACCAACCTGTTTGCAGCAGCAGTAATATTGATCAATCAAGTGACCACAGATTTTTCTCCACAACGATTTTCACTGTAACCATTCATCGTCATGGAGAACAATCTGTGGCTGATAACATCGCTGATTGTGACGAAAATCTCAATTGCGAGACCAACTGAACTGCCAATATCGCAGAAAGATCATGAGATTCACTTCGTACTTTCTAGCCAACAACACTTTATTGATTGCTAGACTTAACATTCTCTATTTCAAGCCCCTTCAATTCAATTTACGGATACGTTCGCTTTGATTATTTACAGACATGTTAAACTCTATCTTCGTACACTTAGATCCAATGCAGTAATCAGTGGAAACCAAAGCATATTACAAAATTATGTAATTGTCTCCGCAGACAGTGATATCGAGATGATCACAAAATTTCAGATTCTGTATTGCTCAAGTTGGTCGTTGAGGCTCAAAACCTTCTCGCTCTCCCAGGCTTGCCTAATCTATTTATGGCAAATCGCGATCGGATACTGTGATTTTTTGCCTCTATGTTTGACTGATCTGGAACCACATTTTACTTCTTGAATTTCTATGGCTATGGATTGTGATGATGATACTGATGTGTATAGACATTCTAGCGGCAATCCATAGCTGATCTACAAAGGAACGGTTCAACTTTGCAAAGTGCTCTGAGATGAACTCTTAAGAATATTGACCTGCGCATTGTTGCGTGTTGTAATTGCGGGCGATCAATTTCGAAAGGAACAGGATAAAAGGCGTGTTTCCTTATGTTTACTGGTATGAGAACGCATGGTACTCGGCTGACTACAAGCGCAGTTCCTTTGTGCCACAAGCGAATGGCAAGGTTTGGGATTCAGAGCCAGGACTCAGTCACAGCAATGTCAGTATACGACAAAATACCATACACCATCACCATCCTAAAGATTCATCATCTATGATTGCATTGGCATTTATTGCAATATGAGTAGGTATAACAGGAAATCATAGGAAGAACATTTATTGCGAGAATCTCGTACTCATACCACAGAGTCTATAACAGATACACACATACCTCGACTTTTCTTCTGCTGCTAACCTTGTATCCTCCCCAATCCTGGCATGAGTGGTGATAAAGATGGTAGGCATGCGCCTCATCAAGTATATTTGTTTGCTTGGTGTTACCCGCCATAATGGACCACCAACGTCTTTGCTGGAGTAAGCTTTAGTCACTTCAGTTTCTCTGAGCGATCTACAACCCAGTATAGATCATAATGAGATCCACCAAGACATGAAGGATAAACCCCTGGTGCAAAGCTTAAGCTTGTAATATGGGTACGCAGTGGTAGCTTGGCAAATTGGCAACTAAAAACGTTGTAGTACAGTTGTTAGAGTGCAAACTCCTGTGTCGTGTTACATCGCAAAACCCAATCTTGCTTGTTTGATTTCAGTCGTGGCTTCTCCCATTTTGCCCAGAACAGCTCTTCTTTTCGTGGTCGAAGAGCCATATTCATTAGATATCACAGTTGGAATTGGTTTCGAACATGCATCAGTTCAGCAGCAGGAAAGCGCCAATCCGTGCCTCCGACGTAGTTTTGCCGAGTCTGGTTTACACTATTGCCAACTACGTCGTAACCAAGTATCTGTCGGTACGAGCAGCATCACTTGATGTTTTAGAAACCTGGGACCCTGATTTTAACTTGGATTTGTCCGGTGTAGCCGGATTTCTCGGTGGTGATGAAGCTGTTTCAGCTACAGTTGCGGCATTCAGTACAGGCAATATTGGTTGGACAGGTTGGTATGCTTCACCTGGAGCGTACGCAGTAGCAAAGTATTTCGGAAGAACTTTGGAAGGAAAGGTTTGGAAGGCCTGCTTCCCTGGAGAACGCGTCGACTTGTCCGAGGCTTTCAGGCTACATTCCATCTCAAATTATCAATTCTACGGACTAGAATCCTTTACAAAATGTCGACCGCATAGTAACATACCTGACTGCTTGGTGGCGGATGTAGACAAAATCATTGCTGAGGACAAGCTCATTGTATTCAAACCACTCGATCTTGAAACTGAACGTACGCAGCCTGGTCAGGATTCTTTGCCTAAAAAGGATGAGCAACTGGAAAATGGGACGCCAGCCTTAGTTCACATATTCACAGTAGGGGAACAGAGTAAAGATGAGCAGTCGTCAAGCAACCATTCAAATGAAACTCCGAGTCCAAAGTCTTGGGTTACTACTGATTTCTATAAGATATCTCCAAGCATTAAAAAAGCAATGTACGGCGTGGTTGCTCTGGTCGTGGACTTGGTCTTCCTTGCTATTCTGGGTCGTATCAGAGACTGGTGGATTCTATCTATTATTTTGGCAAGTCTAGTGTGTAACTTCTTATTTGTTACTTCCCTCCGATCGTGCAAAATCGAAGTAGTGAAGCACAAAGTGTCATCCCTGGATACACCTCCTGGGCACGGTATCTTTGCACATGATACAGAAAACACCTTTATGGCTGTGTTTGGAACCGAGGATATGATGAACAATATTGCAAAGACAAAACTGCAAGTCACCCGTAACAGTACCATATGCACCAAACGTCCAAGTACAGAACCCACTGAAAGTACAAATACCATTTTCTCTGAACTCTGGACTGGTTTGGCATGTATGTCGATGCAACTGCTGTTCTTGGCACAAATTCTCATCACGCCTCAAGGAACTCTTGCTGGTCAAATCATATTTCTAGCGTCCCTGCTCGTTGGTTGGATAGCAAATGCATGTTATTCATACATTGATGTCACTGAAGCGCAGCGACAAATAGTTCGAGATAATTGCGGTGCAAAGCATGTCCTGACGTTGCAAGGCGATAGAACTCAAGTTTTGCTAACTTTGGCGTTTTTGGTAGACCTAGAAGGTGACGATTTCATAGAAATATATACCAATCTACTCGCAAAGTCAGCAGACTGGAAGACAGCATTGAAAGCCGTATCCGACAAAGTGAAGAACAAACGCCTTAAGAATGAACAAAATATATCCCTTCAATCTGAAGGCAACCAGAGTGAGTGTAATCAGATCGGAAGCCCATTCAGCGAGCGTCTGCAAAAGGCCATCGCCGGTGCAAAAAATACCCTCGACACCGTAGATGTGAACAGTGAGCTGCATAACAACATACAAAAATTCAAAGAATTTCTGGAAGGACTGAAAACTCAGTCTTTGAACCAACAGCGTTCTAGTGCACAAAGCAGTCCAACATTAGAAGCAATCATTGTAGAAGACGCCGACAATGGATTACACGACATATAAGATCATTAGGCGGAGATTGTTTAGCAAATGGCGAACCCTAGGTCTACATAGCTAAAGTAGTTTAACATGATGGTCAGTGGTATCAACAGGGGAAAAATAAAAATTTCAAAAATTGGACATTATGGTGATTGCTGTTGTCGACAGCCAGCCTTTCCACCCGTTACAATATTCATCGTGGACATACCACCATCCATTCCTTAATAAATCAACTAATCAAAGCATATTCAAAACCTACCTCCATATTAATTCTCGTATGACTGTAACATTCAGCGGATGGGCACCGCCCGTGATTCAAGATTCACAAACAAAATCATAGTAATTTTTATTTCATATATGGTCGATTATTACTACAGCTCAACTTCAGCTGGCTTCGTCTCCTTTTAACCAAAGTAGGCCATGACACTCTGCTTGTTGCGCTGAAGGTAGTCGTCAAAGGTGTTGAGCTTAATTTGATATTCTTGTAGTTGATCCCTTGTATCGCTCGGCTGAAGTAGATTGAAAGCTTCCCATAAACCAAGTATAGGTGGAAAACAACCTCTGTTTTTTGCGTCCTCAAAAGATAGACACTCAGCCTTGGCTTCGATACCGATGTTTCGAGTAACTTTCTCCGCAATTTCAGGCAATGTAAGTGCCTCAGGTGCTAGATCAATGATTTTTTCGTTGTATTGCTCTGGGTCAGAAAGCGCAGCCTGACAGAACTTTGCAATCACTAAGCTATCAACCAGCGGAATCTTGGTAGATTCTTTCAATGTGGCTACAAGCACATGTTCCTTTTGAAGATGAGGAAACTGAATAGCTGATATTCTGCCGAAAAAATTGTCCATGAAGGTACATGGTCTGACTACAGTCCAATATTTGAATCCAGCGTTCGCAATCCTCTCTTCAGCCGTGGCCTTGTTCTCGAATACAGATGTCTTTGGATCATAGCCTGGGATTTCCTTTCTACGCTCCACCATATAAGCGCTCATATAAACAGCAGTGTTTACACCAGCGTCCTTGCAAGCGGTGATGACATTTTCTACGTGGGTCACTTCCATGGTCGATCCCATGGTGGGTACAGCGTTAACAAACACACCTTCAACCCCTTGTGCGGCGGTCCTGATGGAATTCAAGTCATTAAAATCACCCTTGAAAACCTTTACACCCAACGCATGAAGCTCTTGAGAGACTTCTGAATCTTGGGATCTTACCAAAGCGTGAACATTCCACTGTTCCTCCAATAGAACACGCACCAGTAATTTACCCACTGTTCCGGTTGCAGCAGTGACGAGGACGGTTTTTGAAGTCATATTGTTTATCAACTGAGGCCAACAGGAACCAATATCTCTCACAATCCAAAATTTTGCCACCCTTAAATACCCTGGAACTCCCGTGGGTAAAGGATAATTCATTTTCAATTACGCCTTTGACCGCAGCACATCTCCACTTCATGCAAATTTACGCTCGTGGTAACTTTCCACATGGTTGTCAACAAGGTAGATATGTATTGATGCCAAGATTTTTAGATCCACAGCCCGCCCATAAGCTTCATAAGTGAAGATCTAAGGAAGATCTAAGCAAGATCATGTAGGTAAACTGATCCATCGACTTCTTGCTAGCTTCTTGATGCCAAGCTGCATCGTCAAAAAACAGCCTGTAATGCTACTGGTGGCCTGCTCCCATGTTATCCCGCTTGATCGAGCGGACCCTGCATCTGCGTTTGGCGGATATTTGATGGTAGAGATTGACTGCGGTAAGGGCGTGCTAACGATCGGACAGTAAGCTGCAAGAAAATCTCAACGGCTTGGCTCATTTTTCAAACAAGGTAGGTTCTCAGTGACTCATATTCGAAAATAATTGCCATGGCTATTACCTACTTGGCTTGGTAACACTGGTTATCATATAAACACTCACTACCATCACAGCTACTCCCAAGGCCACTACCGCTAAGACCATCTCTAACGGCGACCGTTCAGATGAAATGCTAAATCAGTGGATATGCATAATCATCGTTCCTGGATTACCGTGAGAGTACCAATCTTATTGGCACTCTCACTTTGGATACTAACTTTGGGATACACCGTTGGACTGGCGTATCAAACTGACATTTGCATGTCAAAGTGTTCGAAATGGCTATGGCGCGCATTGACCACTTTTTGCGTGAAATTGAAGCACTTTCGTAGGTTGTGTAGGATCGCGGTAAGCTGTTTTATTTACAAGGCATTTGATGCAGTGAATCTTCTCTTCTCTCTCATTACACTAACTTTTATGTTTGACTTACTTTCTAAAGAGCCTCATATCGAAACAATCCCACATACTAAGAGATAATACTTATGGCCACAAGATCAAATAGAGCATAAGCTCTCTTAGAACTTCCGCTATCAGGAAGATGCACTTGCACCATAGAACCAGAACTAGGATTTTTGCCTCGCAATTGATATCTTACGTCTTGGAACCAGTCAATCGCAAATAATGTGGCATCATGAGGTCATAAAGATCAAAGCAGTTTTCTACAAGTTAAAGGTTGAATGACGGACAAAGATAATCGATAACTGTCGCTTTTTCTGTTTTTTTTACTTGTTCGTAACAAATTGTTGCATTGTAGTTAGGTCCTGCGCTGGACATTTTAGCACCGGGAAACCAACACTGTATATTATCATCTATAATTGAGGGGGGAAAAATTCCCTGAGGTAGTAACATTTGTTCCTTTAGCTATTTATTTCGGTGACTGGACATTTGCTTTGTGGAACGGAAAGCTCCAAGAGCACAGATACACCAAACTAGTCGGTTCTGTCCGACACACCAGCAACACTCTAAGCCTCGCATCCAAGCGTTCATGCTCCAATCTAACACCGATGGCGGTCAAAATAGACAAGCTATGACTACTTCGAAAATGTTCCACTATTTGAGAGCCACAGTTGATAAAGGATACGTAACTGTGACCTCTTTCTCGCGCTCAGCATCATGAATTTCCGCACCTTTTCAATGGGTTGTATGCAGGGGTTTTCCTTGGCACATCAGAACCTACTTAGGTGAAAGCGTTTGCCTGACGAAACTATCACGGTTCTGTATCGACACCAAGTCTCGTCTATCGACACCAAGCTGTCAAATTCAACCGCAAGTACATATGCAGCGTGCAGAGAGGTAGCGAGAAACATCGATGCCCTCAAGACCCAAAATCATAATGAAGGACTATGAATTCATACATGTTATAAACTCATACAACAAGAAAGAAATTGCTTTTGGTAGGAATCATCAGAGCCGCAAACCGGGTAATGTTTTTATTTGTTTAAGTATAAAAATGGTTATACACCTGCATTGACCACTTTTGCAATTGTTGAAGCACCTCTGATAGCTGTAATGAGTAACAACGGGCTAGCTTTATTTTACAAGAACATCTTCACAATCGGAACCTTCTATGGTCTCTCTTAGCATGTTATCTGTATGGTTGGCTATTGTCCAATAAGCTTCATATGGAAGCACTACCACATACCAAGAGACTGATACCTATAGCGAGAAGAGCAACCAACGTATCTCTTCTTAAAGAACTTCCACTACTTGGGAGAGATATTTGCACCAAAGGAACAGATATACCATCTTTCTCGCATTCGATATCGTATTTATTTAAGCCAGTCAAATTCAAGTATTCTGGTGTCAGGAGGTTCTGAAGATCGTTGCAGTTTGCTGCAATGCACAAGTTTATCGATGGACAAGAGTAGTTGAGAGCTAGCCCACCGCCTATTGCGGTTACGTTTTCGTAGTAAATCTTGGCACTGTAGTTAGCACAAGCTTGTGTTGGACAATTATCAGGATTTACCCAATTGCTCGCACTACTATTCATAATTGGTAGGAGAAGGATAGCGGAGGTAGGCACTTTTATTCCCTGTCTATTTATTCCTGCTGAAAATGATTTTGTGGAACCAGAATCGTAAGACCACGAGATTGTGTATATTTCACAAGGACAATGTACGGTTCTACTCAAGGCTGCGCATAACTCTCTAAGCCTTACATACTGGAACTACGTACCCACAGCTAATATCTATCGTGGCAAAAGCAAGATTTTTTGTATCTTACGAACATAAACCGGTAATTGCATCAATTGACCATCTTTGCAGTGTAAAGCACTTTTCCAGATGCGTTGGATAACGGAAGTCAATTTATTCAAGATACCAATTGAAGCAACGAAACATTCCCTCTTCTATTTCATCATGTCATCGATGTTGTTAACTGGCTATCTAACAAGCCTCAAACGGAAACATTACTACACACAAAGAGACTGATACCTATGGCGATAAGAACTAGTAAACTATCCCCTCTCACGGAACCTCTACCACTTGCTGGTGATATCAGTACTATGCCACTAGTATCTTCTTCTTTCCCTTTGCAATCGATATCATATCTATTAGGAGCAGTCAAATTCCAATTATTTGGCGTCGAGAGGTGCTGAAAATCGCTGCAGTCAGATACAATACACAGGTTGATTGACGGACAAAGGAACTTGGTAATCGTCTCTTGTTCTGTTTTATTTACTTGTTCGTAACAAATTGTTGCATTGTAGTTAGGGCAAAATTGCGTAGGGCATTTAGCACCTGCTGTTGCACACATCATAGTATTGTTCATGGTTGATAGGAAAGGATAGCTGAGGTAGCTACCCTGGATCGTCTCGCTATTTATCCCGACTAAAAGCGTTTTTGTGGAACTGAAAGTTTCCAAGAACGCTAACTGTGTACAATCCACACAGACATATACGGTTTTGTCCAACACTACGCACACGCAGCTAACTCTCTAAGCCTTACATCGACGCATTAATTGCCCTGTATCTAGCATTGATCGCAGTCAAAGTTGGAATTCCACAAGTAGCTCTCATGGTTCTGCTACTTGAGAGCCACAGCTGATAGGGAAGATATATAACTGTAGCACCGGCTTATAACGTGGTGTCATAGTTTTCCGCGCCCTTTCAATATGGATTGTAAGCAAGGTTCGTACTGAGTTTAGGGCCGGCGTTTCCCAGGTAATTTAGAAGCTAACTTAGGCACACTATGTCTGACTGATGTTACCATCAGGGATTAATGACTATTGTGCCGTTTCTCGCAGTAAACCGTTCAATTTATGCCCTTTTTCATCTACACCACATGACTATGGAAGGTATCATATGGTTGTGGAGAAAGGCCGTTGTGTATCGACACGAAGCTGTCGACTTCAAAAGCAGAAGCATATGCAGCATGCAGAGATGTAACAATGTCCATCGATGCCCCCAAATATTACGTTCTCTATGCGTACAGCAACAATCTCAGCCTTAGGTACAAGCTTTCTATATCACCAAGGTAATATTTGTTCTGATGACACCAGTAATTCTATCGCTACCTCTAATGAATGTGCTTCCTCAAAATCCAAGCCAAAAAAAAAAAAAGTACGCAACAATGTACCGTCCTAGTACGATCTGACATCGCAGTTTGAAGCACTGTACTTAAAGGGATTCGATGCAGGTGGTACAAGGAGCAACGCTTAATTGGAGAGGTAAGAGAGTTGATCTGGAGGCTATTGTTTACAGATTGCAACGAGCAAGGATTTCGTCGGATGCTTGATTCAGTTGCGCGGATAATACTGCTGGATGATTACACTCTCCCAAACGGACTTTTTGGTCGATTTTTGTCTCTTCAAACCAAAATTGACTCCGCCGTGCTGCGAGCGAATGCCTACAGTAAGCTCCCTCAAAGATTTCATGTCTGGTGTGGTATACCAGCCAAGGTCCAACAACGCACTTCGTTCTGAATTCTTGATAAATTGACGATGTCACCAATGAACAATGGTCAGTATGAAGAAAAATTTTCTCTGCATATCTCGCATCCACCGTCCGTTAGAGCTATCCGCAATTTGAGGAGATGTAAACATTGTGCTTCTATTCCAGTTTGAGGTGGTTGGAACAAGTAGGTTAAGATGCATATATACGAGGTGGAGCAGCTGATCGCACATAGCATGTTCATGGCTCCTTGCAAGACTGTTTTCTGGTAACGGTACAACAATTGCGCTTAGCACTAAACATATATTTTCATCCACTGAATGCTTTCATGATAACATCTTTGATGTGCATGCTTGTCCTTTCAGTTTGACAATGGGTAACAAAGCAATGAGAGAAGCCTAAGGTAAAAAATCATTGTTTCGCCCATTAGTACACAGAATCTTTTTGATGCAATTTCGTTTTTTTTTATTATCACGTTAATGATATCACTAGAATAAACATTTTTTCTTGTTGTGTTGACTACATCCCAACTCCTTGCAAAAGTCTAGCCTTTGCTCATATTACGTCAATTTTATACAGCTCGTTTGGAAAACTATCGCATATTCGTGTCCACTACAGCAGGCAGGAGCCCCATCGCATTGGAGTCCATCTGACGGAGCGCATCCAAACCCCACTAAGTTATTGGGGGGCACATCCGTTATATTTAAATTCTTGAAAAGATGCTTTACGTCGGCGCTGGAGGAACTGGCCATCTCATGGCAGCAAAATAAAGCGTCCTTGGGACACACTGTGCCTGTGCTACAGATCGCAACCAGTGTCAAAAGTATGTATATCAAAATGCTGTATGTTTGTTGTATTGTGGCTTTTGATATGAATTTGGCAGTGTCAGTGTGTTTCATATGATGTATATATTTCGCTCATCATTTCTAAATACCTACCAAACATTGTACTTGATTAAAGCAATGTCGATTAGAGTTGCTACTCCATTGTTGCTGATTTATACCACAGACATCGGGCTTTCTCCTGAGCGTCCTAGCCCCTATCGGTAAGGAAGACGGGAGCCTTCTCAATTCCTACATGGTTTGCTGCACTCATACTGCCTCTTACTCTGAGCTGTGCCTTCTATTAACTGCTAAGTTTCCGAAGTATAATATGTCTAGCTGTCGTGAGCGAAACGTTTTGTTTACAAATAATAAATAGTAGTCCCGAAAAAAAATGCCTGGCATTTCTTTTTAAAAAATTTATCAGCATAAGTTTTGATCTTCCTACCTCTAAACTTATTTTTCTATCTTGCTCGCATCACACGCCACTACTAGGGATACTCTCTGGTTGGGAGGATGTCTCCTGTTACTCCATGGCGATTCCGGTTTTCTCAAAATGTCAATTGATATGCAAGCCCTAAAGAACAACCTGGAAGAAAATACAATGACCGCTGATGAGGGCATACCTTGCCTAAGTAATTTGATAGCTTGAAAATTAGCATACATCATTGGATGCACCCACGATTGAAAATAAAACAACTTAGACCTGGCTATCGTTATACCTTACTTTTAGTCATAGATCGCAGATTTCAGATCACCATCCTATTTTATCAAGTTGTGAAGATCGAACTACACCGTATTCACCGCTTTGCATAAGGCTGTCCCTCAAAATTCTTCCAAAGAACGAAGTAAAAGCTATCATGATGATCGTAAACCCGCGTTTGCCAAAGCGATCTCTACACCTTAACTTTCCAAAAAAATACAATATTTAAAGGGGTCAAGGAGAGAAGTGTTGAGCTTGAGACTTGTCAAGATCCTACTCAAAACACCATACCCCGCAACTGTAGCACGACCGGTGCATATCGACGCCCATCGATGAAATTCGAAAGTTTTTGCTATATCAGTTGGGCTTAAAGTAGTTTGTCTGGCACTCCTTTACATTGGCTATAAACCGAAATCTTCCGATAGCCACTATGTCTTTCTATTTTATTTTTTGTTTCCTTTAAAAAATATCGCATGCATATTGCCTCATTTAAAATAAAAATAAAAACATACCTACAAAGACCATTCAGAAACACTAAATAACATTAGGTTCTAAATCGAAGCTTTAATAATTGGAAAATACCAAAAATTTGATAATGTTCTTATGACTGATTGCCATTAAAAAAAATTCAATGGACAAAACATGCAAATGGAAACATCATGTTCACATATTTTCGACGATGTTAGAGTTAAATATAATTATAATACGTCACAAGAAATAACCATCATTCAACTGCACGCTAATATACATAAAGCAATAAATTTTGTAAACCAAAAAAAAATGCAAAACATTCTGCATTTTAATGTGTCTCTCTAATATAACATAAAAATGGCTATAGCACCTACAAGCCAGTATGAAACAGGTAAGATACAGTACTTTAGCGTAAATATAAGAACCCTAGTGTGAAACCGTACACTTAAAAAAATTATATAGCTTATGTGGCTTTCCTGGAGCCCTTCAATCTGAATGCATCATCTCTTTGCCTGACCATTACTCTCATAAGCAACCAAAGTATAGACAGAAGGTTAGGATAACATATTTTTGGTCCAAATATGATATGACATTTTCGCTGACATCAACAAGACGGTATGGCCTAATGGATAAGGCGCCAGACTTCGGATCTGGAGATTGAGGGTTCGAGTCCCTTTACCGTCGAGTGATATTTTTTATTGGTGGACATCATAAACTCCGCCAATCAATTTTTGCTTTAAAATGCGGAGATTTTATTGGATGACGTTGATTGAGCAGGGCAATTCGTAGCCTGGCTGTTCATTGAAGGATTTTATGCGGTGGTCCAATCAACGCTCCTCGCGCAGTTTGCTCCGTGGTGTAACTTGTTCTTACCGGGTATGCGTAGCCGTTCATTTCCTAAGTTTTGCCGTCGTCCGATCAACGTTTCTCGCGCAGTTTGCTCCGTAGTGTAATGATATGAGCTGAGGCACCTGTGTGCCCTGTCATCGGCGTCTACGTCCTTTGGACGATTTGAGTTCGTACTCTGCCACCAGCGCCAAAATGAAAACAGGATGACTAAATGTGGCTTTACTACAACGTATTCATCATTTTTAGTTTGGAAAAATTTATGTTCCTTTGAGTGGCATATGGGACAGCGGTATTGAGTGCGGTTTGAGAATTGAAATGTCCTAGGACACAAACAAAGGTACCAACATTTTCTTTATTGAGTGATACTATCATTGTAAATATAGGCAGATCCGACTCTAAGCATAAATTTCACAAAATTCGCTCCGTCCAGCCTGAACAACAAAATGTGTGAGAGGATAGCAATATCAGTCAAACTGGATGCTCGGCACAAAACTCTAAAGCAACGCGAGTCAGCACATCAGTCACTTGGTAAATAGATGATATTGTGGCCCACTCCACTGCCGCGTGAGCACCATCGCCATCGACGCCGAATAAGATAGAAGGAATTCCATGGTCAGCAAGCAAAGCAGCGTCAGTCCAAAAAGGCTCTGCACGGATGACCGGACTATGACCAAGCACGTCTTGGGTATGCTTCAAAAGACAGATGGCAATGGAGTCATTCGGATCGACTTCCAACGGAGCACGTGATAGTCCTTGCCTTAGACTATACTGGAACTCAGCGACAGTATTGGCCAAAGCATCAAGAATATTCCTCAGCTGGGTCTCAACAATCGATGCAGTTTCACCAGGAACCGTGCGACGCTCAATAGTAATGGTACATTTCGCAGGATAAGAAGAAGGTTCCTCACCACCTTGTATGAGCGACGCATGCACTGTGCCTGTGCCAAGAACGGGATGACAAATGTATGGCTCTTTGGACTGCAATAAATCCTGACCATATTTTTCCAAAGCCACCAAGAAGTGCCCTGCCTTTGCAATAGCGTCAATGCCCAATTCTGGTCTTGATCCGTGGGCAGCTTTACCTATGACATCGATATAAAACCAAACAAAGCCCTTGTGTGCCATTGTGATTTGTAGGTAAGATGGTTCACTTACAATAGCAGCGTCAGCTCGCCAACCAGCTTCCAGAACCTCTTGAGTGCCGATGCTTGCATTCTCTTCATCTGCTACGGCTGCTACTATTATGTCTCCGCCAATACCATGTTCCTTCGCAGAGACAGCTGCGATCATCGATGCAGCTACACCAGCCTTCATGTCGAATGCACCTCGACCATAGACAGAATTGTTGCGTATTTCACCACTAAGCGGATCACCATTGTAGCCAGCAAGGGTGACTGTGTCAATATGACCATTGAACATGAGCGATTTGCCTCCTTTACCAGAGCCACGTGCAACACCAATCACAGAAGGACGTCCATGGTGCTTTTCAAGTACATTTATCTCGAATCGACGATGGGCCAGCCAAGCGGAAATATAATCTGCAATCTTAGTCTCGCCTCCACCACCCTGTGACGACAGGTCCGGGTTGGAAGAATCAATGCGTACAAGAGCCTGCGTTAACGCTACAGGGTCATCGATAGATATGTCGGGAGGAGGTGTGTATGCTCTACTTCCTTCCGTGCAAAGCAAAACGATGACTGCATCTGGGTGGAAGATTGCAGGCTGGTGGGCATGAATGGATAGAAGGGTGGCAAGAGTAGCAGCACCGCAAGGGCCAGCGCCTACTCCCAAGTGATCGAGCTCTTGAATGGCTTGGTGACACTCCATGTCTGAAACAGATGTCGCAATATCCACACCACATGAAAGTAAAGGCCAAGCAATGGTAGATAAGGTGGCGCAATGTAAGCCAGACATAATAGTATGACTTGTACCAATGGTCGTGAATGCTCTCTTTTCCAAACTGCCCTTCAAGCAGGAAGCTGTATCTGGTTCAACTGTAATGATCGTTGTTGAATTGTGATTTCTAGATCGTTTGTAATGAGAGACAACAGCTTGAGCGAGCGACCCCACTCCAACTGGAGTTATGACAACGTCAGGACATTTGTTGCTTATCACAGAGTCAATTTGCTCATCAATCTCTTGTAGCATGGTATGGTATCCATCCACTATCCACTTAAAGACTGTCGGTTAGGAAAGACGATATGCAGACTTTTAGGACCATGTCGGAACAAACCTGAGGGATCTCTTCATAACCGTCAAATGCAGTATCTTGGATATAGAGACCACCTGGTGTAACTCTGGCTTTATCGTAGGCCATTTGCACGGCCAAATCATAGTCTCCCACAACGTTAGTTAGAGTGGTGCCTTCGGCCATGATAAGGTTCTTGGTCGATTCATACATATCTTGTGGTACAAAGATATGGGATTTCACGCCTAACAAAGTCGCTACATGGCCTACTGCTCTACCGTGATTTCCTTCTGTAGCTGCGAACAAGGTGATGGGAGATCCAAAGGAACTGATGGCGCGCTTCAAGCTGTCATACGAGGTATCTGAGTTGTTATCAGTGTAATTGACGAGTTGTGCGATAGCTCTGTAGGCTCCCCATGATGCTCCGAGGAACTTGAATGCCGGAAGACCAAAACGACTGGACTCATTTTTCAACAGCACTTTTCGCACGCCCAATTTTTCTGCTACAGAGACTAGCTCTACTAATGGTGTTGGACTGTAACCAGGGAGCTGCTTATGAAACGACAATGGCCGCGAATCGAAATGAGTATTTTCGAGAATTGAACGTGCTGCAGGATTGAAATAAGAGTTGTGTCTTAGTTTTGAAGACTGAAAAGACGCCATTTGTGTCGTCGAATGATCCGAAAGAAGACGAAACCTGGGAATGTTTGGTTGTTATGCCCAGTGAGTCATTTGTAAAAGGTTTAAGTTCCGAAGTCACTGGAAGCTTTGACTTGCATGACATGTTTGCGATAGTCTATTGTTCAGTCAAAATATAGCAAAGTATCCTTGTATTGTTGCGGCCGTCTAGCAGCTAAAAAATGCAGTGAATATAGCACACTACGAGTTTGATCAGAAATGCTACTAGCCTACATGCATGGCTCTGAGGCTCTACACTGGCGAGTATGTTGGTGTGCTGTGCCTGACTTATGTTGCTGCAAGGCGACACTGCCTTCTCCCCAGTACTGTGGATAGTGTATGCGGCAGTTGGTCAGTATCGTTAGCCTAAATCAGCTTTGAAATCGCGGGCGATATTAGCAAAGACATATGTACATACCGCAACACTGTTACTTTGATGTCAACGACGTGCCTTGACACGAAGGTGGTGGAGTACAAGGTTCATGGTGTCTTTGTAGCCGAATCTCTACCGGTGCACCATCTGTATAGCTGCAATTGAGTTCATAGGTTTTGGTGAGATCTACAATGGACTTTATGTGATCCTGCATTTGACATTATGAATCGCACAGTAATTCGTGGCACTGTACGTGAACAATATGACGATATTTTTTGAATGCTGAGTGTTGGTGAAGAGGATAAAATTGAATAGTCGGACACTAACTGGCAATTTTGGCTGTGGTTGATGAATTGGGTATCTTACTGTCATAACTGACGGCATACTTCAACACAAGTTCTATCTTCACCAGTCATTTCAATATCAGGCAGAACTTGACCGATTATAGTTACGCTGCATTAGTAGTCTATCCTTGATGGAACCCAGGTACTTGAAACATGAACAAACTCATAATTTAGCCACGTGAGCGGGTGGCGAAAAAAACCCCTCTGGATAAATTGCTTGTTGGTAAACATGTCGCATTTGACAGTAAATAAAGTTAAGATACTGATGCATATCAAGATCAAAGGATATACGGCTCACACAGTTTCCAAGATCATGTCTATGCATTTAATTGCAATGCTACTATGTGACTGAAAGGCTGTTTTTGCGGTTTTGCAAAACGCGGTAGCGGATAAAAAACGGCGGCATGAGTTGGACCGAAACCACACAACGGCCCGTTCGACGATCGTTAATTCAGGCTAAACATACCTCCGAAACACTCCACAATTACCATATAAATAGGTTTGGAGTGTCTTCAAGATGCTTGTTCCAAAAGTCATGGCATTCCCATTCGCATTACTACTCCCTACTCTAGGACCAGCAATCGCTGGTTCAGTAATTTATGGTGTCCTTATGCCTATTTTGATATGGAGAGCTCACACCACACACAGCTTCAGCCCTTACGTTATGTTGACTATCTTTTCTATATTTCGATGCGTTGGATTTGCTTGCCGCGCTGCCTGGTCTCAGCAAACCGCCCAAGGCATCACTGCCTTGGTCTATGTGGCTAATATCCTGCAATACGTTGGCTTTATTCTGGAAATATTCGCCGTCATCAACCTTACAATCAACTGGATCCACGCTTCTTTGCGTGAGGGATCAAAACCCCCAACAACCGAAAAATTGGCGTTCACTGCTCTGCGCATCCTTGTTGTTACTGCACAGATTCTGACTGTTGTCGGTGCGATTATGCTTCTAGTTGGTGCTGGTAGCGGAAAGCTCAATTTGGTATCCACAGGCACGAATCTGAGGAACGCCTCTTACTATATATTTTTCGCAAGTGCTCTTTTGGGCTTTTGCGTACTCCACTTTTACTATTTTACACATTTTTCAAGAGCAAGAACCGCTGATTACCTACTTATTCTGGTCCTGTATCTCCTCCTTCTCATGAAACTATGCTTCCGAATCGCTGCTCTGAATATGTCAGCATCCAACAATGTAAACACCAAGGAAGCCTTCTATTTCGGGATCGATGCATTGCCCGAGCTCTTGATCTGCTTGATTGCCGTTGTCATCAATCTGTCTAGAGTCAAGAATGGATTCGAGCCATGGAATGCCAAACGGGAGCGCAAACTTTCGGAAACCAAGGAGATGGTTTAAATGCCTCAAGAATGAGTTTACAATACGATGCCCGTCTAAATAGACTACTATACCGACAACCCTCCTCCCATACTGTACCAGTAGCTTTCATTAATATGTAACAGTCCACTAGATAAATTTATGTCATGATAGAGTATGTGAATTGTTTTTGAATGGTTGGAAAAGGGGTTGTTCCTTGGTCTTTCCACGAAGTCCACAATCAATCACGCATAAGCGTGATCTGTGATGAATTTGAATATTCGAGTTTGTTATCACGTTCAATCACGAGGACCCATAAGCGAAATCATGATCATCAGCGGTGCCTGAAAAGGAATCGGTAAAGAAGCTCAGGGCCATATGGTGAAAAAGCAGCCCCAAAGCTAACTGTCCCATATTTCGACTACTTCTGTAGATCTGGGCTAGTTTTTGTAAATTTATGGAAGACTGGGCTATTGCTATGACTTGTTATGTCTCTTGATATCAAGCGATGATAGCAAATCTAGAAGTCCGGAAAATGTGGCAACGTTGAGGCTATTGCTGGCGGCTTGAACAAAATTTTGCCAAAAACAGGGCAGTTGAATCTTTGCGTTTTCGATTCGTGCTCTGTATGAGGGAGCATTCATGCTCAGAACCATACCTGAGATATTTTTCAGCTCAGAAGCAAATTCTGAATCTCCTGCACTTTGATGGTTGGTTCGTAGAACATTCTACGTCTTCGAAACCCAATTGTGTAGTATTGTTACTCAGATGTCATCTCTCTGCTCACAAAAACTTGTTTCACCAACCGATTCTATCACAATTTAGTTAACACTTGCGACATCATATTTTCTACACATTTAGCTCAATGCATTGAGTCAATGATGCCAATGCGAAGAGATCGCAACCTTTATGATCTATGATGATTTGAAATTCCGCAAAATCATGGCACAGACAATGGGTCATTGCTTTGTAGCTTGCAAGCCCCTTGATGAGCTGTTATACAACCAGGATGATATTAAGATCATAAAACATGGTCATATACATGGCTTCGATCGTTAATTTACGCAGTGTAACAAAGTTGTCAGATATTCATACAAGTTGAGCGACAGAAATGGCGTTTGATATAATTTGACCACTTCAAAAGCCCAACTTTTTTTTTGAAGTGCGCTGTTTGGACTTTTCAACTCTCAAAATGAAAGATAATCGCATTTGTCATGGTCTTGACTGATTAAACAGTCTCCAGCTGCTCTACAGGTTGAAAGTAATCCGAATTGCAAACACAAGCCCTGTGTTCGACTTGGCAGCTTGCCGATAAACGGACATTTAAATAGTACATTGGGCCGTTGCACCACCGAAAAAGTTGATTCGCCAATGATCGTTTTGCTTCCCACATTGATGACCGATCTCAGATTTTATTTCCTAGTCCTTATCATATTTCACAGCTTTAGGCCAACTCACAGCTTTAGGCCCATGGAAGAGGATAATGAGCCATCATATGGAATTGAGCTTCTCACGAAAGTATTAGCAGCTAACAAAAATACTGCTTCCTTTACAATTGAAAAATTAAAGCATAGTGTCTCGCATCAAGTGAGGTAGAAATGGCGATAGGCGAATGGCGCAAGCTTTCTCCAATAAAAACCGCCTAAAAGCATTTGCACTCACGTGTAGAAGGCACCAAAAAAAAAAAAAAAGTCGGAATATGAAGCCTTTGCAATTTATCGGCATTCGTCGATGGGCGAAAAGCGAACCCATTCTCTTTCTTATACTCTTCTTTATCTGTCGCCATGACAGAAAATCATAGCATAGAGCATAGCCATGCTAATCAAGATTTCAATGAAAAGTATACTCCAGGATATGACGAGAAGGTTCAGTATGAAGAAGAAGAAGACCAAAGCCAGGAACAGAGACAGGAGCAGAGCCAGGAACAGAATGACGGGAATGGCGACTTGAAGCGAAATTTAAAGGCTCGACATCTTCAAATGAGTAAGTCAATCATTTTAATATCCCTCGAATGAACTACAAACCGCATGCAGTGCAATTGGATAGCGGATCAATTACATATAAAATGTCCAATCGATTATTGACCATTCTTGATTTTCCGATTTTCTCTTATCAGTTGCAATTGGAGGTACAATTGGTACTGGTATCTTCCTTTCCAGTGGATCTGCTGTTGCTGATGCTGGACCAGCTGGCGCATTGATCGCGTATATTGTTGTTGGTAAGTTCGCAATGGTAAAAAACCATATTTGTTGCCGCAACGTTTTAATCGGCCAATCCCCGTCGTATCAGGTATTATGGTGTTTTTCGTGGTTACTTCTCTTGGTGAAATGTCAGCATACCTTCCCGTACCAGGTGCATTCACTACTTTTGGTGCTCGGTTTGTTGATCCCGCCTTGGGCTTTACGCTTGGTTGGAATTACTGGCTTCAATGGGCGATTTCGATTCGTAAGTTTCGCGGAGACGGAGCTTAAAACATTATTTTTGTGCATTGCTTGACTTACATCTTTTCAAAACTAGCAACTGAGGTAGTTGCCGCTGGTATCATTTTGCAGTACTGGGCACCTAATTTGCAATCATGGATTCCTGCTCTTGTTTTTATTGTGGTTTTGGTCGCCATCAATTTAATTGGTGTCAGAGTGTATGGTGAATTGGAGTACTGGTTTGCTCTGATCAAAGTCATCACCTGTATTTTGTTCATTTTCGTCGGTAAGTTTACGTTCGGAGTCTTGGAACCAATAGCGCAACTCAATGACATTTATGACTCGTTGCAATCCAGGTATTTTCGTGGACGCCGGTGTTGCTGGCGGAAATAAGATCAGCTTTTCAAACTGGAAGATCGATGGTGCTCCCTTCGTTGGCGGAGCTTTGTCGGTTTTCACAACATGTTTGTCGGCATTCTTCTCATTTGGAGGAACTGGTTGGTATATTGGCTATTTTGATTAGGTACTATTTCACCTTTCTAAGCAATACCACTTTTTCCTTCTTCTTTCTAGAAATGGTCGGTATCACAGCTGGAGAAAGCAGCAATCCTCGTAAAGCTGTTCCAAGGTAGAAACGTACACATTGTTGATGGCCATCCGTGAATATGCTTGTCGATTAAGAGCTAACTGAACTCAATTCTATAGAGCAATGTCTCAAGTATTCTGGAGAATTCTGTAAGTGGACATAATAGCCGTGTTTGAATTATGATTTGTGGTTTTTAATCATATTGCCCGCATAGTCTCTTCTATATTCTTTCCGTTTTCATTATCGGCCTTTGCATTCCGTACAACGACCCAAGTTTGCTCGATGCTGCTTATGGTGACCTCAACGATGCCGTCAAAGTTGCTCCTTTTACTATGATTTTCCAAATGGCCAACATGCCTGGAGCCGATCACGCTGTCAACGCTGTTCTCTTGACCTCTGTCTTATCAGCTGGAAACAGTTGCTTTTATGCTTGTACTAGAACTTTGATGGCACTTGGAAAGGAAGGAAGAGCCCCTCGCATTTTTGGAAGGGTCAACAGATGGGGTGTTCCTGTTTATGCATTGGCTGTTACTACTGTCTTTGCCTGCCTAGCATTCTTAGCTGACATTTTTGGCTGTAAGTATTCATGTGTGTGGTTTCGACAACCGCGCAACAATCACTGAACTCTTGTTTTTCGTCACAGCTGCCAATGTGTTTCCTTGGCTTATCAATTTGACGGGATTGTCAGCCTTGTTGACTTGGATGTGTATCTCTATCATTCATCTTCGTTTCCGCCAAGCATATAAAGCACAAGGACGTGACATCAAGGATCTACCCTACCGTGCACCATTGTTTCCTTATGGCTGCTATCTTGCTATCCTTCTCTGTTTGGCTGTCTTGGTTGCAGACATCTATTACGCCGCTACTACCACACCTTTCGAACCCGTGAACGTTGTTGGTGTTATCAGTAAGTCTTCGCTTACCGTTGTAAACTTCTAGAGGTGCAGTGTTATCAAGCCATCTAATTCTCTCTCAAATAATTGTAGTTGGTCTTCCGTTCTTCCTCATCTTCTTTATAGGATGGAAAATACTCAAGAAGACCAAGTTCGTCATTCCATCTGAAGCCGATTTGGATACTGGCCGCTCCGTGATCATTGATGAGGACGAGGACGGTCCAGGAGGCAAGCAATGGTGGCAAAAGGCTTTGTCGTATTTGGCATAATACCTTCACAACGTGCACTTAATAAGTGGCTGTAACCACCACCCAATTACATAATTTTATTATCTTACTTAATTCATGCGCGGCTGTTCTGTCGATTTGTCACAGCCTTGACCCTCATCCTCCAACTACAGTTTATCTATTAGCATCGTTAATAAATATTCTTTTTAGAGTGTACTGCACCATTGTATAGCATTAGGGAGGCTGGGTTGATGGAGTAAGTGCTATCTATTATGAAGGTTTTCATATAACTGACTGTCAGGCATGTCATATTTCCCAAATTTATATCAGTGTATGCTTAGTCTTTCGAGTCAGTCATGGTCCAGCAGATTTGATGGCCTTTATGGTGTCGAAAGATCATAATGCAGTTCTCCGCCTTACTTTTGTGAGTGAAGGAATGGTGTACCACCGGAGTTTACCGGTGATACTTCTAGATGACAAAAGAAGGCGATTAAGCTTGGGAAAACTTTTGTATACTCAAGCGCCTGATTCTGACTGCGCCATTCCCGACTAGAATAAAGATATAGGATTAAGGTGGAATGGTAGATGCTTCCGAGATGTTTTGCTGTTCCGGATGAAGGTTCAATCTTCATTAGAGCAGCTTCTTATGCTGTAGTGAAGTAAAAGATAAGCAACCAAGATACTTGCTGAAACTTAGTATGTATTTCGCGGTAGCAACTGTGCGTCTCTGCGTTACACAACCTGACTATTACCTGGGTTGCTACTAGAAGCTTGTCAATCTTGCCGTCGTCTCATGGATATTCTCAAGTAAAAGTTCCAATGAAAGCCCAACCTTGGCGCATCAATTACCATAAATGTAAGAAAAACCTTTACTAATCAATACTTTTCATCAGCACTTTGATTACATACACGTTCTTATAATAAATACGAAAGGAAGGTAGACATATGGTCATTAACAAGAAGTGACTTTCGACGTCAATATCGTTCTACCATCCATCACTTTTGATATAGATCCAACTACTTCAACCACTCCATGGATGATTGCCTCTTATATCCTATTGCATTTGCTGCCTTTTTGCTACCTGCGGGTAAATTGAGTAACCTGTTTGGATATTGCGTGATTTGCCTTAATGACTCGGTCTCTTTTTCGTCGGTTCTATTGTCAACGCTGTTGTTGTCAGTAAATACGTTCTCTTCGTATTTCGAGCTATACAAGATCTCGGCGCAGCTTAAACGATAATCAATGCCATTGCGTTGTTCGCAAACAGTTACGCTGACGAACAGTAAAGAGGAATTGTTCTTAGCATCTTCGGTAGCGGTGGTCCTCTGAGCTCTGTTCTTGGACTCATAGTTGGAGGCGCACTGGCTTTTACCATTTGTATGGAACTGGACCTTTTATATATCGACTATCTGCTCCTTTGTTGTTCTTGTTCGCTTTCTATATGTGCCTGATTCAAGCACGAAGGATCAGTTGACAAGGTGGATGTGCTTGAATTTTTCTTGGCGACAAGCGAATTTATCCTTCTGATCTACGCTCTCTGCGATGGAAAATGGCACCTAGCTCGCGAACCAGTCAGTCTTGTCATCCGGTGCGGCTCTCTCATTGCTATCTTCATGTTGCGGCATCTCAAAGCTTTTCGTCCTCTTCCTCTTCCCAACTGGTGGTGTCGCCCAAACTTTGCCGCTGCATTTTTCATTGGTAACTTGCAGTATGCACGGTTCATGAGTTATATTTATGTGACGACTTTCATGTTTGATTTTGGCTACACTGCACTCCTAACAGCTCTCTATTACTTGCCTGTGGGCCGCGTAGCTTTGGTCTTCGGTAGTTTGATTGGCCACACAACTCCGTATATTGGTGCATGCTGTCGTGGTCATCGCCTCCTTCGTTTTCTGGGATCATGAGTTGGCACCTTGTTTTATTCTTGAGATATTGGCTTCTAAAAACTCGTCTTTCCAAAACATATTATGTATGGAGCCAATTTTCCGCTTCTTTATGTCGGAGGCGAAAATTGCAGCTGCGCCACCTAGCAAAGCAGGAATTCTTGGGCAAGTCTATAATACTTCCTGCCAGCTTGGAGCCAGTGTTGGAGCACCCATCATGACAGTCGTGGTCAACGGTGTTAACATAAGTGACTAGGAAATCGATGGTCTACCCAGATATCATACTGCATTGTACGTCAATGTCGCATTAATGAGTCATCATCAGCGCTTTCTTCATTAATAATCCTCCTAGGTATACTGACAATTTGGATACGTCTGTAGATACACTCCAAGCGTTGGAAATAGGTCGAGCTGATGAAAAACTCGGAACGCCCGTCAACCAAGCACATAGTTGTGACAGCACGTCCATAATCACGGAGTGAAATAAAAACCAAAGCTACATTGAATTTCGTTTTAATAATTTTCTGTTTAGCATACCTTTTGCAAGTTCTTACTGTCAAATAGCGCACGATAGTATGGTAGATCATTTGAGGACATCATGACACGTTAACAATAAATGATCAGTAAGACAGAGTTGTAGCAAATGTTTCGTAAGAGTAGCTCAATCTTGGGGATAGCCAAAAGCCCTGTCAAAGTGTACGTAGGAAGCAAATAAGAGAGTGAGTTGTGGATCACTGCTACTGTATCCGGTGAATCCCTTCAACAATCCCTTGTGTTGTTGGCTTGCCTCTATTGCCATTGCAGCTCGATTGTTGTTCCCGAAAAGTCTGCTGCATATATTGACCGATAACTAAATCTATGGGCTGTCTTTGAGATTCTCTTCCTAGTATTCTGAGTAAACGATCTCTCACACAGCAAAGTGGCAACATACAGGTGGTACTTAGGTATGACCACAGAAAAGCAGCTGATATCAGTATGCCTGACGGACCATACGTTTATTTTTAGGGCCGGTTACAATAGCTGTCGGATACCATGCAAGATCATGGTTGCAGAGCGCGCAAATGCGCTCACCTTGAGTTCCAGACTTTCCATAGCTTTTTTCTAACTCTTGACTGCACACCACAACATCTACTTTATCAGGATATATCCAAAATATTGATCTAGAAGCACCTCTGACCTCTAAAGAGTCAGTGGAGGTGAGTCTGTCGATGATGCAAAGGCAGTGAGGATTGACGAATATATTTGTAAGCTCGTTACCATGCTAATTTTTTGTTTGGGATAAGACCGCTTGAATGGGTTGCAGTAGAGAAGTTCAAAGTCAGTTTTTCAATGCAATAGTAATCAAAAAGTTTATTTGAACTTCGAGAGCAAGCTGATAAATTGGCCACGTCATAGCCGCTTAACGCCGGCGCAAAATTTTGCCCTGATAAGCTTACAATCCATAGAATTAACCTGTCGGAAACATCCTCAAGCGTGAACTATGGAAAACGTCAGAAGAAGTACTCTATTAAGATAGGATGTTCATTCATATTCATATTGAATTAATGGATAGCATATTATGACCACATTGCGACCGCAGCATCCTCGGGCCAACGTAATCCGGCTCCACGGCCGCCATGCATCAATGGCGGCGGATCACAAAGATCAGAGCCAAATTTTTTTTAGAACACAGTCTTTTAAAGGTCCGACCACAATGAAATTATAAATCCAGGACTCGCATATGCCGTATAAATATAAGACCATAACTTCATCAGTTCTTCACTATCATCATCACTGTATAATAATCATTTCAACTTATCACTTCACAAAAATATTCTCCCAAAGTTTTCTCTACAATGACTTTTGATATCAGAAAACCCCTCATCAAATCAGAAAATCGACGGGTGGCAAACCTCATTACCTTAATCACAGCATGTTGCGCGACTTGCTTGGATATTCTGAGTTTATCTGCTGTCAACGTTGCTGTACCATCTATTGCGGTGGACCTGGTTCTTGACGCTTCTACACTTCCATGGTTGATTGCATCCTACTCTATTGCCTTCGCCGCGTTTTTATTACCCGCTGGAAAACTAGGTGATCTCTATGGCTATCGCTTAATCTATCTTATTGGTATGCTGCTCTTTGGAGTCGCTTCCATTGTGAACGCTGTTGCTCCTAATGAATATGTTCTATTTGTATTCCGAGCTATACAAGGTCTCGGTGCAGCGTGTACTGTGCCAAACGGCATCGCATTGATCGCAAACAGTTATGAAGATGAAAATGCACGACGAATTGCTCTTTCAGTATTCGGTGGTTCCGGCCCAGTAGGCTTCGTTGTCGGCCTCATTCTTGGAGGTGCTTTATCGTTCACCATCGGATGGAGATGGATCTTCTATATTTCAGCTATCTGCTCGTTCGCGATGTTCTTCCTCGCCTTCCTCTATGTTCCCGATTTCACGCGCGAAGGATCAGCCGAGAGTATCGATATGATTGGATTTTTCCTTGTGACGAGCGGATTTATTCTCGTAATTTATGCCCTTTCCGATGGACAATGGCATCTTGCTCGTGATCCTGTAACTCTCGTGATTGGTGTACTTCTCATTGCAGTCTTTATGGCGTGGCAGTTCAAGGCAACTTATCCTCTTCTACGACCTAGCTGGTGGCGCCGTCCAAACTTTGCCGGTGCTTTCTGGATTGCATTTTTGAATTATGCATCATTCATGGGCTATATCTATGTAACCACACTACTGTTTCAAGACGCTTTTGGCTATACTGCACTTGAAACGGCTCTCTACTACCTACCGATGGGAATTGTTGCATTTTTCAGTGCGAATTTGGTTGGCTTCATAACTCCTTACACCGGCTATCGCAGCATCTTGATCGTTGGTACTTTGTTGGCACTTGGTGGTAATATTGGATCGCTCTACTACTCTCTTGAATTGGGATTCTGGAAGCTCATATTCCCAATGCACTTCATTTTGGGTTTCGGCTTGCCACTCCCTTACGTTGGAGGACAAAACGCTATGATTGCAACTGCGCCACCCAGTGAGACTGGAACTCTTGGAGCTGTCTACAATACTGCTGGCCAACTTGGAGCCGCAGTCGGATTGGCCATCTTGACAGCTGTCATCAATGGTGTAAACCCAAGTGGCGCCACGGGTGCTGAAAGTCTTCCAGGATACCATGCTGCGTACTATGCCAATATCGCATTCCTGTCTGTTCAAACAGTCATAGCTGTGCTTTTCATTAAGGGCAATGCAAAGCCTTCCAGTGTCTCTGAAGAGCGCACCGATAGCGACAACAAGTCTAACGATACTTTGCAAGATTTGGAGAAGGGTAAAATCGAAGCCATTGACACGCCAGTAAGAGAAGTTGCCGACTCCGCCGACTCAGCTAGAACAGTGGTTTAATAATCCCCATCCAAGCATTGAAATCATGAATAGAAATTTACTTTCCCATTCTTGTTCCCGAATATTGTAAACTCCATTAGAATACCCTGGTACCAAAAACATAGAACATTGTAATAAAATATAAATAGCAGTACATTATGTGCACCTCCAACTTTGAAAAGTGATAGCGATACTCAAATTGTGAGAAACAAGCATTTAAAGATATTCCCCGCGAATGATATTCCCGGAACTTCGTTATGCCATATGTTATGGCAAGTCAGTATGGCCTCGATCTCGTACGTGGGAGATGCCCAATCTGGGAAAATCTGAAGCGATTAACCTGGTATTATTCATAGACGTTAGATGTGGGATGCAACTCCTGGTATATCACGAGGAAGTAGGCTTTCGCAGAAGTTAGCATCGTTCGATGCTAGGAGTGCTACATGCTCCTAATGGTAGATCTGTACTTCTCCGATTTGATTCTGGAATCTACTTGAGGTATCATGACGATTGTCAACGTTGTATTGTTTTATTTTAAAAAAAACTTTGCGTGTCGCATTTTTGGTTACTAATGGTGCCTATTTTGGTCAGATCTTTGTTCAAGAGTTTGTAGTATTATCTTTCTCTGTTGAAAGCCGAGTCATGCGATGTGGCGGAGATCAATGGGAACAAATTTTCTCGAGGCCGAAGATCGAACGCTAAGAATTTATCATACGAGACCCGAATATGGGATTGTCCACGTTGACCATCCGTTCTGTTACGTTTTACCGCTTCTCAAGAGACGATAATATTTTATTCAAAGTTCCTGAAATCAATTTTTCTCTTATACTACGTTCAAAATAAGCTCTGAAGATATGAACAGCAATCAAGGTCCGCTTGACAAAGTGTGAAGGTTGTCGGGTATAAAGCTTATTTGTGTCGCAAGGTTGTACAGCGAGCCGATACCTACACGTAACCGAGGCCACGTCAGCCTCATTTAAACACCGACACACACTTCTAACTGAAAGCGTAATATGCTAGAATGATTCTGAAAGATGATCTTTGAGTGTGAGCTATAGAAAAAAGGTGAAGATACTCAAGATAGGGTAGATGGTTCAATAAAATTGAAATTCAAGTAATATATAGCAATTTTCCAATCACAATTGCGGCCGCAACATCAATAGGCCGGTGTAATGTTTGGTTCCGATGAATGGCGGTGAATGCTGCAGATGAAACCGAATTTGATTTTTCAGAAAATGTGTTCTTAGATCCGATCCAATGCTTCAACTTGAACAACCGCACATACCGTATAAATAGGGCCGCATGGTTCATCACTTCTTGACCATCATCACAAACTTATCACTGTATTATGCTCACTTCATCTCATCACTTTACAATCTAAAAATCATCTTCCCAAAATTTCCTCTACCACTATGACTTTCAATATCAGAAAACCCCTGATCAAATCAGAAAATCGACGGGTGGCAAATATCATTACCTTAATCACAGCATGTTGCGCCAATTGCTTGGATATCTTAAGTTTGTCTGCTGTCAACGTTGCTGTACCAGCGATTGCCGTGGACTTGGATCTTGACACTTCTACACTTCCATGGTTGATTGCTTCCTACTCTATTGCCTTCGCCGCGTTTTTATTACCCGCTGGAAAATTAGGTGATCTCTATGGCTATCGCCTAGTCTACCTGGCCGGTATGCTGATCTATGTAGCAGCTTCCATTGTGAACGCTGTTTCTCCCAATGAATATGTTCTTTTCGTATTCCGAGCTATACAAGGTCTCGGTGCAGCTTGTACTGTGCCAAACGGCATCGCATTGATCGCAAACAGTTATGAAGATGAAAATGCACGACGAATTGCTCTTTCGGCATTCGGTGGTTCCGGACCTATAGGCTTTGTCGTCGGTCTTATTGTTGGCGGTGTTCTGACCTTCACCATCGGATGGAGATGGATCTTCTATATTTCAGCTATCTGCTCGTTCGCGATGTTCTTCCTCGCCTTCCTCTATGTTCCTGACTTCCGACACGAAGGATCGGCCGAGAATGTTGATATGCTTGGATTTTTCCTTGTAACGAGCGGATTCATTCTTATCATATATGCGCTTTCCGATGGACAATGGCATCTTGCTCGTGATCCTGTAACTCTCGTGATTGGTGTACTTCTCATTGCAGCCTTTATGGCGTGGCAGTTCAAGGCAACCTATCCTCTTCTACGACCTAGCTGGTGGCGCCGTCCAAACTTTGCTGGCGCATTTTGGATTGGCTTTTTTAACTACGCATCATTCATGGGCTATATCTATGTAACCACACTCCTATTTCAAGATGCTTTTGGCTATACTGCACTTGAAACGGCTCTCTACTACCTACCGATGGGAATTGTTGCATTTTTCAGTGCGAATTTGGTTGGCTTCATAACTCCTTACACCGGCTATCGCAGCATCTTGATCTTCGGTGCTGTTTTGGCACTTGCTGGCAATATTGGATCGCTTTACTACTCTGTTGAATTGGGATTCTGGAAGCTCATATTTCCGATGCATGTTATAATGGGTTTAGGACAGCCAATGCCTTATGTTGGAGGTCAGAACGCTATTGTTGCGACTGCGCCACCCAGTGAGACTGGAACTCTTGGAGCTGTCTACAATACTGCTAGTCAGCTTGGAGCTGCATTTGGAATGGCCATTTTAACAGCCGTTATCAATGGTGTAAACCCAAGTGGCGCCACGGGTGCTGACAGCATTCCAGGATACCATGCTGCATACTATGCCAATATTGCATTTCTCTGTATGGCAACGCTCATTGGCATTTTCTTCATTAAGGGTAATGTAGATGCTGCCAACGACTCAGAGGAGTATATCGATGGTGATAATAAGTCTAACAAGACCTTGCAAGATTTGGAGAAGGGCGAAGTCGAAACCATGAATACGCCAACCAAAAAATCTGTCAACTCAGCCAGCACAGCGGATAACATATCTCTGTAAACACAACATCATGTAACATACTTTCCTTCATTGTCTTGAATACAGGGCAGGCTAGATGTAAAACCTATAGAAGCGGCACACAGCGAACATAGAAATTGCAATAAATTGTATCATAAACTGCTTGCACATCTCCATTTTCAAGTCTGAGAAATTCATCCAAACAAGCTAGATAATTTTCGCGTATGTCACTCTCGGAAATGCTGTATATCGCTCGTACAATGTGCTATGACAACCTGCTCGTGTCTCGATCTTCTCGGTTAAGATGGAGACATCTGAGTAAAACTGCAGAGCTTACACTAAGATAGTCTAGAGAGGTTGATTGAGGGCTTAATTTCATGTGTATATCAGTATGAAAGTTAAAAATAACTTCTCGCGGGAATCAGCATTGAGTTCTCTAAGAATGCGAATTACTCCCGGAATACAATTTGAGTGATATGGTGTTGATCGACGCTGCTTTATTCATATGTTTGCCTGTTTGCGTTCAGAGCTTCCAAAGTACCTATTTTGGTCAGTTCTTTGTTTGAAATTTTGTAATACCGTCCTTTTTTCTCCTGATGGACGAAGTCCTGCGGTACTGCGGAGATTAAATTCGCAGTAGTCCGAAGGAGCCGGCCGCATGATGAGCAATAGCTCCTATCAACAATGCTGAGATATGCTTACTGCGTGACAGAACTACTGCTAGTAAAGCTTGTATTAGATAATTTTACCGTTGCGTTTTAGACTCTCATGATTACACGGGTGTCAGACATTGAGTTGATATGGCGGCCATAGTGTGATGATGCCCTGCTTAACTCCGTTTAGCGCCGAGGTTCGCACCGGCTATAAATCAGAAAACCAGAGCAAAATTTTTCAGAATCGCAAGTCCGACGAGAGTATAATGACAAATCAGATCCCAAAGTCTGATCTATATAACAGACATACTTGCCTATCACCATTTTTCATACTCTGATCAGATCAATAATAATAACACACTAATTACATCAACGAAATCTACATCATGGTCTTCAACATCGCAAAACCTCTTATCACACCGCGGAATCGAAGAGTGGCAAATTCCATTACTTTGGCTACAGCATGCTTTGCTACTTGCTTGGATATCTTGAACTTATCTGCGGTCAACATTGCTGTACCATCAATCGCCATCGATATGAAACTCGACATCTCAACAACACCATGGTTGATTGCCTCTTATGCTATTGCTTTCGCAGCCTTCCTACTACCGGCTGGAAAATTGGGCGATCTGTATGGTTATCGCATAGTCTACCTCATCGGTATGATTATCTTTTTTGTGACATCAATTGTAAACGCTGTCTCTCCAAATGAATATGTTCTCTTCGTATTCCGAGCTCTACAAGGTCTCGGTGCCGCTTGTACCGTGCCTAATGCCATCGCATTGGTAGCAAACAGCTATGAAGATGAAGATGCAAGACGTATCGCCCTGTCGGTATTTGGTGGTTCTGGACCTATTGGTTTTGTTGTTGGTCTCGTTCTTGGAGGCGTATTATCGTCAACTATTGGGTGGAGATGGATCTTCTATATTTCAGCCATCTGTTCGTTCGTCATGTTCATTCTCGCTTTCCTTTATGTTCCTGACTTCCGACACGAGGGATCAGCCGAAAAGGTTGACGTACTTGGGTTCGCATTAATCACAAGCGGTTTCATCCTCATCATTTATGCCCTCTCTGACGGACAATGGCATCTTGCTCGCGATCCTGTAACCCTTGTTATAGGAGTACTTCTCGTCGTTGCGTTTCTTGTGTGGCAGTTCAAGGCAACCTACCCACTTTTACGTCCTGAGTGGTGGCGCCGCCAAAACTTCGCTGTCGCTTTCGCCATCAGCTTTATTCATTACGCAGTGTTTATGGGATACATCTACACAACAACTCTTATGTTCCAAGATGCCTTTGGATACTCTGCATTGGATACTGCTCTTTACTATCTGCCTTTGGGAATTGTGGCATTCTTTAGTGCAAATGCCACCGGGTATGTAACCCCTTACACTGGAGTGCGCAACATCATGATTATTGGCTCGGTCATGTCCCTTGCTACCAATGTTGGATCACTTTACTACTCTCCTGAGTTAGGATTCTGGAAACTTATTTTCCCAATGCATATTGTTCTTGCCCTTGGGTTGCCGTTACTATATATTGGAGGACAGAATGCTATGATTGCCACTGCGCCACCCAGTGAAACTGGAACTCTCGGAGCTGTCTACAATACTGCTGGTCAGCTCGGATCTGCGGTCGGAATGGCCATCATGACGGCTGTCATCAACGGTGTCAACAATGGTGCCACAGATATGTCTGCTCTTCCAGGATACCATGCCGCATTCTATGTCAACATCGGACTACTGAGTGTTTCCACTATCATCAGCATACTATTCATCAAGGATGAGCCCCGATCAGCGAAAAGCTCTGATGCGGATTTGCCTAGCTGTGGCAATTCTGAGGAAACGCTGAAAGATTTGGAGAAGGGCGAAGTTGAAGAGGTTATAGCCCCTTCCAAGAAAGTCTCTAGCTTAGAAAGTGAAGAGGTTGGCATTTCATCATAGATAGAACAGGACACTGGCCTCCTGAGCATTGCATTCCACAATCTTATCGAATACCCTACATGTACAGAATATCTTGAATAAAAATGGGGCTAATTTTCATTAATACAAGTCAAGCACAGTCTTAAAATTCTCATTCTTGTGCTGCACATGAATCAAGTGGTAGGGATATTTCCATTTACTTTATAACAAACTTTTAGTTGCAAGTTGTACCATCCTTGTGTATACAGCAAGAAAATCACACATTTGAGGCACGTAGTCGACATATCATAGCACAAACATTTATTAGAGTTTCGAATGTGCGATAAAATATTACGGTATGCAACTCCTAATCTATCCAGACTGATGTATACATTGCAATGTCCAAATGGTTGGATGTTGGATGTGCGGATCCTACAATGAAGGCAGTAGGATGCTCAAAGCGGAGTATTGTAGCGTCGATCATTAATGCAACTGCAGCAAGCGGAGATCATATTCCTTTCCACGTCAGCTATGGAAGTCGGATTGAGCCGAAACGTGGGTGTGCGTATACGTTTTGGTTTACCTTTTTACCAAAGTTCTCCAATGCTCATGCAGAGCAGTCAACTTCTTTTTTTTTGAAGATTTCATCATGCGTATAAAGTATGGATGAGATACGTTTCAGCTCTGCTTTGATAAATTTGATTGTGACTCGAGGGCCAATAAGGTGAGGTGCATTGGCGGGCAGTAAAGGATCAAACTTCATTTGTAGCCAGGCGTCTTTTTTTTTGGGGGGATCTTACGCATAAAATTTGACCGCAACCGAAATTATAAATCGATCGAGATGTCAGGTATAAAAACGTTCTTGAGAAACCCAAACCACAATTGTACATACTTCCGCATAATCCCTTTGGGCTCCCAAATCCTACTACTCTGCATATCTCTCTGACTCTATTGATTATGCTCGACATCAGGAAACCCGTCATCAAATCACAAAATCGAAAAGCAGCCAATTTAATCACTCTTGCCACAGCATGCTTTGCTACGTGCTTAGATATCTTAAACTTATCTGCCACAAATATCGCTATGCCTTCCATTGCAATTGATTTGGGCCTTGACTCTTCGACGATACCTTGGTTGATTGCTTCGTATGCCATCGCATTCGCTGCATTTTTGTTGCCAGCTGGAAAATTAGGTGATCTTTATGGCTATCGCATAATCTACCTATCTGGTATGATTCTCTTTTTGATAGCTTCTATTATATGCGCCGTCTCTCCCAACGAATACGTTCTCTTCGTATTCCGAGCGATTCAAGGTCTTGGCGCGGCTTGTACAGTGCCCAACGCTATCGCATTGATTGCAAACAGCTATGAAGATGAAAATGCTAGAAGAATTGCCTTATCGACGTTTGGTGGTTCGGGTCCTATTGGTTTTGTGTTCGGTCTCATTCTTGGCGGTGTCTTATCTTTCACCATTGGATGGCGATGGATCTTCTATATTTCAGCCATATGTTCGTTTGTCATGCTCATTCTCGCTTTTCTCTATGTTCCGTACTTCCGACACGAAGGATCGTCTGAGAAGGTGGATGTGCTTGGATTCCTTCTTGTAACGAGCGGATTTATCCTCATTATTTACGCCCTCTCCGACGGACAATGGCACCTTGCTCGTGACCCTGCCACTCTCATTATTGGAGTCTTCCTGATTGTTGTGTTTCTATTGTGGCAGTTCAAGGCAACTTATCCTCTTATACGTCCTAGCTTGTGGCGCCGTCAAAATTTCGCTGTCGCTTTCGTGATCAGCTTTTTGCATTATGCAGTGTTCATGGGATATATCTATGTAACAACGCTTATGTTCCAAGATGCCTTCGGCTATACTGCGCTTCAAACTGCGCTTTACTACCTTCCTATGGGAATAGTGGCATTTATCAGCGCAAATGGTACAGGATATATAACACCTTACACTGGAGTGCGTAGTATCATGGTTGTTGGATCTCTTTTAGGACTGGCAACCAACGTTGGTGCATTGTTCTACTCTCCAGAGATAGGGTTCTGGAAACTCATCTTCCCAGTATCACTCCTCCTAGCCTTAGGTCTACCAATGCTTTATGTAGGGGGTCAAAATGCTATGATTGCCACTGCACCTCCAAGTGAAACTGGAACGCTTGGGGCTGTTTACAACACTGCTGCACAACTTGGGTCTGGTGTTGGTACTGCCATTATGACCGCTGTGATTGATGGCGTCAACAAGAACGGAGAAAAGGACATCAGCGGTTTACCTGGATATCATGCGGCCTTTTATGTCAATATTGCTTTACTTGCTATTTGTGTTGTCGTCAGTGCTGTGTTCGTCAAGGATGATCGCAAGAATGTGAAAGGCTCGGATGAATCTGTTGCAACTTTACAAGATATGGAGAAGGGTCAAGTGGAAGATGTCGAATTTGCAACAGAGCAAGCTGAGAGTTCCGATCGTACGGCGACCAACATTTCCGCCTGAAGATACATTGACCTATCATTTACGTAATATCCTGTATAGAATTTATATATCACCCAACGTTAAGGTAGATGCAAATGCTTTAACTCTAGATACCATTAATAAAGCAGTTTTCATCTTATCCGCTTTACGATGAGTTCTTTAGCACAAAGTGGCTCCATCACATTAGCATAGCTGTTCACATGTTCGCAATTCGTCAAAAACGATCTTGTTAGGGCAACAACATATCGTACCTGTTTGGTAACATTTTTGACTACTGTGATCATGATGTATTGTTCATCATGAAGCTCTAACAGTAACTGTTGCATCGCGCTAGATGCTATCATGAAGCATATTCTATGTTCAAAGATCCAAGAAGCCAATGGTCTGCTGGAAAGTACGTCTCATACCAACTACTTGAGATCAAAAGCCTGATAGGCATTATGCGGTTGTAATGTGCATTTGCTAAATTTTCTGTGAGCGTTGAACAGCGACACCACTCGCGTTGCGTTAGTAGAACAGTTGCATCCGCGACTACCTTAGATCGGTTATTTTGGCCCATATTCCTGTGAATGCCATTACTTCATATAGTAAATACTCTGAAAAAGTTAGCTCCTTCATTTTTTTCAGTAATGAGATCAGTTTTACAAAGGACTGCTAAGAAATGTTACTGTTTCTTAATGAGACCTCCTGAGACAGGCCCGGGAAATCAAATATCCCCGTAAATAAATTTTTTTTTTTAAAAGGGAGGGTGGAAGTAGTAAGAGCTTTTCTTTCGAAAAACCATATATTGTCGACCCAATACACTTGACCACGACCGTCCTATACTAATTGGCATAGAAAAGATAGATACCACGACGGTTCAATGTAAAAAGAATGGACTCTATTTGCCTAATTAACCTGTTTGGGGCAAATCACTGGGGCTCAATTGCAAGAAACGTGTTTGATTTGATCCCATTCTCCGATCATTGCTGCGGCAGGCTGTCCCCATTGTTTGGCCCAGTGCAATCGGTGAAGCACGGCGGAATTCTTAGATCCACCAGATCAGCAGTCAACGACATTTCATAACCATAGCGATCCTGTAAAGGAATAACATGTTGATCTATTTCTTAATGTTCAATAGCTGATCTACGGGATCTGTGATTTAGGACGTATCTTGATCCAGGTTAGCTGATTAAAACGGAGATCAATTCACCATTCGTGAATGATATAGTAGTGATATTGATATGCGTTTATCAATAAATGAGTCTCACCCATCAATCAGAATTTAGCTTCTATGGGAGAGTATTATTGCTGTTATCAAAAGTGAAAAAGAATCGTCAACGTGTCGTTAAGTATTACGTGGCGGACAAATACGATTGTGCTCAACGCCCCTTTACCGATAGTAGTAAAATGAGAGGATGTTTGCCCCAAGCAACAAGCTTTTTGACAACTTTGTCCCGCAGTTAAAATGCTATCAGCCGCAGTCAATTAATAATTGGAATCAAGGCGTTTCCTCATTTATTATAAAAATGTGAGATCCATTATTCGACAGTTTCCTTACCGTAAATGTTACATAATCTCAAAAACTCCTTAGTATACTTCATTAATCCATACCTCAAAACATCATGCTCGATTTCCGAAAACCTCTCATCAAGCAAAAAAATCAAAAAATTGCAAACTTGATCACCCTCATCACAGCATGTTTCGCCACTTGCTTGGATATTTTGAGTTTATCAGCTACTAATGTTGCCATTCCATCGATCGCAACTGATTTGGCTCTTGACTCTTCAACAACGCCATGGTTAATCGCGTCGTATGCTATCGCATTCGCAGCCTTTTTGATGCCTGCTGGAAAATTAGGTGACCTCTACGGTTATCGCGTCGTATACCTTTCCGGTTTGCTTATCTTCATGGTAGCTTCCGTTATTTGTGGTGTGTCTCCAAATCAATATGTCCTTTTCGTATTCCGAGCTATGCAAGGCTTCGGTGCAGCTTGCACTGTACCCAACGCTATCGCCCTAATCGCAAACAGTTACACTGACGATCGCTCAAGAGGAATTGCCATTTCCATCTTTGGCGGTTCCGGCACGGTTGGTTTCGCTGTGGGACTCATTCTTGGAGGCGTGTTATCGTCTGCTATTGGATGGAGATGGATCTTTTACATTACAGCCATATGCTCCCTCATCATGCTCATCCCGGCTTTCATCTTTGTTCCTGACTTCAGACATGAAGGATCCGCCGAAAAAATTGATATGCTTGGGTTTTTCCTCATTACGAGCGGTTTCATTCTCATCATCTACGCTCTATCCGACGGACAATGGCATCTTGCTCGTGACCCTGTCACTCTTGTCATTGGAGTGCTACTCATTATTGGGTTCCTGCTATGGCAGTTCAAATCCCAGTACCCGCTTATACGTCCCAGTTGGTGGCGCCGTCAGAATTTCGCTGTAGCTGTCGCTACCAGCTTCCTACAGTATGCAGTGTTCATGGGCTATATCTACGTAACAACTCTCATGTTTCAAGATGCATTCGGTTACTCTCCAATTCAAACGTCACTTTACTACCTACCTATGGGGATAGTGGCCTTCGTAGTCTCAAATGGTGCGGGCTATATCATTCCGTACATAGGGATGCGTACTATTATGATCGCATCATCCTTGATGACACTAGCCACCAACGTTGGAGCATTGTACTACTCGGAAGAAATAGGATTTTGGAAGCTAATTTTCCCAATGCAAGTGTTGATGGCAGCCGGTTTGCCGTTGCTGTTTGTTGCAGGTCAAACTGCCTTGCTTGCAACTGCGCCTCCAAGCGAAACAGGCACTCTTGGTGCCGTCTACAACACAGCAGGACAGCTGGGGTCTGGTGTTGGCTCCGCCATCATGACGGCTGTCGTTAATGGTGTCAACAAGAGCCAAGCGAACGGCATCAATGGTCTACCTGGATATCATGCGGCCTATTATGTCAACATTGGTCTGATGAGCATCTGTGTCATTCTGTGCACTTTCTTCATAAAGGACAATCGCAAGGGTGCAAGCAGCAGTGATGAGTCTATCGTGACGGTGCAAGATTTGGAAAAAAATCCAGTCGAAGTTGAGGAAATTTCAAACAAGAAAAATGATACATCAGATCACTCAGCTGTCGAGATAACTGAATGATATATTTAGACAAGCAATGCCACAATGAGTGGTTTCATTCATTGTTTGTTGTAGTATAATCTACCAATTCTAGAATGTATATAGCTTTAATACACCAATCAAAGACCATTGGATCTTCTCCATCAACTTTGCTTCTGCCAGAAAATGTGTTATAATTACATTCAGTTTTAAGCACGTTCATAGCATTGGTCACATACCAAACACCTATCGACGTATGACTGCGATTAAATGATTGTAAGTCATTGATGTCGCGCAAACTCTGGTCACAGTTATAATAGATTTGGAGTGCGTAACCTTGAAAATCGTTAAGCATCCGTGGGTGGACAGCATATGCAAGGTTTACGCTTATGGAAATGTACGCACCATACATATGCCACGCAATTGATGTCTATGGAATATACCTTGTCTCATGCAGGCGAGCATTTTTTGGTCAATTGCTAGATCAAAAGCAGTACTCAATGAAAGCCACCAAGATCAAAAGTTACTATAGAGGTCGTTTTAGTATTTATGTTGGCATGCGCTCAACATGACAGTCGGGCTGATCTCAGATCGACAAATTCGACTAACATGTCTTCAATTGCTCGGATTGCGAAATGCATTCAGTCTGCAAAGGTGTGTCCGTCTAACTTTGTAGCGAGTCAATATCGATTGATCTGAGAGTTTGTTCTTCTTGCACAAACAACCGGGTATGCGGTTTCTGATGGTATTATTAATACAATAAGGTTTGTAAACTGTAAGTGGAATAGCGGTAAGGATATGTTCGTATCTTGTGTGATGCAAAAGTAAGTAAAAAAAAAAACAACTTTGTTGAAGGAAAAAAGCGATCCCCGGCATTGATATTTATACAATGGATTTGAGGTGCGCTGCCAGATCAGACTGGCTTATAAAAATTCTTGAGGAATGCCTTTGGACTCGACCAGATCAATTTTGACATATTATTTGTCGCTGACTTTCTCATTTGGTGATCTGCCGCTCTGTTACAGGGAATAAAACAGCAAAGAAGGTAATACATCGAGCTTACTTGCATTGATAGTCGTGCCTAATGCGCACATGGCTGCGAATATGTGCTTTATTATTGCTATGATGAGGTAATCTGCTAACTATGTTGTTTATGGTGGGTAGTTTCTTGGCTACTGATTAGCGGAAAGCCTGCAGAGTTTGACAATTTTGAAGTAGCGAAAGAGTGTCATTATTAATCGTATGCATTGCTATAAGAACCCTCTCTCTTTTCGTATTTCCCACCAAAACGCATTGCAATCCTATATGCGCATAACACTATAAACTTCTCACTGCCATAGCCTACATCGTTCCAACCAATTCATACAATGAAGTTCCATGCGGGGAATCCCATTATCAAATCAAAAAATCAGAGAGCAGCCAAAGTTATAACTCTGGTGACGACATGTTTCGCTACAGCTTTGGATATATTGAACTTATCTGCTGTCAATATTGCCTTACCGTCGATTGCTGTTGACTTGGAGCTGGATGCTTCAACAGCCGCATGGTTGATTGCATCTTATGCCATCGCATTCGCTGCCTTTTTGTTACCAGCTGGTAAACTAGGTGATCTTTATGGCTATCGTATCATCTACCTCGTTGGAATGCTCCTCTTTCTAGTAGCGTCCATTGTGAATGCTGTGTCTCCCAATCCATATATGCTCTTTGTTTTTAGAGCTATTCAAGGGCTCGGTGCCGCTTGTACAATACCCAATGCTATTGCGCTCATTGCAAATAGTTACAATGATCATGATGCAAGACGAATGGCTCTCTCAATCTTTGGCGGCTCAGGGGCATTCGGCTTATCTATTGGACTTATACTTGGCGGTGTTTTGGCGTCTACCATTGGATGGCGATGGATTTTTTTTGTATCAGGCATCAGTTCATTTGTTATGTTCATTCTAGCGTTCCTCTATGTTCCAGATTTCAGGCATGAAGGTTCAGCGGAAAAGATCGACATGTTTGGATTTCTCCTAGTGATAAGCGGATTTGTTCTCCTGATTTATGCTCTTTCTGATGGACAATGGCATCTTGCTCGAGATCCTGCAACTCTCGTTATTGGTGTCATTATCATTACGGCTTTTATGGTGTGGCAGCTCAAAGCTACTTTCCCACTTATACGACCATGTTGGTGGCGCCGACAAAACTTCGCTGGCGCTTTTAGTATCAGTTTCTTGCGTTATGCAGCATTCTCGGGATATATCTACATAACGACCCTCTTGTTTCAAGATGCTTTCGGTTATTCTGCCATTCAATCCGCTCTTTATTACCTACCTATGGGGTTTGTCGCCTTCATAATGGCAAATTGCATGGGCTATATAACACCTTATGTTGGAGTACGTGCAGTCATGTTCATTGGATCCTTGCTGGCTCTGTCTGCTAATCTCGGGATGCGATTCTACACGCCTGAAATTGGCTTTTGGAAACTTATCTTCCCAATGCACATCATCATGGGGTTTGCTTTACCAATGCTTTATGTAGCGGGTCAAAATGCCATGATTGCCGGTGCACCGCAGAGCGAGACAGGAACTTTAGGCGCCGTGTACAGTGCTTCTGGTCAACTTGGATCTGCCGTGGGAACCGCTATTATGGCAGCTGTTATCAATGGGGTCAACAACGGAGTAACGGATATTTCTGGACTTCCAGGATACCATACTGCTTTTTACGTGAATATAGGCTTACTCTCGGTCTCTGCAATTGTTAGTGCGCTTTTCATCAGAAACGAATGCAGGAATGACTTTACATCGAAAGAGAAGGAAGCTGGAGTTTCATCGACATTGGATTCTGCTACAGATTTGGAAAAAGGAGATATTGTCCCAAAGGAAAAGGAAGCCATTGAAACTGATGTTCAACCCATCGAAATAGACACCATACCCATCTAAACGAACACTTCGACTTCACGAGTCATATCCTACATTTTATTTGTTACCTTCGCAAATTCATTAAATGGTACTTGATGTTTTTTTGGCATTGTAGATCGATTGTACAAAGTTTTATTATACACCATCTTCAAATATATGATATTTTCACTTCAAATGAGGTCTGAGGCTGCGGCAAAGGGGGTAGGCTTTGAACCGGGTTCACGTCATATCTGCTGTGCAAGTATTGAGCAATAAATGTCTGGTCGAGTGGAAGAAGAATTTACGGATAGGAAATTCAGTTCTTGATACATCTAATTCTTAACTTTGGTCATCGACAATTCAATGGTGGTAAGTTGGAAAAATTATCGTCTAAACCATTAATACTCCAGGTACACGAACACAAAGAGTTGAGAATTTGTTTCCTGCGATTAGTATGAAATCAGTCAGATTCGAGAATTCGACTCAAGACAAAGCGAATGATTTTGTCAAACTTCAAAGTGGAGATTGCTTATTACATTAAGAAATTGGGTCCTGTATCAATTGGTGAACCCGGGATAAATTATTGTAATGATCCTTGTTGGCCAGCTACACAGTCACCTCGTCATTTGTCGCAAGCAGATGCTGCAGATCCATTTATGGACGATAGTAGTACATTGTCACGAGAAGAAAAGTTCGGAATTCTAGTGAATTTTCAAGTTGAGACGTCCACAGTCAAGCTGTTATGAAAGAGAAAATGACTATTCCGGCAAGCAAAAACAAAGTGAAATTGAAATAACTTTTGTTCTTCAATCGAAGTATAGCCAAATATATGTTTACAGCAGTGGCCATTCTGCTCAAGCTCAAGCATCTTGTGTCTGGGAATTGGCAAAGAGGTTCTGTTCATGTGAGCTGGCATATTGAATCAGCAGAACAGCAAAGGTGAGCTGGCATGGTTGATTTCAGAACAAATGGTTGATCGCGGACGGGTTTAAACTAGCAGGATCTCCTAACCAGCTTCCACTTTTATGACTTTGCCCTTCATTGCATGGATATTCAAGGATGCCAAAATTAATTCTATGTATCATTTTTTATGTAATCTAAATTATACATAGCACACCGATATCGCCGACAGTGTGGGGCTCATGACAGATGCTGTACAGCTCACCGGGTTTAGAATTGTCCCCACTAGTCATGAAAGAGTTTGTAAGATCTATAAAGACAAGTGCACATAATATATCCGCTGCCGTTGGAATTCCATATCAGTGCTGTAGAGATGTCCCAAAACTTGACGAAGAAAAATCGTCTCTCGGTATTGAGGACAGTCTGAAAATCTTACAGCAAGACTTGAGGTTCAAGTTCAGATGGATGCGTGGGGTAGCATGTCGCTCATGTCCAAAGCGATCTTGACCGAGTGCTTGTTTCATAAGAATATGTCGTACAACGTAGGTGAGTTTGGTAAGTGCATCTTTGTGCGCAATTCCCAATACCACACACCGAGCGTTTGGATTCCACGACCAAATATTTTCAGCACACTTACTGTTTCCCACAAAGACATCCTTATACAAATGAGGCAAAAGTTGTCTCTATTGGGATAGGTGCGAGTGAAAAGAAGGTATCAATCTTGATTCCATAGATGCATTTTCACTGAATGCCACATGTTAAGAGGTAAACAATTGGTAAAGAGCGAATTGGCTAAGGTGTTATATAAAGGAAAGCGTGTAAGTGTAAAAAGCAACATCTAGCGATCAGATCAATTCGCCGCTACTATAACATGGTAAATTGAGACTTTATAATGGCTTTCAAAATTCTTTTATAATGGACTAATCTGCTCTTCACTAAAATAGCCTTCCATAGTGCTAGGAAGAGTTGTTTCCACGTTCGTATGTGCTGGTCTTTGGCTTGCGTCCATCGCAACTCCGACATTGGCTGTACCTGTTCGACGGGCTGCTGTCTTGCCACAAGATGATCCATTCTATACACCACCAGCTGGATACGAGAGTGCTGCCCCAGGAGACATTCTGCGTACTCGACCTGTTCCAAATAAATTAGCAGCTTTCTCTGCTTTTCCGCAAAATATGGCCAATGCTTGGCAGATCCTCTACCGAACCACGGACGCATTGGGTAACCCTCAGGCAACCGTAACCACAGTGATGGAACCGCACAATCCGGATACAACTAAGCTTTTATCTTACCAAGTGGCCGAGGACAGTGCCTATCAAGGGTGCGCACCATCTTATGTGCTTCAAGCAGGTACCGGATTGTCGGATACGGCGTCTCAGGCTGAGCTTCTACTTATGGATGCCGCGCTGGATCGCGGTTGGTATGTCAGCACTCCTGACTACGAAGGTCCAATCAGTGCGTTTACAGCAGGTATCCAAGCTGGACATGCCACTCTTGATTCGATCCGAGCTGTTCTCAAATCCACAAATGTGACGAATGTTTCCGGCAATGCTACTGTTGCCATGTGGGGTTACTCTGGTGGCGCTCTTGCTTCAGGCTGGGCAGCTGAGCTACAGCCAACATATGCGCCGGAATTGAATTTGGCTGGTGCCGCTATCGGTGGTACTCCAGGCGATCTCAACGCAACTCTTTACGCTGTCAACAAGGGCCTTTTTGTAGGACTGGTTCCTGCTGGTATTGTTGGTCTGTGTCAACAATATCCTGAACTCAACGACTACGTGATCGCCAATTTAAAGCCAGACAAGAAAGACGCCTTTTTTAAAGCCAACAGTCAATGCCTCGACGCTGACACTTCACAATATGCTTTCCAAGACATGTTCTCCTACTTTACTGATTATAATGTTTTACAAGGTGATGTTGCTGTGAAAATCTTGAACGAGAACAAGATGGGTCAATACGTTCCAAAGATCCCACTTCACATGTATCACTCCGCAAACGATGAAATGGTGCCATTTGCTCCTACTGAGGCTCTTGTCAAGCAGTACTGCTCACAAGGCGTCAATATTGAATTTGTGAAAGATGAGCTTTCAGAGCATATCATTCTGGCTATTACCGGTGCCGCTGATGCCCTCATTTGGCTCAATGACCGATTCAACGGTGTTCCTGTCAAAAAAGGTTGTACGAGTCGGACCACCTTAACTTCTGCGTTGGATCCTGGAGCTCTTCCAGTGTTTGGAACAGTCATCTTCAATCTTTTGGGAGATTTACTGGGGAAACCAATTGGTCCTAATTCTATTGCCAGATAGGCATTTCTCCTTTGTCGGAACTTTGAGCTCATCGGCATTTGCAGCCTTCATTATTTCTAATGAGCCCTATATCTTTATCAAATGAAACTCCTCCCTTCATTTTTTTTTTTAAATAAATGATTACCTATTGGATTAATTGATTGAACCGCCTTTTGAACGAAATTTTCTTAAAAGATGTGCTGTACTTCGTGGCAAGAAGTCGCAATCTGAATCAGCGGCTCTGCCTAATTCTACTGAAATCTAGATCCCAAAAAATCAGCAGATGGGGCTGTAGCGCACAGCAAAGAGAATCAGTGGGAAATCATGCCAACAGTTGGGGATGTGGCAAAGTGATAATGTCAAGGATCTGTATTTGAGTAAATGGTGCAGCTCTGGAGTTAATGTGTCACCGACCAACTAGCACTGAAATGAGGATCATATGCTTCATAGATGATGTAGGCTCCATTCTAAGAATTATGAATTGCACATCACGAGAAATTCCGCAGAGATCTTCTCAATTGTGAAGAGTATGTCCTTACTATTTACTTTGGAGGTTTCCTGGAGGAGGAAGTAATGTGTTGAGCTAGTTAATCGGTAACAACTGGCCCCATCTTTTGAAGCAAGTTAACAAATGAAGAACAGCAACCGCCGCAAACTGAAATTTCCAACCTACTAGTCTTACAGATGCAGGCGGTATTCTACAATCAAAAACGTACAGAGTGAAGTCGTGCAAGTCATTTCATTTTCCTACATCCTGGGTTGAACCAATGGCGGAGGAGGGATAATGTTTTCTCCTCTGAGAAAAAATTAGTTGTTCACAGCATACGAACGCTGCTTGGATATTGCCATGGGATTAGTTTTCCGGACATGTGGACAGCTTGGGCCACATTATCCTTAAACTACCTATTCAAATTTAGTTGAGCGCAAACTGGCTTGGTTAGGTAGTGGGGCTCACGTTCGCATATAACGTCTTAGCATTGAAAGATTTCTTTGTTTACTATCAAACATTGAGATGTTTTCTGTCATCGAACATTGATCGATGGAACATTTTGACGTACTAGATCTTGCTCATTGTCCTAAACTCTCTGCATGAGATTGTGAGACTTACGTATGCAGTTCCTCCTGCACAAAAGACATGTGGCGTTCACATCGTCCACGTTTATACAGTGCTTGCAGAAATCTGGGGTAAAATATACAATGAGACAATATCAATTGGCGTAGCGAGGTTTACATACCGCCTTATAGCCATTACATGCATTGGAAAATGTAATATTTGCCACGAATTGGAAATTTGCACAGACTAAATGATTGAAAAAGTATCGTAAAACGGATAGCTACTACGGCTTGATCCGCGCCTCGAATGCTAAGGAAGCGTTGACAATAATCTCGATCTTGAATTGGTCCTGCCATGGGCACATGTTGATGTTGCCATCCTCTTTTCTATATCGCATTACTAATGAATGAAAACTGAGACGCTACTGAATTCTCTTCCACTGAACCTCAATTACTTATAGGTAACACCATGAGAACATCACAAAATACTAGAGCTGACTACTTGCTATGAAATTCGATTTTCAGCGAGGAAATGCAAACAGCGTCAAGTGACGATAGTCAAAGCCGCAGATCACATCGAACAAAGTATATTTCTTGTAGATGAATATTTCCCGAACATCTCTGTGGGAATGTGGGGTCGGTATTTCACATGAAAATATTCATGCTAGAGCTTCTTTACTTCACGTTGCACAGTGATATGGCTAGGGTAGCTATACGTTACATAATTAGAGCTTTTTAGGTTATTTACTTTACCTGAAATCATCGTTGTACCCCGCTTTCAGGATGCCACAAGGTATGACCTCGCGTCTCAGAGAATTCACCTAACTTGCACAAAATTAAATGACTTCCTTATTATGGATAGTATAGCTTTGCGTCTTGAAACCGAAATTTATCTTCTGGTTCTTTCGAGTCGCCTTTCACCTTCCCGAAAACCACATGCTACTCAACTTAGGCTGAGTGGAGGTAAAGAAGAAGTGAATTATAAAGAGGGCTATCCGCCACCAGTATCTCCTCAACAAGTGAAAGACAAAAAGGTCTCAATCTCCTTCTGCTCCGGAACCTGTCCAGTCCTTATCTCATTCCATTCACTACCCAAGCATGGTATGTATTATGAATTGAAAATTTTATATAACATGTCAGTAACCTTTGATGCTATCCCATGTAGAAACCCTTTAGTCCTGGACGTATTATTACAGCATTGCTATCGGTCGGTCTATGGCTGTCTGCCACAAGTCCCAGTGAAGCAGCTCCGTTGAAAAGAGCAGCGGTCATTCCTGAAAATGATGCTTTCTATACTCCTCCTGCTGGCTACGAGAGTGCCGCTCTTGGAACTGTCCTTAAAACAAGACCTGTGCCTAACTCCTTGGCGGCGTTTAGTCTGTTGCCACAAAATATTGCTGCTGCCTGGCAAATTCTCTACCGCACCAGTGACTCCTCCGGTAACGCACAAGCAACCGTTACCACCGTAATTGAGCCTCACAATGCAAATGCGTCTCGAGTCCTATCTTACCAGGTTGCAGAGGATAGTGCTTGGGAAGCATGTGCTCCATCTTACGTGCTTCAAAAAGGTTCTAGTCTGAGCGGTGTCGCAACCCAGGCTGAACTCCTTGTTATGGACGCTGCATTGTCTCGAGGCTGGTACGTGGTGACCCCAGATTACGAAGGACCTAACGCATCTTTCACTGCCGGATTGCAAGCCGGTCATGCTACCTTGGATTCCATTCGGGCTGTGCTTGCTTCAACTAATGTTACAGGCATTAAGGCTAATGCTGATGTCGCTCTATGGGGTTATTCTGGTGGGGCACTTGCTTCTGGATGGGCTGCTGAACTACAACCTTCCTATGCTCCTGAGCTAAGAATCATTGGTGCTGCATTGGGAGGTACTCCAGTAGATCTCAATGCGACACTCAATGCCGTCAACAAGGGTCCATTTGTTGGTCTTGTTCCTGCCGGTATCCTTGGTCTTGCATCGCAATATCCCGACCTTGCTGCTTATGTCGACTCCGTCTTAATTCCGTCCAAGAAGGCCAACTTCTACAAAGCCAAAAGTCAATGTCTAGCTGCCGATATCATCCAGTTTTTGGGTCAAGATTTTAACAGTTATGTTAACACAACCAACTTCTTGAATAGCCCAATTGCTACCAAAGTGCTTACCGAGAACCACATGGGCAAATTCGTACCCAAGATCCCTCTTCACATGTATCATGCTATTAATGATGAAATCGTTCCATTCGCTCCGGCAAAGGCGCTCTATTCTCAGTATTGTTCTCAAGGCGCAAGCATTCAGTTTGTAGCTGATGAGCTCTCCGAGCATGTCATTCTTCTGATCACCGGAGCTGCAGATGCCATCTTGTGGCTTCAAGATCGGTTCAATGGAGTTACTGCAGCCACTGGTTGCTCCAACAGAACAACGGCCACTTCCGCATTGGACCCAGGTGCCTTGCCTGTATTTGGTGAGCTTCTTTTCAACGACTTGGGTGCTCTTGTTGGACTGCCTATTGGTCCACTTTCTATTACATAGTCAGTCACAAGCAGGTCTAGTGTCGACTTCATAATTATCTCACTGAAAACATTATCATTTTTACCTATAAATGTGATGAATAAACTCTCATATGAGGTGTATTGCAAAAATAGAGGTATGGCGGGGTTTCCAAATTGGAATGTTGCAAGTTAGGCTCAAATTTTTGGTAATATCGGCAGGAACGACTGTACCTTGGCAAAATTTCCCGTCCTGCAATGATAAAGCCGCCATCTGATGTAACTCTTTTAATTCTACCATTTCCTCAACAAAAATTCATACATTTGTAGTAATTAGAAGGAGGGACCATGATACGTCTGTTAGATAAGTTTAGAACTTGAGTGGAACCTCAGTATTTCAATTCTAGGTTTGCGAAGTTGATAGGTAGCATATCAAATGCAGAACAATGTTCCTAAAAAGACGAATAATCGAACATTGCTGTCAGGGTTATGGATTTCAAATGATGGTATGGGGATACTGGAGATACTGTGGGATTTCAAAAATGTAGCTCTCACATGGGGATAATGTCAACGCAGAGTTGTACAGAAGCTGAACGACCAGCTTCTTAGAACCCAGTTCAGGCACCGTTTTCAACGTCTGCCCAGTTAAAATGATGATAACGTCTGAGATACCACCTATGCTTTAGACTTGTACACACCTCTTATACCAATTAAGTCTTAATGCGGAACAGCCAATATCGCAGTTTGTTACCGGAATATCGAAGCGACTGCTCACGGTCGTATAGCCCGCAGGTCTACTTTCCCAGACAGTTGTGAAAACCACATGCTGCATTGTCAGTGCGTTCGATAGAATGTCCGTCGAGATAACTATATTATGCTGATAAATTTGGACTGAAATGACGATCACTTTTTCCCTTCCTTTCCATTGTGTTCTACCCCCATGGTACGTTAACATTGATTTGGTTGGTAAAGTCGCAATTCCATTGACTTTTATGTTTAGCATTCATTTCAATTTGGGCGCTTAGCGTCTAAATTTGTATTTATATACATTTTGCTTTCAATGGTGGCTCCAGGATTGGCCGCTCCTCGTCGATTAAATCTGCTGCAACCTCAAAGTGATCCGTTTTACTCGCCACCTTCGGGCTTTGAAAAATTGAGCCCAGGTACCATTCTTCGCACTCGACCTGTCCCCGACAAACTTGGCATCTTGGCTCTGTTCCCTCAGAATGTGGCTAATGCATGGCAAATCTTGTATCGCACAACCAATGCGCTTGGAAAAGCAGAAGCTACAGTCACTACTATCATAGAGCCCCACAACCCTGATCCCACTAAACTCCTTTCTTACCAAGTCGCTGAAGACAGCGCCAGTCAGGTCTGTGCTCCTTCGTATGTGCTTCAAACTGGGTCAAGCGTGCGAGGCATTGTCACCAAAGTCGAAATTTTGCTTATGGATGCCGCGCTGGAACGCGGCTGGTACGTCAATATACCGGATTACCAGGGACCAATGTCCAGTTTCACTTGCGGCTTGCAATCAGGACAAGCTACTCTTGATTCTATTCGTGCCGTTCTTGCATCAAGCCATGTCACCAGTATCCAGGCTGGTGCTCGTGTTGCTTTATGGGGCTATTCTGGTGGTGCGCTTGCTTCGGGATGGGCCGCTGAACTTCAACCCACATATGCTCCTGAACTCAAAATTGTTGGTGCTGCTTTAGGCGGTACCCCATCCGACCTCAATGCTACTATTAATGCCGTTAACAAAGGACCATTCGTCGGTCTTGTGCCCGCAGGTATTCTTGGTTTGTCGCAACAGTATCCTGAGCTCAATGAATTCGTACAATCCCAACTTATTCCCAAAAAGAAGGCTGCCTTCAACAAGGCAGCAAGTCAATGTTTGGCTCAAGATCTTCTTCAATTCGCCTTCCAAGATATCTTCAAGTACTTCTCCAACCCCGACATTCTGAACGATCCTATTGCGACCAAGATTTTGAACGAGAACAAGATGGGAAAGTATATTCCTAAGATCCCCCTCTTTATGTACCATGCTATTCATGACGAAGTTGTCCCCTTTGCCCCTGCTCAAGCTTTGGTAAAAAAGTACTGTGCTAAAGGAAGCAACATTGAATTTGTCAAGGACGAACTATCAGAGCATGTCATCCTTGCTGTCACGGGCGCGGCCGACGCTATACTTTGGTTGACTGATCGCATGAATGGGAAGCCTGCCAAGAAAGGCTGTTCCGAGAGAACGGTGCTCACCTCCGCATTGGATCCAGGTACTCTCCCTGTTTTTGGAAAACTTATCTTTGATGACTTGGCCGACCTTCTTGGCAAGCCCATTGGCCCACTATCCATTGCATGATTCAAGTCATTTTTTTCATATCAGTACATTTTATTTTAACTAGCCGACGCAATAAAATGCAAGATAATGCCAGCGGAGGAGGAGTATGTCATGCAATAGAGCAATATTGTGCATTAGATATCAATGTCAGTCTGAAGCGTCTCAGCATTTACATCTATTGAGTGGTATCAATCCAGGTGGCTCCTGGTAAGACACTGTAGAACACGTATTGCGCAGCTTGAGCGGAAGTGAGATTGGTCGCAAAAGTGGCTCTCGCACTGTTCCATTTTCCCGCTCCAGTGTTGGCGTACTCTGCAAACGTGACACCAGCGGTGTTAGGGCTGCTTGTCGACCAAATGCTCCAGCCTGCCGGTTTGATATGCGATCCAAGAGCTGAGTTCATGTAGACGACTCGAGCATACTGATTCCATGGACGGCCAAGGTAACTACTGCTGGAAAATTGGGATGTGGAAGAGAAAGACAATGATTTGTTTGCGGTTGATGCAATAGGACCAGATGGAATAGTGGCAATGATGCTACAGTAGTTGAAGTAAAAACCACCAACAGCTGAAGCAGAGTCACGATTGTGAGCTGTAATTGACGCAGCTGCGTTGGAGGCAATTGTGCAAGAGTCAAAGTAGGCAATACCGTATCCCCAGATGAAGTCTACAGAACCTTCAACATAACAATGCTTGAAATAAGAAGTAGCCCCTCGATTAATCAGCAGTGTATCTTGATAGCCATAGAGTTTGACATAGTAGAACGAAGCTTCCGCGGCTTCAACCGTCAAGGCCAGATTGGCATAGTTTTGAGTTTGAGGAAAGGTATTGGCGATGGTGATATGATACAGCTTCACATTAGTGCCTGTAATAATCACCACTGAGGAATCAACATCTGATCCAGAAGAAGACTGAGTATTATGACCAGCGCTATACTCGACGAATACAGTATTCTCAGCCCCGGCCGCAACAGGAACAAGGGGTTGGAGTATGGTGTTTGACCTTGAAATGGTAATTCTTTCATTGTATGTTCCTGCTGCTATGGCGACTGTCCAGGTGGAGCTATCACTGGGGAGAGAGGCAAGTGCCTTGGAGATGGTGTTGTAAGTGCAGCTTGAGCATACGTTGACTGTGTTGGTAGCGCGGACAGCAATGGAAGCCCCTGATGCCACAGATGAAAGTATGCCTAGTGCAGAAAGTAAGCAGAGTAACTTCATGACTTCAATCCAAATGAAAACTTTCAAATTAGTTCCTCTGTCTTTCCTGGCAAGGCTTTATATGCATATTATAACATAAGCATTTTCAAATAAAATCTTGTGTTCCCATGTAATGGAAAATTTAACATGTAATATCGGACAGTAGGAAAGAATTTTTTTGGCCGGCGCATGTGTGGAAATTCGAACGAAGTGGGGAGTCGTTTTCGATCGTGTCAAGTGACGTGTCCCATCTCATGCTCTCTCAAGTAGTGAGCATAGTGGTTTGACTCGCACTCTCTGCGTGCAACCTAGTATTATGTTACGCTATAGAATGCCATTTTTTTTATAGCAAAAGATCCTCGCCATCTCACTCCAGATAGCACATTTTATGCATGACAACCCATCGCTCTCCGCTGTTAATCAACCCGATTGTTACACATAACTAGCTACCTTGTATACACACATTTTTAATTCAAATCATGCTTAATATGAAGGTTCTATTCACTGCAAGCGAACTGTCCCTCAATTGATGCAACGCAAGTTAAAAGTTCAAAATAGCACGCATTTTATTCGGTAATTGATCTACAAATTTATGATATCACGACTAAGGGGGTTTTGTGGGTAATTCCAACCAATTTTCATCAGCAAAATAGCGTTTATGTTTTAATACATGAGCCAACCCACCTGAGTAATGATCAATGCCTAATCTAACTATGTTTCATCTTTCATCCACAAGATGCAGCATGAACAGCACCGTGTTGTGCTCCACCCATATGGCTTTTGAACAGGTTTGGTGGTGTGAATATCTACATCATGTGACAGGGCCTTTATGGCAACTGTCATAGCGATCTGAATGGAAGCATTGGGCACTGCCTGTTTCAGTAGGCATCATGATCGAATAGGCATGTATCAAAAATTTCGACAGGACAGGAGAGCTAATTATAGGAAGATCGCTAGATGGGAAGTGATGTATATCAATCTGGGTATTACTTGATTTATTTGATTCCGTAATTCAGGCATGTAAAAGATATTAGCTGTTAGTCTAGAATAAGCGTTAATGACGTCTCTAAAAGGCTTGAAAGTAAGAACCTATCTCATCCAACTGCTGATGAGATGCACAATGAACGTGTATCTTTTTCAGGCAAACAGGAGTACCATATAATGAGCATTGAGGAGAACGGCGTCAGGGGGCTGAGCGAAGGAGCAACCCGACGAATCGATGTAACAGGCAAGCAACAAAAATCCAGGAGTCTCCAGAGGTTACTGTGCATATTTTTGATGAGGACCCTCTTGAAGTTCACAATATGGAATAGCGTTTATCGGTGTGCTGTCGAGGTCGCGAGGAGCTTTTTTTTTTTTCAATTTTGGGAGGCATTGGAAAAAAGGGACTCATCTTTGTTTTTGGCTGCTTCTCATTTTCCCAACATTGGTGCAGTAAGATCACATTTGTAAGAATATATGCTCATTGGTGTTCGTATAGTAAAATAACGTCATCAAAAATGAGGTCTATATATCATATCATTCACATTTAACTGTTAATCCAAATACTCTGGCTTTCACATCACATTTGGGATGTGGATATCTAATGTGGAGACGGAGAGATCGGATAATCGCTAACTTGGAAGTTAGAAGCGAAAAAAAAACCACACACTTCAATGTGCACTGACTCGTGTAAACGAGCCAGGTAAAGTGAAGAAAGTAAGGAGCTGAGACAGTGAATAAAAATTATTATATGATACTCCAGTCTATAATGGAACCCACAGCAGGTAGATCACGAACAACAGGGTAGGCCAAGACAATATGGCTATATTGCGAAAAGTCTGAGCTTTAGCTACAAGGTTTATAGGAGTGAAAAAAGTAGTCAGAAAGGGGGCCTCAAGAAGGGGTGCAGAGTATAGGCAGGTAGTGAAGAGTGGTGATACGTTTGAAAACTTGAGGAAACATAACTCGTGCTTTGTTGTAGAAATTGGACTTGAATCGATCCATCAAGGAGGTGTGGTACCACGATGCTCGTTTTGAGTTGTCGATCATGTAAAAAGTTCATCGGTTAGTTTAAATATAAGACCCTATCGTATCAATCTTTCTAACTCATTGCCTCTTTTTTTTTTTCTTTTCATTGCTGAATAACTATCGATATGGAGTCTATGTCTATGTATGACGAACAGAACAATGCGTTGATGGACCACAAGCTTCCCAGCATTTCCTTGTTGCCTCAACTCGACAGCCAAGAAGATTACAATACCAAGAATGACTCCAAGGCAGCCACCTTGTCCCATACTTCTCCACAAGAGTGTCTCAAACCGTCTATGAGCACCAGCAGCAGCAACAGCGACTCCAGCCATGGGCAACATTCAATTCCTACGCCTTCCTCATTTTTGCCTCCTCCTTACGTTCATAAAGACCATCAGCAAAATATGGATTGTACCTACTCCAATGTTGTATCACCTCCTTTGACGCCAGCTGTATCGCCTTCTTCCATGTTGTATGATGCTATGCAAATGAAGCGTAAATATTCTGTTGATGTTGGCCCATTTGCCTTTAGCAGCACTATGGTTAACCATGCTTCGGTCGCCGCCTCTGCATTTAACGCTGACATGTATCAGGACGCCTACCGTCGTCATTCTATGTGCTCTGAAATGTCCTTGGATGATTATACTCATCAAAATCATGGTCATTTCGCCATGCCTGCACCTTCTCCTCAGCCAGTAGGAGAGCATCCTAAAAGCCGTCGTGAAAGTACCAGTGGACGTGGAAGCTCCAAGCCCAGCCAAAATTCGGCTCATAAGCATGTTTGCAAGTACCCTTACTGTGGTTGGAGCTTCAAGCGCTATGAGCACCTTAAGCGTCATATGCTTGTTCATACTGGCGAACGCCCACATCTATGTGATTTCCCTGGATGTGGTAAAAGCTTCTCAAGAAGCGACAATTTCGCTGCCCACTACAGAACACACACCAAGAAAACACTCCTTCAACACCGCAATTCGGTCCCATCCTTAGAGACTATGCACCAAAGCAACACATACTTTCGTAACAACAAAATGACATCCAACTTTGACTTTTCAAGATCTTATGATCTTTACAACGATCGCCAAGCTTTTCCCACCGAGGTTAGTTTATAGCGATCTATCCAAAGATTTGTAATCTGTGGATAATTTCTAACATAGTTATATTTACAGCAAATGCAAACTACTCCTGAAATGATACAACAGCAGCACTATTTGCGCTCTTTTGAAACGATGCACACAGTTGATGCCACTCAGAACCCATTCCATACTGCTCCTATGGGCAAGATGGAATTCATGCATATGCATCAGCCAAGCTCTCCTACCTCTCCAACCGCACCATCTGGTCTACCCTCATCTCTTCAAGCCGCAAACGCGGATGTGTATATACCCATGAACGTCATGACCTCTCAACAATACAAGACTCATGCTTGCCAAGAGTGTCGTAAAAGGTTCAAGCGTTTGGAACACCTTAAGCGCCATATGCGAACACACACTTTGGAACGTCCATTCTCATGCCCTGTACCTGGCTGTGGCAAGGCGTTTTCCAGGAGTGACAATTTGTCACAACATGTCAAAACCCATCAAAGACATCAATACAGAGAACGAACAGCCGCAGCACAAGCTGCTGTCACCGTGAACAGTAGCATCTGGGAGAACGCTACGGCCGTTGACTGCTGAGATTGAGCCAAGTGCCTGATCAGCCGTTTCACTTTAACATTTTGTGAATAACGCCACCAAAAAAAAAGACATAAAACATTGACAAAAACATTGAAAAAAAAAAAGCAGTTGCAAAAAAGCAAGTAAAAAAACTACAAACCTCCCCAAAAAAACCAGCAAAACCAAACAAGGATAAGAAAGAACACAGAAGTTTCGTAGAACGGCAAAACCTTCGACTTGTTTCTATCATCACACCATCAAAATACCTCCCCATCCCATCGACTTCCCAACAAACAAAGCACTATCCACACTTCTCTTACCTAGTTCACGCTATGTTTTTTTTTTTCCGACACATTAACTGTGTTATACCCCATCTTTAATGCAATCTTGTAATTAATTTGCATGCTATGTTTTTTGTTGTTTTCTATTAGTTTTCTTCTTTTCGATTTAGAGTACCATATTTTTTTTTTGTCTTTTCCAATATGCTGTTGTTGTTCTAAGCCTAAAACATACGTATGTTGAATACGAATCAGAATTCTCTTTTTTCTTTGATACCATCTTAAAAATAATTATAAAGACACCTTTGATCATTGGCAAAAAAGTATATCTTCAATGAAAGATTCGTGTTGGTTTTCAGTCTGATTTAATTAGATCTTGGCGCTTCTATTTACACAATTTGCCCACAATCGACAATAGTAACTGGTTGAGTTGGTTTCCCACTGGCTGTTCCTACTTTCTCTACTTTGCGCACAACGTCCATTCCAGCCACAACCTGGCCAAACACAACGTGCTTTCCATCCAACCATTCCGTTTTCTCCGTGCATATGAAGAATTGTGACCCATTGGTGTTAGGTCCTGCATTAGCCATAGAGAGTATACCAGGACCGGTGTGCTTTAGAGTGAAGTTCTCGTCTCTGAATTTCCCGCCTATAATATTCGAAATGGAACGATGAGTGGATGCCATCGTTAAATCTAATACTGTCTGAGTGGGTAACTCACCGTAGATGGATTTTCCTCCTGTTCCATTGCCCTTTTCAAAATCTGCATGACATAAAAATATCAGTTTCTCTCATTGCAATATCTCAGCATATACTACTATGTTAGCTCACCTCCTCCTTGTAACATAAACTGTGGTATTATTCTGTGGAACTTTACACCCTTATAGCCAATGCCCTTTTCGCCTGTACACAATGCTCGAAAGTTTTCTGCAAAATTGATCCATCAGTACACAGAATATGATCGATCGTTACCTTTACCACTTTATATAAATTACCTGCTGTCCTTGGAACGACGTCTGATCGAAGTTCAATAATGATCTTGCCGACAGGTGTGTTGCCCATTCGAACGTCCAAGAATACCTGTGGAAGCTTTCCAGAAGTTGATGAAGGAGCTTGTGAGACTATTTCAGATGACTCGCTGTCTTGGGGCTCTTCGGCCATGGATGCGTCTTCCTGAGGTTTAGCGTCCAATTGATCTTCAGCAGTATTAAGCGCGTATTTTCGAAGCCATGCATCATCATCCCAAATAGCTTTATTGCTTCCACTGGCGAGCTTCTGTGGTTTTGCGAGATTGACTTTGATAACACGTCCATTGAGTTCGGACATGTGCATATTGTCGATGGCTTCCTTCACATCTTCCTTCGACTCGAATTCCACGAACCCGAATCCTCGATGCTGATTTCCTGACAAACGAGTTCAGTACAAGCAGGTTGGGGTAATCCAGTATATGTTCAACACTTACTGGAAGCAGGATCAGGTGGGATCTGTACGGATATGATGTTTCCAAAAGGAATGAAGGCGGAATATAACAGCTGCTCTGTCACTTCTTGGTCCAAACCACCTATTTGCAGAAGATAAAGATAAAGCGCGGCTGTTAGAGACAATACAGTAGGGATTTGTATGGAACAGTATTGGAATGAACATACCAACGAAGACAGTGGTCTTGCTATCAGGATTAATCGACATTAGGATTTATACTTTCCTGACACAAAGAGTAATAGCGGAAGTCAAGACAAGTTGGTAGGAAATCAAAGTGCCGCCAAGCCACCGTCACGGCATCCATCGCACCCTCATCTCTTGACTGCAACTATGCCCCGATCGCCGTCCCCAAATAACCGACGAGATAGATCTTCATATCGTGATTTAGATATGCCTGACTCAAGGTCTCCTCCTCCACCTTCACGAAGACGCCGACGCTCTCGATCAACCGAGCGTGGATATAATGACGCTGGCCGATCATCACATAGGAGTAGATCGCCGCGTAAATTCAGCCGTGAACGTCAACGTGATAGAGGTTCACCAGATAGAAGAGGTACTTTTTCATCAATTTATATTTTTCTTCAATGTCTGGATTGTTCAAGCTGTTTTTAACTTCATAATCAGACCGCAACCGTGATAGATACTCTAGACGGGACTCAAGGTCACGGTCAAGGTCACCAGTGAGAAGGTCGAGTATTATAACCATTCAGTCTTTCCCTTTATAATTGAAATACTCATTTTCTTTTGCTATTTCTACAGGGATAGGGATGGTGACAGATCGAGGAGAAGGCGCGATGACAGCAATGACAATTACGATGGCCGACGTCGCCGAGAAAAGACACCAGAAGATGTGCAACAGGAGTCACAAGATGCTCAGCCCACTGTGAACGAGGACGACGATCCAGAGACACAAATGATGAAATTAATGGGATTCGGGGGCTTCGATTCAACAAAGGGCAAACATGTTGCGGGCGCAGATATGTCTGGCGCCAACGTAAAGAAGCAGCCGAAATACCGCCAATACATGAATCGTCGTGGTGGTTTCAACAGACCATTAGACAAAGTGTAATCTCAAATTTTCAATACCAAAAATAATATAAAACCAATGTTGAATATGTATGTTCGGCTTTTTTTTTATTTATTTTTATAATTTCTTAGTTACAGGATGGGTAGGGTTTGGTAGAGTAGAGGAAGGGTAATAATTAATCGGTGATGAGTATTTGGTATGGATATTCAGCAATTCTTATAAATTTAGTTAATAGTGGGCGTCCTCGACCATGCAAGTACATCTCTGCAGCGAAAAGGTGTATTGTTAAGAGCGTTTGCCTGCTTTAACAGATTGACGAGACTCTAGCCTTTGTAAAAATGCTTGTTCTTCAGACGCCAACGTTGCCTTCTCTCGTTCAATGTCCTCCATGAGCTCCTTGTATTTCATTTGCAGCTTTATCATGAAAAGCAATCTGGCAATGAGTAAAGGAACCTAAAAAGAGAAACTGTGGCTCATACATACCTTTTCTTCCTTCTTCCTTAATGCCAACTCCTGGTGCCTTGCTAGTTGAACAAAGTTTTGTCGAATTTCTTCATCCTTGCGTTGCAGACGTTCCGATATTGATTTCCTCGCATCGTCAATTCGACGGTCATATTCTTCGTCACATTCAAGAATGGATGGTGGTCGTCCGTCTTTTCGAAGCTGGGATGCGCGGTAGTCATGGTAGTGTCGAGAGTGAGTAATTTCTACCAACTCTGCAAGACATTCAATGAAAAGTATTTCTCGAAGATGGATGAAATCACAGTGATTTTCATTCTCGACTATCAAGAATTTGAAAAAATAAATAAATGGCTATACTCACGATGATTACGGTGTGTATCATATAAATGAGCATTCTAAATACCTTCTACTATTCCCCAGTCATATTGCCTTCCACGAATTGGCTTTTCATCCTTTTGTAAACCTACTTCACTTCCTATGACTGTAAAAGGTATGTGTTGCTAACGGTTTTCGTCAATACTAGCACGTCAGTCTCTTTGAGATCAGTGATCCTTACCTCTAGATGCTCCAAGGTTTCATGGTGTTCAGAATAAGCAGTAGGATATATGGGTATAGCGTTCAGATGTAAATCTTGGAGGATCTAGGCAGCAGCGTAAAATTAGCGACACCTCTTTCAAATTCGCATAAACGGATGTTAAGTTACCGTTTGTTTGAATAGTATTTTCTCCTTTTGGGTCATGGTATCAGCTTTTGCGATGATGGGAATAACGTTCACTCTTGATGACAATTTCTGAAGTGCTAAAACATCATGTGCCTTCATCCTAGAGGATAAAGTCGTAAATAAAGATACAAGGTGAGAGGAGTTTGGCATAAGGATACTTACGAGTGACCGGAGGGTGGTATAAAGTACAGACATACGTGCACTCGTGTATCAAATGTCGGTTTTCGCATGTTCCTGACTTTTTCAGCATCCCAGTACGCTTGGTATTGATTTTCTATGTATCGAACAAGTGGATTGATGCTATAAACATCGTTAATAATGAAATCTGGCTGGGTGGCAAACCAAACCGACGTTTAGAAAATAGGCTGCCTTACTCTTCGCTGCGGTCTAAGCGATCACCAAACCCAGGAGTGTCAATGACAGTCAACTGAAGAGTGGTTTTTCCCTCAACCAATTCGTAGGTGACTGGACTTATTTTGACGGTCTTAGCTGGCTCCTCAGGAATAATATCGCTGACCAGATCAGTATTGAATAGAGTATTCATGAACGTTGTTTTGCCTAATCCGCTTTCGCCTAACAAGTTTCCATATTGAGTAGTTGCGAACGCAGCAAAGATTCGCTGTGAAACACTTACCAACCACCATGACATTTAATCTGAACGGCTGCCGGTTTGCTTTTTGAACAGCTTGATGAGGTAAAGCATCCATTCCCAACTTCGTGCTTGGAGTCGCTTGTTGGGGAGGTGCAGACCTCCAGGGACCGAGATCTGGATGAGTCCCCCTTCGGTGACGTGCAAAAATTTAGAAAGGGCATGGTTTCGGGATAGACTAGCAAAAGCGAATGGAGGGGTGGGAAATGTTACCTCCTTTGCAAAGCATATTCCTAAAGTAACATACACCAACAAATCAAGTGACTTATTAGACTTTGATCGAGGACATTTCGCACATAATGAACACGATTCTGACTAATGTAACTTACCAACGGCATTTTGAACGGACGGGGAGGAAAAATACATGTTGTTGAGGCACCGGAGTTTGCCAGTTAAGGCATCGCCTGTCAGCATTGGAACAAGCCATTGTGTCACAGATAAAATCGTGTCATTCTGAAAGAGCTGTTGCCAATATGCTACATCGTTGAAAATCATAGTGCTGATGACGGTTAATTGGTGCTGCTTTCTGGTGCAGCGTGCCGATCCATGCTTTCCACCTTGTGTGGGTTAGATCGACAAATGGCATTAAAGTGTAATTTGACAATTCAGGAACAGACTTAATGAATGCCTCTTCTAAACCTTTATCCCTATTCCCAAAAGTAACCAGGAACTTGTACTTCACGCAGTGTACCTTGAAATGGCATTAAATTGGATACGCATGATCATGTTCATGAGGCCACTAGTCTAGTTGGACCACAGAGAAGGAGGGGTTTACTTTACTTTACTTACATCAACATATTGTTTGTCTTGATACATCGTCTCATGTCCAATCTTTGGCTAGATATGAACATACTCGTTCAATCAGATCACTGGCGAACTCGATGAAAGTTATGCCACTTTCAGATTTGAAAAAGCTACCAAGAAAGCTAAGCTTATCACTCGGCCTCACCTCAGTCACGTTACTGCCTCCAGCAAGGCCGTGCTCCTCAGGGAGGTCACATAAACGATTTGGAAAATATTTTTCAAAAAAACGAAGGAAATGTATTTTTACAACTCAAAGCACTTAGTTGGCGGGTCGACCGTTAGTAGCTGATTCTGCCACATCTATTCTGGCCAGTACGTTGCTAGCTCCTACAAACTGAATGACGCTGATAATTTGCTTTCCGGCGCAAATAGGGAAGGTAATCAGAGCGATAATCATGCGGATATCCACGCCAAACACTATTATCAACCAGGTGACGTTAATAATTTGGTTGAAAGAATGGCAGATATACAAAAAAAAAAGCACTTGCCTGTCGTGGTGAGATTGGAGGCAAAGAGATAAAGGGATACAAAGAACAATTCATTTCCAGCACACATGATAAACAAGACAACCTGATAGCACCCAAGTTAGATTGAAGAATCCCTTCGATAAACCCTACAATGGAGAAAACACTTACATTGCTATTGTAGTATGCTCTGAGTAGAGGGTGGGAGGATTGAGAAATGTTCTTGTGGCTACTAGCGCCGTCTACCAGGGAGCTATGAGGATAGACCGAATTATCAGTGGGATGTTTTCATTCGTCACTTGCACTAAAATACGATGTATCATACCTATACATATGAATGTAATGAGAGCTGAAATCCAAGGAGATTAAACCTTGGAACACCAGTGTATAGCTTGGATAGACATTGGAGAGGAAACACAAGAGGCAGGTTGTCGTGCATCTGTTTGTAAAGGCTTGTCAGTCAAGGTCGATATGCCTAGGCTTTGATCACAGAATTTTTTTTCTCCGACAGGCTTCTAATACCATTATGCCGCCAAAACTATTTACCTGTCTGTCACCATATCCAGTACTGCTCCAAATTTACTGCCTACAATCCAAGAACATTCAGATGAGGACATAGATGGCTCGTCCACACTCCTGACACTTACATTGATTGAAGTACCGAGCAGCGTTTCCATCCACTGCGTCAAGAAGGCACGAAATACAGTACAAGGTAACGCATACCTTTGGGTGGATGGGCATGTAATAGAGTGAAATAGCAGCCAAAATAATCCGAGAATATCCTATAGAACGTGTAGTAATGAGTTAACCAACCTACCACTTATGAACGCATTAAGTGAGGGAAATCTTACCAATCAGGTTAGGAATATACAAGAACACGGTGTATGGGCTTTTCTGTGTGCCAAGATCCTGGCCAGAGATGTTGACTGCAGCATCAGTTTTGGCAGGAGTAGCTTCGGTGGCTGCTGCCGCTCGTGTGGATCGTCTTGTGGTAACCATTGGTGGCTAATGAACAATCCAATTTGAAGATGGTGATTAAGCGACACCTAGAAAGCTTATTTTTTTTTTTGTTTCCTTGTGGAATTCCCTCAGCTCACAAAATTAACCCTAACCCTATATTCTTTACTGAAGCTCACGCTACATGAACAGTTAATACTCAGCCTTCTTTACTGCTTGGTATTCGGCTCAAATGACGGAGGCAAACATGATTCGAGGACATCGCAAGCAGTCAGTCTTGCTTACGGATGCAGAATTACTTGAAATGCGAGGTAAATGCTTATACTACGTTGTAAAAGAGCCCATATCTGGCTTATTTTTCATACTGTCATCACAAACCAATTGGAAATGGGAACTAAACTTTCTTTTTCTCCGGCTGCTTTTGTTAGCAAGACAAAGAACCTTCGAGGGGGCATATTGGAGAACTGCTATCATGGCAGTATCGACTGGCCTACTTATTCTCAAAGTGTTTACCAAAGAGTTTTACAAGATAGGCATTACCTTTTTTGTGTTTGGCCTGGTCATGCTGGGTATCGCTGTGTTGCGACGACGAACAGCTGGCGATGTGTTTGATCTCAGTATACCTTTTCAAACCAGTGGAAACTGGGTGTTACTGACAACGATTGTAACCCTGGTTACTTACATTATTTTACTAGTTTTATTGCTGAAATTATAGCACAACTTTCATAATCCCCCTTGCATAATCATATAAATTTAATTCTTCACAAACCCACGTTTTTGTACAGTTCACGTAGCTGTAGATAGACGCATTCGACTGGATGATATATGGACCTGATGACATCCCTTCTTGCGTTATAATAAATCGTTACAAAGAGCAAAAATTGATAATGCCAGGCGGAGGTCCGTGGCAGATCAGCTGAGAGGCTGCACCACTCAAGAGTGACTGTTGCTCATCAGGTCAGGTTACTGACACTTCTCTCCTGTCGTCAACAATTCATATCAATGCAGGAATCGCCAAAGCACGACGATACTGGAACAGCCAAGCGTCTAGAGCTTTCCATCTCTCCAGCTAGTAGCCTCGGTCCGTTCCGAATAGGTATGCCTTCCCTTTTACATTTTGACCTTAGTACATGAACCGCAAAGGGCGGATATTAAAACGTTTGAATGGCCTCAGGGACCTCCATATGGGAGATTATCAACTTTCTTCGTGAGCGATCGTCATTTTTCCCGCAAGTAGAGTTAAAGTATTCACAAGAGGTAAGTCCGTTCTGTCCGATATCTCTATATAGTATAACAATCTTTGATGGTTTATCTTGGTTCAGGACCCGCTTGGTGTGGACTTCATCATCGATTTACCTCAGAACGGTTTGAGTCTTAGGTGTGACGGCACCTCTCAACGTTTGCGATGCATAGAGTGCTATGACATTTCCAAAGTCAAACTTGTGTATCAGAACAACGACGTTAGGTAAGAATGGCAATACCATGGCGTCTGTCAACTGAACAACATTAATTTATGCGGTTGTGTAGTTCAAATAGGACCATACCAACATTCTTGCTAATATATAAATCGTTTGGGTAAGAGAGGAAATAGTTTAATGTGACCTATCGTTGTTCATCGATCCTGACGTCTACTGTACACATTAGTCCAACTTATCCTGGCGAATTTGATTCTGCCGAAAGCGTATATACCCTTAGTTATCCGGTACGTACAGTGGTGTCGATACATGTCTTATCTCAGACGTCACTCATACAATCATTACAGGGACTTTCTTTTACATTTCCTATACCTTCTCGACATCAAGAGCTCTATTCTTCATCCACAGGTAAATTGCACTCTGCAAACACTGGCCATCGGTTGTATGCTAACATCCATATCTCTTAGAATTGCCACTTGAATTTCCCGACGGAACCACTCCAATCGCCAGTCATGTTTTTGTATATAATGGTTCGCAAAATTGGCGCCAAGCGACACTTCCTCCGCTATCAAAGTTTATTGGTGAGACGAACGCTGCCGCACAAGGCCGCTACGGCAAGAAGGGCCGTCGTGAAGTTGATCGTGTCATTGCTGAAGTATGTATCATATCAGTGTTGAACAGCCTCATAACAGGTGGGAGTTCTAATCGACCTCGTACTATAGCCTACTGTTGGAGTTACATTACATTTTCCAATGGGAGGTGCTGCGACTGCTACACCTGACACCCACAGTGAGGACTCCTCCCTTTCAAACTCTCCATCAAATAGCACCTCTGTTAGGATTTTACTACGATCCACTACCCCTCAAGATCTTCTTTCCGATCTTGGGAAGCCTTCTTGTATTTTCTACAAAGAAGAAGATAAGATGCGGATACATTCAGTGCTTGGAGATAATCCTACCGATAAGAGCAATCGCAGTGGTGGCGAAGAAGAGCACGAAGCAACCAGCGACAGCGAAAACGTTGTTTCCGATGAAAATGCGGTCGACAAAGGTCAGTTCTATTGTCACACATAATTGAAGTTTGTACGTACGTTGAACTGACAGACGATAAAAGGTATTGCCGCTGCACAGCCAACCGATTACTTTTTCAATTATTTTTATCTCGGCATAGACATATTATTTGATGGAGGATTGCACGTTTGCAAAAAAATTGTGTTACATGGGAACATACCGTGCCACTTTGATTTCCAAAGGTAAAAGCAAATTAGAAACTAGAATGGGTCAAGTTTTCCAAAATACTTATAGATGCTTGCAGATACAAGAGATGCCCATTTGCTTTGAGGTTTCCGCAGAAGCCATCCGATAATTCCAAGGACGAAGAAATACTTGTGGATGTGGATAGTGGTCCTTCCAGCAATGACATCCCCGGAACACTAAAAATACAAGCTCTGAAAAAGCGGATACCTTGGAGCCTCAGTAACGGTGTCAACGATGAGTCTAAAAAACAAAAGCCGGTCATTCTGACTCGTGGCTCCAGCGAACAGAACCCTTTTGGATCAAGCTACCTTACTGGTTATGACGAAGGAATAGTTATGGAAGTCATGAAGAATGGTTGTATTCCTACACTTGTACTGTTTTAATAAATGTGTCTTTGAGGATCATCGGACAATGCCAAAGAATTCCAACCCTGTCTTTTTTAATAATACTAATAAATAAATGATATAGGTATGTAGCAAAAAATATATAATGTGATTTTCACTGCCTTTGCGCCAAAAGAGTGACTAAGTTCTCCATTGCTGTAGCCAATCGATCCAAGTTGCGATCAATTGACTCTAGTCGCAATTCCAAGTTGCCGTTAGGAGGAGTTTGTTCGGTGGCAATACCGTTACTAGCACCGTTGCCATTGCTTGCCTGCTTGCCGTTGGGGATCTCAACATGCTCAATGACGTCGTCAATATCATCACTTTGAGCATACTCTGGCAATTCGTCTAAGGTGACTTCGGGAAGGTAAGCCTTTTCATCCGCATATTGGATATCTCTTGTTTCAGTAGCATCGCCATACTCAGGACAAGGGGCATATCCTAAGCACACCGAAAAGCCATCGGTAATCAGTACTTTGAATGCATAGACTCTTCTACAAGATATATCTATCAACGCCCATGCGTTCCAACGCCAAAGACCGGAATCCTCATCTCGATTAAGGCTGAGGTCCACTTCTGAGCGTCCATTCGATATAGCACGATGAACTAATCGGTGTAAATCGAGTTCACCGTAACTTTTGCTGCCAATATCCACAACGTTGGTATCACTTCCAGCTTTGACACGCACTACATATCGGTCGCATCTGGGAATGTCGTCAACGAAAAAGAATCCAAAATCTGCCGATGTGGGTTTGCTGGGAGGGTATGGGTTGAACACGTATTCCATGACAAGGGAAGCCTTGTCGCCATCTATTTCTTGAGCGACGAATTTGATTCTTATCGGACGATCGCGTGCAACGAGAGCTCGGTTCCACATCTTGATGCCAAGTTTCGCATCGCTTTCTGTGCGGGGAACAGATGCTCGGAAGATGACAGGTTTGTGGTCAAAAGGCTCGACTTTCAATGGAAACTGGCTCCCGTCCATATCCAATGCTTCGACTTTGAGGTAGTCATGGTCACCAATCATGCGATATTGTGCGGTGATGCCGGTAATGACTATAGGAGTGTCCTTGCTTTTGTTGAAAACAGAAATAGATCCGTGGAAATAGTCCATGTCTTCTCGGGCATACTGAGCATTAGGCACCAACGGATCTCCCTGGAGGAGGGCAACACGAGCTGATCCCGACGATACAAAGTCATCACGCACAGGTCTGGATGGCTGACTCGGAAGGGTGGGGCCAATTCGCTGCATCTCTGGTAAGATATAAGGGGCATTCGGTGTGTATATCTTGAAACCGCCTTTGGAGATGACTTGAACGTCTCCCGCAAGTTCGGCTGTAGCAGAAGAGATTGGTACAACCTTGATGGCATATTCGTCAGAGCTTGCTGCCTTTGCCGTCAATTGAATGCCATTGACAACACCCTCCTTGTCGAATGTCCATTCTGCAAGAGTGAATTGCGCTTCATTGGGTGTTGTACGATAGATCAAACATTTCTCGGAAAGCGATCTAGGATCCATGTTGACCTTCTGTATATCCTCGCTTGTAAATGTTTGGAAATAGTAAGGCTGGTCGTACCACACTGTGCCAATGTGGATTAGGATCGTAGGCTTTCCAATCATATAACCATTGGTAGTCCATCTTAGCAGATGACCGATCATAGCGTACTCTTTAGCCCCTGTCTCCAAGTCAGCATCCTTGCATTCTGCCCATTCATCTACAGTGTCTACGTAGTTAATGATATCCCTGGCGTATTTGAAGAAATTGTTGTATGGGTATTCAGAGTGATGCTTTTGTCGATGGGGGCCACGTGCGCATGGGTGGCCTTGGCCACAGCATGGCCATGACTTGTTCCAGTCATCATAGCCGGCATTGTGAAAAGCGCAAGATGTCTTCCCGTTGAGAGACTCACGGTATTCCTAACGAAAGGCAATGTATTCTCAAAAAAAAAACTCCACATTGCATTTACTCAAGTATTAGCGTACCTCATCACATTGAACACAAAGTAACTTGTCCTCTTTTTCGATCTCCAGCATATGCAAGCTAAAGTCTTCAAAACCTTTCGCTACCGCATCAGCTACTTGCTCCTGAATCCGCTTCCTAACCTCTTCTTGGTTCTCTTTGATAATGTCGGTGATATCGACAGTGAGTTGTTGCATGGTGTCTGCATCCATTGTGCAATGGATCTGTTGTGCAAACATTTGAACAAGTTCTGGATTTTTCTGAATGCAGGTCAGAGGAGTTAAACATTGACCACTTTAGAATAAGCTCTATGTAACCAGCGCTAAGTTCCGTTTTACAAACCTTGCCTTCCTCGCCATGAACATTCACAAATTCTTGAGCCAACTGGTCGTCTGTATCCATGGGTATGCCACGAGAGAGAATGTCGAGCTGACCAGTTTGTTGAATTTGTAGACTGATCATTAGGTCACCTGTGACATCCTTGACTTTGGTTGCGCAAGATTCAAATTTGTCCTTGTTTCCAAAGTTTAGTCGACGAGAGATAACACCCTGTTTTCGATAAGCAGAGATCAAATCCAGAGAAGTTTTCAATGTCTTTTCGATACGCAAGACGACTCCCTTGACTGCTTCAGTAACTGAAACCTTTTCAAGCACAGTCAGATTTCCCATCATGAAATTGATACGCTCCAAAAGATCAGTGCATTTAGCCTCAGCATCTCTAGCCTTCTTCTCGATGTCGATAATGATCTAATGCAAAACCAGATGTTAGCGCGCCTTCATGATACAACAACTTCTTGATCGTATCTTACTTTGAGCAGAACAAAGGCAGGAGAAACAAATGGAAGCACTTTTCCGATATCTGCAAGATTGTCGGCTATATGCATTGCATTCTCGATTACAGCGCTGTTGCTCATAGCCGAGCTGATAGCTTGCTTGGCGGACGTGATGAGTCCATTATCGGCTTTGGTGATAGCGTCCATTACATTTGTACCGAATTTTTGAACGGTTTTTACATAACCAGTCTCCGTAACATAGGTATCATTGGCCTTGAGAAGAGCGTCGGTTCCCATTCTGTATAGTTTACTTATCTTTCCATCCGTTCCTTCCGTCACACCGTTCGTTTCTTCCGCTGATTCTTGGAGGATCTGATAGCTGCTCGGTTCTGGAAGAGGTTTTTCTCGGCTGGAGGCATCATAGCTCGAAGACGAAGACGAGTCAGCTCGCGGAGAAAAATCCATAGACGGTGTTACTGATTTTTTGTCGCGTTGGCTCGAGTCCTTTGACTTTCGGAAAGTAAAGGATTTGCTAGGAGTTGGAACCGGCGGTCCGCCAGTGACATCAGGGCTGCGAGATTTCGATGGACTGGGTGATTTACTTCTTTTCTTGAACATGACCAACCTGAACCTCCTCCGCTGCTCGAGTTGCGCTGACAATATGGTCGCACCAGCACCTTACCCGCATAAATATGTGTAACCATGCTCTCTTGCACGTAAAGATGGTGCGTAAACTCCAGTCACGCTAGACTGACAACCTCCCACAATGAGCATCGTCAGTCTGTTAAGTATATTACAGTGAGACACGCTAGTCCATGAACCTACTTCTACCTAACGACAATCACACTTGTCTCCTCTCTACACTTTACTCAATGGTTCATGCGTTCCATAACGAAAGCAGAATCGGTTAAAACGACGACAGTATATTTGTTAATGTAGACGCAAGAGTCAGTACTGCATGCCATAATGGACGAGCTGATATGTCGGTGACCTCATGGAAGAGCAATGGACCATATCGTCTAATCAGGTAGGCGAATGGTACGAAACTAGCTCTCAGTTCTTCCCTTCAAATGCCCAGTGGAAACGCTCAACAGGTGATACCGCCGTCATTCAGATTCGTTCGACCGGCGAATTCAGATAAACAAAACATAAACAAGTAAAGTGGTGGGTTTAAACAAGTTTCCGTTGTATTTGTTTATTAGCGTCCTTTGTTAAGTAATTCGCACTAAAGAGCCTGTAGCTTGGAGCGGAGCAATACGTCAAGCTTTTCATTGTAAGCAGCAAAGAAACGTAATCCTTCAAGGAGACCGATAGAGCTGCGTTCATCAATGGTCATTGACCACTGATATGCACCTTCGTTGTCCAAAAACGAGCCAATGGAAGGCACTGTGGGAGTTCAATCAGAAAAGGTACAAATACAAATAAGGCCGTTGATCATGCCTAAAATCGCTTACCTTGTATTTTTGGGAGGGCGGGAAGTTTGGATGGAGCTTTGATCTTTAGTTCTTCCAGCATAGGAGGACTAACCGTGACGGCATCAGCTACTTGGCTCATCAACTCGACTTCCTCAGCTGTGCGGAAACTGGCGCCGAGTACGATGGTCTTAATTCCATGAGCGTCGTAGTATTCACGAATTTGTTGAGCATTAGCAAGACCTGTAGCTGGATCGCCATCAACGCGGCCCAATAGGTTCAAGTATGGTGAAACGTAACTAGCGCCGGCTTCTGCACTAAGGGCAGCTTGCTGAAGGCAAAACAGAACTGTCATGTTGCAGCACACGCCGTGATCCCGCTCAAGAATACGACAAGCCTGCACTCCCTGGAAAGTGGTGGGGATTTTGAAAGCAATTTGAGATTTATCCAATCCTGCCTCCTTATACATTTCAACAAGCTGTAAGGTCTGTGCCACCATGGCATCAGTTGAATAGGCGAGACGAGCATCCAGCTGCGTGTGAACTCGTCCGGAAAGGTGGGGTTTGGCGGCTGTGCCCAGATTGACCATGGTCTTCAGAACTGCCAATGTAACCTGCTCTTCTAATGAACCTCCTTTGGCTTTGGCATACTTGGCAGCATCATCCACGAAGACCATATTATGTGCTTCCTCCAAATTCATCGATACAATGAAGGGGTTGGATGTGGCATCGACAGGATTGAAATGAGCCGCAGCTAAACAAAGTTTGACGTTAGCTATGGATGAAGGGTCTTCTTGACAGTTGCTACCTACCTCGCCAGTCCAAAGTGTCCATGTACAAGGCAGTACGTTCGCAAACCAAATCCAAAGCAGTTGACATGATGTGTGTATAAACTGATTAGAAATAAAGTGGTTGGTTTATATAGCTTTAGAGGATAAAGTTCATCGACTACCCGTTCGCAGGGCTTCATGGGGGAACGCCTGAACTCGGCGTGACTGGTTCAAAGTATTACTTGATTGCCTTTTTCAATTTTGCCGGCGGACGCAACACCGCTTTGCCCTTTCATGTCGTCGCTATGGCCACCCATGTCGCCTCATTTTGTGTGCGACGAGCAAGACCTTTGCGAATTGCAGCTTTGAACACTGGACAACGCACTTTGAGAACCCAACCTTTCCGTATTCCTAGACCTTTCACTCCTCTAAAGCCAGTATCTATATCCACCGCCGTCAGTTATACAGCTTTCTCTCGCTTCACCCTTGCGTCATTACCATTGGCTCATTTGGAACGAAAATATCATAAACATAATAATGAAATATCAACACCTGAAGACGTAGAGCTGCAGAAATTAGAGCCGTCAAAACGAAGAGTCATTCGAATTCTCGACCGCATTTTGGAATGGCTCGATAGGTGGTTTTTGGAACCTTTATTGGTGTGCAAACGATTTTTCCACGTTATATTGCTGTTTGCACCCATTGCAATCTGTGTACCGATAGTTTTTATCGGTGAAAGACACCCTGATGAGCAAGACGAACGCTCAGGTACTCTCCTATGGTATGACTTGATTATGACTCAAATGGAGCGCGCCGGACCAACTTTCATTAAGGTATTGTCATCTTCACCCTGGTCAAGATATGTGACATCATGCTGACCTACCCTACATTTTTTACTCGAATACAGCTTGGGCAATGGGCTGCTTCCAGAACGGATCTTTTTCCACTGGCATTGTGTTCACGCCTGTCTAGACTGCATTCAAGCGTCTCGCCGCACAAATTTTCTTATACCCGGCGTGTCATTGAAGATGCGTTTGGAGGGTTACCGTTGCATGTGATTTTTTCAGATTTTGAGGAAAAGCCAATTGGTGTTGGCGCTATAGCCCAGGTGTACCGTGCAAAGATTCGACCAGATTTTGCCGAAAGCCATAAGGAAGATTTGTTCGCTATTCAGGACAATGTACAATCACCAAATAGTGTTCGAATTCAAGACGATGAGACGGGAGAGACTATCAACATACATACATCAGTTGCAGTCAAGGTATTGCATCCACGAGCTCGCAAGACTGTCACTCGCGATCTGCAAATCATGAAAACGGTGGCTACTTTATTGTCTTTCATACCGACAGTCAAGTGGATATCGTTGCCAGAAGAGGTCGATAAATTCGGTGAGATGATGCAAGAGCAACTAGATTTGCGAAATGAAGGACGTAATCTGAAAAAGTTTAACGAGCTTTATGAGAATAACCTTACCGTCATGTTTCCTCGACCTATGATGCGGTTCACCACCAAAAACATGCTGATAGAAGAGTTTGCAAGCGGCATACCTATATCAGTCTTTCTTGACGAAGCTCGAGAATCCCAATCCAAAAATGAACCAAGTGCAGTTTTTGACCACAAGATAGCTGATATTGGTAGGATCTTGTTTATTCATTCGATAATATGACGTTGTCTTATGCTAAAACATCCCATCACTAGGTTTGGATGCATTCCTCCATATGCTGATTTTTTACAACTTCATTCACGCCGATCTGCACCCTGGAAACATCATGGTCAAGTTCTACAAACCATCAGCCTATCATAAGTTCCAGCAAATATGGTCCAAGATAATGGGTAGAGAGTTGAAGGACGATGGCGATATTGCCCTTGAGCGAATAGAAGCTGTCTGTCACGATCACAAACTGATGAGGGAGGAACTTGCAAAGTTGAAAGACGAAGGCTACTCTCCCTGTTTGATTTTCCTCGACACCGGTTTAGTCACAGAGTTAAACGAAGTCAACCGCCGCAACTTCTTAGACTTATTTAGAGCCATCGCCGAATTTGATGGATATAGAACTGGCCAGCTCATGGTTCAACGCTGCCGCACTCCAGAGATGGTCATCGAACCTGAAGTTTTTGCACTGAAAATGCAGCATATCATCCTCGATATCAAGCAGCGCACTTTCCAATTGGGACAAGTCAAAGTCGCCAACTTGTTACACACCGTCATGAATATGGTCCGAGATCACCATGTTAAGCTGGAAGGAGACTTTGTCAATGTGGTAGTGAGTATCTTGTTGCTAGAAGGTATCGGACGTCAACTCGATCCCAATCTGGATCTTTTGAAGAGTGCCATACCAGTTTTGCGTGACTTCAGTATCAAGGATGGCGCTAAAGGAGCTCTTGAACGTATCAAGAGTGTTGAGGATATCAAGGGCGCTACGCCCTGGCTGAAGGTCTGGTTCTGGATAGAGGCTCGCGAGTGGCTCGCGACCAACACGAGAGAAAACGAATGGCTAACTATGTGGTAAGTTGAAACTACATGACTTCAATGCATATTCATAACAGAAAAGTAACGTTTTCCGCTTCTTTAGTGATATATGCTGTCCCCCTAATTCATAAGCAACAATGCATGTTGTATATGGATAACCCCGCTAATTGAAAACACAATATAATAATATCCTTTGCTAATACAACCCTTGCTCATTGGAGTATGCCAGCCAGCGTTAGGCAACGTGTGAATTGACAATGAGCTACAGACCATAGTGAGCCCTTAGGTGAGGAGATGGAATGCACAGGCGTAAAACGCATGCCGGCAAGTGGAGCATAAGCGTCAGTAGATCTTTCGATCAGGTATTGATTATGTGAAGTACGCTACAATTGTACTAGTGTAGGCATCTACTTGATTCTACAGTTTTATCCTCCATTTCTATCGTAACTGACTTATACTTGATCTCTCAATGATATTGTGTCGTCGCAACTAGTTCTCTCCATTATGCTTAGTCGTTACTCGCATATCAGATGTGTCATATTAAATATTCCTACTTCGACCGATTTATTCTCTGAATGCAAGAGGCGTGTTTTTAAAAATTGATTATTGTGAAGTGTACGTTAGTCGTAAGCTATTACGATCCATAAGCTTCGGGTGGTATGGCATTGATGTTCTGGCAAATAGCATGTAAGCAACAATCCAAGTAAAAAGATACAGCAATTTCGATCTCTCTTACCTTCAGTCGTTCAAAAGACTCCAAGGCGTTAGTCATGCTCCAGTCGTTATCAGCAAGGCACTGGAGTGCAAATGAATAGTTCAGACCAGTTTGTTGTTTCAGCATCAGAACATTACCATGCTGCTGATCAGACTGAACAAAGAAAAAAGAATGCTCAGTAACCCCAGTCCTTAGTTCTATAATCTCAAACACGTCTACACTTACAAGGCCAGGAGGTCGCTCCGAGGGTGGCGGCGTAGGCGCGACGACTTGGGGTGTTGGGGGAGGCGCTGGAGGAGGAGTCGACTGAACGGAAGGTGGGGTGAATGATTGCTGAGGAAACGTATGCTGTGGTTGTGGTGCTATCGTCGAGTTGAAGTGATGCGGCGAAGCAAATGACTGTTGCGGTTGTGGTATTTGCAATGGTGGTGCTTGCTGTTGCGCGGAACCAAAGGTTTGAGGAGCAGGCGGTGGGGCGAAAGTCTGGGCTTGTGGAAATGGATGAGCTTGAGCAGGCTGTCCAAATGCTGGTAATGGAACATCAGGTTCCGGTTGGAAAGCATGATTGGTGCTGTACTCTCGGATATGCCATTGATCTGAAAGAATCACATAATTCCAGCCAGCTGCTTGTGCTCTAAGAAGTTGCATCAGTAACAATGATCAGGGAACTACGTTAAAATATAGGTCAAGATATATTGCCACGAACCTTGATCCAGGTGTTGCTGGGCCAACAATAAATACTCTATCAAACGAATACTTGGTACTATTTCCAGCCACTCCTAATGGTTATACACGGTGTCAGTAAGCTCAAATACAAAAGTAATGCTTACAACATGCTTACCATCCCGAAACTCTCCATGTACTTTGATGAAAAGTACAGCTGGATAGCCACTAAAACCATTCATTTGCCACGCATCCGTAACGAAATTGTCAGCTCTTGTCAAGTCATGTACCGTTGGCGGCATGGTGGTCAATAGTTGGATAATGGCTGCTGAACCATAGTATAAACAATCTAGTCTTCGTTCTAGGCATAATGTCAGTCTGTGCTATGAAAATTTGCATCGGCTCCTTGCGTAACCAAAATAACATACTCAGTGATTTGACTTTGGTCAAATTTCGGCTTATGTCTCGCCAATCAGTTGGAGCCCCTGAGTTCACAAAGGGACCACCCGGTTTCTGTCGATGTTTTGGTAATCCAGCATTGACAGAAACAGAAAACATAGCGTTTTCATCGTAGAGGTCGTAGAGCGCTGCTCTGTTGCCATCGAAGGTAGGAAAGAAACTAATAAAGGAGTTATTTTAGATTTAAAAAATTCAACACGCTGTTCATTGCATTGGCCATGCACGAATTAAATTTATATGCTTGCTAGTTACCTGCCCAAAAAGTCGTTAGCCGCCATGCGAGACGAGTCTTGATCAAAAAATCCTTCTTTGACGCTTGCAGGTAATCTTGCTTGCTGTTCAGTGGCTTCCAGATCGGCTGCTTGGATGTCGAATTGAATGGCTTGTGCCACTGGTGCTCCATCTAACATTCTCAGTGTTGGAAACCTCCGTGTCACCTCACTAACAGGATAGAATGTTTAATTTGTAAATCAGATAAGATCGACATTTGACGAAAAGTGACCAACCTTCGATACTGCACATCATTTCCGTTGCGCTCGATGTCACGAGTCTTTATCGGATTGTCATTCAGCAGCAGCTCATGCAAATTGTTGAATTTACCAACTAATGGTTCTAAATCGTTATATGTCGAAATGTTGTTATCTTGCAGTGATAAATTTTGTACATTTGGAAGGTATTCAGCAAGTGCTGATATTGGCTGGGTTGATCGTAAACGATTTGATGACAGTGATACAGTAACGATCTAGAATTCGAAAGCAAAAAGTATTGTCATAAATATTTCCACAATGATGTATTTATCGCTCATCGAATATGAATGCGCTTACGTCGCCAAGTGTCTCTGATGCGAGTTTGAACATCGCTGGGCGAACGTCATTAGTTGAGGCGTGCATGACACGTTTATACAGAGGATCCAGTCCCATTTTGTCTAAATTCAAAAACTTTTGCTCAGCGTTCCACCTTTGCTGTAAGAATCGTTGAATGTTATCGAGGCTACTGTAGGAGGATTGCTGTTTATTAGGTTGATTTAGGTGTGCGGGGGTCGGAGCCGGTGCGGACCCCAGCTGAGTGACTGATAGCTGTTATAAAAGCCATGTAAGTCAGATGAAAGCAAGCTTATTCATACCAAAGTAGAAACTCACAGCATTGTTCATAAAAGTATAGCCGTTCAAACGAAGTACCGATGAAGCTGTGTCCATGTCTTGGATCAGCAAGTGTAGACCATCGTTCATGGGTTGCGTCTGTGGTGCAAGGGAAACAATGAATATGCAAGGCGTCCTTCAATTAATAACACTGGAAATCTTAACCAACCTGTAGAGGCTCCCATTGACGTTTTGACTTTCTTTTCAAGAAATCAAGTAGTTGGTGGTCTGTTCCTGGAGGATGGTTGGACACAATAACCTCGACATTGCCGCCGCCGCTAGGGTGGTGAAAGAGTTTGTTAGCCGCGTACGATGCGAAATCGCCGAAAAATAAGAGCATGCTTTTACCCGGAGGATGCGGCCATATTGGCATCACCATAGTTGTTGTATCCTCCCGCATTACCGCCGCGTCCACCTCCACGTTGACCCCGTCCTCTATTGCCACCGCGACCGCGACCTCGTTGGTTGCCTTGTGAGTTCCCGTAGTTCTGGTCGTTATTGTTGTTGTTGTTATTATTATTATTATTACTGAAAGTGGCATGGTCATTATAGCCGGACAGGCGAGATGTAATGGAAGAGTTGTTTCCGCGACCTCTACCACGACCGCGAATTTCCATTATTGCCAATTTAAAGGGTGCTGTGCGTTTGCCTGGAAGCGGGGCCGAGAATTGTAGCAGCACAGACTGGTTGGAGAGGGTGGCTGAGATTGTGACCGCTTATCCTTTTTACCGCCCGAAAGTCTAGCTGTCAAGCGCAAGCTTTTTTTTTTTTTTTCCTATCCCTCACTACAAGTCAGAATGGCCACCCCTCCTGTCGAAGCAACCGTTGTGGACAACAAAGTCGCAGACGCTTCGGAAAAAGATGCCCATCACTCAAAGGCTACTTTGTTTGTTCGTAACATTCCCTATGACGCCACAAACCATGAATTAGAGGAATTCTTCAGCGACCTCGGTCCGATCAGGTCATGCTTCGTTGTAATGGACAAAAGTCAGGAAGAAGCTGAAAAAGCACAAAACAAAGGATACGGTTATGTTCATTATGCTTTAGCTGAAGACGCCCAACGAGCTATAACGGAATTGAAGGATGTCAAGTTCCGAGGCGGTCGCAAGCTCAAGATTGAATTGGCACTTAAAAAGGGTGAAAAAGCCCAAGAACGACCTGCGCCTAAGCCTGTTGTTGCAAAGACACCTACACCAAAGATTCCAGATACCACACCGAAGGCTCGTCCAGCAACAACAGATGCACCGGCAGATCATTTTGTTACTGTTGAAGTATCAGGCTTGGGATCAGATATCACCAAGAAACATATCTACAAACGGGCTCGAAAAATTGCCACTGTAGAAAATATTGAATATCCCATTCAAGATAAAGAAGGCGTCGGTGAGTACTAATTCATTGTTATGTCCTTAATTTTTTTATGCTCATCTTTATCCGTGTCTCAGCTCGCATCAAGTTCAGTTCAAATGACAATGCCAAACTTGGAGCAAAACAACTGGATGGCCATATATTCAAGGGAGCCACTCTTAAGGCCCAAGTCATGGCTTCAGGTGCACCGCCACCAAAACCAAAGCTTTCTGATCCTTATGTTGACAAAACTGCTCGACTTATTGTACGTAATTTACCTTGGAAATACCGTGAATCAGATTTATACAAAGCATTTGGAGAGTATGGAAAAGTGCATCAAGTCAAGTTGCCTCGTAAATATAACGGAGGACCATTTAAGGGATTTGCTTTCATTCAATACGGTAACATTGATGACGCTGAGAAGGTATGTATAGACTGATTCGAATACAAATGTGTGCCACAATAGCTCACACTGATCGCATATTATTTGAAATAATTATAGGCTATCAATGCCATGAATGCCACTGACCATCATGGGCGAACCATTGCTGTCGATTGGGCATTGGCAAAGGACAAATATGTTGCTGCTGAGGAGAACGCGGAAGCCGCTGAAGCTGAGGAGGGCGATGAAGAGGAAATGGATGTCGACAAAGAAGAGGAATCCAATGACGCCACCGAAGCTAACGACGATAAGCAAGAGGCAGGTTCTGATGACGAAGAGGAAGAAGTCGATGATGAAGAAGTAATCGAAGAGGGCATGGAAAAAGAAGACGCTAGTGATGAAGAAATGGATGAAGACGAGGAAGATATAGATATTGAAGATGAAAGCGAAGATGACGATAAGAAGGGTAAGCAGCCTGTGACACTCGAGATGTGGGTCGTATCCATTTAAAATTTACACGCTTCCTATTAACAGCTAAACCTGCATACACCATGCCCAAACCTGCCGAGGGCACGACATTATTTGTTCGCAATCTACTATTTGAATCGGAGGAAGAGCATCTTAAAGAATTGTAAGTGTATAAAACTTTTTGATATATGCATTGCCTGCACAAATAAGTCACTGACCATCAATAGATTTACACAATGGGGAGCTGTGCGTTATGCCAAAATTACTATGGACAAAGAAACTGGTCGGTCAAGAGGAACTGGATTTGTTTGCTTCAAGGAAAAAGACAGTGCTGATCAGTGTCTGCAAGAAGCTGAACAATTAAAGAATACCACGATAAACGATAATAGCGAAGCCTTTCCCACGGATATGATGTCCAACAAGCAAAAGAAAAAGAGCGGAATGGTGCAAAAAAGTTTGTTGACGCCTGATATTAACACTGGCCTTGCTCAAAAATTCACTCTGCAAGGACGAGTATTGGATGTCAACCGAGCTGTTGAACGTAACGAAGCCAACAAACTTATGGAAGCCAATGCACTCAAGAAGCAGAAGGAAGACAAGCGAAACATTTATTTGATGAAGGAAGGAGGTAAGGACCGAGTCTGACAGTTGGCCGGGGGTGGACGCATAATGTAAGTTGAATCCGCGGTATTAACGCCCATTTTTAGTCATCTTTGCTGATACGCCAGCTGCCGCTACGCTGACTGAGCCCGAACTTCGTAAACGTCAAATGTCGTTCGCTGCTCGCAAGAAGCTGTTGGCCACCAACCCATCGTTGTACATTTCCAAGACAAGATTGAGTATTCGCAACCTTCCTCTGAAAACAGACGATAAGGACTTGAAGCAAATTGGTTTTGAAAGTATTACCAATTTCAAAAGGGAAACCAAGTCAGGGCAACGCACGGACCTTAGTGCGGACGAGAAGGCCGAGGGCTGGTCCTTTAAGCCATTTGTCAAGCAGGCTAAGATTATTCGCAGCAAGGATCGCGTCGATTCTGCTACCAAAAAGCTTCGTAGCAAGGGTTATGGTTTCTTGGAGTACCGTACTCATTCACACGCCTTGGCCGCTCTTCGCTATCTCAACAATAACAGTAAAGTGTTCCCTGGCGACCCACGGAGATTGATTGTGGAATTCTCCGTTGATAACAAAGATGTTGTTGAAAGAAGAACACAAAGAGCCGCTGGTGGATTTAGCCGAAACCCTGGTAAAGGAGATGATGATACTAAACGTACCACTGGTCGTTTCAGTGGTAATAAGCGTCCCGCCCACGATGATGGTGGTAGAAGAGACTCTAACAAGAGGATGAGATCTGGCCCTCCTCCGCGTGGATCAAGTGGGTCTAAACCCCAACGGCCGATGATGAACAAGAGACCGTTTAATAAGAGAAAATAATAATAAACCTTGAGTGCAACGACGCTTGATTTTTTTACAAATATATTTTGGAGCAATCTACCCTTTTTCCCTTCCACATTTTCTTTTTTTTTTTTTTTTATTCTCAATCTTTTTTTGCCGACAGTCTTTGGTTGGCCTTCCTCCCCCTCCCCCAATACGTACGTCACATTTCGCCATCCTTTCTTTCGTTGCCGATGCAGCACTCGACTTCGACAGAGGATCTGAGTCTGGACTTTATGCCCACCAACAACTCGGCCTCATCATCGTGGTCAGCCTCTCTCAATGCGCATAATCCCCAACGCAACTCAAACAGTTCTTCGAATTCCACCATACCACATATGATTGCCGCCAATGCAGCCAATGTTGCAACCCGTTCAACCAACCAAACCTCTCGCACTGTCAGGTCTCATTGGGTTCGATATACCAGTGAGAATTGGCGACATATTTCACGAACAAGCAAACTCATGCTCATATTTTCCATAACCTCGGTCATCGTCCAAGTGAGTACAACGATATTTGTATCACATTTGTCTGTGGGTTGAATACTCAATGCATCTCACTATTTAGTTTTGCGCTGTGGTTGTGGTATTGATTATATCCAGGAATCAATATTGCGATAAACCCCTCGAGATGATTCTTATCGTGTATATACTTCGTTTGATATTATCAACACCATTAAGTGTTTACCAACATTTGAATCCGACCTATCGTCGGCGTACATCCCCTCCTCAAAACAACCTAGAAATGGGATCATCAACCACACAGCAGCAACGACATTATCCTTCACAACCCCATATCCAAGCGAATGCGCCGCAGAGAACAGCACGCCATAATACCTTGGCAGGCTGGATAGATAGAGCCAAATCAGCTCTTGATCTATTTTCGATTTTGTGGTTTATCATTATGAACTGGCTCTTGTTCAGCAGTTCTACATGCAGCTCGACAGCTCCTTCATTATATTACCTGACCCTTATTTTCATCGTCTTTGGCTACATTATCATCACCATTCCTATTATATTATGCGCAGCAGTGATATTTTGTCTACCTTGCGTCTTAGGTAAGTTTCACTTCTTTCCGGCATGACGTGGCCTTGCACCACCCGCCGCTTTACCCTTTATGCCTGAACCTGACCTGACCTCTTTTGTAGTGGGAATGCGTGTGTTACGTGTGGGAGAAGTGGTGGGAATGGGCGGAGCATCGACAGAAGACATCAAAAACATACCAGTGAAGCGGTTTCGATCTCGTGCGGCCGTGGTTCCAGTGGATAACCCAATCGATGATAACAGCATCACGGTGGCTCCATCTGTACCGGCCCCTATTGTACAGCCTCAGCATCAGCAAGAAACCGCTACCCAACTGGCCACCAAAGTAGGCATTTTTACTAAATTTATGATGAAAACGCGACCCAAAGGCAAGGACCAGCAGCCTCAAGATATTCGATTCTATGAGCCTTTCGAGATACCCAATAGCGAGGATGCTATGTGTGCCATTTGTCTGTCAGCCTATGAAGATGACGAGTTGGTTTGCCATTTATGGTAAGGAAATAACAACCCCCCCACGCAAATTTAGTTGAGCTGGTTTAACCTTTGTGCTTTTGCTAGGTGTGGCCATCATTTTCATAAAGGTTGTGTACATGAATGGTTGGGACTCAATAGACTATGTCCTCTATGCAAACGTGATGTTCGGGGCAAAGACTTTGATGAGCAAGACAACTAGAATACATCATAAATATAAAGCCTCCCCTCTGATCTGACTTTTTCAACCTCCTCCAACCAAACCATACCGAAACGTCTTGGATGGGATGGCCTGGTGCCATTAAAATCCATGATACTCTCTTTCTTCTTCTGTTAACTTGTTTATTATATATCAATATACATATGTTATATATGTTTTGCCGTGGGGTTTAATCGTTGAAGTACACCAAAGGTTCTTCGAGGGTCCAGATGGCGTTCTCGGGAGTGGTATAAAGAGAGTAGAAATCAACCTGACCTTGGTTGGACTTGTGAGCGCGAGCATGGATATACTTGTCATCGCCCAAGTCGATCTTGGCAAAGTAGTTGAGTCCATAGGCAACTTCTTCAACGGCATATTGAACAACCTTGAAGGCAGAAATATGCTTCAATCTGTCGGTTTCATGCAATCCGTGGACGTGGTCGGCATGGTGGATCTAAAATAGACATAAACCGTTTTTCTCTCAGTTCCTCGACCTGCCTGACGCGCCAAGTTTAATTCATGCCAGACAATATAGTTACCTCGTGGATCTGTTATTTTTCCAGAGGAGACAGAAAATGTTGCATCAACATCGGTCAGTATATCACAACATACCCACTCTCCTTGATGACAGTATACTGTTTCAGAAACCTACCTTGTCAACAATCTCTTCCTTGACTTGATGGAAAATCTGGAAGGGAGAGTGAGTATTTCAAGGATATAGTTCGGTACAGGCAGCAAACGATTTGACCCACCTCGCGAGCTTCGTCGTCGGCGGGCTTGACAGGGCCCATGGCATTGTTGCTAACACTTGACATGTTTAAGAGGAGAAGATTCTGAAGCAGTAGAAGGTGAAGAAAAGGGGTTTGTGGAGCCACTGCAGCCTTTATTTTTTGCAGTACTGTCTTTTTGACTACTGTGCGACATGCAGTACCGTCATGTTCCCGTCAGACACCAAACAAGGAAGCTGTCAACCAAAGCGACCGCTCTAGTATTGCTTGGGGTTCCAGCAGGTGTATATCTCTATAAAGTACGCAGCACTAACTGTTAAATACCATGTATCAAAGCTGCTCTCCTAACGTTGCCTTTGGCGACCTTTTAGTGCCTCATGATGGTGGCATTCCAGAGTAAGCTCATCTACCTTCCGTATGTTCCATTGGATTCGCGGCATGAGGAGCGCACTCCCGAGATGTCGCTCGAAATGGACGTTGAAGACGTGGAAGTCATATCTTCTGATAAGAAAAAGTTACGCGGGATGGTTGTCAACCCAACTTTGCCCAGCGGTCCCGTTATGATTTATTTCCAAGGGTATGTAGCAGCGTATGTTAACAAGATTCAATTAACGTTAAGCTTATTCAAAGAACGTTTTGTGCTAAGGAATGCTGGAAACATGAACCACCGTTTGCCACTTTTCAAGCAAATGACAACGGCTGTACCAAATCTGACGATTGCCGGTATCTGCTACCGTGGATTCGGATCCAGCTTGGGCAGGCCGTCTGAACGTGGACTGGAGAAGGATGCACAAGCTATCCTTGACTGGACATATCGGAAGTACTCAGAGAGACCTATTTTCCTCTACGGACATAGTCTAGGAGGTGGGGTTGCAGCTTATTTGGCTTCCAACCCGGTGTATAGTAGTAAAATACGAGGGGTCATACTGGAAAACACCTACTTAAGCATTCAAGATATGGTCACAGCGATTTATACCAAATGGACTCCATACCCTTATATTGCAAAATATTTCTTATGGAACAGGTGGCCAACAAAAGAGCGAATTGGTCATGTCTCCTGTCCAGTCCTATTTTTGTCTTCAGCCAAAGACGAGATTGTACCTCCTGAACACATGGAAACGCTCTACCGAATATGCAAACAACATCAATCAAACAGCCATATAGCTAGTATGCCTAAATCTATGCACATGGACATGTATATGGCAGACAGGAACCTTTACAATCAACAAGTTGCTCAATTTTTGTCATTAAACGAACAGAAAAGTTCTTGATATACCCCATAACTGTTATCCGCGTAGCTTGAAATAAGCCCGAATAACTCCTTAGGAGAACGCTGTAGAATGCAAAGAACATTTGGTAACAGAATAGACGTTGCCAACGTATCCATCACTTAAAGTTACCCATTTCTGAAAATTGGTTTTAAACATTTTTTTTTTTAGTCCAAAGTCTATTAGGAGAAAAATTTCAGGAATAAGCTCTTGCACCAGTGGAGACCTTGTACTGCTTCACCTATTTACAAGCTCAGCATATCTCCAGAATGTATAGATTGCAGAGACTTAAACTGCAATCGCTATTACTGCTGTGGTGGACAGCCATTACCAGCGCCTACCGACCATTACCTAGTGCGGCCCTGGACAAACTCACCAGTCTCTCTGTAAACGAACGATTACTGGTCAATGGAAGCTTCCTGGCACCATTACTCGTTCCTCGGGTGGCTGGAACAGAGAACAATGTCAAAGTTCGCAACTTCATCAAAGACCGTTTCGAAAAATTAAATTGGAAAGTAGAGGAAGACAAGTTCGTGGACGACACCCCTCTTGGTCAGAAAGAGTTCAGTAACATTATCGTTACGAAAAACCCTCAATACGCTTCTCGGCTGGTGCTAGCAGCTCACTACGACTCAAAGTACTATGAACACTTTGAATTCATCGGCGCAACGGATTCTTCTGTGCCGTGTGCCATTTTATTGGATGTGGCTGCCACTTTGGACCAATATCTGGACACTGCACGCGTCAAGTCAGGGTTGCAATTTATCTTCTTTGATGGCGAAGAGGCATTTGTTGAATGGTCCGACGATGATTCTATCTATGGCGCAAAACACCTGGCCGAAAAGTGGGAGAAGCAGGTGGTTCCAACCGGCAAATATCACACCTCCAAGCAATCGTCTATGCTCGACACTATAGAAGTTATGGTTTTACTGGATTTATTGGGTGCTAGTAATGCCAAGGTGTACAATCTATTCCGATCAACAAGCTGGTTGTTTGAGCATATGGGCGACTTGGAGCATCGGCTGGTCACAACGGGTAACTGGCGACATGATGGAGATGAATTTGACGAGCCCGACATGATATTTGATACGCAAGGCGTCGATATGTTCCATGGTCAAATCCAAGACGATCATATTCCTTTTCTAATTCGGGGCGTTAACGTTTTCCACATTATACCAACTCCCTTCCCTAGAGTATGGCACAGCATTCACGTAAGTAGAGCAGGAAATACATAACACCAAAGTGAATTGGGATCTGTTTAACTAACAATTCGTTAACGTTGCGTAGGATAATGCAGATGCCGTTGATGCTACTGTTGTGCAAAATTTGGCTGTTTTGTTTAGATGCTTTACAGCAGAGTACCTGGAGCTCGATGTTTTGGGTCACCAAGAGCTTTAGACATATATATGTAAAATAAAAGGTTGATGGGCAAACAAACACTGGTTGAATTCACGGTTCAAACATCTTGATTTTCATTTCATACGTTTGATAATTACTGTACTGTGCATAGTTATACTTGGTATGAACTTTGGAGTACAAAGGAGGAAGATATGTTCTTATTTTCGGAAATGTAAGGTAGCTATTATAGCTTGGCTTTTGTTTGCGGAATCAAGCCTTCTTTTTGCAAGGCGGCTTTAATATCGGTCAGGACCGTCGCATCTTCAATGGTGGCTGGTACATTAACGGGATTGCCAGCCGTCATGTCACGAATACAACGACGCAAAACCTTTCCGCTTCGAGTTTTAGGCAACCGTGCGACCACAACCACTTTATCCAGACATGCTATTGCTCCCAAATCATTACGCACTGCCTTTACAAGATCCTGCTTGATATTATTTGAGACCTTTCCGGATGTCACGACAAGGGCTAGTGGACTGAAATAGAGTATAAAGATAGAAGGGGGTTAGAGATTTGGCAAGAAAGTAAGTCTTTAACTTGTTCAAGGATTTAGCAGCACAATGGAAAGAAATAAAATCAATTAGGGTACTTACACATGTCCCTTTAGATTATCAGGTATAGGCACAACGCAGGTTTCCACAACAGAAGTATTCGATAATAGAATCTCTTCGATAGAACCTAATGACGGTACAGAATAAGTCAACACACTGTTACAAATAGACTAGAGTTCGAAATCCAACATGGCCCTATCGTTACTTACCGGTTGAAAGACGATGACCAGCAACATTGATCAAATCATCTGTGCGGGACATCACATGCACATAGCCTTCTTCGTCGATCATGCCAGCATCACCAGTGTCGAAGTACCCAGGAAAACGTTTAAAGTAGCTATCACAATAGCCTTGCTCATTGTTCCAAAGTGTCGTAAAGGCGGCTGGAACCATCGGAAGCTTAATGACCAAGTTACCGAAAGTATTGGGATTATCTTGAGGCGCACCATCGTCATCCAGTACACATACATTTGCTCCCGGCACAGGTTTTCCAGCGGAACCTGGTTTGATAGAGAAGAGTTGAGCATTCTTTCCCAGACAGGTTGAAGTTACAGGTTGGCCAGTTTCCGTCAGCCACCAGCAGTCAATAACTTGCTTGCTGGAACCAAGGAGTTGTTGACACCAGTGGATTGTAACTGGATCACTGCGCTCTCCAGCTAAGAACAGAGCACGTAAATTGGATAAATCTTGGCGGTGGGCAAACTTGCCCTCGGGATCTTCTCGACGGATGGCACGAATAGCCGTAGGGGCAGCGAACATTGCTTTCACATTATATTCAGTGCATATCTTCCAGAAAACAGAGGCATCTGGCGTGCCAACAGGCTTTCCCTCATATAATACTGTCGTTAGGCCAGCCAGCAAGGGTCCATACACGATATACCTATTGAAACAATACCATCGGTCATCCAAGGTTGTATATTGGATTGTAATCTACGGGCAGAAACATCTTATGGTGGAAAAAAACTTACGTATGACCCACTACCCATCCAATATCACTAGCCGTGAAGATGGTATCTCCCTTCTGTAAGCCGAAGATGTAATCCATTGACCATCTTAAGGCAACCGCATGTCCACCATTGGACCGAACCACACCCTGCATTTACAAACGGGCGATAAGGGGTGGGTAAATAAATAGTGTCTTCCTCTTCACCGTTGGTAGAAAGCTTACCTTTGGTCTGCCTGTGGTTCCACTGGTATACAACAAGTACAATGGATCGGAACTATCCACGGTAACGCATTGTTGAAATGCCTTGCTTTCATGCTGAATTCTTTCAATCTCCTGGTCAAAATTTCGGTCGCCGCTTTGATAATCCAACTTAGCTTGAGCTTGGCCCGGGCGTTGATAGATAACTCGGATGGGAACAGAGTGTTGAGATATACGCAATGCTTCGTCCAGTAAAGGCTTATATTCAATAACACGCTTGGGCTCAATTCCACAACTGGCACTCAGAATAACTTTCGGTTTACAGTCTTCAATTCTCTTTGCTAGTTCCTTTGGCGCAAATCCACCTAAAAAATTTCCCCACACATTCAGAATGAGATATTGCATCAGTCATCACCAATTTTTCTAACACATACCGAACACTACAGAATGAACAGCACCCAGTCGAGCACAAGCGAGCATGCTGTAAACCGCTTCCAAAATCATTGGCATATAAATTACCACGGTGTCTCCTTTCTTGACCCCATAATCGGCAAGCATGCCAGCCACATCCTTGACGCGCGTGAGGAGATCTGCGTATGTAACGGATAATTTTGACTGGGTGGCAGCCGAGTGCCAATGGATAGCAACGGTGTTCGGACTTGTCAAGGCGTGTCGGTCGACTGAGTTGTAGCAAGTGTTGAGTTTACCGTCTGGGAACCATAAATACGGGTTAGCTTGAAGGTCTCGTTGGCCCAGGACAGCGGAAGGTCGCTGTTGCCAGCAAATGTCATCAATCGCTTGAGTCCAAGGTTCCATTTTGTTACAGTTGGCAGTTGATGAGAAATGGAGAAAAGGGTAAGCGAGTGTGAGAGAGTTGTGTGCAGGTGGGGTCAAAGTTGAGGTCCGTCCGTCAGTCACTCGGCCACAGACGGTATTTTTTTCAAATAGTTTCGAAACAGTCGCTCCCTTAATCACGCCTGAAGATGTCAGAAGAGCACGTCCTCTGGCAGGCATTTTCGGCACTCGATCAAAACGATGACGGTGTAGTTGACGCAGAAGACTTACTGAAGGTCTATACCGCAACATTTGATGGACAAGCTTGGTTGGATGAGGCAGGTTTTATATTTTCTAAAAATAAGGGGATTTGACAACGTCAAGACACCACGTCCCAACATTCTCAATCAACTAATATGGTCCACTCTGATTTAGTCCAGCTTGAAGATATTGAAGGAAATGGCATCCTCCGATCAAGGATCCAATTTAACATTCCAGGACTTTATCCGCCTTGTGGATACCCAGAAGGTGCTAGAGTTCTCGCCACAAACTTTGCAAGATATGATCGATAGCCTTGTAACCGTGGTGGTGCAACCTACACCGACAGTACCTGAGGTTGTAGTTCAAGAAGAAGAGCCTGTCCCAGAGAGATCCATTGCAGGCTTTTGGCTTGAAAAGTTCAATGCTGATACCATCAAGCATTTGATAGCAGGTGGTGTGGCTGGAGCCGTTTCGAGAACCGCGGTTAGTCCGATGGAGCGTATGAAAATTTTGTTCCAAGTGCAGGGGCCTGAACCCGCCGCTTACCAAGGCATCGTGCCTACTCTGACCAAGATGTGGAGAGAAGAGGGTATGATGGGTTTTCTCAGAGGAAATGGTACCAATGTAGTTCGTATCATCCCCTATAGCGCAACTCAATTTGCTGCCTACGAACAATTCAAAACTGTAGGTCATTGAAATTCTTATTGCTGAAGAACTAGGGGGAGTATCTAACAATTTCTGTATTAAGATGTTGATGGAACCTGGAAAGACAGAGCTGGATACAGCCAGACGTCTAACGGCCGGTGCGTTGGCTGGCTTGGTGTCGGTGGCCTGTACTTACCCTCTTGATATTGTACGAACTCGCTTGGCTGTTCAATCTGCGACACTCTCCGGTAACACCTCCACCACCACTAATGCTAAGCTACCAGGAATCGTTCCAACTATGCTTCAAATCTATCGCAACGAAGGTGGTGTCTTTGGCTTATATCGTGGGTTATGGCCCACTCTACTGGTAAAATCCACCTTCTTCCTTATCCTTCGTCTCATGGCATCACTTTAACTTTCTATTGCTGTGTTCGTTCCCCTCAGGGTGTCGCCCCTTATGTAGCTCTCAACTTCCAGTGCTACGAGGTGCTGAAGATGCATTTGTTGCCGTCCGATCGGGAAGGCCCTACGGTTGCTCGCAAATTAGTCTGTGGAGCGTTGGCAGGCTCGATTGCCCAAACTGTTACATACCCTCTTGGTGAGCATGCATGCATACAGCCATTTCACCCCAGGAATTCAGATGAGTGTATTAACCTGTTTTGCTATTTAGACGTTCTACGAAGACGAATGCAGGTTACTGGCATGTCAAGCATGCAATACAAATATCGAGGTACATGGGATGCCACTAAGACCATGGTTCGCAAGGAAGGCTTCCGCGGCTTGTACAAAGGCATGATTCCCAACTATCTGAAAGTTGCTCCAGCCATCAGCATAAGCTTTGTGACGTACGAATGGTGCAAGGAAGTATTACACGTTCGATAATAGCATAGTGTGATTCTTCATATCCTTCATGCTCAGGATAATTTTTAAATACGCAAATTTCATCACTACATAGACGACGCAAATAGAGTTTTTTTTTTCATCACTTCTTTTATCCGCTCCGTCTGCATCTTTTCATCTTCTTCTTCTAATCGAAATGCCTCAATGGATGATCCATGGTTTTAATGTCTGGAACAATGCCCAGTCAAATTGGGGACCAGCCATGCACAGCTCTGCTATGATGTTAGAAATGAATAACAATCAACTTGTACTTAATAACCTGGAAAATATGCAAGTTCTAGTCGTCGTGAAGCTTTCAAGGGAAAGCACGCGCTGCGTTGTGATAGGGGTGTCTGCGGCATTCCAATGTCTTGAGGCAAGTAGAGCTTGTTATGTCTGATATTCTGCGCATACAGCTTTGTTATTCTAGTGCAGCATTTATCTCTAATTCCAAAAGTAGACTCAACAGCGATTCCAGTTCACGTTTCACACCTTGGCTGCCTGTCAGGAACTGTTCTTTGCAATCAAGGACATCATACCATGCCATGTGTTGACTGACGTTACGCCTTCGGTTTGTAACAATGCATTGAGCCTTCGTAGCTGACATTGTACTCAACGTATCCTACTTTCTGACAGACCTCACAGCCTCCAACGGCAGTGTCGACATCATTTGGCCAACCGCAAGATAACCTCAACCAGACAATGCGTCCTTCAGCAGAACCAGGAACATCACAGTGGCATGCACCTCATACAGTGGCAGGCATGACAGCACCGATGCCAGTGTCTACGCCGACAGAAGCACCACAAAGCGTTCCAAAACAACCCGCGAAGAAAAAACAAAGGCGGCAGATACCGAAACGAAAATTTTCAATATATCCTTCTTTTTCAATTCAAAGCTTGAACCTTGAGTCAATGTATCGTGCAAAATATCTTGAAAAATTTCCATCAAAAATCTCTAAAGGTACACAAACAGCCATAGTGGAGGCCAGCATTGAAATCAACGCTGATACTGTTCGGCGGATATTGCATGATCCAACCTTTCGGGCAACGGTAAGTTTACTCACCGCCATCAAACAAAATCTGTTCAGTCATGGCAATAACCATGATCATAGATACATCGTGTCGAAGAGATTCTCCGAACTGTATGTAAAAAAAAGTAAATTGCAGCCCAATACCTATGCTCCTTCCTCATAGCGCTTCAACTACACATTATTTGTTTTCAGTTTCGCATTTTTTAATTATTTCCTTTCATAATCCATCATTAAAATCAATTGCATCATGAAAAACCTAACAGCGGAAGTAATTTGAGGGCTATTTTACACGCGAAGGGAAGACAGATCCTTAGCAACGCGGCTAGGATCGAAGTCCCAAATAACAATCTTGCCGTCCACGCCGGCGGTGGAGAACTGGGCAACTTGATCAGGGGAGCCACTGTATGGGCGCACTTGACTATAAATAAAATGAAGGTGTAAGTTTCAACCATGACGAAGTCATAAAAGCTTTTGTGTAATCACTTACAGAATAGTATTTTGATGAATGGTATTGAGATCAGTGTCGTTGTCAGAGGAGCCGCGAGAATCCATGGTCTTGAAACGACTCAAGACAGAAGTAGAGATGGAGGTCTTCTTCTTGTTTTCGTCGAGAGAACCAGTCAGATGCCAGTCTTGGTTGTCTGAGGTTTCAAACAAGACGGGTGCGCAGTCATGACCAGCAGCAACGATTTGTCTATCGTTGGCCCAGATCAAGGACAGGTAGGGAAGACTGGGCGTAACAACAGTGACGACAGTAGGGTTGCCATCGGCACTTGGGTATGCAATATTAATGGATGAATCATGACCTAAACGCCAAAAGAGTCAGTACATCTTCATAGAAGCCAACAAAAAAGGACAGAGATGCTTACCGGCAAAGGCCAACACATCACCCGAGGGAGAGAAAGCAACACTGTGAACCCAACCGCCACGGTTACTCTGGAATTCACCGCACAGAGTGTTGAAAGGAAGCTTGTCGCCCCAAACGGTAGGAGCAGGCCTACAGAAAAGAAAAAATCATGTCAGAATGTAACTTGACGACATAGTGAAAAAATTCCAAGTAGTCTACATACTTCTTATCAACACCCTTAATGAAGGCAGAAAAGACGCGAGCCTTCATATCAGCGGAGCCGGAAGCAAGAAGGACGTTGTTAGGATGCCAGTCGACAGAGAGGACAGTGCTACGAATGGGCTTCTTGATATGCTTGCTACCCCACCAGTCGTTATCCTCGTCGAAATAACACACAGAGATAGCTCTGGCACCGCTAGCAACAGCGAACTTGTCTTCGTTGGGAGACCAGCGGACGTAGGTAGCAGCACGGTTGATACGCAACAATACCAAAGCAGGCTTCCAAACACCGTTTTCTTGAGTCCACACGTAGGCGTTACGATCCTGCGAGCAGGTCACAATACGGTTGGAGTTGGGAGCAAAGTCAATACCAGTAACGACTTTGTCGTGCTGCATAACGAGAGAATTTAGCAACCGCTGACATGCCAAATGGTCATCCTGATGATACCTACATCCTTCAAAGTTGCTTCGATGGACCAGTTGTTAGAGCTAGTGTTGTAAATGTGGACATTAGTGTCGTTAGGGCAAACAGCAAGCTCTAGTGTGGAGGGAAAAGAGTAAGTCAACCGGCGGGTGTGGTCAAGGCTTGTACCAACGTTCACTTACTTGTTCTGTCTCCATTGAAGGAGTGAGCAGTGATGGGAGAAAGGGTAAGTTCGTGTACGTCTGGAGATGACATTGAGGACTCTGTTCAGTCTACTCGATGATGGGAAGAGGTGAATAGCCAAGACGGGACACCGCTCATAACGTCATGTATCCCAGCGAGGCCAGTGACTGCCGGTAACATTTCGCGTCCGCTGAAAAATCATGGAAAAAAGAAGCTTATTTTTATTATACATAGAGAGAAAACAGTTTAGAAATCGAGCATTAGTTGTGGAAGGATCTTTTCCAAGTGCTCTACTTGAAGCGTTTGTGATCCACCGCCAGCGTCCTTGTTCGCTTCGTCTACTGCGCGGTGCACGGCCTCGACCGTAAAAATACGCAAGAGCTCAGTTGAGAGTTGGATAGCGTCCTTGTTGGCTAGATTACGTTGTATAAGAGTTTTAGTGTCAATCATGAAGAGCTCTCATTTGTCCTGAGACTTACCCTTGGTACCAGAATCCTTCCACTGCGCTTTACAGACATTCTGAATCGTCTCCTGCAAAAACAGTCAATTCTGCATTCCTTGACATCCATGTTCGTGCAGACAAGGCTATTAGTAATCTTACGGTTTTGAAGGTCAGGACATTGTCTTCTTCCATCAATTCAAATCAAATGCCACGGAATGAACTACAAATTGGTGCGAAGGTGAGTTTGAAACCGTGATATCGAATTATGAAAATCGCATATTTTCATCCCCTAGCCCAAGTTTTTTTTTTTAGTTTGAGACAGTTTTTAGACATTGGAAAAAAAAAAAAGCATACACACAACGAAACAGTTTGTTCAATCAAGACGTACAAGACAAAAACTAAACCCATGAAAAAGAGCTATGAAAGAAAAATGTGATATAACGAGAACTGGCTTCAGTTAAAAGGAGCGGGAGGAGGTTGAAAAATAAAAAGGCTTCAAGGCCGAGGAGGATGTTGCGGTGGAAGGGCATTCAGACCAAACGGCCCACCTGAAATCCTCCTGGAAGGAACCTCCTTCCTAAATGTGTTAGAACTAGACGAAGATCCAGAACGAGACCGAGAATTGATTGATGCTTCATCATGTTGGAATGTACCAACGTTAGGCGACGATGGCACAGCGCCGCTATTACTACTGCTGCTTCCATCTAAATGCAGAGGTGGAACAGGTTTATGACTACCACCTTCCGATGTCATAGATCGCTGAGACGAGATGGATGTTGATCGTCTTGCCTAGTAGTCGTAAGTGCCATTCATCAAGGTATTAGTTCGCAATTGGAAGAGATCAAACCTCAGTTGTTTGGAGACTTACCGTTCGATTTGGAGATCCCGGCACACTTTTGAAAACCGGTGGATACCTTGAAAATGGAGAGGTGGTTGTTAAACAATGATCACCAAGAACGCATCAGAAACACAAAAGAAAGAATCCACATACACGTCCTCTATGCTAAGATCATCAGCAGACATGCCTGCATGAGATCTCAGCTCAATGAGCTCAGACTTTGCTCTGGCGTATTGGTTGAATTTGATAGAGTCTAAGGGCAAAACGTCCATTAATATCATTATGTCGAATAGCTATAATTCACCATGTCAGAATTCAACTCACATTCCCTTTCCATCTCAACCATTTTGCTGCGCAGACTTGCTATTTCAGCTCGCAGAACGTCGGTCAAGCCAGCATTATGCAAACCATAGTCGGCAGATATGGTTGGCGAGTGGGTTGGCTTCCATTTAGCCCTATTGTACAATGCGCTCAGTAAAAACCCATCATGCACCTCAATTTCCCAAATACTATACATACGTCAATGATGGTGAGGTTGGAATACCACTTGCGTCAACACTATGGTCTGAAGCCAAGGAAGGACTTCGTACGCCAGGACCTTGTAGCTTCAATGTATCAAGCTGCTTTTGCAGCTTATTCACGATATACTCTTGCTCCTGTTCCAATGCATTCTCCATATCAATCTTTTCCTTTTGAAGCTGGGTAGAGTCATGTGTTATCTCTCCGCTCTCTAGACGTATAGGTAGCCAAAATTACTCTAGGGGCACCGACTTACCTGGCTAAGCTTTTTTTGCAATGTATTGGTTAAATACTCCTCCTCCTGTTCAACCTGGATGAGCAGCTCCCCCTTTTCCTAAAAACCGATGTAATATACATTAACGTGAGGAAATCATACTGGTGAATGCACTTTGGACCAAGCGGGTAAACTTACCTTTTTCAAACCGGAGATTCGCTTCAACAATTTGTTGCTAATATATTCCTCCTCTTGCTCAGCAAGGGCAGTCTTTAACGCAGAGAATATTAGAAAAGAAAAAAGGCAAAGGTATGAGATGACCTAACATAACGATCACTTACCATATCCACGGTCATTTGGCGAAGCATTTGATTATCATGTCGCAGAATGTTGACATGGCCTTGTTCCATCTCCAACTCAAAGTTTAACTTTTTGATAACAGCTTGTTGGCTTTTGATCGTTTCCGAAGCCTTTGTAAGTTGTCGCCGTAGTAATTCTATATCGTTGCTTTCAATCACCTGCTCGGAGGGTGCTATACTACTAGCGCTATCGACTGCGAGATTTACAGAACTACGACGGATAATGTTAGCGACAACGTCAGCAACTACAAAGGGGGAGGAACATAAAACATGGACACTACAATTACCTTGCTCTCGCTTGAAGTTTATGCAATGATGCTTCAAACATCTTGGCGCGATCATCCAATTCTGTCTCCAGTCTACTCTTTTCCTGTCGAATCTGTGGAACAATGATATGGCGTTAAAGAACGTGGAATAAGCTAAAATGTGATCACGTCTACAAACGATGGATAATCCACCTTATCTAGCTGCCCCTTGAGCGACTCTGTCAATGCTGTTTCACTTTGTTCCATGTCATTCAATACTTGGGTATTCTAGAAAGGCAAGTTGATAATGAGATCAGCGGAGCTGCATATGAAAAAAGAGCGAGCGTCCTCGGGGGATCCACGTACTGAAAGAGCGCCTGTGCGCTTCTTAAGGCGTTCAATCTCGAGCTGTTGTGACCGCACCAGTTCTTGAAGAGCAGTGACATTAGCAGGTAAAGATTCCGTCATGAGGACCTGTTACTGCAAAAGTGCCAAAAAGGACGAGCTTATTGCAAAGGAGGCAATTGGGGACCTGGGGTTTTTACAATGCGGGCTCTGTACCATTCTAACCGCAGCTATGTCACACCTTTCTTGGCAAAATTGAGAAATATCATCAAAACACAAGTTGTCCCATTGACCAGCCCGCACTCTTATCACAAACTAACTCATTGATTCAACTTGTAATAACTATATGGAAGTCATCCATTCCAAAATTTTGTCCATTTCCACTTTTTGACCCCAAAAATTGCTGGTATCTGAATGATAATTTAAGAAATCATTCTAATAATCATTGCATCCTCTATTATGTCAACTGTAAGGTAACAGAACCCAGTTGCAAAACGGCTCACCAACCCTACCATGCTCTGCTTGTAATCAATGACCAATGGCCTTTGCACAGTACAATTTAACACTCCTCTATCATTTTATCCAGTTCACCTGCTTCTGGTATATTGCCTCCTTGACAGCTATAGTTCTAGTAATTACGTACAAAGTGAATGCAAAGTGAATATTTTAATATTTTTATATTTATTCAGCAGGCTACGAAGAATTTCTTTCGATTCTGCTGCAGTATGTAGGATGCTTGTATCATGAGCATTGGAACTGTTTGCGCAGCAATGTACAGAGAGGTCGGAGAAAGAAAATTTCTCATTGCCGGTCCGTTAACACCAAAGACAACAATTTGGCAATTCCAAAAATATGTTGCGCTAAACAGTAGCGTTCACGAAATACGTGTTGTTTCGTTAAGCTGCTCGTTATATTGCTTCATATAAGGTGCGGGTTTATTGTGCAAAATAAACAAGATGTGATATATTACTTGCATAAAAGTAGAGTAACTGGAAGTTTCATGTCCGAGTAAATAAAGCTCACGCATCAAGCTACTGGAAGCAATGGATGTTTCTGTCTGAAGCTATTTACATCGAATTTATGAGAGTCTCTTGTTAGATCAAAGCAATGCCGCTTGCTGCGCGCAGTATAAACCTTTGCCGAAATTACCGCGATAAGTGGGTAAACTTTTGAGCCCCACGCCCTTAAGAAGTATTTAAAGGCGCCATTGTTAATGCAAAATCCTTTTCTTATTGTGAAGCATTAGTCTCAAAGAATCCCCCCCCCCACCACAATGCAAATCCCTCAAGTCATTGTATCACCGCCTTTGGACGACTCACCACCTGAATACCGGAAATTAAAGGAATTCATACCTGTTTATGTGGCAACCATCCGTAAAACCATTGATTCTGGGTTTCTCTCCCTTTATCCTCGAGAATTGATGGACCTCGATTTAAACGAAGTGTTATGGAGAAAGTTCATACGTCAAATTAACGAAAGCGCTCAGTATGTCTCAGACTCTGATGCTGCTGCTTCGGCAACCTTCTTTGGGGTCTCAGGTTATTTGGCCAGCCGAGTTGGTGAGAAAAATGTCCGAAATACAAAGATCAAGGAAATAAACAACATCCTATTGTGTTGGAACTCAAGTTTTTTCAATGGCTTTGGCCTACAAGTCACCCTTATCAAACTGGCACAGAATTCATGTGGGGCTGGAGATGACAAAAAGACGCTAAAGTTTGGAACGTTGAAGTACTACCTTTTGGTTGCCTCCCTGTAGATATCTTGTAATCATATTTAATGCTGTACTTTTATTTCATCGTGGCCACAAGGCAATTTGTTCTGCTAGGCATGATTTTTTATTTTCCAAATCCCCGCATAATCAACATAAAAATCGGCTGTCATTCAGCTGTTCTTCTCTTTTTCATCTCCACTCCCACCTTTTCTTGATGTTTGGCTTCAGGAAGCACAAATCGGACGACCAAGCTTCCGACCATGGCAGCGAAGTCGCAACCCTTCCCACTGGATCCGATTCAAACGAAAATCAAGATATTCCGCAAGAAGAAGACAACCAGTCGCCTCCAGAGGGAAGTCCTACTGAAAGCAAAGGGTTCTTCCGTGGTTTGTTTAGTAAAGGACAGCGAAAACGAGACCCTCTTGATCCCCCACCTGAATGCTTTTCGAGGCCTCTGGATCTCCCTCAGGAGCAAATGCCCTTTCCTGCTTTCGAGATATCATGTAACGGCAGACTCCTTGATGCCGGATGGCCAGTTGAGTATCCTGGAGAAGTTCTAATTGCACACGACATACAAGAGTCGGAATGGACACGATTCCTTGAGGATTTGAGTCTTACAGCTCGCTTGAAACCTAGAGACAGAATTGTGTCTCACGTTATCCCAATGACCTTGGGAGTGGGCCTTTATGGAATTCTTATATCCAATGCTATACGACGCATCATGAAGAGAGGCAAAGCAAATGGAGTTGCCAGTGTAGTCGATATCTGGAATGCCTGCTATTTCCAAATTCGTGGAGTCAAGGTTACGCTCATGCGTGGAGAAAAGATTCTAAGTGGTCTTGAAGTGGATGATGACGATTCTTCACAGAGCTCTTCGGATTCGTCATCACACAAAGGCTCAGACAACAACGATGAAAGCAAAAAAGATAGCCAGGAAGAGCAGCAGAAGAAGGAGGAGGACGAAGAAGAGGAAGAAGAAGAGGAAGAAGACGACAAGAAGCGAGCCTCACCGTATTATCTCCTCATTGAGTTTCAACCAATAGATCCTCAGCATCAGAGCGAAGTACTGTTGGATCAATCTACCGTTGATAAATCGTAAATATATACCTTCATGTTTTTGTTTGTATAAACTTTTTAGTTGTAATAAACCAAACTAGTGTATGAAGAGATGGGTTGAAATAACGGGTAAGCAGTGCTTGTTGATCAAGTCATTCCTTTCGGTTTGCCATAGCCACCTTACCAAGCCAGAGGTATTCAGCGTATGTTTGCCTGTATCATTTATGCGGGGGCTAGCATGAGAAATTTGGCAAAAGTGGATATGAAATGCTAAGCTTATTAAACATACTTCAGGTAATATATAAATGGCCACCTTGAAAGCAACCATTTGGACATGTCAAGTCAGATAAAAAAAAATTATATTCTAGATGCCATTTGAAAAATTCATGGTTGCTTGAATGCGGGTTATTGTCGACTTCTTCAATTTTGCACTCTGTCCCTATCTCCATAGTCCCCAAATTTATGTTGAATCCTTTGATATAAACCACTTCAATCAGCACGTCGAAGATACTATGGATAGGCTAGTGTGAAGGTATATTTCAATATCGCATCATCTTACTTTCTGCATTCAATGTAAAATCTCTATGGGTGTTTTGACATAAACTTAGGTCGTAAAAAAGCGTCGTCGGTAGTGCGAAAATCGACTTGCTGGCAAGTGGAACAGGTACCACGGGAATCCATCATTCAAGCAGTCATCCCCAGCAAATGACCTGGTTGCAAAAGTTTGTTTCAGATAGATAACTTGACGGTGTGTTTCAGCTGAACCCGGTATCTCGATCAAATAACGCTGAGAATGGTGAACAAACTACACTATTGCAAACAATTGATGGAGCTTATTGGCAATAAGCATCACCGACCACCACTGGATGATATACCACTCGCCACAATTTAAAGAGAAATGGATTACCTGGTCGTTTCCAATGAAACCCACCAGGCCACATGGCAAGACGAGGTGGCAAAATGGAGACGGACCATTTCTCCTAAATATGGTAATATTGCAGGTCTTACCTCTGGGGCAGCATGAATGACTAAAGGTATAAGAAAGTCAATTGTTAAAGAGAAAGTAAAGAAGAACCACAATATGAAGCAAGAAAATAACTACCAACAAGTTTGCCAATCGGTCTCTTTCCCTGCGGATGATGTGAACATTCCTCCCCCGCCTTACGAAGAAGTCACTCCTCAGCCGGATTCACGTTATGCTCAAGGCCGTGCGTCCATTCCGTTTCAAGCGTTCTACGTACCCATCCTTGATCAAAGTCCGTTTTGGGAAGTTCAAGATGAATACAGCCAAGTTCCCAGTCATATTCATATCTCACCCGACACTTGGTACACTTTCATGCAAGAAGTCAAAAACAAGGCTCAAATCACGTCGGGGTTCAAAGTAACAAAGAATAGTATGATGTACGCAGGCTTAGAATTATTGACCACGCATTCTATCCGACAAAGCATTTGGTGTATGAAGTGCATTGACTTACAATGTCTTGTTGATCGATGGAATGCTAGCTACTTCCGTGATCATGGTATTCAAATCACTTTACTTCAAGGCGACCTGAACACGATGGACGGATACATGTCAAGCTGGAACAACCCTACAAGAAGTGCAAGGAATAGCCGTTATAGACTTCATTTGAAAATCGAGTGCTTATAGTGAATTAATATGTTGTAAAAAGAAAATAAAAAGGATTAACGGATAATTGATGATGGATGTGGGCAGGCGGGCTCAGCCCAATTTAGCGTCTCCCTTTGAGCGGGATGGAAAATTGGACTTTTTGGGAGAAAAGAATCCGCACCACGTTTTGTATATATTGACACTGGCTAACCTCAATCCATTTTGACCATATGCAGCGAATAACCAATCTCGTCGAAAAAAGAATGCCCACAGCGAACAACTACGGTTCGGGGTACCCTAATACATATCCAAATGCTCCACCTGCCTACTCGCAGCCTTCCGGGTCCTATGATAACCAAAGCTCCGGCAACTATACATCCAATGTGACCTCTCAACATGGGAAACCCCATACTTACCCAGATTCACAACAAGAATATCGTCAGCCATCCCCACAACCACCACGTATGATGCAACAGCCGCAGTATTCTAATTTTGCTAACACAAGTCGAGCCATTATGTCCAATCTCCCACTTCGACAGGGTGGTTTGTTGGACGCCCTATTGAACAGTCCCGGCCAACAACAGCGCAGACCTCTAGACCCACCTCCAGAATGTTTTTCTCGAGCACCACAGTACTACCAACAGCCAAGTCCTTTTTCCCCTGTTCAAATCCCTTGCGCTGGACCTCGTCTCGATGCTGGTTTCCCCATGATGTACCCGAGTTATGCTCTTAGCTCACATGACGTACCTGAAGAAGATTGGATTCGCTTTATTCAAGATATAGCTATATCCGCTCGTTATGGCACTGGACAGAACATACAAACCAGTGGCATTCAAGGAGGCTTTAGTGGTCGCCGAGGTTTGGCTGGCATGATGGGAGCCCAAAACGGTACTCCTGGTGGAAGCACAAGACAAGCTGCCAGTTTGGTTGATGTTTGGAATAACTATTTTTTCAACCAACGAGGCGTTAATATGACTTTAATGCATGGGCCATTCCCTATCACTGGACCAAATTCGTACCAAGGACTTGAGACTATATCCGACGACGAAGACAACGGTGAAGAAAGTCTCAAGGACTATGCTCTTGGGGCGCTTATCGATGTGAAAGAACGTAGAAGACAGAAGAATCTGAAAAAGCAAATGAAGCAAGATAAGAAGGACCAGCGTAAAAACCCTGGTGCTTTCATGAGAACGCAACAACCCTTTTTCCTTCTGATTGAATATCGACAATTTTAAACAGAGAATTTTATCTCGGATCACACATCCTGTACTTTTTAGATTTCCATCACTGCTTTATAGAACACGCGTATATTAGTCCACCTTACCAAGAACTTTCGTTTCAACTACTTCTTCAATACAAACCACTTTTTGTTCAGGCAGTATGGCGCTAACACTAAAATTGCAAATAGCTCTGTGCTCCTGCATTGCACAGCCTCCTTTTCCAAACACAGACATAATTCACCGCTCACCGCTCATTTTAATTGATGTCATATCAGAACGTACCAACTGAATGATGAGCGTTTAGGCATCAAGCGCTTTGAGGCTAACGATGTAAAACTAGGTTTGCATCTGGCTTGAGGCTTTGGCCATGGCCAAGAAAAAGTTGGCCATGGCTGAAAAAGGCAATTAACAAAAATTACGCTATAAAATAACCGCGACACGGCTCTTCTTTTTCTTTTTTATCTCTTTCACTAGAAAATGAGTCAAGAGTTGCCAGTTCATATTGCCCAAGCAACACCATCGCCAACCAAAGATCAAGTCTATCCAGAGCCAGTCATCACCGTAACACCGGAAAAACCGCATGCTTACGACGATGATATTTCTGTACCTATGAAGCCCCAAGCCTATGACGAGTCTATAGAGCCAGGACCACCTTCGTATCCTGTTATGAAGCCAAACGCACCTGATCCTGGTTACAGTTTGAAGGACAAGCCATTGCCGGGAAGTCAAAGTCCTGTAGAGCAACGTGGTCTGATACAAGCCAAAAATTCCACTCGATCGGCGCCGATGCAGTATACTCCCGAAGTGGGTAGTAACATATCCCAAGTGATGGAAGAAGAGGAGTCGAAGGGAGCATTTTTCGAGTCGATGCAACGAAAGTTGTCTAATAAGTTTACAAGAGATCCCCTGAACAATCCACCCGAGTTCTTTGATCGCCAAGCTCAGTTCTCTACCCCTCCACAGCCTTTTGCTACTTTTTACATACGCAGTCTGGGTAAACATCTCGAAGACGGGTTTCCAAAAGCATTTCCTAGCGCACAGCTTGGCTCACACGATATTCGCGCAAAGGAATGGAAGCAGTTTCTGGACGACTTGGCATTTATGGGCAAGCTGTCTGGAGGTCAAAAAGTGGTCTCGTCTGTATTTCCTGTCACACGCTATGTGGGCTTTATCGGACATACGCTTACCACGGTGATTGAGAACGGGTTGATGAAAGGCACGCTTGGGAAAGTCGCGAGTTTAGTGGATATCTGGAATGCTGTGTTCTTCCACCAACGTGGCGTAAATGTCGTATTAATCCAAGGTACATCAAGAATCAGTGGGCCACCCATGGAAGACGATCCAACCTTCTTTACCACACCATCTTTGCCACTCTATGGCTCAACACCACAGATGATGAGCGAATATCCACCCTACTCACCAGTCCCTCAGTATCATCACCCGCAAGCATCTCAAAATGACCTTGATCGAGGAAATTCTCTCTCATCCTCCCATTCATCTCAATCGTCTCAGTCAACGGGGCTATCATCAGGAAGCCAGCATAAATCGCCAGTTTATAATGAGTCGTATGGGCACATCAGCTCGCCTGAAGGATCTTTTGGTCAACGTGATCAACAGCCATCAGAACCTTCACCCACGTTTGCACAACCACTACAACTGACAGCTCAGTCGGCTGCGCCATATGGGCAATCTCAGCCAGCTCCATATGGACAATCGCAACCACCTGCTCCATATGGACAATCACAACCAGCGCAACAGCCTGCGCCGCATGGCATAGCGTCGCCAATCCTTTCACATATGCAGAACATATCATCGCCGTTCGGCTACAACCAAAGTTTACAGCCAAGACATTCTCATCATCATCATAAATGGGAGCGCCGTGAGGAGAAGAAAGATAAGAAGAAGAAGAAAGACAATTACTATGTGATGGTGGAGTATCAACCGATCATGTCACCAACAGCCATGCCACCCATGATGTGAAGTCGAGGTCGCCCTGCGTGTTCGTGGATACTTAGATAATCTGTATTAATTTCACCCCCCCCCCATTCTATGTACCATTATTCTCCCCACTATTCATATTTTTCGCATACCATATTTGAGGGGAATGATTCCCGGTTTGACAGACAGAGAATGAAACGTTAGAACAAATAAACAAAAAGATATCATGACGATGTAAAGTAAGTTGAAGAATTGGCCCATGGTCTCCACCTTTCACCCAACCTAAACATCATCGACACCAACGAACGAACGGGTTCTTTTAACAATCTCTCTATTGCATGTATTAAAAATCCTGTTTCTACTCTGACATGTTTGAATCAAAAGGTCGGGGGCTATGCTATTAGGTGGACTAGCAAATGCATGTACAAAGACATTAAAGAAACAAAAAGGATTTGAGCGTTTCCCTTCCCAGAGAAAAAGAATGAGGGAGGCTTAAGCCTTGGTCTCCTCAGAAGCTTCGGGGGCTTCATCAAGATGCTCTTCAAGAACCTCGACAGCCTCAGTGATCTTGCTCTCAAGGGCTTCGTTGTCTTCCAAAAGATGCAAGAGCTCGGAAGTTTGCATCTCGAGAAGCATACCGGTGATCTTACCAGCATATTCGGGTTGCTGTTGGTGGATCAAGGGGTAAAGACGTTCACCGAGCATTTGCTTTTGCATCTCCGGGGGAGCAGCAGCAAGAGCAGCAGCGGTCAAAGCTTGAGGACCAGCGGGAGTTTCAGCTTGGGCACCGTTGGGAGCGTTAGGGCGCTGTTGGTTACCAAACTTGCGACCGGGACCATTCTGACCAGCAGGTTGAGGACGACCACCAGCTTGAGGAGCACCACCACCACGAGGAGGACGGGGACCACGTTGGGGACGACCTTGCATGTTAGGAGCAAAGCCTTGAGGAACCTGAGGGTAACCGGGCATAGGCATTTGCTGACCTTGTTGGGGTTGAGGACCCCAGCGGGGACGAGCAACCATACCGTTCTGGGGGAAAACGGGACGTTGACCTTGGGGCATGAAACCACCAGGAGGAGCATAGAACATGGGAGCACCGGGCATGTAACCAGGGGCACCAGGCATAGGCATAGCTTGTTGCATGCGGATTTGGTTGCGTTGAGCCATTTGAGCTTCAAGTTGGCTGCGACGAACATCCTTACGTTGAGCAAGAGCGACATAGATGGGCTTGGAACCAATCATACGGCCGTTCATTTCAGTAACAGCCTTGGTAGCTTCATCAGGAGCAGAGAAGCAGACGAAACCGAATCCCTTGCTGGCACCGGTCTTGTCATCACGCATAACCTTGGCGCTGGTGATGGCACCATAGACGGAGAACTCTTGACGGAGCTTCTCATCATCAATATCATCATCAATGTTCTTGACGTACAAGTTGACACCTTGGTACTTGCTCATCTTCTCGAGCTTAGCTTGCTCGTATTGCTTCTTGAGCTCATCCTCACGCTCAGCCTTCTTTTGAGCACGGGAGACGAACAAAGCCTTACCATTGACTTCCTTCTCATGGAGTTCCTCAACAGCAGTCTTGGCAGCTTCATGGTCCTCGAAGTTAACGAAACCGAAGCCCTTAGACTTACCATCTTCATCTCTCTGGATGACAGCAGAGGTGATAGCACCATACTGAGCGAACATATCATGGAATTCCTCATCAGTGACTTCAGTGTCGAGGTTCTTGACGTAGATGTTGGTGAAGTTAGCCTTGATCTCATCAATCTTGGATTGACGCTCCTTCTTGGGGATGTGGTGACCGACAAAGACCTTCTTGTCGTTCAACAACATACCGTTGACATGCTTGATGGCATTCTCGGCAGCTTCATGGGTTTCGTAGTGGACGAAACCATAGCCCTTGCTGGAACCATCTTCCATGGCAACCTTGCAGGACAAGATGTTACCGAAGGCAGAGAAAGTATCATGAAGAGCCTTGTTGTCAATGGTAGCATCCAAGTTCTTGATGAAGATGTTACCAGAGCCAGTCTTGCGAAGAGCGGGATCACGCTGGGACCACATGATGCGGCAAGGCTTACCCTTGATCAAGGTGTAGTTGAGGCTTTCCAAAGCACGTTCACCTGGGGAGAGAAATTTGGTTGAGTGAGTGACCGGTTTAGAGAAAAAAAAAATGTAGGATTATACAATGGCCCGAAAGAAAAAAAAAATAACAACAATAAGAAAAAAAAAAAAGACATCAACCACTTACCATCAACGACATTGTGGAAGTTGACGTAGGCATAGCCCAAGCTACGTCTGGTGACAGCATCACGGCAAACACGGATACTGGCAACAGGTCCAATCATGTTGAACATTTCGAAGAGCATGGCCTCGGTGACGGTGGGATCGAGCTCACCGACGTAAAGAGAAGCAGATGCAGTGGCACCAGCAGCGGCGGGGGTAAAGTTACCCTGGGCTTGCTGTTGCTCATTGGCAGCATTGCCCTGTTGTTGCTGAACGGACTCAGCGGGAGTTGGGTTGGATGCTGGAGAAGACATTACGAATGAAGTTTTTTTTTTGATAGTTTTGTTGGTTTTTTTGGGTTAACTTTTTTTTTTTGTGATGAACAAGAAGAAAAAAAAGTTTTTTTTGTAGTTTTTAAGAGGAAGGGAAAATGAATGCCCTACGCAATTAGAGATGGAGAGAGAGAGAGAAAGATTGAAAGAATGGTGCCTTGTCCCTCTTCTTTACCTTGAAAAAAAAAAAAAAATGTGTCATTGCAAAATTTTCACTCCCCGTGGATTCTATGATGCAATTCAACCTTTTAACTGGCTGATGTAAGATTTTCTTCGGCTGCTTTAAGGGAAGAAAGGGTGAGAAAATTCGTCCAACTGACAGCTTGAAGGCGTTTTTCTTCAACAGAAATCATGCCTCATTACTCTTACATTACTCGATGTGAGTCCTTTTCCGCCGCTCATCGACTGCATTCTCCTCTTATGAATGCAGAAGACAACTTGGCTATATATGGCAAATGCAACCATCCCAACTCTCATGGTCACAACTACAAAGGTACGCAAAGTAAGGGGACATGATGATTTTTCCTTCAGAACTAACGCAATTGATTTCATAGTGGAAGTGACAATGAAAGGAAAGGTCGACCCTGTGACAGGTATGGTCATCAATATCAAGGATTTGAAGGAGTGTCTTCAAGTGGTGATGGAGAACCTTGATCATCGAAATTTGGATAAGGACGTGGAATATTTTTTCAACAAACCAAGCACCACGGAAAATCTAGCCATTTACATTTGGAATGAATTTCAAAAGATATACATGGTGCATGCCAATGCGCCCGTGCGCACCGCCAGACTGTACAGAGTGAAGATCTATGAGACCGACAGTAATCATGTCGAATATATGGGTGAAGAGACCCCAGAGTGACCCTACATCAAGCTGGTAGATTTCTAGCTTAGACTATAGAGATGCCATGATTTAGCATGTATTGAATATCCCCCTCACGCAATTGTTCCTTTCTCTCCTCCGTCACCATCAGCTGTGTGATTCATTCGCCGGCTGACTGTCTATAACCCTTACGTAGCTTTATTCTATAATCCAATGAAAATTTTCTTTTCTAATTACTTTGATACTGAGACTCTATGCAAATGGTTTTTGGCTAAGGGGGTCACGGGCGGTTCGCAGAAAGACAGAAATGCTCCCGTAGACACTGCCCGCGATAACCATTGATATTCACAATATGAACCCTTAAGTTCTGTTCATTTCATACCTGTGAGTGGAAGACGCAGGAAGGATGCAGAAGGTCTTCGGAGCGAAATGGATATTGTGTTTTTTGAGTCATTTCCAAAGTGCCTGGCTGTGACTTTCTTTTCGAAATTGTTAACCGTGCTTGCTGCTCGCCCTGGGTGTTCACTTTTTATACTCCCATGTCCAATCAACTTTGGCAAGCTGCCACTCGATCTGGCAAGTCCATATTAAAGTCGTCTTCCGTCAACTGGAAGGCGAGCACAGGTTCTATTCTCGCAAGAACCCGTTCCACTCTTCAGCAGCCTGAGGAAATTAAGGTATAGCGGTTGATTGTCATGACCAAACTCATTAAAGGTTAAACAAGTGTACTAACGCTTTCCTCCTCTCTCGCTTCAATTCCATAGCCAAAGTTGAATGAGGCTTCCAAGTATCCCACTATTGTTCAAGAATTCTCAAAGTCTTCTACCGGCTTAAGCAAAGTCACAACCCTTCCCAACGGCGTGCGAGTCGCTTCAGAAAACACGCCTGGTCATTTTTCAGCCGTCGGTGTGTACGTAGATGCTGGTAGTCGTTATGAATCTACCTCTACTCGCGGTGTGAGCCATATTTTGGACAGACTTGCCTTTAAGGTAAGAGAGGAAATTCGACCTATTGGCGGGTTTGGAAGGACGGACAGACTGGAGCCATGTCTTACACACGCTAACAAACTTGCTTGTCATTCTTCCCATTAGAGCACCACCAATGCTACTGCTGATGATATGTTGTCCAAGCTAGAGTCACTTGGTGGAAACATAATGTGTTCATCGTCTCGTGAATCCATCATGTACCAATCAGCCGTGTTCAACCAGGACGTCCCACAAGTCATGTCTATCTTTGCTGATGTTATTCGTAACCCATGCATCGCTCCTGATGAGGTTGAGGAGCAGCGACAAACAGCGTTGTATGAAATTCAGGATATTTGGTCCAAGCCGGAAATGATCTTGCCGGAAATTCTTCACACCGTTGCCTTCAAAGGAAACACCCTCGGCAACCCATTGCTCTGCCCACCAGACAACCTTGCCGCTATGACCCCCGAGTTGATCAAGGATTATATGAAGACATGGTACCGACCCGAACGCATGGTAGTGGCAGTGTGTGGTACCGAGCACGATGCAGCCGTCAAGATGGCAGAGCAATACTTCGGTAGCATCCCAGCGTCTGCAACGCCATTGGATTCTGTAGAAACTCATAAAATCATCCAACAACGACAAGGCAAAGGCACTTCATTCGTTCAATCGCTTTTCAGCTCTTCCAAAGCCCAGAATCCTGAAAGTCTGGCTACACAACCTGCATACTATACCGGTGGAATTGAATTAGTGGAATCTCCCGAGCAACCTTTCACGCATGTTCAAGTTGCCTTTGAAGGCTTGCCAATTCATGACGACGATATCTACGCCTTGGCCACTTTGCAGATTCTTTTGGGTGGTGGTGGATCATTTTCAGCGGGTGGACCAGGCAAAGGAATGTACTCACGACTCTTCACAAATGTTCTCAACCAACATTATTGGGTTGAGTCATGTACCGCTTTCAATCACTGCTATACTGACTCTGGCCTCTTTGGTATTGCCGCGTCATGCCGACCCGAATACGCTAGCGTATTATTAGAAGTTGTGTGCAGAGAATTGGATCTCGTTGCTAGACAAGACGTTGGCCATCTTGGCGTCAACAAGACGGAACTAAACCGTGCCAAGAACCAGCTCAAGAGCTCTTTGCTTATGAACCTTGAGAGTAGAATGGTCCAGCTTGAAGACCTGGGTCGCCAAGTGCAAGTCCAAGGAAAGAAGACTGGTATCGATGAAATGCTCAGCAAGATTGACGCCGTAGATTTGGATAAGCTTGCTCAAGTCGCCAGTCGCATTGTCCGTGGAGCTGTGTCGGTTACTAGTGGTGGTAGCGGTGATGCTACGATTGTTGCTCAGGGAGAAGTCCGCGGCATCACCAATCCACGAAAAATCCTTGAAAAGTACGGCTTAGGTAGTGGCAAGAAGACGTGGTAAATCGTTTCTAACCACCTGCCAATCTTACTATCTACGTCAATCCCATTTTTTTTTCCCATCATAATATTTTGTCATTGATACCGTGTATCGTACTGAAAAAAAAAAAATCCCATCCTGTATATTTGTATCCCTTCAAAACTGATTCAATTGCAAATAGACCAATAGAAGTTGAAAAGAAAATGGCGCATACAGTGTGAATGGTTTTGTGTGTCTGCCGTTGCTCATTTTGCCGTCCATCCATATGGACTAGTAACGGAGTAACCACCATTCTCCTACCGTATGCTAGACAGGTTAAGCTACACCGATCAAGCGTGAATTGATACGGTCCGCTGCACACCTATACATCATTTCCAATGTGTGCCAAGTAGATGATTTGTTGAAAAAATAGTGTTTCTTGAATTTTATTCTAAGGGTTTATAATATACAAAGATAAAAAAAATGGCTATCATTCTGTATACTGATATTGAGGTGACAATTGATGAGTCAATAGAGCATAAATTGAATGGATATAGAAGTATGTACAATGTTATTTTGTTGAAAAAAGCATTGGGTCCGTGAATTTGTGATGCATATTTAGGCGATGATGTTGAGTGCCTTGCGGTAGTACCTCTTCCATCTGGGAACAGGGTTACCGTTTTCATCATACATTCCATCAGTGCCATCTTCCTCTTCCTTGGTTCGTGGAATACGACCAGTTTCGAAATCCATCTCATGCAATTTTACAAAAGCGGGGCGACGAACGACCTTATGACCAACATAGAGAACGATACCAAAGATGAGACCGATATAGGCGGCAATGACGTTGCTGGCATCGATGGGGTTTGTAGTGAAAGTCTTGTAACCTTGACCAAAGATAACGATGATACCAATGACAATGGAGAAGATGTCGCAGAAAGGATGAAGCAAGGAAACATAAGGAAGGCTCTTGAGGTCATAGCCTTGTGCCAAAAGTCCCTTTCTGAATCGAAGATGGGTAAGAGAAATGATAACCCATGTGATCAAACCAGCAACACTGGTCAAATTGGTGAGCCAGTTGAAGACGACGCCGGATCCGAAGAGGGAGGTCAAAAAGGCAAGACAACCAATCAAGCAACTGGCTAACACAGCCCAGATAGGAATACCAAAGCGATTGACAAAGGTGAAGAACTTGGGAGCCTTTCCGTCCTGAGCTAAAGCCATAAGGGTACGGCTGGAAGAGTAGACACCACTGTTGGCAGCGGAAATCATGGTAACCAGTAAAATAGCATTCATCACGTCAGCTGCCCAAGCGGCACCAGCCATTTCGAAGACGAGCGTGAATGGAGAAACAGCGACGTTTGTTCCAGAAGCACTCAAAAGTCGTGGATCGGTATATGGAATGTTCAGACCGATGACGAGAATGGTCATAACGTAGAACAAGACGATTCTGACAAAGACCTGCTTGACGGCGGAGGGAACAGTCTTATGGGGGTTGGCACTTTCTCCAGCTGTAATACCGACAATTTCCACACCATTGAAGGAGAAGGCGGCAGCGATAAGACAGTTGAAGAAACCAAGGAAACCATCGTGGAATGGAGCACCGGGAATGTGCCAGTTACTAGCGCCATAGTTCGTACCGCCAATCGATCCAGTGTCGACACAAAGCCCGACAATAATGAAAATGACGACAGTGACGACTTTAACGAACGAGAACCAGTATTCGACTTCGCCATAGCCTTTGACGGAAAACAAATTGAAACAAGCGACAATGACGAGGGCGATAATACTCCATACAACACTGTTGATGCTATCGATCCAGTATTCCATGATCATAGCAACTCCAGTTAATTCGACAGCGACACCGACAGCCCAATTGGCCCAGTAGACCCATCCGACGCAAAATCCCATAGAGGAATCGACATATCGAGTGGCAAAATGACCAAAACTTCCAGCAATAGGAATGAAAGCGGCCATTTCACCAAGCGACATCATGACGCAAAAGACAAGAATACCAACAACCATGTAAGCGAGCAAAGAACCAGCAGGTCCACCTGTGGCGATGGCTTTTCCCGAAGCAACGAAAAGACCCGTACCAATGGTACCACCAAGGGCAATCATCTGTATAAATTAAGCAGGATCAGCGTTTCATGTTCCACCATGAAAACCGCTTCTGTTCTGTTCTTTACCTGAATATGACGGGCCTTAAGGTTACGCTTCAAATGATGAGGTTCGTTGACCGAGATAGATTCCTCTGATAAGCTTTCATCATGGATGGTGCGGCAAAAATCGCCTTGTTGAGTCTTCTCCGAATCCATAATGGCTGGTGATGAGTAGTTGTAAGTGTTAAAAGTGGGTAAAAACGAAGTACTTTGTTGTGGCCAGAGACCCGGATTGACTGAGACAGTAAGTAAGAAAGAAGAAAAGGGTTGTAGATATTGGCGATCAAAATCTGATCTGATCAGGCTTTTATTCAATGGGCGAGCTGCTACCGAAAAATTTTTCGACTTCGCTTTAGAACCCAAACTTTTTGAAACAATTGAAACCAAAATTGCGTGATACAATTTGTTACATTTTCTCAGATAGTCCCACGATAACTTGTAATTTACTGTCTACCTTGTTCTCACCGCCAACATGATTCCCCGTAAGCTTAACAATTTACCATCGTCTACATCCCAGATTATCACTTGTTGTTTTCCGTTCAATCTTTTCCAACACCACTTACCCTAGTCTTGCTCTAGCCTGCAGTCGACTGCGGAGTTTGCCACACGGGTTGTTGAAGACATTACGCGAGATGCTTGAAATCTCATTGGCCGCTGCAATGGAATACCCGCTCTAATCGTGTAGTAGCCTGTACTATATCCATCCTATGCAAACAGTTGGCACATGCTATAGGTTACACCACGTTCTCCGACTAAGATATGGCCCTTTGCTTCTATGTGGGCATGGATGGAGGATGCCTACAGCCGCGTGGACCAGGACTTTAGTTTATCCGAAGATGCTGCACGCCTTCTGAAACAGATATTAATTTTTTTGGCAAGCCAACCATTGCCATTGGCCATCATATATCTTTGTAGGTATATTTGCAGAAACCACGAAGTCAGACCATTTCAGGTCCCTTAAGGTTTCGAAAGAAGAAACATCTCTGTGATGCCTTATCTTTGTGATGTCAGCAAAATTTACCTAAATACTCCACCCAAGCTGCATGCCGGTGTTTACCGTAGCACACTATTGTTTCTTACAAATGTGGAGTGCCTAGAAACAAAAAGTACCAACTGCTGTACAACCCTTCCCAATGATCGACCGACCAGGGGAAGGGCAACAGAATTCACCATATCTCAAGTTATGGCGACATTCTGCAAGGCGATATTAGACAATTTAAATTGAATGCCGGCTGCATTAAGCTTAAAATCATGGCGTCTTTTTTATTTGCCTCACGGCTATTATATACTCGATGGGTGTTGAGAAAGAAATTAGCACAGTAACAAGGCTAGCAGTACACAAAGTAAAGATGATGGCATAGCTCAATTATAAAAGCTTCAGCATTGAAAACATAAACCATGCTCGCTGAAACTGAAGAAAAGAAGTCTACGGGATGCAATCGCAAGGCAACACTAAACGAAAAGCAAGTAAATATGCCGATAAAAAAATAGAAAAAAGAAGGAGAAAAAGCAGAGTCTAATGAGAACAATTAAAAGGAAGAAAGAAAAAAACGAGCTGCTTCGATACGCACGGCCTTCCAAGTCAAAGTGCTGTAACAACCATGTAGCCTAAACAAAATCATGCTGATTAGCCAACGTAACGCTAGTGGAACAGCATTCCATCTACTTACTTAAACTAATACGGATCCAATGACATCAGTAATAGTGTCAGGATGTTCGTCAATAGAAATTGGTATACCAGAGTCAGCAGGATGGTCGACTTCAGCATGACCATTGATGACGGGGATGAGACCGGTAGAAACAGATTCTATGGTGGAGCCGCCGGACTTGTGCATACGGGGAGGGTTGCCGCAACGATCCTTACCATAGTTGATTCTGAATTTTTTATACTCGTCCTTAGATCGAATACCATCAATAGCTCGAACAGCGGATGCAATGCTAGTGAAATTGACAAAGGCACAATTCTTCTCCTTAAGGGTGTTGACCAATTCAATATCGCCATATTCGCCAAAATCCTGTCGAAGTTTGTCTTCTGTAATGGTTTCATCAATATTGCCCAGGTATACATTGCGCGATCCTCCGTTCTGTACCGCTGCTATCACGGATGCAGACAATGCAGATGGTTTGCCCCAGCCAACCTTGAGTCTTCGGTTTTTGATGACAATACCATGGTAGCTTGCTTGACTATAAAAGTTGAGCGCCAACGATGGGTCGACAAAGGCAATGAACGCAATATGCTTATCGGGCATATAGCGAATGTGGTTCAAAATACCGCCGCGAACAACATTGCAGATTTCTTCAGTGGTTGTATCCGGGTGAATATTCCCAAGGTATATTGTGCGGTTTGCGATGGCAGCAATAGACGCATTGCTATGATACAACGAAGAGGAGTGGTTACCGTACGAATCAATCGTGGTCCCCGTGAATGGATCGTAGCTGATAGAGCCGAAAGGAACTTGATAATTGCCAGATGACGCGGGCGCATAGGGCTGTGAAGGGTGCATCTGAGTCATTTTGGGTCGATAGGCACATCTGTCTTTGCCATAGTTGACACGACGAGATGCCCACTTGGCATCGTTGGGCAGGTTGTTAACACATCGAATAGCGCTAGCAATGCTCAAAAAGTGAACAAAAGCGATATTTCTTTCCCGCAAAATTTTGACGTGTTCAATGTAACCAAACTTTGATAATTGATCTCTCAAAGTTTGCTCTGTCACATTATCATCCAGGTCACCGAGGTAAACGTTTCGAGTGGCGCCACTCTGAAGCGCGACATGCAAACTAGGCGAGCCGCCGTTGGGTTTACCCCATCCCACCTTGAGTTCATTGCCATTGACCGCCAATCTCTTGGTATTAGCTTCATGATAAAGGTGAGCGGCAGCAGCTCCATCAACAAAGGTGATAAAGGCGCAGCTCTTCTCGGGAAATGTTCGAACAGCTTCAATAATGCCAGATTTAACCAAATCCAAAACCTCACTAATCGTAGTCTCAGCCGGGATGTTGCCAATGTAAACGGTTCGTGCTGATTGGTTTGGCACAGATTGCATTTGACCTGCATTTTGTTGACCGACGTGATGTGAGTACGGCGTAGCATTGGAAAATTGAGGAGTTGAAAACGGAGATGCCAAAGAAGACGCCGAAGGAGACGTAGCCAAAGGTGGGTTGGCGTATTGCAGCTGACCATTCGTGTTAAGCATTCCCTGAGTACCGTTCATATGATGATACTGATTCATGTTACCGTAGGATGAAGATAAGTTGCCGCTGGAATACGCTGTAAATGCGGACGGATTTGGTTGTTGGAAAGTGGTTGGAATTCCATTTCCTTGACCATAATGACTTGCCATCATTGTCGCTCCAGGGATAGCCACCGCTGATGGGTTCTGATACTGACCATAGGCATCGGGGCTAGCAATATTGAACGTGAGCATGAGGAAACATCAAATATATTCACATTCCGCAAATTTTGAAATCATCACTTACGAGATCTGCCCAAAGCGAGGCTTTTCCGCATGCTTAATGATGGACGCTTGTGATGATGCCAACACTGGGTGAGTACTGTCCGACATGAGGATAATGGGGGGTGGAGTGGATAATAATATCTGAGAAACAAATGGTACGATAAGTCAGTCAATATGCAGTCGACAGAGGGGTTCTTGTCAATTACATGGTTGTCTATCTCGGCTGATGAACCATTTTTCTGTTCTTGTTTGATACCGAATTACTTACAGTGGTGGATGTAAAGGCTATCAAGAGCTTATTAAGGAGAGTAGGAAAAAATGCAGAACGTTTGGGGCCAACGTTCACCGACCTAGTAAGTCTGCCCTTGTATCGTCAACAACTACCCGAAACAATTCACCAAGCTGAGTAGAAGCTCTTAAAAACTAACTGAAAACAAGGATGACAATGTCAGTGGTGAATTCAAAAGAAGGACTGACAGGTAATGACGTAGGTCCAGTGCCGGGATTGTTGAATTTGCCACTGATTACAATAATTGGAAGGTCGTAGGGGATGAAGACGACGCATGGCGTGAAAATGTGCTTTCGAATCTCGATAGTAAAAGTCGTTCTCATGCCGGAGTAGATGGTTGTGTGCCTGAATTTCCGTCGAAATGAGAGAAGTGACTTACGTGCACAGGAGCTCTACTTTATGCAGATGACAAACGATGGGAGGGGGGGGATTATAACACAGAAAGGAAGAAGAAGAAGCTTGTATGTTGAAAATGAGTGAATGAATTATTAGACAAGCCTCCTGTTGCTAATTGCTTAGACTTTCTTCCCCTTTGTTACAAGTCAGATCAAATGATGATTGAGGAAAGATGGGTTTGGCTGACGGTGTGCTGGCTTCGATGTGTCGCTCGCCGAACCCCGCTTCTTTCTATTTGGCCAATCACAAGTGACAGATCCTATTTCGGCAACTGGGTTGCACGTTGACAGACAATGCATTGTTAAATGACAGCACAACGTTAGCTTAAGCTTTATTATAACGTCAGCTTAGTCAATACAGAGTCAATACGCGAACATACATGGCATAGCAATACTACTCTATGGGATATTTACCTTGGAGGATAGTCAAGCATATAGATCATACTGCATCGCCGAGTCAAGGCTGATTGACAGAGGACAGTAGTTAGTTAGACAGAAATAGAGATCCAGCCATTTTTAATGCGATAATGAAAATGTAATTGATTGCTCTAGAGCTATTTGAACACCTTGAAAGATGAGCGTCTATAATGCAAATTGAGCTAGAACTTACTGCTTTAACCTGATTGAATTCTGTACGTATATTTTTTACTCCTTTAAAGATACGTTCAAAATGCTATAATGAGCTACAATCGATCCATGCCGGTCATGCAACGCTACATTGGGTTCGCGATATTGCCCTTTTTATTTTTCAGATAGTAAACGATAGCGGTCGAGTGTGATAAGACGAAAGGACTTCACTGGCTTTGATTAAATTCTACATTCTTGCTATATCGAGATTACTAAGAGAAAAAATAGGTGGGTACCTTATCTAACAGCTTCAGTATGACAGGCAATGTGTGGTCGGCCTGTTTGAAGCAGTGAGTCATGATCCACAATTTTGATTCACTGAAATCTAAGCCACTCAAAAAAATCATATTATCAGGGTCGCCTGCTGTCAACCCGACAATTGATCTTTACTCTAAAATAATGGCACAGCTTCTCTCAACAGCCGCTGAAAAGCTCTCCCTCGGAGCAGATGCTGGAAGTAAGAATTCATTTCACTTGTTGTCTGCCCGTTCCCACCATTTTTCTCATTCCCGCCTGTAGAAGTCGTATACATAGACGAAGTGAAGGGATCTGATGAAGCCGGTCAAGGTACTCAAGATGCCCCTTTCAAAACTGCCATTAAGGCTCTTGATTTCGCTGGCGAAAGTGCCCAAATTCAGGTCAAGAAAGACGAAGAGGGATATAAGGAAATCTCAGCCTCTGCCCTTAAGAAGGCTAAGAAGACTTTGGTCGAACAACAACGCAAAGCTAAGAAGCAAGAGGAACAGAAGCTCAAGCAAGAGCAAGAGAGCAAGTCTAAGGCTGACAACGAAGCCAAGGCATTGGAAGCCGCTAAAGCTATTGTTTTGACAGAAGATTCCAGCCTTCCCAAGGCTCAAACCGTAAGCATTTCAATAACGGATCATACTGTTTTCAACAGGACTAACTCGCGATGTCGCATGTTACAAAGATCAAAATCAGAGATGCTGTTGCTTCTCGTGGAAAGCGCGTAAAGGTTTCTGGCTGGGTCCATCGCCTTCGTGTTCAGGGCAAGGATATGATGTTCGCTGTCTTGAGAGATGGTAGCGGTTACATTCAATGCGTTCTCACTGGTCAATTGGTACGTAATGCGTTTCTAGAGGATAGGATCTCTCTGTCTGTGTTGTCCTGTCTTAGCCTAACTCAAAACCAATAGTGCAAAACATTCGATGCCATCACTTTGACTCTTGAATCCACCATCACCGTATATGGTGTAATCAACCAATTGCCAGAAGGAAAGACAGTAAGTTCGAATACGTTTTATCTCCCCAGTTTGCGAATTATAGGCTAAGGAAGCTATCTCGTATTGTTCCGTATAGGCTCCTGATGGTCACGAACTCGTTGTCGACTACTGGACTATGGTTGGAAAGGCCCCTGGTGGTGATGATGCCTTTACCAACAAGATCTCACAAGATGCTGACCCATCCTATCTTTTGGATCAACGCCATCTTGTTCTTCGCGGAGAGACCGCTTCCGCCGTTATGAAGGCTAGATCTCAAGTTATCAAAGCTTTCCGTGCACACTTTGAACATAAGGGTTACACTGAAGTCACTCCCCCATGCATGGTTCAAACTCAAGTTGAAGGTGGTTCTACCTTGTTTGCGTTCGATTACTATGGTCAACAGGTATGTCTTTCGCATAGTAAATATTAGAAGGAAACTTTGAGAAAAAAGCTAAACGTTTGTCATAGGCATACTTGACTCAATCCTCTCAACTTTACCTCGAAACCTGTCTTCCAGCATTGGGTGATGTTTTTTGTCTTGCTGAGTCATATCGTGCTGAGAAGTCTCACACTCGCAGACATCTTTCTGAATACACTCACTTGGAAGCTGAGTTGGCATTCATCACTTTCGATGATCTCCTTCAAGGTTTGGAAGACTTGGTATGTATACATTGTTGGGTGTGGTGGTTTCCAAACTTGAATAGCGGGCTGATTATTTCTGTATAATTCATATAGATCTGTGATACCCTTGACCGCGTACTCGCCGACGAACCCACGAGACAGTTGATCGAGCAATTGAACCCTGGTTTCCAAAGACCACAAAGACCTTTCATGCGCATGACCTATGCTGACGCCATCACATACCTTAAAGAAAACGAAATTAAGAAGGAAGATGGAACTTACTACCAGTTCGGAGAAGATATTCCTGAAGCTCCTGAGCGAGTCATGACCGATAAGATTGGCAAGCCCATTTTCCTTACTCGCTTCCCAGCAGAGATCAAGGCTTTCTATATGCAAAAGTGCTCTGACGACAGACGAGTCACTGAGAGTGTTGATGTGTTGATGCCCGGTGTTGGTGAAATTGTTGGTGGATCCATGCGTATGGACAACATGGAGGAATTAATCGAAGCCTACAAGAACGCAGGTATCGACTCTGCCCCATACTACTGGTACACTGAGCAACGCAAGTATGGTACTACCCCACACGGTGGTTTCGGTCTTGGTGTTGAGCGTTTCCTTGCCTGGTTGTTGAACCGTTACACTGTCCGTGAATGCAGTCTTTACCCTAGATTTACTGGTAGATGCACCCCATAAATTTACTACCATTACACCTATGATATGCTTTCTTTTTTTTTTTTAGCTTCTTTCCAATAACAATGTGAATAAAAAAAACCTTTTGTTAGATGTTGTCATTGAGTTCACTTCTTTTGATAGTTTCCATTCGTCGCGTTCCTCCTGTACCGCTTGCAGGCTATTGCCTCCGGAAATTCGCAGCTTAGCGAAATTGTTTAACACATTACCTGAGCTGGTCACTACCACCGTCAACTAGTGAGGAAATTCATGTCAGTCAGATTTACAAGCTGCCATCATTTGTCAACGAATCTTTTGCGCTGGAAACCCCACTCATTCCTCATTTGGAAAGCACAGTTTTAATTGTAATCCAATTACGCTATCTCAAAAAACAAGGAATAAAATTTTCCTCGCCTGTTCAGCAGTAAACAGTCTAGCGTTGATAACGGAAAATAGTACTTTTATTATTGCAGTAATTTGATCTGACATGAAGTCTGCAATGAAGAACGTTTTAGTCTGATATAAATATGACTACTCAATTGAACATTGGCTTGTAAGTTTTTTTAAACTCTCAAGTTTTCATGTCGTCCGAAATGGTTAACAGTAACTTGCCCGACTGGGGCGCACAATCATCACCCAATGTTGTCGATGTCGATCAGGTGAGAGGCAATTGTTGATTTGGCATATTGACTAACTTTTCGACATTATACTAAAACCACTATTTAGATGAGAGACAGTACTCTGTCCAATGGCTATAAGGAATTTGGATCAGATTCTTATCCTGGCTTTGAGATCCAATCTACCATCGAGTTGAAACCAGACGAGAACCAGCCGACTGAGTACAAGGTGACAGAAGAAGCGCTGAAAGAAAGTCCAAGCAACGAGATAGTCACAGTTAAATTACTTGGAAATGAACCATCGACTACAAGTATGGAACTAAGCGCAACTGAGGAGCCAAGCTCAACTGAGGAACTAAGCTTGAGCATGGAGCCAACTATGGAACCAAGTTCAGATATAGAGCCGACTCCAGCTATGGAGCCAACTTCAGCAATGGAGCCAACTCCAGCTACGGAGCCAAGCTCAACAGGAAGTATGTATGAGGACGGCTTTTGGTCAAGTTCCTCCTTCTCAGTCGAAACTGGCATGCCAGAGGTAATATTTAACAAGAGAGTATTATAAATAGTCTGGTATTCAATCGTTAATCAGTTGAAATCGTTTTAGACAAGCGCGTTTGAACTGTCGGCCACTTCAACTGTTAGCGAATTAACTGAATACGAAGCAAGTACTGACCTCTGGGAATACACGAGTATGGTAACTTCATCCACAACTGCACTTGAATCAGAAAAACCATCATCTACCAGCTATGACAACGAAGAGACAGCACTTCCAGCTGCATTCAGAGATATTTCGCTCCCACCTATGATGGAAGTGCAAGCTAGTTCTACAGCATTTGTTGCCGTAGCAAACTCAAGTCCAAGTACAACCTCTTCGGCTATCGTGTTAACAGAAGCTACAAAAGCATCCTCGCGTGCATCATCTGCAGCCTCAGCTTCGCCTTCATCATCATCTGTAGCCGCTCCTCAGCGTGCTGCAGGTAACGTTGCAGCACCACCACCAGCGGCCCAGCCCTCGTCTTCATCAACCGCTTCATCACCTCCACGTGGCGGAGCAGCGCCTACACCAGCACCTGCACCAGCACCTGCACCTTCACCTTCATCGCAGCCGTCAAAGCCAAAGGCTCCTGCCCCAGGCGGCGGCGCTACAGGCGCAGGTGGTGGTACTGCAGGTAAAGGCAATGGTGGTGGTGGTCCTGGCGTAGACTATGCAGGTCCAAACAAAAGTCCAGCTGGGAAAAGTCGTAGCGGTGACGAAGACCTCGCTTCCATTGGACAAATTGGAGTTTTCGAGTCAAGCGCAGACTCACAATATCGCACTCTGGGTAGCATATGGATGTGGATCGCAGTCTTCTGGTTTGTGTGGGCGACCTTGAAGCAAAGACATTAGTCCATAGCTGCCTATTACCTTTGTATAATTTTGTTCTCAATAGCTTCGGTATACTTAGATAGAACATCCCATTCCCGTCAAACATGTCCTCACCCTCATCCGCTTCAGCTCGCTGTTATAAAGAAGCACTTATGTTTCCAAAAAGATATATGCCCCCCAATAAACCAAAAAATATTAATGATTTGATTCCTGTTTTTTAATTATATTTCTACAATCTGTCAATGACGGCTTGAAGTTCTTCTTCGCTATAGATTCTGAATTTATCTTTCGTGGTGACTGACGCTAACTGCACATTTGACTTGTTGAGCTTCTCTTCCATCACAGACTTGAGGACCTTGAGTGAAAGTTCCTCTGCCTCCTGCAACTTGATGGACTAAGGAAAACGTGACGGTCAATATGTTGAAGGATGGCTGTCATGTCTGCATTATGACTTACTTTGTGCCAGTTATCCTGGAGTTCGGTCTGTGCACCTTCTGATCCAGAGCCAATGGCTTTAGCGTTATAGCTCATGAATGTACCTGAAGGGTCAGCATGGAACCTTTTATCATAGAATATGTGAATTAATACAGATTTCATTCAAAGAGTGCCTCCAGAACAGAACTTACAATTGTGGGCCATTCTCATCAACACCAGCAATGAGTAATGCAACACCAAATGGTCGTCCCTACAAATGATATACTTAGCAATTGTTATCGACATACAGAGCAAACCCTGTCTACTTACCATGCTGGCTTTTTCACCAGTTGCGCTGTCGCTGAACCGTAATGCAAGATCGCAAACACCTTGTGTGATACTCTCTACTTTGATTTTTTCGTCGTAGGTAAATGTGTGGTTCTTGATGAATACGTCGAAATGAAAGTTAGTTTACGGATACATGAAGCTGTTCCCACTTGAAACAAATGATTACCTGAGCAACCACTCTGGCGTGGTCAATCATGGTTCTTGCATCGGCGGTCATACCGCTCATAGCACAACCAATATGTTCGTCAATTTCGAGAACCTTTTCAATAGAAGAGGGTTCCATCAAAGGAGAGGAAACACGCTTCTCAACAGCAAGAATGACACCCTCTGAAGTTTCGATTCCGATTGCAGTTGTACCGAGCTATACAATACACGATTCAAAATAGAGTGAAAGACGGTGAGTATACAAAAAAGACGATGGTCAGCTTCAGAATATCCTAGGCGATGGAATGTACGCTAATGCTCGAGAGCAACCCGTTGAGGTCACTTGTATCGATCAACTCGCTGGGTTGGGAGGAAGCCTACCTTGATAGCTTCAATAGCATATTCAACTTGGAACAATCGTCCTTCGGGAGAGAAAGTGTTGACACCGCGATCGTATTCGGAGCGTGTAAGAATCATATATGTGAGAAGAGAAAGCTTGCTAGACAACCGGTGCAAAAACTAGGGGAGCCTGAACGTTGGATGGCCAGGCGGGGCACACGCGTACTATGATTTCCACGCAATTTCAGTGACGCAGTTCATCCTCACGTGATCTCAGCTCACAATTACCTTTTATCATGGAGTGTATCGACGCAAAGGTGGTCACCAAACACAACTCTTTTCACAACCAAGAACATGACAGAAAATACAAAATTATATCATACATTTTACATTATTAAAGAAGAAGGAAAGCTATATGCACTACTGTACAGAAATCTGGAAAACATGTTGGTCATCACGTTGTGCCTGAACTATGAAAGACGTCGTTGATAGTACTCGTTCATCATACGCATCTCTGCATCAGACATAGGTCGACCGTTTGACTGATCATACGTTTGGAACTGGTGTGATTGCTCATTATTCGTGTCTGTGTATGGCCGGGGTGGGGGATAACCAGCAATAGGAGGTAAGTTTGGTGGTGCATTTTGGAGCATATGCTGAGGAGCATGAAGGTGAGGTCTCGGTGGATAGAAGAAGGCGGGGTGCGTTTGATTAGATGTAGGTTGTGAAGAGAGAGGCATCATAGGGGGCTGGCCGGGCGATAGCATGGTTTGCATAGGTGGTATGGGAGGGTACATTGTAGACGGAGCTAAAGATTTGAAGACAGTTAGTTACAAGCTTACCATGCATCTCCCACTATTAAAAACTTACAATTCTCATAAAGCATTTGATTTCCTTCCATGTACTCTGCAGAGCCACCATTGTTATCTACCTCACTACTACGTCGGAGACGCTTAGCTTTGGGTGGACTGTCGGCTGCGGCTTCAGCTTCGTGTGCCGCTGCTAACTTTGCTTCTTCTCGAGCTGCCGCAGCTTGCATAGCCGCCTCCTGCTTTTCTTGTTCCTTTTTACGTTTTTTCTCTTCTGTTTCCTGTTTCCTCTTCTCTCGTTTTTCTTCCCTTTCTCTCTGAAGTTCAAGCTTTTTCTCCTCTGCCGCACGCCTTCTTTCCTCTGCAGCTTGTTTTGCTTGTTGTTTTTTGAGTTCATTTTGGGCTTGAACCTCTGCAAAACCATTTTAAGTTGAGTATTTTTTCACAAACCCTCCCCACATCGTTCCATCAGTCTTACCAGCATTGGCCTTATCAATATTTTCATGAATGGCAGCAGATTCGTTAATGCCAATCATCTGGATTTTGCTAGGTTTCATGAAACCCTTTGGTGTGCTCGAATCATCTGTGCCACCTGGGCCAGTGGATCCGCCTGCCAATATAGACTGTATGGAGGCTAGACTCGAATTTAATGATCGTCCCAATCGACATTTCTCGCAAATTAAAAGGTGTACTTACCTCTTGGCTGTGCGCTCTGAGCTGGTCGACTTGGGTTCACAGTACGTAAAAAGCTAGGCTTGGCACCGAGAGAGGGTTTTCGGACAGGCACTCGATTACCCGGTCTTTGTATGAATAGGCTGGAACCAGACTGACCCCGACCAGCGGCTATCTTGGTAGGCAAATGTTCCGAGGAAGGGGCAGTCGAACCAGCAGCTGCCGGTGGAGCAATTACCGAAGCTGAAGATGCTTGAACCGATGGTGTAGGGGTAGCTTCTTTTGCAATGGCTTGTAGTTGTGATAGTCTTTCCTCGCGAGACAGTGCACTTGGCGCCTTGGTGGACAACTTGAAATGCTGCTTGACGGTGGGTACCATTGCCGAGAACTCTTTCGATGCTGAGGGACATGATGGGTATCGACTTTTCTCCTTGTATGCAAATTCTGTGGGATGGAAACTGATCCCATGTTTGTCGACTGACATATAGTATGAGGAAAACGCTGTGTCTGGGTGATTCTAACAACAACAATGGGTACTCACTGGCATCGTTAACATGGTTGAGCGCGTCAGCAAACTTGTCAGTTGCATTTTCCATATCGTAGTTTAATCCTCCTTTGTCCGGAAAATTGTTAAGGGCGTGCGCAGTTACGACTGCCCACTCTTCGCTGTCTTTGCTTGCTCGTGCCAAAGTCTACACAAGAGGAGGAAAAAAGAAAAGTTTCAGCAAAACGTGTTTCGGATTATTTTAGACTCAAGGTGTGCATTCGTAAAAGATAAAGACAAGCCTTTCAGCTCAATGGCGGTAACAAATGACTTTGAGCAACCGACATCAAGGCGCATGAAGGGGAGGGGAGGGGGGATTTTCACATCTCTCTTTCGCGATTGGTGACTTTATAGTAGCCCATAGCTTTATTGCACAAAGAAGGCGAAGTTATGACTGGAATCCAGTTTAACTATCGATCAAAGCAATCAAAGTGTTTTTTCGCATAAGGCAATACATATACGTCTGTTTCTTTTTGGATTTTCACCCTTGGCGGATTCCAAACCTTGCCCATTCCCATTAAGCTTAATATCCACCATGCCGAATAAATCTGGTACTCACCTTGTTGATATTGTCACGGAGATATTGTTGCTGGCCTTTACGTAAATAAAGCAGAGCAAACAGAATGCCGATTCGAATATTGGCGTGGTAGGTTGCATACTGGCTTTGTATAACCTCTAGAATATCGTCGCTCAGTTCTTGGGCCACGCGACCTGCCATCCAAGAACTGGAGCCGAAAACCTGCTTGAGCCAGATGGCAATGCCTTCAACACTGGTCTTGTCCGTCATTGAAGATGGGGTTGCCGGTTTGTGTCCACAGTGTAGTAGTCGGTCTCAAGGATAAACAATAAGTAGCGATCGACCGACTTCAGTGAAATTGCGCGAATTTTATACTTTTTGCTGGCCACGAAAGTAACGTCACAGCTTTGATCACAAGGAAATGGAAATATTTATTTTATTCATGCAAAAATAATGGGGTTATTTTGGCGGAGGGTGGAATCCGTCACACGAAGGAGTGGGTGCACCCACCTTCCCCTGGACATTGGACCTTTAAGCTATAGTATTAAATTTTGGCGGAGGGCACCGACCGAACGCGGCGCATTCATTATACGAGTCACGGATCCTGGTATAGTGTTCACGCTCCTGAGAGTAAAACATAAAAAGCAATCCATGATCATCAATAAACACTATCATTTCTCGAGAACTGGTAGACACAAAGAATGGATATAAAAAATACCAATATCCACGACTCGCATAGTGAAGTTTAGCGCTCGATGAGCAATCTCCGCCGAATTCATCCGCAAACAATATGAAATGTTTTGTATCTGTTGTCATATTCTACATCCCTTTGAAAGTGCCTTTTCACTTCAGTCCTATAAGAACTGCTACCAACGCCTTCTACACTAACGGGCTCGTAGACTCAGTTGTGGATCTTTATAGTATGGGAAACGCCTCGTCCTTTGGAGCTCAAGGATCCGTCAAAGTGGAGGGAAATGTCACCCCCCCCCTCCCTAAACCAGGCTCAAGAAGATAGGAGCAAAAACATCGCATCGCGTTTGGAAGTGGCATAGTTTTGATGAAAGCCAGACGATGAGACTCAACCGAACGCGAGCAAAGAAAGGAAACCGTGGTGCGGTCATCTCGCGCCAATGAAGACGATAAGTTTACCGGCTTGGAAAGACGCCTTCGTCTATAGTGTGTGGATCCTTTCCAGCATACTTTTTCATTCCATCAATTCTAATGACACTGTTTCTTCTCTTCACTTCAGTACGGTCATTATTTCAAGATTTATTTTTTTTCTATTTGAAAATTATTTCTACATCACGAACTGGTAAAATTCATTGCAATCTTGTTTTTTAAAAATAATATCGAATAAACAGCATGTTTGTCTTGGTTTGGAAATGCGTCGAAGGGAGAAACACGATGACAAAGATAAGTTCAGTACATAGGTACGGCGTTGAGAAAAACGACTATTATTCTCTCGTCCATTCCTCAAATCCTTTGACAAAGCATACTCTATCATTTAAATCAAAACATGTCAACCCTCGTTTTTGAGCTTGCTCATAGCTCATAAAGCAGTCTTGGATATCCTTCCAACCAAGCCAATCCTTCACCAGTTCATCGCCTGTTTCGTCGTCTGTCCAGCGAATGTGATGCAGCATGACGTTAGGTAGCTGGTCGTGATATGTAAACAGTCGAACAAAAAAGTCTGCCGTCAAGTGAATTTCAATGGCCGAAATATGGAGATGAGCAATGCGGGGAAGCTTAGCTGCAAAATAGGACCATACCGATGGTGAAGCAGTGCAGGGTAGTCGCTCATAAGTACCAGAATAAGGGTCGACATTACGAAAAGCAAGAGATAGAATGGTGAGCTTAGATAAGGAAGCTAATAATGTTATGCAGTGGTTAGTGAGGATGGGGTCCGTCTCATCCAGTATGATGGATAACTTTTCAAGATTGGTGGATCCTGTGGCAATGGTGTGGATTGTTGAATATGAAATACTGTCTGATAGAGCCAATTGTGTTAAATTGTGATGTGACAGGATGTGCGTATATATAGGTTGTGATATGGCTAAAGGTCTTGAATGTCCAAAATGACGATCTCTATCTTCCGCTGGTGATGGTGGTTCTAGGAGGACTCTTTGAAATAACAGATCTTGTAAAGTGTTTTGACTCATTTTCATCAACTCTGATAGAGTCGCTTCTTTGATAGTGCATGATAGTAGAGTGAGCCGTCGCATGGGCCGTTGAAAAGTGAGCAAGCTCTTGAAATCATCAAACTTGTCCCGACAGTTTTCCAAGTAGAGTTCTTCCAAATTCAGGCAGTTCTTAGCAAAAAGATCCAAACCATATTTTTCGGTTCTTTCCAAGATACTAAAATCCATCCTCAAAGACCGCAAATTCGGCACTAATTGAGACATGAACGCTGAATTGCTCATGTCATAGTGACGCCCACTTGCAAGGTTGCGACTAAGACTGCGAACATAGTAGCCGACAAATCGTGGGTAGTGTAGTACTGTTCGTCTACTCAGCAAATCAGTAGCGGTCCCCACGGCTGAATCGGCATTATTTGTATCATCCTCACGAGGCAAGATAAAGTCTTTATCTCTCCAGAGGGATGGTGCAGTTATTATGTAAAATCGTCTACATGTTTGCGCAACGTTTTTCAAGTCGCTGTAATTGTGTTTTGGATGTTGCCAACCAAGAAATTGGCAACGGTCATCGTCCATGACATTGGTGGCATATTGAACGATGAACTCCAGCAGTTCGTCAGGGAGACAGAGGATATGACCGTGCGGCGAGAGCATTTAGATCGCACTGGTGGCTGAAAGCGGGGTGGCAACTACGGTCTATGTGTACTTTTTGTTTCTGTTAATGGACTGGAAAAAAAGGGGGAAGGAAGAGAGGCAAGGAGGCTGGTTGTTTGGCGCGGTCCAGCAAAATCATTCAGAATCCTGTGACTGACCCCGTGTTTGCTTGGGCTAGTTTGTGTCGCAGTGGAGACGAGGTATTCATTGTATAGCATTTTCTTTGTTATTCCATCATTACATCGCATATGATACTTCAGAGCATTCAGTAGCAAGTTAGGCACGGCGAAAGGTGTTTGCCACCACGGCAGAGCCCTTGTTGAGAGCATGACTGAGTTTTAAAAGCCAATAGAAGTCAATGCATTTGACTGAGTAAGTCACAGCGCAAAAGCCAAGTAAAGAAATTTTGTGCCAGGTCTGGTGGATAGCTTGAATTGGTGAAGTGTGAGCAATGCAGTTTAGTCACAGGGTAGATGAGCCAAACTCTTTGGCAACTTGGGCATTCAAACTACCAGACTCATCTGAAGCGGCTAATGCGCAGCCGTCTGAGTGTAGACGATGTCATAGTGTCTCCTCATAGCTAGAAAGACTTGTAGTTTGTTCGTTCACGTAATTTTTATGGATGATATTAAAGTCGAACCTTTTTGAACGCCATGAATATCAAAGAATTAGGCTTTTCTGAGATAAATTATCAAGGTTACTGAGGAATTCCCATTTCCCAGGCGCTATTTTTCTCGGGCCATCCTTGCCCGCAGTTTCCGGATCCAGGATTTTAACTTTTACTTTGCTTCAGTCAGTGTTCAGCCCAATTCACAGCGGAAACACAGCAATACTTCATTGAACGATATCAGATTTTAGGCGTCCAGTAACATATCAACAAACGTGAAGCGCCGAGAACGGCGAAAGCAAGGCAGTACTTTATGTTCTGCAATATAGGTTGATGTATTATTTGCAGTAAAGTAGGGTAAGATGGTTGATTAATTGCGGGGAAGTCATTACATTTCTAAAGTTCATACACGAATTAAAGTTGTATAAGTATTTACAGAAAGACGAAGATACTGGCTTGCTGGATGAAAGTGACGAGTATGTCCGGGAATTTCCAAATTTAGACTGGTAGCACTGGGATGGGATCATACTGTTGTAAGTTGATACTGCCTTCCTTGCGGGTAGCTCGATTGTTCATGTACTTTTTGATCCTTGAACCAAATACGACCGGTATAAGTGAGATGATGGAGACAATAGCCATCTTGATGATCATGGAAAATGTGAAAATATCGGCTGTTGTATTAATCTGTCCGATGACTTCTCCCGCCTGACATGATACAAAATTATAAGGTAGAGAGCCAAAGAAAGTCGACACGAAAAACGGAATTGCAGGAATTTCCAACATAGGCGCTGCCATGTTCATAAACCTAAAGAAAAATGACTGGTTAGCCATCATGAAAGAGCATATGGGCACCCAATAGTGAGCTGCACTTACCAGTAGGGTGTGAAAGGGAATAGTCTGGCGAATAATAGCCACCAAAAAAGCCCGCCGTTCTTTTTGTTTACATTGACTTGCGTACGAATCACATCCATCTTATTGACAACCCACGTCAAATCCATAAAGGGTTCACAAATAAGATAAGCTAGCAAATATGCTAGAGTGGCGCCTCCTGCCGTCAAAGCGCTTGTCCACAAACCGCCCATGGCTGCTCCATAGAGATAACCGGCTAATAAATTCAAAAGAATGGAACCGGGAATGGAGAAAGCTTGCTGCCATAGATATAACACGGCAAAGACAAAGGTGACATGCATGTATCCCGTCGAAGTTTCTTGTGCAACCTGCTCAAGATGAATGGCCGACTCTTTCAGTTCAGAGAGCGTCCGTGGGATCTCAATATCCAAGGTTTCGTGGGCTAGTACAAGACAAAGTCCAAGTGATGCTAAGGCGATGGTGATGAATATCGCTACTCGCACCAAAACCCTGTGTATAGTTTTTTTTTGTTGTATTGGTTGTGCTTCGCCATAAATGCACTCGTCGTCATATGTTATATGGGATTCTTCATCAGTTACAGGATGAGACGGCTTTAAGGTCGATTTTCCAGTGATGCTATCTACCGAGCATGCCGGGTCTCCCTCTTCCAAGTCAAGGCGATGGCGAGAGTTCGGTAAAGTATCGAGGACAACAGCACTCATGACCGGCCAAGGCAGGAAACAAAAGAAAAAGAAAGAGAAGAAGGTTAAGTGAGCGGAATTGTAAAGGGAAAACTTTTTCAACATTTATCTTTCGGAATTTCCGGCCCGATTGTAAAGAGTTGGTGGAGTCGCGGACTCGCGGATTTACCATAGATTTAACCTTCGATGAAATTTAAGTCTTGGCAAGGATGTCGCTCTACCTGACATTTAAACAGTCCTCTTAACACGGTGTTACCATCTTCTTGAGTGTATATCCAAGTACCGCTACTCTTATTATTGGTGTCACAGTAGTATATATCAATTCATCTGTTTCACTTTGAGACCCTTTCATGACGATCATATCATTGGTACATCTTGGTTTTGAAACGCGTGTTATTTGAGACATCCCGACAACCTGCGTTGCATGCGCTCTCAATCATAAAGAGAACATATTCTACTATTCGGCAGTTGTATCTATGTACCTTCGTTTGCAGATCAGGTATGCCTAGGCTGCTAAAGCTCGTTATAGTGATAGGCCGACTTGCTCAAAATTATTGATTTCGGACTACTTGACTGAGAACAATTCTTTTGGGGATTAATGTCATCTTTGGAATACCGATCATTCACCCAGTCACTCACAGCGAGAAATGAGTGAAGAATGGCTTCATTTGATGGGGGTGGTCGTCGATAGAACATGTTTATTGTGTAGAGTATCTTTCTACTGAGTATTTTCAGCTTAGGCTTACGATGGAAAGCTTGAATAAACTGTAGATACTGTAAATGAAAGTCTCCCGTTTACATTGGTAAAGTAAGGTATTGCAATACAGAAACGAAAGCACGTTCTGCATGGACGCACAGCAAGGAAATTGGAAGAGGCTCATTTGAGTGACAGCACTTTTTGGCACCGGCTTTGAAAAGTCCGACGAGGCGAAGGCCACGACTTTATCAGGTTCATGTCTTTACTCGCCGACATTCGCGAAGCTGTTTATGCGCTCACAGGTTGCTGCTTCCCAGCGCATCCAGCAATAAAAGTGAATGGAAGAACGTATCGAATAATAAAGCTTCTCGGAGAAGGGTAATGTCGCAGGCGTTCTTTACTGATGAAGCACTAAATGAATGCTGACACTTTTATGTTGCAGAGGCTTTTCTTTTGTCTACCTCGCAGAAGACCAAAGTGGTCGTTTATTTGCCATGAAAAAGATACGCTGTACGTTTGGTACAGAGACTGTCGATGAGGCTCTTAAGGAAGTTGAAATGTACAGAAAGTTTCCTCACCGAAATATCATTAAAGTTCTGGTAAGGATCAGCGAACGAACAAAAGCCCTCTCAATATCCTGATCGCACTCATAACATTATATATAAGGATACTTGCACACAAAGCGAGCCGGATCAAACAAAAGCTGTTTATATTTTCCTGCCATTCTACAGGGTAGGTAATGGGGATAGTGAGTTCTGCGTACGACCAGTGTTGCTGATTTTACTCTTCTTGGCACTATTTAGAAAGGCAACTTGCAGGATGCTATAAACAACCACAATCTCAACAACACCTTCTTCTCTGAAAAAGAAATGCTTAGACTCTTCAGGGATGTATGCAAAGCTGTCAAGGTATTGCACACCTACAAAGTGACCGAGGGCAGTGGTCGTGCAACCTCCATGAGTGAAGACGACGAAACCGAACACACTGATATAGGACAGGAACAGCCGAGTCAGGCATTATTAACCAACGAGGAACAACAAGAAGAGGAGCCGGCTACTGTGAATGTTTCAAGTATGGAAACGGAAAATGTTGGAGAGTTCGTCCCATATGGTGAGTGCCGTGCTATAGATCGCCTCCGCACCCACTCGTCTTGTATTAATGGTTTTGCCGTATTGAGCCCATCGCGACATAAAGCCCGGAAATGTGTTGATTGCTGATGATGGAAAAACGCCTATTCTCATGGACTTTGGATCTGTCGCCCGAGCTAGAGTCAACATCACAAATCGACAAGTGGCTATTGCACAACAAGATTTAGCAGCACAGCAATGCTCAATGCCTTATCGTGCGCCTGAATTATTCGATGTTAAGACAGACTCTGTTCTGGACGAGAAAGTCGACATTTGGTCATTAGGATGTACTCTGTATGCGATGGCTTACGGACAAAGTCCTTTCGAAGCCAACATGAATGAACAGGGTGGCTCGATGGCTCTTGCTGTGTTGAATGGACAGTTTAAGTTCCCAGCCGACCCACAATTAGAACGTCTCTATGGGCAAGGACTGCGTGATTTCATAACTTGGATGTTGTCGATCAATCCCAGCCAGCGACCCGACATCCATCAGGTAAGCGACATTATGGTGGCCTGGTTAAAGTATATCATCTAACATGTCATTCATGGTTTTTAGGTTATTGAGAGAGCAGAGCAGTTAATGCAAACTGCTAGAGAGGCACAATAAAAATCTCTTATAGGATGAAGTCATGATAGAGATACATGTTTATCAAGTCTATGTCAATAATACAAGTTTTATGACCAAAATTTATAGCATCATACGATACACGGCTTTACTCTCTAAACTGCAGCCTATGCGCTGTTTCTTCTGTTGTACTTGTGCTAGTCATTGGATTTGCACATGTTTATATGGCGATAGGTCCAGTGCATCATTAAGTTGGGCTGAACACACTAGACCGACGGAAAGGTTTATTTAATTACGGCAATCATAGCGACCATTTGGAGTGGTACTGATGGACATTGGGAAGGACAGCGATATTAACTAGCGCTGCTACATTGCATTTTCAAGTCTAACGACTGTGATGATACCCATTGAGCTGAAGCCGCACTACCTTTCAGGCATCGATGCAGATATACAAAGCTGACTATTAATACACACAGAACTTGTGTCTGTTTCAATGTCAACAGTCCTCACAATGAGTTTTTGGCAAGCAAAACGTGTAATTTTATTGAAAGTTAAGTAGCTAAATCCCATCTCGTTGGCATGGATACTCCAGCGTAAAGAAAGTATTTTTGAACCAACAGATGGATCATCCATTTCTTAGGGCTACATCGAAGCCTCGCCAGACTATATTGATTGGCAGCCCACTAACAGTGCGTCTCCTTGTAATGTTCGATTAAGCATGTCGCTAAATCCAGGTTGCATACTTCAAATCGGGAGACACCGTTTGGCGAGGATCTTTCGTACGGAACTCGGTTAGGGTGTAGAACTAGGGAAATACCGATTTCACGATTATATTCTGAAGGAGCAAGTTGAACGATGTTCGAGTGTGACGTTAGGATTGTCCTTTCGCAAACAAGGGTACTTCGGCATAGGCTGCATTTTGTGGCTTTAGTTCAGCACTCTCATCATGTTGGACCTCGACAACTCCATAAAAGTTGGAAGAAGCTACGAGGTCCCGATACAAGGCCACCCCAGATGAATAAATGAGACTTGGTCAATCGCAACAATGTTGATAGGCATATATTTACATTTAGTGTATATGCATGGCGAGCGTACAGTCCTGTCCTACGGGTAGAGGGATCTGAATCGCTTGTCCTTTCGCCAACGTGTCCAAGGCGTAATGTTATTATTTGTCTCACTGTCATGGTTCGATTATAGAAATGAGCAGCGAATTAATTTAAGGAACTCAGCCCAATCGACTAAGTGCCGGATTAATCCACATTAATGGTTGTTGGCGGCATTTGCTGGCACGTAGTCTTTTGCATCGAAGATGGAAACAACAGGATGCTGGAGTACTGGTGGCACTGCGCTTGCCTTTTAGCCGGAGCATGAAATATTTCAGTGGTAGGTCATGCGCCGAAGTTAACCAATGGCTGAGCAAGCATAGGAGGACTTCAGTAGAATAAATGTATAGAAGCTGGATCACAGTGTTGAATGTAGCCGACGTATAAAAGATCAGTCACAAATGGACGCTGTTGGTGATACACATGATTTGATTTAAAGCCAAATCAGTGCAGCAGATCCAAAGATTTGGATTGAGCACAATTGTTTGACCGCCCTCGCAGGGTTTGTTTCTGGCAAGGGTTCTCCTTGCCCTGAATGTTGGTGATGGGCATTCAGAAGAACTTGTGCATTGAAGGAGTGGGCATTCTGTATTTTGAGAAGGAAGCTCTGCAATGCTGTGCATTCGCCCTCTGGGCGAAAGCAACAGCGACATATGCGTTCCCTGGTAAGGTCGTGGTTGCTCACTCTGAGACTATAAATTTTCAATTTGCATGGCCCGCCACGTCATCAAAGGTCAATGGCGTGGGTGTTGATTGAATATACAGTATGTGGTACAAAGCCTTAAAATATCTTCTTCAATGTTGGTAACCTGGATGCTGTCATTAAAAACTGCAGCAGTTGCAGTTTGTTAGGTTAACATTTGGTCAATGGTGTCTACAATATGCAAAAGCCAATTTCAAAACATGTAAAAAATCTAAAAATGAAAACCGTCTAAATGATGGCCTTGTCGCGCTACATATCAGATATGGCCAGTTTGACCGTGGAACGAAGAACCATTGTTGGGTATGATGCTAAACTTCATGATCCTCTTGACGTCTCATTAATCCAGGTAACATAATCACTCTGTTGTGATATAGATATCAAATCTGTTCATCTCGCGAAAGCAAAGCTGTGCTTGTTAAATTCAGTCGCGACTCGAGAAACAGCCTGAAGCTGTCAACTTCACTAGTAAAAATCAGGTTGAAACTGGTGCTTCGATATCAGCCGTGAATAGAGTCCTTTTGCAGTACATACACGGTTTGAGAAATTTGCTAAACCCATTGTCACTTTGTTGGAAGCAAATTCGCACTGCGCCCATTCCATCTATTTTGATATAGCGAGTGCAGTGTTGCGAGCCATCGAACAGGGATACTTATACCTGAAGATTTTAGTTTGCCCACTGTGGATTTCACATTTTGTTTCAAGAACAATCAACGTATTCCATACCCCTTCTTCTACTAAGTATCATATCACGGCCTAATCTTTTTTAATAACGACGCTCTCAACGCCAATAACCATTTTTATTATGTCGCTACAGTAATTGTTAACAAAAAGTTGCATTGCATGCGACAAATATATCTGGATTAGGAATCCAGTTACTGCCAGATTGAATCAAATTTAATACATGCTCTAAAGTATTGTCACGTAAGTGTTCAACGAATGACAAGAAGTTCCTCTTATATACTCAAAATGTAGCATAGGGGATGTCTAGCATGTTGAGAATGGGAGAGGGGAATGGGGGAAATAAAGGAAAGAGTTAATATTTTGATAGAAGCTTGACTATGATCATGCCTAGTAATAATCAGGATTGTAGCCAAACGAACGTAGTTCTTCACATGATTTCATGGGCATCTTCAATGCCTGTTGGTATCGTTCTTCGTCGTATCCAATTCCAAAGAGACCGCCCCTCGCTTGGTTGATTCTAGCAGCCCGAACTTGTTTCTCATTTTGGCAGTGGGATTGTAAACCTCGTACCCAAGTGATCTCTACATTTTGTTCGAACTCTCGCAATTTTCTGGCATTCTTTTCATAGCTTCCAAAGGCATTAGGATTGACATAATAATGGACCTTGTGTTGTCGTGTTGCGCGAGCTTGTGAGTAGAGCGACGTACGATCAAATGCGAATTGCGGCGTGCTCTCAGAGAACAGGCTCGATAAGATCGAGACACCGAATAGTAGAAGCAATGGTAGTAATTGTGCCAAGGTCATCCACGTTGAAGTGGGTTGTTGTCTCTGTCCAGGATCCGGTCGAGCACCAGCGGTATTGAATGTACGAGTACGGAAACCAGGACCGACAAAAGTCGCGCTCCGGAACCCTGGACCGAACCCAGCACCGTTGAAGCCTCCTCCTCCGAAAAATGCGTTGAATAGGTCTTCTGGACTCAGTTCTTCGCCGCCAAATTGAGATGCTGCATACCGTTGTTGATGGAATTGGTTGAACATGGATGATGCTGATGCTCCACCGCCTCGCTGCTCTGGGTCACCACCGCCAGCATCGAAAACGGCTCGCTTTTGTGTATCAGAAAGTACTGTAAATGCTTTGGAAATCACTATGTTCCCTTGTATTAGAATTGTGACTTGAAAAAGTCCAAACCACTACTAAGATACTTACTTTTAAATGCTTCATCTGCTCCAGGTGCACCATTCTTGTCGGGATGGAATTGTAACGCAAGCTACACGAAGAGCGAATCAGTCTAATTTGCTGCACAACCTAAAAGTAAGGGGAGAGATCTAGCTCACCTTTCGATACGACTTCTTTATCTCTCCATCTGTGCACGTTTTCTCCAAACTCAGGATCTTGTAATAATCCGTTCCGCAAGCCCTTATACGCTTAACAGCGTCTATTTGTTCCTGTGTATATTCTCTGCTTTGAGCTTTATGTTCTCTACGTTTTACGTTTTCGGCTGTTGACGACGCACTGGCATTGGATCCGGAAGTTGTTGCTGATGATGGGTTTTTAGCTTTGTCTTCTGCCTTGGTCAGGAACGCTTTAGCATCATCGGTGGGGTAAAGCGAGATGGATTTCTTTGTCAATTTAACTGCAGCTGGGTAATTTCCTGTCCCATAGTGATTCTTAGCTATAGCCAAGCAGCGAAGAGCTTCTTCCTTGTTAACTTCCATCGGGGCGTAGGACAGATGGGTATGGTGGAATGAGCGGAGGAGAGACCAGAGAAAAAAAAGACAGCTCAAGCTGACCCCAAGTGGTGAACCATGGAAAAGGTGGTCCAATCAGGTTGTCTGAATCAAATTTTCCATTTCCTGGTCAGCTCATACGTGGACGAAGATGTGTCTCAGAAGGTTAGAACGACAGTAAGAACTTGCCAGTGTTCGCAACGACTGATGTCCTTCAGATTGATATAATAAGAATGGGAGAAAATGCTTGGAAAATTGGTGGATGAAGTAGTTTTATAGTCCTATGGGGAACCCCAATATCTGTTTGAATGCTATCATGTGAAAAGAATAACGGTAAAAGATAAGCTGAATATTGAATTAATTCCATCTAAAAGAGGTCGATGATGTAGCAATAGAAAAAGCTTCTAGCATGAAAAAAAGTATTTTTCTTCTGTACTGGTGGTTAACTGCACCATCTAAAGGAGGGTTTTGTAACTCAAACCTGCAAATTATTCGGTGCCTTTTTTTTCGACGGAATTGCACTGTTCCAAATGGTCAGTAAAGGCCCCACTTGACTTCTCTATTCAGTTTCTTTGGCTCAGACCTTTTCTTTTTTTTACTTTAGATTGACCGCCAGTCGCCAATCTCTTATGGCGAATTATCCAAATTGGATCGACCTATCGCTCATCGAGGCATTCGATCGCGACCTTTGAATGCAGTAGCAGATCTGACAGCGACATTAGACGACACTAGTGGTACAACGAAAGATACGTTGGATACCTATCTAAAGGACTTGGAGGATCGGAAAAAAGGTTTGAAAGAAACCTGGAATAGTAGTGTGTATCGAACCACGCACTCTACAGATGCACAAGGCAATTCAATAGCCAGTGCCTTTGACACCAATTTTGTGTTTCCTGTGGCCACAAACACCAAATCTAAACAGAATAGCGTACCGCGACGACGCGTGGAATCGATCAAAGACAAGGAAACGGATACTACATCCAAGCGATTTTCAACGCCATTGTTGGATATGCCCACGCCAACTCGCTTCGAAGTGGCAGATCTTGAATCAGACATAAATGCTGCACCTTATCAGAGAATTCAGGAATGGCGATCCGACACTGCAAAGAACGATATAAACGAACCTGTTCGATGGGAGCTGAAGCATTGGCATTTACTCGAATACTGGTACGGTATCCTTGACCACAATGTGGATGAAGCAGCTCAAGCCTTTTATGAGCAGGAATCATTAATCGGCAAAGCTGAGGGTGGTAGCGAATCAATAACCAGGCACAGGTGGCCACTGTAATGTATCAGGTTTTGACTTATTACGAAAGATGGCATAGCATATTCTAACTTTTGATGGACAGGGAGGACATTCGCCGCCGATGTCAGTGCTTGGATACAAACATTCGATACAACGATGGGATATCTCCCAGGAAGAAAAGACGGCGAAGTTCAGTTTCATCTACCGAAAGCCGCTCGTCTATAGCAAGCTCCTGGGCATCCATTGCGGGACAAGCGATTAACAAAATAGCAAATAGATTAATACCCAAACGGCAGAAAGTAAGTATAGAACTGAGAACTCTGTGAAATGTCAGAGCCACGGCTGACTTTTTTAAACTGTTAGATATCCCGTAATATATCCAACATTTCTTTCGATGATGCGTCTTCAGCGGCATCCGTAAACTCTTCGTTCAGGCGTTTATGGACTGATGATAGACCTACGTTAACCAGAAATCGGATCACTGCCAAGGAATTCACACCAAGGCATACAGATGTCAAGGCTGTTATATCCGAAGCGGTATCCGATACCCTTCCTCCTTCGTATGGCGAATACCTGCCAATAAACGATGATAATAAGTCACAACTACCGTTGAAGGATATCACGCCAGAAAGGGAGCTCACACCACCTTTGAATTTTCGACGGCCAACAGGAAGATTTGAGTCGCCTGTAACTATCAGGAATACCCGGACGCCGACACATTCACGGCTTAGAACCGATGAGACTCTTCCAATCACGAACAATACAAAGGACAACAGCCTTCGAATTTGGAGGAAAAGTAGCTATACGAATATCAAAGGCAAGGAAGCAGTCATTAATGAACCAGTAAATGAAGCAGGCGATAACCATTATGCATCAAGCCACGCTTTATTTGGCTCAGAAGCGAGAGTCACAGTAAATTGGCGGGAGGATCCGTCCGCTACTCCAAAGCGAGGTCGCGTTCGGCAACTCTTAAGTCAAATCGAAAATGGCATCCCATTAGATGAGACATTAAACAAGGAGAAAATCCCCTTTTACTCTAGTATAAATACATCACCCTCTCCATAGCTTCACACACTTTTAAATACAATGAAATGGGGGGATTTGAACCTTGGAGCAGTCACAATTTCCTTGTGGGCAGAGGGACACAGCAACCTTCAGAAAAAAAAATTGAGAGCTTTCAACTGACGATCAAGTTTACACGCAATGGACGTTCAAATATTATCGCCAGAGGCACCTTCCAAATCTAATAGCCACAAGAATCAAAATGCCATGGATGTCGATGGTGGTGATGTCCAACTCGTCATGCCAGGCGAAACCATCACAAGTGATCTTCAGTTCATGAGGTATATTATAGTCTCGATCAGGAATAAGTCCCCCACCCGGCATGATTATTAACTTGTTTTCAGAGGTCACGGAACGTATCTTGATTCAGAAAGTACCGTCATATCGTCAGTAGCGGGAGTCGTGGAGCGCGTGAACAAGTTAATATCAGTCAGAGCATTGAAGGCACGGTACACGGGAGAAATTGGTGATATCGTGGTTGGCCGGATCACTGAGGTACCGAATGCTCGCTTTGTTTATATCAGAAAAAAAGTCGAAAGATACTAACGCCATCACAATTGAAAAAGGTTGCACCAAAACGATGGAAGGTGAATGTCAACGGACGACAAGATGCCATTCTCATGCTGAGTGCTATTTCTTTACCCGGAGGCATTCAGGTATGCTTCTGACCCTACCCATGACCTATCAATATCTTGTGGCTGTAACGTTATTTATCCTATAGAGACGAAAAAACGAAGAAGATGAATTGCAGATGCGTAAATTTTTCGCCGAGGGTGATATGGTGGCCGTAAGTGACTATGCTCGTAACGTTCATGATGGTATGGATCAAAAATCGTTAACCTAGGTGTTTCTTCTTAGGCTGAAGTGCAGGCTTTCTTTGTTGACGGAGCGATTGGGCTTCATACGCGAGGTCATCAATTCAGCAAGCTTAGAAATGGCTCCCTCGTTGTTGTTCCATCTGCCCTAGTGCAGCGCTGCAAGTCACATTTTCATCTTCTTCCTTGCGGCGTACATCTAGTGCTCGGTTTGAATGGATACATATGGGTTAGCAAGCCCGTCATTGGTAATCCAGAATCTACTGATGAAGCAGACATCGAGCGAACATACTCCAACAAAAACGATGTAAGGTTTCATGTGGCGGAGAGCTTAATGATGAAGAGGCGGTATCTAACTCATGTGACCTTTTTGATAAGATAATTGACGATGCTGAGCGAGAGAGTATTGCAAGAGTGTGTAATTGTTTGAGGGCGTTGGCCAGGAAATTCATGCATATCAACGACACAATAATTATTTATACTTACGAAGGTAAAGCAAAATATATGGATCAGATAAAATGTGGGAAGAGAAGTGTGACCTGAAATTTATGGCTAACATGACCTGTCGGTGATTACCACATTATCCCTTTCACTAGCATCACTCAAATATCCTGTCAAGGATCTACTGAAGAAGGATGTTGTAGATTCAATTACCTCTGAAGCATCACACAAGTTGACCATGGAATAAATCAGTATTCTAATAAAATGTGCCAAAATTGTACATAATATAATCGGGTGGGATGGGATTTTTGGGGTGTTGGTGTCAGTCGCAGTAACAACAGTCATCTGCCCGCGGTGACTGCTTGATATGTGGAGAGCAACCCTGTCGACACTGTAATCTTACTTCCAGGTTCAATTACTTTTCGATATAATGGATGGCGGTCACCACACTGTGCTACAGTTCATCACAGCTGCAGCGCAACTCGTAAGTAGTCAACTTCACAGGCTACATGGGCCTTCGCCATTTGCTTGCGGAGATCCTTTCGAAAGGAGATCACTCCCACTCCATGATAACGTTGTTCTGACCGCTGCCATTATCTATTCTGTAGATTGACGCACAAGAAGAAGAAGAGTCCTTAAAAGAAGGTACTTTACATTATTTCAGCGATGATTTATATCGCAGACTGTTCACTCACTCCAACCTCAACTTGCTATCCCGTCAGATACCGAATCCATCAACGGTAGTGTAGTCAATCACAACACTTCGAGTGAAACTTTGCAACCCATGACTTATTGATGTTTATTCAACATTTCCTTCAATCTGACAGACTTACCTCCTCCAATTACTGATTTGGGTCAGTCTATCTATGCCATCTACCCGGATGTGGTTCTGTCGCAGTCATCGGAGAATGAAGGCGAGCTTGCGCTGGTCAAATCCACTTCAAATGGCATATCCGACACTTCATTGAAAGAACTTCTAGCTGAAGCCGCTGAAGGAAATATTGAAATACAAGCTAGTCGATACGAACGTGGGGATGATGATTCAAGACCTGTAGACTCCAGAGATACAGGTAGTTCTTCACAACAATTTCGAGAACTCAGTATACCTGAGAAAATGCAAGTTATCTTCAAGTTACCCAGAGCCGAAGAAATATTAGGAGGTAAGTGGATTCTTTATCTATGAAATATCTCCCTAAATGTAGAACCTAGGCATTCTGACTATGATTCCAAATTGGTTCGCCAACAGAATGGCCATGTTATATCGTTCGATCTGTAATTGTCGCAGGATTTTTATATTTGACAGAAGGACACTTATGCTTTTATGCTTCTTTACCAAATAACCAGGTAAACAAAAAGAGGATTATAACATTTTGCACGATAACAAGAAAGTAAGGGACTCTGATTTTAACTCTCACACCGTCCCATCCACAGCATAAAATTCAAAAGTCTGGCTTTTTACAAGTGAAAGCAGCAAGCAAGTCGAAAACATTTAGCAGGTGTTATTTTGAACTGAAGAATGACGTGCTTTCTTGGTATGAAAACGCAACAGACACATATTGTCCCTTGGGGAAAGTGGACCTCAAATATGCACTGGAGATCAAGCACTCTAAGAAACGAGAGCATGGCTTCCGGATAGTAACCATGAATCGAACATGGCAACTACAGGCTGATACCAAGGCCAGCATGGTTGAATGGTAATTATACAACCATGTTAGACATTGTAGTTATCAAACGTTCTAATGAACTTGCACAGGATTAATATGCTTCAGCGAGGCATCTTCAAAGCAAAGAACAATGGACCAAGCCTGAAAATCATGTTGCCGTTTGATAAGATATTTGATGTGGAGAAAACAGATACTTTTGATTTCCAACAATTTATCAAAATCAGGGCCGTGGGCATTGACGATAATTTTACTATGGATGAGGTGCGTCCTTTACTGAATAGAGCCAAGCTTGTAATCATACTTTCTAACGCTGTTGTATAGTTCTATTTTGCGTACTTCTCAGACATCAACTCTACGTATGAAAAGATCAAGAGCACGTGGGCCATCAATCAACATGCTGATTCAAAGAAACATACGTCCATCGCAGATTCTGACCGCTCGAATTCTCGACTTACGCCGGCCGAGTCTTCCATTGCCTCTGAAGACTCGTCAGATGTATCGCCTGCCCTATCCATATCAGACCTGTACGATAATGATGTACGTGCCAAAACCTCGTCAGTACAGTCCACCTCGGCTTCCAATATCATCAATGCCGCAGCATCCTCAACATCCGCAGTAACATCCGCAGTGGCAAATGCATTCGCTATCCCTTCAGCCATCAAAGGATTCTTAGGCGGAAGGAGCATGTCTGCAAGTACCAAATCCATTGATAGAGAAAGCACGCAAAGCCCCTTGGACAGTGTTAAAGATGAAGACAAATTTGCCATCAGTGATGGATCGAGCTCTGAAGAAGAGGAAGCCGCAATGGTGGATTGGCTAAAGGACAAGCGTCGATCAGGCTTAAAGCTTGTCTACAGTCTACTTGGCGCGTCTGGGTCAAATGTGCCGGAAACGGCCGGTTACAGTGCTGGCTCAGCTGTTAGTGACGACTGGCGCTCCAAACCAAACTATGATCCATCGCTGAATTCGCAAGACGATGATGGTATTGACACAAGGGCTAGGGAAAACTTTAAAAAGTACTTTGTCCTTCCCGAATCAGAAGAACTTCTGGCAGGTTAGTGGCATTTGCGATCGATCTATTTTAGGATAACTTATTCATCCTAGTACGATCTCTTTGTAGTGTATCGATGTTCCTTTATGAAGACGCTTCCATGCTATGGAAAATTATATATTTCACCAAATTATATTTGCTTTAATTCTCGGGCGTTAGCTACGCGAGCAAAGGTAAAGCAATACGTTACATAGTGGTTTAGAGGATGCTGTCATAGGAAGACTAAATTTGTGTTCTTTCAGTTCATTGTACCATTACAGGACATTGCTACTGTTCAAAAACTAAGGAGCCGCGGTTACTTTTTTTACGGGCTTAGCATTCTGACGCATAACAAGAAAGAGGTATGTGAGCATGCGGTTGTATGTCATTATTTACGGCTTTGTATGTACATACATTAAGATACTCTTACCACAGCTATTTCTCGAGTTTGCCTCCATGTCCAAAAGAAATAGCTGTTTCGCCAGGATATTTATGTTGAACCGCCAAAATCATTCTACAGAAGACCCTGAGGAGTTGTTAGAAAAAACGAGAACCTGGGAAGCGAAATTTACTAGCGAAGATCGAAGTCAAGAAATCGAGCATATCGTCACACCACCTCAATTGGCCGGACGCCCTTTTCTTCAGAGTAGCATTCATGATCAAACATTTGACGTTCCCGATGCATCGTTGCATTTCACCTGTTTAACGATAGGAACTCGTGGCGACGTTCAACCATATATTGCTCTTTGCAAAGGTCTGATGGCAAAGGGACATCGCTGTCGTATTGCAACACATGACGAGTACAAAGAGTGGATAGAGGAGCATAACATTGAGTTTTGTTCTGTTGGAGGTGATCCTGGCGAACTGATGGTAAAAAGCACCTTCGAAGACATGGAAGAAACGTAAATATTCTACGAGCGCTAACACGCCTTTGTTTTCTTCTATTAGCGCCTGTGCGTCGACAATGGCTTTTTCACCATGAATTTTGTGAGAGAAGGTTTGAAGCTGGTAAGCGAAGCTACAAACACGGATCACGATGCGAAGTTGTACTGAATCGACGGCTTTTTTTTTTTTTTGGTTTGAAGTTCAAGGGATGGTTCGAAGACTTATTACACAGCTCATGGTTGGCTTGTCAAGGCACTGACGTTCTAATTGAAAGCCCAAGTGCGATGATTGGAGTTCATATGGCGGAAAAACTTGGTGAGTGTTTAAACGACACTTAAGAATACACTTAATGCACCATCTGATAATGTATATTTAGGTATTCCATACTTTAGGGCATTCCCGATGCCATGGACAAGAACACGATCATTTCCTCACCCATTCGCCACCCCTAATTCACCAAAGGGTCGACTTTACAATGATATGACTTATGTTCTGATTGACCATGTTATGTGGCGAGGCACATCAACACAAATCAACAGCTTTAGAAGACACACACTCCAGCTCCCAGCAACGACTTATGAAAAACTTCAAATGTGGAGAGTTCCCTTCTTGTATTGTTTTAGTCCTAGCATTGTTCCTAGCCCGCTGGATTGGATGGACTGGGTGCATTGTACTGGCTATTGGTTCCTTGACAGACCTCAGGTAAATTGTTGACTGGGATCAAACACATCATGTCAAAAATCCTCACTCTTTTTTTATTAGACCAATTGGGAACCTGAAGAAGCGTTATTGACGTTTTTGAACAAAGAAGATGACAAGCGACCCATTATTTACATCGGGTTTGGTTCGATCATTGTCCCAGATCCAGATGAAGTGACCAGAACCATCACCGAGGCTGTTTTGAAAGCAGACGTACGAGCCATTGTATCGAAAGGATGGTCATCAAGAATGCAAGATAAAGCTCAGGGCTTAGAAACAAACGAGGCGTCCATTCAAGATCGAAAAGCACATGATGAAACTCTACATGTTCACAATGAATTCCCTGATACCATCTATTGGGTCAAATCTGTACCTCATGATTGGTTGTTCCCAAAGATGTCAGGAGTTGTCCATCATGGTGGAGCAGGTACAACCGCAGCTGGCCTACGAGCAGGCATACCTACTGTGGTTAAACCATTCTTTGGTGATCAATTCTTCTGGGGCGAACGACTGGAGGAGATGAATATTGGTCTCTGTTTGAAAGAGATGTCAGTGGATTTACTTTCAAGCGCCGTAAAGACAATCACTACCGACGAGAGTATGAAGAAAACAGCACGGCTTGTTGGTGAGAAGATAAGAGCGGTAAGCAAAGCAAATAATTCCTATCAGTCGAAAAAAGAAACCAATTCATGTAATGCTAATTTTAACTCACCCTTTAGGAAAACGGTATCAATACCGCCATTCAGTGTATATATAGGGATCTTGAAGTAGCAAGACAACGCACCATCTCATCCACTCAAGCACACGTGCAAGACGATCCGTTATCTACACCACAAGATGATCAAGAATGGCTGCTTGTTGACCCATCATCGCCCAACTCTATATCTAGCTCTCACCCTTCCCTTAAACCTGAATGATACAGTTTGATTTAGAAACAACATTTTTTTTTTCACTTTTTGGTCCACAGTAATTTGGGAAATACTGGCCACCTGCTATGGTAGGCAATGATTCCTTAGTTCAATAGTATATAACACCACTTTCCTTTCCGCTTCCTTCCTTAGCTCCCCTGTTAGCAACACAGATTATGATGAAATTTTTCAAAGCCAACCCTTTTTTATGATTGAGATGATTGTATTTGTTGACATCAGGCGGCGCTGATAGTCAAGTGAATTGTCTCAAAGCAAGCGACGATAGAAACGAATATTCAAAGACAAATATATATTTTATTGTGTACATCATTTAAGCCATCGCTTGCATGTGGAGGAGTCGACTACCACCAAGAAAAACAATTTTTTACATTTTTTACATTTGAGTGAACAAAGTACTCAATTGAGAGCGTTGCCAAAGGGGTGATGCCAAAGCAAGCATGAATGATAAAGTATAGAACGTATCTTTACATGAAAATATGTGTCTGCACTGAATGTCTGGTTTTGCAGACGGTTGGGGATTGCGAAGAAGTTGATGCGATTAAACAACGACTTGCGCACAGTTTTCTTTTTCTTTGTAGTGTTCAAGCATGTCTTTTGTTTTGATTGTGACACTCTGGCATTGACTGATGTTGAGGAGATGGAGTTGGCGAGCGATAGCAAGTAGAGCATACACAGCTGTGTCAGTGACTCTCACACAGCCACGAACATTAATTTCCTTGAGATTAGGCGAGCCTTCTTGCACTAATGCTTGAACCGACGCATCCGATACAGCAGACCCACAATATGAAGCATCGAGATGTTCAAGATATCGCAACTGGCGAGCCAACATTTCGATGGCGTTATCGGTGAGAGAGCAACAAAAGCTCAAAGATATGTAGAGAATGTTGGGTGCCGCGCGCGCTAAACTTGCAATAGCCCTATCTGTCAAAAACGTACAGTCATTCAAAATGACTGTTTCAAGGCACCGGAATGACCCTGGTTGCCAAGATTCGAATCCCGCGTCTGTTATGGAAGTGCATCGCTGAAAATTGATATATGCCAGTGTGTCTGCGCCAAATTCTGCAATATGTCTCATGGATACGTCTGTCAAATTCTTGCAATATGAAAGGGAGATGTGAGAAATTCCACCAGGTGGTGTTGATGGTGTTGACGGCGTCGAGGGTATTGATTGGTTATCCACAATCATATAAGGTGATGCTTCAGTATAGGACTGTCGAGGCGTTGAGAACAAGGCGTAAATGCCTCGGTCTGTTATCTTCCTACAATTGGACAAGTCGATGTCGGTCAAGTAGGGGCAGCCACCAGCAAGCAGAGCCAAGCTGCTGTCTACCAACTCCCAGCAGGAATGGAGGTCCAATCGAGTGATTTTGGTGTTGTTGTTTGAAATTGTTTTGAAAGATTTGAAAGTCAAATGGAAGCAGTTTGACAAATTCATGTCTCGCACCCGAGTGCCCAAAAAGGTCGATATGGGAACGAAAACATCGTCCACCATCTTCTTATTCCAGTGTGACAAATCGACCTCTTCGAACAATGTGCGTGCTTTTCGACTTCTTAATAATTTGTCCATTCGACTGCATACCCCTCTAAATCTCATGACGGTGGCGAAGTCCACAAACTCCAAAATGTTGATTAATAAATCGTCTTTGATACCAATCAGACAAATTGGCTTATTTGAAGGCGTGGTTTCAGCCGTTTCCACGTCCGTTTCCATCATGACAGGCTCTTCAAAGCGTGAAGGTACATAAGCAGCCTCTTGCATCTGCTCAGCGGCTTTCTGTTCGGCGAAAGCGAGTAAATTGGGGTCTGACCAAACAGCAACGCTGGCACGTCTTTTTCTTGTACCCATTTCGCGAATTTTCGACACGGCACCGGATAATGTTGGGTCCTGATCGCTGGATGTACTACATATGGTGCTAGTGTCGACACCACCATGTAATGGTGCTTGAGGAACTTGTTGGCTTTCATCACCTTCAAACGAGACATTAGCATGGTGTAGTATGAACACACAGAATGAGTTGCGAAATCATCTGTCGTCTTACCTGTTATCGAGGTATCATGCGATGCTGCTAACGCAGTAGATCCATCAATTGGTATGACGGCGGAGAAATCATATGTCTGCTAGGTAGTGGTAAACGGAAAAAAAAAGGAAATGAGCTGTGAGAACCAGCAATGACACCGACTCATATCGCTTGCCTGTCGTGAAGAAAACTTACTTGAATATGCCGTAACTTTGCAAGCCTTTCTTGAGCCATATCTTTCATCTTGGCGGCAAACCAGGGATACTGATGAAGAACTCGACGCAACTTGCTTCGCGTCAAAACATAACAATCAACAGGCGTGATGGCTCGTACATCCGCGGCTCTCGGAATATCAAGTAAAGCGGCGACTTCGCCAAATTGCGACCCTGGACCGAGTCTACAAATGACTGCATCCGAAGTATTTAAGCAGTATGTGTCTAAGCAAACAGGTGCAACGATTTCAACGGTTCCAGAAATTATGAAATAAGTTTCGAAAGACGCTTCATTACGATGAATAATGGTAGTATTGGGTAAAAATTGCTTCGAGTCGACGTTAAGAGCGATTGTGTGCAATAAATCCTGATTGTCGCAATCACTGAAAATTTGAAGCTGAGATTATAACAAAAGTGTTAGCTTGAATAAAGCGCATCATGATCCATATTACACTAGACACCCTACTTTGCATATATTTCCATAAACACTGGCTTTCACAAAAGAATTCTTGTCAACCAATTCTTCGCTTCTTCTACGACCAGTTTCGCCTGGAGGAGACAGATACTGCTGGCGCTTCTTTGTTAGTATCGCTAAACGTTCCTCCGCTTCGAATCGGATGACTTTTTCGACCTCAGGATATTTTGGAAGAATTTTGTGAAGGGTTTCGGCAGTAAGACAAGCCACGAAGCACTTGGTATCAGCAATGATAGTGGCTGTACGCGGAATGGAAAAGAGAATCCCGATTTCTCCAAAAAAAGAACCTTGCTGCAACTCGGCAAAGATGCACTCAGCATCCCGAGAACAGACGTGCACGGTTCCTCGTAACAAGAAAAATAGCGCTTTTGAGGGGTCACCTTGTCTGTAGCAAACGGAAAGAAAAGAACGTGAGAAGATTATACGCCGAGATAGCATCAGTTAGAAAAACGTTCATACTTGATGATGATATCCTTTGGCTGGAATATTCGCATAGACATCTTGTTCGCAACTTGGTATATGAAAGATTGGTTGTTTGTTCGTTGAAAAAGCGAGTGCTTGATTAAAGACTCCAATAAGTCGGGTGGTACTAAAGGACCGTCACCATAGGGCGAGGAGCAACTACTACTATCAGCTGTAGAGGCAGAGGAGGTTGATACAGAAGGGACATGGACAGCTGAAGTCATATAAGTCGCCTGATGGTTTCACGACGTGGATGGACGAAGGTCAGGATGGGAAAAAGGAAGAGGTAAAGATGAAAAAACCAAAAAGTCCGGTTTCACATCCTTTTTCCAATTTGACACCTTTTGGCCCTAAGCTTGTAATCCATTTGGGCGGTGTCGGACATTTAAATACCCTCGATGATTGTGTCATCTGCTCATCTGCTCTTGAGAACAAAGGATTCCAGACAGATACAGCTAATGAGCGATTACTAGGATAAGACTATTCATTAACTTATAGATGTCATTCTCATGCAGTGTCACAAAGTATTCATATCAATGGTTAGATTTACAATCAAGTAGGTATTCCATAGCAACCTGTTACTCACTTGAGTGTGCATGACTTGACTTCATTGTGAGACCTTGGCCCTACGACAATCACTATGTTTCATTGGTAAACTACTCGTAACTTGGGCATGTGTGTGTGACGATTGCAAGTCATTCTACTTATAGGCGTATTCATTATTCCTCATTATCACCAGCTTGCAAAGCTTAATGCATGTTCTAAATTCTGTCTCCCCAGAACAGAAATTTGTCATTGTACTGGAGTTTGGCGGCAAAATGAGCGGCTGGTGTGCTCAGTTTGTCGCTTTTCCAGTGACTGCTATTTCAAGCAGTGGCGAATTTCTTCAGTCAGCACGACTGATTGAGTAGCGATGAAGCGTAGAGTAGAGACTGATCCTCATTAATGAACAACTTGGCAGAAAATGAGGTTTTACCTCTGATAGTGAGGTAAGTTTAGCTTGTATAGCCAACCATTGCTAATCTGCTATTCTGACATTCTTTCATCGACAGCCAATTGATCGCTTATGGCTATTCTGCCGTAGCGAAACAAGTGGCAGACGCGACTGGAGCCGAGACCGATATGATTCCGTCAACTAAACTTGCAGAATACCTTTACTACGGAAAAGAGCAAGGTAATGTTCAGATGCAGGAAATTGTTGTTTTTTTCTTCCGCATGGCACTGACAGTACCTCTCAGCCGAGCACGAAGGCAGTGATTCGGATTTCTCGGATAAAGAATCTGACGACGAGCCCATGAAAGAGGACAAACAAGAAGCCGAAGACTTGTCAGATGTGGATGGTCTCGTATTTGATCCTGATAATTTTCCAGGTATATTTATCGTTTCGTTCGGTACATGGACTGATCTGGCCAGAACCATTAACGCAATGCACTAGCTTCAAAACCTGCGCCAGAGTACACACAAATGTATTATACACAACATAAGGGACCTTGCTTAACAGCTGTGTTTAGCCCCGATGGCAAGCTAGCTGCAACAGGATCCCACGACGCGTCATTAAAAGTCCTCGATGTTCACAAGATGAAGCACAGGACAGGTGATGTTGGTGACAAGCCTGTCATTCGAACTCTGTACGATCACGTAGCACCTGTGAGCGATATTAGTTTTCATCCAAATGGTAGTGTACTTGCTAGTTGCTCAGAGGATCAAAGCATCAAGCTATTTGATTTGTCACGACACGGTGTAAAGAGGGCTTTTCGGTATCTCAAGGTGAGGGAGGATGAAACGCAATGTGTTCGTAGTGTCTAACTCATATTATGTAAAATGCGACTGATATATCGATTTCAAGGATGCTCAAGCTGTCAATAGTATATCCTTCCACCCATCGGGAGATTTCATTTTGTCAGGCACGACCGACGCCAATGTTCGAATTTACGATGTAAAGACGTTTCAGTGCTATACCAACAATACCACCAATACACATAGAGGCGGTATTACGCAGATACGATATTCAGCAACCGGGCGACTTTTTGCTTCGTCGTCCATGGATGGTTCACTGAGAATATGGGATGGCGTTAATAGTCAATGCGTTCGTGCCATTGAACGCGCACATGGAGGTGCAATTGTATCAAGTGTTCGTATCACGAAGAATGAAAAGTACATATTATCTGCTGGCGCAGACTCAACTCTGAAGATGTGGGAAATAGCGAGTGGTAAAATGGTGATGGAATACAAGGGCCATCAGCAGCGAACATTATTACTGCAGGTATGTCTATGCCCTTTATAACAAGATACCGTCATGACTATGCTGATATTCACATATATGTATTCTTGCAGCCTACCATGACTTACAACGAGGAGTATGTAATGGTTGGCGATGAAGGCTCTACGGACGTTGTCTGCTGGGACACCAGAACGGGAGTACTCCTGAAGAGACTTCCAGGTACGTATGACGCTATGCTCTATACCCTTGATCAGTAAATCTTGCTGAACTTTTCAATCTCACTTTATTTTAGGACAAAACAACAACGTGAGATGCGTAGTAGCATCGCCTGTCGACGATGCCTACTTGACTTGCAGGTACGAGTTATTCCAATTTGATAGACCGCCCACGTACGTCATTTGCCACTGACCACATCTTCCTACAGCGATGATTATCGGGCGCGATACTATGTTCGCGTATAGTTATATGTACTTACAATAAAAAAAATTAAAAATCAATGGCCTTGTCCTAAAACACTTCCCTTTGTATGCGTCCAACTTTGGAGGTTTGTTCACGATTCATCAATTTAAAACGCAGAAACATTTCAAAATCCGCTGTGGAAGCGGAATACTGCAGTAGCTTGTCTCTCCCACTCATCATAACATGGTAATGTCGATAGCAAGAGCAAAAGTGCACCATACTGTCAAGAACGCTTGCATTTACTAATTTTCTATTCATTGATTTGCTTTGATTCCATAATTCGATCGTGCGTCTTAGTCTGATAAGTACGAATGCGCGCTCGATCTTATGAGGCGCCTGCCCCCGCAAAATGTCGAAGAGAATCTGTCTAAACTCTTGGATATTGTTGATGCTGATCTCGGTGACGACCTGCTTAGTGCTATCGACCAGCCTCTCAAAGTCAGAAGATGCAAACAGACCGGGAAAGATTATCTCGCCTGTGATTACAACAGAGATGGCGATTCCTACAGGTATGATTCAACCATGCGATATGTCTGTCTGCTTTGGACGCTACTGACCGTGCCTTTGTATTTTGGTATATTTGTAGATCACCATGGAGTAACGAGTACGATCCAGAGCTACCAGACGGAGCAACACCAAATGCAACTCTCAGAAAGCTTGAAGTTCACGCAAACGAAGCATTTGATACTTATCGAGAGATGTACTATGAGGGCGGTGTATCCTCTGTTTATACCTTTGAAATCGAAGACAAATTTGCTGTTGTTGTCCTCATCAAAAAAGGTAAGTAACAATTTTGTTTTGGTTGCTTTTCACTAAATGCAATAATAACATGGGATCTTCAGTTGGTGAGGGAGCCCGCAGAATGAAGGGTGCTTGGGACTCGATCCACGTTTTCGAAGTTCAAGAGAGAGGACGAAATGCACATTACAAACTTACCTCCACTGTCATGTTGTATATGATTACCAATAAGCCGGAGCTTGGTCACTTCAATTTGAGTGGAAGCTTGACGCGACAGGTAAGAGATCAGACGCCTAAAAAAGCAGTATATGAAATGATAGAAAATCCGGACATTATTTGCTCATCCCATGTTTGTTCATCAACTATAGGCAGAACAAGATTGCCCTGTTGATGATCAATCTGCTCACGTTATCAATATCGGACGCATGGTGGAGGATATGGAGATCAAGATGAGAAACTCATTGCAAGAAGTCTACTTTGGTAAAACAAAGGACATTGTCAATGATCTTCGAAGTGTAGGATCCATCAAGGAAGGAAAAGAGCAAGCTGATATCCAGAAAGAACTTGTTGGCAAACTAATGCTACGAGGTAATAGCCAGTAGATCACTGGTAACCGCTATCCAATAAAGTTTTTATAAATTGAGCATTTGAATCGCGTTCTTTGAGTGGAAAGGTATATGTACAGACCATGAATACATGGTGATGATGACAATATATCATCTGATATAAAACTCTATGATATGATCAATTCAAAATAGTCTACCGATCAAATGCCGCTATCCTGTTCTGATCGTACTCTGCTTGTTCCTCAGCCTACAAAACACATTAGATTTGAAAACTCGAACACCCATACAAGGAAAAAGGAACTTACAAGCATTCTCTGTTGCTCAAGAAGCCAGGTAGGGAGATTATGTGGTAGTGTGACAAGATCCAAGTCGAATAATTCAATAAACTGTTCATTCACATGGCGAGATTTAGTACCAGCAAATGATCGGTACTGCATGGTTCGGGAGAGGTAAAAAGGATCAACATGCAGATTCATCTTTTATGGTTAAAGGTGAGAAAAAACAAGTACAGAAAACCTTATGTACGTACCTCATTGACAATAGAACTGAAATTCCAATTCTGCAGTTTCCGGAAACATCCAATCATAATACCTGTCTCGTGTATTCCAGATCTGTGTAGAAACCAGTAAGCTACCTTGGAAACCCGAATCGCCACATCTCCCATGACTCTTACGTGCACATGACTAGCAATGGTTGGGCTTCAGCATCTAGTATCAATTCCAGACCCTCTTTAATGAGCTCTTCAGATACAGGTCGCCATGTCGACGGTTGTGTTGGTTTCCATGTCGCTAAGCCGAGATGCACCTAATATGCCACATGCGGGATTTTAATGAAGTACTGTAGATGTTTCCGTGCTGCAGGATCATAACATTCTCACACATACCAGTTTCGTTCCGCACTCCTCCAGAAACGTTAGGGTGTGTCGGTTCGGCTGTTCGGGACTGAGAACCACAACGGTCTTGAGATTCAACTGCTTAATGAAAGTAAAATGAGATTGTTGAAACATCTCTGATCGATAAAGTCCTTTCTCGACAATCCCAAAGTGCTCTGGCGGTGTAAGTAAGGGCACAGCCGTTTTGGAATTTGACATGGTAGCAATGAAAATGGCCCAGCACTGGATGAATAGCCAAAGGGTTGGGTCGCAAAACCCAGTCCAACTAGAAAACTGAGTCTGAATTTGCCAGCATCAAGGCTCTATTTCCTCATTGTCACAGCTCTGCGGCCACAGATAGCGGACGACCGAGTTCGGGGGGGGGGGCAGTAGATGACTACCAGATGTGTATTATATTACTACTTGGTCATCTCTAAAATAAACTCTTCGAACTATTTTTTGGATCAGAAATTCTCAGAAATGAAGGTGGCCAAGGTCCAGAACACTGAGACGATGCATGACATTTTAAGCATGGAAACGACTGCATGGTTCAGTAGTCCATCCTGACATCACGAATTAGTTGTACAACCGCAATTTCAGTTCTCAAATATATTGCAATTGCAATATATGAAATCTCACCAGATACAGGCAAGCCAAGCTTGGTATGTGCAAGATCAAGAGCATCAATGAAGCAGTAATGGAACAGGTAAAGCATACGGCTCAGAGCGAGCATAATAATATCGTAGGGGAGGGTCACATCATCACACCAGCGGGAAACCCCGAGCTCGCACATGGCGATCAGCGCTGCTGCTTTCTATTTCAAGTTATCCCTAGCAAATTTGGATAGGTTTGGATTACCTGTGAGCTGGAATAATGCGGTTGGACAACAAAGGAGTTCCTGTTATCTCAAAGGAGGGTAACAGGAGCTTTTTTCTTCTCTGCTACAGCCATTCTTTCTTCTACGCCCTCGCCTAAAATAAACATCATCATCATGTATAAAAAAGACCAACGCGCCACCACCATCATGAAGCGCTTAAATCATAGCCATAAATTGCTACCGATCTGTTCACCATAGATCTATTGTTCAATGAATGAGGAGGATGTTTATTCATGCCCTGTATACGAATGAAGAAGCATGTCATAATCTAATACATTACAAAGCTAATATAACAGCTTTGATTCTAAATACAGACAGAGCGTGTTTCATAAAAATACTTTCCCTGTGCGTGTGCTTCCCCCTTCTGTTTACTTCTTACGCGTATTGTACAGTATCTTGCACTCGTAATTCTTTTTGGGCCCCCCTTGAAAGCTGGCTTTTTTAGTTTACAGAGAAACCTTTTTTATTGGGTGGTTATCGTTTTGTTATTTTATCAACCTTAAGTCTTCTTGTGTTTTTTTTTTTTCCTTCCTTCCTTTACCTATTTCATTTTCTGTATCGGTGTATCGGGCTCGAGCGGTATCAGTGTTTATAAAGAAGAAGGAGGAAATTTTTCGTAGTCGATGCTATAAGACCAACAATCATTGAACAAAGACAGAAAGAAGATCAACACACAGCATTTCCATCACTGTATATTTCTTTTACATTTCGAGTCTTTCCAATCATCATCGGTCAAATAATAGAACAACTTCTTAATTTGTGTCTCTATACATCGTTTGAATCGCCAGTCAAAATATGTCATCTAGAAACTACCGCAATGATGGACAGCACCAAGCTCAAAGAAGTACAATGAAAATCACTCGAGATGGTCGACCATTCACCAAGGTAAGATGCTAAAAAGGAGTCTCCCCGAGAGTGCCAAGTGTGCCTGTGATATGCAGTGCCCACAAGACAATGCCGTAGTTTTCAATTATGATACTTTACCAACTATGCTCGAAAACCGGTTATGTGCTACATAAATGTTATGTAACTCACAACAAACATTATTTTACCAACATCTTCAATTCATCATTGCAAAAGTGCTGACGATGCATTTACCTTCGTACTCATTCAGGACCTTCACGATCTCTACTCAGCGCTTATGATACAAATGCCAATGGATACTCATAGGGTACTGTTTCGATCATATCCTTGTACTTTCACGACGGATGAAGCTATATCCAATCTCGGCAACCTAAAATTTTCACATTCTCTTCGTTCACCGAAAGGCTCCAAAGAATCTTCCATCACAACGACCACAACTACTTTTAGTATGACACGAGAGATGGCCAAGACACTTCTCACACAATTCCTGGAAGCTCGACTCTTCATGAACGCGTCTGATCCTAGCAATCGAACGCTCAAGGACAGGGGGGTGTGGCAAGTCACACCAAAGGGGCTCTGCATGCTGGAAGGTTTTGTCGATAGGAGTGTAGTCGATGGATCACACTTGAACTTACTTTATGCGCATGTACGGCCAATCAAAGTCATACAATTGGAAAGAGCTCCCTTAGATGATGCTTTGATGTTGTCAAGAGCATCACTGACAAGAATTATCAAGACAATGATGGGGGTTGTCCCTATTACCCCGTCGTCATCTGCTGGAAACATATCTCTCCATAGTTTTGGTGGAAACTGGAAACAAACAGGTATACCCCATTTCACGATCTTTCTTTCTCAATATGGGTGAAAAAATAGGATGATTTCTTTAGCTAATTTGCCCTTTTTTTTCTGTTTGTTTCCCATAATTTTTTTTTTTCGCAATCAGAGGTTGATTACAGGGGGAATTATGATCACAGCTTTGCAGGATTGATATTTATGGAGTGGATGACTGACTATACGACGGTCATAGACACAGCGGAGGCTGAAGCCATAGGCAATGAATTGTTACTCTTTGGGTGGATGGAACAAATCGTCGATGAAGTCGATCGCAAATTAGAAGACACTAGCGTATTCAAATCCACAAAATATGCTTTATATCGATTAACTCAAACTGGTAAAAATATAGTTGGATGGTCAACGGAATCAACTCACCAGGTCACTGATGCCAAGTCGACTCTGGTAACGAGTGCTGCTCTAAATGCAAGGCAAGAAGCAGCCAGGCTACGAACGTCATCGTCAGATATTTCTTCAGAGACAACTGAAGACGGAGAAGCAACTTTACAAGAAATGCTCGCTAATGACAAGCTCGCTATGATGACGGAAAATCAACGGCCGCAAGCAGGGCTCATGGAATCGACAAGGGGGCCGTCACGAGCAGGATCCACAGGGTCTTCTCAAAGCGGACATTTCGATATGGCAGCAATAGGTTTCTCAGGTGACCTTCAGCAAGTTCCTAAACGAACAAACACGAATACATCTCCTACGGGTATACGACCAAAACATGCAAGCATCTCCGACAGAGGAAGAACAATCGACCTATCGAGCAAGCATAGAATGTCTTCTAGTGACACTCGATCCATTGCTTCAAGCAATAGCCTGTCTTCTTTGAACGATATGGAGTATCAAATAATCGACGGGAAAGACTCCAACCATGCAAAACTTAGACAAATATTGGAAGACCCTCATATTAGGCACCTCTTTCGTGAGCATCTCAAGGCTAATTTCTGTGAGGAGAACATATGCTTTTGGATGGATTATCATTCCATGCGACGTAATATAAAGGGTTCAATTACCAACCGATCTCTGGAAACACAAAAGGAACTCATCATAGAAGGCTACCAGATCTACTCTACGTATGTAGCGCCAGGATCATCAAGAGAACTGAACATTGATCACATACTGAGACAGGAAATGGATCAATTTATATCGTCTATATCGACTATTGTCACATCCCCCTTCGTTGACGCCCCGTTTCAGAGTGCAGAAAACAATACCGTCGTTCTGACTACCAGCAATCCTGCCAATTCACTGCGTACCCTTATCAGACTGTTGGACAAAGTGGATGATCATGTGTACAGACTCATGGCTCAAGATTCCGTTCCAAAGTTCATTCGCTCTGACAAGTACAAAACGGCTGTCGGTGAGCTGGAATCATCCAAACGTGACTCAGGCAACGGAATTGAATCCAAGCCTGGAACGCCAGCTTCAATTATGTCAGATGCCATAGCCGCAGACAGGCAACACAAAGCAGAATATACCGCCATGCGATCCGCCATGACTCCTGTGGTTATACGAACCGAGTAAAGAAACCATCAAAAAGAAAAAAAAAAAAACCTAGTTGTCACAATACCTGTCTCTATACCTGTTCTACATGTGCGGTCTTCAGACCGCGGCATTTGCAGTTTTCATAAGCAATTTCCTATGCAGACACCCCATGTAGCTAATCCAGCTCAGCACTAATTGTCGCGAGTAAGAACTACTCGAAATAAAAAGCATAATTAGTCACCCTATGCAAGCTATGGCAAGTGGAAAAGTAGTTGTCTTTATGTACAATGAAAGAGTGCAATGTTGAATTTAGCTACATATATTGGCCATATTATTTATAAGGTGCGGTGATTACAGAATCCAAATGCTGCATCATCTTCTTTGTGCTCTCCGTATCGTTTGCAATCGAGTATAGGAAGCTTCTTTGACCATAGTTGAATCGCGATCGACAAGGTCCTTCCAAATGGGGAACATATGGCCTGAAGGCACATAATAACAGCGAACTGGGTAATTGTATGTAATCTGCCGGCGACAAAATTCAATATTAGTAAGGCTCCTTTTCTTGTACCCTGCTCTCTTGCTTGACTTACGTTGCGGAATGCCGTTAATAGTAAAACCGGCCGTGGCGGTCTCACAATCGAACAGAAACCCGACCACGTCTCCATCGCTTAGGTCGCATAATACGGATGACGAGAAATGGTATTCCGCAGATTGAAAAACAAACCTTCCGTGTTTTTCAAGTATATCGTATTCGAAGGCTACCATCCGCATTGAAAGGTCTGTCATTCCTATGCGAGCAATCCTATCATGTAATAATGAAACGTTTTAAGTCGATTGTGAATTGTTACAGGTAAGCCCTAAGCATGTCAGTTTTATAGAAGTAGCTTCACATACCACCGCTTGTCGTCGCTTATTTCAAATTCGGATACGCGTCGAAAATGCAGTTCTACTTCAAAATAAAGTGAAGGTAACAAACAGCTCCAGTCGTAAGAACATATTTCCAGATCATGCTCGTCGTTCGTATTAAATCGCGGTTCTTGACTAGTGGTTATCACCGGTGTGGCATCCCAAGGGGGGACTTTGTCAACCGGCACCAGGTTGGGTTCGACGTTTCCATCAAAGTCAGCTTGTAGCGTGTCTTGTTCTCCTGTAGTGTTTTCCACACTGGCTTCAGGATCCTCGATTGATATAGCCTCATCTTCTACAGCCTCAACAGACGATATACCACTCAAGCCACTGCTTGCAGATCCCCTGCGAGATATTCTACCTTCTGGGTTAGGGATAGGCGGTAATTTGATGTGTGGTGGAGGTAAGACCAGAGAGACAGCAGATGACGACAGAGATGCTATCCCTTTGTAACCAGGCGGCGCATAGCGTAGTGGATCGTACTCTCCTCCAAAGTACACTTTACAACCTTGACTGGTGGATACTGAGATAGCCTAGCGTAGACATCCATGGTTAAAAAAATACCCACTATAAAATTCCATCTCAATTGTATTGACGACTTACCGGATACCATGTTTTATCGCATGCCACACGTTCGAAAGCAACTCCCATATCCACGCCATTTCGATAATAGGACATTTTTCCAGCTTCAAGGTCTACGAGACAAGTGATGACATCTCCAGCGTTCCATTCTTGTCCATAAGTACTTCTCTCGTCGCTCCAACGGCCGTGCCACTTTTGAGCACGGCACCCATCAAATGCATATGAATAATCGTCGTCACCAACTCCCATACCACCTTCTGGGTCAAATCGGGCCTCCTTGCTAGCCCACCCGACTTGAATAAGCCCATCCGTACAAGGTTCAAGTTCATAGGCAAAACACTTCTCGACGCATGCATCAGTAACAATGGGCGTACCATGTGTGGCTCGAAGTGTTTCAAACGTCCATGAGTCATTGCGGACCTCCAACCAGTTTTCAATATCCACTACGCAAAGCTTTGAATGTTCTTCGCGTTCCAAATGGACGTATGTTTTGCTTTCATGATTATCAATCGCAAAGCTGTCCTCATTCGGATTCCAGGTTTGCTGACGATAGTATGATGAAAGCTCGCGACAATAGACTAGCATGGAACGCGAATAAAAGTCGGTGGTGTATGTTTGCGATAAAGTCGATAGAATGTTTCTCCATATCACTGGCGTTAACAATTGTACGTTGGAAAGCAGCAATTTGCTAGTTGGATCTACTTATTTAAAAGGAACATTTGACTAAGTATACATTCTGTCTTTTTTTGATATCTCTAACGTGAGTACATACCTGATAGCACCATAATACCCAGGCACAGCATGACGCTTTCTGACATGGACCTGCATTCATGATACAAGTTGATCATAATGCTAATGAACCCAACTTCCTGTTCGAGGTAATTTCTGACTGGGGCTGAACGATAACAAGGGCATCAGTACCGGCAAATTCACAGTTATTTAACAACATGCTTCCAATTACTTACTATATCTGACCAAGGATCGGATGCTAAGCAATGCTCTTGTTGCAAATGGTATAGTGGACTTTCTAAGTTTCGGGATACCGGCTGAGGTCGTGAAGTTCCCAGAAGGTGACTGAGCCTCTGTATCTTTACCACAATTTTTGGTGGGGGTGAAAGCAGACGTTAGTCGCCGTAATTGATCTGAATCGTCATCCTTTCCAATTTCTACTGGATGGTCGCCAAGATCTTCAGCCTTATCAGTGTCACTAATGATTGGTGGAGGTATCGCAGCTACAGATGTATTGGTGGGATTACTATCTTGACATACGAACGTCAGCCTGTTGACAATGTCTAATAAATTGGCTATCTTTTCCCTCGCAGTATCATAATCCATCTGCGCTGAAGTGATGCACATGTTGTATCGGACAGCCCAGATATTGATAGCCGGCAGCACAGTGAGATGGACAAGTGAATCCACAAAACTTTGCACAGTATCTGGTAGCAACGTAGTATGAACGGCGGTATTTTTGAATCCATCCGAGTCTCTTCGAGACCCCTTTGGTGTGCCTGTATCAAAGTCCCGGAAAGCGTCACCAGTCACTTGAGAAGACTTTTTACGGTTCTGGCGTTTTCCTGATGCGCTTTCATCGTCTTCCCCACTTTCACTGTATTGTTCAGCAATGATATCCATCATTCGCTCCACAGCCTGCATACCGGCAATCATTCCCTCAAAGATGCTTCCACTCAGCACTTGAGAAAACATGGTTTCATTCTCTGTAAGAACCCTCAATGAGTTCAAAGTGCCAAGCATCTTTTCTTTGTAAGCGGAGGTAATTTCTGCTTGTGGGAGATTGCTGGATTTTGTTGTGGAAGATGTTGTCTGACTAGAAGAGCTGCCTTCGCCACTATTATTTGTTATATATCGATCGTATGCAGCTCGAAACACTTCACGAGGAGAGCTGTTTGGTATAATAGCGGGTACTTGACTTATAGCGGCAGAGATAGCACTAAGATTCTCGCTTTGTGTATCCCGTGGGCGTACAACAGCCTGAAGACGTTGTTCCAGTCTTGCTGCGTTGCTGATATATCCACCAGGGGTTATAGAAATGTAATCTGGTAGCTCTTCCTTGACATTATCGACCTCGGCATCTTCCAGAGTAGGTGCAGTGTATTTCACAACATTCACTTTTCGTTCCAATGTCAATCCAGCAATAAAGACTGGAGTCGCTTGGTAGCAAAGCTCAACAAATCGAGCCATAAGAGGCTCAATCACTTGTAATATAATACGAGTGATTAAGGAATTATCTAATGAAATTTGATTGTGTCAACGTCATAAAAAACGGTTCTCGTAACTTCCTCCAAGTTTACCTCGAATTCCAAGCATTAACAGAGCTTTAGCGCAAGTCAGTTGCACGCGCTCGCGATTAGTTTCCAGTATGACAGTGATAAACGAATTTAAACATTTGCTGCAAATGAGAGCGGTATAGTCGTCTTGGTTGAGACCATGTCAGAATCTAAGTGAAACGATTTTCCATTGCAATAGGCCAGGAGTCATACTCACCACTCATAGCCATCATATTAAACAAAGCGCCAGCAGCATTATATTGAATTTCTGGCTCTTCCCACATCAACAAGTTATTAAGTGTTGCCACAATCGCTTCCGAGTGAGGGGCTAAATTATTATTGTTGCTGTCTATTGATTTTGTCAGCGATGGAAATAAGAAAATTGCATCACTAAGGAATTTCATGTACTTACTCAAACAGCATATCAATGATAATATATCAGCCACATACGCACTTGCTTGCGACTTGTTGGATGAACCAAGTTCAAGCATGATTGGAAATTCAGTTGCGCTTAAGATATCTGGTTGTGCTTCGACTGATCCGGCGGATGTAAATTGGAGAAGTAACATGAGTCGTGCAGCCTTTACGGAAGTCTAACAGCAATTGTATTTACCTTGACCAGCGCAATCATGTATACAAAGTATGGCCCAATATCGTACATCGTCATCATCGGAAGTCAAGCAGTGCATGATCTTAGTAATTAACCCGGTTCGAACCATCTCTAGACGAAATTGCTCTTCTCTAAAGTGTTAGCTACAATGCTTTCTTAGTATGTTTGAGCCATCATACATACCTTGTCCATGTGCCATGAATTTGATGGTTCTCAGGACCACTCTAGATATATACATTTCATCCGCAGTAAGAAGCGAAAGAAGGATCGTTTGAACACCTTTGATCTGTCGGAATTCGGCAGCTGCAACATCTACAGGACACACCATAGATTAAGCTAAGGATTTTACCACAGCTCGTAAAATTGCCTTTAGTAGCCCATTCTTACCTTTCAACACAAACTCGTGCATTAAACCGGCTGCCCAGTAGATGAGCTCAACATCGTCTGCAATAAAAAGTAGCCATCAGTACGCATTCCCTATAGACGTATCCAAAATAAAGGTGTTCAACTTACCACTTCGTAAACAGACAGAAATTAGGCTGACTATGTTATAGTCCAGTAGTTCCGTCAAAATTGCTCTAGCCTCTGAATACAAACGTGGTTAAGAAAATTTTGGACTAAGGGTTTCCGCCAGACACAAGCTGATATGGCACATACCAACTTGGTCTACACTGGCGATGACACGAACTAAACTTTGCATGCAGAACTTTGGCATATTCGTGTTACCAAATGTCATACGCGCCATCTTTGCCAGTATAGCCACAAATCCATTGGTGATCAATGGACGGTGAAAAGGTTCTAAGAATCGAAATCCAAATGAGCCTAAATTCCAAGACTCTGTTGCACACATTGTATTTTCATACCTGAAAGTGATACTTGATGTAGCACCATCAAGCTCCAATATTTCAGCTCGTTATTGCGTATCGTGTCGGAAGTGAGGATTCGCTTCAATGGGTCCAATACTCCGATTTCCAAAATGTGAATTTTCCTGTCGTCATGAGATTGAATTAAGTCACAAAGAGCGACAGCTGAAGACCTATGTGTCGACTCTGGTATATCTTCCTCGTCCCTCTTCAAAACATCAACCAAAACATCCAGTGCTCCAGCGTCCACCAATTTCTTTTTGTTGGCCTCTACGGTGATGACAGTATAGAGTTGAGTGAATTCAACTTTTACAAGAAATCCTCGCCATATGTAGGTACCTACCTGTTCTTGAAAGCAGCTGCAGTGCTGATATTCCCATTATGACGGATTCAGCTGTCTCTGTGGTCCTGCACGCCTGTATGACGGATGCTAGGAAATCCTCTGATAGGGGCTTGTGAGCAAATGATTCTAGTCGCACTTCGCATCACCAAATTGCTTACCTTGCATCGAGCGTTCGAGTACAATCTTTGCTGCACTGAAGTTTCATAAGATAGAAGCATAAATATTAATACCGGGCTATAATACGAGAACAATGGGTAAAGCCGCTGTGTACCTGTTTTGGAGGTTGATATTGTCAGACTTTGTCAAAAGCGACAGCGATCGTAAGTCTATGGCTAAAAGAATTGTATTAAGAGCAAGAAAAGCAAGCTTGTAAGTCACAGGAAGTGGCACGCACCATCCTCTAGTCGCCGCTTCTTGTTCGAGTCCCATTTGTCCCGTCGACGTCTACCTCGCTCGGGTATATTGGATTGGAGAGTTTTGATGTGGGTATAGATGGAATAGACCATGAGAATGGAGGTAAATCCAACAGCATAAAGCGTCAACGCTTTTGCCATCTCTCCATTCTGCGTTGAATTCGAGTTAGGCATTAGCGAGTAAGGTCGTATTCAAAGATCTCAGTCTGTCCAACATCAGCTGAAATTTGGCTGTTCGCAAGACTAACAGTCACAGCCATCATTGAAAAATAGCCAGCGATCAAAATTGTATAGAACAAATGCTTTGTTTATTAAATGTGAGTTGGAAACAAGGCTTTATACAGAATCAAGCCCGTCTGAGGAGATGAGAATATTGTAACAGATGCGGGAAGGGGAGGTACGAAAATTCGAAGACTACTTATTTGGTGGAAAGAGCAGCAACACCAGGGAGTTCCTTGCCTTCCAACAATTCCAAAGAGGCACCACCACCAGTGGAGATATGGCTGATCTTACCCTCAGCACCCCATTGCAAAGCAGCAGTGGCAGTGTCACCACCACCAATGATGGTAGTAGCACCGTTCTTGGTAGCTTCAATGACAGCCTCGAGGGAAGCCTTGGTACCAGTGGAGAACTTGTCAAATTCGAAGACACCAGTGGGGCCGTTCCAGAGAATGGTCTTGGAGGCAAGAATCTCTTCACGGAAGATCTTGTTGGACTCCTTACCACAGTCAAGACCTTGCCAGTCGTCAGGGATACCTTGAGCATCGGTGGCGTAACCAGTGTTAGCGTTGGGGCTGAAGTCATCGGCGGTGACATAGTCAACAGGGAAGACCAACTTGACATTCTTGGCCTTGGCCTTCTCAACGAGACCTTGAACCAACTCAGAGCCAGCCTTATCGTACAAAGACTTTCCAATCTGGAAGAAGAGCATTAGTCGGAGTTTGCATGCAGTAGAAAAATGGGGGAGAGACGCCCAACAAAGCAGCTAGTCCAAAAGGTAAAAAAGTAAAACATACCTTGACGTTATCCAAAGTCTTCTTGAAAGTGAAGGACATACCACCGCAAATGATCAAAGCATTGACCTTGTCAAGCATATTCTCAATCAACTTGATCTTATCTGATACTTTGGCGCTGATCAAAGAAATGATAGTACGATCAGTGACTGTTGAATTTTTATCGATGGAGGGACCAAACCAACAAAAAAAAACGTGTGGCAAATGGGAACTTACCCTCCGAGGATAGCAAGGAAAGGTCTTTCAGGATGCTCAAGGACCTTGGCAAAGTACTCAAGTTCCTTCTGCATGAGGAAACCGGCAGCGCGTTGAGGAAGCTCGACACCAACCATGGAAGAGTGAGCGCGGTGAGCAGTACCGAAAGCATCGTTGACATAGACATCAGCAAGGCTGGTCAAGCTAGCACGGAACTTCTTGACGGACTCAGGGTCAGCCTTGGTCTTGTTACCGTCCTTATCCTTAGCAGAGCCTTCCTCTTCAATGTGGAAACGAAGGTTCTCCAAAAGGATGACCTTGCCACCAGTGGCACCCTGGCAGGCAGACTCAACTTCGGGACCAACGCAGTCGCTAAGGAAAGTGACGGGTTGACCAAGAAGCTTCTCAACTTCAGTAGCAACGGGAGCAAGAGAGTACTTTTCCTGGCGCTTGCCATCGGGACGGCCAAGATGGGACATCAAGATAACAGCGGAAGCACCGTTCTCCAAAGCATACTTAACAGTGGGCAAAGCTTGAACAATGCGGTTGTTGTTAGTGATCTTTCCGTCTTTCAAGGGAACGTTGAAGTCAACTCTGAGCAATTAAAAGATGAGGCCGTCTTACGTGTTAGCCTAAGAAGATCAACAGCCGCGGAGTACCACATACCAATAAACTTGATTGACTCTTACCTGATGAGAACACGCTTGTTCTTGAGTTGGAGGTCACGGATAGAGAGCTTGTTAGACAAAGACATAGTAAAGTAAAAGGCAGTGAATGAAGAAAAGATGACGCTACGCTACCCGAGCGACTTTTTAAATGTTTTTTGGTGTCGGAATAAAAATGCATGGGTTTTTTTGAAATTCCGAAAACCACCCCATTTTCCAATTATGCAGCAACGGCAGAGTGCATCTGTAGACGACCTTGCGAACTTGCAAAGCAAATTGAGTGAGAGGGAAATGTCATTTGTTGAACTTCTGTAATAAAACCACTTCACTAATATGCTGGATCCTTATTGATAAGTCATATTAATGCCCAGCATTGACTGGAAAGCTTGAACGCGTAAACACGTGATAGGACTGCCAGAGATCTCAAAATCGCTCTCGAAGTTTCGGCCAAAGTGATATTGAAGCCGTTGTGTCGATCAAGAGTTGATCCAAGTCAACTTGAATCCCAGTAGGTAATAATATAGATCTTGCATTTTTGAGACCCACTTTATGAATTTCAGGACTTACGATAATGGGTAACATCAGTGTCAATGTCAGGAACGAGTGTCATTCGAGGACCTGAACACCAAAATGCAGACCCCCCTATAGACGAGAGGATAGAGGAGGAAGAACAGGAGGAGGAGGAGGAGGAGGAGGAGGAGGAAGAAGAAGAAGAAGAAATGGATGAATATGAAGCTCTGACACAAAAACTTAACCACGATACCAACAAACAGCAATATGATCCCTCACAAGACAAATCCGAACGACGCACAATACGGCAGAGGTACAGAGAGTTGATTCAAGCAGCTGAAGGTATGTCGTGATGGGATTTTTCTACGTTGATTACTGCTATATTTTAGGCTCTAACCTCGAATTATAAGACAACAAACGTGAATTGGCAGCATCAGACTCAGCGGGTCTAAGAGACACGGTGAAAAAGGCAAATGAATTGTACAGCCAAGGTATGCATCATGAGTAAAATGATAGAATGAGTGAAGAGAGTTCTCGTTGATTCCTATTTTGTAGTACGGAATACCCAAGAAGCAACGCTCGATTCTCGTCTACTAGTCCTTTCTGCCGATCTTAGCACTCAAAAAGCAAGAAATTTGCGTATGGACTTGAATACCTTCGACACTGATGAATTTGTATCGAAGATTATCAGTCTTGGTGGAGGACGCCATGTCGGTGAAACAGGCGATGAGCAGGAGGAATTGAACTGGGTAGACATTGGAAAGCAAGCGATTCGGTTTGGCAAGCGACCTGTGACAATGGATTTTATGTAAGTAAGCATTGTCTTAAAAGAAGAAACCCCCCCCCACAGACTCTAAATTTTATTAAAATAGGCAAGGTCCATTAGCTGTTGAAAAAAAGCAACGCACCGTGACAAGAGCAGCTAGGATTACAAAAAACAAAGAAGATTTGGTAAAACCTCTTCAGGTATGATATTCACTATACTTTCTGTATACTGTGGCCCATTCTCTAAAATAATCATGTTGAAGCTACAAGAAGGTGACATACAAGCGTCAGAAAACGATACAGCAAATAGTGTCAATTACATATACCGAATCCTACATGAGAGAGGTCCCACCAACTACTTTGAGCTTGTAACCAATCCTACCTCGTTCTCGCAAACCATCGAGAACATATTCTATGTATCATTCTTGATCCGAAATGCAGTGGCTTCCATTGATGATAGTTCAGGTGTTCCCATTATCAGTAAGTTTGAGGTGGCCACAGGTGAAAGGAGGAATACCGGTTTCCTAATTATATTAACAGGTGTGCACGAACCACCAACGGCGGACGAGTTAGGAGATGGTTTGACTAAAAAACAGATCATCATGTCTCTGGATATGGCACTTTGGAAGGTAAGGCGGTATCCCAAGTGGTGTGTTGTCGAATGATTAGGGCTAAAAGCTGACCTTGAGTGGCACCCAGGAAATTATTGAAACCTACGATATACAAGAATCAATAATACCCACTCGCAACAAGACCATGATTGCTGGCGGTCAATGGTATGGTTGAATGTACAATAAAAAGTAGAACTTCGCACCCAATAGAATATTGAAGATTACATAATGATGGTGTCCTGGTTATTTTGAATACGCGGTGGGCAGCTGAGTGTGGAGATTTCCTTTTTGATGAAAATATAAACACGTTCTTTGTTTGTTATCAAAAAAAAATCCACGGTTACTATGAATAAGCGATTGCTGTTTACAAGATGATACTATTTGCTTTACACAGTGGATGGAACATTATCTGATAGGCCAGAAAGATAAGAGGATAATAGGTTCGAGTTGGGTTCCACTTTGAGTGTTTGATTGGCTGCTGTTACGGATACTCAACTCAGCAAAGATCTTTGCTTGGTGCAGTAAAATTTTCTACCTACTTTTGTTGTTGCAAGCATCTTGAACACAGCACACGAAAAGCTTTCTACCATTGGAACACAGGCGTATACTACTTTTAAATCAACAATGTCGACAAATATGAACTTTGGTCCGGAATGGTAAATAGCAATTTGACTGTGTCTTGTATATTCGTACATCCTACAAGCGATAACACTGTATTGTGTTTGACAGGATGCGTGGTAACCTACCAAAGCGATCCAATGTCCTGGACTCATCTCGCTCCAATTCTCCAACAACACCCCTTGGAAATGGACCCACAAAACTAGCAAGTAGTCAGCATCCAACTATTCAACGACAACACTCCATCCTAGATGGTCTTACTGTTCTTGATCAAAACTCGGTGTTGACTCCACAAGCAGCAACATCTGGCTATACGCAAGATGATCAACAAGACAACCCATTCAAATATTCCAAGGAATATATGCTTAGTCTTTATAAACCTTATGCGCTTCCAGTAGAGATCGAAAAGCATGACTACGTTATTGTTGAGGAGTGTCAGCAACCGCTTGCAAAAGTAGAGCTGACCGAGAGCGAGAAAAAGGTTGGTCTCTTTCCTTTGCGAGATTGATTAACGAATAATTTCATACCGAGGTATTAACGAATAGTTCTGAATTGGCAGCTACTTTCCGGTCCAGTACATTCAAATGTGTCACGTAAACGAGCAGACAACGCTTCCGAGCAAAGTACGGATGGAAGACCGTTGCGTAATAAGGGTGAATTTGTTAACAACCCGGCGATCGAGAAAGATGCCAACTCATCTCGATTTGGATTAAATCGCACTAGAGGTATGCTGCAGTCAATGTAGCTTCGTTTTGTTGTATCAGTAACGGATCAGTACACTTACTCGACCTTTTGCATTCCAGGTCGACAAACGGATAGCAATTCACCTGCAAGTACCGCTGAAGAACCACGGGATGATGGTATGTTGATTTATACGGTCAATTCTGCGTTTTTTCTCCCTGTGCTTTTCTGACCAAACCCATTTTATCATGATCAAAAAAGCGTCTATACTGAAAGCCAACCCACAACCTTTGGGACAACCTTCGTCACAAACCGATGATCGCAATCGCGGCCGTGGAGATCAACGCGGTTGGAATGCTTTAGGAACAGCGCAGGATCCAGCATTCGATGAAAGCTCTGTGCTTGGCGTCTTGGATGATACAAGGCTACCTTCTAGCGATCTTTCTGCAAATCTGTCTACCCCTCATTACGGGCACTCCAAATTTGAAGATCCTTTGAGTAATGTCTTTGACTCTCCTAGTTCTGGCTTCAAGGACACATCTCAATTAAGCGATCGCTTCAATTCCTTGGGTCTTGGAAATCCATCATCGTTCAATGGTGGTATTGGAGCTGACCTTGGGAGCAAAATTGAATCCCCCCGTGCTTTTGGCTCACCTACCCCATTATCCGATTTGAGGAAAGCCCCTGAAGAATACCAATGGTACTATAGAGATCCAACTGGATTGGTCCAAGGTCCGTTTGGTGCTCAGGACATGCATGACTGGTTTAAGGCAGGCTTCTTCACTCAAACACTGTTGGTCAGAAGGGAAGACGAGATTTCCTTCGAGCCACTTGCTGCTCTAGTACGTAAAATTGGTGATGACAATAGACCTTTCCTTACACCGTACAATCCCCACACTCCGTCGACTAGTCGATCAGCATTGGATTTAGGTATGCAACAGCAGTCTCGTATGGATGATCCATTTTCGCGTAGTCCATTTGGCATTCCTGGTGGACCGTTGGGTTCGCAGCCACCACTGCATCATCAGCCTGAAATGCTTCTCCAGCAGCAACTGCCTGGCTCTCATTTTGGAAACTTGGGAGGTATAGGTAGTACCTTTTTCCAGCAACGTCCGAACCGTGCCCAGTCTCCATCCGCTAGCATCCTAGGCTCCTACGGCAGCTTTGGTTCTGGCTTATTTGGGAATGCGAGAGAACCTGGTATGAGCTCGCCATGGGGTGAAGTGCCACAGAAGGTTACGACCCCGCGTGGTTCAGTGTTGGGTGGTTCAGACTTGTTCGCTAACGGTGGAATCAACCCTACTTTATCGCCAAACCGCCAGCCTCCAACTCCTCAATCAATGAATCCGCTTTTCAACGACCCAGCCGGTCAAGCAGGATTTTTGGATCATTCACAACGAAGCCTGTCACAGCAACAAGTGCAGCATCAACAATATATGCATATGCTCCAACAAAAACAGATCTTCCAGCAGCAGCAATTCCAGCAGCAGCAAGCCGAAGCTATGAATGCATCTATGCATGCCCTTCATCATCGTCAACAACAGCAACAACAACAGCAACCTCAAGCTTCGCAAGAACCGTTTGACCTCACTGCTGACCAAGTCTCCAATGCTGGCCAGATGCCTTCTGCACCTGGAATCGAACTGCAAATGAAGAAGCCTAGTGGTTTCAACGGATGGGGTTCTAATCCTGGAACACCTTTATTCAGTAACGCAGCGTGGGATCCCATTGTTTCTACTCCAACCAAGAACCTAGTCGATGATAGTTTTGAACGACGATCTGCTGTGCAATCGCCTGCCATTTCTCCTCCTAGACAGTCAAAGTCCATTGAAAGTTTAAAGATGATGGACTCCGATAGCAGAGACGACGACATTTTGTCAGCCCACGACGACTTGCAGCCCGATATGTCTATTGTGGATAATATTGAATCAATGACAAGCGAAGCTATTGAACAACCTCCTCAAGAAACCTCCATGGCTGAAGTTTCTACTCCAATTCATAAGCTGCCTTCTGTCATTACTGCGCCGGTGGTCAAGCCAGTGTCATTGCGAGAAATTCAAGAAGAAGAATTACGAAAGCAAAAGGAATCTGCAAAGCTGCAACCTGCTAAGCCTGTTGCTAAAACGTCCGGTTGGGTTTCCCCCACTCCTTGGAGCCTAGGAGATGATACACCAAAAGGTCCTTCCTTGCGCGAAATTCAAGAGATGGAGGCTAGAGAAATGGAAGCTCGTAAAGCTGTGGAGAAGCAAACCTCAGCTGCTCACTTTTCCCCATCATCTACTCTTGCTGCTCCTACCACTATGTCTTGGGGAGTTGTATCGCCTGGAAGAAACGCTGCACCTCCTGCCGCACCTACTGCCTCCAATGCTGCTCCATGGGCATCCACCAATGCACCTAAAAAGACTCTTCGCGAGATACAGCTAGAGGAGGAAGAAGAGGCTAGAAAGCGAAGTGCCAAACTTGGTCAGCAACAAGCAGCTTCCTTGGCAGCAGCTGCAGCAGCAGCTGCTTCGTCCCCTAATGCTTTCCATAGCTCTGCTGCCAATGGTCCTAGCAAAGGATATGCTGGTATTGTCGGACACACCAGCACAAAGGTAACAGACTCTATAACCAATGATGTACACAATTATATGTATTTTTCTTTTCCCCCTCATTATTGACCATATATCTATACCAGCCTGCCAGTCCGTCATCTTGGACTACCGTTGCATCCAACCGCTCAGCTACCAAGTCGCCCACAGTATCATCTTCTACTGCATCCCGCTCTGCATGGGACTCAGCCAAGCCTCCCCAAGCTAAAGTATCCAGCGTACCTGCCGGCTCTACTAACGTTATCAAGTCCGATTCTAGTGAGAGAAAGGGTCCCAGTGAAGAGTTTTTCCGTTGGTGCCGTCAAGCTCTTAAGGGACTTGATTCCAATGTTGATTGTAAGTTTGCTTTGCATACAATGAAGCGGAAAGAGTACGGTTCTAATTCATTATTTGTAGGCGAGGATTTCATGCAAATGCTTGTGGCGTTCCCTCTCGACAATAGCTCCATTGAGATTATCCAAGATATGATCTATGCCAACTCGACATCTTTGGATGGACGACGATTTGCTGATGAGTTTATGAAGCGACGAAAGGCTGATCTCGCAGGAAAGTTGACGGTTAGCGCCGTTCTTCCTAGTGATGAGGACGCAAATGCTTTCAAAGTAGTATCAAAGAAGAAGAAGTTCGTCAAGGCTTAAATTTCATCAATCGAATGTAAAACATAATGAACAACGCATCTATCAATCGACTGCAATAGCATAAACCGCAAGTAATAAATTCTCTTTTACCAAATCATGGCGATTGCAAAGTACTCAATATATTTGAATCATAATGTGTGATGAATACTAGTGTCATGGAAGGTAAGGAACTTCGACACAGCGCGAATCAAAAGCGGACCACATAATCTCAGATTGTTGCATAGTTCCCAACTTTTAATTCAACATAACGAAGCCGTTAGTTGTAAACTAGTATCAGTTTTCCTTCCTACGTCACATAGTATGGTATTAGAATCGTGATATTGGGAATTTCAGTGCCTTTTTAATTTCGCGAAAAGAGCACAAGTGATATCAAATAAAAGGAAGTCACCATGTTTACGCTCTTGCTGGACTCCGCAAACCCCTCCCAGCCCTCACTCATCTCCAAACTGTAGCAATGAATTTCAATCTGTTCAAACCGAAACAGAAAACCCCTCCAGAATTAGTGAGAAATCTCAAAGATGCAGTTCACAGGCTCGATACTTCCGACAAAAGAAAGGTAAGCTCACCTGTTCCTGGCCCCCAGTATAGTGTACGCGTATGCAGTTGACGCTGATTCCCCCCACAGGCCAATGAGGATATTTCCAAAACCCTCCTCGCGATGAAAACTATTCTGTATGGCGATGGTGGTTCGTAGTCTTTTCAATTTCGTGATGGAAGGCACCGTTGCCATCAAACAACTCATTTTGTACCCAAAACTTGGCCATTGTTATTTTCCAACATAGACAATGATCCCATTCCGGAACAAGTAGCACAACTATCACAAGAAGTGCATAATAACGATTTGCTTCAGCTTTTGGTATTCAACATGCAAAAGTTCGAGTTCGAGGTAAGTGTACCCAGTCAGTGACATAACGCTATACCCGCCTTCCTCTGACGCCCCTCCTTTTAGGCACGAAAGGATGTATCACAGATATTTAACAACCTTTTGAGGAGACAAAGTGGTTCTAGATGGCCCACGGTTGAGTATCTTTGCACACGCGAAGAAGTCCTGTTTACACTCTTGAGAGGGTCAGTATATTGCTTCTCCTCTTGCCATGACTTTCAGACGATTGACAGACTATGTCACATTACAGATACGAACATCCTGATATTGCTCTTAACTGCGGTTTAATTTTGAGAGAATGCCTCCGTCACGAAGCTCTGGCCAAGATTTATCTCTACTCTCCAGATTTCTACTTATTTTTTGAATATGTGGAGATGAGTACTTTTGATATCGCATCTGATGCGTTCGCATCTTTCAAAGAACTGCTGACCAGACACAAGCAGTTGGTAGCGCAGTTTTTGGAGACAAACTATGACAAGGTAGGTCACCGAATGATTTCAAACGAAACGAAATAGTGCATCATCTTGTAAATGAATTCTAACCTACCGATATTCCGTTTAGTTTTTTGACCACTATACCAAACTCCTGATGTCATCAAACTATGTAACGAAACGACAATCGTTGAAGGCATGTATTTATGCGGATGAAAGATGAATGGAACTAGGTTCAAATGAATAACACCTTTTACTTTGAATAGCTCTTGGGCGAGATATTACTGGATAGATCAAACTTCAACGTCATGACCAAATACATTAGCAGCGCTGACAACTTGAAGCTCATGATGAATTTATTGAGAGACAAGAGCAGAAACATTCAATTCGAAGCTTTTCATGTTTTCAAGGAAAGTGAACCTCCTAGTTTACCGACCAGCAATGATGATAACCAATATTCTAATGCTTAAATTTTTTCAACAGGTCTTCGTAGCAAATCCAAATAAGAACAAACCAATCTTGGATATATTAACAAAGAACCAAGAGAGGCTGATTGTATTCCTCAGTAATTTCCACAACGATAGACATGGTAAGAAGGATTTGGCCAATGTCAGCTATATTTTCATGGGAGGGATTGTACTGACGACCTGAAAACTATAGATGACGAACAGTTCAACGATGAAAAGGCTTTCCTACTCAAACAAATACAGGATCTTAAACCCGCTCATGACTAGCGTGTGGTGCACCTCATTCTGCAAATAGCGCCAATAGAGATGACATGTAATATCACATTTTCCTTTACCCTTTCCCTTTTCTCGCAATGCCAATCCGACCGAAATGTAGACAACCTCCATCCTTTCTTTTCTATTCTTTTGTCGCCATTCGTTTCCTGCCTTATTCTTTGTTATGAAATTTTGCCAGCCGACCGACTTTTTCCAGCTCTGGTTTACCCTCACACGCACTTTCGCATGATCCAATACTTGCAGGATGAGCTGTGCCCAGCAACGTTGTTCTTGTACATGAAAGCGAATAACCGAAAAATGGAACCTCCAATTTATAAAAAAAAGAAAAAAAACCAAAAGCCAAATGTTATCAATGCGCTAAACTTTGATCGATTGAATGACAGGCAGAAGAATTATGAATAGAATACAAGGTGCGAGATCAAATGAATGCAGAGTAGATGTCGTAAAGCAAAAATTGGGTCGATGAGTTGATATAGGTGTATACAAAGGGTTGAGCGACGATAGAAAGGCAGCAGCACTTAATTGCCCTTCTTTCCGCCCTTCATTGGGTTTCCTTTCTTGTCCTTGCTCGTTGCCGCAGCCTCATCGGCAAGTTTCTTCATGATGGTCAACTTGCCGACAGCTCCAGCCTTGACGGCCATTTGACGCTCAATATTGTTGTTGATCGATGCAGACAATTTCTGAATGTACAAAGTTTAGTTTTCGGTCATCCACACCTGATCACCCTATCCCACCAAAAAAGTAACTACCTTTGAGATCTGCTTCTGCTTCACTAAGGTTCTCTGCTTAGGTGCAATGACCTTGGCTGTTGAGTATGGTTAGGATCTGAAGCGCAATGCATAAGGTTTTGCTATAAAATGTTAACTTCTCCTACCTCCTTTCTTAGGCTTGCTGAGATTCTTGACACTCTTATTGGCAGGAGCCTTTGATTTCTTTAATTGACCTTGTGCCATGTTGTAGTAGAGGAAAGACGAACTAAACAGTCAGGTCCACTTGTAAAAAAAAAAAAAAAAAAAATTATTGGTTGAAGTGCTGCAGTCACGAATTTTCGCTTGCGCTGGCGGGGAAAATATCACCTCCCGCTCTCCCGCTCTCAAATCACCTCCCGCTCTCAATGAAGAGCTGCACAGCGGACGGGTGATTTTGAGTTTGTTGGCATATTTATATAACACAAGTTAAAAAAGTACAATATATTGACAATGATGATTGTCCAAGTAACAACACTATATTGCTAGGTTAAACCACCTACGATGAAGTGGTGGTGCAGTTTGGCGCTACGAACCCTTCGAAGGTGTCAAAGGCCCAAAAAGTAACGCCATTGGTCCACCCAAAACCTGCCTGGACAGTGTCTACGAAAATAGAGTACATGGGTTAGGACCAAATACGAACATCTAGCTTTACATTTGTTACGCAGCTGTCACTTACATTCACCACCAGATCCAGCTACACCGATGTTCTCGACATTGAACTTTTCAAACATATGGCCGGTGTCGGTTTGGTTGGGTAGCTGAGCAAGGACACCAGGGACAGAGCCGCCAGTTACATACCATCCACAGAAAGCTGAAGAAACAAATCTGGTTGCCAATTCTTTTGCGAGACCAAGAAGGTCAACAGAGTCTTCTTTCTTCTTGGTTTTTTGGATTAGCTTGTCAACGTTGATCATTGCTTGCATGGCAATATAGTTCAATGGAGGCTATGGAGGTATTTAGAATTAGATACGATTGATAGTAAGATATTTCCAGAAGCCAAATACCTACCCAGCCATTTGGCAAATCCCACTGCAACGTGGTATTGTGCAAACTAGATGTCAAGATACCAGGATACTCGTTCAATGTTTTGTTACCCTCATCAAAAACGTGACTCAAAACAGTGTAGTTCTTTGCAAGGTCTTCAGGAACGGCGCCTAACCTGCGAGTGGGTCATGGGAATTATTTGGGCTGGTTAGCGGGAACACCAAGAAAACAAAAAGGACAAACCAGGTAATGACGTTAACTTACCAGAAAGGATAGTAGCCTGCCGGTGTGAAATCTACATTTTGAGTACTACTGCTCAGGTTAAAGTCATAGAAGGAAGTGTGCTCTTCGTTCCACATGACGGCTTCCATTGCTTCTAGTCTTTCCTTGGCCTTGCGTTGGTACCATTGAGACAAGTTACCAGACATTTTATCGTCACGCTTGGCTTTTTGGCCAGCATGCCACTCTGCCAAATTGGATTCCATACTCCACAGCAAGGAGTTCAAGTCGACAGGAATAACGTTTCTGGTGTTTAGGGTTCTGAGAATTTTGTAAGAATTGGGGTCGTCTGATGCAGGTTCCTTGTTTCGTGTCCATCGAGCGCAGTAATCCCATCCAGTTTCAGCTCCGGTCGCTAAATCGGCATACAAGGATTCAATTTGGGTCTGGTTATATCCTGTTCCATTTTGTACGGTCTGGTAATCTTCATAGTACGACTCAGGTCGAGGACTGTTGTTTTCGACGTTATAGTGGTTTAGGTTGTAAGATTGTCCTGTCTTTGGGTCTTTCACCTCAACAGTGGTGTTGGCCTGCCAAAATTGGTATTCTTTGTCCAAGATGGGGATGGCACGACTGAGAAGCTCTTCATCTTTCGTAGACTCATAATACACCTTGACCATTTGCGTAAGGAAAGGAGGTTGAGATCGATTAAGATAGTACATTCTAGCGCCATTAGCTGTGATAAAAGCCAAGTTATGTTAGGTTCATGGGGAAGTTTGTTCGAGAACATACCATATCCATAGATAACAACTTACGTAGGAAACCATATTGATCAACGAAATCTAAAAAATTATCAATCATATCTTTGGCCACTTCAGGAAGTTCGCTGACCAGCAATCCCACAATCACAAAATAACTATCCCTATTGTATAAAGATCAAAAGTTAGCATTATTACCATCCACTTTGCTAGATTACCTCATTACTTGCGAATCATCATTACCAGTAATAAAATTCTCGGAACCGTCCGCCAGGAACAACAAAACGTCGAGCAACAGGGAGGGTACTGCTAACGCAACCATCACATAGGAAAGTTGTGTTGAACTCGAATGTAAGGTTTGCCCAATAGTGATTAAGATCACTGGCCCAACCTTTGAGAGTGGTATCGTCTATCTTGTCCAGTACCTTGGGGTTTTCAGTCACTTGAAGAGTAACAGGCTGAAGTTCCTTTCCAGCTTCCCAAAAGTTATCGGTGACGAATTTTTGGATAGCATCATGAGATGCATTGGCGCCAATAGCATTGAAAGCCGATACAACTTGGTCCAACGGATTCTTAGTAGGCTATGGAAAGTAAAAATGAAACGAACGTACGAGTGAGATTTACTTTGAACTATGCGAAACCACCCTATTTCTTTGCAATGCCGAACACTTTTTGGGCATGTCAACAAATGAAGAAACAATGTGTATTATTACCATGTCTACAAACGTCTTAGAATCAGAATAGATCTCGGCCAATTGCACAGTCTTTAGCAGGTCTCCGCTACAGTAGATAGGAGAATCACAAGTAAGAGGCATGTTGCTATCAGAGCTGGAGCTAGATTCAGCAATAGCATTCGAAGCCGAAAGAATGACCAAGGATGTCCAAAGGACTGGCTTTAAGGATGGAGTAAGCCACATCAGTGATATGCAGAGAGCGTAAGAAAGAAGTGAGATCTCAAGGAAAGCCGAAATACACCAGTGGGGTAAAACCGAACTTGGGAAGGAATAAGTAAAAAAAGTATTCGCAATTTATGTTGCTTAAATACAAATGAGAGAAGCAATCAGGTAAAGTAATTTTCCCCTTCAACCTTAGCTTTGATCTGCTACACACCAGAAACTCAGCTCCTCCAACCTGGCTGTTTCCCTTGAACTTTTTTTAACGTTAGACTTCAATTCAGAGCTGGTTTTTCGATGTAAAGGAAGCTGATGACCTCGCTATAAATGGTCATTACTGGCCACGCTGAAGTAATCGGTTTTGCCGTGTAGCGATGAAGGGTGTGACACATAACCCTGGAGTCTGAGGCTGCAATGACAAGCTATGGTACTTGCGGGGTAGTCACTTATAAGCTTCATGTGGGTCATAAGTTGCTATAAAGGTGGTCTTCATTTCCTCGCTTCATGGCCAATGACAAGAACGACTATGTCGGATCGGGGGAGCCTCAGGTGTACGGGTCCCGGATTTGTCGATTACGAAGTTACTCGCCATAAAAATCTCTTACGTTACCGACCAAAATGGGTCATCATATTCTACTTTTAAGCTGCCAAGCGAATCACCGACAGTGAACGAACATTCCAGTATAAAGACGTGGTGACACAGTGGGGATACCATACACACTGATGGAAAGAGGGGCATGACCATGCAAAGTGCCAAAAGTGAGGATCCAAACTGGGTGGTAGCAAGGTTTCTTATTCCCGTTTCTCAAACCGGAATCACCTGTGGATGCTTTAGATACTATTAACCGGCTACAGTCTTCCATTGGCTGCTTTTATCAACAGGTCCATGTCTTCAGCTTTGAATCCCCGGTTTTGCCAGGCGAAACAACAATGGTTTAGGAAAATGCGGCTACTGGGGGCCAAAATTCTCGCTGTGCCCATCCTTTTAAATTCAGCGCTAGCATGCTCGTGAGTGGATACTGAGGTCTACTCATAAAGAAAAATTCAAAGCTGTTGATTTTCTAGACATTCTGCAGGTTCCTTTGCATATTGTTTGTTGCATCATCACCACGTTTTCCTCCACCATTACTTATTTTAGCTTTAGTGAGTACCCACAACGCTCAATTTTTTCCTTTGTTTGCAATATACCGAAAGGGCGTTTAACGTTCCCACAAGGCCATAGTATAGGTAAACAATAACGACCTTGTAGTTGAAAAACGGCAGGCTGAGTGATTGAACTTTTCGATTCTACGATTAGTAGACAAATCGAAGTGCCATCCGACCGCTGACTGGCTCAAATCACACGTCCAGGGAGCTACAGCCCATGTAGACAAAAGCGAACAACAAAAATTTTTGTAAAAGCGATTTACAGCATGGCGGGTAGTTCCAGGGTCGTCAGGCATGATCAGCTGGTGGTAAGCAAAATGCCTCTTGCTGACAGAATTGATTTTCGCCGCAGCCAGGCACACCTGAACCATAAAATTTGGTCACAACAATTTCGCGTACTCAGAACCAGGTACTTCCTAGATGCCGCATTTATCTATATTAAGAGCAGCGAGCGGCCTGTGCATAGTCTTTACTATGTTTTACTACGGGAAATAGGCACGAGCCCTAATGCCACACAATGACTATCTGGCTGAATCAGCTCATGCGGCCATGCAAAAGTGAAGTAAGACGCTAAGTAGGGGTCATTGCTAATAAAGTAATGTTTTTTTGGAAAGGTATAACGGAGTAACTTTTATATCCTATTACTGAGAGCCTGTTCTAAATAAACGGCAGACGGTTTCACCTCTGATAATTAGGTCAATATTTCTTTTGCTATTATTTCGCTACGCTTATTGAATCAGAACTGTGTAGAGCACCTATGGACTAGATAAGGCAGCTGGTTCCAGCCGACAGACACCACTGAGGCACGATCGGTACTGTCAATTCAGACGTTCGTTAGAAAGCTTTCTTTTCACATTCACTGAAACGGGGTTCACACGTCAGCACTTACTCGCTCCTATTCCACGTTTAAGTAAACGGAACCTCCAGTCATTCATTCTCGGCCAAACTTCACTAAGAACTCTTCGTTTTCCACTCTTGTCGTAACTGCCAGACCAAAATATTTCGGCTGCTGCGGAAGAACGAGGCCAAAGCTTTGCATCTAACACAGTTTCATCCGACTGCTCAGACCATAGGGCAACCTCACCACCAAGAACTTGACCATGGCCAGACTGCTTTTTGATCCCTTTCGTCATGTCGAAGGAATAGATTCGTTGCCAAGTCTTATAGGGAGCACACCATGAACCACCCGTACCACCGTAATTGAAGGTGTCGCCTGGTGTTGCCTTTTGATCCGGTGATATATAGCGTTGATCGTTCTGAACCCAGCCACCACTTGACCCCCAACGTCAGCAACTAAAAGATAACTAGACTGCGCCATTAGGACAAACTTACCCTCCACAATCGAGGTAAAAATAGTCGCTGGAACTGTGAATGATATCATGGCCGAGTTTGATGATATTCTCAGGAGTAGTGGTCCATACTTGTACCGCTACATCTACGTTCGGCTTATTGTAAGACTGATTCACCGCATGCGAATAAATAAAAGAACTTTTTTTTAAAAATTACTTACTTTTACTCAAATCCGCTTTGGCAACTACGATAGCATCTTCCCAAATCATAGCCCGCTTATGGTTCTGCTCTACAATACTTCCAACCTTGTCTTCAAACTGGGCCCATAACTGGTCTGTGGTGAGCCCATGCTCCTTCATATAAGGACCGATGGTTTCATCATCAGCCCAGCAATGAGAATTGACTTCATCCCCTCCAGCATGAAAGAAGCTGTCTGGAAAAATGTCCGCTAATTCTGACACGATATCCTCAATCAATGCGTAGGTCTCGTTCTTGGTAGGATCCAAAGCTCCTGGTGCTGGTTCGGCTCCATATACTTCCCAGTCTTTGTTTACACATGCCACTAGATGTGGGTGTGACTCAGCAATGGAAGCTGTGTGAGAAGGCATATCGATTTCAGGAATAACACGTATGCCGCGAGACTGTGCGTGCTGAACGATCCTACGCATATCGGCGGTTGTATAGATTTGGCTGGGCGAGTATGCACCCTTTTGAGCAAGCTCAGGGTGCATCTCTAGGTGTAATGGCCATGATTGAGAATCGGTGATATGCCAGTGGAAGACATTCAATTTGTTGTATGACATGGCATCCAAGGTACGGAGAATACTTTCAACGCTGTAAAAATTTCTAGACGTGTCCAACATGATTCCTCTATGTGGGTATGTCGGTTCATCCTGAATTTTGGAGCTGTGCGCAACCAAGGTACCCTCGTCCTCAATGATGAGTTGGGAAAACGTTTCCAATCCTCTTAAAGCCCCTACCCACGTAGCGGCATCAAGCGTTGCTTTGCCTCCGCTATCTGGTATGGTAAGGTTGTAAGCTTCGTTGATACCGAAGTCGAGCTTGGCATGAGCATCTTCTACGGAGATCTGCAAAGTCTTCAAGGTGTCTTGTCTATTTTTCAACGGTGTTATTTCGGTGATATTCTTTTGGTATGGAATCCATCGCTCCTTTGTAATGAGCTTATGGTATCGCTGAGCGGCTTCATGTACATAGAGATTGGATGCCCCTTCTATATGAAAGTCAGGGTCAAGCTGAAGCTGATATCCTGTCCATTCAACGGATTGTGGAATAGGTAGCAACCAAGTTTTTGCATGCGAGGTGGTGGAAAGCAAGGCTATCGCGGCTAGGAGAGGGGTTGGTTTCATGAGAAGAATTTTTTCTCAGAAAGGAAAGAACAGCAAAAAGGCACTTGAAACGAAATCGCCCTTGCTTAAATTATGGGCATAATGCCTGACGTGAGGTGACATAACAAACTATGATGTTACTTTTCTTTTTTTTAATATCAATACCTTCACGGTATTTTATGGAGCGACGAAGGAAATTTCTTCTACTCCCTCGGAAAAACTTCATCAGTCACACAGTCATGCCGGTATGATATGAAAGTTTAAAAATTTATTACCAACGCTATCTTATAAGTAACCACCTGTAATTGCATAATGATAACCCACATCGACACGATTGACAAGTACAAGGCTACAACAGGTTTAACTTTCCATAACATTCCGTGTTTGGTCAAATACCTAACCCACTGTAAGCTTGACTGAAGCTACACATGGTTGATAAGAAGAAACATTGCAATAATTCATTGGCTTTTCCTTCCCCGAGTCCTTGAATTGGACCCTGTGTTCAGTGTAGCCATATCAGGGTCCTACACAATTGCTCCGACTGGGCGTGCGACGACGGTAGAGGGCTTTGTGTGACTGAAAGACTGGTATTTGGGGAGCGTTTTAAATTGCCCGATCTACAACAATAGACAGCTTGGATGTGCTGATGATCGCAGGCTTACCTGTCCGGTAGTTCGGTTCAACAGCCAACGTATCGGTGATTACGCATCAGGTTGTTTGAACTGTCGAGCTTAGAGTGGGACAAACTCGTATCCTGAAATTATATAAATTTGAGGGGGTATCCTACAGACCTTTTCTTCTCACCTACTCCTCCCTTTCCCTTTCTTTGCCTTTGACCTCAAAAGTCCATTCATCATGAAGGTCGCCGTCATTTCAGCAGCCATTGCCACCGCCCTATTCGCTGTTCCTTCAGTTGCCATCATCGATACCTTCCTATGGCCAATCCCGCAGAGTCTCTCATGGGGTGATGGAAAACTCAACATAGATGTGAATATACCATAGCTTTGTACCTTGGGTCAATAGTAATTTACTAACCTTGGTATTCACCAGAACTCTTTCAAATTCGATGCTCCTAACGTTCCAGAACTTCAAGCTGCTGTCGCTCGTTACAAGAAGCTCATCTGGAAAGAGCGCTGGACTTCCGTACGCTAATTTACCTATACTGCCTTGTAAGACTAGGACCAAACGGAAGCTTATGACAATTTTCTTTTGAAATTTTAGGTCCAAGTTCCCTTCGGTAATGCAACCACCCAGAACCATGCAAGTCACGGAAAATTGAAGTCCATCAGCATTTCCATCAAGGATAAGAAAGCAGATCTTTCCCCTGACGTTGACGAGTCTTACACCATAGACATCCCCGAGAATGCAAGTACTGGTACCATTACCGCACAAACCATCTGGGGTGCCATGCACGGCCTCGAGACATTTTCTCAACTCGTCAAGGCTACCAGTGATAGCCATAATGCAGGCTTGTACGTTGCCAAAACTCCCGTTAAAATCAAGGATGCTCCAAAGTTCCCATACCGTGGTATCATGCTTGATACAGCTCGCAACTTCTACAGTGTTGATGATATCCTTCGTACCATTGACGGCATGTCTTACAACAAGATGAACGTCCTTCACTGGCACATCACTGACAGTCAGAGTTTCCCTTTGTTGCTGGAATCTGTTCCCGAGCTGGGTGACAAAGGCGCATACACTCTCCATGGAAAACGCCTTGGCTACACCAAGAGCGACGTCAAGCGTATTATAAAGTACGCAAGAGCGCGTGGTGTCAGAGTGGTTCCTGAGTTGGATATGCCAGCACATACGGCTTCCTGGAAAGGTGTTGAGGGCATCACGTAAGTGCCGTTGACATCGCTGACATGTCTTGAAATGTTGTTTACTGACGCAATACATAATAATGCAGTACCTGTACCGAGCAGTTCTACCTTGACCCAACCAACGACTGGGGTAATAGGTACGCTAACGAACCGACTGCAGGTCAGCTCAATCCCATCAACCCCAAAACGTATGAAATTGTCAACAAGGTAATCGATGAGGTGACCTCATGGTTCGACGATGAGTACTACCATGGAGGTGGTGATGAGCCCGTCAACCACTGCTGGCAAGATGATAAGGGTGTCAGCGATTACATGCAGAAGAACAATGTCACTGGTGACGATCTTTTGGAGACCTTCTTGAACAAGGAGTTGGCAACCATCAAGAAGAACAAGAAGACTGCCATTCTCTGGGAGGATGCAGTCACTAGCTTGCACTTGAATATTCCCAAGGAGACCATTCTCCAAGTTTGGACTGGTTCTATCAAGGATGCTGTTCAAGCCGGTCATAAAGTCATTGCCTCCAGCTATAACTTTTTCTATCTTGATTGCAGAAGTGGCAACTGGAAGTATGTAAACTTTTCAATATCGTACGATCAGAGGTCAATCAAAACATAACACTGTTTGTTTGTTTTAGTGGCAACGACACTACCGTAGATGAGCAAGTACCCCCTACGGTCCCTCAAAAACTCCAAGACTACATCAATAACAACTACCCTGACTGGGCTGGTAATCTGATTGCCTCGCCTAACTTTGGCGGCGTTGCTGGAGATTGGTGAGCCATGGCGTGTGAGCTCACGGGAATCTGAACATCTAACACTAGTGGACCTAACCCTCTTTCCAAATCATAGGTGTGCTCCATTCAAATCATGGCAGAGAGTGTACAGCTATGATGTGACATACCAATTAACCAAGGAGGAAGCTAAATCTGTACTAGGAGGCGAAGTAGCACTGTGGAGCGAACAGAGTGATTCTATGACTTTGGATATGAAGCTCTGGCCAAGAGCTGCTGCCGCCGCAGAAATGCTTTGGTCCGGCAGATACGACAGCACTGGAAAGCAGCGTGATATTGGCGAAGCTATGCCTCGAATGTTCGATTGGAGATACCGACTCGTCGAACGTGGCCTCAGAGCTGAGCCTATCCAACCTTTGTGGTGGTAAGTTATTGCTTCTTTTATTTGCTTGTAATAGGTCAACGAACGATATCTGATAGGGAGTTGGTTTGTAGCGGAAAGAATCCTCATGGTTGTGACTTGAATTACCCTTGGGTTTTTACTCACCCAAATGACGGAGGAGGCTACTGATGATGACGAATAGCTCGTGATTGGCTCTCGGTCCTTAGATCAAATAATGTTATTAATATCAAGAACTGAAGATGGTAGCGACGTAGTCTTCGCATGACCATCTCCCTTCAAACTCAATGTTATGTCAAAAAGTTTGTTTGTATCAAAAGAGCCAGAAGTAAGACATAAAACAAAAAGTGATGGGATTACATCAGACTGAAATGATCTGGATAGGGATGACTCCAATTACCAAATGAATGAGAGAAGGGAAAACTTCACCATATGATGGTAATTACTGTTGTCCAGTGGACTTATTTACACATAACATTGTCGCTTAATGAGCCCAGACCTCGAAAAAAATCCTTCCATGTCCTACATCATAAGCTGTCAAATAGAGTATCTTTGCATTTGTTCAACATGTCAAATCTTCATCATAAAAGGTCGATGGTTTATTAGCATAACGGAAAGCCGAATAACATAGAAGGGTAGCATAGATAAAAGAAAATTTTAGCAGAAATAGCTTTGAATATATATAATATTTTTTCCTTGAGTATGTAAATACGATAATAAGGAAAGGTTCCATAATGTACAGTTCTTTTCTCGAAATAATCCCACCAGGATTCCGCATGTGTTATGGATCGTCAGTTCATGCGATGGTAACGAGGCTTGCTTTTTTAGTAAGCTGGGCTGAAGTGGGTGATCATCAGATAATTTTTTCCAGTCCATGTTGTTTTGATTTAGTCGGGACAGCATGTCGTGGCGTGTTCTGCAAAACCATTGATAGCATATCATGTTGTCTCGTTTAAAGAAGGTACCGAAAAAAAAAAAGGCTCCACTTCATGCCCCGAAAGCTTAGTTCGTTCGCTAGAAGACGACCACTAGCTTCATAATGTTGTCATTTCTCTATGAGCAGTATCTACATCTGACGCTTGTAACCCGCCTACCCCAGCATTGGGGGCAAGTGATGTTGTAGTATCCACTGCTATTACAATTCCAACATGGGTAGGTGTGATAATCACCACCTGTCGCGCGCCTAGCAACACATGCCCTGCCGGGACAAAGTGACATGTAAAATCCCTGACCATCACAGCGAACGCAGTTACGTGAAAGTACTTTGGTACCGTTGCAGTGACGACATTGCCTCGAGGACGAGTTCTGAGAAGCATTCTTTGAGCGAGATGATGAGTCTGAAGAACCTGGCATGGCTACAGGTATGTTGCTTGCGGTAACTGTTCAGCAGTCCACCGAATGGAGCGAATTGGTTCTTTAGGGAAGAAAGAAGTATATGTGTAATGAAGAAGCTATAATGAAGTTCAAAGCTGTGAGATCAGTTTACTTAATGGGAAGATTGCCCCTACCCACTTTATTATATAGCCTTCATTCATCGGGCAGTTGGTATGATCTCATGATTGAAGCAAATGGTTCTGAGCATCGAATCTGAAAGCAACTTCTCGGATGTGGTTGTTGCATTTAGGTAATCTCCTACACATTTTTCTCCCTTCACTTTTCCATATATGGATTTACCATCCTATCACTCACCCGCTCTCATTTCTTGCACTTGCGGCACAAATTGGAGGATTTAGACATTCAGGGTCTTTTCAACAGGGTCTTGTTCCAAATGTCCTATTATATGAGCATTATCACTTTGGTTCGAGGGGAACTCAAATTTCCCTCCCCTTTTAGCATAAAGTAATTGAAAGATCTCCTCACTTGGCGAATAAGCCTAGACATTTAATTCTCTCCTGTTCAAAAATGTAGCGCTCAGAGCGGGCACATTTATTCGCCTTTGTGTTATTAAAACGTCGTATTTATTTTGATCTGAAGAAACTGCAATGAAGAGTGTGATAATAATAAAACGTAAAACCAAAAAAAAAGGGTGAGAGTGAAACAAAAAGTTACAGTAAACAAAATCCAGGTCTAAGGTTTCTACAGATGGCTTTCCAGTCTGGGCGTCACCCATGGAGTCTTCAAGTCTTTTCCGTGTTCGTCTATAATCAACGCAGCTGACAGAACCTCCCAAATGCTTTTCACGTATATAAACTCTATGGACTGTTTGATAGACTCCGGTATATCACTGGAAACATCTTTCCTATTGCGATAAGGTAAAATGACTTTCCTAATACCTGCACGGTGAGCGGAAAGAACCTTCTCTTTGATGCCGCCAACAGGGAGTACGCGGCCACGAAGTGTAATCTCACCCGTCATAGCTGTAGTAGGTGGTACGCTGCGACCCGAAAAGAGAGACACCAAGGTCGTGGTCAATGCTATACCAGCAGAAGGACCGTCTTTTGAAACCGCACCTGCTGGAAAGTGAATATGTACGTCTCGCTTTTCGGCCAGATTGATGGTTGGCGAACTTGTGAGTTTAAGTGTATAGGCATGAGCCTTGACCCAAGTCAATGCAATTTGAGCGGATTCCTTGATTACATCACCCAGAGAGCCAGTCAGTTGAAGGTTGCCTTCGCCAGGCATATCGGAAGCTTCGATCATAAGAATCCCACCATTGCCACTACCCGAGTAAGCTAATCCGGTAACCACTCCTGGGATAGCGGCTTGTTGAACAATCTCCTTCTCAAAGTATTGAATCTATGAAGCAAGTCGTCAGTATACCGTGAATGCTTGCTTGAGCTCCTAGTCACAACTTACCCCCAAGATATTCTCCAAATCGTCCTCCTGTACCACTTCATTGTACTTGTCAGCATTATCGGCTTCGCTCAAATCAGCCCATTCCACGCACTTAAAGCGGACTATGCTGGCGATGGTTCTCTCCAAATTGCGGACCCCACTCTCACGAGTGTAGTTTTCTATTATTTTGAGTAAAACTTCGTCTGCAATGGAGACTTGATTTGTTTCCAATCCGTGCTCCTTAATTTGCTTTGGCAGCAGGTACGTTCGTGCAATATGTAATTTTTCGTCAAAAGTATATCCAGGCAAGGAAATAACTTCCATACGATCAAGGAGAGGGGCCGGAATGGTGTCAATGCTATTAGCCGTGGCAATGAACAAAACTTTGGAGAGATCGAACGGAATGTTGAGATAATGATCGGTGAATGTTGAATTCTGCTCAGGGTCCAGCACCTCCAACATTGCAGCAGCTAGACAATTGTAATAAAGTTAATTGGTATGCGATACATTAGACCCTATAACCTTAATCCCATTCTTACCAGGATCGCCATAATGCGAGGTTTGAACTATTTTGTCAATCTCGTCGAGTAAATAGATTGGATTCTTAACACCTGACTTTCGCATGCCGTGAACAATGAGACCAGGCATGGCTCCAACATACGTTCGCCGATGACCCCGAATATCGGCTTCATCACGAACACCTCCTAACGAAATTCTATGGAACTCACGACCAGTTGCTGCTGCGATTGACTTTCCGAGAGAGGTCTTTCCAACGCCAGGCTACCAAAACAGATTTGAGTTTAATCTACACTGTTGTCATTCAGGGAGCTTTTCAAACAAATAAAAATATGGTTTACCGGTCCCACAAAGCAGATAATTGGGGCTTTCAGATCTCCTTTGACTTTGACGACAGAAAGATATTCCAGAATTCTTTTCTTGGCGGTTTCCAGTCTGTTAAGAAATGATAAGTTTTACAAGCTTTAGCATATAACTCTAATTTCTTCAAAGCACCTACCCGTAGTGATCAGCTTCTAACTGCTCACGAGCCCGATGAATGTCAATCATGTCGTCACTTGACTTGCTCCAGGGCAGATCTGCAACAACATCCAAGTATGTACGTACGACAGACCATTCAACCGATGATGGATGGAGCTTTTTCAGACGCTTGAGTTCACGATCAGCTACAATTTGAGCATCCTTTGAGAGTTTAGCGGCATCCAGACGACGCTTCAATTCAGATAATTCGTCATCATCTCCATCTGCTGCAGCGGAATCGTCACCCTTCTCTCCTAGCTCTTCCTTAATCGCATTTAACTAAAATTGGAACTGCCGAGTTAGTCTCCGAATGACCGGTAGCCCCCCTTATGCATCTGTACTCACCTGTTGTCTGAGGTAGAATTCCCGGCGCTTCTTGTCTAATTTTCCATCAATGTTCGATTGAATTTGCTGTGTAATCTTGAGAACATGCAGCTGCCGAGTCATCCATTCATTGACTCGTCTCAGTCGAACTTTCAGGTCGGTAGTCTCCAGCATTTCCAGTTTCTCATCAAAAGTAGTTTCAATTACTGAAGCTAGCAGATTGGCCATCTGTGATGGAGGAGATTTATCCATAACCTTTGAGAGTTGGGAAATAAGGGCTCCGGGTATCTTGAGGTCTTTCATTTTATTGATGAATTCTTTGCTCAATGACCGGAACTCGAGCAATGTATCTGTGAACTCTTGGTCACCCTTGGGGTAATTCGACTCCTCTAACTCTGGGTAGTGAGTGACTTGCGCCATAAGAATCGATGCAGAATCCATGATTTTATCAATACGAAATCGGCATACTCCTTGCAAGAACAAGGTCAAATGGTTGGAGTTGATGCTCTTTTCAATCTTAATCAATCTAGCTGCACAGCCAAAATGATAGAGGTTGATCTCAGACGATGCGCTATTCTCATTCTTGCTCTTGATGGTGACTCCGTCTGTCTTGAACACAGTTTCCGAGCTACCATCGGTGTCAAAGTTGATATCAATGTTCGCTTTCATAGTCTTATCGTTAGCAGCCTTGCACGCGGGAACAACACCAACATAGGCTGGTTGCCTCGCCCCCTCTTTGTGAACGGCTTTCAGGGTTCTGGATATATATGCAGCGGCTGTGCCATTTATGACAACTTTTGTGACAACGGATGGCAAGAGTACCTTGGAATTTAGTGGGATTACAGCCAGAGTGTCTGGCACACGATGAATGGTGGACATGACTAAGGGCAATATCTGTTCTCCAGTAATTCACATGACAGCCTTAACATTCAAGCCGAATCCGTCCGGAGTTCCAAATTTCGTAAATGGGTTCCCAAAGACATCACTCAAGAGATTCCGACAGAGATCGTGAGAGAAGTAGATCGCGAGATCGTAGTCGCCGCTCTGATACGTCACGTTCACGGCATCGCGATCGAAGCTCGGAAAGATCAAGGAGGAGGAGGAGCCACAGTCCAGCTGCTCGAGATCGCCACAGAAGGTAAGCCCATATTGACATTGATAGATCGTTTCAAAAAAAAAAGACACTGAACATAAATCATTTCACAGAGATTCACGCAGACACCGTTCCGATCACTCGCGATCTCCCGATAGGCGTGACAGAAAGCGATCCCGAAGACATTCAGTGTCAAGCGCGTCAGATGATTCGCAGGATTCAAGTAGTGACAGCTATGACAGTGGAGAAGAAGACCGACATAGACGCCACAGTAAGCACAGGAAACACAAAAAGGATAGGAAACACAAGAAAGATAAAAAGGTGAGCATCAAGTCCTTTACCAATGGCGCTCTCGATTCTCAAGATTGATTGTTAACTTGCCATAGAAAAAGAGCAAGAAAAGCAAAAAGAGCAAATCAAGTCATCAGACTATACAGTGGGGACATTATGGTGTCATACACGACGCAGACATATTTACCAAAGAAGCGGTATGTATAAGAAGTGGGAGTAGAAGGTGATTTTTTTTTTTTTCTAATTCGAATGGTTGGTCGTATAGGAATTCCAAGCTTGGCTGATAGAGGTTAAGAAGATGGATGTGGAAACGCTCCCCAACACCAAGCGAAAGGACATGTTTAATAGTTTCATGGAAGGTACGTTGTTTTCCAGAGAGATCGCTGGCTGCATCATATAAGCTGACTCAGTAAATGGATAGACTATAATACCGCCACTATGCCACATGAAAAGTGAGTTGTTTATCGCGCAACACAGCATACTGATGATAACATCATATTTATTAAATGCGATAACTTGGTAGATATTACAACATGCAAAAATGGGAAGCAAAGCAACAGGCTATCCGCATGGGTGAAAAGCCAGTAGAGGACAATGCGGAATTCAACTTTAAGAATGACGAGGAAAACTTGCGGTATACAGCTTTTTTCATTCGAATACGTATGTGTTTGTCAGCCACTAATACGCACCTTACATAGGACACAACAAAGAATGGCAGCCAAGCAGAGAAGTACAACGACGTTACAGATGTCAAATGCCGATATCTCTGAACTTGCCAGAGTCTCTCGAGAACGCATAGAGGCTGACCGTTTGAGAAAATTGGGCCTCACTCCAAAAACCTCCATGGGTGTACGATATGAGCAAGGCTATGAGTAGACAGTCCTATAGTTCATAAAACCTTCACTCCCTATAAAAATTGTTTTGTTATGCAATTTCTCTTATGGGAACTGTGAACTCTTGCCCGACTACCGTGGACTGTATATCCAAAGAAGTGCAGGCATGTTAGAGACTACTGACTCTCTGAGCATTGTATAAGCGGTCTGCTGCTTGTATGCATTTGATTATGACTTTTGAAGCACGTTCTCTGCAATATAGTACTTCGATACCGCTATATTATTTAACATGGTTCGTTTTGCATGTCTTTAAGCCTCCATAAAGACGCTATGTAGGTTGAAGTCATTTTACTTTCAATGTCTGTGCGCTATGCAAAGGAGTGGATCCCAACATATTAATGTGTGATGGCTATCTCTCAAATTATAATAAAAGCTCCCTCATGGAAATTTGCATAATGAAGAACTCGCTTACTTTGCACCGGTAATTTTCGCTGTAAACATACGTATAACACCAATTCACCGAGCTTTTCCAGCCATACAGTGATGAGGCACATGTGTCTAAACAACAATATTAAGAGTATAATCCTCCAGTTCGAGCTGTATGTAATCATGCTTTGGTAAAGTTGTGCGTTTGCTTTTGTAGTAGTATAAAGTAAAGTCAAATGTAACAGATCACGCGATACGACCTGTCAAATTACCAATTTTTTTTCCCTTTGTTACAGCCGAAGCCGCTTTATTTTCACGTGGTATACAGATGTTTGAATAGAATAAAAAGGAGTAAGATGGAAAGAAAGCGAAGGATATCCCAATGTGTCATGTTTAGTTGGAAAGGATAAGGGTGACAAAATCTGCAAGGAACATTATTAGGCACAGACCAACGTATGCTCATTCGCTCAAGAAAAGCACTTACCAACATAGTTAATACGACCGTCCTTGCCAACTTCAACTTCCTTGAGGAGCTCATCAACTTCCTCATCAGTGAGCTTTTCTCCAAGGTTAGTCAAGACTGCATAAAGAAGAATTAGTAAGGCGAATTTTTTTACCATAGGGCACAATTAAGTCAGTGTCATTACTAACCATAACGGAGTTCTCCAGCAGAGATGTGGTTATCACCTTCCTTGTCAAAGACTTGGAACCCCTGGATAAACTCCTGGGAAGTTCCAGCGGGCTTGAATCCATCAGGTCGCGTCAAGATGGTAAGGAAGGTACCAAAGTCGATATCAACATCTTTGTAAAGTAGGATTGAAGTTAGTGATGTAACTCAAGACATGCTGTTCGAGGGCAAGATCAGATCCATACCATGCTTATCAGAGCCACCGAGAGATCGAATCAATTCGCGAACTTCGGCTTGGGTTGGGTTTTGTCCAAGGCCTCTAAGCAAATCGCCGAGGTTGTCAGAAGAAACGGTGCTGTTACCCTTCTTGTCGTACATGGAGAAGGCTTCCTTCCAGTCTAATTCAAAAGGCATTTAGTTTATCATATCATCCATGAACACATTCGACTGAGTTGAAAAGCATACCATCAAGTTGTTCCTGGGATGGCTGTGTCTAGTGCAGATGATGGTGAAAGAATGATAAATATGAGTAAGTAATAGGCACAAAGTGACGGATGATGCCAATGGAGATTTTAGCATTGTTATCTTGCATTCCATTTTATGGAATTCATACTCACTGCTGGGCTCATGATGTTGAAGATCGATTACAAGGAGCTTTGTTGTTGACCAAGGTCAATTTGGGAAATTGGTTTAGAGATGGGCGGAGTTTTAATGGACTGGAATGTGTTGACGGAGGTTGTGAGTGAGGTTGAAGCAAGATTCTAAAGGTTTTTTCCAAAGGTGGATATTTAAACATCAGCATAAATTGCCCACTGTTGATGATCCAGTCATACTTTGACTCGCTGTCATTGAAGTAAACGAATTTCTTGTCCGTATATCCAATCATTTTGCAGACGTTATGTATACGAGGCAGGACAATGTGGAGAACGGCTTGGAAGAGTACCTTTCCCCTTTGTAATACTTTGAGCTTATCTTGTTATGGTATCAGTGCGCTTTGCCAACTTGTATTAGCATCGCCGCCTCCGTCCCATATCCGACTTCATCGCCGTTCGCAGCGCTCGTAAGCTGACAAATTTTCCGACCCAGAACCAATGAAATGACATTAAACCGAAAGAAAAAAACTTATTGGTGACAGAAGTTCAAATCAAGCATCTTTCATCTTTTATCTTATTTCTTACTTTTTTCCCATTGTCAAAGCCTCGCCGTTGGATGAACAGCAATATCTTTAACCCATTAAGCCATCCCTCCACATTTAATTTGCAACCTTCGGACGAATACCAAGATAGAAGTATATCAAATTACCCATAAGCACTCATGCAGGATAATCAACCATCATTGGAAGAAGGTATAGCCACTGAGCAAACCCATTTGCTTCGCAAAGTCAGCAAAAAAAATCAAGATCAAACCGTTAGTGTGAAAGTAGAAGTCATATGGCTCCTTCGAAAGTCTCTTCCTGTCGTCGCTGCCTACCTTCTACAAAGCAGCCTGCAAAGCGTCACGGTCATCAGCGTGGGTCGACTTGGCGCAACTGAACTAGCTTCGGCATCTTTGGGCTCAATCCTAGCCACGGTTACCGGATTCAGTGTCATGACGGGCGCCTCGCTTGCTCTGGACACTATTCTGTCCCAAGCCTTTACTGGAGCAACTGATATCACCGTCGTCGGCCTACAACTCCAAAGATCTCTTGTCATCATGGGACTTCTCATGGCTCCTGTCTCTATCTTATGGTGGTATGCTGAGCAAGTTTTTCTTCTGCTCGGTCAGGATCCAGTTGTAGCACAAAAGGCAGCGGTGTTTGTTCGTATGATGATACCTACCGCACCTGCTTTTGGAATTTTCGAGGCCCTGAAGAAATTTCTTCAAGCTCAAGGCATATTCACCGCTGGAACATATATGTTACTAGTGGGAGCTCCTCTTAATTTGATTCTCAACTACTTGTTTGTGTGGTCCCCTTATTTCTCTATGGGTTATATCGGTGGTCCACTGTCAACATGCATTAGTTCTTGGGTTATTGTTGTGTTGACGGTGTTGTATATCCGTTTTGTGGATGGCAATGCTGCTTGGGGTGGATGGAGTAAAGCTGCTCTCCATGTAAGAGACTGGATGCCATTCATAAAGTTGGCTGTACCTGGTATCTTGTTGATTTGTACTGAAACCTGGGCTTTCGAAATCATCACTCTGGCTGCTAGTTGGATGGGCACCACAAGTCTGGCAGCACAAAGCGTTATATGGACCACACAAACAACACTCTATACTCTACCGTTCGGCATCGGCATTGCAGCAGCTACCCGAACTGGGAATCTGTTAGGCGCCGGCCTCAGTCGTCAGGCAAAACTCGCCGCCAATATAGCTCTCGGCTTGGCCAGTGCAATCGCCCTTTTCAACTGCGGCTTGCTGCTAACCTTACGAGCCAGTTGGGGAAGTTTTTTCACCGACGATCCAGAAGTCATCGCCTTGGTTGCAAGAGTATTACCATTTGTAGCAGTTTTCTGCATTGCTGACACTGTAGCTGGAGTTAGCGATGGTTTGTTGAACGGCCAAGGTCGACAGAAGATTGCCGCAACCATCAATATTGCAACCTATTATTTGACAGCGCTTCCCGTGGGATTCTGGCTCAGCTTCTCAATGGGTCTTGGTCTTCGAGGATTATGGTTATCACTTGCCATATCTTTATTTGCTGCATGCCTCGTCACAGTCATCATTGTTCTTCGTACAAACTGGAACCAGCAAGCGCTGGATGCTTGTACCAGAGCTAAAGGCGAGTGAAACTCAAGTTGTCGCTATAAAGAAAAACAGTGTATTACATGCTTATTGCAAAATCGGTAACGACTTTGAAAACATGTTCTCCATGTATCATATTTCACTTTTTATAGAAAGTAAATGAATCAGTTTACTGAGTTCAATAATAATTTTACCGAATGTCTCGAATTGATTTGCCTCAATGATTGTCTTCCAATGCGAATTGCCACCTGGGGATTTAAGCCAAGCAAAATGTCGCCCTGCCCCTTTTTTTTTCATTTATGTCGTTGTTTCAAAGAACTACCATGATCGATAATCTCATTTTTAGAAAATGAAATCTAACTACGCTAGTCACTGTACACTGAGCCTATGCTCTACGCGTTTTGTATTCCCTATCGCTGTACTTATTGAAATAGTGCGAGTTGTCTTTCTAGTCAGATGCTGGTCAGATAGGGTAACATCTGGTTGTCGTTTTGAGCTGTCAAATCTTTAGCAACATTCGTCAGAATTCTTTGTGAAAAAAATTCAGGAACACATGGCCTTCATGTCTATAATTATATTAACATTGAACGTCGGAGACGTCTTCCTCCTACATCCCCATAGACTGTCGTACCTCTTCCATCAACGTCTCCACCTGTGGCATCATCGGTATAAAATTCAATTAGCTATCGGACAGCATTCAGGCTCTCTCTTCATTAGGGGTGGGACACCAATTTAATGATCAGAGTTCCTATTGACAACAACTGCAAGGCACATTAACGCAACTGGACCCGGAAATCAGCTCATCTCATCTCGCATTAATTGTAGTCATGATGCGCTAAACTTACGGGAAGTGTAAAGCAGCGACGCTGTATTCAATTTGCTTCTTCCTAGGCGATGCTGGAAGGAGTTCTAATTGCAAAATGGGCATATTGGCATCCTGGCTGCTTCAACACAGATACAGTCGATTTTAACAATGTAGACAAGTCATATTGATCCACGTCCTTTTATGTCGATGATTAATGCTACAAACTACAATTTTAACCGGTTTTTACGTTAGGTGGTGTCAACTATATCCTCTTACCGCTGTATGCTCAGATCACTGAGTCTCTTTTTCCAAAGAAACTACCTGAAAAATTTTCCAAGTCCGTCAAGCTGCATGGCTCAGTGTCCCACGGTTCCCACTTTTTTTTTTCTCTCTCTATCACCGGTATACTTGTCATTACCATGAAGGACCGAGATGGCCTTCCGAATCAGACTGCACCAACGCCAGCTTCTCTAATTTCACATGATGCCGCACATATATTTGACAATGCTGCTGTGGAATATCAGCTCAGCGCTGACCGTGAAGAAATGGTTGCTCCTGGTATGAAAAAAAAAAAAAAATGGCCGCGGAACCCATATTTGCGTACGTCCCTGAAACTAACTCGCTCATACAAAAATTAAAGATGTGTCAAGAGTATTGGTGATATATACTGGAGGAACTATTGGTATGGTCAACAATTTGGAGCATGGTTACATGCCTTTACCAAATTACCTAGCCAAAACACTCGCTTCAGTGGCTCGATTCCATGATCCGGTTGACCCTCAAGGTTTACAGTATCGATCACGAAGCAACTCCACAGACAATCTTGCAGAAGAATTGAGATCAACAGTATTATCGTCAGCTAAATCACCCGCTGCACTATCTGAGCCGATCTTAGAAAGCGGCTCGGCTAGTCCTACGTTTCCCAGACCAAAAGTGAACACCGTCAATATGATCAAGCCAAGTGGCCCCAATGCAAATCAGAAGGTTTCCGTACAACTTCCAAGTCTCATCACTCCTGTTAGTTTGTATGGGAAAAGAATAAGGTTGAACTTTTTTCTAGCTTTTATCCTTATTTTTTCATGTTTGCCACTCACACCTACCGTTGAATTTAGATATTCGATTTTGGAGTATGAGCCGTTGTTGGATTCTTGCAACATGACCATGGAGGGTATGTGATCTGCTCTTCCGTCGCTCTTTCATTTATTCATTTATTTACAGTCACCCATAATAGATTGGATCCGTATCGCGCGTGATATCGAATGCAACTATCAAAATTTCGATGCCTTTATCATCTTGCATGGGACGGATACTATGGCTTATACTGCAAGCGCTCTGAGCTTTATGCTAGAAGATTTAGGGTAGGCAAACATCTCTTTTGTGGTCCTTGGAACCATTTTACTCAATTTTTTCATTTTTGTATTGCTTCAGGAAAACTGTCATTGTTACAGGTTCGCAAGTACCTTTGACGGAAGTCCGCAACGATGCAGTAGAAAACTTGCTTGGAGCTCTTACCATCGCTGGTCATTTTGTCATACCAGAAGTCTCTTTGTACTTCAATGAAAAGCTGTTTAGAGGTAATAGAACAAGCAAGATCAGTGCAGTCGACTTTGACGCTTTCGATTCGCCAAACTTGGCCCCTCTCGTTCAAGTCGGTATCAATATAGGTAAGGAAAGCTATTAACAATAGCAAGCATTTCAAAATGCATACTTAATGTTTCACAACCTCTAGATGTTGCATGGCAACAAGTCCTCCGTCCAGTCCATATTGCCAAGTTCAAAGCGCATACCCACCTCAATTCCAATGTTGCTTCCCTTCGATTGTTTCCCGGTATTACAGAGCATACGGTTCGCATGTTTTTAACCCCACCTATGCAAGGTGTAGTCCTTGAAACATATGGAGCTGGTAACGCCCCTGCACGTTCCGATCTATTAGCCGCTCTCAAAGAAGCTTGTGACCGTGGAGTGATTATTGTTAATTGCACACAATGCAGAAAAGGTCTAGTCACGGATGCCTACGCCACTGGCAAACAGCTGGCGCAAATTGGAGTCATCGCAGGAGCGGATATGACAGCAGAGTGTGCGTTAACAAAATTATCCTACCTGCTTGGAAGGTCCGATCTCAGCATTCCCCAAGTGAAGAAGCTCATGACTATGAATTTGCGAGGAGAATTGACCATACGAGCACCTCGCCAAAGATTCACAGCTCATAGTCGTACGCATGCATTGATCCAGACAATTGTTCAAGCATCGAGCACAGGTGACGGTAACATCACCAGCCAAACATTACAAGAGCGCGTCTTGATTGAGAAGGCCATGTATCCTATTTTACTATGCTCAGCCGCAGCAACCGATGACATGGAAGGCCTTCTTATGTTACATGAAAACTTGGGCGACATGATCAATTTGAATTGCGTGGACTATGACGGACGTACACCACTTCATATCGCCTGTAGCGAAGGTCATTTGCGAGTAGTAGAATTCTTGCTGCTACATGGTGCGAGTGTCCACACTCGTGATCGATTTGGCCATACACCGCTTTTCGATGCGTCATGTGAAAAAAGAGAAGATGTAGTTAGAATCATGCGACTAGCTGGTGCCCATTTTGCGTTCGGTGATTTTGAAGATCTCGGATACAAATGGTTACGAGCCATTAAGGACAACGACAGTCGATTTGTTCGCATCGCCATTAGCGCAGGTTGGAACGTCAACTGGTGTGAAGGTGTCGATGGCCAACGAGCCATTCATATAGCTGTCAAGGAAGCGCGCATTGGAATGGTAAAGACTTTGCTAGGTGAAGCCAGCTTGCAGATCAATGCGGCCGACAGGTGGTCCAAAACTGCCCTCAACCATCTCGATCAATTGGAGAGCTATGTCAAGTCTGGTACGCCTGTCACCAAAGTCACTTTGGATACCATCAGTGAAATACGGTCGTTGATTGAAACTCGAATCAAAAGAGATCTTGCCCGCCAGGCTTCCAATTAGTATGATCCTGCATACACTTTTTTTCTCTTTTTTTTTTTTCTTATGAAGAAAACCATCCTAACTTTCCAACTTCAAATTTTGCATTATCTCTCATAACCTTGTTTCTTTCTTATTCTTGGAACGCCGCCCATCATCACGGTATATTGTATTTATTAAAGATCTATTATATTTTCGCCCTTGATGAGAAAAATGTAATTTTCATGTTACAGCCAGCTTGGTTTTGTTTCTGGTATTCGTACAAGATCGGTGTCAAACAATTCAATAAATTGTTCATTTAAAAGTCTGACTTTAGGTCCAGCATATCGACGGTACTCCTCAAATATAGAAGTAAGATTCCACCTCTGCAGCTTCCTTAAGCATCCAACAATAGTACCTGTGGGAAGATGTCGCACAATCTTAGATATAAATTGATTGCTGATGTATGGTTTTCTCTTTGCTCACCTGTGCGATGCCGACCAAGATTACACATAATCATCATGGGATAGTTCCTTGGGTTCAAGATGATATCCAGTGCTTCCAAGACTGCCTCTTCTGTAATAGGATCCCAAGCATTGACAGCCGATATGACACCTAAATGGTATAACTGAATTTCTTGATCGTCGATAAAGTCACAGCTACATAATGATATATTAGCACAACCTATTTTATAGAGACTTTACATTTAGAACTTACAATCGTTGGTTCGGCTCTTCAGGTGCCAGCCAAACCACAGTTTTGAGACCTAGCTTCTCTAGGAACGGAAAGTTTAGCTCATTAGGCTGACCGGATCGGTATAGATCTTCTTCAATCATGCCGTAGTTCTACAAGAGACAGGTTAGACAATGTTGCTACAAGAACTGATCAACAGTGCGCGGAAATAAGACAGTTACTAGTGGCGGTATAAAGTGCTGTGAGGACATGGTGTTGGGTGAACAAAGGGATTTGAAAGTGTAGAAACTGCTAGTACTGGATTAATAGGGTTTTCCGGGTGCTGCTCTCAGCCAAATTTTTCCTCTGGTAGGATTTTTTTTATTTTTACTACATAATCATCTAGTTAGTGAAAAGACCATATTATGTGATATATTACAGGGAATGAGAGTTGTGTGCACTGAAGCTAAGAATTATATTACATGCTTCAAAAGGACCACTGAACGACAGGCTGTAAGGCGACAGCCATGACAGACGAAACGGCGGATGTGAACAATGTGCGGAGCTTATGCACACTTCAGCACAAGTGGGGTCCACGAACAATACTCTACACCATACAAATGACCAAGCACAATGCTTCTCGAGGCACTATGTTATGCCGAATCGCCATAGGGTTTGCCGCAGTAACGTATCTGGTGTCTTCCCCATAAACGGACAACATGGTGCATAACGCCTGAGTTTCAAAGTATTCACCATGGCCCTCCTCATTATCCATTTCACACCATCAACCTAATGAACGAGCACACTATACCTCCAGAAATCCTTTCTCTTATACTTGAAAATCTGTCACAATCTGATCTCTTTACATGCACGATAGTCAATCGTACCTTTAATGCCGCATCTACTAGCATATTATGGAAAGCCCCTGAATTCCGCAACTCGTCTAGTTTACAACGATTTGCAGCATGTCTCACGCGCGCAAAAGAAGGGAAAGGAAAGCTAGTACGTACGCTCACTCTAAAGCAACCAGTCAGTTCATTTGTGAACGATGACTGGCTAACCGATGTTATAATATGGACACCACTTCTGGATACCCTGTCCGTGTCATATTGTTTGCACCTTACGGATAAGAGTCTGGCCAAATTGGCAAGATACTGCAAAGAGCTTACGTACTTGGACTTGGAATGCAGTCGAATAACCTACAGGACGGTACACCATCTGAGATTTTGTCAGAATCTGCGATATCTGAACCTACGAGCCAATCTGGATTTAATACAATTCGCCTTATTACCATTTGCCCATAGTCGGATTGAACAACTGAACCTTTCAGATTGTCCTTGGGTATCTGCCACTCATACTGCCCAGGACATATGTGCGCTTCAACACCTTGAACGTTTGGAATTAATAAACTGCCGTGACATCGACGACGAATTTTTACTCAAGATATCTATACCCGACACTGAGATGGATTTATATAATCCAATGCCTGAACTAAAAACATTTGCACTATCAAGCAGTCGATCCATCACAGATGAAGGCGTCATGGCGTTGGTACACGCACATCCAAAACTTGAAAATCTTACATTATATCAAAGCAACCTCACCGACCGGTCCATCAACGAAATCCGTGTATGTCTCCCTAACCTGCGGTTTTTAGATTTGTCATACTGCGGAAACATCACTGGCAAGGCCATTCGACGGCTCATTGCAGATAATGACAAATTGATTATGGTTGGTCTCAAAGGGTGTATCAAGATAAGGTCGTTGGATTTTCCTGAAACTGGAGGCTCCGAGATTTACGCTGGAGTGGATCGTCTGGACTATGAAGACATGGCCAGCATCCGACTGGGTGAATGGGCTCGAATGAATCAAGTCCGAGAGCGGGAAATCAACTGTGTGGATGTGGCCCAATAACATGTCGCGTTTAAATTGATCATTAAAACCCTTTTTTGAAACCACCGCCAATGAAGTGCTTCCGCGTTGCGCGCCAATTTGACTTGTTCTTTGTTCCAAACTCATCCATGGAGGATTCGTATTTGAAATCCCCTGAGGCGGTTTGCGCCCATTTCAAGGTGAATCCCTTGAAAGGACTATCGTCTCAGCAAGTAACTGAACAACGCAAGATCTTTGGATCCAACGGTAAGTGGCAAATACTTTTTATTTGTCAGCCTTGAAAACGGTACTGACATGAAGCTCACATTTTACAGAACTACCTGAAGAAGAGTCCACCCCCCTTTGGAAGTTGATCTTGGAGCAATTCCAAGACCAGCTTGTTCTTATTCTGCTGGGTGCAGCTGCCATATCCTTCATTTTGGCTTTAACCGAAGAAAACGAAGGCATAGAAGGCTTTACCGCATTTGTCGAACCCATTGTTATCCTTCTTATTTTGATCGCCAACGCTACTGTTGGTGTCTTACAAGAATCCAGCGCAGAAAAGGCAATTGATGCTCTTAAAGAGTATTCACCCGACGAAGCTAAAGTTTTACGTAATGGAACCCTCCAGAAGATCCGTGCCGAAGAATTGGTTCCTGGCGATATTATTGACTTGGCGGTGGGAGACAAGATCCCTGCCGATTGCCGTATTTTGGAAATTGAGTCCAGTGTATTTAAAGTGGATCAAGCTTTGTTGACTGGCGAGTCTGTTAGTGTGAACAAGGAAGTCGAAGCTATCAACGATCCCCATGCCGTCAAGCAAGACCAAATCAATGTCATCTTCTCTGGAACTTCATGTGTCATCGGAAAGGCCAAGGCCGTTGTCGTTCAAATCGGTTCTGCTACTGCTATTGGTGACATTCATACATCCATCACCTCTCAGATTAGTGAAAAAACCCCTCTTAAGCGCAAGTTGGACGATTTTGGTGACATGCTTGCCAAAGTCATTACCGTTATCTGTATTCTTGTGTGGGTCGTCAATATCCGTCACTTCAACGATCCCTCTCACAATGGCTGGCTTCACGGTGCTATTTATTACTTCAAAATTGCTGTTGCTCTTGCCGTTGCTGCCATTCCTGAAGGTCTTGCTGCTGTTATCACTGCCTGTCTTGCTCTTGGAACTAAGAGAATGGCTGCCTGTGGTGCAATCGTCCGTAGTTTGCCTAGCGTTGAAACTTTGGGCTGCACAAGTGTTATTTGCTCCGACAAGACTGGTACTCTTACTACTGGTCAAATGAGTGTTTCTCGGGTAAGTTGGTTGAAAAAAATTACTGTCAAACCAGACAGACTGTTGTCAACTAAAACGTCTATGCTTTTTTTTTTTATTTTTGCAAAATAGGTCCTGCTTGTCAATGGTCAGAATGGAGATCTTAGTGAATATATGGTAGATGGTTCCACTTATGAGCCTGTTGGTGCTATCCGTTCAGCTGATGGTAAAGAACATACCAACTTGCCTGCCACAAATGGAGCTCTTTACGATCTTGCTCAAATCTGCTCCTGCTGCAACTACTCTAAAATCGCTTACGATGAGGTAAGAGGCCTTTGGTTTGACCATTTTATGAAACATGTTGTATTTTTTAAACTAATCCGTAATTTTTCACAAGGCTACTGAAGCTTACTCTAGCATTGGTGAACCTACTGAGGCTGCCCTCAAAGTGCTCGTTGAGAAATTGGGCACTGATGATACTTTGCACAATGAAACTCTGGCTACCCTTCCACCCAAGGAACGTGTTAGCGCTTGTAACGATCACATTGAAAGACAGTATAAGCGTCTTGCTACTTTGGAATTCACCCGTGAACGCAAGTCCATGTCCGTCGTCGTCTCCTCTGAAGCTAATCGTATCACTCGATCTGGCGCTGGTACTCAAACATCGTTGCTTGTCAAGGGTGCCCCTGAATCCATTCTCGATCGCTGCTCATTCGTTCGTCTCTCTTCTTCATCCAATGACGTTGTGCCCATCACTGAGAAAATCCGCAGCGAATTGAACGCCAAGATTTTCGAGTACGGTACCACCATGGCTCTTCGTTGTCTTGCCCTTGCTAAAGTCGAGAATGTCAACTTCAAGGATTTCAACTTGTCTGAACAATCTAACTTTGTCAACTACGAACAACACATGACATTTGTTGGATTGGTTGGTATGATGGACCCTCCTCGCCCAGAAGTCCAGGACTCTATTGAAGAATGTCAAGCTGCTGGTATCCGTGTTATTGTCATTACTGGAGACAACAAAAACACTGCTGAAGCTATTTGCCGAAGCATTGGTGTTTTTGAAGAAGATGAAGATTTGACTGGCAAGAGTTATACTGGTAGAGAATTCGATATGCTTTCACCCTCGGAAAAGATCGCTGCTGTCAAACGTGCCTCTTTGTTTACAAGAACAGAACCTTCCCACAAGCAACAATTGGTGGATCTTTTGCAGTCGCAAGGTGAAATTGTCGCCATGACTGGTGATGGTGTCAACGATGCACCCGCATTGAAACGCGCTGATATTGGTATTGCCATGGGTAGCGGAACCGACGTTGCTAAACTTGCTGCTGACATGGTTCTTGCCGATAATAACTTTGCCACCATCGAAAAGGCGGTTGAAGAAGGTCGTTCCATCTACAACAACACCAAGCAATTTATCCGGTATCTCATTTCCTCTAACATTGGTGAAGTCGTCTCTATTTTCCTTACTGTTCTTCTTGGATTACCCGAAGCTTTGATTCCTGTTCAACTTTTGTGGGTCAATTTGGTCACGGATGGTCTTCCTGCCACTGCTCTTGGTTTCAACCCTGCGGATCATGATATTATGCGCAGACCTCCTCGCAATGCCAAGGAAGGCTTGGTTGATGGTTGGTTGTTCTTCAGATACATGGTCATTGGAACCTATGTTGGTATTGCCACCGTTTTTGGTTACGTCTGGTGGTTTATGTTCTATCAAGGAGGTCCCCAGATCTCTTATTATCAATTGGTAAGATGCGGATTTCATCATGGTGTTAAAAAATTGCAGTGCAAATGTGGCCGTCCTGTCATTATCGGTATCTAACTTCTGCATTCTCAGTCTCACTTCCACAAGTGCTCAGACCTCTTCCCTGAAATTGGCTGCTCTATGTTCACAGACAGCATGGCATCAAGAGCCACTACCATGAGCTTGTCCATTCTGGTTGTTATCGAGATGCTTAACGCCATGAACAGGTAAGTGACCTACTCCTCTGAGGCACATCTTCTTATTGCGTGCGATGATAATATACTAATGACACATGTATCCTTCCAGCTTGAGTGAAAACGAATCCCTTTTAACCCTTCAATTGTGGACTAACCCTTACCTGATCTTTGCCATTACTCTTTCCATGGTTCTCCACTTCATGATTTTGTACGTACCCTTCTTCGCTAAGATCTTCGTCATCGTTCCTCTCAATGTCGAGGAATGGAAGGCTGTCATGTGGATATCTATCCCAGTCATCATTATCGATGAAATCTTGAAGTTGATCAGCCGTACCTTCATTGCACCACCCTCCAAGCTTGTCAAGCACAAGAAGATCAAGCGTGCGTAGATTTAGAATACATTCTCTTCTGTAACCACATACATACTGTAGAACAATGACGACCTTTAAGGCTACAGAATAGACGTTTTTGTTTGATATTTAACATCACTGATTTTTTTTTTCTTATAAAAGCTACAGTAGTAGCCAGTAACATGAATAATAATAATTCGCGGCCATGTTCTTTTCGTGCAAAAGCAGCGAAAAACAAATTGTTTATTCGTCTTTGCGTTTGTCTTCTTCGCTTTCTGGCATCAAGTACAGCACAATAGTTCCTACTGCTCCCACAGCTTGTCCCAGCAAGGCGCCTAGTACGCAAGACACAGGCCACCGTTGCCATGGACGCTCCCAATCCAATGGAATCACAATAGCACCTAGCCAAGCACCAATCAAGATGCTGATTGTCTGCATATATGCCGCCACCTCTGCGTTGCTTGACGGGCTAAGATAGATAGAAACCTTAGAGCTTGTTCATTAGTCCATGTTCAAAATTTCATAACGTACCGGTGTTGCATGAATACGCGCACATAGAGTTCCGACTGTGTGATTCCCAACTGATTCACCACAGAGAAGACAGTAATATTCGCAACTAGTGCTGAAAACGATAACGTGCTCCAGAACTTGCTGTAGATGGCTCAACTTAGCAGAAAGTCCCAAATTGCTATTTTTCAGGGCAAATAAATTTTTCACTTACTCTACGAGAGAAGCTCCTAGGAGGACAGTGAACCCGTGGATCACAGCGGTCAAAACCAAACCACTGGCCAAGCATCTGATAATTAATGGCTAAAAAGGTGCTACTTAGAAGCAGTTGGGCCGTTATACTATGCCATGTCGTGGACTTACCAAACTACCGTAGCCATTCCTATTGTTGAATAAAGTTATAGCCAGGTTGCCAACAATGATGAGAGGCAATGCTGCAATTAGGCATTCTAAAGGTTGTCTATATAGTTCCTTGCTGCTTGTTTTGAATAGAGATGCTGCTGTAAGCAAGCTCGACGCAAGGGCTGGCCACCATGTACATTCCCGGTTCTGCGGTAGCATTTGGGACTGAAGCAAGACACGTCACAAACAGTCTGAGCACAGTTCCCCGTCTTTTGAACACTCCATTGCCTACCCACCCAAAACTTCGGCCTCGAGGACCAAAACAGGATGAACACCTATCCAAAGGACTATGTCCAGCATCATATTCCGGTGATGGCAGTTGTTGGCCTGAAAGAGACCATTCCGGATCCTGATGTGCCTAAAGATGGGACTTCTCATTCTGATGCACCAGAAGATCGTGTCCCTAACCGACGGCGATCCTCTTCTTCTAGCAATCAGCTGCGCTTACGAGCAACCATCGCACATAATCTTCGAGCAGTTTTGAATTCTAAAGATACCACCACTCTCTGGGAGGCTGCAAGACACTCCCAGGCACCAGCTGGAAGTCATACGAACGGCATACCCAACTTCCGAGTTACGTTTGTTGATAATGTAAGATAAAAAGATAATATGCTTTCAGACTCGCGCAGTATATTAATCGTCATCCTTTCATAGGATTTTACCTTACCGCCAAAGAAACCCACCACATATCAACACCCGTCCATGCATCCTCACTCCGCATTATCACCGCTGTCTAGCCAGTCACCTCTGCATCCAGACGGTATCATGACAACCCAATGGTACGAAAAGCATCTCAACGTGTACCCTAGCGTGGTCGTTGGGTTTTATGACTTGTGGGATTGGAGTATGGAAGCTGGTACTCCTCAGCGCCCGAAGCGGGAAGTCGGCCCTCTGGCTGGCCAAGCGCTTGCTGACCCAGTGGAGAGAGAGCGAGATGCCGCCATGGCTCATGGTATCAATGAGAAACGGTAAGTAAAAAGAGGTCTTAATGACCGTTGACATTTGGCAAGGATGAAATTTGAACGGCTGACATTGCTCTTACAAATGTAAAGTAAATACTTCCACGAAAGGGGAGTCAAGTATGCTGCCGTCATTATATTGAATCCTCGGCATATTGGTACGTTATATTTGTTACTGGTGCACCTTTTTCGATGCCAAATTTGCTTACAAATGTACCTTTCTAGATGACCCTGCTATCGAGGATCGACTTGCAGCTCTTCGCAAACTATCTGGACTCGATTCCAAAAATTCCTTGTTTGTCTTACCTGTATCTACGCAAACGGACGCAAATGAATTTATAAACAAGTAAGCATCACTTTTTCCACGTTTTGCGTACCAATCCAGTCTCCTTACACCTTCAATAGCCTGTTTAGATCTCTTTATGAACCTGCACAAGTATACTACAGTAATCATGTCAAGAGAGTTAGAAAAAAGTTGGCTCGACTTCCAAGTCCCTCTGTTGCAATTCGACAAGTTACACCACAAACAGCAGACGGACCTCAGCCGCTTTCTGTACCTGGCTGGCTAGTGCGATACGAATACAAGTTGGGAGTGTTTCAGGAGTTCCGGCAAGACATTCAAGGCTCTTTAAAGTACGTTGCGCGAGAGGGCGTGCCTTGTTGAGTGCAGCGGACACTCACCAAAATTACATTCCATTAGATCATATGATGCTGCTTATAATATGCTTTTGAACATGCTGCAGCCAAGCACTGGTGACGGAAGCCTGAAGCCCAGATCAAAGCGATGGAAGGAAGCTTGTATACTTGCAGACTGCATGAACATCAAGGTAAGCGAATGGCCTCAAATGCTGCTCTCCATGTAGCTCAAAGGACAAGGCTTATAACCATTCTACATCCCGCAGATTTGCAGATTCTTCCTGTTTCAAGACAATGCGTCAATGGCCCTGGCCCAATTGAACAAACACCTACATGCGTTCCAACTTTTCTCTAATGAATGGCACATGGGTGAACGATCATTTGAATATTGGTCTTGGTTATCTAAGCAGTGAGTATATCCACCTAGCGTTTGATTTCCACGGCTTCATAGCGGTTCTTTAAACTATTGGCTTTTGTGAAGATACCGCGTGTTTGCAGAGCAAATCGATATCGCTACAAGACATGGCTTTAAATTACCTGTACCGTTACCTGTTCAATCAAGTGTTGGATCTCCGCCTTTGGGCTCCAGCCCTTTCCTCGGCTCTAGTGGATATGCTAACCAGGCAGAAGGTGGTAGTAATCCCGGAGAGTTACTTCAACATGCTGGCTTTTACTTCCACCTTGCCGCCATGTGTAGTGCTGAACGCCGACGTCGTTATATGGAAATGGAGAAATGGAAGGATTCAGAGGCAAAGACCGACGATCTTATTTATCGATCTGCAATGGCCGCTCTGCCAGAAGAAGAACAGGTTGATCATTCTGCATTGACTATCGAGCTCCTCACTAAAGGCTATGAACAGTTCAAAAAGCACCGCAATACTAGGATGACATTGTACTTAGCTGCTGAAATTGCTGGCACTTATTACGAAGCTGGAAAATTCGAAATGGCACTCAAATTTTTTGAACGAATTGGCAAAACGTACCGAAAAGAAAGTTGGCATACCGTTCTCACGTCCATTTTACGGTGGTCATTGCGCTGTGCGAAGGAACTCGGTATGACCACAAGTGTAGTGGGATATCTCGTCGAATTGCTTTGCGATAATCTACCTATGAGCCAAGATAAGCGAAGCGAACTTCAGAACGACTTGCAATCGACCCTCACTCATGGATCTTTGACGGATGACGATAACCAAGAGCCACTCATCGTGCGTATGGATGATATCAACTCCTTCCTGACATGCCATGTCCAATTTGAAAAGTCCTCTGGCTTCGTCAATCAGCCAATTCATTTTCAAATTAGTCTTAGCACCAATAAGTCATCCCCACCTCAACCCATTGTCTTCCGTTCCCTTCGTATCATCTTTAATAACGAACGATGGAACCAGGTATACGTTAACGATGAGGGCGACAACGATGACAAGGATTATTCATATTATGACTGTACTAATAGCGAGTATGACTCGACTGAAAAGCGTTGGAACGCCAACGCTGGGCTACAATTTCGACATGGCCAAAGCAAAGTGTTCGAAGGCACAGTCACTTTGGATCACAGCGAGAATTTAAAGGTGAGGCAACAGCTTTTACATGCCGATTTTGTTGCTGGAATGTACTGAATCTAATGCTACCGTAGATGGAAACGGTGATGCTAGAGCTAAACTCCTCTGGCCGCCAAGTATTCTTATGCTTTGATATAGCCAATAGAATCCAGGATACTCGCTCAGCTGGAAGGAGGAAATGGCACAATGTTGAATCCCCGAAACCAACTTTCTTGCAAGGAAGAGGCGAAATATCTGCTGCAGAGTAAGTAGATATGGTCTAAAACCATAACATGGAAATTCAAGTAAACTAATATTTTTTGGACAGTATCTCCCAACAACCATCTAAGCTCACCATTACTAATAAGCACTACGCACCTGCGCTGGTGGATGAACATTATCCGTTCTTTATAACTTTAACAAACGAAGAGTCTACACCTGTGGATGCTGTCATCAGGGTAGAAATCAAAGCCACTGAGACTCAAGGTAAAGCTCACTACTTATATTTACTTGTATGCACGACAAGGTCTGACAAAACTCATTTGGTTAGATCTCGGAGACAAGCTGAAATTGGCCCCTACCGACGACGATGCATCGGCTACATCTATTCTGGATATCGACGTTGGGCAAATCGAAGGCAATGGAAGCAAAGAGCAGATATTGTATATCATTGGCCGCACTACTCCACTGACACGACTGTTAAACATATCTGTAAGTAATTCATTTGTGATCGTTGCTGCTCTGGACTATATTAAGTCTAATTCGGTGTTCATTTTTGGCAGGTCCGATATAAGCCATCGTCATCCAATCAGGAACCTTACTTTGAAAAGCATGAAATGGTGAAAATCCATTATAACAAGGCGTTCGAGGTCAAATTTCACAGCCATGAGCAGCACACTGAATACAAGGATGCAGCCACATTTCCCCCTAGCCTCGAGGAGAAGGAGCGTTTATTGGTCATTGCAGCTGTGCGCTGCACTTCACCCTGGAATTTACAAGTTGTCAGCATGGAGATGGAACAGGATCAAGTAAGACATGTGAGGTAGAAAAGAGAGACAGCGTAGTACAAGTACCCCATTGACCCAGTATTTTTCCGAATTAAGCAACCTTCACATGGTTATATCCAAGTACAAGCAATGCCAAAAGCACGAGGAGAAGACGTCAAAGGTAATGAACGGCATAGAGCAGAACACACAGCGAAATTTGAATTAACAGGATTTTTGATAGAATGGAAGAAGGATCAAGTTTTCAACAGTAATCACCTCTTTGAATTGACCACTCGAGACCGCACAGCACCCAAGACCGCAGCCGACTTTGGAGCACTGGTCATAACGTGGCGGCGGTAAGCAGGCGTTGTACAACCCCCCCCCCATATTGAAAGAGTTTTCTTACAAAGATTCATTTCCACGGAAAATAGGGTCAGTAACATTCATGAGGAAATGCCTCTTTGTCAAACAAGCATTCCCTTTCCTCCATTTTCTTTTTCGTCCACGGAGATCCGTGTTCATCGCGGTAAGTCCATGGGGTTTTCTAACTGAAATTAGTAGAACCAATTTCTGCTCAGCACGATCGATTATACTCAACTTGGTTATGCACCTGGCACGTTTTCTTTCTTAGATCATCCGAGCGAATTATACATTGGGGAGCCCTTCGTCCTTTCATATACCATTACCAATCCTACAGCCCAATTTGCCGAACTTCAGGCACAAATCGAAGTCAGTGACGCGTTCGTGTTTTCTGGTTACAAACAAACCAAATTCCGCGTCCTCCCGTATTCTTCACAGACTTTCAAATACCATTGCCATCCAATACTAGCTGGCCATGTACGACTTCCTAGACTTAAAGTAGATATTAGCAACAATGGTGAGGTGCCAGCAACGGCAGATGCCATCGTTTACGTGAAACCCCGAAGGCAGCAGCAATAAATACTTGTGTCACCATGCGTTCCTTGTTCTCCGATGACAAACTTTTCTCTCCATTATCACACTTCTTCTTCTCTTTTTCGTTTGTAACATAGACATACTTCTTTTGATACCAGAATGTTTCGAAAGCGGAAGCAGAAACAGATGTTGGAAGAAGCCCGCAGGCGGGAAGCGGAGCTAGAACGCCAGAAACGTAGCCAAATATCGCTAGAGGAACTTCAACTTTTGCGTGATTTCAGGACATCTCTCATCATGCCACATCTTGCCAAAGAATTCGACATTTTACGAAGCTCTTCTCCAGAGAATACCATAGAGGAAGCCCCCGAACCGTCAACTTCGGAACAGAAACAAACATTTCAGAACGTCGCTCCACTTTCCCCTCCACCTCGAAAGCCCAAGGCTCCTGTCATAACAAACACTCCCACGGGAAGTGCTATCCAAGTGTCTCCCTGGATGGAACAGAACAATCAACAATATTCAGTAGAGCAACCTTTAACTCCCATCAACGAATCGTTTGAAAAACAATCAACGCCTAGTATTTACTCCACCACATCCACTTTGGATTCTGAACGTTCAGATCAATATTCAGATCAGTATCGAGACCTAGCCGCCTGGAGAACGGAACGCAACAAACGACATTATTCGAATCAAATTTTCGGAGGCAAGCAAAGGCTGGACCATTATCGCTTAGCCAAAGAAAAATCAAAGACAAGTCTTCACGACTCCACCCTACCTGAAAGCAACGAAGTTCCTATGCCTGTGGATAAACCTTTGCCAGTATTTGAACCAGAGCAAACTCACATGGTTGAGGATCTCAGCGTGGGAGAAGAGAAACCTGCACCTCCTGCTGTTGTCGACAACGTCGCCGCCTCTATTTTCCCGAAAGAGTTGACCCTGTCTATGTCACAGCCGCTTAAGCCTCTGCCCACAGCAACCAGACCAAAACCCCGTGGTAGAACTCGTCCAGATATCCGACGTTATAGCATTGATCCATTGAGTAAATGGATGGACCATACCACCACGGGTTACGATTATGATCAGTCGCTGGAGTTGAACGAAAATTTTTTCTTCAATGATTTTGCTCCTGATGCTGAAAACCGACGTCCTAGACCAAAGTCAAGGAGAATGAGCAAAGCGGCGGCAAAGCTATTGGCTGAGAATCCTACAGGCAGAGTCAATAATCCTGGAAAGATTGACTTGGCCGCCATTGCAAAACATTTACATGAAAACCGTCTATCAGTCATACAAGAGAGGAAACGAATTAGTGCCACGGAAGCAGATGAACAGGAACTTGCTCGCCTTTTAGCCGATCCACAGCAAGCGAATATTTTGGAAATGCATCGGGATAATGCCCTACCCAAGGCTTCCCAACCTCCTCCTACAACTGCACCTATCTCGAACGAGCATGCCATGTCTTCGGCACAAGCTGCGTCTGCTGCCATCATGCGAACTCGAAGTGCATCCACTAGTAAAGTTGATAAATCTATGCATGCCCCAGACCTTTCAAAGCCTACTGGCCTCACCTCATCGGCCTCAATGCGTATCTCCCCACTGCATTCCACATCGTCTGGTCATGCCGGCAATGCTCGTCCTATACACTTCCTTGGCAGAAGCCGTATGGAAGAATCAATCATGGATGACACTAAGGATAGTTCCCCGGCTGATGTTGAAACTGCATTCGGTAAGTTTAGAGATGTGTGCTTGGTGAGTGCGCCCCACATGCTTACCATCTTTTAGGAAAAGATAATATAAATAGTGTTGAAGCACCACCTCATCATGATGTTTCAAGAAAAATACAACTGAATGATAAACCTGTTCTCAGCCGCGCTGGAAGCACTGTGGATCGGTCACCCAGTACTCGTCTAGCTGCCATTCAAGGCATTCAGAAACATTTGCGGCAACAGTCTGTTCACAAATCGCAGCCAAGCTCGGAAGGAGAAGCGGATACACAGGAAGATGAATCACTAGATATTATTGAGGAAATTCCCACTACGCCCATTTCTGAAGAAGAACCAAAATTGTTTCGAGAACAGAGTACGAGCACGCCGATCAATCTCAAGTCTCGAAAAGATAAACCACGAATTGCTCTTTTGGATTCTGCTACTCCTGATGTGTCTGATCCTGCGGCATTTGTTTCACCACGTTCAGCACCTGCCCCACCAACTGACTCTACTGATAGTTTGGCCAACAAAGACATGGCTCGATCTGGATCAAAATTGCATGATGATCGTAAATTCAAGCCTTCTATGTCTCGAAGCAGGACCAAGTCATCCAATGATACCGATGAGGAGGATGGAAAGAGTGGCTTCTTACAATTCAGACGGCAAGTCTCCAAACTTAGACGACCACGAGCAGGAAGTGAATCAGGTACTCCACCCAAGCTAAGTGGACTGAAACATGCTGTATCGAATGACGCAATGAATGGGCTGTCGAGTTACAGCAGTGTCGAGAATATTCGGGACGCCAAGTCAAGCCGCCTTGTAAATATTAGTGATAGTGCAACCTCTTCCACCAACGAAAAATTGGCATTGCCAAACAATGGACAACCCAGAAGATCGATTAGTATGCGTGAAATTCGTAGCCCATCCATGGAATCAGACGATCCTTTTGGTTCATTGAGATCCAAACAACCAAAGACAAATGGAGAAGATGATGCCTTGCGCAGCAAGAACCTCTCACATGATGTTTTGCATCGGCCAACCGCCAGTATTTCGTCTTCGGTCAGCGGATCAAGTGACGAACGATTCTCGTCTTTCAAGCACTCCGGTAGTGGACGGTCGAATTCTGAAGATTCCGCTGGATCGCCTCAGTTAGCACCTCGTAATCCTTTACGACACAGTCGAGATGAGAGTGGCAAGTCAAGATCTACCATCAGTCGATCAGGCAGTGCTCGTGTTTCGGAACGCATCAGCCATGAACACAAGGTTGTTTCTCCTTCCAAACTTAAAGAAGGTGATAACAGTCCGAGATCTCATTTGGGCAATTCAAAGTTGACACCAGCGGCTTTAATTGCTATGAAACATTCTGAAGACGTTAAGGACAACACTCCCGCTAGAATTGATACGGCAAAGAGAGTGGAGAAACATACTTCTGGGCCTAAAGGAATTCGAATGCTCTCTCAACTACTTGGTAAATCAGGGAAAAAGAACTCAACCAAGCGTGTCAATGGTAACATCATGGAACCAAACAGGGCACGTGGTCAAGAATCACCCCCCACTGATGTGCGCAAAAGTCGATCTTCAGCTAGATCTCAAGTGGTTCGACGAACGATCATTTACGTGCAACCTGAAGACGTGGATGATCAAACCGGCAACCCCATGGCCTATCCCAGTCTCAACAGCATTCAGGAACGTACGTCGTTATCTTCAGACTCTAGTCATATCAACTCTCCAGATAGTGACACTGGCTATGAATATGTTACTGCTAAAGTTATCACAAGACAACCATCCCTCAAAAAAACTGTGGTTGACGCAGAGCAACCAAAAGCGGCTACCAGCAACGGACTGACTCGAAAGGGTACCAATGGTAGAAAATGGAGATTGGAAAATGTCGATGAAGAGACCGTGCCTGAACCAAGTGTCAAGCCAACCGGTGTGACTGACAATGAGACCTTACCAAGATCATCCACATCGTCATCCGTTCCTAGAAGTAGCTATGATAACGATAGTATCTACAAATTCTACAATAGTCGACAAAGCACATCAGATCGATCTCTCGACAGTGTTCAAAGAGCATCTATGCGTTCTGCTGCCCACGCTCAATTAGAAGGTCTTGAAGTACGCGAAATGAGTGACGGAAGTGTTGTATACGGTGTTGTCAAGAAACATCCAAATGGTCGACGAACGTCTATGTTGCTGCCAACCAATCAGGAGCATCACCCTGTGGAGACGGAAATTCTTACCAGTGACGAAGATGAAGATGAAATCGAAGAACGAGTTCTGCAATTGATGGGTTTCAACCCTGACTCACCAAGACTTAGTGATTTCATGAATGGCGACCGCCGATCTAAAAAGACTTCAAAGGACATAGCGCCAAGTAGAAGCAGCGAACGCAGTCCGCAGCATCGCCCGCCACCACAATACCCGCCACCACCTATTCCAACTCGATCACCTCGCAGAATGGCCTCCATCAAACAACAACAACAACTGAAGCCCAAGGTGTCGCGTGTGCAGGATCATCGCGCTAAACACATTTCAACTATCTCTACAAAGTCGCCTGATGGCGGTGGTGCTACTACTGATATCTATATTGCTGAAGAAGTCACTCTTTCTGGACTGTTGGATATGATTAAAGATACTGCCGATGTCATGGATGACTATTATGGAGACTATTACTCTGACCAAACCTATTTCCCTGACTCTGATACTGAAGCGCCGAGCGATCGGATGCCCAGGTCAGCTACGGTAGAAGAGAAATTGGACGACGCACTCAAGACTTGGGAACAATCCTCCAGCAGCAGAGAGCATCCGCATTTTCGATGATCGATCAAGCTCAGACTAATTTTCGCATGATACCTCTCCTACGTCTTCCACATAACTCGTAAACCTTTACAACCAAAAAACCCCCAAAATCCACAAGCTACCTTTCTGTTTTCCTTCATCTCTCATTAGAAAAAAAACCCCCCTCCCTCTCATACCTTATACTCATCTTACTCATCCCCTCATTTCGATGCTGTGCACACCGGTTACAAAAAAATATTAAGAATAATAAAAATAATACTCAAATTTATAATGCTGCTGACTGAACTGCAAGTGCTTTGGATGAGAAAGCTAGCAAGCGGGGCACTTTCGGATATTACTGTATTGTCGTACTGGAGTACAAACGAACGGACATAACTCTTTCTAAAACTCTCCGTATTTCTTCCCCCTCACAAGCCTATGTAAGACGGGAAATATGTCCATTTACGATAGTCAACCGAACCGTTTGAACATGCTCACGAGGGTAACCTTTCTCTTTCCCATGGAGACTCTGTCTATCCAGCGTTAATTACGGTTACACGACATTACCTTCGTGTGAAACAGCCTTCTTACATTTCCAATGCTTAGCAAGCAGTAATACGTACTCAGATATTGCTGTCACTAAGCATTACCCAAATACCGAAGCCATACATTCATCAATGAACTCGGTAATGCCAGCTAAGCTTACTTCGGCTGAGATAGCGTTCCGGGAAAAGTCAGACACCGAAATAATTAGCATTCCGGGGTAGAAATCGAGGATTGGCTTCAAGTACAGCGTGTTCGGATGTTTATGTAATCCGTCTATTACACACACTAAACCTATGCTGTGCTCATGTACTTGCCAAAATGAACCATCCATTGAGCACTGTTTAGCTAGCAACAGATGTAGTAGCGTTCATAACGCATTGAAATAAGATTAAGGTGAAACGTCCATAAACACTAAGTACTTCACTTCGATAATTCATTGTTATTGACATCCTATGTGTACCTGTATGACCTAATGTTTTTACTCACCAATAAGCATGAATAATGACTACTTCTGTTTTTTTCTCCCATCTCGTCCTTGGCATTTAACTGTAGACGACAACGTTAGATGTGCCTTCTTTATTGAAGACAGTGTGAGCCGATTTGCCTCTGAAACATCACAATGCTACCCATTCTTAATTACAAGAAACCCACATCGAAACCTTACAAGCCATGGCTTTTGGTTCCGAGGATATGTTTTGTTAGATGTTCAAACCCAAAATTTTGGAACTTCATTTAATCAATCGTATAATCATAACATCATAGGCAATGGATGGCCATGTCATACTAGATAAACCACAATTATTTCATAATTCATTTCAACGATTGATCAATGAACCTATGTAGCTGCTAGGTATAGTTATGTTGAATGAATGAAGCTGCTGGGGTGATATTAATTTTCCGAAAAAGCATACATTTCGGAAGTGCCTGGATGGTACAAAGCTCTCTTAAAGCAGTCCACCCCACATATATCAATTTATGGCTTTTTGTGGAGCGGCTCACGCTACCGCTCATCACCAACTTGTCAGACAAAACAACTGCGTAGAATTATTGAATCTTAATTAGCTTGGATGCTACTGATAATGGAATTGTTGCACGTTCTGTTGTGAGGTTGTACTAGCTTAGCAGAAATCGGCTCCTGACCTCATATAAATGCGCAAACAAATGGCCTAAGTACCTCTTTATACCTATTGGCTGTGTGGATATGAAGATCTCTATCGCCGCTGCTTTCGTGTCCGCCTTTGCCGTTGGCGCTCTAGCTTCGCCCTCCACCTCTGGCAAACCACCGTAAGCACATTGCAGCTGCATACCTACGCATACAAATCGCAACATTAAACCATCTATTTATCAGATCAAATGCTGTCTACAAGAATCCTCAAGCTTCCGTAGAGGCTCGTGTCAAGGATCTTTTGAGCCGCATGACTTGGGAAGAGAAGCAGGCTCAGCTTATTCAAGGAGATGTCAGACATTACGTTGATGCCAATAACAATATCAACAAGACTGCATTGCAAAGCATTGCTCCTAATGAAGCTGGCGCTATGTTCGGTAAAGAAAATTAACACTTATGTCTGTCTGCATGATTGAAGTGAAAGTGTATTAACTTTATTAATTAATTCTCAGCTGCGATGATTCCTCGAGACGAGCTTGCTGTGGCTATTAACGCAACTCAGAGTTTCTTGCTTCATGACACACGTCTTGGTATCCCGTCACTCATGCAATCCGAGGGTATCCACGGATACTTGGATCTCAATGGTACTCTTTTCACCAGCCCTCTTGGTTTCGCTTGCTCTTTCAACCCAGATTTGGTTGAGGAACTTGGCAACGTTGTTGGTTCTGAAGCCGAAAGTATGGGTGTCAATAATATCTTTGGTAAGGACGATTTTCTCCAACTATTCGGCATCATATGATATAATTCTTATCCGGTATTCTTTTATCGAAAGCTCCTGTTCTGGACTTGTCAAGAGAACTTCGTTGGGGAAGAGTTGAAGAAAATTATGGTGAAGATCCCCATCTCACTGGTAAGCCTACTTGTCAGCTTGGGCGCAGCCATCAGTTCCGATATTTACGTTTACTCTTCAATAATAGGCGAGCTTGGCTATGCTTTTGTTACCGGTTTGCAAGGTTCAAAGAAGGCTGGTACTGGTAAAGCAGCAAAATACCGTGTTGCATCCATGGTGAAGCACTTTGTCGCATTTGGAAGGTTCGTGGATTCTCGGTGGGGGGGAGGGACTGGAGAGAGTCTAGCTGCTTTTGAACCTTGATACTAAACTATTCCAATGCAGCCCCGAAGGTGGTCTCAACACTGCACCGGTAAGTTGGTTCACAATCCGTTTAGCCATTTTATACTTCAAATTCTTTGCTCGTGAAAATTAATCATTCAATAATATATGCATAGGTCGCTGGTGGTGAGAGAGACTTGCGCTCATTGTACCTTCCTCCCTTCAAGCGTGCCATCAAAGATGCCGGCGCCTTATCAATCATGAGTGCCTATCAGTAAGTGGTGTTGGTTGCAAGTTTCAGTTGCATAAGACCAGGTTATTGACAAAACAACCTTTCTAGCTCATATGATGGTGTTCCTGCTGCAGCTAATAGTCACGCCATGAATGATGTTCTCAGAGGCGAGTGGGACTATGAGGGTTTTGTCTCATCCGATGCTGGTGCCATCGACTTCTTGTGCTCCATCCATCACATTTGTGAGACTAGTACTAACGGCGTCACCAATCCTGAGCCTGCTCTGATTGCACTGAACGCTGGTAACGACATGGAGGTAAGCTATCTCCTTTAAAAATGCGTCCATATACTTGCGAGAAGCAGAATTCTAATAACACATTTTGAAATAGATGGCTGGTTCCACTGTAAGCAAACACTGATCAGGTGTGAAGCCTATTATATATTTACCTAACCTTACTTGCTCGTAGATGCACTATTTGACAATCGTCGACCAAGTGAAAAAGGTAAGAAAATAGGATGACAGAAACAGTCGTTCAATACCTACTACAGATGCTAACTATGCTGTCTCCACTACGTAGGGTAACCTCAAGGCTTCCGTTGTTGATGAAGCTGTTAGCCGTATTCTCCGGGTCAAGTTCTTACTTGGTCTTTTTGAAAATCCCTGGACCTCATCTAACTACAACAAGGTCATCCACTCCAAAGCCAACGTTGAGTTTGCTCGCAAGGTCGATGAGGAATCCATAGTCCTTTTAGAAAACGACGGAACTCTTCCTATCTCTGAATCCATTGAATCCATTGCTGTCATTGGACCTCAAGCCAATGTCATGCAATATGGTGATTATGTCCTTCATGGTGTCTTTGAACGTGGTGTTACTCCACTCGCAGGAATTCAATCCTACGTCGGAAAGTCAACCAAGGTGAACTACGCCGAGGGCTGCAAGCTCTGGTCCAATGATGATAGCGGATTCAAGGATGCCGTCAAAGCCGCCAAAAAATCCAAGGTTGCTGTTGTTATGGTCGGAACGTGGTCCAGAGATCAAACTGAGCTCTGGCAAGGCTTGAATGCCACTACTGGTGAACACGTTGATGTCAATGATTTGGCTCTTGTTGGAGCCCAGCTTAAGCTTGTTCAAGCTATCCAAGCAACTGGTACCCCAACTGTTGTTGTGTACATCAGCGGAAAGCCTATTGCTGAACCATGGATTAAGGATAACGCCAACGCAGTTGTTCAAGCTTTCTATCCAGGTAACTCCTCCCACCCCCTTTCTATATCTCAAATGGGAGTTTGTTTTTTTTTTTGTTTTGACATCCGCTAACTAAACTCGTTAATAGGTGAGCAAGGTGGTAACGCTTTGGCCAATATTCTGTTTGGTAAGGTCAACCCAAGCGGCAAGCTGTCTGTATCCTTCCCTACCTATGTCGGATCTCTCCCCAGTTACTACAACTATAACAAGGGCGGCCGCTCTATTGACCCAGGTCACATTTATGCTGTAAGTAGAATATGCAAACACAAAGATATGCATTCTGAGAACGTGGATTCTAATGGATTTGATATTGACTGAACCTCATGCAGAACGGCACACTCGTTTTCGGTCATCAATATGTTCTTGGAACGCCTGTCCCCATGTGGCTGTTCGGACATGGTCTTTCTTACACCACTTTCACTTATGAGTCGGCCAAGGTCGATCAATCCAAGGTTTCCGCTAAGGCATCGCAGGTCGAAGTCGAAGTTAAGGTCAAAAACAGTGGCAAGGTGGATGGACAAGAGGTTGTTCAGGTCTATATCAATGATGTTGTTTCATCCGTGGTTACACCGGTTATGGCTCTCAAAGGATTTAAGAAAGTCGCCATCAAGGCTGGCAAGACTGTCACTGTCAAAATTCCTATCAAGGTTTCTGAACTTGCTGTGTGGGCTCAGAGCCAAAAGTACGTCGTAGAACCCGGCGTTTTCCAAGTCTACGTTGGAGGTAGCGCCGAGACTGCAACGCTTGCTACCAACTTCACCGTTTACTAAGGCGAGCTAATATTAATCTCGTACCACTTTTTTTCTCTTTCATTAACTGTTATCATGACAAGAATTAAAAAAAGAAAATACATTATACTAAAATACAGAAACAACCTGAGATTAAGCTATTTAATTCTTTTGGAGCTAGCCGTTACCCCCTTTTTTCTAAAGAATAAAAGTATTTTTCCACTAAGAAAAAAAATCGTGCGAGTATACATTGATGCAGCCGAAGCGATCCTCTAGCGATCCACGATTGCTTTAACCGCTATCGTCAACCAAGCGATAATGTCATCCGAAGCCGTGATTGTACATTTTATAAAAATAAAACTTTTTGGGGGGGGGGCTATCTGGAAGATGCCCTAACTACCTCAGCATTGACACACTGGATAGAACTTATCGATAGTTTGGTAACAGCCTTTCCTCCTTATATTACATATGATACGCCTTATTACCTGTATCGCTAGCCCTATCCGAGGGTTTCAAAGTCGCATGTACATTATGTTCTCACACTTGTGGCTCGGCTCAACCGCATTTTCATGAGAGAACTCAAGATGTCGTGGCTGTGATACCATATGGCACCCGTGCATGCCACAGAATCGGCTGCGCCATTGTTTCTGTGTGCACATGGATACTCATGGGGGTAGTTCTTGGTCCAACCATGACTACGGCTATCGTCACTGAAAAGGTATGGAAAACGACGGCTGGCTTTGAAAATGGGGTACATTATACTCATCCAAATATAACACTCGCTCGGACACTATCCTACCCCTCATCATTTTAACCGATCACTCACCCCCCAACCACTACCTCCTTCTTTTCAAAACGCAGATATGGTCTGATCTTCCACGCCAATCTTTATTCAATTTTGTCTATGTCTGTGGGTATTTTGAACCTAGTGCCATAATCCATCACATCAATTACTCTACAGCTGTGGAACGTGTAGTGCCCGAGGCTTTCAAAAAAAGTTAGCCGGGATAGTAGGGAAACGAGAATTTGTGATTGAAGCAATGTAAGACCTTTGTGTTGCTTATGATTATTCTCATTCACTACTAATGGCCAATCTAAGAACAAGCCAGAAGGCATCAATGTAACGAAAAAAAAAAAAAAGTAGGTTCAAGAACTTTATAGCGTGTGGGTTGTACCGACTTTTCTTGCAACATTTCTACCAAAAGCAGTGTTACCATCGGTATTTCATAGTGTAGCATAGACATTTCAATGGCCACTATTTCATGGGGCGCAATGCTGAGTGTAGTGTTTGCAAAAATGTATCTGGAAAAAAAAAAGTTTACAAAAGTAAAATAAAAAATACAAGATAAATAATCATAACAAATAGAAGGAACCGTAAAAGAATTTGTTTACAAGTGCTGGCTACATACAACCCAATTACCAATTTTTTGGGATAGCCAAGTAAAAGGTCCGTTCATGCATAGCTCGACCGATTCCAATAACGATTTCCTTGTGGCTATGACCAACCTAAGAGATGTCATTATAACGAATTGCGTTATCGAACCTGCACTACATCCGCGATTTTTTTTTTTTGGAGCACCCCATGAGCTTGGTAGACCATGACAAGCAGTGACGGTTTATTTGCCCATCCCAAATCTTTGCTTGTAACAAGAGTAACCTTGCTGTGGGAATTCTTTGCATTGCAACATATTGACAAGGATATTTTTCAATCTCCTTGGAACAAAAAGTTTGAACGCGTAACCCGAACTTGCATAGAACACCACGCACTGCACGTGTATCAAGATTTCGCTAGTGTCTTGCACAATACCCTGACCCTACGAGGAGCAGTTCAGATTAGGTGTGTATCAGACGAAAAAGCCAGCCATGCCAGAAGTGCCACAAGCCTAGGCTTTGAAGCCTAAAATCTTGACAAAATAAAAAACACTTATCTCAAATTGGGGGGTGGGATGGGCTGGCCTAAAGGAAATATAAATAAGATCACTTCTTGTGCCTTCTCATCTTCACCTTCTTGCAACAGCTTCTTCATGTTCAATTACCATGCAAATGGTCAGCCTTCCTTCTCCTCTAAGCATCAATAATCATACTCAAGCAGCAGCATCTTGCCAATATTACGATAGTCATCTTGCATACTATTATTCCAATCAAATGAACAATTATGAAATGAACCCATCCTCACTTGTCTTGGACGCTTCGACAGCATACAAGTGGCAAGAACAACAAGAAGAAACATACTCCAAACAACAATTATCAATGCTTTCCAATGATATCAAGCCCGAAAATTGCTCTTTGATGACCGAAGGCAATCTAGTGGTTGACACCGTTGGTGCCAATGAATTTTCAAGTCAAATTGATAGAACTCATCCCATTCACTCAAACAATATGCTCATGGTATGTACACCATTGGTTCTCAATGCAACGATGAGAAAAAATTAGTTGTAGTATCCCGCATATTAAAATTCATTTTTTTTTTTGCCTATAGGATGGACAACTATGGTGCTCTGAACCGTCGGCATCTCCTTCCACATTAACGGATGAAGGTAAAGATGATTAGCCTGAGATATTTTTGTGATATTTCTAGTCATGCCTGACACTCTATAAACACAGAATTGATACCTTCACCCACATCGTCAACATCAAGAATCTCTCCCAATCATTACTCATGGCAATTAGAAAATATGTCTCGCCAAGACCTCATCAAGCGCTTAATCCATCTGGAAACGGAAAGGGCGTTACAGGAAACCATGAACCATAAATCTGAATCGAACGATATGTCTTACCCTATGGCCGTCTCAAAGCAAGAAACCTACAGAGAAGTCTCACGGGAGTCATTAGATCGTCACAATAGTGTCGAATATGACCAAAACGTAAAAGTTTGCTTATGGCAAGGATGCAATGAGTCTTTCGACAGTTTGGATCTCCTTATCGCACATGTGCGCAACATTCATATTGGCCGTGGCAAGGTACAAAACCGATATTAATATTAAAACATGATGTCGGTAAACCCATTTTGAAACTAACCATCTTAACTTTGTCAATTAGCCAAGTTACCCTTGTCTATGGCAAGATTGCCGAATGCAGGTTAACCATCCTTTTGCAAAAAGGCACAAACTGTTGTCCCATATGCGAACTCATACGGGCGAAAAGCCATTCAAGTGTTCCTCGAAAGGTGAGAGCTACGTCACATGTACATGACATACCCGTCGTTTGTGATTATGGAAATGCTAAAACAGTTATACTAACGCACCTTACTCTTGAAAAAAGGCTGCAACAAGAGTTTCTCTCGCCCTGATTCTCTCGATATCCATGTCAAGACTCACTCCAATATTCGGCCCTTCAGCTGTAACTTTGAAGGTTGTACCAAGGCTTACTACCACGCTCGATCATTAAAGAAGCATGAAAAAATTCATCTCAAGGCCATGGTAGATAATGCGACTCCCCATGTCGTACAACCTGAAACCCATCCAAGCCAACGCACCTCAGTTGCGCAAATGTACAAATCGGACAACCAGCAACACGGATTGCTTGAATCACAAAATTGTTTGAGCTATGGCGCACTCTGGCAACCCATGCTTTCGTACTTATATTTTGCAGATCGTCCGCAACAAAACAATTCCTTTTACATGTAGACACACACGGCTCGTTGTAGTCTATTACCGCACCCTTTTGTATAGTCTCAGTAGCACCCCCCCTTTTTTTTCCTACCCTACCCCCCTGGAAAAAAATTTGTATTTCAATTGCAGTCAACCTTGTTTTCATAAAGCCCATTGACAATGTCATCACTGAATGTACCCCATTTACAACGGCTGAAGTCGAAAAGGGTGGTCCTTGCATCGGCATCGCCTCGAAGACGCGAGATCATTCGAAATCTTGTGAGCTTTTCTTTTTTGGGTTCATGTTCCTTTAGCCCAACCCTAACTGACTTTGAACAGGGTTTGAACTTCGATGTCGTTCCCAGCCTATTTCCAGAAAACTTGGATAAGTCCACCTTTCGTGAGCCTTCAGGCTATGTCTCAGAAACTTCAAAAGGAAAGGCCCTTGAAGTTTACCAACGACTGAAGGTGGCAACTCATTTACCATTGATGGGCATACAATCTGTTCGTGTCTTAGAACATGGATAGCACAACAGGGCTCATAATTCAATTATCGTACAACACACGCATTAACACAATTACGTTATCGTGCAGGATGAGAATTGTCCGGTAGATCTAGTCATCGGGTTGGACACGATCGTTGTCATCGATGATAGGATTTTAGAAAAGCCAGGAACTCCGGAAAATGCCTTGGCCATGCTAAAGAGCCTTCGGGGACGGATTCATTCCGTGTATACTGCTGTCACCTTCGTCTATCCTCACGAAGGTGGGTCGAAGGTCCGAAGCTTTGTAGAAGAGACTCAAGTTGAATTCGCAAACATTAGCGATCAAGTTCTTCAAGCATGTAATGGTGCTCGTGCTTTTTTAAAATTTTACATTGTGTTCCGACCTATCTGACTTTTTAAAACTAGATGTTGATACGGGAGAACCTTTGGATAAGGCTGGAGGATATGGTTATCAAGGTCTTGCATCATTTCTCATAAAAAAAATCAACGGCGATTACTGGAATGTGGTAGGGAACCTTAGCTGAAGGTTGTCTTTTGAAACCGAAACGTGCATGCTAACCATTCCTATTAATATCTAGGTTGGTTTACCTACCTGCCGTTTGTTCCAAGAATTAGAAACCCTATGCGAAGCTAACGAAATTTGATTGCCATGGATGGCCCCGTGAAAAATGCACGAACGATTTAGGGGACACCCCCAACTCGGTCGTCGTCAGTATATTTAGAAGAGGCTTAATAAACGTACAGACGCGTCGCTAAGGTTTCGGCTTTCTGCATGTAACCCAGCTGATTTCCATTTCCTCTCGAATTTGAACGCAATAACTCTGGCCCTATGACCGCGATCATCACCATGTCAAACCATACGTTCCCCCCCCCAAGGTATCACATGTAGTGGCACATAGATCGCCGTAGATTGCCCCTTCTTTTGGGTGCTGCTGAAATGGTCTGTGTGAGAATGATCGAGACGCTTAATTGTGTCTGGAAAATGCGCAGCACACGGGAAGAGGAGTTTCAAAGTTAACGATGTAATAGTTGGATTATGTTATGTATTACTATGAGTGCTGTTTGTATCTTCTCTGGGCTCGCAGTAGCTCTAAGGTTTTTTAGTAATAAACAGGTTGCTCTCTTCCTCGGTTCCAAATAAAGGCCGGCATGTTTGAACCGGAAAAAGTTTGCACTACTATTTGTTTTCTCATCACACAGTCTGACCGCCATCCAAATTGGTGAGTGGGTAAATTTTTTCCAAAGGAAAGGGACAGTGAATCTGTTTGTTGCATACTTTGCGTAAGCTATGCTGCATATTGGTGGTTTATTGATTGTGGATGTCCCTAACCCTACCGCTTTGCAATGGTCGGACAAGTTCGAATCTTGTCAAGAAAATAATTTCTCATACATGCCATGGCCTATTACACTATCCATATTGGTCAAAGCCTCATTTTTCAAAAAGTTCTTGACTATCTCCGTGGTTGTACCTGCTACTCGAACCATGACGCCATTTTCAACATGTCTCAGCCTGCTGAGACTCCAGATTAAATCTTTTGGTGCCTTAACTTGTCCGATCGACAGGCGATCAAATGCCTCTACACAAAGCTGTACTACCTGTGACAGCTTATTCTGGCCGGGCGCAATCATGATAAGTGTGGCGAAGCAGGTGTGTGGGTGAAGCCGTGAAGCGAATGAGGAGACAGGCATCCATTCCTTGTTTTCGTCTTCTAGCACAAGATTGTCTCTAATGAGAAGTCGCCCATCAAGCCTTATATCAATTTTACTTGCATATTTTTTGAAATGCCATTTTTCGCCTCTTGCTATTCGCCCGCTTGTAAACCAGTCCAATAGCACCAGTTGGGACGTGCTTGTGCCGTCCGATGTGAGGTGAATGTTTTGATACGAGGTATAGATAGAGTGTTTGAAAGAAGTGACCGGGTCCGGAAGGAGTAATAGTGTGCTGGTTGGTGAGACAAAAGCATCTATTGTTTGTGATGCTCCATCGATAACCGGTCCATCTCGCCCTGGTAATCGAGATATGGGGATACCCGCGGTTGCACTCTGTTCGCGATCCTTGAAGATCTTGGTACTGCCTTGCGTCATGAGTAACAGATTAGCATTCTTATTCAACTCAATCGTCATGTCTACTTCATCGCCAGACAGCATCCCACCACCATAGCTCAGAATGTAGGCTGCCGCGAGATTATCCACATGTGTACTGGTAGGAATGAATTTGAGAGGGTATTGTGCATGGCATCGCGTGAATTTCGTTGTTGTTCCAAACGAATTGCAGATAATGGATCCTGCTCCAGGTAGAAAATCAGCTATTGGAAGTGGCATTAACAGAGCATTCAGTTGAGATGAAGCCTTTTGCAAGCTTCACCCCGACGTGTTCTTTGTTTTGTCCGTCGGACTTACCGCACCTAGATAGATAAGCCTACCAAAGTTCTGTTTTGCATCTGAGAGTGCTTTAAAATCCGGACAAAGTAGTTATTGAAGGTATGATTCTGTGTTATTTGTGATGCGGAGGACACACTATTTCAGTTATACCTGTTATCGGAAGTGCCTGCTTTCCACTGCCCTACGATAAACAACTTTGCCATATCTTAGCATCTACATAACAGATAAATTTATATGAATAAACTTGCACGCTATAGCATGTCAGTTTAAACTGGGTAACGTTGATCACTCGAGCTGGTCAGTGCTTGTCCCAACCCCACTACTGCTTTATGACAGCTTCAACCAACCGAACGGTTAAAAGAAACAGTCATAACCTAGTGGCTTATACAACTCCGCCGCGCTCCAATTTTTTTCTCTCCTCATCGGTTCTCACTAAAGCTCCACTACTGTAACGCAACCTGATAACAAAATGGTATTGACAAGGGCCAGTGTAAAGAAAACAGACTTCTCTGAAACAGACTCGGAAGGAAAACAGTCAAAGATTGAGATTACCTCAACAAAAGAATTGTATGTTGAATCCGACGAAGATTCAGACGACGAAGCTCCAGAAGCCATTTCTACGTCAACTGCAAAATCCTCTGCATTGCAGACTGCACAGGCCAAACGAGAAGCTCAAGCAAAGTAAGTTTCAATATTCAAGAAATTTTTCTATTTCACTACAGTTTCAATGACCATATACACAATGCAGACTTGCTGCAGAAGAAAAGGAAAAACGACGACTAAGAGATCAGCGCTTAAAGGAGCAGAAGCAGACAAGCAAAAAAGCAACTAAATCAAAAAAGGAAGAAGTAAAAGATACGATTGATGAAGAGGCTGAAGCAGATAACGATACAGCTGAACCTGAGGCACCAAAGACCGGCGAATTGCCTAAACTTCTTCCCCAAGACTTCTTGCAGCAATATGCCAAAGAAGAAAAGGCTGAGAAGAAAAGAATGCACTTGTCGGCCAAGGATTTTGAGAGAATAGCCGAAGAAGAGGAGCTCAAGGAACAAAAGCAAAACAGTAAGAAGCGTCATTTGTCGCAAGGTCGTCAAGTTGGGTAAGTCATCAGAATAGTATAACCAGGTCATCTATATATCGCAATCACTCACACTATACCGTTATTGTCTCCACTTGCAGAGAATACACTGTCAAAGTACTTTCAAAACGACCAAAGCCTCAACCAATAGATCAGTCCTTGGTTGACTTCAGAAATCAACATTTCTCCCGCGTTGATATACCAAGACGAGATGGTAAGTTACTGTGACTTGGAATACTACGCTGAACAACGCAGACTGATTTTCAATCCTATCAGCTGTATTGAATGCTAGCCAAGGCCGAAAAGGTGGTGCAACTACATTTGCAAGAAGTGGAACGGTCAGTAACAAGCGGAAGTAATTGGGTCCCCGTTGGATGGCTTCTCCATTGCATGATTCCCCCCACGTCACACTTCATTTAGTACCATCATTAGGGCAATTGCTGAAACATAGAAATGCATTGGATTCAAAATAGAAAGCTGAAGCAAATCCAGACTGTATAAACTTTTTTGTAAATGTACAAGGAAAGAAAGGTGAAACGAAATAAATTGCATGATGATGATGGTGAAAAATGGCTCTAGGTTTGATTACGTTAAGAAGAACTCGAATTTATGACTTTTCTTTCTTGCTCTTCTTCTTTTCCTTTTTGTCTTTTTTCTCCTTATGGGATTTATCTTTCGTTGATGAGGACTTTGGAGCGGCTTCTTCAGTTGATGTGGTATCTTTTGTAGTTGGTGGTGATAGTAATGCTCCGGTGACGGTAAGAATATCGTTTGCACTCACCAAGCTATGTTATACATTTATTAGCATGATGTGACAAGGCCAACAAGAGATGTTATTGAATCAACTTACTTGACAACCGAGAATTCAAGGACACCATCATTCTGTCCAACTCCTTGGCCAGTAGCCTTGAGAACCCATTCACCAAATTCACTCTTCGTGTACTCGTATTGTTTCTCGGCTTCCTCCGATGAATTCTCTTCATCGCCTGATTCCTTCTCCTGCTCTTCCTCGGCTGCAGCACGCCATTCAAAATGGGTTTGCGAAATGTGTTCCCGGGGAATCGAAGCATTGAAAGTGCCGTAAATGAGAAGACCGATGTGATCAGGTGATTGCAAATTTATCTTGCCGGCTACAGAGAATAACGAGGGCTGTCAGTAAATTGTCGAAATAGCCAGATCTATCCAAATATGACACTGAACAAATGCATACCAAGCTTTTCACCCTTGTTTGGCTTCCACACCAGTAACTTTACTCGAATAAAGAAATGGGAGAATGGGCAATCATACATAACACGTCCGTCAGCTGTTTCCAACCGAAGACCTGAGTGAGCGACAACAACACCGTCAACTTCAGGAATGTATCTAAATCGACGGATTCCTATTAGTAAAAATTTGGCTGCAAATGATAACAGCAGTATTTTGACTTACTTCATCAAAAAAGCGTTAAGTTGCTCATTGATGCCTTCAATTGGCTTGCTGACCCACATGGGAGCCAAGTGAATGTACAATCTAATGGAGACTTCTGAAAATGCCGAGAATTCCGAGCTTGGAGTAGCGTTCAAAACGGTCATTCGCGACTTTTTAGAGGCAACATTGTCTCCATGGTCAGCGTGTTTACGCTTCTTAGCCTCCTGTTGAGCGTGCGGAGCCATCAAAGGTTTTTTTTTGTTAGGGTTCCCGTTAATTTTTTTTTTTTTTTCTAACAGTGAACTTGTACCGTGACTGCCTTTTCTTTGCGTCACCGTCTTAAAGAGACCCCGAGAGGCACGTCGCTTCACCTTTCACATTTACTGCAGTTTTATTGTCATGGATGAGCCCGATGAATCGACGCCAGTATCTTTCAAGGCGCTGAAAGAACGATGGCAAAAACAAGAATCCTCTGTTTCTCCGAAAAGTGTCGAGAATTCATCTCGTCAGTCGCCATTGAACACACCTCCGAAAGGCACCTATGGTGTCGCGGTGACTCCACCTTCCAAGAGTCCCGCTCCTCCAGTCTCTAAAACAGCACCTCGACCAGCGTCAGAGAATGCAAATGAACCTAGCAATAAGCCGCCAGTTCTTGATGCTAAGAGATCGGTTCCTGTAATAACACCCGAAATTCTTGCCAAGAAAGGTACTCCACCGCCTCCTCCTTCCATGGGCTTAGCACGACCATCTAAGCCGAAAGAGGACATCGATACAAACGTCAAACCTGCTCAAATGGTGAAAACGGACGAAATCGATAATGAACCACCAAAGAGAGTGTCTATGCTAAGCCAACAGTTTGAAGTTACTTCTTTGCAGTCACAGCAACGCAACGGAACATTTACCTATAAATCCGTGCCAACTCCCAAAGAGGCTGTTTTAGTCTCAAAGCCGCCAAAATCGCAACCCGAAGACATTTTTGAAAGGCCTGCAGAAGCATCACATCGGCATCCTAGCTTTGACCCTCGTGTCGACTCGGGAACTTTAAAGACAGTCATGTCTCCTGAACAACTGGTGGATAAAGCTAGCGACAACAGTAACGAATTTCCATCTCCTTTTGACGAAGAGCTCGACAGTGATGAAGATAGCGACGAAGAAGATGAAGAAGAAGAGGAAGAAGAGGAGGAGGGCATAAATGAAGGATATCGAGTCGGTTATGATTCGGGTTTCGGTGGTATACATGCCCATTATTCTCAATCACCCAAACATACTAGCGTCAAACAAAAGCGAGCACCACCTCCCCCTCCACCCAGTCGTCGAACAAGAATTGCTCAGCTTCACCAAAATCCTGAAGCATCTCCTCTTCAAAGCTCACAACCCTCTTCGCAAGTGCAGGACACTCTACGTCATATACCCGTAAAGCCGATGCTTACCGACCAACCAACCAAACCACCACGCCTAGATGCTGCTGCAACCGAAAAGCCACCAGTGTCACTGGATCATAATAGATCTATGCACATTTTGGAACAGCCAGCCCCTCTTTTACCTCCCCGACCTATTCTAGCGAACCGCACACACAATGATTTCGAAGCTGTGGATCCAACTATCATGAGCAACATCAGACAATCCCCAAAACCTCTTGCTAGAGCCAGAACCATCGGTGCTGGTAGCCTAGATGCTGCACCACCTTTACCAACTCGACCTATGGACTCTAGAGCTTCGTCTATCAGTCGATCTTCAACCATACACAGCTCAACTGACTCGCGAACCCTTGGCACTAGCGAAGGTTCATTGTCCGACCAATCTTCTCCTGGTCTCCGACGAAGCCAGACCATAGCTCGAACTGAGCGTCTACTAGGCGCCAAGATATACCCTGATCATGCCAATGCTAATCGCAGTCCACCTTATATCCATGGAAGTCCACTGACCGTCCACCACCGTGGTCCTGTTAAACTTTTTGCCATATCGGGACAACATGTCATTACAGGGACCCAAAACACTAGGATTTATAACGCTAGCACGGGCATCAACACTGCCACAATCGATCACACAGCATCGAACGATATCAACAATCGTGTCTGCTCTATGGCCTTTCCTCCATCTCTCTCTTTTGCAGACGAAGGGCGCTACTTGTGGCTTGGTATGCAAGATGGAGCCATCCTGGTGGTCGACGTTCTCAAGGGTGATATCATCGGTAAGCGAACGGATGTCCATAGTGCGCCCATCACCAACATGCTACGATACGGAAACGAAGAGATCTGGACCATCGACGATGCTGGCCATATGAACGCATGGCCCGTCATTAAAGGCAGCAGAGGGCATACGAATCATCCTCTTGAAATTCACCCTCGTCGTGAGCATGTATCCAGCAAATTGAATTTTGCGATTATTGTCGAACAGCAGCTTTGGATGGCATCTGGGCGGGTTTTGGATGTATACGATGTCAAGCTTTCGGGTGGCTCTACGAATAGGATCCATACACGCGTTCCAAATAACGTCGGCAATGTTACGCAACTCGCTGCTGTCCCCTACCACCGAGACAAGGTGTTTGTCGGCCATGACGACGGAAAAGTCACGGTTTGGGACACCGCTACATTGGAAATCACTCAGACTATTTCGCTTTCAATCTACGGCGTCTCTTGTATGCAAGCCGTTGGCGAATACTACCTCTGGGCTGGCTACAACACGGGTATGATCTACGTATATGACACCCGGCCCGAACGATGGGAAGTTGTCAAGATGTGGAAAGGCCACGGCGCTCAAGTCCTTCATATGCTTCTGGACGAAACTCCCTTGGTCAAGGATAATGATTTGATTCAAGTGGCGAGTCTAGACGGCAATGGCACGATCCAGATTTGGGATGGATTATTAAGTGATAATTGGCGAGGTAAATATGCCCGTAAAAGAAACAAAAAAATTTGAGTTTATGAGTTAATATGGGGTTATTTTTACCAGATCAAGCCATGAACAAGCGGATGAAGGAATACTGTGATTACCGAGACGCCAAGATTTTAATATCGTCATGGAATATCGACGCCAACAAGCCTGAAAAATTCGATGCTCAGGATGAACAGAAGATAAGAGAATGGCTGACCAGCTTACGTGACCCAGATATCATTGTCGTGGGCATTCAAGAAATTGTAGACTTAGAGTCCAAGAAGCAAACTGCCAGTAAGTTGGGAACATAACGAGAGTACAACACCACCTTTCTCATATTTTCTAATCCCCACCGTTAAGAATCGTTCTTCAGCACCAAGAAAAAATCAAGCGTACCGATGGAGGAGGAGGAAATGTTGACCCATCGGTATCGACTCTGGCACAATTATTTAGTTCATGTGCTGGCTACAGAATATGGCCAAGATTGCTACACCGTGGTCAAAACTGAGCAATTGGTTGGCCTGTTCAGCTGTATCTTTGTACGGACCAGTGAAGCTGGCCGTGTCTTTGACAAACATTCGACGGTGGTCAAAACTGGCTTAAAAGTCATGAGTAAGAGCATACACGGTAACAAGGGAGGTATCGCCATTCGCTTCCTGTTCGATCACACCTCCATGTGCTTTGTGAATTGCCATCTTGCTGCCGGGCAAACCCACGTCCGTCAGCGAAATTCAGACGCCGAAGGAATTTTACAATTGGCCAGCTTGGAACCATTACCCCAATATTACGACGTATTTGTCAATGGCGGCGACGGTGCTTTCGTGTTAGACCATGAACTCTGTTTCATGAGTGGCGATTTCAACTACCGTATTGACATGGGCCGGGAGCAGGTCATCAAGCTTTTGTCAAGCCCCAACAAAGACGCTGCGTATGCCACGCTTCAAGCCGAAGATCAATTACGCAAACAAAAAATCGTCTACCCTCTGTTCAAGCTGCTCCTCTTCCAAGAAGCTCCCATACGGTTCGATCCAACCTACAAGTACGACCCAGGTACCGACTTCTATGACCGGTCAGAGAAGAAACGCATACCTGCGTGGTGTGATCGTATCCTATACCGTGGACCGGATATCAAGAGCGAATACTATAGGCGCCACGAAGCTCGCGCATCCGATCATCGACCCATCAGCTCAGGGTTCCTTGTCAAAGTTAAAACCATCGATGATCAACGGAGGGATCGGATTATGGAGAAGGTGGAATTGGCATGGCATCAGACACTGGAAAAATTAATCCAGAAGAAAAAATTAGATTGGCTGATGGCGTATGGAGTATATAACCAGTATGAAGCGCAGCAAGAGCTTGCGTCAGCTAATTGGAATATGATGGAAGCACTTCAAACTTAACCGGCTTACAGAAAAAAGCATCGTATGCCTAATTTGGTACAATCACTCAAAACGGACTCTCCGTCCATTTAGATCCAAAGTATAACCCCTTCCCACTTTTTATATAGTAGACCGCTATCAAATGAAGACCCAGAGAATGTAGAAATAAACATCATAAATAATATGGCATGAACCACCGCTCCATCCGCTGTTCGAAACATAGACTGGGATTCGCCAGGAGGGCCGCTGTTTTGTCCGTTTCCAAATTGGGCGGAGGATCACCGAACTCTATAGTAGCAGTCAAGTATATAAAACCCTCATCATCGGTTTCAGGTTTTCCCTTCACTCTCATTATGTCTCTCAACAAAGTCTTCAAGCTGTAAGTTCCTGTCCTCACATAAACCGTCCGTCATGCACTTCTTCTGACCCTCATCTATAGCAACACCGGCGCCTCTATCCCTGCCATCGGTTTGGGAACTTGGCAATCCAAGCCCGAAGAAGTCTACAACGCTGTCAAGACTGCTATCAACGCTGGCTACCGTCATATTGATACTGCCTATGCTGTAAGTTTTTTCTCGAGACGACAAGTGGATAGGATATATGGCTGACCTTTGTTTACATAGTATGGCAACGAAGATGCCGTTGGCAGAGGTATCAAGGACGGTTTGAAGGAGGCTGGTCTCAAGCGTGAGGATGTCTTCGTCACCACCAAGTTGTGGTCCACCTTCCATCGTCCCGCCGATGTCCAGAAGGGTATTGATGAATCCTTGGCCAGCCTTGGTTTGGACTACCTCGATCTTTATCTCATGCACTGGTAAGTGGATTTAGTCGCCATCATGGGTATAGTATGACGTGCTCATCCGTCTCCATCCATAGGCCCGTTGCCTTGACCCCAGGAAAGGGCAGTCTCTTCCCTCGCCACGAGGATGGTACCCGCGATCTCGATGCTGAGATCAACGGTGACTTCACCATCACCTACGGCGCCATGGAAAAGCTCCTTGAGTCCGGCAAGACCAAGGCCATTGGTGTTTCCAACTTCTCCACTCACAACTTGGACGTCTTGCTTAAGTCTGCCAAGGTCGTTCCCGCCGTTAACCAAGTAGAACTTCATCGTAAGTCATTAAATGTGGAGTTTCGGACTAAATAACTCGGGGACTAACTGGTTGTCATTTTTTTTTAGCCTACCTTCCCCAAACCAAGCTCCTCGAGTACTGCACTGCCAAGGGTATCCATCTTACTGCTTACTCTCCTCTTGGATCCACTGACTCTCCCCTTCAAAAGGAGCCTGTTCTTATTGAGATTGCCGAGAAAAACAACAAGTCGGTGGCTCAGACTTTGATTTCATGGGCCGTTCAACGCGGTACTAGCGTTTTGCCCAAGAGTGTCACCCCCAGCGTAAGTTCGGTTTTTGAAATGTTGGCCCTGCTCCGATAAATTTTTTTTTTTCTCACTGCTAACCCTTCCCTTTCAACAGCGCATTGAGGCCAACTTCCAGGATTACAAGCTCTCTGATGAAGACTTTGCCAAAATCAACGAGATCTCATCCAAGCACAGCCAGCGTCTTGTTTCGCCCGATTGGGGTGTCACTGTCTTCCACGACGACCAATAAGTAGATGGAAATTGTTACATATTAAAAAAAGAGATCCAAGATTTTACAGTATAAATAAACCCCCCAATTCACACATCCATAAACCCGCCTTCAGTTCCTTCAAAATGTTGAGCTCATCGACACAGATATGTGGTTAGATAAAAGACTCCCAGGTTAATACTGGTGTTCTTTGCACATGGTTAGAGATGACTGCCATTTTCACGTGCAGGTACCGATTTGATGCGTTTAACCTAACAAAGCGAGTGCATACGGAAATAGCCCAACTTGCAGGCTCTACCATGTCTCGAGATTCGACATCAATGATCACTGAACATAAACAACAGCCAATGGAACGAGCCCAAGTCACTGCATTGCTCGACCACATTCCCAAAGTCCATTGGGCACCGCTTCGTGGGATCCCTTTAAAACGTCGCTTACAGACCTTGGCTATCGTTACATGGCTGGCTTTACTTCCTATCTGTCTCATCATATACCTGTATCTATTCACCTTTCCCTTATTATGGCCGATGCTCATTATGTATACGATATGGCTGTTCTTCGACAAAGCCCCTGAAAACGGAGGCAGACGAATTTCACTGGTGAGGAAACTGCCACTGTGGAAGCATTTTGCCAAATATTTCCCAGTCACTTTGATCAAGGTAGGCATGCGATATTGCATCTAGGGACGGAGTAGCTCTCTGCATGAATGTATGTTCGCTAATATATGGCCCCCCCCCCGCAGGAAGGAGAACTCGACCCCAAGGGAAACTATATTATGTCATATCACCCTCATGGAATCATATCCATGGCGGCTTTCGCCAATTTTGCGACGGAGGCGACTGGCTTTTCCGAGCAGTATCCGGGCATTGTTCCTTCATTACTGACACTAGCCTCCAACTTTCGGTTACCTTTGTACCGAGATTTCATGATGTCTCTAGGCATGTGCTCGGTTTCTCGACACTCTTGTGAAGCTATTCTTCGTTCGGGTCCTGGTCGGTCTATTGTAATTGTCACAGGCGGAGCTTCAGAATCCCTTAGCGCACGACCTGGTACCAACGACCTTACACTTAAGAAGCGACTGGGCTTCATCCGACTCGCCATCCGAAATGGTGCCAGTTTAGTGCCTATCTTTTCATTTGGAGAGAACGACATTTATGAGCAATATGATAACAAGAAGGGAAGTTTGTTATGGCGATATCAAAAATGGTTCCAAAAAATTACTGGATTTACGGTTCCTTTGGCTCATGCGCGCGGCATTTTCAACTGTGAGTGCTGGAGTATCTCTGGTTTCTTTTTTAAAAAAGAAAAAATTGGGGCTAGGGAGAGTGCTATAGAAAAGACAGATTGTACTAATACGCGCACTTGCCTTGACTTGTAGACAATGCTGGGTTCATACCATTCCGACATCCGATAGTGACAGTTGGTAAAGTTGACATACCAACCCTTGTGCTGTAACGCCATGCAATAGTATCCTTGCTGATCGTTTCTTTTCTAGTTGGTAAACCTATTGCTGTCCCCCTCTTACCTGAAGGCGAAAGCGAGCCTAGCGAGGAACAATTGCGTCAAGTTCAAGCAATGTACATTGAAAGCCTGCAAGCTATTTATGATAAATACAAAGATACCTATGCTAAGGATAGAATAAAAGAAATGACCATAATTGCATAATAAACCTCCGCGGCAATGCCTTTTTCGACAACTGCCACACACCCAACCCAACCGATTAAGGTTGTGCTGTGAGACACTTTCTACAATTCTAGGTCCTACAAGTACGCGAATTCAACTATGACGAACGCCATTATGCAACTATGTGCGACTGGCAACGGAGATCCAGTTACTATCCCACAGACAGTGCTTGGAGGGATGGATAGATTTTTTAGGAGAAGGCGCGTCGCATGGTACGGCAATAATAGGCTGGCTCACCCCTTTCAGTGGTGGCCCGTCTTGGGCTAGACAGCCTACCGCAGCTGAAAGTAAGCCATGGTAACAACAACATAACAAGGAACTTCGCTGTTACATATTTGTTAGCAACCTGGAGACACAAAATATGAGACAAAGTTTACAGCGAGGTCACAAAGCTGCACACCACTTGGCAGAAAACAGCAACCGCCACAGTACTACCCAGTCATTTCTACGTGTTTACTTTTTTTTCCCCCTCATTTTGATGATCGGGAAGTGGTGAAGATTGGGAAATGATGTGTTTAATTGCAATTTACACACTCCACCCCCTTAGACTGTTTGACGAAGTAGAAATTTCTAAAGGCCACTCACTCCCAGGTTACTCAAAACGTTCTCGATTACGCGGAGTAAATGAGGCGCAGACTGGGAGCGTGTGTGATCAATGCTACCTAAATACAAGATGCGTGTTACATATAGGCGGACCAGCCTATTTACAGGCATTGATCATGGTCTGTGCCGGCCCATCCTTATTTTAAAAAGAAAAGACTAAAAAAAAAAAGTCCCACAGCTACCTTCTTTTTGTTCACCTTCAACTCACTCGTGTATTGATCTTCTATGAGTCTGTCAATATTGATATTTCCAGACACGTACGAGGTCCAAGTACCGTATATATCATCAAGATGTCCGTTAGAGACTCCTCCTAAACTCACGGGCAAAATTTGTATCGTATCGTCTCGTGCATTTGAGTGTCAGTCCATCGAACTGGAGTTGAGAGGAGACCTGCTGGTAGACCACCAAACCTCATTTGACGTTCTTAATAACCTTATTGAAGGACTACCACCGCCGATAACGCTCCTACACCATGATGTCGAGCTCTCCACACATAAATTCGAAAAAGGGCATACCATTGTCGAGTTTTCCATGCCATTATCAAAAAAATTGCCGCCGTCGTACGAAGGATTATTTGTGGTAAGTGAATATGGGCTACAACGCCGAAACAGCTCGGCATCTGTGCGGACCCGACACATTTGGCTAACGATCATGTTTACATTGCATTTTTTTATTTCCATCATCAGTTTATCCAATACACACTGACCGCCAAAATGAAATGTAAGAAATGGATGACATCGGCTAGTATCAAAAGCGCATCCTGCAGTCTGAAGTTCAATACTACTTCTTCGCTGGACAGTTTCCCTTTGCGAAGTCATGAATGTAGTATACCAGACACGTTATCCACGAAAGTGATGATACCATCAGCAGCCGTGGCGGGGGGTGATAAGATTCCAATTCAGATGGTGGTTCATCAGGGAACTCCGGTGCATCAAAGCATTAAGGTCCAGATATGGCAGATAGAGAAATCTTCAAGCTTTGTATCAGGGCCAAAGCGGAAGTATCGACTGCAATATGAAACGTCCACCTCCATCGCAACGTTACAGAATATCTTTTACCTACGCGTTCCTTCCAACCTTGCCTCTGCGTTCAAAGTGGAATCCAATGCCGCAAAGGCAGAGGTCTACCATATTATTAAGTTCATTATGGATTGTACTGCCATTGACGCTCCCGTCTGCGTTGATGTGCCGATAAAGATCGTTGGCGTCTCCTCGTCACCGGTAAACCATGGCGACCATTCCAACCATGATCGACTGCCCGTATACCAGGAGAGAGATGAAACTCTGCCGACGTATGAATGGTGCTCGACTGAAGAACCATTCACCAACCCCCAAATCTCTTCCCGGTCATGAAACCGTATTCCCCTTTCACCATCATACCACATCAAATCACGACAGCCAGCCTGTTTTTGTACACAACTTTATGAAGCGACATCAAGCTTTAGAGCAAAGTCTGGTCTCTGCTCTGCTCTTGTTTTTTTTTTTTTCTCAACTTATCACAACTTGGTCTTAATAAACAACTAAATAAAAACCCCTCTCGCTTTGCTAAAGCATTCTGTTTCCTGTCGAAATCCTTTCGACATTTATTAAAGGTAGTATGCTTAGGCTGTATGCATAGAACCAATAAGAGGTAACATGTGCCATGAAGAAAATAGGCCCATACCACTCGTTGCACTAATGTAACACGCAACCTACTCATCTTAAAAAAAAAAAAAAGCAAAATCTACGTGTGGAAATAAGAAGCGGGATAAGCTCGCAAAAGTTCAGAATGCCCAGGTTGGATTATCGGCGCTCTTTGACAAAGAGTTGAAGCCAAACAAATGCAAATACAATGAAGCTACCAAACATGATGCTCAACTTGATGACATCCGACCAGTAATTTTTGGCATTGAACCCGAATGTAGAAAGGATGGTAGCACCAGGAACCTATTAACCACGAGAAAAGAATAATTAGCAATGATCAAAGAGTACACATCGATGGGAAAGAAACCCAGCAACTCACATCAATACTTAAACCAAAGCGTTCTTCAACAAGTTGTAGGTAGATGAGTTCGTTCACCAAGAGTGCCTCTAGGGCATACTGGAAGAATGATAGATACTTGAGCCAAGCAAAATACGGTGACATGGAATCTAGATCATGTTACAATACTCGTTAGGTCTGATATAGCCAAGCAGTTGTCATGGAGAAGTTCACACGTACCTTTGTTCAACAAAAGACCAGCAAACAACATGGAGAAGAGCATCACCATACTGCTGAGGAGATTGGCCATGGAGAGATCCTTGAATACGACACCAATAGCCAAGCACACAGCTGCAGCCGTCAAATTGAAGAGAATCAAAACCAGCAAGAACTTTAACAATTCGGTTGTTCCATCCACTAATCCGATCATGTGGTATGAGATGAGTCCGATCATCAACGGTGGGACCACTCGCAGAGGAATGATATCAAACAGAACCTAATAGGGAGATATCAACATCAGCGACACACATCAAGCGAAAATTTGCACACAAGTCATTCCTGACCTTAGAGAGGAAATAGGTGACAGGGGAATAGTAACCATTAGCGCGCTCTCGAACAAACAAGATACGCTCAGAAGAAAACACTTGAAGCGAGGTTAAGCACATGAAGCCAAGCAAAGCTTCAAAGAAGAAAAACAAGCCCATTCTGTTTTGGAAGCCGGCAATGGTATTTTCGACCTTATAAAACAGACCACCGCATAGCACTAAACCAGGTGATTCGCATTGTTAGACTCTATCATTCACCTGAAGTCCACTATAAAAATAAAAATAAAAAGGCACATCACTTACAAGCTATGACAACGGCAATTGTGTAGTGAGCGAACATAAGCATGGGGTTGCGATACAGGTTCTTAAACGTTCGGTCAGCCAGAATACGGAATTGCGTAAACCAGTGAGGTCGCTCATGGGATGAGACCACCTTGATATTATTCGGTGCGAGCGGCACGGCTGGATCTTCATCTTGAGTTGCTCTAAAACGCATTGTTAACATTTGTAGTCAACAGAATACAAATCATGTCAACACCTCTCACCTCGACAAAGCTCTTTCAATATCATCCTGTACAGCTACGGCAACCACGCTCTTTTCATAAGCTTCAATCAATTGCGTCAAATGTGGGCTGACGACATTCTTGTCGGTACCAGCAATGCTCGATGCAGGACTGCTTCCTTCTCCAGCCTCGACAATAACATCCGCATTGGCAGCAGCATTCAAGTTGTTGAGCAACCTTTCGTTTCTCAGTCTTGTTTGTCGTGATCCTAATTCCGACGCCCACTCTGCATTGGGATTTTCCATGGTATCGCCAACCGATGTACTTTGGACAAGACCTGCTTGCGGAGTATAAAGCGCAGCTTCTTGCTCTTCACGCAGCGATGATTGTCGTCTTGGCGTAGGTCGATTGGCAGCTTGAACAGAGGTGGAAATACCGGTAGCTTGATCACCGGTGAACTTGGTAGCATTGGTGGCATGCATGGTAAGATCAACCAAGTAATCGGCGATATTGAAACCAGGAGGACAATCATGGCCAACGCTCTTGAAGTAAGATTGAACACGTATCTGGGGACCAGAGAAAACAACATGACCCTTGGCAAGCAAGAGCAAGTGGTCGAACAAGGCGACAATATTTGAACGAGGCTGATGAATGGTGAAAATAACCGTTCGATTGTAATCTCTGGCAAGTGTGACCAATGACTCTACAACATTGTAGGCATTGTATGCGTCCAAACCACTGGTAGGTTCATCCAAGAAGAGAATGGAAGGAGAGGTGACAAGTTCGCAGGCGATGGCCACACGACGTCGCTCACCACCGCTAATGGATCTCGATCCAGAAGATCCTATTTTTGAGTCCTTGATACCATCTATACCAAGTTCTTGGAGAGTTTCCATGACACGGAACTTCTTGGCGGCAGTGCTCATTGTTCTTGGCAGTCGCAAAAGAGCCGAGTACAACACTGTCTCGTAGACCGTCAAAGTCGGGATCATTGTATCTTCTTGATCGACATAGCCAATGACTTTCTTGTACTGCGAATTGGGAATGACATGTCCATTCACATAAATTTGTCCTCCAACCGTTCCGCTCTTGGTTCTTTTGGCCAGAATATCCAGAAGACTGGTCTTACCAGCTCCTGAAGCTCCCATGATGGCCATGACCTGACCAGGGTTAACAATACCAGTGACACCATTTAGAATCTTTTGCTTATTTACGCCATAGGTGATGTTTTCGAAAATGAGAGTAGCCGGGATATGTTCATGCATGAGCTTTCCGGCTTCATCGTCATCCAACTTGATGTACCCGCTTGAGCTATTTTTCTTGGCAAAGTACCAGACGCCTAGCCCGGTCAACAGGAGGAAAACAGCAACACCACTGAGTCCAATAATGAATGCAATCCAATTGGTAGGTCGTTCAGGTCTTTCGAATCCAGGCACGAAGGTATAATGAAGACATTCTCCAGAAGAACATGACAAAAAGATGGAGTCATCACCGAACACAGCAGATATAAGGTCATCCATGGCAGGTTCTAGAGAAAAGACGCATCAGTTAATGCGATAGCAAAGTTATAGGAGTATTAGATTATAACATACCTGAGAATGCACAGTCGCCATTAGTGCATTTGAAGGTAGCAGGACCTTGGATTTCATCCTTCAGCAAATCGGTCAGATCTGTGTTGCATGGAAGAAGTAAAAAAAAGGGGATGTAACGTCAATATCGTACTCATGCAACAGGCAATTTTCCACATTGCTGAAAGACACTCACCAATACTTCCATCTTTGCCGCACAACATTTCATCCGGCATGCATCGACAGTCTATTTTCTTGCACTCGTAATTAGTCATATTGCGGTCGTAATCGTACTCTGGAAGTGACAACATTGGGAAGTGTAAGTAACCATGAAAGTAGAAATTGAGCCATGACAGTCAGTCAGACAGGATCGTCACTGGCCATACCTTGGTCAAAGACACATTCGTCCAAGTGACAATAGAAAGATTCTACTTCATCTACCCAAACTGCGCAAAAAAAAAAATTTAGTTACTGACCACTGCAACATAACTGTACTATATATCATTTAAAAATGGCTTACACTGGAAATCGCAATCATTATGATTTTTGTTGCAGGAAAACGTAACCTGAGGTAGCTGGCCTTTCAGTGTTTCTAATATCTTTCTGTCTGTGGAACACACCCATCGATTATCAGAAGCAAGCAAGCAAGTAAAGCACCGGTAAAACTTTACTTACTGGTTACATTGCACATTTGATGGTTCTCAAACACGGTCAAACCGCCTCTATAGCACGTTCCGTTACGACCGGTAGGTACGAGAGAATCGCAGACGTTATCGGTGGTACACACTGCGGCGCCAGATAAAGCAATTAGTAACAAAGGACACAGACACGATATGATGTAATGAAGAGAAAAAAATGTTGATGGCCTTACCATTACAATTGATTCCTTCCCAACCTTCAGGACATTCACAGTGATCACCTCTTCTAGGGTCACGCTCCCTTCCATCGGATAAAGCACCACACACTAGCAAAAAGATATCGGAGTCAAAAACCACGGTGTCGGGGAATGCAACGATAGCCATGACGCTATTTACTCACGAGGTTCTTTGCAGTCGTCTCCTCCAAATCCAGGGGGACACTGTTGAATTCAAAGTGAGTGAGCTTCGTGCAATGGACGGTAATGGAGTCGGCATTCAGCTGAGTCCTTTCGGAACTTGCCCCTGCTTACCTTGCACTTTCCGTCGTACTCAGAACAGTTAGCGAAATGCTTGCACTCGAATGCTGGAAGCATGCAGTTGAAGCAAGGAGGACAGTCTTTATCACCGTTTCCCAAGTTCTCTAGGTACCATGGCGCAGGAGACTGCTTGGCACTTGGGTGGAATGGGTGTGGTAGGAGGTCAGTTTTATACATGGAGAAATCCAAATCGTCTATTCGGCTCTCCTGTCCTGCTGCTACAGCCACGAAGGCAGCAGCAAGAACTAGTTCGCCAACCAATAGTCGCATTTTGAAAGCGAGCAATAAGTTGAGGAAGTGCAAAACGTCCGATTTCATATCCAGGTTGCCAAGTGACTTGAAATCTAAATCAGGTGATCCGTCAAGTGAGCAATTGCGTCTGAGCTCAACGTTTGGTAATGGTTCCTGGATGGCTGCCTTTAAACTCCCTTTTGATTGGAGGAACTGCGTACTGCCTGAATAGCTTTGCTAGGCTCAGTCAATGAAAAATATGTCGCTGATATTATCCTTCTACATGGTAATGCATGCTATATCTCGGGTACCTTAGAAACTTTGTCAAGCGATACATAAACACCGGTACAGCCGTTGCTCGTAAGGGACTCGGCCAGAAGTCGAACATATAGAAGGGCTATAAAATCGATAAATAGAGGATAAATAATTTCAGCTTTAGCGGTTCGCAGCTGCATTATAGAGCAAACGCTGCTTGGCTCGCTTGTATAGCAAGATTGATAAAGAAATAATTGTATTTTGCACGTATAGAGTTTACATGTCAACATTTTTCTACCCTCTACGAGGACTTTGACTGTTGATAAAGAGCAGTGTATAAAAAATTCATGGTACAATTCATGGTACAATCAAGTAAGCTGCGATATGCACTGACTCAAAATTGATCGAGTTAAAGGGGAAGCACCCTTGCAAAAAGTTTTGGTCATTTCGGAGATTCAAGTCTATGTTGTCTACGAAAAAATCTTTTCATTATGGAGGGAGTTATATTGCTTTCAAAGAAGCTATAGCGAAATACATTTTGGATTATGGCATTGCTTCATTTTTCAGAATTTTTTTATTCATAGTCTGTAGTATATGATCGATTAGCGCCTATTTTATCTATCTTAACGAGTTGAGATTCTTCTAAATGCATCAGCCACGCCGTTGAACGAGCATGGCCCGACGTAATTTGCTGTAAAGCCTACAGACCTTTCGTTATATTTTCAAATTAAAGGAATCAAAACAGACCAGAAGTATATTTGTATCTTACCTTTATCCATCATTGAGAAGGTGAAATTCAGAGTTTGGAATTTTTAAAGTTTTACATTTCTCATTATTATAGTCATTTCATCAATAACCTCATAGTACCCTCAATCAATGAATTATTGAAGAGAATATGAACGACATAATTAATAAAATATCCACAAAATCCTGCAATCATGGAAAACGATAATAGATGCAAACATGGAACTCGATCGATGCCTTACAGCAAATAAATTACCTATACAAGCATTTTTTGGGCGAGTGAGCTGTAACTGCGGCGGAGTATTTCGTAGACTTGAACCTTGAAATCTGCACTTTCTACTACCATCCAAATGTAAGACCGGCACAATATTTGAAAATTGCATACTGCTGCCATATCTCAATTCCTTGGTCAGTAGCTTGCCCTAGATGCATTCAAAATAGATTGTAACATCTTAGCAGGCCATCGCAGACTTCTGTTGGCTTGTTTTCGCGGCGCCACAGTCGGGGATCCTCAACAAAGGCTCCAGGCCAGACTGAAAGCATTGTGGAAACAATTCACTTATCATACACGCCATCGACTGAGAGCATACGTAATTTCCCGTATTTTCAAAGCTCGTTTCATGACCTTGCTCATGAAGTGCTACGCTGCCAACGTTCCAGTTAACCATAACCAAGATACAGGTAACACGTCGTTCTGCGTTGCAGACCGCAGGTACGAATCAAAGAGTGTGGTTGAATAGTATGGGTACTGAGAAACTGTACGTAAGGGGCTGGAACTGTCCTCGTGATCAGCCAGCCGAGGAAGGAAAGCATGGCGTTACTCTCAAGCCTTTTTGGAGATCCAAGTTTTTTACTGATATTTAAAACGTGTTAACCCTGAGCTGCGACTTGAGGCTGAGATATTGGACTTTCTCACAATGTTCATACTGAATACAGCCTTCGCCAAAGTCTACCGATGCTGGATGTGCGAATGGGGTTAACGTATATAAAATTAGAACTATATTGACCAAACCATAAATGGGCTTTAGGGATTTTCGTATGACTTTACAGCCGGGGAAACATCATATCGTCTTCCAGCTTGTATTTATTTGTGACATTCACAAAGTTTGCAAATCGAGATCCCTAATTGCTAGCAAGTTTCTTGCCTGAAGATGCAAAGACATTACGATGATCATGACAGCTCTTCGGCGTTGCGGCTGTCTATCATGACTGGCACTTCCGATGGCAACGCCGGGGATCAAAACGACGAAGAAGTCGTAGAAAAAATTACTAAGGCTAGGAATATAGGAGACCTATTACCTATGATTGCCATCCTTCTGGTGCTGGTTCTTGCCACTGGCATTGTGATTGCCTTGCACTTTGCATCGACAATGATTGGAAAAATACTTGAAGAAGCTGAGGGTCCTATAAAGCTACCATGGTGGAACACCCACCTAGCTATGGTGGTCTCCATTTGCATAAGTAGCTTACTGGGAGGGCTGGGACTGTATCTACGAATGAAGAAAACCGATGTGATCCTTTCCACCTTACTCAGGAAAGATGGCACACGTGGAGATGTGTTCCTGGATTTGATGGATGGATGGTTCACGAGCGTTCGGGCGCTGCTCACCTTTGACAGCCCATTTGGTGCCAGTCTGTTTATCTTTGCTGTCATTTTACTCCAATTCACTCCTGCCTTTTCTGGGTTATGCGTCTCCACCACCGAAGCCATGTGGCAAAGAGCCGCCAACTTGGTCGTCACAGACCTCACACCCATCACTATGGGGGCCATTGGACAGTTACAGTTCTCTACAGCTGTAAGCAACCTAGAACGAGTGTTCTTCAGGAGACAAATCTTTCCAACCAATTTTATTAGCCCTGCTAATGATATCGCATCTGCCAATAACTTCGATAATGCCTCTCTTACCGCTTTTAAAGTGACCCCTATCTGCCAATTGGTACAAACCAATTTTGTCACGAATGTTTACTATGTCAATCTCAACTACGTAGATTTGAATGTTCTTTCTCTGAAAGGAAACATGGTGACAGCTGGCATGCAGGCAGGGCAAATTAATAATGGGGTTATCACCGGAGCCAATCTTTATTGGCGGCAGTATTTTCTCAAGAAGGCATACAACTATGGAACGTACCCGAATGGAAGTATGGATTTTGTGGACCAAGTGGTAGTGCTTGTAAATAATACCATTCCAGAAAATTCGCAATCTAATTTTACTCAAATACGAGCATGGACTTGCCGTGTCAATATCGAAAGTTTTGTGGTGGCCATCGACAATACGACTAGGCAAAGCGGAGGAGTGTATATAACCGAACCAAGCATTATACAACGGGGCCCAAATCCGTCCAGAGCAATATACCCTGTTAATGGTCAAGGCTTGATAAATGGAAATGTAACTGCCGGGCAATTTTTGGGATTAGCTCCCTTTTTGAGCGGCGGTATAGCCATCACCAGGGCCTTAGGGTATCAAGGCTACCTTAGACACTTTGATACCAATGGAGTCGGAACCAATCTTACGGCCCACGATTTATCTTTGCATCTAGGTGATATCGCTTTGACGTTACAATTACTGTCTATCACTGGTGAAAGAGCCAATACGACTGCCTTCAGAAATGGAACCACCGCCTATACCACCATCAACATCGAAGGAGCGGCAAGTTTGCTATCTGTTGCCTGGGGGTTGTGTCTTCTTCTGTTAGCTGGTATGTGGTCATCACAAAGACTCCGGTGGTCAGCCTCGGGATCATCGGTTGCTGTACTCTCCATGGCAGCTACAAAATCCTTTTCCGAAGCGGTACAACCGTATAGTTTCGGAGACTGGTCAGGCATGAGACAAAATATAGGCCATTCCAGATGGCGGCTGGGGAAAATATACTCTTCAGATGGCAAAGGGCAGCAATATGGATTCACCAATTCACCTTTCTCAGATTGAAACATACGGGCATTTGCGGGCTTGTGGCGTTGTGCAAGGTGCCTTTATTCATGGTTTATACCCTTATCGTAATTATTTTATACCTATCCGCTTTTTTTATAGATAAAGAATATTTCGTCTTCCGACACATTTTATCAGCTGTATAAAGGCAGCCGCCGCTAAACCTGTCAATGCTTTTTTGAATTGTCTGCACTTTCTTACTTCATCATGCCTAGCCCATCTTCAACACAAGAGTTCATGGTCTTCCATGGTACTGTTATACACTCATTATCTCCAAGCGACCTCGAAATCAATGAAAATGCTGTGGTAGTAGTCAATGTCGCCACCGGCAAGATTGTGCTTATGGAGCGCAAGGTCGACAAGCTGAATGAATTTTTGTCTGGACTCAGTCTGCTGGAGAACAAGCAATATAATGTAAGTAAACCCAAATTGTAAATCAATGAATGGTATGTCGGTCGGATCGGTCACTCATGAAACATGCTTGCATTTGAAACCCACAGGTCAACGTTTTGAAAAAAGATCAATTCATTCTTCCTGGCTTTATTGATACTCATGCGGTAAGTTGATGGTTTGTGGATCTGCCGCCACCACCCACCTGTAAGCTTTTTTGACTGACTTCCTGGCTTATCTATCCTACCTCAGCATGCTCCGCAATTTTCATATGCAGCTACCGGAATGGACCTACCTCTGCTCGACTGGCTCGACACGTACACATTCCCTAAAGAGGCTGAGTATGCAGAATCCGAACATGCTCAAAACGTATATAGCAAGGTTGTGGATAGGTTTTTGAGCTGTGGTACTACGACCTGCAGCTGGTTTGCCACCATTCACTTGGAAGCTAGCAAGATCTTGACGGATGTCATTGAAGAAAAGGGTCAGCGTGCTTACATCGGAAAGGTGAACATGGACCAAAACTCGCCAGACTACTACATCGAAAAGACAGAATCAAGTGTCAGCGACACAAGAACCTTCATTGAATATGTTCAGGCCAAAAACAACGAGCTTTTGACTCCCATTATCACACCTCGCTTTGCAATCTCTTGCACGTCCCCCCTCCTCAAAGCCTTAGGAGACCTGGCCAAGGAGTATCAAGTTCCGATTCAATCTCATTTGTGTGAAAATGTAGCTGAGATCGAATTTACTCAATCATTATTCCCCAACTCTGTTAATTATACGGCGGTTTACGACGACCATGGTCTTCTCAACGATAAGACGATCATGGCTCATTGCGTTCATATGACAGAGGATGAACTCAAGCTTATCAAGGAGCGCGAGGCCGGCGTATCACATTGTCCAAACTCTAACTTCAATCTGCAAAGTGGCGTTGCTGATATCCGACACTATTTGGACCTGGATATCAAGTGCAGTCTTGGAACCGATGTTGCAGGTGGATTTGCAACCTCCATTTTGGACGCTATGCGGTCCGCTTTTACTGCCTCCAACACCATTGGTATCTTGAAATCTCAATACGGAAATCGTTCTCCCAAGCCATACAAAGCACTGGATGCTAAAGAATTGATCTATCTTGCAACACTGGGTGGTGCAAAGGTCGTTGGTATGGAGGACAAGATTGGTAACTTCAAGGTTGGAAAGGATTTCGATGCTCTTGTTGTTGATGCTTCTGATAATGGTCCTGTCCGCCTGTTCCGACACGATGGTGCCTGGGAAACTCTTCAGAAGTTCTTGTTTACTGGCGATGAAAGATGTCTCAGTCACGTGTATGTCAGGGGCAGACGAGTAGCTGGTTGGAAGCAGTAATATTATCTATTGATTATTTGGGAAGAAAATAAACATTAATTTTTATAACCCATTTGTAAGAAATAATGCAGGATAGGATATACATTTTATAGATTCTGCAGCATTAGCTTTGATAGAGCAATTAGAGTTTAGAGCCTCGTTATACGAGAGCCATTTTACTGAACATGCCAATATTGAACGCCTCAACAGATGCAAATAGCTTGTTGATGTGTTACTCCAGATCGAAGGAACCATGGATAGTAGATGATACTCGCTTTCCTATCAACTTTATATAGTTGCCGTGGTTCGGGACCCTGCCACTTTTAGCCCAATTATCTTGACTTTACAACAACAGCACCAGCCACACGGACCTGATGTGCATCCAAGACACATTTCGCTATCATTAAAATACCTATTTCACACGAGTACGGTCCAAAAAGACGCTTCCAGTAAATAATAGACGATTGTGAGATTTTTGCGGACTTCACGCATCACTCGAATCATAGTGGGCAGTAAAAGGAGACTGTTTGATCGTCATGCTCTCGAGTCATTCAAACTGCGCATGTTTGGTCAACTCGGTAAAAAATTCGAATCCTCACCTATCCATATTTCTGTGATTGCTACATGGTTGCCATCATTGCTGCTCTGGCAGCCACTCTGTACATCACTGGGACAATCGTCTGGTCTCTAGCATTCTTTTCGACATTTGATGACCGGTTCATACAATCTGTACCACGATACAAACTGGTGACCGAACCAGTTACGTCTGCGTTTGCAGAGAATCCACTTCATGTCATGGCTATTAAGTTCGTATTCATGGTCATGACCAAAGCCTTTGGTGGATTTCGTAAGTAAACTCGGACTAGGAACTGCAATCTTGGGATCCCACCGTGAGCGCTTGAATTAACGCTGTTGGTTGGTTAGGTTACAGCTTGGCACATTTAGCATATTACATCGATATCTTAAACACTATTGCAGCATTTGCTGTCTTATGGGAGCAGATTCAATCCAAACCCTATTACGAGAAAGAACTCGCTACTAGGTTTGCCAATGATAATACTGGCATTCCTGACATCACGAGGTAAATATACGTCTTTTCAGCTGCACGCATGGACCTCGCTAAATGTTCCATCTAACGTATTGTGAACCTACATCAGTTTGCGCCAGATTAAAAGACTCATTCACCCTGTGCTGAAAAACGACGGTATCATCATTCACCCCCACAGTATGTGTTTTTTTCTTGGGCCTTCCTCAACAAATGTCTCTCACTTGTCAACGGAATAGATGTTAAACAAAATTTTGTCTCCATTGTAGTAACCTACGCTACGCGAGAGGAAGCGTTGGATGCCATCAAGCAAACAAATGATTATAATCAACCTCGAAAGATGATGCTCGATGTTTATACTGCTGTTGAGAAACCTCCTGGTCTTCGTCCTGTCTTGGTAAGGGCCCCTTTTACATTGTGTTCTTCTTGTCCCACGTTTAACATTATCTTTCCCGATACCGTTAGATCCACATTCATGGCGGCGCATGGAGAATGGGGTCCAAAAACCATCTATACCCGTACGAAAACGATCTTATTACCGAAGAAAAATGGGTAAGTCTGATAGCTAGTTACCACGTTGCAACGGATAGGAAATTACGCGGTTGACCGATTATTTTTTGACTATCTTGCGTTTGTTTGCCGTAGATTGTTGTCAACATTGCGTATCGTTTGGCACCCATTAATGCATACCCCACACACCTCAAAGACGTTAAGCGCGCCATACGCTGGGTCAAACAGTGCATCAATAACTTTGGCGGAGACCCGAATTTCATCGTTCTTGCTGGTAAATTTGGCTAAAGCCGTAAGGAAATACGATTTTGTAGAACAGTGAGACTCATTCAGAAGTTTTTGAACAGGCGATTCGGCTGGCGGACATTTGGCCATGATGGCAGCGATGACTGCTAATCAAAGTCAATACCAAGAGGGCTTTGAGGATGTTGATACTTCGGTTCGAGGCGTGGTATCGTTCAATGGAGCCTTGCGTATTCACCATGACATGTTCTTTGCTAAAAAAGTGGCCATGATGAAGGAGCCGATAAACCGGGCATTCTTGCTGGACCACTCGCCTGTGACCTATTGTGAAAAGGCGTATCAGCAAGGGAACCTAGTCCCAAGCCTCATTATGATGTACGTATGCAGTATAGTGCGCTACTATTCAAATTCAGGTTGTGTAGCATGCATGTACTAAATCAAAATTATTTATCTCCATGTGGCCAGAGGACAACGTGATGCCCTTGTCAACCCAGACGGCGGTAGAGAATTTGCCCAGCAGTATCGACGAGGTAAGAGGATGCAAAGGGAAATGTGGTTTCCACCTTTTTCAGAACGGGAGAATGTACACCTTTTAGTCAAAGAGACACTGATTTCTCCATTCTATTTTCCAATTTCTCCTTTAAGCGAGTGGAAAGGAAAATGAACCCACGGCTGCGTGCTCTCTAGTTGAGATTCCGGTAAGACAGCGCCACTGTTTACACAAAAGACGGTTGCAAAAAAAATGACTGACTTGAATTCTTCAGGGTGGTCATCATGTATTCTACGCAGGGTGGAGTCCTCGTACACTTTTTGCCAACAGCATCGTTCTATCGTGGTGTCGGGACCTCCATAACAAGAATAAGTAAAGTGACTCCGGAGTCAGCTGCTGCTCCACTTTTCTACCAGAATGTCTCTGACGGAGTAATAATAAACCGTAACCACTCAGAAGGTTCATTATCAGCAGCGATTCTTGAAAAAGCATCACTTTTGCAACTCGTGTCGTGTTATAGTTTTGGTTTGTGTATTGGGATGTTTCGCTTTCAGATGCAAAAGGGGAAAAGTACTGGAGGTCTTGTAGCAATTTGTTACCGCCACATGTAGTGCGTTATATTTTGTTGTTCCAAGGATGGCAGGAGAACTCGGAAGTTTTCTCCTCAAAAGAACGCAACATGTTCAAATGGAGAAAAGGAAATCATTTTAATTCCACGATTGAAAGGCCCTCAATCTCTCGACTCATGTGACACCAAGGCACACCATACTCAAAGTCATTCAGTGCTTTCTATATTGTTTCCTACATTGACTCTTGCTTTCCATACTTCTTTGTCGTCAGTCTCATGCTGAGAGATATGGAAGTACCAAACTGTAGGATATTTATGAGGAAAACCAAAACCCGCCCTCTTGGATGTGAGAACTCAGGCACTTTCAACAATCTCCGCCTTGGGGAATAGAGCTCCCGGACTGGTTCAACCTAATGGAGATAGAAGCTCAGATTTTCCCCACACGTACCGCTTTCCTTTCTAGATCCTGGAGAGAACTCTAATCCTGACTAAATCCTCACCAGACACGTGGGGACTCAGCGACTATATATTGAAGTACAAAATCAGCCTACCCCAGACTTGATTATCCAGCTATCTATTATCATGTTCCAGAAGAAGCAGCTTGACAATTCAGCCTTGCAGCAGGAAAAGGGATGGGCCACCCAGGGTGGTATGTTGAAGTTGTACTGGTATTCAGCTGTTCTCGTCGTCAACTCTGCCATTAACGGTTACGATGGTAGTATGATGAACGTAAGATCACTCTCTATGATTTTCTTTCATTTGTCATGTTCGGGAATGCTGATCCCTTCCACTTTTCTTTTTGTAAATTTCATCAACAGGGTCTTCAAGTCTTGGATACTTGGACTTCCTGTAAGTAATCAAGACGCTGAATTAATGTGTAAATCGATTCAACAAAAAAAAAACTCATTCATTTTTCTTTGACCATTTCTTTAGATTTCCAAAACCCCAGCTCCTCTTCACTCGGTCTATTGAATGCCATTCAACAAGTTGGTGGTATTTGTGCTCTTTTCTTCGCTTACCAGCTTACCGATCGTCTTGGTCGTAGAATGGCTATTATGGTAAGCGATTTAATTCAAAGAACATCAAAAAACGCCATGTATTACTCTCCATACTAAACAACCCCTTTGACAATTTGTAGATCGGTTCCCTTATTGTCTTGTTGGGTGTTGGTCTTCAGGGTGGCTCTACTAATGTCGGCATGTTCATTGGTGCTCGTTTCCTCATTGGTTTCGGTACTGCTATCTCCGGTAATGCTGCTCCTACTCTCATTGTCGAAATTTCTCATCCCAAGCAACGTGGTACTGTGACCGGTGTAAGTGATTTTTTATTGTTTTACCGGCAACATATTATTTGGACCCCCGACTGATTCTCAGGTTTCGACACCCAGATTTACAACTCCTCATGGTACCTGGGATCTATCATTGCCGCCTGGACTACCTTTGGTACTTTCTATATCCCCAACGAATGGAGTTGGAGAATCCCTTCCATTCTTCAGGGTCTCTTCTCTCTTATCCAGGTTATCTTCATCTTCACTCTTCCCGAATCTCCTAGATGGTTGATTTCCAGAAAGAGAGAGGACGAAGCCCTTCAGATTTTGGCCAATCTCCACGGTAACGGCGATCCCAACAATGAACTCGTCCAGTTTGAATACCGCGAAATCGTCGAAACCATCCGTCTCGAACAAGCTGCTGCTAACCGTTCATGGTTTGATCTTGTCAATACTCGTGAGTTGTTTTGTCTCAGTATTTTGTTTATTTGATGTCGCAGGTGATTAATTCAATGGGATACATTTTAGCCGGAAACCGAAAGAGATCTTTCCTCGTTGTTGCTGTTGGTTTCTTCTCACAATGGTCCGGTAACGGTCTTGTTTCCTACTATATCAACAAGGTTTTGAACGGTATTGGTATTACCAACACTGTCACCAAATTCGTTATCAATGGTGTTTTGCAAATCTTCAACTTGTTCGCCGCCTACTTCGGTTCATGGCTCATTGAACGTGTGGGTCGTCGCCCATTGTTCTTGATTGCTACCACTGGTATGTTGATCACTTTCGCCATCTGGACCGGTTTGGCCGCCCATGCTACCTCCGATGGAAACTCCAACTCCGGCATCGGAGCTGCTTTCGTCACCTTCATTTTCATCTACTACTTCTTCTACGATATCGCATGGAGTCCTCTCACTATCGCCTATCCCGTCGAAATTCTTCCTTTCAGCATCCGTGCCAAGGGTATGGCTCTCTCCTCCCTTGCTGTCAATGCCGCTCTTTTCTTCAACTCCTATGTCAATCCCATTGCTCTTGAGGCCATTGACTGGAAGTACTACCTCGTCTATGTCATTTGGATTGCCGTCGAACTTGTTGTCGTCTACTTCTTCTTTGTCGAAACATCTGGTTACACTCTTGAAGAGTTGGTCGTTGTGTTCGATGGCGAGAATGCTGAGCTTTCCGACTTGGACAGAGCCGCCATCGCTTTGGAGAACGAGAAGACCAATGCTCCTGTCTCCGAGAAGACCGAAGCCTAATGGCCTTGCCTACGTTCAAAATATCTGTAATACCTATTAATTTTGTATAACAATAAAACCCATTTCTTTATATTGTTACAGTAAACTATGTCGAAGCGACTTTTACTTCATGAATCAGACCCACTTGCATGGCCTGACCTTTATTTTATTTTTCCAATTTACACAGTTTAACCAATCATAGCGCGTCAAAAGGTATTCCTGGAAACACCCGCCCAAAAATAGCCCACAGGCCAGAAAATAAGGTGTTACACACTGCGAGGCTGTTTGAAATCCAGGAGAAGGAAAAAAAAATAATAAAAGCTGCAGGAAGACAGTTTCTCTCTCGCTTCATCCTACTTTTTTTGTCCTTCAACTTTCACTTGATTCGACGAACATGAAGTCTCTTGCAACCTCCCTCGCAGTGGCTGCTGCATTCTTATCATCTTTTGTCTTGGCCCAAGACGGTACACCCACTATCGTTCAGGGCGGCACTAACCCTTATACTTGCGACCCAACAAAGTGTATTGCTCCCAAATGCATGTGTGCTTCCCAAACACCCCCTGGAGGCATTAAGCCCGCCGATGCCCCGCAATTTGTTACCATCACTTTTGACGATTCCGTTCAACCTGAGCTACTCCAAACTGCTTACGATCTCCTCAATGTCCAGTAAGTGTTGATATCCGGGCACAGTCGAAGGCGTCTGAATAAGAATGTATAGCTCACTGTCTGCTTTCCCAGAAATCCCAATGGTTGCAAAGCCAAGGGCTCATGGTATGTCTCTATGATGTACACTGACTTTTCTTTGGTCCAAAGCTGGTTTGCTCAAGGTAAGAAACGTTGTTTGACGTTTGGACTGAGGTGTTACAAAGCCAAATCTCCTCTCCTCCCATGTCAACATGATGACTGACCTTGGTTCATTTCCCCTCTGCAATTAGGCAATGAAGTGGCCGACCACACTTTCACTCATGTTGGAACTCCTTCTGCACAGTAAGCAAATTTTCTTTCTCTGTTTAGATTGATTCCTGCCCGCCCACCCACGCGTGGTTGTACGAAAATATATTAACGGTGCATGGCCTTCTTCTCGTTTGACTAATAGGGAAATTCAAGCTGCTGCTGATATGTTGAAGGCTTATGCTGGTGTTCCACATGGCATGCTGAAAGGTTTCCGCGCTCCTTTCTTGAACTACACCGCTGATACTCTCAAGGAAATCGCTGCTCAAGGCTTCTTGTATGACACTTCTGCTACCGCTGTCGTTGATGATTGCTACTGGTAATGTCATGTTTGCTTCTAAAAACATCATAGTTTGAGACCCCCGTTTGACCTTTTGTTATGAAACTAGGCCGTATACTTTGGACAATGGTCTAGCTAATGATTGTTGGACAGGTGAGTTTTGCGTGGTAGGAATGATGATCTATTTGTTATTTCATGCACTGACTTTTTTGGGCTTCCTCACCTCAGGTATCTGTAACCCTGGCACCGTCAATCTCCCTGGCGTTTGGGAAGTGCCCATGTACGCTGTCTTAGACAATGCCAGTATCCCTCAACTTATGGATGTGTACCTCGCCGGTACCCCTGCTGATGTTACTACCTGGTCTCAGACTAACTTTGATCGCCATTACAACGGCAACCGTCAGCCTTTCGGTATCTATGTTCACCCTACCCATTTGACTAACTATGCTGGTTTGCCTGATGCCACTGCACTTAAGAGTGGTGTTGTCAGCTTCATTCAAAGCTTGGCTTCCAAGCCCGATGTCTGGTTTGTCACCAACGATCAACTTCTTCAATGGATGCAAAACCCTGTTCCTGCTTCTCAACTTGCAAGCCAATCCTACATGCAATGCTCAAAGCCTGTTACTCCCAAGGAAATTTGCAACGGTCTTGAAAACCTCAACTACAATTCCACTGTGGTCACTGGCGATCTCATCAATGCTTGTAACTTCAACACTTCCAATTTCGCTACCTGCTTCAATTGCCCCGGCTCAGCTCCCTCTTTGCAAACCCCAGTTCCTGCCTCTGGTGTTGCAAATGGCACCGCTGGTTATCGCACTCCTTTGCCTGATAACTGCAATCCACTCTGGTGGGATCCTGTTGCTGGACAGTGTTTGTGTACTACCTCATCCTGCGCTTACCAAGATACTTCCGTGCCTAAGCAACAGAACAGCACCAACGGTACTACCAGCGGATCAGCATCTCCTTCTACCTCAGGAACGGCCGCCAGCAGCGCCGCCCCTGGTCCTGTTGCTGCTACCGCTTTGACCATGGCAGCTGCACTTTTGACCGCCTTCATTTTGTAAAAAGATAAACCCATCTTTTCTTTTCGTTTTCTAGAATAGAAGCACACCACACTAGCATATTTGTTTTGCGTTATCACCACCCATAGTACAAAGATCTTTGCCCCAACCTGCTATAGTATAATAAAATGTATGCAAGTTTACTAAATTATTAAACGGAGAAGCATATCCACAATAAACGGAATGTAAATGATGTATTGCATGAAGTATCCGATGTAGAAACGACCCTAGTATATATGCTGTGCGCCGTCTGATTGCGCCGTCTGGTCATTCTTGCTAAACATGAACTACTGACGAAATGGACAAGCAGCCATGGTCAGCAAAGCATAACAGGGTCTTTTCATCCGCAAGCAAATGAGCTGTTGGTCACAAAAGGGCATCGTATATCCTGAGGACAGCGAACATGCTTTGTCACTGTTGGGTATAACCTTTACCCATTTCTGTGTATCGGTGGTTTTGTTTCTATATCATCGCCTGAGCTGTTGAATATGCCAGCTTTCGGAGCCACTATAAACATACCGTCTTGCATAGACTATTTGTCGGCAATAATGCCCACGCCTGCCTGATGAGATGCATTGTAATCATTACCCAGCCATATTGTACAATGTGACCTTCTTAGAGCGAAACATCAACTAACACCTAGATACATCATGCCTTTCAGCCCAAGAACGGGTGCGAGATTTTTTTCCAAATTTGATCTATTTATTAGACTGCATGATTGAAACATCGAGATAATGGCGAAAATATACATAATGAGTTGAAATAATATAACGACTGCTTGGAGTGAAGTATCAATATGTTTGCAAGGTCCTGATAGACATGTCTTACGCGTCACCATGATGCAAACTAAGGTTCAAAAGGTTTATAATCTTCAAAATCACAGTTACCGATGGGCAAGTTCGTAGCAGGCGCCCATATTTCGGAAGCGAGCAATCGCCCTGATTTCAGTACGGTGCCAGTACACTTGAGGTCGTCGGTTTCTTCGTCGTCCTCGAATTCATAACCTGTGTGGACAAGCAGAAATGTGTCATCCTTCATGGACTGTTGGTCTGCTATAAAGAACGTTTCAGTTGCCCTTGGTACCAGGTCTTGAACCGTCAAATTCTCAAATTGAGGTCCTTCCAACACGCACATGAAGGCCATGCCGCCCCCTTCATCGCCACATTGATACGAGCCGCCACCGGCATACTTGCGGCATACTTTTAAAAATGGTCCAGGTTTGGCTGCCAGCTCCAATAATCGCTCCCATTTTGCGTCGTCTGAATAATCCGTTCGAAAACATGCAACTTCGACTTTATGAATATCTTGCTCTGTGTGGAGATCTGCGGTGATAGTCATTGTATGATAGAGGGAATGAAGAGGTGTGGATGGATATCTACGAGATTTGGGACGAGTTTTTATATTGTGTTATGTTACCCTTCAGCCACTCTGCTTATTTAAGAAGAGGAGGTAACCCATAGCAACCGTTGCCTGGCGTCGTCGTGCAAGCGCCACTGTTCAACCATGCTAACTCAGCATACCGCATCAACGTTTTACCTGACCAAGAAATGTTATTGGCGTGCTTATCATATCATTTTGCTGCATCCAATCTCATCGAGTGTCAAACAGATGAAAAGATAAATATGAGAAACCACCGCAGTTTGAAGAGCAAATGTCATTACATCAATCCATCGTTCTATTCTTACTACAAAATAGCTGTGTGCTGAAGCATTGACATTTTTTATCAAACTCGGTCAAGTCATCCCCGCCGCGTTACCAACAGCAGACTAGTTAGAGGTACCCAAATATCTGCAGCATGATATCTTGTTGTTTTTAGGAAACTTCCAATCATCCTTAGCTCGCCGGTCTTTTCGTCTTCCTCAAAAATGGCGTCGTTATAAGCAAGTACGAAAGTGCCATCTTCCATAGATTGCTTGTCGGCCATCAAGTATACTTCAGTTGCTATATGTTGCAGGTCTTGAGCCGTCATGTTTTTGTATTCGTGTCCTTCAATCACAAGCATGTCGTCGGTCCCTTTGCAAGGTTTAAGCGAGCGGCCTTCATGCCCACATCCATTGACCCGTATATTAGGATTCTTTGTTAACGCCAACAACCGTCTCCATTTCGAATCGTCTGAATAGTCCGTTCTATAGCAAAGAGCGCCATCGTATTCCTGAAAGTCTTCCTTCTTGTGTAGAGTTGCGCTGTCACCCATTGTGTGGGATTGTAGATAGAGAGGTTATTGAAGGAGTGTGATATCTGTGACCGAACTTATATAATTTTGCGTTACAATCATAACGTTGGACAATGGAAAGGGCAACCATAGCAACGGTTGCCAGGAAAGTTACAATTACCTTGAGATCACGCACGCCACCAACCAAGAACAAAAACTTCGACATGCCAATCAAAGCATGGTAAGCGGAAATTTTTGGGGAGGGTGCATGGGAAATAATACTCATTTTGTTTATTATGATCGAGCATACAGGAACATGAAAAAGAATGGGAAGGAAGAAAAGGGATCCATAAAACTCTTGGCAATATATATTTTAACACAAACAAGGAAAACGAAGAAGAGGACACCGTTCTGGTGGGAATAATAAAAAGGGGATAAAGAAAATTACGAAAGGACATAGTGCGTCAACCAGCTAATATCTGCTTGAACTTGAAGTGACTTTGCTAATGGTGAATACAGTAGCAATGACTACACCAAGGAAGGTGACGGCGGCAGGGAGAAGCAGGTCATCAGGTATAGGAATGCCGTATTCTTCAGCGATACCTCGCTTAGCACCACGTTTGCCAGACCGCTTGCGTTCTGTCGATTCCGCATCACTTTGCTCGGATTCTTCGTCGCTGGTCAATGTCTCCCTTCTGCTACCTTTAGTTTTCTTGGATTTCTTTTGTTTCTTTTCCGTCTCAACAACAGCTTCTTCCAAAGCGGGTGTAGCTTGTTCCATTACAGTGGGATTGACAGAAATTTCGTTTGGCTTCTCTTCAACTTCAGTAGGCGTGATAGTGGAAGCAGGAGGAGCAACTGGGTTGCTGATGGTATCTAGGACAAGGAGCCTTACACGATCATGACCTTGTCTGCGAGCTAGTGAAACGGCATCCATCAAATCTTGATTAGAGGTCATTAAGACATAGTCATTTTCGTCGTCCAAGTAGGAAATCTGAAGCCAGTCTTCCTCTTCCTCAGATGGTGGGGCAGAGCCAACGACTTCAACATAAGACTGAGACAATGAGAGATGCTCTGTCATCAATTTACTACGGATGGTACTTTTCAAAGTGTCGAAATCGGTATAATCGGATTTTAAGCGATGTGTTTTACCCATGGCTGAAGTAAACTTGAAAGCGAAGGTACCATCATCTCTGGATCGCATTTGTTGACTGCTAACTGTGGATCTGTTTTCATCGTTGGCTACTGAAGCACTGTCTTGTGGTGTGATTTCAGGGAAGTTGAGATGGGAAAGAACACGCTCTTGGTGAGGAGAATTGGGAGCTTGGAACATGTTGGAATTGGCGGCTTGAGAGAGGGAATCTGACACGGCCGATTCTGTTTCAGCATGTTCACCCATAGCAAAACTACTCCAAAACTTTGAGCCATCCGTATCGGAGCCTTCAATACTGTTGATCTATCAACAGAAAGCATTGCAGACAACATATTTAGTACGCCATACAGATACTTATCATGCACTGTTATCCAATCCACAACATCTCACCTGCTCCAATGTGGCATAAGTCAGCTTGAGCACGTCTACCAATCCAACAATATTCTTGTCTTCGTCCAATACAGGCAAGTTCAGGTAATGACCATCTGATGAAGGAGTTAGAGATAAATAATCAATGTAGGTTTATATCCACATCTCCGAAAACGTACCATGCATCTTCTTCAAAGCATCCAATATACTGGTATTAGGATGAGCAGTATCAGGGTGAGGTGTCATGACGCGTACAACCGAGCAGTTGTCAGGAGCCAACCCAGCGGCGATGACGCGCAAGACAATGTCTTTGGACTGACATGGAAATGGAAATTTAGGTTCGAGTCTGAATGCTGATAAAGCAGGCAAAAAGAGACTGTACTCACGGTAAAAATACCAGCCAATTCGCCATGGTCCATAACCAACACAGCTGTAGTATGATGTTCCTTCATAAGTTTAGCAACATCTCGAACTTGAGTTTTAACGCTGACTTCCACTGGGTATGCACCATCAAGTACAGTGTTAAGATCAGGGCAAGACATCTTTTCCCGCAAGGCTTCCATATATTGAACCAGTTGAATGGGGCCGTTGGACCATTCCTTTTCGACACCTTCCAAAGCATCATACAATTTCCTCGATGAACCAAAAGCACGCTCCATTTTGTCAAGAGCTTCATAGAGACATTTTGTAATATCCAGAAGACCGAATATATCGCCTTCGTCATTGCAAACCGGCTGGCATTGAAATCAGTACGCGAGAAGCAAAAATGTATCTTGTCTTCAAGGCACACTTACCAAGTGTCTGAAACCACGTGAGACCATCAAGTTCAAAGCATCTTGAGCAGAGGTATCAGCTGTTACGCACATGGGTCCTTTGGTCATAATTTGCGCAACAGAGGTAGTTCTACAAAAACAGACGATGAGTCCTATTGGAGTAAAATATGAGTTGATATGGTGAAGTTCTCACCTAGCATCCAATGAATTGGCAACAATGCGGTAAGCTAAATCTTTCGCCTATAAGGGGGTGAGAAAACGGTTAGTGGAGGGAATATTTTTCGAAAGTGCTTATGCAGATGGGTACTATAACATACGGTGAAAATACCACTCAAGTGATCTTCCTCGTCGACAACGAGAACACAATCACTTCTCTTGGCAGCCATAAGCTGAGCAGCTTCTATGATCAGAATATTCTCCTTCACAGTCAAAGCTTGAGCTGGTCTTAGGGCAGACACGGTACCAGCAACTTTCTTGGTCTGGCGAACTCTGGAGCTGCCTCCCCGTTTCTTGGACAGTTCCTGTTCGATTTTTTTTCGAATAGCCTAGCAAATAACAGAAAAATGATTTAGCAGATTGGCTAAGAGTACAGTATTTACGACGTGCAAAGCTTGTTGAGCTGAGCGTACCTCGTCCTTCCTGGTTTGGCGCTGACGGCTGACATTACTACCGGAGGCGACGGACATATTATCGTCGAGAAGAGATTGCGTCTCTCTGAAACGCTTGCTACTGGTTGAAGACACAACTGACGACATGACTAATGTTGAGAAATTGACCAAAGCGTCAACAGGGGACAAACAACCACGCTGGAGCTGTTGCGGTTGCACAGGGTCAGGAAAAAAAAAATCATTTTCCTGTTGCTTGAGTAAAGTCAGCCAATCATATTCGGGAAATACTTCAGTCAAGGTATTGGAAGCAGTTCGCTACAGAGAGGTCTTAAAGAACAATAAGATTCTGTCAGAAAGTACGTGTTCCAACGTTGTTTCATTAGAAATGCAATTAAGTATTCTGTCGGAACGATTGTTACCGTGTTGGTGTTTTCAACCTTCTGTAAGCTGGCTTTACAATTTCTCCGGCAGCAGCTCCACCACACAGAGGCGCAATAACATGGTCGTTGCTTTATTATGACCATGGTGCTACGGAATGATCTATCAGAATTGTACAAATTCCCATCATTTTTTTTATTGACAATGTCATCTTTTTTTGATTGTCAACAATCCCCCAGTGCTTGGATTGAAAATACGTCTCTATCATACTAACAGTGGTACAGTAAGATCAACCATCGTGAGGATATGCACAAATGTCGATAGATATGGCGTATGAATGGCATTGTATGATAATTTTTATATCCATCCTTTCCAGCATGTTCTATACCCTATGATATTTGAACACTTGGCTATTGAAACCACGAAAAATGAATTGACTCAACAACTGGCTAATAGCCCCAATTCGTGAAGGCGATTTCCAATAATATTATGTGTCATAAAAGCTGAGCATGCATGGCATTTTTTGAGACTACTGAAGAGGTTTGTAGCATTATGACTGTATATGCTTCGTATCAGCGTTCTCAAAGGTGTTACTGCTCAGGGCCAACTTCTTTAACTTTCCATTATGTTCCAATCCGTGGTCTTGGCTGACACAAATTGGAATTTCATTGCCCGGTCGACGCCGGGCGCGGGGATTGAAAATTTCCCGGAACTTGTCATGACTCAAAAGAAAATAAGAAAAAAATAATAATAAATTTTCTATAAGCTTGACACTTCTGCAACCCCTTTGAATCCGTCCGTAATGTACGCTTCCAAAGGAACTGCAAACATAATAAATACGGTGGCCCGTCAGGGTCTACTGTCAAAGCAATTGACAGCTGCTTCAAGACCAACCACTTTGCTCCCATCGCCTAATAGATCCGCTGGTAAACTTTATGCCACTGGGAGAGCAAGTTTGTCGGCAAACCGCCAACAACAACAACAACAACAAGACAGCACCACAACACAGCAAGGAACCAATCTGAACCCAATTCAAGCTTGGACAGGCAATAACTCTGCTGCCATTTTTCAAAAGTACGCTGGTGTCAGGTACAACCACAGCGCAGCTGCTAACTCTGCTCAGCAAGATGGAGCTGAATCGTCTGGATCCAGTCACCCAGACGCTACTAAGCAAGGCAATGCTCGCATTCTGCAAGCTAAGCGCAGCCGCGATCTTCGTAAGGTGGAATCAGAGTTCTCGCGTATGAAGGAATCAGGCGTTCAACTGAGTGCTCAGACTTATACACTTGTGCTCGATTCATACGCTACCCTCCGTAAGCCTGGTCACCCACCTCAACGTCTTCTCGCTGTATATCAAGAAATGATTGAAGGAGGATTCAAGCCTAGCGCCTACACCTATATGATTCTAATACACGCTCTTTGCAAACGTGATATTGAAGTTCAAAAGACATTATTGATGCTCAATAAGCAGACTGACCGCAGTGGACAGACTCCCAGTAATTTGGAATCCCTTCAGTCTGAAAACAACATCCAGAAAGCTTTGGCTATTTTTGAGGCTTCGGTCACTGACAATCTCTACCAAGATTTTGATACCGAAGTGTTCAACAGCTTGCTGCGATCTCTTTCTCAGTATGGCAACACTCAGGATGGTATTTATGTGTTTGAGCATTTAGAGAAGGCACGTTCTGCTGAACCTAATGGAAGAACTTTTGCTGCTCTCATCACTTTGTACGGTAAGGCTGGAGATATTCAAGGTGCTTTGGAATGCTTCAACGAATACAAGACGGTCAGAGGATCAATGGAGAAGCACAATCCCGCCTTTGTGTACAGTGCTTTGGTTGATGCCTACATCAAGTGCGGCGACCCTGCTTCAGCTAGAAAAATTATCGAAGAGGACAGTGTTAACGACAAAGTGGAGACTTCGGTCAAAACCTGGAACACATTGATGCGTGAATACTGTGATCAAAAGAACTTGGATAGCGCTTATGATGTTCTTGCCAAACTTCAGAATGACCCTGCCCTCCCCAACCCAGTTGCATCTACCTACGGACCTCTTTTGACTGCTTTATCTGAACTCAAAATGACTGACAAGGCTCATGAAATCTATAAACAAATGTCGGAAACTGACATTTCCAAGTCGTACAACAATCTCGCAAGCTACGCTCATCTCTTGCTCGAAAACAAGGACTTGGATCGTCTTCAGGATGTGATGTTCGACATGTCGAAGAAAGGGCTTGACCCCGAGGAGAGTCTCACCCAAAACTTCATCATGCAATTAGGGAGCAAGGATATCAATCGCGCTATCGAGGCTTTGAGACAACTGTATGGCGATGTTTCGTCTCGATCCTTTGTCAAGGTTACAGATGGCATTAATCAAACTGCCATGTATCTTGCTGCAAAGCCAAGCAATTCTCTCTCCAACATTCTGGACATCTTGAAGATTGTACATCCCTTTGGCGTTCGCGCTTCCGTCCCTGTCAGTGAAATGATTTGCAGCGTGTTCACTCAAACCCGCCAGGACCCTGCTGCTTGGTCCAAGCTGAAGGAGTCATTTGGTGTTACTGAGCACTTTTTGACCATTGAAGCTCTGTTCAACTCTCATAACTTATCTCGTGAGGACTTCAGAGAACTCGCTTTGGATATGGCCAAGGCTATGGTGGAAGTCAACATTCAACCTAACAGTGGTTTGTATGCTCGTGTAGGAGCTCGTCTTGCTAAGAACCAAGATGAGGAAGGTGAAAAGCAATGGCAAGCATTTTTCGAGCCTTATCTCAAGGATGAAACCCCTCAAGTCGATGCATTCAAGACCGATGACCACATGATGCATCGTACCACCAAGGGCGATCTTCTTACTGGTGTAGCCATGAAAGCTGCTGTTCAAGGCAAGAAGGATGAATGCTTGGATATTTTGAAGAAGCAAATTGTCGATCAGAACATGGTCCCAACCATTGAAGCTATTCGCGAAATGATCCACATCTTTGGTAGAGACCACGGCGTTGCATCAGCACGCAACCTGTATGAAGTTGTCGGTGGCTCTTTTGATAAGTTACCTGACACCATTATCCGCAAGAAGGCACATGCTACTGCTCTTGCAAGTCTACTCAACGTGCATCTTCAAGCTAAGGACTTTGATGCCGGTCAATCCTATTATAAGCAGCGTAAGTACCATGAAAGATGGGTTGGAGTAGGTTTTGCTTGGTATACCAAAAGAACCGCTCATACTAACTTCTTTTGCATTTAGTCCGTCAAATCGACCATTATCCCGATGGCAATGGCTATGCTCTGTTGATTAATGCTATACCGGACGGAGACAATGCTGCTCAAGAGACAATGCGCCTTTACAATGAACTCTTGTTCAGCAACGTCAAGCCCACTGTGTTCTTGTACAATGTCCTCATCTCCAAGCTTGGCAAGGCTCGCAGTCTTAAGCAAGTGATTCAAGCTCGCACTGACATGAAGAAAATGATGCTCACCCCGACAGCTGTCACATACAATGCTCTGATTTCTGCTTTTACTCGTTGTGGTGCCGAAAAAACCGCTGTCGATGTCTTCAATGAAATGGAAAGACATCCCAAGTTCAAGCCATCCCCTGCAACTTACAACAACATGATTCAGTTCTACATTCGTCACGAATCTAACCGAGAGAAGGCACTGGAATTCTTTGAGCGCAGCCGTACTTCCAACTCCAAGCCTACTGCTTACACTTACCGCTTGTTAATGGAGGCTTATGCCAACGTTGTGCCCTACGATATGCCTACTGCCCACAAGATGCTGACTGACATGAAGAAGGAGAATCTCCAACCTGAGCCAAGACATTATGCTACTCTCATTCACTCCTATGGTATCTTGCAGCGTGATGTTCAATCCGCTGAAAGAGTCTTTGAACAGCTTCAAAAGGACCATATCCAGCCGGATGAATCCGTATACCGCGCTTTGCACGATACCTATGTCGCTAACAACGAAATGGACAAGGCTGAAAAGACCAAGCACCACTTGAATGGTGACAAGCATGGCCAGCAGTCTTCTGCAAAGCAATTCTAGGCCCATACCACCATCCATAAGGAGTAGAAGCTCATTCAACGCATAAACAAGAGCACAGAAACAATCCCAAAAATATAGTTGCATTCATCTTTCTTTTCTACCATCACCTCTTTTGCATTCATATTCATATGAGTAATTGTATCATAGACAACATCTAATTTCGCAAAGTAAATAAAAAAAATGAAACAAAGAGAATTATTTCGTCTATGTGAATCAACAATGGGCTATTGCGTTCAAAGTCACTTTCGGCTGCCACCTGATTCACCTCAAGCACTTCACAATAATCAAACGGTTTAAAAAAGAAAGGCTTGTATGTTTTATGAGGGGAATTCTATGATCATAAAAAGACCTTTTTTTATTATATCGAACATTGTTGGGGGTTGGTCTTTTGAAAAAGAAGAGTGAAAAGAAGTCTTTAGAGGAGGCTATGATATGGAGAATAAATGTTATCTTAACCAACGATAAGCTTGTCTTCGGTGAAGCTGTACTCTGTGGGATAAAGTATGTTAGTTGCTAGGTAAGAATGGGATGTTCTGTTTAGGTAAAGATTACGTACCGGGAACTTCCAAGTTAAGAGGAGCAGGTCCTTGACGGATACGACCAGAGATATCGTAGTGAGAACCGTGGCATGGGCAATACCAACCACCGAAGTCACCAGCCTCACCAATTGGGACACAACCCCTACGAAATGGACATATTAATATTTTACAATCACTGGTTGGAAGAGAAAAAAAAAATTCGCCGGAAGCCTAACTTACAAGTGAGTGCAGACACCAAGCATGACGAGCCACTCGGGCTTCTTCACGCGCTCAGCATCAGTCTGGGGATCACGGAGCTCGCTGACGTTGACTGCCTCTGCTTCTTGGATTTCATCGCCGGTACGGTGACGGATGAAGACGGGCTTTCCTCTCCACTTGATGGTGACGTTCTTTCCTTCGGGGATGGAGGCGAGTTCAACTTCGACCTTAGCAAGAGCCAAAACATCGGCAGAGGCAGACATGTTGGCAAGGAAGTCGGTGACGGTAGCCTTGGCGCCAGCAGCACTGAGGAAACCAGTGGTACCAACCATGAAGTAGGTGAAGGCACGACCAGAATCGTAGTTGTTACCATCCTTCTTATACTTGGAGAAATCGGGAATGGTGGTTGTGTTGGTGTGCTGAAGGCGAGTTTGGTAGTTGGTGTTGGGGGCAGCTATAGGATTTTAAAAGAAAAACGGCGATGGACGAGTACATAATCATGATAATAAAAAAGTAAACAACAAGATAATGGAATTAGAATGGTTGCTCTACATGCATGCTGTATATGCTGATTCTCGTCGAAACTCTTACCATTAACCAAGCTTCTGTTCAAAGGACCAGCAGAAGAGCGGCTCTTGGTGGAAGCAAGGGTAGGAGCTTGAGTCTCCTCATCACGGCTGGAAGAAGAGATGGAGAAAGCCTTCTTCAATGCACCAGCAGAAGCAGGGACATTGACGTAGGAGCGATTCACCAATTGGGAGGCGAAAGTACGTGAAATAGCTGCCATGTCTGTTTAGAGGTCTATGGGATGGGCCCTGAGAGCTGTCTAAAGAGTGGGGGAGTTAAAGAGAGAGTTGTTTTGACGTCTTGGAGCCCTTGTATGTAAGCCACCCCGGTCACATGACCCCGATCCCGTCGAAATTCACCTCACGAACTAGATAACAAACACGTTAGGGCCAATTGCTGATTGAAGCAGCAGCTTTCTAGTCAGATACTTGGACAACAGGATGCGTTTAGTGTATTCTATCCTATGCTTCGACTTCAATTCGATATTCCTTGTTCTCTAGGCTCTGTTTGGACCAACCTTGTATTGAGACACCCTTGCACTTCAGCCTGACCAAAAATTTCATGCTGCGGGCATTCTGATTGGCGCGCGAGCAATCCAACCTTCATGCTTGAAAAAAAAAAATATCCTGGCAAACAGCCAGCTGTAGCATAATTGAAACAAATAATAACCAGACCTAATATCACACCAACAGCACCTGCATTGTTAGGACCTCTCAACCTTTATCGAATTGAATTAGTTTCATTATTTGGGAAAGAAATTGCATACAAGTTTTGGTATTTTTTTATACTGTAGAAACATCAAATGAGTCAATGTGGGTTTATATCAGACTACTAGGAGGGGCTCGTGATACCGGTCGCTCAGTATTTGAAGATATATCAAGGCTCTCAACCTCCTCTTCCAAGTCGTCATCAAATACTTCATCTTCCAGATCACCGGTTTCCAACTTAAGGCTCGTGGTATAGCTGGGGCGCTCTTTGCCTCCGGCTATTCGCAGGTATCCCTTGGTACGCACGAACTTTGGTACGGAGTCGGTTGCCATCAACCTACAGATATGATCATCAACTTTTTGCAACATCTTCATCATGGTTCGTAGGTTATGGGATACTCCATGTGATGATATGACAATGCTGGATTTTGTTGTTGGGGTATAGGCAGGTATGATAGTGACAATGTTGGACACAAACTTAGACATCTCCTTTCGCAGATTGTGTTCAATATTGAGCTCGTTCGGCGACCCGGCAGCTAGATAAGTAGTGTATATAGCGTAGGCATCCTCCAGTAAATCAGATTGATTCCGCGACGTGAGAGCTGGCGATTGGATACGATACTTTCTTCGCAGGTTACTATGATCGATCCAGAAATCCAGATTTTCTTCACAAAAGTTTGCTCTTAAGAACGATTTGTACAATGATCGTAAACTAGGATCATCAAGAATCAGTCGTAATTTCGTTGCGTTGGATTCTTTACTATCATTCTGGGAGCTGGCATAGGAGAAGTTTGAAAAATTGCTATTTCGGCTGTCTATGGTACTTGGTGGCCGAGGTCTTGAGTATGGTGGTGGAGGAACATGTGGCGCAAGTCTTGCTGATGGGTCTGTGTCCTTGGTTATATATGCGACAATGCTAGCATCTTGTTCGGTAGGTGTTTTGATGACTGACTCTGAGCCACCAGATGCTGACGAGGACGATTTGGATGCGGATCGATGAACCAAGGGTGGCTGCTGACTATGTCTTGTACCTCTGAGAGTGTTAAATTCTGATCGAGGGTCACTTCGTTCTCGTTGAGTTTTACCTTCAGAACTCGTTCGCTGTTTCTCTTCAATTGGATCTGCAGCTAGCATTTCTTGCAACGAAGCCTCTTCGCCCACACTGTCATTGCCGCTTTGACCGCGCATGCCGGTGAGAAGACGCATAGCCTGGTCTTTTGCCTTCTGAACTAAGCCAATCTGCTCAGCCTCTGGGCCACTCATAATGCTATGTCCGTCATTGCTAGAAAGATCGCTATTTTGAAGTTCTTGTTCCCATGATACGACACCGCGGCCGTTATCGGTCAAACAGTAAACGGCACTTTTGCTACTCTTGAATGGCTTGAATTCATCTCTTATCCGTGTTACAGCCTTCTCTGTGGCAGGCTCAATCCACCCATATCGTAGGAATTGAGCGGCAATGACTTCGGATTCGTCTTTGGTAACGACTGTGGTGTGATCTAATAGCCACTCACAACAAATCGAGCCATTGAAATTCCGTCGATTCAGCCCGCGGAAGGCGTTGGTATACTTTTCAAGGTTTGCTTGATGCTTTTGCAAAGTTGCTCGATGTCGACTGACATGAGTTGTGAGTAACTTGTTTCCATTCAAAATGCGGTTACCGCCATCGCCGATGTCTTCGGTGGCAGGCTGTAGGATAGAAAAGGGTACGTTGGCATCGGAATTATTCTGAGCGTACTCATTCTGTGACTCAATTGCATTCAGTTCATGGTTGCTGGACTCTTCAAATGTCAGTGAGCCCATCATGATTTTGAAAAGGATCAGAACGTTTTTACGGGTCAGTGCCAGTTGGTCATCGTCGGGGTGACGTTCAAGCATAATGACTTTGATGGGCACAACTCGTGATAGCGGCGCGCGGAGATGTGCCACATCTACGATAGTCCGGCTACAAAAATCTTCAAGTATACACAATCCTTTCGGAGTAACTTGCCATATACCCTTGTCTCTAAAAGCTGTTCGATTATTGATATCGGTTGCACATTCAATCAAATGAGCTTCTAAGAAATGCTGGCATAGTGTTTTGGCCATGTCTCGGGTCATACTGAACGTCGTGGTGGTGGTTGTGATGATGGCTCTCTTCAAGTCGGTCGGGTCGGGTGTTTTCGTTGTATGCGTGAATTTGAGGTTTCCCAAATTTTGTACAGCTTCTTCCGTTGTAAATGTACTAGGGTACGTTCTGAACAGACTTCTATGGGTGTCCAAGCGGTTTTGTATGATGAGTGTAGCGAATAAATCATGGATATCCTACATTCATGGGTAAATTATAAATAATACTTCCAATGAAGAGAAATTGATGTTGCAGGATGTCAAGTATTTACCTTTACAAATGGCCGCCCTTCAACGGTGACTTTCATCATTAAAGTATAAGCTTGGTGTGAAACGTTGGACGACATGTTTCTCAGAAGATTTTAGGGTATGCGGAGCAGAATATCCGATTCGTTGACGTTGCTTCTTCAAAATTTCTGCTTTTTTGGCTTAATGGATTGTTTCCTTGAAATTGCTTTCTCTATCGTCAAGACATCTCATATCAGTTCAAGCTCTCTGCTCGACACATTAAATAGCCCCAAGATGGTACCTTGGATATGTCAGTCTAGGCAATATTTTTGACTCAGATGCGTTGCCTGACTATTTCTGCTTACGTGACTGATTTTCAAATGGGTTGCGTGAATGATCGATATCTAAACGACGACGTATAGCTGTTGTTTTTTCTCTGTACTTTAAGAAAAAGAGTGCTTGCGCCAAAGAAAGATCGAAATAAAGTGGAAGTCTTCGGGAAGCAGTAAGGAGAACCAGGACAAGAAGCAAAAATGCTTTATTTGAGTGGGAGTTGCACATTTACACCCAGCAATTTGACCTGGTATTTCGATATTTTTTTTTGTGGAATATAACAAATATAGAACTTTTTCTTCCATGTAAGAAAAAAAATGATTAAAAAGAAGTCGAAGGAAACCAAAGGTGCTTTTGTTCATGTTTATGCATTCTTTGATGTACGCTTTATCAGTTAGCTCGCTACTTTTATGATTTTCATCCTTCTTACATGGACGATCAGGAAACTAAACACTTCTTGGAGAATAAGAAGAAGTCCATAACTGGTATTAAAAAAAAAAAAACGTGTCGTGACCGCCTCGCAATACAACCTCGTGCTTGGTGGTGGCCATATCGACAATGACAAACAGAGAAAGTGGCGCGACTTTGTTGTATCCCAAGCGCTGCCAGTCAGCCCACTTGCCTACGATCACTGCCAGTTCTAGCCATGGCTGGCAAATAAACAGGATCAGGTTCTAACTGAAGTGGAGCGAAGAAGCCATCAGTTACCCAACGACTCTCAATATATCTTTTGTGGCGGCTGTTGACGACTAAACCTACTGCAAATGTCATTAAACCAGCATCATCTTGCCAGCTTTAGAATCCCTTATATATTATGCTGGCTTTCAAAGCATGTCTCGTCATGCCACTTCTTAAATTGATCTCGCTTTAAGGTGGTTATTACACTTTGAAGAACATAGTGTGCTACAATGGCGCAAGCTTCTTGAATATCCAAGTTGTTTAAGTCCCACAAGACAAATGGCAAAATTTGTAGATATGGTCTAGGCTCGCGTATACGCTTTGTTGGTAGGGAAAGAAAGGAAAGAGCAGACATGGTGTAAGAACGCGGTCGGTTTTTCGAGCAATGAGAGGGATGAGGGATTATCGCAAGCTATGGACTGACTGGTTCAACCTGACCTAGCTAGGCCGCTCCTTTAATGCTTCTCCCAGATCTCACCCTTTTGTCTCATTTGGCATAACCTCCTAGTTTTCCTTCTCCAGCAAATATATAGTATGTACAGGAAACGATTATCCGCTTTCTCACAAAATCCCAATAAATTAGATGTAGAGTGGAGATGATTGTTTTTCGCTTTGTATTAGGATAATAGCCTGCTTCCAGTTAGACTAGGGATACTTGACACATTCTGTACTCTTTTTATATTTTCGTTTCGTTTCTCCCTGCTTAGCTTCGCATAGTCCCTTAGTTCTGATTCAGTCTCCTTCTAACCATGTTCCCCTTTTCGATTACCCAATGCTCCCAATTCATGTCCCTGTGACGCTCCTATTGCTGCTTGGGAACGTGAAGGCTCACGCTCAACCTTTTCTTTCCTTTGGCTTTTGTAACTTTTGCCATCCACTAGTATCTTTGTTCTTCCTGTTTCATCCAATTCCGTTCTTTCTTACATAACAATGGCCGGTAATGATCAGCTCTTCACCTTTTACTCTATTAAATTTATTGAATACTAACTGTACAAGATTCTACGCTTTCCGTTGATCAACCAACCGTAGAGGTACAGAGTCCACCTTCTGCTCAATCTGTAAGTAAAGCATTGAAAATGGCCCAAACTTTATTTCAATGCAGACAGCTGTTATAATTGACGATTGAGCTTGCACAGATCAGTAGTATCGTTCGCAAGAAATTGCAAGGCTATGTCGGCTTCGCAAACTTGCCTAATCAAGTCCATCGCAAATCCGTAAAGAAAGGTTTCCAATTCACCTGTATGGTTGTCGGTAAGATTTATGAGATAGCTTATACAACAGATGATTAGGTGTTTATACATTAACACTGCATTGTGCTTGCGTAATTAATAGGTGAATCCGGCCTTGGAAAATCAACTCTAATCAACACCTTGTTCAATACCCAACTATATCCTGGTAAATATAATGATGAGGCGCCTGTAGAGTCGCCCAAGACAGTCGAAATCAAGTCCATCACAGCAGATCTAGATGAGAACGGTGTAAAGCTCAGGTTGAATGTGGTCGATACACCCGGCTTTGGTGACTTTGTCAACAATGAAGCTAGGTAAATGTTATGTTCATACCAGCAGACAACTATTTGTCATCCAGCTTAAACTGACCAAAACTTTATCATTTTAGCTGGAAACCTATCTTGGACAATATTGAAGCTAGATGCGATATGTACCTTGAACAGGAAAACCGTGTCAACCGTCTCAAAATTGTGGACAACCGTATTCATGCTTGCATTTATTTCATTGCTCCCACTGGTCACGCCCTGAAACAAGTTGACATTGAGTTCATGCGTCGACTCCACACTCGCGTCAATTTGATCCCTGTCATTGCAAAGTCCGATACTATGACCGAAGAGGAAGTGTTCGCGTTCAAAGAGCGTATATTGAGTGATATCAACTTTCACAACATACAGATATACCAAGCCCCACAATATGAGTACGACGATGCAGAAACCATTGCTGAGAACAGAGAGATTGTATCCAAAATTCCGTTTGCCATTGTCGGATCAGACAAGGAGGTTGAAACTGAAGGGGGTCGTAAAGTCCGCGGTCGTGCCTATCCCTGGGGAGTTGTGGAAGTTGACAATGAAGACCAGTGCGATTTCGTCAAATTGAGACAAATGCTCATTCGGTCAGTTGTTGTTTGAAGAAGTTTGTACGTGATGATCCAAACAATTTATTTTTTATTTTGTTTTCTTAACAGAACTCATATGGAAGAACTCAAGGAACACACAAACAATGTCCTGTACGAAAACTACCGTACCGAGAAATTGACTGCTATGGGTATACAACAAGATCCCACCGTATTCAAGGAAGTCAACCCAATGCAAAAGATGGAAGAAGAGCGCCTCCAGCATGAACACAAGCTTCAAAAGATGGAAGGTGAAATGAGAATGGTATTCCAAGCCAAGGTGCAAGAAAAAGAAACTAAGCTCAAGCAGAGCGAGGAAGAACTTTACGCACGACACAGAGAAATGAAAGAAGCGCTTGAAAAACAGAGATTGGATCTTGAAGAAAGGAAAAAGAGAATGGAATCTGGTAGACCAATGACTCCTGAGAAGGCGAAGAAGAAGGGATTTTCATTCAACAAGTAGTGATTGATTTGACGGCTTTCATCTTACCTGCCAGTCACAAAAAGTCCATCCTAATGCTCTCTTTAATTTACTTCCCAAATTTTATTTTACCCTCCACTTTCTTTTCTTACTCTTATATGTAGTTGGTTTGAAATATGACAAACACTCTGGATTCTCACCCATTCCAGAATGTCTTTAAACGTTACAAGCCTTTAGAGGTCAGCCTCCGCCCGTAATTCTGCAATGTCGTTATAAAAAGTCTGTGTGATTAAAAAAATGGTTCATCTTCGACAGGTGGTGCCACTGCATAGTCGACAACAGGTCGACATCCCTTTCGCCATGCCATGGGTAAGCAGCGTTTATAATTCACCTCAGTTTCCCCCCCCCCCCAGTGAAATCTGTTAACCGATTCATTAGCGTATGAATCTATTGGAAACCAGCCAGACTCTCCCGTCCACATACTTCCTAGGTCTGTTCGTGCGTTTATCCTAGCCGAAAAAGAAACTTTCACCGAACTGAACCTATAATGTTGCCATATGTGTAGTTGAAAACGACCAGATTCTCGTCTATGATGATAATCCTGCCCTTGACATTCTCATATCCCAGACTCATACCTTGAAAAACCCTAATCAGCTCTTGTCGAATGGCCGTGTTGACTCGGTGAGCCGCTTTCTTGAACCCTCACATTCGCTTTGACCAAGTTTGGGCCAGTAAATTGATCTCTAACTATCGTCGCACCCTGTGTTAGCCATATAAAATCAACGCTATCAAAGTTGGCTTTATTGGAGATGAGGAAGTCTTAGTTTCTGTGGCGGAAAACGGCAATGTCTGTGTTTGGCGTACGAGTGATTTGGAAGCGCCTCCGATCTTACTCAGGTATCTTTTCAGCGTATTTCACATCACGATATCTACCAATGGTCTCATTACTTGCATCAACTACTGTTTATCAGAAACGACGATTCCACTTGGGGCATCGCTATTCATGCAAAACAAAAGCTGATCGCAGTTTGTGCAAACAATCACGAAGTCACCATCTTCAACATGTCTGTACACCCATCAATGAAACAAGACGATACCAAATCCATCCTTGGATCTGAAGCGGAGTGCCGGCTTATTGGTCACGGTCATAATATCCCCAACATTGATTTCAGCGACTGTGGTCGATTTGTTGTTAGCTGTTCGATCGATCGTTCATGTCGAGTGTGGGATCTCAAGAAAAAAAAAGTCGTCTGTCAAAGAAATTTTGCTGATTTAGGACGATATAGCGACAATTGGTAAGGTAGCATGCTGAGTTATGAGCGGTCCACAAATCTTGCGTAGCTCATACGGTTTATGCGTACAGGGGGTGGTCGGTCAAATTCTTATCCAGAAGCAGCGTCAAGCCACTGTTTTGTGACCACGAGCAACTACGACAAGCCATGAAAGGAAGACCTAGTTATGGTAAACCAACGCTTGGTTTGAGTTACTTTGGCATTCAGCATACGGCCGGCGCTCCTTTGTTTCTAGTCGATTCGGATTCGCTTGATTTTGATATCGGTGGATTTGATTTGGATGGCGCCGATGATGGATACGACGATTATGAAGATATGGACGATGATGGGCTGGACTGGGAGAATGAAAACCTTGCTATTCAAGGTGAGGATTATTTGGATGGTGTCACACCGCAAGATGAAAGCGAGGCATCCGATCAAAGTGACTCGAGTCGTGGATCTAGAAGCGACTCTAACGGCGACTCCAGCATAGTTGAAAATGAAATTGCGAATGGCGATAACGATGAAGACCATGACAATGACGAAATACTGGTGGAGTCCAGCCCAGCGAGCTTACACAGGTCCATAAGATCGTCTCAATCATCAGGCCAGTCCTCTCCTCAAGATCATAGCCGATATGGTGTTCAATTGGCTCAAGAGTATCTATGGAGACAAGAACAAGAAGGGAATGACCGATTGCCTCGTGTCATGTCCGCCAGAGCAGCTGCAGCTCTTCGAGAGCGCCAATCCCCTGTTCGTCGTGATAGTCGTCCTCAAGAAAGCCCTGAGAGTACATCCGAAATCGAGTCCCAAAGAGCGAGAGAGATAGCCCGAAATGCAAGCACCAATACATTTTTTGCTAGAACTTCGTTAGATAACGATGAAAACACCATGCAGTTATTGTTGCCGGAACCAACGCATACACCATCAGAAAGCCCATTTAGTAGACGCCTAACCACCTCGGCACAAATGCTCGAAGTAGCTCAAGGCGGATGGAGCGATGATGAAGATGACAATATCATGGGCGAAGAAACCGATAATACCACAAATGAGGACGAAAAGGAGGAACCTGTCACTGACGTATACCAAGATGCCATCCCTCGCCCGTTCACTTCACACAATGTACAGTTAGACCGAAGTGAACGCATAGTTGAGTTGGAATGCATCTGTAATCCCCTGAAACGCCCTGGAGTTGAATGCATGTGTCCTGCTGGCAACGACTTTCCCGATCAATTAGTGGTGCTAACCACGGGCAAAAATATCTACCTCATGGACCCCAAACAACGTATGCTCAAATTAGCAGTTGACAAGAATATATTGTCGGATATTGATTTACGAACTGATCGAATGCTGTGCATGATGGATCGGTTGAATCTAGTGGAGGTAAGCGTTTTGTCAAGTGACTTTGGATAGAACATGGCGTCTAATACTTGTATTGCTACCAGTGGATACCAGAATTGGAACTACTTATTGTTGCAAGCCAAAAAGGCATGGTAGCGCTTGTCAGAGTGCTTCGAGTTGATTTGGGAGATGACGAAGAAGAATATGTATTTAATCGGGAAGCATATTTACCGCATTCACATCAACGTTCAAGCCCTCTCTATGGTACATTTATATTTATTTTTGATGAGATCGTCCTTTACACAGTACCTGACTTTTCTATTTTTGTGGGATATCCGCATGTAGGACTTACTGTAAAGAAACATGAAACTTATAATGCCAAGCATGGTGCATGTGCTCCTCGCCATGAAGTTTTCTGGCACTTGTACTTGATGTACTATGACGGGGGCGTTTTATCGTACAAAATTGCTCGTAATCAGCATACACAACCGCGCAGGCTTGCTGCCATTTGGGTGTGATATGTACCAATCTAGTAAAGTTAAATTAATAGTACATCCTCATCATCATCATCATATGGACGGCCCTATATTACAAATTTGGAGCAGATCAGACTTGTGAATTAGTTTTTTCTTATGCGTATACACAATGGGTAACAGCATGTAGATATATCGATTGGTTGGGCTAAGAGAAGCAGCGCGACGTTAATATACTCCACGAATAACTGCTTGGCAACCGGGCTAGCCTTGTCGGTTTTTCCAGAGATCATCGTTGCAGCATCTAAGACAGACAGAAAACTTCTACTTAGCGGCAATGCTACTGACGAACGCTTGGCCAAGTTGACATTTTGAATTGAGAGACTGAAGAGGATTGTAAGGATGAACAGGTGCCTCAACCAATATTGCGCTTCACCTCTACTTATTGGCTCATACACGTCTCACTAATGATTACTTCATGCTCGATGTGTGCAGACTTGCAAATAAGCCTCTCTGACATATACTTTGTTATCCTTGGTACACTAAAAACCATTTTCTTTTATTTCATTTACTGACATGTTCCTCCTAGGCAGTGCAGATCCCGTAAACAATCAGCATCGGTATAGCAAGGGTCGAATACTCCTCCGCTTCCTGCATGAAGTGTATTTGAATGAAGTGGCATGTTTTAAGATGGTCGGTTACACCCAGCTATTTACTCGTCCGAAACTTACCGTCACCGTTCTGAGCTTGTACAACAACAAGCATCAAGCCAGCGAGAATAAGTGCACAAGAATGGGTGAAAAAGATCATTTTTAAATTGGTTTTGAACAAAGTGAGTAAAAAAGGATGAGCGAGTTCGTTTCAAAAGTATCTCGTACTAGGAGTTAAGGGTCAAAAAGAACGTCTCGGAAATTTGCCGTCAGCTTGCCAAAAAATGTTTCACTCGCCTTGACTGCCATGGTGCTTTCCACTGTTCGGCTGCAACGTACCACTTCAAAACTGATGGGATAGAGGCCATTATGTTGCTGTTCTCATCAGAAAAAGGGTACAGTATTATGTTAAAAATTCCATTTACAAACATACGAGCTATCGCATAAGAGTGAATAGCGAAGACGACGGTATACTAGCTCAGTATGACGGGCTGGTAGGCATTTCAGAGCATTTGAATGACAAAAATTTTGCTTCGTTGAAAGTACGGATTTGATTGGATCAACTTTTGCTGGCTACAAAGAAGAATAGAATTGGTGCCTTGTCGAATGTTGCAACTCAACTATCCACCTACACACATGTCTTCGGAAAGCGATCTATTGAAAAAGATCCGCCACAACCGCGCATTGCTGTTACCCAGATTGGAGCTTTGGAAAACCGAGATACAAGCGCAAACTAAAGCAGCCAATGCCAACCCTTCATATACGTTAGGCAAGCTTCTCGGGTACATTGGTGAAGTCCTAAGATTACCGTCCTCGTACTCGGTCGAAGAAACGAAATCACCTAATGGATACTACTGCAAAATTACCTTACCTGAGAACTGCACGTTCATCAATGAATACCCCTCTGAGACAGCTATCAACGCTATGATCTCTTCTACCTCGCTGGCCGTGGGTGCTATCCTTGAAGCTTGCTTCAAACTCGACAAAAAGCCGGATTCAAAATCTGTCAAGAGAAAACACCAGGATAATATAATGGGAGTTATGGAGGAGAACACGTTAATGACGGACATTATCACACCAACACCAAATCCACCAGCCACGCTAGCAAATGCCACGCCTCTCCCTGCTTCCAACGGTAGACCGGCACCTACGGAAGCGACCCTACCATCATCAAAGAAAAGAAAATTCGAAGAGGTTACGGTCGACTCTGAATCTGCCATTACGGAAGGCGGTACTTTCATGGAAAAATTAATTGGTGAAGGACCGGATGGCCAACCGCTCATTGATCGAACACACATGCAATTGAACTTGAGCGAGTTCTCCTACAGGAGCCTCTTTGCGGCTATTACAATGGCTATGAAATGGGGTGTCGTTTACAAACATAAAAAAACAGAAGACCAGCAATGCGAATTGAACATGGTGGTAGACCCGAGGGATGGCCACTTGCCTTGGATGGTCTCTGCAGTTCGACCGTCTGAAAAATTGGCTCGTGAAGCTGCTATCAAAAGATTCTTCCAGTTGCTGACTGATGAAGGTATCTTTAGAGTCAGCTCATTGCTACCTCGTATTGAAGATATGAAGGACTATGTAACTGCTCCACCAATCTCTAACGGTCCTTAAAGTTGCGTAAACTTTTGGCACTCGAGCAAATAAGCGCACTATCGAAAACAATTTGATGAAGTGAGCACTTGATTTTCCATATATGTAAAAACGAAAAGGATTGGAAAGGAGACTGTCATTGCACATTTTGTCTACTCGATAAGCATACATCAGTATGTGTAAGTATGCGAAAAAAGTTTCATTTTGTAGTTTACATCATCTTCATACTCTTGCATAATCACTAGTAAATATCAAATCATTCCGTGTACGTTTCATAATGTTCGCTTTTAGCATTACATCACGAGATTTCTTACTCATTATTCTATCGTCGCCAGTGTATTGTACCGGGAAAAATGTACCATTCCATATTCCTTAATGAGATGCAAGGTTTATCCTTTACATAAACAATTCTAAACTATTCGATTCGTTCCTAATCATAAGGATTTTACAAGGTGATTAAGAACATTAGCAGACGCTCAACTATGGTATAACTTGCTTGGGATGTATTTATTATGGCAGAGGTAAGATAAAGTGAGAAATGAGTGACGGGTTTTGCAGAGTACAAATTGATGTTGAAACTATCCAGCTCAATTGTTGGTACTCTTCTCCTCATTCACAGGAACGGAAGTCTCTGTAATCTCTTCCGGTTGAGGATTCACTGGTTTATCTTCAGATTTTACGATTTTCTTCCAGGCGTTGATGATAATGTCATATGATGGCGTTTTGACGGGCAACATAATCCAAATAATGGTAGCTGCCAAGCTCAAACCGAGCGTGTACGGCATCATGGCACCAATTCCAGCTTTATCAATAATTTGACCATTGATGAAAGGGAAGAATGCAACACCGCCTTGTCCAAAGCTACAAACATAGGGGTTAGTTGTCTGCATTTATCTACCTAATAATCAATAATCACTTACGCAGCAATGAATCCAATAGCGGTAGCATGCAAGTACTTTGGCAGCGTTTGATGCGTGATTGCAATAGCTGTAGGAAACATTGGTCCCAAGAAAAAGCCGGCAATGACCAAGCCTGCAGCATCAGCGCCGATGGAAGTTGCCTTCCAGATCAAAATAGTCATGCCACATGTTACGATACAGTACAAGGTGATCATACGCTTTTCACCAAACATGCCTGTGATGTGTCCAAGAATCACTCGGCCAACCGTCAAACCCGCCTATAACTTTGATTAGAATTTGCTACAACCCATTTTTTCCTCTAACATATAAACAGCAATCCAACTCACCCAATAGCCTGACATGACCTGGAAAGTAAGATGCATTGTATTAGCCAAGGAAAGACATCAAAACATAGCGAAAAGATGGGGACCACCCCACCACAAGATGAAAGGCTACATACTCGACCCATCTGCACAGCATCTCCGTTTCGAGCGACAGTCAAGAAGGTATATCCCCAGCCACCAATGGTGGTTTCAATACCGACATAGAATAGCAAGAAGATGGCGACGATCCAGGTGTATTTGAGTCGAACGACCTGAGTAAAGAGACCGCGCTTTTTGGCTGGCTGCTTTTCTTCCACAATTCCGGAACCATTTTCCACCGTTGCCTCCTCTGCTACATCTTCATCTTCTTCATTGTGTTCTGGGATTGCCACTTTTCGGAACGACACCCATAACAGTATGCAATTGAAGACTGCCAAACCGCATAGAATCATGTACGATACCTTCCATGACAAGTTACTGGCCAACAACGATGAGGCAATCAATGGACCGACCAAGGCACCCTAATTCCACCAATTTTTTGTTTGTTAGTATGGTATGAAGCGGTCGTTAGACTGAAAGTTTCTGCTTTTTTGAAATGATGCTTACCAGACCGTAAAAAGCTACGGTAAGAAGGTGTAAGGGATTAGAAAGGTAGGAAGCCAGGAATGAAACCATACCACCACACTTACCGTGAATAAAATTTAAAATAGTCGTAGCATAAGGTAAGAATGAAGGGTATACATTGCAACCAGCATCCAATAAAGCAAGAGCACCACCGAGAAGAGCCATAAAACAGCACATGGCAGGGAAGGGTAAACCAATGAGAAGGAGAACATAGACGATGACAGTAGTGACAGAGCCAAGGTACAAAGCTCCCAATGCCTTCAGTTTTTTTACCAGCCATCCATTGAGGAAAGCCGAAAGGAAATAACCAACGGCTTGGCAAATAAAAAGAATTGATACAAGACTGTCACTGATATTATAGTACTCCTTGAGTCTTGGTAAAATGATACCGAAATTGCCTGAAAAATATTTTCGCAATATACTTTTTTGTCAGATTCATAGAAGTAGATCAGTTGGCAGTAGCAGATCTTTAATTTCAATACCGTCATTAACTCCAAGTAAGAATCCAATGTAGAAACATTCAATGATTGGCAATGCATTTTTCTTCAAGACTTGGCGTGGCGTTAATTCCACTGTCTGTGCAACTTCTGGATCTGACATGTTCGAGGAGGTAGACTTTCGGTCATTGTGTATTGAGGTACTTTCGACTGCTTCTGGCACGGTATTGATAACTGACGAGGTCATGGCAATCAAGTGCGTGAGAGATAGGTCTCTGAATTTATTTGTGAGACAAAAGGTGGAGGAGTGCACCAGGTAAGCGATTAGGTTAAAGATCGTTTTTATATCTCGGCGGAAAGTAAAGTAAGGTTGAATACGAAAGAAGAAAAACTCACATTGCCCTGCAAGCATTCGAGAAACGTGGCAGTAGTCACCGACTGTACACCGACTAATCACCGATGGGTAGCAAGCTTTTTTTGCAATGTCAATAGTATACTAGGCGAGGCATGCTAGTTATTTGTTCATGTCTGCTGATGGAGGACTAGTATGAATCATATAGACTCTATTACCCGATTCCAATTCGAAATTTTGCCAGGCTCACCCTTCGTCATTTGGTCTTAGTTTGAGTCTCCATCAATAGCATTACATTGGGCAGTAGGATCGTCCCTCCTTTGGTCAAAACGAAGAACAATGAGAATTTGAAAATAGCCGTTGCCCGAGCAGTTCGGACAACTCTATACCAATAAGGCATATTTCTATCATGTGTGGTAAGTGATCCCGAAATTTGCATGTTGTGCAAAATGGTCAACCCCGCAAGATCCGCAAACCGTAAAAAAAAAAAAAAACCATTCTAGTTGACTCTCAGCGCTGGACCTATGTCCATCACGTATTCTCAGCATTCCACTACAATGAAACAATAGCAAGCCCTATATCTATAATTAAAAAGGTCGGATCAACATTCACATTTGCTTTTGCAAAACATGTCTGGACGTCAACCGACACATTATTGCAGATTGACGTATAACGATGATGCATTCGAATTGTAAAGTCACATCATGTATTTTGTGTAAACATTAGCACGTAGAGCATGTATATTTGTCGATGATATCGTCACCTGTTCATGTTGTAGTTGTCGTTTTCTTTTCATCGAATCATTTAACCGCAGTCATCGCGGGTAAATCGTTTTGGGACTACCCCACAATTGACTTTTAGGCGGCGTTCATCAACCATGCAGATTTGGCCGACCATATGATGGCGCTCCCAAATGTTCTGCTTCCCTCTCTGTGATTTGGCAATTTCACACAATGTGGGGTTTGCCTGTCGGAAGACTATGCGATTAATAATACGGCATTCAAACGCATCAATCTTTCATCATTACAGCTATATGTCTTTGATATGATGTTAATTGGGATCAGAATCTTTATGTGTGGCAAAGCGATAATCGAATTATTGACAGTAGTGCGTTTAAATGTCAGTTTTCATGCCACAGTATAAAAAATAACATGAACTTTGACCTCAAAGGTCATCCTTGATCCTGAACCGCCAAATCCGCCAGCAACTCACTTAAACCTTATCCTATTCTGTTTTCCAATCAAATTGCGCGCCTTTTAACTGTAGGGCATGGCATGTCGACTTTAACAGAGTTTAAGTTATAATTTGAAAATATGAATGTCTTTCATCATTGATGGTAGCAAGGAATTTTTGCGCTTTTTTTTATTCCATCATAATGTTGCTGTTACCCTATATGCTCATTCCAAAGTCTCATGTGGTAGAAAATAATGTTTCATCCGATTGGAGAATTATACATTGATTAGCAGGTACACTTTTCAGTTCCCAGGAACTCAACAAGTACATGATGAATAGCATTCCATCCAACAGAAATTTATCACCTGTCTTGACTATCTCAATCAAGTACTCGTCGCAAAATGACATAATGTCGTTATATTAGAGCAGGAATCTCTAAATGCAAATGTGTTAGCTTAGCTTATGTCCAAATGCTGCTACTACTCTTTGACTTTCAGCACACTTCCCTATGTCGTTTTTGTAGCTGGTGGGAGTTTTCTAAAATCGCCATTTCTTTCTTTTACTGTTCATCAGTAAGGTGTAAAAAAAAATTAGCAGTCCCATGCTTTACAATGTCCTACTTGTCAAAAAATTAGGTCTGTTTGATGACCTGCATAACGCCTAGATGGCACTGCTTTTTCTGAGGAAAACTTGTTAAGAAGTCGGATACCCCAAAATTTGAAATGGAAGGAATAGTTGCCAGTTCTTTCAAATGCGGACATATGACGGTATCTGTTTGTAAATATATTTTTTTAAATTTTTTTTTTCTTTCAATTACTTTCAACAAAGTCTTTTTGATTGCATTTTCCCCTCAGCATGCTCGTTGTTGGGTCACGTCAAATTCAATATATGTATAATAAAGTAGGAATAGTCAGAAATCAAACTTATATGTCGTTGACAGATATTGTAATGGTCCACACTGCGAGCTCATCTGAAGGCTGGCTATGATGTAATTGGATTTTCTGAACAGGCCTCAATCAAGCCAATATTCAGAAGACTATGATTCACCCGGCGCATGGTATTTAACTATTGTTACAATTTATGACTAAAAGTTGATTCCTCAGCCAACGCTAGTACACCGTAAGAACCTTTTGAATGTGGTGGCGCCAGTTTAGGCGAAGCACATGCAAAGCACCATCATGTTTGTTCAAATTTCTCGCACACCTCTTGAGTTTATATTGCGTTCCCTGTTCAGAAAACATAATGAACGCTGACGACAAACTTTACTACTTTGCAGAATAAGTACCGCTAGGTTAAGGTTTGCGAAAGACCTTTTTCAGAACTCCTTGTATGTCAGAGCTCTCAGAGGAGGAGTCATGACGTCGTGGCACTTTATCTCGTTCACTTTCAAAGTGGTTGTGCGAAAGCCTCATTCTTGAAATAACTAGGAGGTCCAACAGTATGGATAGGTCCCAACATCATGAATCGACTAACCCATCGTTGTCACACCATAACGGTAATAATACTTCAGTCTCGGCGTTACCAAATCGATTGATTTCCAGAGCGATCAGATTAAATGTATGGAACGGTTTGAGCTTTGACTCTGTTGAGTGCTTTGACTTTGTTGGTTTATCGGTTTAGGTGGCGATTAAAAAATAAAAAGGGCGGCGATAAGAACGTTAATGCACGTGTCAAACGGCTGACAGCGTAAATTTGTGGCCAACACTGGACGACTATGAAGCCATCAACGTCAGAAACTTTTCGACCCAATCTATAGACCCTTCAGAAATTATTTTGGCTCCATTTCACAAGGTTACAACACACGGTACGGTAACACCAGCAATAAATCGATTTGAAAGGAGCCCCCCAAAGATGGCCCTGTATCAATCGAACTAAATTTTTTCCAAATTGGCATGTTGGAGCGAATTCGATGTTTGCGCTGAACCTGAGAATAAAAAATACACAATCACAATCTGTTGATCCCTCGAGCTAAGTTGCATGGTTCCCTATCCACATGCATTAATGTGTGTGTCGCTCTTACTTTGAACGTTTGGCAACAGTGATGTCCACCACGAGCTAGTAAACCTTATGGTTCTTGTACCGCTTGTCGACCATCGTTTCGTTTTCCCGTAAATGGTGTTCCGAAAATCAATTGTAATATGATAGAGATGTCATTCTCGAGCGAAGTTCCCCACTGGTGTGCAAACTTTGAAACATTTTAACTCACGGACGTATATATTATTTTATTATAGGACTATTATATTTTATGTTTCATATTTTTTGTGGTGTTGAACTCAGTCTTGAACTTATTTTGAAAGCTTGGTTGCACCATGGGTGGGTATCTTTCCGTATGGCGCAGCGCCCAATGTAATGGACCCCCCACTTCCATCAGACTTGATGTGTTACTTTCATCGACGATGTTCGCGTCCTCATCGTCGATTCCACCGGAACTGGTCCGTCATGGTCTTAACACTCTCTCACTGTATTTGATCCTTAACATCATCCCGCAACGCTGCAATTTGTAAATGAGGAAATAATTTTTTTATAGAGAACTTGCTGAATTGTATACAAGTGAGACTCGAAAACTGGCGACAGTTGTCTAAATGCTAACTAATTTTTGTGCGATTCCAGGAAGTAAGGCTCAGACTGTTGTTCAAGAACGAGCAGACGGCCATGATAAAGAATATATGCGTTTTAAAAAAGGGGAGTGACTTTAGCAGGAGAGGAGAAAAGTAGTGAAATTTTTGAGTTTTCAAAAACGAAAATAGAGAATGGTACATGTGGTTTTGGGTTATATGAGATGATGCGATGAAACGGAGTTCTCCACGCACTATGTCGCAGTTGTTTGAGAGTGAACAAGAAGGTAGAGGAGGGCTGAGAATGGATGGGCTCGGTGCGGAACAAGCAGGGTAGTTAGATTACTGGTCCCTCTGTATTGTTTTTGTTTTCATTTTTAGGTGTGCGTATGTGGTAATGATGGGGAGATAAATTGGATAGAGAGTGATCCTATCCGCATGAATAAACAAAATTGGTTTGGCGATGGTGGGGTATATGTTACTTGAGGAGTGGGCAGGTAGGTCGCTTATGACCGTATTTTCCACCTGAAGGTACGCAAAAGTTAGTTAACGCGTCAAACGTCAAAAAAAAAAAATTTTTTTTTTATGTAATTAACTTACACCAAGAACATTGTCCTCCTGACAAGTTGACAGGTTTAACAATATATGAGCCGTTGACGTTTTGTGGTTTTGAGGGATGAGAGCATGCCATGTTGGATAAAGATACTTGGTGTGTGGGTGTGTGTATTGAAAGACGAAATAATAAAAAAATGGCCGAGCGCTTCAAAGTAGAAACAGCCTTTTTATAGCGAAAAAGGAGTTGCTCCTCTTTTTTTTATACCGTAACACCTCCCCATGATCGCCAACCTCGGTACAGCCAATAGCACCAGTAGAATACACGTGAACTGTTTCACTGCCACCCCCAAAAATAAAATCCCATTTCGCTCACAGACTTACCGCGTGTCTGCAATGTGTCTCGGCGTATATCAGCTAACCTGCCCTGTTAACTGACCTTGCGTTGATGATCTACCTGCACTTCCGGGAGCAAGTCTCGATTTTTGGTACCCCTAGGATGGGCACAAACACTTTTGCGTCATTGGCAGGCTTTCTTTTATATGTAGGTAGAGTGCCCTGAACTCCTGGGAGTAAAGTCCACAAGTCAGTGGTGGTTGTGTGCTTTGTCCAGCAAATGCAATCACCGCATTAAAATTTGGCGGCGGGCAGAAAGTATTAACTGATACTAAACTGCCCCTTCGAACTTAACGTTTGACAGTTGGCATACATCATGGGGTCGTAGTTAGAAAAAAACTTGTCAATGAATGTGTTCTGCCACACCCATATGGTACCGCTTTTGTACACCCCATGCTGCACCAGCAAGAAAAAAAATTTGAAGGATTACCCATTCCTACCATGTCCGAATTTTGCTCTTATGGAGAATGAACGCGCGCAGTACGAATGGCCAAATTAATGGACTAGGACCGACTAGCTTCGGTGGGGTTGGGTTAAGTTTGACCTTTTTTTTTTTCTTTTACTTTGTCTCGTTTATTTGATAGCATGCAGGCATCATCATTACATATGGAAGGGGAAATCCCCTCGAATAGCAATCTGTTGAAAACCAAAAAAAAAGAAAACGAAAATCACAAGGAAATTCTATCTCGCAGCATATACAATAGCCTAGGCTCCCGGAAGATACCATTTTTTTTATATAAAAATTCCTTGTTGTCAAGGAAAGAAAGCTCATAGTCTGAGCGGAAAGGGAGCAGGGGGAATGACCACATTCTAATTCGAAACAGGATGCCTGTAAGCATGTTGCTGGCGTTCTTGGTCTGACTGTGATTCGAAACCGGATGATCGTCTTCGGCGGTAGCGGTAAACTTTGACAACGGGTTGGGTGGATGGGGATCGCCTGCTTCGTTTGCTTTCTTCAGAGGAAAGCCGAGGCTCAGATTGAGCAAGTCTACGCTTGCGGGAATCAGTAGCGGATGGTGGTGATGGGGGGATTGGCGTTTCTTGCCGATCGTATGGCGTGCACATTGCTCCTTCCGGGCATGCTCCTGACACCATGGGTAGTGCAGGAAGAGTTCTATGATGGTATGGATCTTGTTGTTGTTGTTGTTGTTGATTTAAATGTGCTGGTGGTTGCTGCGCGGACAATTGGGGTGTGCTTGGAGCAATGGAAGGCTGATGCAGAATTTCTAATTTCGAAACGATGTCCGCAACCTTTTGTTTGCGATTAATCGTATGCCATCGATCCGCATGTGCCTCGCTATGCTTCTGTTCATCGGATTCCGCATCACTTTCCAAGTTAGCCCCAGACAGATATGCAATCAAGGATCGCAGCTTCAGCAAAATGGCATGATCGTCCCCATCGGTGATGATAACTTTAATTTTCTCCAAGTGCTCGAACGGAGGATCGTCCAATTTGGTTGGAAGCTGGAGCCATCTTAGCCTTGCAAATAATTCAGCATGTGAGTAGTTGGTATTTTTGGAATCCGTCGGACTGGGCAATGACTGCGACATGTAGGCAGCTACTTGCTCCATGTATTCCTTATGGTGACAGCGATATTCCCAAAATGTCAGAGGGATAGAATTGGCAGCTTGCAACAAGCCTAACTTCAGAGAGAATGCTTCTAAATGATCCGTGAGTGCTTCTATGACGGCCATAGAAGTGCCAAGCTCAATATCTTTCAAGGCGTGGGCGAATTGGTCGAAGATTTGAAGTATACCAATTGAGGTTACTTTGTGTAAACCTATAATTTTCAATGAATGAATCCCATAACTTCGAGTAATGCGAGGTACGATGTAGGCGATAACTTCATCATCGATATCTTGATTATGGTCCTCGAATAGCATACCAGCATTCCAGATATCTGCTGTCTCATAGATCAATTGGTGTAGTTGGCGACAGGTACTGGCAAGTAGAATGACGTCTTTTAAGGCAAGTGTATCGACCACCTTGATCAATATACTTGGATTCAATGATAGCAGTTGGGCCATTACAATGAAATAAAAACTCCAGTATGGTTGGCGAGTGAAGTGAAAGATCGTGTATGGCTCTGATGTAAAAAAAAAAGAAGGCGCTGGTCTACAGGACGTCTTTTTCAGTGATATTTCTGATGAAAGTTGGAAAAAGGAATACAGCTTGCTTTTCTGGGGACCACGCGTCAATTTTGTCACCACAGCATGTTTGTACCACACTAACCTTTGCTGTACATTTTATCTTGCGTCTTTCACTTTAAGCAGTACTACTAAAGTGAAGGGGGCGGATCGTCAATTTTACCTTTATTTCTCTTGTGAAGTCCACAGTGGATACTTGTGCTTGCTTCTAATCACTGTCATCTATGGCAGGGGAAATGAGGGGGAAGATGATTCAAAACGGCGCCGCAGATTGAGGTGTGCTTATCCCCTTGTTTCATTCCGTGAGATATTTTAAGCACTGACACCAATGTGATGGATCCACCAAGGGACGTCCAAGGAAAAGAAAAGAAAAGCCTGTTTCACAAGTTTTAACTATATGAGTATCGCTACGATCATCGAGTTGATGTCTCTTGTCCCAGAAGGGAAACAGTAACCTGTCGAATTACCCACAGACAGGGTATTACGTTATGCCAATTAGATGACGATGGGTTACAATAATGCGCGCGGTGCGCTGCGCACACTATAATCTTATGGTTTCTATCGCATGGTGATACCGAATTTGTGAAATGAGAAGGTAAAATGGAAATGAGTGTAAAAGTTTAAAAAATTTCCCATTGAGAGTTGAATGATATCAGTGATCAACGTCAAAATGCTTGACTTTTATTTTTTTGGGAGGCTTCCCGTATTTAGCACAACATTGTAGAAGAAAAGCGTGTGATGAAACACATTGTAATCGATATCCACTCCTTTAAAGGTTGAGCTTGGTGCGGCGCCAGTGACGACGCTTTGCGTTCCAGCTGTAAAGGCAGGCAGTTTGGTTAGAGGATAGTCTATGACACGCATGATACGCCAATAAGGCAAGTGACTTACTTGATTGTGTTGCCAGTACGCATGCGGATCCACTGGGGAATAGGTCGATTTTGCTTTTGAGCCTTGCCCAAGATACGCTTGGTCTTGAATGACTTGTTGGAAGGCTGTTTGGTAAAGGAAGGTTTCAGGATTTAGTTATGTAAGGTATGACGAAATCGGGGAGAATAGCAATCGACAGAAAAGTAATTCTGCAGGATGCAGAAGTTGCGTTTGAGCTTGCGGTTGGCGTTGAAATGTTGTGCGAAAATGTCAAATGCCTTTGAAATGTCCAAAAATTCGACGTTGCATTCTCAAAGTAAAATGTCAAAGAGCTGATATGTCGCATTCGATATCATCATCCATCCATCAATCCATCGATTCGTCTATTATCTTTCTGTCGATTGCTAACATCCCATGTAAATTATCATGGATAGGTTGCTCACCATTTCAATCGAAAAAGAGGAAGGCTGTTCCTTGCCTGGCCTTCGCCTGACCATATGTCGGTGAATCCCAGACAGAATCCAAAAACGATGACGACACGACTTGACCTGTGTAATTAAAACTCCGGTCACCTTTCAGTGAATCCGCCAAAGGATGGAGTCTTCGTCAGTGTTAACCCGCCCCACTCGATGTGAAGACGACTAGTTATTGAAAATAGCAACGTTTTAAAAATTATAGAATAAGTAAAATTACTTTTGCCGATACGTAACTGGAAGCGACATCACATACTTCAAAGCACATACATAAACCTACCAAGGTACGTCCTATCCTCCAACATCTCGCCATAACGTCTAACTACCAAGTATAACGAGGACAGCAGCAATCAAAACAAATAATTAAAAAATAATGACAGCACAAGACATATTTGTAGAGATTTAAGATTTTTATTACAGTGCAATACCTATAGTTTTTATGTGCAAGAAAAAACAAAATGACTTGCAAGGATATATTCGATGCAATGCATGTGTACAGTTTTTCATCAACAAAAATGATTAATAACAGCTAGTAGTAGAAGGATGAAAACACTTCTAACTCTTAAGTCCTGCCAAATAGACTCGACAGAATCCAATATTCCCCGTTTCTGTGGTCGGATCAAGACCTCTTCGTTCTCTAGTCGTAATTGCTGCTCTTCGGGGGTCAGGTTGGTGGGTAACAATGGAACGCCATCTTGACCTGTTGCATTGTGTTGACGGCCTGCCTCAGGCGCAGGAGATTTCGCACACAAATAAGCTGTGATCTCACCGGTAGACTGGCTGAGCCAGTATGAGACATAGACAAACAATGCCGTTGAAACAAACATGTTGATCCACCATCCGAGACCTCGGACCCATCCAGCAGGTTGAAGTACAACTAGTAAACCTTTGGTGTCTGCGGCCAGCCACATATGGAACTGGCCAATGAAGGTCTCAAGTGAGCATTTACCGATGAACGCGTATAGAGTGGAAGATGTGTTTCGAAGCTTGAGAGTTGCATTGCGAAGAATGATGAAAGAAATGATCGGAATCCAGGAGATATAAGGATGATAGGCATTGTATTCCACTTTACCAGGCTGAGAGAGTTCGAACCAGAAATACCAAAACATAGCCACGATAGACACAATTATGGATAAGCGTTTGATCATTGGCCATTGAGGTCTCTCGCTAACCTTCATCTCTCCGAACTTGATAGTGATGAAGGCACAGAGCATGCCGATGTAAACGATCCAAGCATCCAAAGAGAGACGGAATTGCCATTCAACTGGATTCCAGTGAATGTTGAATAAGAGCTCAAAGATATCGAAAATAGCCTTCATAATTCCTTCTCCTTTTATGATATAAGTGGTGATAGCCATGAATACTGCCATTTTGCCGAGAAGGAACCAAGGGTTCTTGTTATATGCGTTGCCAATATACATCATTGTCCAAATGATGATGAACCAGAAGCTGACGAGGGGTGTGAAGTAGTAGCTGAGATAATTGGTGTTCATAGCATACTCTAGGACTACAGTTAACAGGTTGAGGCGGACCATGACGTTCATGAATCTTGCGATGCCAAAATCACCCTTCTTGTAGAAAAAGAAGAAGTGACCATAACCAGTCTGGAAAAGGTAGGCAGCTACCAAAACACGAATAGGGTTGTAGATTCCTGAAGTACCAGAGGCAGCGAGATAGTGATATATCAAAATGACAATTTGCATCCAGCCTTTCCATTCATCTGTTTGATCACGATTGAGAAAACCTTGATCTCCTTCCCGCTTGCTGCTCTTCATGGTGACAATTCCAGCTGCCAAGGTTACGAGAATCAGGATTCCGAATACATTTGGGTCAAACTGTTTTTGTGCCTTTGCAAACAAGGTGGTACGATCGCAAAAGTACATATAAACCACTCCAATACCAAACATAAATGCAGCTGTCAGTGCCTTCTCAGAAGGGATCAATCTGTATAATGAAGAATTGAACAGCGGTTTCTCTAGAAAAATAAAACAATCAACGAATATTAGATAAACCCAATGTACGACTTTCAACAGTGCTTAAACAAAAACTTACCGGAAGACCGCATATATAGCGCAAATGGTACGCAGATAAGAATGACAAAGAAGATGACATTTTGATACCATCGAGTGATTGGGTATCGGTAGCAGCATGTGTGATCCATAGGGAATTTCTTGGGAAGCTGGTCATTGCATTTGAAATTGAGCAAGATCTCTGCCTGCATGGCGGTGATGATGGGATTAAAGTGCAAGCCGTCACTAGAGACATCGCCAACATTTTCGCTCATCAAATTCCAGGCAAACGGAACGACAAGGCGAGCTGGAGAGGGCTTCACAATTGAAACTTGATCCTTAAGATAAGAGTTCATCATCTGGACAGCATCAGGGCGGATGGTAACTGCACGATCTTGATTCAGATGATCATAATCAGGCTCTTCGACAGGCGACAACAATAAGCTGTGGGCGATGGGGCTTGGCATTTTGGCAGCATCAAACACTTTATCGACAGCACTTTTCCATCCACTGAACGCATCTTCACCTTCATAGCGAAGATACCATAGTCCAGTTCCAAAGACCACAAGGTTCGGGGCTTTGTCTGAATCTTGACCCTCTAACATGGATAAGGTTCTTGTGGAGTTGAGATATGGGTCCCACCAAAATTCCAGTGTAAATTCTGCCTCTTCATATCCGAGCCGACGATCAGTATGCTTTTCTCCAGATGTATCTACTTCAGGATTGATGAGCTTTGCTACTCCGTAAAACTGGTTGCGGACGACTGAATCACCAACAAAAAGAATCCGAGTGCCAGTAAAACAATCCTCAATTTCTTGGGGCTTGTAGGTATGCATCATACATCCAGCAGGTTGCCAGTTCTTGTATGAAGAGTCTAGCCACCAGCCATCGGTAAGGACGCTTGAACATCTTTCCTTGTCATATGGTTCTAATTGGATCGAGAGCGATGAGCCATCGAGATGAAAACGTGGTGGACCAGATGGATGCAAACATTACCTATGAAAAACCTTGCAAAGGCTGCCAGGATAACGACAGCAAATGAAATCCAAAATACCAAGTGGGATAGTATCGGATTATTGGCGGAAGAGCCCATTATTAAACATAAATCTCGTTCGAGTTGAACGCTTGCCCAGTACCTGGCAATTTGGGATCAGCCCGTTTTGGCCATCTTTTTTTGAAACGCCGCATTTAGCCCTCCAGTGACTGGCTTCAACAAGATCCACAAACAAGAAAAAAAAAAAAAAAAGGGGATGACAATCCCACGCCGATCGACTCCATTTTTCAAAAATTCACAATGTCGCCTGCAAAATAATAATAAACAAAACACGGGGCCGTGACGAACGAATTTAATTGAAACGAAGAGGATTGGAAAAATAAATGGAAGTCTGACGAAGTGAGCTGAGATTTGAAAAAGAAACTATAGCCTATTACTTCAATATCTTATTTCGCGGCCATACCAGTTTTCGAAAAGCTCCAATACGCAAAATCTCCATCACGAATAATTTGACCACCAGTGGCATCAAGCTTGGATTTAAACAATGGTGCATCAAGAACCATAGTATGGAATTCACCATATTCACCAGCAAGATCCACATCAAGGCCAGACTTGACGTTGTGTTCCCTGACTTTTTCCAAGAGTTCTCTGGTCAGTTTCTTTCCGACAAAGCTTTCTATGTCGAGACCGCTGTCGAACTTGGTGATATTTAAACAGGAGATGAGGACATCGAATTGCTGTGTCCAGATATCTTCCAGAATTTCTGATCTAGGAGCCTCCCACAGTGGTCTAACGAGCTCTACTCCTGTTGTTTCCACCGCTCTGGGCATGAAGCTATGACAGACATCCAGAATATCGCCTAGAATTTTCTCTGCGTGAGTTTGTAATACGCGCTGCATCTAATAAACCTAATATCCTACCTGTCACCAACGCTTCAATACCATACTCCTCCTTAAGACTAGTAATATGTGTACGGTAGCTTCCAAGGAAATCAGGGCCATCCACGAGACAGACCTTGTGAGGAATTCCTATTGACTGAGTCTGCATTTCAACCACTGACATGGGATGAGCTTTGAATTTCTGCATGTTGGCAGGTGCAAAGGTCACTAATAGACAGATGTCAAATTCTTCGCTGCGCACAGCACGATGCAATGCTAGTGTGCAGTCTTTTCCTCCTGTGAAGCATAAGGCGGCCTTGCGTTTGGTCATTGGTATTGAGGGGGTTGTCGAAGCACTGAAAAGACCGCTGTCAGAATTTTTTTTCTTGGTCAGTGTCCTACATTACTTTTGCTCACCATGGTTGCCTCAACCTCCCAAGAGGTCATTCCCGAAGATCCCACCGCCTACAAAACACAACAGTACTGGGAAGAGCGGTACCAAAAGTAAGTCGAGATAATTGCGAAAGTTACTCCAGAACATTGCTAATCTAATGACTTGCAGAGAATCACCACAGGTCACTTTTGACTGGTTCAAGACGTACGAAGACCTTAAGCCTACATTCAACGCAGCCATACCATCGAAGGAATCAAGTATCCTCATGCTTGGATGTGGCAACAGCAGTAAGTGAATATTCCCGTCAAAAAACGGATTGAAGGATCGGGGCTGATTTCCTCTCAGCTTTAGGAGAAGACATGTATGATGATGGGTACAAGAACATTACCAATATCGATTATTCCGCCACTGTCATCAAGCAAATGGCAGAAAGATGTGTAGATCGGCCAGAGATGAAATGTAAGTGTATACTCAATTAGATCCAACGCTGCCATTGCTTTTGTTAATGACGGGCATCAGGGTTAGAAATGGATATTCGAGATCTCAAATTTGAAGATCAGTCATATGATATTGTAATTGACAAAGGCACTATGGACGCATTGATGTGCGACAGAGGAGACGTTTGGGATCCATCACCAGAGCTTATTCAAGAAGTGAAGGCAGAGGTAGATGAAGTAACGCGAGTACTCAAAGTCGGAGGCAAATTTATCTATATCACTTTCGGTCAACCTCATTTCCGTAAGCGACATTTGCAACGAGATTGTTGGGATGGTATCAAGGTCAGCACTCTAGGTGATGCCTTCCATTATTTCATCTACGAAATGACCAAGCAGTCTTAGAGGAACCATATTTGATAATCGCAAAAATAGAATAACCACAATCGTTTTCATAAAGCTACACAAGTACATTATATTCTACCAAACAGTGTTTGTTGGTTAATGTTAAAAAAATGGATGATATATAAACAAATGTGCATGCAAATTGCCAATGCTGGTATGGTATAGATGATATTCTAAGCAATGAAGGGCATCAAAGTGGGTGTCTTTTTCTTGTAAGCGTCCCATTCTTCGCGGAAGAATCTAGACAAGGTGTGCTCTTCATACTGGATGCGATCTGAGAAGAAACGATGCAGCCAGTAAACGAATAGCGCAAAGCAAATTGGATTCATCAACACCACCTGAGCACCTATCGCCCACCAGTAAAATCCAAAGTAGGAGGGGTGTCGCATGATGGAATAAATGCCACTGGTGACGAGGACATGGTTAGAAGCTTTGTATGAGACGATGTGGTGAGAGAAGTTTGATTTCGCTGAAAACATGGCGATAGTACGAGCAGCTTGGCCAGATACCATCAGAACGAGACCTATGACAAAGAGTTAGTCACGACTTCCTTTTTTTTTTTTCAATTGTGCAGATTTATCTCGAAACGCGGAAGCTTACCGAGCCAATTGATGACACCGAATTGTTTCCAAGAAGGAAAGAAGTACGCCTCTATTAAAAATTCGGTAAGGCCAGCGAGATGAGCAGCGTGATAGTGAGTGCTGTGGTTGATCAGAAAGGCTACAAAAAGGGATTAGTGTTTCGCAATAGATTTTTTTAGTACCTCTTATGCTTGATCCACTTACAATCCAAGCTGAGTTTAGGTCCATTGAAGAGCGCAGTTGCCAAATACTCTAAGAAGTGGAAGATAGCCAAGCACATTAAGAATAGCCACATTTGAGGGTAAATCACACCCGTTGCAGCAAATGCTATACTGCATCCGGCCAATATTCCAAGACCGAATCCATATGTTGCGATGTTTTGTGGGGTGTTTTCTCCATCAAAGAGCTTTCCCTCACTATCATGGTTTGTGACATTGCTTGGAAAAGGCTGTGGTTGACGTACAGGCGCTTCATCGTCATCATCTCTTATTAATGTAATTCTCTGCTTTGCTCTGTCTTGCAGACGCGAGTCTTCAGTTTTCTCGGTTACATGACTTGAATTTGACATTTTTAGACTGCAGGAACCATAAGTCAGTCGAAAATTGACAGGCAAAAGCTCAGGATATAATACACATCTGATTGGCTCGCACGATTTTTTAAGCCACCGTGACCGCTTTGACTCGAGCGATTTTTTTTATTGTTCAGCCGCTGTTTCCACTGGAAATTTTTTTCTGTGAAGAACCCTTTCCCTCTTTTTTTTTCTAAACTAATCACTCAACAAAATGGCTTATGATCGTGGTGGTCGTGGCGGTTCCCGTGGAGGTAACCATAGTCTCAACCTAACGTTTATGCTGTATTGAACGACTTTTGCTAAATATAACCCTATTTTCATCATCACAGCCAGCCGTGGAGGTCCTCGTGGAGGTGGTCGTGGAGGCTTCGGCGCTAGAGGAGGAGGTGTTCAAGGTGGTCGCGGTGGCGCCAGAGGTATGTATCCATCGAAAAAATAGGACAGTTCATGTTTCGTCAATAACTCAATATGACTAACCTTATTTCCTTTTGACTTGATTTTGTTATAGGAGGTGCTCGTGGCGGTCGTGGTGCTCCCCGTGGTGGACGTGGTGGTGCCCGTGGAGGTCGTGGTGGTGCCGCTGGTGGTGCCAAGGGAGGAGCCAAGGTCATCATCGAACCTCACAGACACGAAGGTATCTTTGTTGCCCGTGGTAAGGAAGATTTGCTTGTCACCAAGAACTTGGTTCCCGGCGAAGCCGTCTATGGCGAAAAGCGCATCTCCGTTGAAGGTGCTGATGGTACCAAGGTTGAATACCGTGTCTGGAATCCTTTCCGTTCCAAGATTGCCGCTGGTATCCTCGGTGGTGTTGATAACATTCACATCGCTCCTGGAAAGAAGGTCCTCTACCTCGGTGCTGCCTCTGGTACTTCCGTCTCTCACGTTGCCGACGTTGTTGGTCCCGAAGGTGCCGTCTATGCCGTTGAGTTCTCTCACCGATCTGGACGTGATTTGATCAATATGGCCAAGAAGCGAACAAACGTTATCCCAATCATTGAAGATGCTCGTCACCCCCACAAGTACCGCATGCTTGTCCCTATGGTTGATGTCATTTTCGCTGATGTTGCTCAACCTGATCAAGCTCGTATCATCACCCTCAATGCTCATCACTTCTTGAAGAACAATGGCCACATTGTCATCTCTATCAAGGCTTCTTGCATTGACTCTACTGTTGATCCTGCCACTGTCTTTGCTCGTGAAGTCAAGAAGCTTCAAGAAGAACGAGTCAAGCCCCAGGAACAATTGACCTTGGAACCATATGAGAGAGATCACGCTCTTGTCGTTGGCAAGTACGTTCGCGCGAAATAAATCTGGATACTAGAAAACAGAAAGAAGTAACTGGAAAAACGGTAGACTGGAAGGCTCAAGCTCAAAAATTTTTCTTTTTCCATAATTACAAGCCTTCCTACACTCTTTGCACCTTTTTTTTTTTTATTATTTCGTTTATACACTTGGATCACTTTTTTCTTTCTTACTATCTCGCTCACTTTTGTCACTGTACTTTTTGCTTCTCAATTTCCTCCCTTTTGTTCCCATCGTCTTCCAGATTATTGTATATGATTTCAAATGCATTTCTCTCCAAAAAGAAAAAAATTCCACGGTAATACACTTGCTTTTTTTCATTGAACGCTGCGACGACCCGACTGCTAAGAGAGCAACGGCCCAATGGAGAAAGCCTTGTTGAGAGGAATGCCACTTTTGTCGCCTAGCAACAGGAAACCTTATAAATCTCGCTTGACCTTGCATTCAGTTGTTTCCCGTAATTCTAATATTATAATGAACTTATAAGGTGAAAAAGAGTGACTTCCTTGAGCCATGTAAAGTTCGTCTATCTATTCCATTTAAATCCTGAGTCGATATTCGTTGCTGCGCTGTAAAATACATTGCGCCCCAATGTGCGTATTTTTTTTTTCTTTTTCTTTCTCTTTTTTTCAGCTTCCCGCTTGCTGCATTTGCAGGTCTCTTACCATTTCTTTGAAAGTGTGTGTGCATGTTTGTGGAGTCACAAGACGACACAAAATGTCCTTTGCACTGGTCATCTGCTCAACCGATTTCAAAAAAAGAGATCGCCTCCAACTTGACCGCAAAGCCGCAGCGCACACCTTTACGTAGTTTTACTTTGTAGCCTAGGCAATACAGTCGCACCATTTGGTGGGAAACGTTGACTTTGAACATTTTTTATCAGCGGACACACAATTTCTCTTACCAGATAACAACGAGATGGTTGCTCTTATCTTTCGATAATAAATGTTGTACAATTTAAAAAATTATTATAATGGGATTGTTGGCCACAAACACATTCTTCCGAAGACTATACGAGGGGTCTTGCATATACCCGTGACTACACAGACAGAGGTGTGAAGAATCGGCTAGTCCATTGTTTTATGCTGTACGGGAGAACTTTGATTGCGGTGGCTGAAAAAAAACAATTGGGTGAGATCCGACCCAATTTTACGCTTTGCACAGTATGACTCGTTAAGGTCTGCCCTTCTTTTATTTTCTCTACATCTTGGAAATTCCATGTCCTTCGCATGACCATCTTCATTTTACCTGCTCGCCTGAAACTCTTACATTTTCAGAAGCTCCAGCTTCCACTGGTTGCCCACGCCTTGATAAAAGCCTGTCTCCTATCCGATACCACCGAGTACGTAACTTTGTCCCAAACCATTGGACTGCGCACGGTCACAGCTTCTAACATCGTCATTTTATAGCCCTAGTTACTTTTTCAGCTACACAGAAAACAGCTATGAAATTAGCATAGTCGCCAGTGTCGAATGCATTGAAAAAGACTTTTTACCCTTGCTCAGTTCCGACTCCTTTAGTGGGGTGCAGGTGTCTCAGGATGTATATAGAGTTTTACAAGTAGACGACGAAGGTGGCCAAGGTTAGTATAAGATCCAGTTCAGGACCTGTTCACGTATTTCAAAGCATAACCTGTTTGCCATTCTTCTGTGTAAAGATTGTTCTGGAAAGCGCATATCCGACCTTTCCGCTCCGCTCGCCCAAGCTCAGTTCTCTATCTTCTATATGTCTACTTATCAAACCGACTTTGTTCTGGTAAGTTAGATGAGATTATCAACCCGCCCCACATTTCTTGTTGTTTGCTAAACTGCATGTTTATCTTTTTTGTACATTCCGTATAGATCAAAGAGATCAAATTAGCTGAAGCAGTGGCATCGCTCATACGCCATGGCTTTGACTTTGATCAAGAATCCGTCGACGAAGAGTTGGGAAGCTTAGATATGGCCCATGTTGAAACTCTCAATGCGCCCAGCATTGCACAAAAGACAGATGAAATGCAATTACACGCTGATCTTTCCCAAAGCTGGGAACAAACAGTTTTAGATAACGAGTTACGATGCGTTGGTTTAAACAAACATGCCGATGCTGCTTCGTGGTGTATGTCAATTTTGAAAATCTTGTTATATCCAGACATGATTGATGGCTACAGGTCAGTGGGAAAGGGCTTTCTGTTGTGCCATATCAATGCTTTAAATACTGATCTGCATTATTCAATAGAGATACAATAACGCCAAGGTTCTTCTCATATACCTCGACATGCGAAGGAGTATCGCTCATGACAGATCAGTACATTCTTGACACCTTTGACGAGAACATTATATGTGGAACGGAAGACGAAACTCCTCTCCGAGTCATTCAAGTCAACCTCAGCGACTCGAACTTGGATCGCTGTGGCATTGTTAGATCGATATCACACCCACTTTCCACTGAAGCGCAAATCAACATTCTCTATTTGAGCACATATACCACAGCCAATATCATTGTAAGTTGGACATGGGGTGAATTTTTTTTTGGGCAGTAAGGAACATGTCTCATTGATATGCTTCTTTGGTAGGTTTCTGCTGGAGATTTGGAACAAGCCAAAACTGTCATGACATCTAGACCTCAATTGGACATTCCTGATCCAACAAAAGAAGAAACGCCGGTATCTGCACTTAGTGACCCTATAGAAACATAACGGTTCATTCCAACCCTATGAATGATCGGTTCTCGACTCCTTAACACCATCTCCTCACATCGACCAACCTTTTAGCAATAACATTTATAAATTAACATAACAAAAAGTCCCTGCATGGTTTACCACGCCTTATCATCACAAACAGAAAACCGCACAATGAACAGGAATAACCAAAATTCTAAAGTAACTTCACTCCAGTTGGCAAGGCTTGACTGGGGTACACACACCACTTGCTAGCGATATCCAAAAGAAAATACAGAAAAAAGGCGACATTTTGACAATGCTCGGAAACATATGTACTGTTCAACAGTATCTACAATTTTATGTACAATGCAAAAACAAAAATCTTAACAGAACTTACATAACAACGTCTACTTTCCTCTATTCTATCTCTCGATTGTTGGTGTAGACTTTTCACTCTCAATAGTTATTATATAAACATTATATAATGCTAGTTTCTCTAAATCTCATCTGTAGTTTCATCAAAGCCAGAACGCCACGGTATGGCTCGTATGTGTTTTCGACGAGATATGTGACTGTAGGGCTTAATATCATCATTGGAGGTCGTGAAGTCTCCGCTATTGTACAGGCTATGATTGGATAGCCGTTTCGTCGTGTCCATTGGTATGTCATCAGCGAGAAGTCTCAGGCTAGGGGCACTCATCGTACGGAACCGGAACAATGAATGCTGTTCATCATCCGTCTCACCTATTGGTGTTCGTGGCGACGAAGCCGAGTATTGGGAGGCCCAGTGTGAGAAACGTGAAGAGTCGCTGGTTAGTCCAGCATTATGCGTCTCTTGTGAGTCAAATGAATCTTGATAGCGATGACCTGTTGTGTTTAACGTCAACTGGACTGAAGGCTTTCTTGACTTGCTGGTGCCTCGGAATGAATAGGTTGGCTGACAAGCACGGACGAAATAAGCTTGCTTCGTTTCACTCTCGTCGCTAGCACTATCCGACATGCTTTCTATCGACATTGTTTCGTCGTCGCTGCTCGAAGTGTAGTAATAAAGCTGAGGGTCGTTTGATATCGTTGAATCAGCCAACAACGTCTCCAAATCCTGGCTGATGGCCAATAGTCGATCTTCGTGTGAGATGACGTTAGTGACATTATCCATCTGTTCGCTTTTCTCCATCTCCTTGGTTTGAGTGCCAACACTGACAGGAGGTTCCGGTAGACGCTTGCTCACAGTTCCTTCAGGGAAACTGTATGGCCGCACAATGCGTACTGGAATATCTAATCCTATAGGATCGCTAAGAAAAGAGCAGTTTAGACCATTTGGTATGCCAGATCAACTTGATCAGCACATAATTGAAAATTACCTCAGGGGGACTAAAATAGATGCTTTGATAGAGTAATGAACGGAAACCTCGGGAATCCCGTTTGATGAGTACAAGCCAACAGGGAGTTGAATCCCCACTGTCACATGCGCATAAAAACCAGGTTCAAAGCGGCTGTCGTCTGTGGAATACACCTCTTCTGCCACTTTTTTCACATTATCTCCACTTCCATCCCATATTGATTTCTTGACTGTTCGAAACAGTTCAAGTTTGATCCCTTGCGTCTATAATGCAATGGTTAGTTCCCTGCTGGGTTGCCTCTCGGTGTCAAATCCACTACATACTTTTTTCTTTGTAAAGTTACGAATCGACAACGTGATCTTTGCTTCAGTTCCTTCCACAACACCAAAAGATGGTGATGCCAACCACGCCGCTACTTCCAGTTTTCCTGGTCCACCCATGTCTACCTTGGAGCTGGTAGACGAGAGGCTACTACTAGAGTCAATCGCTTTGAAACTCTCCATTTGATAAACATTCACTTGGCGCGCCTCGAATGCCACAGAATCTTGCACAGTGTATTGATCACAGTGGAAGACACTTTGAAGAAACAGCGAATCAGCAAGTATGTTCATTTATCCGACTCGCAGCCAAATAGCACTCACATAGATAGCCAGTAGCCTATTTCTCCGCCATCGCATGAAAACGAATTAGGCAACCGAGGATCGATAGATATTTTGTAAGGGATGACCGCTTTGCTATTTTGCAGCTGGTATACCATATTCCCATCCTCATCAAGTTCGCCAACACCAACTGGGCTAGGCAAAATTGTGCGATCTGAAGTTCAAAAGTCAGTATGCGCTATTTCCGTTAGGGATAATGTATACTGAACTGAACATACCACTGTTTGCAGAACTCATGGACCGGCGTGTTTTTAGTCTCCCACCAAAACCAAATCGTCGTTTTGGTGTCAGCGTCTGCTCGTGGTCCGGCGACAAACATAAATTACTGTCATCTGCTGCGCCTGGGGATAAAGTATCTTCCACTGATGGTGCTTGCTGAATAGTATGTTTTGTGATGGGAACTTGAGCATGATGAAATATACCACTTTGGTGACCATCTGTGCAAAACAGGGTAGGTTAACAAAAAATCTGCTAGTTAACTTGGGAAAACGTGTGTACTGAGTTTTCAACTTACTTTTATAAACGCCGGTTAGCACAACCCAGGCATTGCAAAGCACCACCGAATCGTCCAGTATCGGATTATGGTCGCATCCGACTCTTACTTGTTTGATGGTAGATGGTACATGCAGCTCTATGTTTCCGGTAAACATACCTCCAGCATGCTCTGCAGCGCTGTTCAGGCGTAAGTAGGCGGCCAATTGCGAAGTTCGGCCGGTAGTCGTTGTAGCACGTGCTATGCTTGCTTGCAATACCGAGTCACTGATGTACGTGGATGTATCTAAGTCCATTATGACGGCAAATAAGCGGCCAGCAATGAAAGAATGGAGAGAGCAAAACAATGGGAAGAAAGGTTTTCGGTTCGGAAAGCATTTGCTGTGAGCCTCTTCAAATCTTTTTCCTTTGAAACATTGGTCCCGTTTTGGGAAATAAGCTGCACTATACAGGTGAGACCTATTCAGCGGCAGACGAATATATTACATACCCGTTTTCATCGATTGTTTCAGCTTATGACCTTCAAGCAGTTCGTTCCATAGGAAAGACCATTGGGATTTTCGTGTTACCGCCGACATAGACTGTGTGTAACATAATCTGCCATGGTCGTAAATTTTGTGACCCAGATTTTTGGAGTATCATTCTCTATTTTCCTTCTTTTGACTCGTCCCAAACTTTTTTCCAACATGAGCTCAACAGCAACGCCAACGAAGCGGATAGGGATCAACCGTAGCGGCTTTTCAATGAGCTCCCTTCCCTCACCACTGGCGTCTTTTCGCTCGATCCAGAGGTCCAACTCTGCCAACGATAGCATCTCAACGGGTTTGAGTACGCCTGTTTCTGGCTCGTCTTACTCTACAGCTTCTGATGAATTGAACGAAGAAGACGAAGCCATGTTCAAAGATATCAAAGAAGTTCAACATGCTTTAAATCTTTTCCTCGACTCACATATTGCTGAAGCAGAGCAAATGACCATGCCCCGCGCCAATTCGACGTTATACTGGGGTCTCGCCAGCTCCTGCATGACCTGCTTGAAGGCCATGATGACATTCGCGCCGGACGATATTGAACTGTCTCTATCCTATCTCAAGCAAGGCGTCCAACTGGCAAGCGCAGCACGCAAGAAGGATATTGGATTTTTAGAGAGTATGACCAGCTGGGTGAAGGGTGGCAGTAGCATTTCCGTGCTATCAGCCATGACCATATCACAACTGCATGCGGTATGTATGCCAGCCGAACCTCTTTTCGAGTGCGGTTTACATTTTTCCCTTGGAAATGACTGTAATATCACCAGGCACAAACATGTGGAAGTCCCACTCTACTGAGATTGAAAATTTTTTCACAAAATATCCCATACAATTGCTAACAATAGCTTATAGGAATTAGTCTGGGCCGAATCTCATTTGCTCAAGGCTCTAGTTGCGGTGGTACACGATGAAAGTTTCCTATCATTGATTCGCGAAGGCATCCAGGTTCGAAGCAGTTACGGTGTATATCGGTCTCTATACAAGTATATGGAATACCTCAAAGCAGAAAAAGCAGCAGGACGACCGGCTAGAGTGCTGGATAGCCATTTCGTATCTGGCGTACATTTCGGTCTCGGGTGCTTCAACTTGATGCTTTCTATTTTACCTACCTCATTGCTCAAGCTTGTTGAATTCATCGGCTTTAGCAGCGATAGAAAGTTTGGATTATCACTCTTGGAATCTCAGGGTGGATGGGAGTCGTTCCATAAGGACCCTGAACAGCCACTACCAGAACAGACCGACGCTCGAAGTGGCCTTCGAAGACAATTTTGCGACATGGTCATCATTACATACCACACTGTCATATCCACCTTTATGCCTGTTCCGGATGCCGACCCTATTTTCAGTGAGCGTCTTATTCAGTACAATTTGACAAAGTATCCATCGGGCGTCTTTTTCCTTTACTTTTCCGGCCGATCGCTCGCAGCGCGAGGACTACTGGACGAAGCCATCTTACAGTTTAAGAAGACAATTGAGATTCAACGGGAATGGCGACAGCTACAACACATTTGCTATTGGGAACTCGGCTTATTGTTCTTGATGAAAGGTGAATGGGAAAGCGGTCATGAATGCTTTGAGATACTGTCACAAGAAAGCAACTGGAGTAAGGCGACGTATACCTACTTCTCTGCAACCGCTTTGTACGATCAAGCACAAGAAATGACCAACCAAGAAGATAAGGAAAAAGCTATGAAGAAAGTGGAGGCTCTGATGAAGTCCATTCCAAAATTGACTAAAAAGATCGCTGGCAAATCGATCCCCATCGAGGTAAGAACCCTTACATTAGTATTATGTGGGTTGATAGAAAAGGCTGACATAAGTATTATTGTACCTCTTCAATCTCATTAGAAATATGTAGCACGTAAATCTCGCAAGTTCACGGCACAAAACAATAGATTGCTCCTACCTTCCCTGGAAATCCTGTCTCTACTTGTTGGCTTGGATATCTTGCCTAAGGACTTGCAACAATATCACCTCAACCGAATTGAAGATGCTTTGAAGAATATAGATGTGACCGAAGCGCAAGATAGTGACGATTACTGCTTGGCAAACTGGCTACAGGCATGCTGTGCGCGACGATGCGATCAGGTTGAGCTGGCTCAAAAGAGTTTGGCAGCTGTGTTCGAACACCAAAACAACATTGCCTTGGATCATTTCATCCCTTACTATTCACACTATGAAGCAGCACGACAGGCCATTGCCGACAGTGAATGGGTCAAAGCTAAGGAGGAACTCAATTTCATTATCCATGCCCATGACCGTGGTTACGGTATTGGAAAAGGTGCTGGCGCTAAATCCAAGTACAGCATGGAAAATATCCTGCTTCTCAAATGCCACAGCTGTCTCCATGAGATAGACATAAAGGAAGAAGAGGAATTAGTAGCTAATGTGGAAGATCTCGATTTATAAGGCAATACTATCCAGTGAACACTCCGGGCAGTGAGCCAAGTAATCTACAGAGAAGAAGAAAATTGTCTAATAATCCATTCAACTCGATATAAGCAATGGTTTCCTAACAAAACAATATATATAAATATCTATAACACACGCGCGGTGTCACTCCATTCATTTTGGCTGAAGTGGTGTACCCTTGAATATGTATCTTCAATCGCCGAAATGCCATCAACTGCGCGACCGATATTGAAATTTTTGGACGCGCTCGGATTCGCGACTTCTCTGCTTGGCTGAGAATGTCGGACCAACCATGCATACAATTTGTGGTCCTGTTCACTGCGCAAAAGCTAAAGAAAAGCAAAACATGGCAAGATGGTGAGTATAGATTGAGTGATTCAGGTATGGCTAACCACGAAATGGTGGCTAATCGACAAATCCGACAGGGTTTCTCAAATTCTATGACTTTAACAAGAAGGTCGGTTTAGCAGTAGGGTATAGGCATGAAGTCGTATCTTTTATTAAACAATGTTTTATAGATGATTTTGATTGACGAGAAAGGATACAACATTGACAGGTGGGTTGTACTCGGTAACTACAGCTGAAATGTGTGTAGTAACACGTTTATTGGTTGCAATCATTATAGAAAATTTCAGAAAGGCAAACGACCACCTCAAGTAGGTGACGAAATTGAGTTTGACGGACACCTTGTTACTGTTGAAAACGTCGCAGAGGGTGCCTTTCAACCTGAGCCAGAAATTGTAAGTACCCGATTTTCAAGCTAGTATGCAGCAACATCATCTCATCCATCCTTTCAGGCGACTGTACCGAATCCGCAAATAGTCCAATTGGAGAGTAAGCGACAACAAGCGCAAAAGTCTGCGTCCTTTAAACTGAGAGCAAAATGGAAGCCGCCAACTATAACCAACGTGCTTGATGGCGATGTGCAAAACAACGGTACCGAACTTCAGAAAACTTTTGCAACAGAAATACCGGATCATGTTCCTGAGAAAAAAGGCGCTGTGGTTAAGATTGAACGAGTAGTAGAGGAACCGTTAGTTGCTCATAATGAAAAATACATGGAAAAGCTATCACCGAATAAGTCAATGGAAAAGAAGAAGAATATAAAAGATGAAAGGCAACCTGCATTCAGCATGCAGCTACATTCGGCAACGAAAGGAGCCTGCCTGAACGAAACAACTAACGCTGATATCGGCTCTGAAGCTGATGTTCAGCGTGTAGCGCAAAAATCGACTTATGGGCCAAAGACGAATACCCTTTCTGTTGATAAACCCTTGCCTGCAATCATAGACGCGAGTGGGAATGCTAACAATAAGCTAGTGAAGCCTCTATATCCTGTGCCACCACCAAAAATTGATGAACCGGTTCTGGATAACCTTGATTATCAAGATAACATTGCTATCGTAGAGGAAGAACTCAGTGAACTTCAAGTTGAAGAACCAAGTAATAAGCGAGACATACAGTTTACACCATCCAATGTATCTGAGGACAGAGATGTGGATACGCTTATGGACGAGATGTTGCCCATAGCAACTGATGAACAGCGACCGCACCACCTTTTAATTTCACGTTCTGAAGCTATCGATGGGCAGCAAGGCAACGAACGTAGCAATCAGCATGAATTCACCGCTGAAGAACAACAAAACGTTGCTAGTTACCCAGTCAGCTATAAAAGCAATATGCCAACTAACATGGAAGACAAGGAAATCAATGCAGGCCAGAAACGCCCAGTGATAGATAACACATCTGAGGAGCTGGTAGGTAGCTTGTAAATTCTATGACAGCTCACCTTAGCTATACTGACTATGTTTTCAGCCATCCGCAAAGAGACGCATTATGGTTGGCTTATCCAAAACAAAGAGGCAACCTCTTGCAACCAAATCGTCAACGACTACAGTTGTAGCAGAAAATGCATTTTCAAAAAGGTAACATAACCATTTTGACCCACATTGTTTCTTAAAAGCATAAAACCTTATATCTTCTTGTCCCTACACAGTTCATTCGTTAAAGCATCCGAGATTCGAGACGTACCTGTGCCAAATCAAATTGATCCAAAGCACACTGTTAATAAACCGCAAAACTCAAATCCAACCAAGATGTACCCTCCAAAATCCAACCCTCCGAAAGGCCAAAAGGCAACCGCATTGATACCCATGGTCAGTTCGACCTCGAAAGGATTGTAAGTACTATCTTGACAGATCATCCAAGAGCACAGATTTATATATTCTTATGCATCCACTAGCTCTATACCTAGCGTCATAAACTTTCCTAATGCTAGTAAAGCGGCTCAAGCTCTACAATCCAAGAAAGGCACTTCTCGGCGATTGACCGTTCCTGCGAGATTTGTAAGACAATTCAGTCGTTTATGCAACGCAGTAGCAGTTCCTAATCCAATATCGACAGAGTTCAATATCACAGTATGTCGATACTTTTACCAAGTTAATTCAAGAACATTTGCAGGTAGGCGTAGTCGTCTATAAAAATCACTCATACAAATAACGATGCTCAAATAAGGCGTCGTACCGCCTTCTATAGGTGCTTCTTCAGACCTACGCAAGTTACTTTCATGCGCAAGCCAAGGATTGGACGCAAGTACAAAATCCAGAGCCACTAGCACGATCTCGTGGACTTGGCCTTCACATGAATGCAAACCTGGCTAGGTACGTGGACATCAGCCGTAAAACATCTTAATATATGATATTTATGGATTGGGGTCATTGTAGGAGCGATCGATACATTTCTGGCGACTTGGATTATTGCTTATCAATTCGCAATCCACAGCATCGTTCGAAATATGGGAAAGGTTAGCGATTGTGACTTTTCGTAAGATACTTGCTTGCGGTGGACCTTGTTCTCACTCTTTTTTTTTTGTGTTTAGATGACATTTGGGTTGTGTCAAAGTCTCTTCAGTTTGATCCAAGTTCAACATTTCTGGCCAAAAGTACCTTTTTTGGCCCAGTCGGTGGAAGCCAACTTGAAGTAAGCACCGTCAAAGGACTTTGCACAAATTGCACTCTCACATAAGGCTAACACTTCACTGGCAACGCTCATAGATCCAATGCCTAACCCCAAGAGATGGGCGAATAGCTGGAGGAATGTGCAAAGGCTTGAATTCTCTCGTCGCCCTGCGGACCGTGTCAGCAAGCAACGAATTCATGATGCTCGGTATGTATATCGTGCGATAACTGGTGACGAAATCGAATGAACGTGGCATTAATTCTTGATTATGGCAGCCGCTCTTTTGTCAAACATCGACGAAGCTCCTCTCCTTCCTGCCATCTTAAGCTATGACAATGGCAGTCGGCCAAAGCGCAAGCAGCTCCATGATATCCCGAAGGTGTCGAAGGACGATGGGAAAATCGTCATATATAAAAGTGATGGTATTGATTTCAATAGCCGGGTCAATGAAACTATAAAAAGATTTACTCTTAATGAAGATCAGGCAAGGTAAGAAAGGATGCCATGAGACGTGTTGGTGGTCACATGTCGATGCTGAATATCTTTTTATCTCAGGGTACTACTTGCTACTTCTGAATGCATAATCGAGCATCCTCAATCCACGCCAAAACAATCAGTATCGCCGATAGTGCTGGTGCACGGTAAGTTCTCTAAAAGAATTTGGCGGTTGATTCGCCGATCAATACGCTAATTTGCCCCTCGCATCGAAGGCGTTTTTGGATCAGGCAAAAGGTACTATAGGGCTTGTTGTTGATTTATGTGAGGCAATTAAAAGTTCCATATGTTAATGCTATCGATTATCAGTTATCTTGCCGCAGTATTGATCATTTTCATACAAGAACTTGTTGATGATATTAACTGCGGAAGAGAACCCGAGGATCGGATAACCTTCAATATTCTTGTCACCTCCATCACGGTAAGTCTTTACAAGCCAAGTATGACTATTTTCTGCCTTTTACTGAAGAATGATACTTCGTTCTAGAATGTTGCAGTCGACAGAATACTACTGGTGAGTGTCTCCACATACAATTACATTGTCTGCAGGAAAGAACCCTTTTCATAGGTACTAACGATCCATACAGAGTCTGCTGGATTTAGGATACGATGACTTTGTGCGTGTTGGAAGGTCTGTCTCAGTAAGCTATGCTTGGAGATTCTTTTTCATATGTTTTTTAATGTCCTCTTTGTAATAGCTTAAGGAAGATTGCCAAGCCAATATTGCCTCACACGATTCAAAGCAGAGTAGGAAAAGATGGTATGTGGAGATCGGAATTTTCATGAATTGAAACCAACGTGTTACTGACAAAAAACCATTACTCAGGCGATATCAAGGAGTTAGAAGCTATGCTTAAAGACGATGCCATGTCCGCAAATGATATGGCCTCCGTAGAAACAGCACTACAAAAGTTTCAAAAAGCAGAGAGCCAAGCGCAGATGAGTGATGCCAGGGTCATCGGTATGGACTATTCTATTTCTTTTCTGTTTGGGGTCTTTTGTTTCTAACTGTTCGCTGTGTAAAGGAACTACATGCGTAGCATCCGTCTTTGAGATATTCAATGATTTGACTGTTCCACTCATCTTATTGGATGAAGCATCACAAATTATGGAACCAATGGCCATGGTCTCGATCACCAAGTTTTTTGCTGATCGACTTATATTGATTGGAGACCCACTACAGGTAAAGCATATTTGACTGTTGGGTAAGGAGCTTGGATTCCAGCATACTAATTGGATAAATGTGTTCGTTCTAAGCTACCACCAACCCTTGTCACCCCATGTGAACCTGATATTGTTGGTCAGGGCATCGAGAAAACCCTCTTCGACCGATGCGCCGAGGTACAGTTTCATCTTTGTTTTTGTTACACTGCATCCAGCTCATCCTAACGCTCCATTGTTCAGATGGGCATACCACCTATAATGCTGCGAACGCAATACAGAGTAAGTTGAAAGATTTGTGTGGGATGCATAAGACCTATCACTGATGTCAATTGAATGTACAGTGCCATCCAAAGATCTCGAGACTAAGCAACAACCTCTTCTATGAGCGTCGACTGATTGATGGTATGCATGAGACTGATCGACCACCGCTGTTTGCTGAATTGCCACATGTCTGCTTTGTGAACACAAATGGAACGGTATGTTTTTCGAATCCTGGATCTGTCCATGATTTATGATTTTGTACCTAATATGTCCATCACAGGAGATGAAACGGCCGGGAACGCAGTCGTATCACAACGACATGGAGGCTCGAGTAGCAACACAAGTCGTTCAAGCTTTGGTTCGCTTGGGGATATCTCCTATTGACATTGGAGTCATTTCTTTGTGTAAGCAATATAATTTTTTGAAATTTTTGGTATCGGGCCACTTTGGACTCATCAAAGAAACAGATAAGGAACAGGCAGATAAAATAGAGAGCCATTTGAAGAGCATGTCTCAGTCGGTATTCGGTTCAGTGCAGGTGAGTTTCGGCACAGGTCCTTGTACTTTTCTGCAAAATGATAAAGCATTCACACGTATTTGATCAAGGTGTCCACAGTTGATGCTTTCCAGGTAATTTCAGGCGCTGCATCTATGCACTACTATATGGATTACTTATATTCTCAATTTTGACGATAGGGTGCGGAGAAGCAAGTCATTATCCTTTGTACTGTGAGAACGAACCCAAGTAACTTCATCGACAACCCACAGAGAATTAATGTTGCGCTATCTCGCGCAAAAAGGTAAAGTCGATGGTCTGTGTTTTTATCAAAAGGTGATCTAGTAGCAGTTCACTAACAGAAAACCATAGCCATTTGATTATTCTTGGCAAGCAGGATGTGCTTTCTATGAATCAATTATGGTCTTGCATCCTCAAACTTACAAAAGGTAAATTTCACGTTTGTAGAGTTTGAAAATTGAACTCTCACTGAACATATCCATAGATGCCTGTCTAGAGAGTGCTCAGCTACTCAATCTGCTGGCTCAGATATCTGCATCTCGCAGAGCGGCAAACGTGGATTAGCAGTTTTCAGGAGATGGCCATGAACCTGCCCATACAACTCTACGTCAACGATTGTAAATAGAATTGTACATTAATCTAACGTAACTAAAGATATGGAAGGGAAATTGTACATCATTGCGCATATTATATTTCGCATTTGTAAACCGCTATGTTTAATATATTATACAACCAGACCTTTTCGCTCATAGGATCAGGATGGGCTGGAGCGTCCGCTGCTACTATCCAGTCTCGGTCGCTTCACGCATGGAGCAGCTTTACCTCGTGCTTGTCGGAATGCATTGACACGGTCTGTTACTTGGAATAGTTTAGGAGCGGATCGTGGGCTTTGGGCGATGTGCCGATGTAATGGAGCGGAATATCCTTCGTAAGGTTTATGATTGATTGGATGTTTGGAGCTTCTAGCCACTGGGTCTACAGGCGCAGAGTTCACCGAAGCACTGGATGGCTTGTGAAATTTGGCTAGGCCGGAAGTCAACCTGGATTCTCGGATATCACAGAGCCTCGAGTTGGGCATCTCGTCATTTCGGACCATGTTCCCGTATGAGCTCAACAAAGGCGAAATGGCGGTTTCCATGCGGAATGTTTCTATATCGGAAGTATCTTTACTCAACGGTGTCGTTTGACCCATATCGTTGTTCGTTGAATAACCCGATTTTTCATATTCTGGCCCTCCTGTATGCATAAACAGCGGTGTACATTCTCGATTTTGACATGCACTTTTTTTGATATTGCAGGGTGCCAATCGACTAAAGCGGTTGGTTAATGTGGAAGTGTTGAGTCGAAAAGAGCGCGTGTCGGGTACTGCTTCATTAGCTTTTTTTTCATCAGTAATTTCGCCAAACCTGGATTTGGCGTCAGCACTTTTGGTATTATAGCCGACTTGTGCACCCTTTGTACTGTTTAATTTTCCAAACGTTTTCGATCCGTCTTCAAGAGTGATTAAAGAATGATCACTGTCATTTCTACTAACGGAATAGTTCTTTTCAATGGCAAGGGGACGTTCGAGGCTTGCTGTAGCGTGTGAATGATTAGATGCAAGGGGCAGATCTATTTCATCTTGAGAGACGTACTAAGCTTTTTTTCATGAATACCTGTTCGATGAGGCGTTATGATGGACTCTATGCTATCGACAGCCCCATCCGTCCTATCTTCAGGCAATGAACGTATGGGGCTGTTGTGGCTTTGTATTTCATTTGGCTGACATGGCATGAATGGTGATAAACACGGAACAGCGTCACCTCTAAGGTTTTCGTCTGGCACATCGGCTTGCTCTGGATTAGTTTTGTAAGCTACTAGCTGATCATTAGGCAATGTCGATACAATGGCTACCTTCATGACTATCAGATACCAGCACAGGGCGGTCGATACGATAGGCGGCATCCTCGTCCATGAGTTCCTAATACTGCTCATTATACTACCCTTCTTTTACCAGTTGAATATAGCAATTAAACTCATTGTATTCTTGCCATGTTCTCAATATTTGAAAGTCCCATATGAACAGGTTTAAACAACTCTGCATGTATTTTCAGCATAGTATCCACAGTCGCCTTTGGACACTGAAATTTTTCGTTCATGCTATGCGCATAAATCGAGTGATTTCGTCAGAAGGGATAAAAGGACACAACGAGTGATGGATTTTCGCAGTTGTACTTACATCATATCTTCAACCATAATCTTTGGTGCGGTAGCGGGACTGACTGGAGATACATTGTGCTGTATGCTATGGGCCGGCAACGACCTTGATTCAGAGAGGGCAGAGACTGTGTGGAAAGGCATCAGAGTGGTTTCCTCTTCAAAGTTTGCGCCTTCATGGGTTGATTCACTGATGACAGCCTCGAACAGATCGAACGATTTGGCAAATTCTATGTTCTTATTGATGTTCATGATAGAGTTGACTGCATATGATGGTATTTTCCATTTTTCTTTCAACACAAGGTCGACCAGATCAGGTAATTGCCGGTCAACGACGTTATATTCTGGCATGAAATTGTTACTTTGATATTCTGTCATTCTCTAGAGTGAATTCCATAAGCATAGCAAAGTGCTTGATCAAAGAGTGGGGATCTGATATGACTACTGACTCCAAGCCGGGGAACCCAACAAACGCTGTCATATGAAAAAATTCCGGTTGCTAAATTTGGGGTTGGCCAACCACAATTATTACTTCATGTTCGTTTTTCATTTGATTCTCTCTGAATGCAAATTTATAAAGTAACAGCTGGGCTACTACTCCCGGTGCTTATAGAAGCCCAATCCTCCACAAGAAATGCAACCATTGCACATACCATTAATTCCATGGCCGCCGCACCCACCACTGAATTAGGACAGCAGATTGAGATTGTTCTGTCTATCACGTTCCTCGTCATAGGGGTGATGTTCAGTTTCATAAAAGGAACCTATTCTGTGCTTCTCTGGATGCTATGGCCGGTCATTACGATCTGTCGAATGTTATATCAAGTCTTTATAAGTGGGCCTTACAGGGTTGTGGCGCACATAATGCACGTCCTCTACCCAGTGGCGACATTTTGTTTTGCCGCAGCTTGCTTTGGGCTCTTGATCGGTGGGTTCGCAGGCATAGCTTCAGAAGCCATCTCGTCGTTCTTCATCGCTATCACATGGGGAGGTGGTGGAACCAGCAAAGTTCTTTCAGCTGTCGCGGATACTACACCTAGCCAGCCGCCACTTGTATCCGCGACAACGTCTCGATCTACAACTCCTCGACCTGTGGCCGAACGATTAATGGAATTTGGTCGCCGAAAGAGCAAAGATTTGCTACCTAGTGCACTGTCTTCATCAGCATCCTCTATTGCCGACCAAGGCGGCTACTTTGGGGAATGGACAAATCATCGGGCATCTTTTCGTACTCGACGACTTAGTTATCTTGATTCTGAAGACATGCCAGACGATGACGATGGGAGATCGGAGACGAGCTGGGATAACGACGATGACGATACATTCACAATATCCCCTGCACACCCTACCAGTCGTCTAAGACGATAGCAACAGATTATAGCTTACACGTAATTCATTATTTTGTATATAGGAAGATAAAACAGTACAAATTGAAAATACACCGTTAGAACAGAATTCGGTTCTTGAGACAATGCCAAGCAAAAAAAAAACGCAACACTGAGTTTTATTTTTTTGTTCTGTGTTCATAAAATGAAAAGATGTTGCCCAAAAATACGTCTGTACATTCACAATACCGTTACATTCATAAAAAAATGGAACATAAAGAGACGTGAGATTTTGATCTACCCACGTTGTCAAAGACGTCAACTGCAATAAATAACCTCTGGCAATTAGTCGGAGCCCAGCGTAAAAAGCTGATAAAATTAAAGAACCACAATATAAAATACAGACCTTTCTTTTTTTTTTTTTCATTTCTTCTCATCCTCCATTGCAAAACTCTTGCCTACTCCCGTCCGGCGACATTTCACATTAATGCAGTGGTGGCCATTGTCATCCAAACACTCCACCAATGGTGAGAGATCATCCAATGTCAGCTATTCTCGTATAACGCCCTCCCATACGGTTGTGCGACCCAATAAGAGGTGCTGCTGGCTATTCACCAAAGCTATCCTTACCACTCTTGTGAGCATACTGTTCTTTTATGTGGTCCTCTTCCGCACAGAGTTCAATGCTCGTGTCTACATCCGCGACTGGGTTTACCAAAAAGAGGTAGAAAAAGTCTTGCCGCTGTCCAGTTGTCTTGATTTACCCTCCGATAGTCAATACCTTCGTGGTTATAGTCATGTCAATGAGGTAAGCTACTCTTCCAGTTTAAGGCGGGCGGGAAAATTTGTCCCACTATGATGATGTAAACCCTTGAACAAGGGAAGTTACACCCCATTTTGGAACTCCAATTTTTTATTCATTTCTCATTTAGATCACTCCAGGAGTGCCTTTGGTCGATGCGTTTACATGCTATGACTTTGCGGCGACTATCTCAGCACGACATGTGGCCAAGAGCAGCCATATCATCTACCATACATTTATCGATAATTCCAAGCCGGTGGACGAAACGGTGTACGAAGCTATGCGATCGTTTTTCGCCACCCAAGACGATGGCAGCCTTTACCTTTGGACACGTAGCTTGAAATTAATGTCCGATCCTCATATACAAAGTATCCAAGATATCGGTGGAGAAAGAGTGCAAGTTTTATTATACGAACCGAATGATCTTTCACTTGGTACGCCTGTTCATGGATTGACGAGCAGCTTAGACGTGAGCGACCAAAAGATGAATGCCATGCGACTGCTTATTCTGTATCGATACGGAGGACTTTGGTTCGATAGTACTGGAGTGTTTGTTCGTGATATGAGTCCTCTCTTTGAACATGAGTGGATCTCACAGGGTCATTGCGCCGATGGCAATGGGTTTGATCCTTCGTTCATGCGGTTCCGCAGCCGCTCCCCTTACGTATGTGAACTGCTTTCCGAACTACAACAACAGCAGCCCACCGACCCCTCCAAAAGTCCCCAAGAAGTGTATACACGAATTCACCGCCGACTTCTTCAACATGCCATACGGCCTTGGGCTAGGTTACCATGGTGCTTTACGGATCCCAAAGCATGTACTTCCAAAATAGCTCTGCCGTCTGCGTTTGATTCCAAGGCCGAAGCCAAGTACCGGATTTCTCAGATTTTTGCCATCAACTCACCACAAGGATGGGATAGAAAGACAGAGTGGATCTTTCAATATTTGCAGGGCAAATATAGAGACGCTTTGGGGGCGTAGGTCAAATTAGCTTATTGTGTGTGTGTGTGTTTTTTTTTCTATACTTTCCGTCCATCGATGCGTAATGTAATAATGCGATACCCCATATTTTGTGTTCAGACCGTAACAATTACGAAAGAAAAAGATCTTCTTCGTTACATTTTTTATATTACAGGGATTTTTTGTGGTGCATTGAAAATATTGGTGGTTGGAAGTTGTTTTTCCAGAAAACAAATATTTCTTAAAGATCAGGGTACCTTAGACAGTTGAATAGAAAACCAAAAGAATAGAAAAAAAAAATGAGAGATGAAATGGAAAAAAGATCAACAAGATATTACAGATTAATGCAATGAGAGTTGAAGGGGTGCGCGAATATGGTTGAGAAAATGACGAGGGAGAGGAGGATGTGGTAAAAACAATTATCACAAATCGGATACTTCATTGACGTCTACTCAGTTTCGGATCCAGGTACATTGGGCTTGGCCGCACCTGGAGTCAAAGGAGCAGGGGCTCCCATGTCATGGCTAGTGACAGGTACAGGTGTGGTCATACCAGGGTAGCCAGCTACAGACGGGTGGGGAGGGTAACCGGGATATCCATGGGGAAAAGCAGACGCGTAGAAAGGATACACTGGACCCGACGCGGGCATTTGATGGCCGTACATCATGTGCGGAGGCATGTGCGCATACGCAGGATGATAAGGTGGAACTCCCATAGGCATAGCAGGATGAGGTGGGGTGCTAGCAGCGGTGGGAGTACCTACCAGAGGGCTTTCGGTACGCAACTTTTTACTGGCAGGTTCCGATTCCTCCGTCATGGGAGGTGGAGTAGCATGCATAAAAGGTGGTGTATTGACGGGAGCCGCAGTGGAAGGTAAATGCGGGGCTTGAGTCATACCCGGCGGCATTGGATAATACATACCTGGGTACATGGGTTGTCCCATGTACGGATAGCCAGGATAACCAGCTGGAGGTGGAGCAGCACCAGGTACGATAGGAGCTGATGGATCATACATACCTGGAATACCAGCTGGTGGGGGCGGACCTGACCGAAGGGTTTGAGCTTGATGTAACAACGGACTGATAGCCGAATGGTGCGGAGGAGCGTAAGGAGAAGCAATAACGGGAGTAGGTATTGGGTAGGGTTCTGATGTATGACGGCTACTAGGCGGCTCGGAATGGGCAGGTGGTGCTGAGGTTGGATGGGGCATTTGAGGTAGCCAAGGGTAATGTACATTTCCTGGTGGGGTAGGTGAGGCACTAACCGGAGGTTTTAAAACCCCTCCAATAGCTTTATAAAGGCCATTGAGTTCATCAAGCATAACAGTTAGTGCATGGCTCTTGTTTTGTCGTGAATGGGGAGAATTGGGGGTCGCAGGTCTTGTTCCATACTTACCAGATGGCGCAGTATAAGGCGAGCCGTCTTCTTGCTTAGACGAGTCGTTGGCGGCCGAGGTTTGAGAGGCGTTATCCTGCATGGATCCAGAACGTAGGGCGGCCTCTCTTGCTTGAGGGTTTCCGATCATGTCGAACAAACTCACACGGTCGGTATACGATGCTCCGGTGATCATATTGTCGTGCTGATTCATAAACATGTTGATGTCGGCACCTTCAATGTCATCACCAAAGTTGACAGGATCAAAACCAAGTTGGTTGGCGAGATTTTCTATGTGATCTTGCAGAGCATCAATATCATCGTTGATGGACTCGGCCGATTTGGCTACAGCAGCGAGGTCGCTTGATTGCTGGGAGATATTGACGTTATCGGGTGGTGATGACTCGGACTCCTTTGTGGAAACTGTAGAATTAGGGCTCGGTCGGTGCTGGGTTGCACCGCTATAAGAAGACTCGGATGGATGCCGAGTAACAGGTGAAGGGGATGGACCAAAAGGTGTGGATCCCAATGCAGCTGCTACCACACTGGCTGTGGTCAACGGAGTGGTAGGAACACTCGAAGTTGCAGGTGAGCCTGCACCACTAACGGCCCCTTTGGCCGATTGAATCAATGCTGGTAAATTTAAATCGAGGGCGTCCTGGTTGACTAATAGAAAAGAAGAAAAGAGGTAGGTTAGCCTTGTCTGTTTGCCTTCATGATGGGTTTGGAGAGTTCCAATGTCATGAAAAAAAAAAAAAAAGAGCAAACAAAATGATCGTATCAAATGAATGATGAAAGAAAAGAAAAAAAGAATGGGCAAAATGATGTGTCGCCTGGTATCGAAGCATAAGGCGATGTTGTTGAAGGGAGAGGCAGTTTTTAAAAGAGAAAAAAGAGATTCATCATACTCCTGAGTGCAAAACCATCAAGGTCTACACTAGAAACATAACGAGGGCAAATTTTCTTTCCTAATTCCATGTTTTTTTTTAAAACAAAAGAAGAAAAAGCCAATCCCTTGACCGTTTTTTCGGATGAAGGGTTGTTTGGCGTGATCTATTTACCTGACCGAGTTTGGTTCTGCTTTGTGGACATGTGTAATCCTCCCGGATTGAACATGGTACCCTCACTCTCACGTCTGTTCTCCAAAATGAAATCCTTTTGCTTACTGAACATTTCTATCTGATTGGTGGAAAATACGCTGGCCAAGAATCGTAATATTTTTTGAATCATGTCTTGATGGCGCTCATGTTTTTCACGGGCGGCCAAGTTATCCTCCCAGAGGATCAAATTGTCGCGCTGTAAGTTGCGAAGATCAGTGCTAATGGTGGTTTGATGACGTTTAATGGAAGCAATGTCGTTGATCAGTTGGCTCAATTCCGTAGAGCTGGCGTCCTTTTCGTCCCGGTCTCTCGTTCTTTTACGGCTGACGAGCAAGAGTAAATCCGGTTGATCTCTTTGAAAATTGGAATTACTGAATTCCCAGACTTCGCCTTCGTTTTCCGAGACCATGACGCCCTGCATGATATGAGGCACTTTGTGAAAATCGTACATATTAAGTTGACGAACGAAAGATGCAAAGGTGTTGTGTTTAAAGAAGCGAGGAAGAACTTTGGCAGCAAATTCCTCATGACGTTCAACTAAAGGGGTAAAAAGTGTTAAACAAAGATCAGGGCCACATCCTTCGTGAAAAACGTTCATTACCAATGAAGGAGGTTCCGTCATTAGACCATCGAATAAGGTCGGTAGATGCAGGGTCATTTACCATACTACAAGTGAGGGGGAAGATTAGTGGTGGTACACAAAAAAATAAACATGGTAGGACGAAAGACACCGAAAATAAAAATAAAATATGGAGAAAATTGGAAGAATATGGCGATTTGAAAATATGGGTATTTGTCGGTTTTGCGAACAAAACTTCTTTTGGTTAAAGTCATTTTACATGAAGGCGATGAATCGATGTCTCCAAGCAAAAAGCCATTTGTAGGCTGGGTCGAAAATATACCCTGCCATGACGTAGCTAGAATGTGTGACAACCACTGAGCAGCAAGGGCTATTGCGTCCCTCATATATAATTTTTTTTTGGGGCTAAAGGTCATTCATTCACAGGGCCAAAGTGTAGATGACACCCATTGCGGAAAATAAAAAGAAAGATGTCAAGAAAAGATAGTACTCACTTGTACAGTTTGCTGAGAAATGTTGGAACACTTCGTTGAAGATCAGGACGAGTGATGCCCGACACATTCTTCCTTTTGCCAGCGCTATCGTTGTTCTCAGTTGGCATGGTGTGAGCTTTGGTGTGGCCGGAATGTGCACGCTTCTTGTTGTTATTACCGGCAGAGTTCATGTTGTGATGAATGGATGGAGAGCACTCTACAGAATAGCTCTCATCGCTGGCGCCACTGTTGGAATTGTGGTTGCTTTCGGGGGGAACCTGAAGGCCGTTATTCCCAAAATTACGCATAGGTCAAAACAAGCCTGAGGTCTTGTTTCAGACAGGAAGCTTTACGTTATGAGAGTGTCAGGAAAGATAGACTTTTTCAAAAAGCTTGTTTTTCAATAAGAAAAAGGGAAAGGAAAAGCGGTTGGAGGAGAGTGGAAATCTTACCCAGTCCAGAATATGCTGGAAAAGACCTGCAGCCTGATTGGTCCAAGCTCACGACCGAAAAGTTTTTTCCCCCCCCCATTGCAAGCTGAAATTCCATGGTAATTTTTTTTTTATAATATCCGCTGGAGAGCAGATCGTTTTGTACACTCTATTGTTTTTTTATTATGACTACTTCTTTGCCTGCCACCATTTCTTGAGTTTCTCTCCAGTATAGCGTGCTGTCCTTGCTGGGCCAGCGGTGATGATGCCTTTGGCACTTTGGGTAAGAGCCGGCCAAGCGATAATTTCAAACAAACCTTGAGATTATTGGAGGTCAACGTTAGTTCCAAATTAAGGCCAGACTCGTGTGATTTTCGACTTATCCACATTGCCCAAACTTTACCTCGGTTGATATACTTGTTCAGTTCTGGAGAGCCAACGATTTGCTGGTGCAACAAATCCTTATCTTCTGGCATTTTCAATCCCTTGACTCGAGTATAGCGTTGATGCTCCATCAATACTTTCTGGTATAGTGTTTTGGACAGTTTTTGAACCATCAAGCTTTGATATTTGGGATTTTTGTCTTGCTGTTGAGTGAAAAGAAAATCACAGGTTAGTTGTTGTTTCCACCATCGGTTGCGTTTCAGGCAGCGGGTTTCTTTCTACCTGAACCAAGCCATTTTCAAGCACCGCTACGTTGGGCAAATCCTCCAACAAATGAGAGTAAACTCTTTTAAAGTGCGGAAGCTGCTTGTCGACAATATTCTTCACCTTGTTGGGATTCTCACCAATGACCATGCGGAAATCTCCTTTGTAGCTGATTCCCGCAATACGCTCGTATAGTTCAGTTTCGTTGAACTCAGAGGGCAATGTTAAAAGAGCGACTCTGACTGCTTCAGTGAGGTTGACCTGATTGGCCAATCGTACACGAGCATCGTCTCGGAGGATCTTCACCTACCAGCCAGCGGCATGTTTAGTACAGGGGATTAAATTCGCCCTTCTGAATCACCGGTACTTACAGGCTTGTGCATTCTTCCCGCAAGATAAAGCGTTTCCCAATCCAGCAAATCCTTGCAAAGTCGGTCGATTGACACCACTCCATATTTGATGACCTACACCAATAGGCTGAGTGAGTAAAGGATATCGCGGCATGACAGTAGAACTGCGCGTCAATTGCCCTTACCATGCCATCGATTTCAACATAAGGATTGAAATAAACACCGGCACCTACTTTTTCCTGTAATAGCGTAGTGAAATTGCTTCCAAACTGCCGCACTACGGAATAATGGTGTGGATTCTGCTGAATATTCAAAGAATGCCAATGGTGTGGATGCGTTACACCAAAAATGAAATCAACCATTGGTTGGTTCTAAATGCAAGCGTTTGTCACGTCAATTACGGCGTGTGTCAAAAATGCCATATGGGTTACGTACCTTGGAGTCATACCCCTTTTGTTGAAATACGCCACTTCCATATGCAAACGAATATCGAATCGGTGCATGGAATGTATTCAATACATTCTTGAGTCGCTGTTTAACTTCTTCGTCAATGCTAATATATTGGTTGGTGCCAAATTCAGGAGAGTCTGGTATATTAGAGGGATTAAACTTGTAGCGCTGAAAGAAATTGGGCTTTTCCGCAATGTTTTCAGGCTCTGCCTTCTGTTCTGCTGATGAAGAGTATGTTCTAGTGACAGGAAGAATATTTCTGCTGTACTGACTGGTACGGCTGACAAGAACTCGGTATGCAGTCGAAGAAATCTGTAATAAATATTGGCAAGGTCGATCGAAATAATGGAGTTGGTGAAATTGAGCGAAGCCAAAAACTCAAGCAGTAGAGCATATGCAAATTAGGAAATGCTACGGTACCATGAATACAGAATGCTAAAGGCGTTACAGAGTGGTGATGAAATGCAAAGAGTGTGAGTGTAATTACGTGAATGGTGAGAGTTTTTGAGCTTTTTTCCGGGTTCCAAGGCCTTGAACCTGGTCACTGTGACGGCTGTCGTCCGCCACATTGGCTTTGCGGACCTTTCCACCTTTTGATACCAATAATTCAACAGCAGCAAGATGAGAGTACTCTAATAATAAACCAACCTGGCTGCCAAACACCGGTTAAGAGTACCTCCCAACGCATACTACGTCCTTTTGGTGGAATATTAAATTGGCTACGTCCCGCTGTGCCTTGTCAACCACGTAGATTCTCGAATAGAGTAGTTTCAAGAATCTACTTTAGACCTTCACAAGATCTATTTCTATCTAAGAATGATGGCCCACCTTGGTAGTCTAGCAAGAACGACATTGAATGAACCGATCAGGATCTTATCAAGTTCTTATCACACGCAGGACGGGTTATACGTGTATAAGATGTAGATTTTCGATAAAGTATTTACTTTGCATTACGTCTACTCTGCACTAAATCAATTCTATCTACGATCGACCACATTGTCAGTCTTTGCAGTAACCGTGTTGAATAAATCAACCTATGGCACGCAGGGTATGTGCAAAGAGGGTACTCTAATTTTGCTGAGTTTTTCTGCTCTCACAGCAATCTTGAAACGGTCACGACAGTTCGTAGCGAGGGGGGATTAAAGGCGGGAGGGCGCCGTCCTTTACCGGCTGTGCGTTTTCCTCCCATTTTCTGGCAATTGAATCATGACACCTCCAACGGAGGATCTGCCGCTCAATGGACACATGTCTCTGCTTAAATTACCCTATACCGTATTATGCAACATATTCATACATGTGCAAGATAACCCCGCAGCGTTTTCCATGACATGCCGCTTGTTCCATGACCTCTCGCTCGAGACTGTAAACGTAGTAGAATACTTTTGCCAAAAATATGGCCAGGCCCTCGCTCTCTTTCTTGCCATTCTTAGACATCCACGGAGACTCACTGAAAGTGTGACGAGAGCACTGTTGAAGCGAGATAAGGTGCTGATGCCTCGAAACCTCGCACAGCGTCTTTTACAGGTACTGGTCATTTCCCCCCCCCCAAATAGAAGTCTCCTGTTGTATGATAATTCCAGTCGCAGGGAAGAAGCAAAAAGTACTTACCATGGTCGGCCTTTTATTTCAGGGTTACGGGGTTGAACGGAAAATGAACTTGGCTTCCATCATATTACTGCTTGAAACAGCCGTTCATCGCTACGGCCAGTTTGAAGTTGCTGAGGATGATTGGAGGAAAAGCCATGATTACATCAATGTAAGGGCTCTCGAGTTCTTCTTCTATGCAGTAGTAATGTGATTACTGATTGAGTCATTCAGCAACTGATATGGATTCGTCGAGGAGTATCTACATCCACTACTGAGCAAGTCATGACTGAGTTCCGTCAGTTCCTCGATCAGACGCAATTTATACCATTCCCGTTTGCACAAAGTCTGCGCACACATACCATTCTATATTATCATCCTCCGTTTGAGCGAATGGTGACTTCACTACAACTTTTTGCGCCTGCCATTTTCAGTGATATGGTTAAGCAAGGTCTGACATTACGATACATTGAAGCATCTCACTTTATTGTATCTTTCATTTCATATGGCATCAAATCGGATTTTTCACCCACTGAGACAGGTTTGGCGCTTCAAAAAATCATATCATACGATATCATGGATGTCAGCCAAGGAACGATTCGCAGCGTATTTGCTCGCATGACAGACGAAACATGTTGGAGTCAGATCGAAGCATTGAAGTCCTTACAACTGCCTTTTAATATCGCCGATGTGGTTGAAGAAGTCTTGACAGAATTGTTTGATGATCCTTTACTGCGGGATGAATCCATCGCGGACTACCCATACCGAGCGCTTTACGTTAATTGGCCGTGCTGCCAAACAATCTCACGCTGTATGACGAACGCCTACAAAATTGCAGAAGATGAGCTGCAGACGGCCCTTAAGAATGGTGTAGGGTACTCTAGCTTTCCTGATAATACTATATTCAATGTACCGCCTCGAACGCTGGAATGGGTCATTGAACATTTTGAGCCTGAGAACGCCATCACCAAGGTATGACCAAAGATACAGCTGACCCCCAACGTTCGTAGCAAAATATTGAAACTATCATTTCCCCTACCAGATCTGTTTCGACAACATTGTCTTGGTCCTGGCCAACCCTGTCATGCCGCCTAATCTTTACCACAGCCCAACTGGCAACGATCCAGTTATTCGATTGTTCAAGCTTTACATTCGTCACCATATAATGCTCACTCATCGCCATATCACATGGTTCAAAAAATGTCGAAGGACGACCAGCATACGAGCAGTCATGAATGCCGTTATGGATAACGGAGTCATTCAAGCCGATAACACCATTGCCTATGGGCGATTTGCATTGTCCAAGTGTGCTCAAAGTCAAGCTTGCCGATCCATACTAGAAATGAAAAGCTTGAGCTCCATGTGCGACATCTCGCTTTCCACAGTATTTGCAAGTCAATATAGCTCTGGGCCTGCCATCACCGCTAAGCTTCGACACCGCAACGATACCTCCAATGTACACGAATCCAGCGCTCGAGGATCCAAGCGAAAAAACAGTGAAGAAGAGAAATTGGTGGCCACCACGAGGAGAAAAAAACATAGAAACAGCTTGTCGTACATTGCTGAAGCTCGACGAAGCTGGAGATCTTACCTTGAAGATTTGTTGAGGGAGTGTGAAGCCGAACGGGAAGAGAAATTTCAATCCATGAACAAAAGACGGACGAGGAAGCGCAAACAAAAAACATCCTCCAAGTCGCTTTTTGAGGCGTTATGCTCAGAAATGCTTCAAGTCACGAAAGAAGAGGATTGTTGTATTATTGCCAGTCAACTTGGTGATTGCTGTTCAGTGTGCGGCCTGCTTTTGACTAGAGAGAACGGAGAAACTTAATTATTCAGTAAAATCAGTTCTTCTTTCCTCCAATAAACCATGTTCATGTACATACTTTCACAGGGTGTGTCTTTTTCAATTTTACAAAAGTGTGGGGGACAACTCAATAATTTGTCCGGCAATTGATTTCAGCCTTTTCGAATTCTTCCTCCGTCAACCACACCGCTTCGGTGTGTGTTTAGCATAATGAATACCATCTATACAATCTGCATAGTCATAGCCTCATGCTTACTGGTAATGCGAGCTGCTCTAAGAATCCTGTCTGTCAGTATGCAACTTTCATCTAAACTTCTTTGATTTCATAGTTATCAGCACAAGCTGCCAATCCTGTTTTCTTTTGTCAATGCTACTGTGGAGCCAACAGCACAGTGTTCCCATTACCAACAGAAGATCCTAAACCCTGCTTGCTATGCACTAAACAAATGTGTATAGACAGTGTCACAGATGGAACCTGTGATGGCATCAAAGATTCAACATGTCCTAGTGTCGATTTCAAGGGCCTGTGCTTTGGTAAGTTTTACTTTGGCCACTTTGGCTTGCCCGCTGTTTCGCACTAATTGTTGATCACCTACTTAGCGAGAGACTCATACAAGGATGAAGCGATTGTTTGGTCGTTCCTTGTTCTCACCTTTAGTTTGGTTGCTGTAGCCGCCGTCAAACCACGAGTCGAAGAGTGGTGGAAGGTGAGTTGCCTATAGGTGTGTAGTGGGTACAACAGTGGGTAACTAACTGATCTGCTTTTGTCTATTAGAAACGCAATAATTATGCCTCTTTTTCCACGACTTCTTATTGACCGAACGCGCGCCCTTGTACCATAGTCCATCCGCTTAGTCCAGACAAGCAAATAGCCGCCAAATACATTGTTTGTCTTGTATCTTTCAAATTCGCTTCACTACTGCTGTGCCGTTGGGGAAAAAGAGAAGGTCTAGCGATGTAAATTTTGGCTTGATGATTTTATTGGTTTTTTGGAATATGGATGAGGATAAGATGTGCCCCACAGGGGAATGACTTTGATAACCAATGAGAAGTGATGGGAAGGAATGTAAAGAACGGCAGTTTACAATAAGAAAACAATTGGCATTGCAGTTCGTAGTGAGTGTGTGGGGGTGGGATGGTAAAAGAATTTAAAGAAATGAGACCTCGGTGTCTGCTCTGGTGGCAGTCGCGATACCATTTTTATGTGTCTACGATGAATCCTCTTGACTGGAGAAGAGTGTTGTAGTGTTTGAAATGATGTATTCCACAGTGGCGTTTTTGGCATTCATATCCAAAAGATCGCGAGATGAATCCTGGTCTCGCAACAAGGTAGGTCCAAATACGACCGCCAGATTCTTTGCGGTCATTAGATTTTCATCCGATTGCTCTCTTACGCTAAAACAAATGAAAGAAATCAGCCAGAGAGCTTAATCGCTAGAAAGATCCAGCAATACACTTACTTGTTCAAATGCGTGAATAAAGCCTTGAGGGTATCGTAATTTGCAGTAGGTAGTTGCGAAAACAGTGAACTGAACTTTTGCGCTTTCTCTTCGCCCGGTGCCATACCTGAAAGTAAATCGCTTCATGTTAAATCTTTCATTCATGATAAGACAAGGATGATCTCAAGATACATACTAATGGATTCCAAAAATTGCGGATATAATTCATAAGTCATGAGCGGGTTGGGCAATTCTCGAAGGTATTGCTTGAGAATACTGGTGACCGCGCAAATATCATTGTATTCGTCGTCATCAGTCAAATCAGGATCGAGACCTTGCTCAAACGATAACTGTATGGATCTCATTTGAGCAGCACCGCCTGATTTACGATAGATTCCTTCATAGTCCATGCCACGAAGCTCCACAGCAGCGATACATCGATCCACCAGTAATGGAATAGTTCGACCTTCAGCCTCCACCTGCTTGGTTAGATCGTTGCCAAATAGGGAACCTGGAAACGAGGTATGTGCAATTTAATATTGATTCCAATAAACGGTGAGAAGCGCGGGCTAAAGCTCTGATCATTTACCTCCTTTAGCATAAGCTGCATCGTTGTCACCTCCGCTGGCGCCTTCGCCATTAGTATGCAGTCCTAGACAATACTGTGGAACATGACTGATGCACTTCATATGGGTCAGGAATCCGCAAGCTATAAGGTAAAAAGAAAAAAAGGGGGCGTTAACGAAAATAGATCCCCCTCCCCCACTACAAGTTTACTCAAAGTGGCCAGTAAGACTTTACCTTGGCATCGCATTTCATTCAACCCCCACATTTTTTCACAGCAGACATCGCACTTGACAGGTCGGAGGAAGGAGGTCTGTTGGAAGGTATGAGATCCTTGGGCTAAGGACTGCAGAGACGATTCTTGGCTCCTCTGCGGGTTACGTGAATCTTTGCGAGGTTGATGTTGGGGGACTAAATTTACACTGCTGCTACTAGCACCATTGAGGCCGTTGTAGATACCAGTCGATGATGGATCGTACTTCCCGCCTTTTCCACTTCCAGCAAGTTTACCAAACATTTTGCCGGCATCCTCTTTGGCTCGCTTGAGGCGGAACATTTTAGGCGCCTGAGTGCCATTGAAACTATCTCGTTGGACGATTCGTCGTACGGCACCTGCGTGGGTGTGCGAATCAGAGGACTTTCGTCGTGGAGGAGACGTGGATGAATTTAACCCATCGTTTGATTTGGAAGGTGTGAGTTGGGGTCCAAGGAACGACGTGCCGGCCATCACCGCAGCCGCTTCACGTTCCCGCTCAGTCACTCGTCTCGATAAATCGTTGTTCAAGCTGGTCAATTCTGCGTTTTTGGTGTTCAACATGACCATTTCGTTGATAACTTCATCGCGAGTCTTCTCTAATCTTTGAGTTTCCTTTAGTATGACATCTCGCTCAGCTGTCATTGATTTGATAGCTGCAAACAGGGCCTGCTGCTTTCGCTCTAGATGTAAGATAGGGTTTGCAGAACTGAACGGTGTTGGAAAAAAAAAAGTTTAGATCCATGGCACAGCAATGTTTTTTTCACCTTTGTTACGAATTTTCCTTACCTGAGCAAGCCGGCTTGCTTCTTCTTCACCATATCATCCAAATCAGCACTAACAGATTCACGATAAGCCTTGAGATCGTTGCATGATTTTTCCAGTTCGCCTCTAAGGTTGCTTAATCGCATGATTTCTTCTCTGGCAGCCTTTAAAAAGCTATCGGATCCAAGGATACTGGCTTGCTGGAATGCCGCAAGCTGTGCGCGAAGTTGTCGATTGGCCACTTCTGTTTGTTGGCGTGCTGCTACTTCCTTTGCAAACTCCTCCTTTGCCCTTGTGAACTCGTCAAGAGCGCGTCTGCTTACAGTCTAAAAAATTCCAAAAGGAGACCGAACCCCACGGTTAATGCTATGGACTTCTCAACACACATGCATACACACAACCATCCACCCACCTTGATCTTGTTGAGGTTGTTCTCCGTCTCAACTAATTTGGCGTTGCTTGCTTTAAGCTGTGCCCGCAAGGTCTGAGAATCCACTTCTGAACTGACAGAAGAGAGCAACGAAGCATTGCTACTCTTTCTTGGGACGCTCACAGGAGGTTGAGGGAAGTTGGTAAAGTCGGTGGAAATGCGGTCGGATGAAGCAGGTGGTGGAGTGGGTGGTTTATGGTCATGGTGGAAGGTATCGGTTTCTGAGTTGGATGTTTCGTCATTAGCATTTAACTGAATACTGGTGCCAAGTAATTTGGTTAGATTAGCGAGTTCGTCTGACTCTGTTTCGAAGAAGGAAAAGTTCATGGGAGGAATTTCTAGGGAAAGGTTTTCCATGGTCGATTTTTCATCCGATTTAACGGATGAGCCGATAAAGCTTGAAGTTGGTGTGGTTTCAGGAGAAGAGTCCAATAAAGATGTACTAGAATTGTTTGTTATAAGTATGGATGATAATAAACTTGAAGTGTCGGATATACCGGCTAGTTGGGTAGGAAGTGGATCCGTTTTACTAGGCATTGGATCGGGGCTAGTGGAAAGAAATTGAGAATCGGAGGGTTCGCTGTTGGAGCGTAAGGGAGGAGACGGGCGGCGAGGTTCATAGGGTTCATTGTAGCGACGACGTGGTATATCCAGGCTCTCATTGCGCGGTCGAGTATCCAATGGATTACGACCTTGACTCTTACTGGCTCCTCCTGATGGTGAGATAGATGCCATATAATCATTCACCACTTGAACATCAAACATTCTGCTTGCATGACGGTTGCCAGCTTTCTGCATCAGATCTCTTCGAGATTGGCCCCGCGCACCCTGCGACGCATTCAAACATATTTTTAGATATAAACGTGGTAAGTTTAGGATGTCTGGAACGTCACTTACGGGATAGTCTGCAGGCAAGGATGGCAATGTTTTATCTACATATCCTGATGGACTTGGTGGTTTGTTAGATTGCTGTAATCGTTGACGTTCTTCCTTTCGCTTCTGCTTGTCTAGCTTCCGTTGCTCATGGCAAGTTGTACAAAATATGCCCTAAGAATTTAAGTTAGATCACTTGGTAAAAATGAAACACCGATGATGAACCTTGCGGTTCGAGTGGGCCAGGTCAATGCGAGGTGGTCCATACCTTGGTAGTCTGAGTAAAGACCAAGTCTTCTATCTTCTTCTTACAGAGAATACATTTGAAACAATCGGCATGATAAGCCTCTTCGCCTTTTTAAAATCATTAGGATGAATTTCGGTTGGCCCGAGTCCGCACGCAAAAATAAACAAAGCAAATCTTACCAGTCATGATAGCTTCATCTCGGATGGTCTGCTTGCATATATGACAGTTGTACGAACAATTCTCACAAACGGGGCGACCGTCGGTTAACAACAACAAATTTGATTCACAGTCGACAGGGCTGGAGCATTTTGCACACACAAAACTGTAACAGCGCCCAGCCAAAAAGTCAAAACAATGGGGTAGTGTAGGTATTTCAAATAGAGGCGGGTTCTTACCATTCCAGATGAAATAGAGATTCGCCAAATGCAACCACAGAACCTTCTTCAATGACATTGGTGCAGCCCATGCAAATGGCTTCAGGCCCCTGATCTTCTGGTGCAGAGGTCATCTCGGTTATATTCTATTATTCAATAAAGGGTAACTGAAAAGCGATGACCGAGCGAAGGGCGACGAATTAGCCCGAGATGAGGGAGTGGAAAAGGTCGTTGGGTTGAGCAAGATTCGTGAAAGTAACCTTTACGGCCTGGGTTTCAATGCACTGTACTCCCCTCTCATTCTATTCTGTACAACATGGGCAGTAATTATAGTTTTTTTTTTTTTTATCATCTTCTTTCTGATGGAGGCAGGGCGGTAAATAGTACATACATTTATCATCTTTGTGTGAAGTACGGGGGAGCATATTGAATTATAAATACAGTGGGTGGATGTTAGATCACGTAGATGTGATGGTTATAAAATGCTATGGTTAGAGTGTACGGTGCCAGGGAAATGGCCCCAGCACCACGCTTTCAAATAGTAGGCAATTCTCCGCAATAATGCGGGCTTTGGGAGGCTTTTTCTTTTCCTAGTACTGGAACCCTTTCTTCTACGATCGTCTTTTGATCTTGCTGTTGTTCCTTCTTTATGGCTTCCATCAGTTGAAGATCGAGTACTCTGCCTTCGCCTGTTGTCTTTCGGTATGTTTTGAGAATGTGACTCTCAATCGATGTCTTAAATGGGATTTTCACTCGGATATCTAAGAAGGCGTGTTGCTCAAATAGACACCCTCCGCTCTGGCTAGTCTGTACGCCCAATAAGGTTGCATCTTCAATATTTTCATTAGGCTGAATGGTTCGGTAGACCGTCACATCTCCTAAGCTGACCAGCCCGGTTAGCGTCTCATTGCTCCCGGTGACAGTGAGTGTTTTCAAGCGACTGTCAATCACCGTCTCATGCTTGACGATAAGCTCGCTGACGTTCACAGCCTTCTTGAGCAGGGCTGGAAAGTCCACTTTGATACGGCAATTTCGGACGATTCGGCGAACACCTATCTGAGGGATCAAATCAAGACCAATGACATTGCTAGGCATGACAAAGTCACCCTGGATGCGAGCTGCTTCTTGACTCGTAATGGGTCGAATCGAAGGATGCGATAATCCAGTATGCTCGAGTTCCTGTGCAGTCAAATAAAGCTCGTCGGTCACTATGTCCGCGCCCAGCAAGACAGGGACGCTAGGATGGGTGGGATATCTCGCCTGGTTAGCGACGACGGCCAGATCCCATGCGTATGGATAGATATAACGAGTGCTTGGCGTAACCGTCATAGTCGAGAGAGAAAAGAAAAGGTACCGGACGGATCTGTGCACGACTTCCAGGCATTTTCGTTGGTTGGCTGAGAATCGAGGTGGCTCCTTTTGGAAGAAAGGCGGTGTTTGAACACAAAGGGTGACGTCGACGTGAAGGAAATGAGAGTTGGGATCTTTATTCACAGCGCAGCCCTGCGCCATTTTTTTTTCTCCCTCCCCTCGCTCAACCCAAACTCTCCACTGAACGGGAAAAAGTTGGGTGAGTTCAAATAACACTTTTAACCTCTTGACGCGTATTTTTTTTGACTCTCTCTTTTTGCTTCATGTCAGAAACCCAATGAATTCACTTTCCCCATATCCAAACGGAGCGGCCATGCAGCAGGGCAACCCCATTCCTGCTGGATTTACAAAGGAAAAACTCAATGGCTTGGTACAGGTAGGTCTACTTTGCATTCAATCTATGTCTTACATTCCACCTTACCCCTCTCCTTTAAATAGCGAGCAAAGATGCTGCAAGCCCAAGGTGCCAAAGAGGATAATAATCCAGAATATGCTCAGATCATGCTGTTCTTGAAGAATTTGCAAATGCAATCCAGAATGCACCAACAGAGACAGTCAATGCCAGTCGCCCCTCAAGAACAACAACCATCCCCACAATCATCCATGCCAACAGGTACACATACATTACACGCATGCCTTATCTGATGAACCTGCCCCCCCTCATAAATTTTTCTTTAGCTATGCCGCAACAGCGACCACCCACCGCTTACACCCCACCCACTAATAATCCAGCTGCCAGATCTTCTATATTCACTGAGACTCAGTTGGCTGCTTTGAAGTATCAGATTCTTGCCTTCAAGTTGATATCAAAAAACCTACCGTTGCCTCCAAATTTGCAACAGGCTGTGTTAGCTACACCCAGTACCGAAAATTTGACCGCGTCAAGAGACGGGCCCAAAGGACAAGATGCTAGTCAACCGCAAACGCCTGCTAAGCTGTCCGAGACGCCACCCGCTGTTGCCCAGTCTGTTATCGGCACTGAGCCAGCTACGGCAGAGGTGGTGGCACCTCCTCAACCCCCCACCCCTTCTCAGTTCAATGCCTATGTTTCGCCATATTCGCTGCTGAAAGCGCCCATATCGTCTTATGCTCACGCGTCTCGTCAACAACGCCTACTTATACCAGCCCTGACGCCTATCGGTATGGATTCCGATGAACTGATAATAGAACGAGAACGCCGTGTGAAGGCCAGAGTTCATTACCGAATTCAAGAGTTGGAGTCTTTACCCAATAACCTGAGCAATGATCTTCCCGATAAAATCACCGCCTTAGAATCTGATATTAAAGATGCAGGCAAGAATGGGTCTAGTGTCAAGCTGCGAGCAATAATAGAATTGAAGGCTCTGCGACTACTGGAAAAGCAAAAGAAGGTAAGGAAGGAAAGACTGCGTGGGGGCACTACTTATTGAAACAGTGGCTGACATTGTGTTGTCTAGTTGAGAGATGATATCATCAAGGGAATGACCAAGGCTACTACTTTGGCCACATCGGTAGATCGTTCTGGATACCGTCGAATGAAGAAGCAGTCATTACGTGAAGCACGTATGACTGAAAAACTAGAGCGTCAGCAACGCGTCGATCGCGAAGCACGTGAAAAGCAAAAGCATCTTGATTATCTTCAAACCATTTGTAACCACGGTCGTGAGCTTATTAATGTTCACCGGACTCACCAGGCCAAGCAAAACAGATTGGGACGAGCTGTTCTTCAGCTGCACGCTCACATTGAGAAGGAAGAGCAGAAGAGAGCAGAGAGGATATCCAAGGAGCGTATCCGTGCTTTGAAGGCTGATGATGAAGAGGCCTACATGAAGCTGATTGATGAAGCTAAAGATACAAGATTGACGCATTTGCTGAGACAGACCGGTGCTTTCTTGGAGTCTCTTACCAGAGCTGTTGTCGACCAACAGAACGATCCTATTCACTCTGATGACATTGAAGATGAGGAAGTAGATGAGGATATGCAATATGAGGTACAGTCAGTCTTCGCATACAGCTATTGATAGGATGATCAACGTATTGACTCTTATTGGCTACATTAGGATGAGAGCGGCAAAAAGGTCGACTACTACCAGATTGCTCACAAGATCAAGGAAAGAGTCACGCAGCCCTCCATGTTGGTGGGTGGTACACTCAAGGATTATCAGCTGAAAGGTCTTCAATGGATGGTGTCACTTTATAACAATCACCTTAACGGAATTTTGGCCGATGAGATGGGTCTCGGTAAAACCATTCAAACCATTAGTTTGATTACCTACCTTATTGAGCACAAGAAGCAAAACGGTCCATTCCTAATTATTGTTCCGCTCTCGTAAGTTAACCAAACCGTCGCTCATGGCTCTTCTTTTCCTATGCTAATTGGATATCTTTTCCTTTTCATCATTCAGAACTTTGACCAATTGGACTCTCGAATTTGAGAAATGGGCTCCTGGGGTTGCCACCATTATTTACAAGGGACCTCCCAATTCTCGCAGAGCGCTGCAACAGGAAGTACGATATGGCAATTTCCAAGTGTTGTTGACCACCTTTGAATATATTATCAAGGATCGTCCTGTCCTAAGCAAGATCAGATGGCTCAACATGATCATTGATGAAGGTCACAGAATGAAAAACACACAATCCAAGCTGACCACCGTTTTAAGACAATACTACCATTCGCGATACCGTCTTATTTTGACCGGTACTCCACTCCAGGTAAGGACCATTTGTTGAAGCTCACATTATAACCGTCCTAACCATCCATCCTTTTCTAGAACAATCTTCCAGAACTTTGGGCATTGCTAAACTTTATTTTGCCAAAGATCTTCAACAGTGTTAAAAGCTTTGAGGAATGGTTCAATACGCCTTTCAACAAAGAAGGTGTACAAGATAAGATTGATCTTAACGAAGAAGAACAGCTCCTCATTATTAAGAGATTGCACAAGGTAATGTTGACCATTCATTGTATGGCAATTTTTCCCTCCCCTTTTTTTTTCTCACATTGGGCACTTTGAATAGGTGCTTCGTCCATTCTTGCTTCGTCGCCTGAAGAAGGATGTGGAATCTGAACTTCCCGACAAGGTTGAACATGTCATTAAATGCAAGTTCTCTGGTCTGCAAGCTAAGCTCTACTCGCAAATGAAGAAACATGGCATGCTTTATATGCAGAGCGGTGACAAGGGGTAAGAGCGCACAACATTCGATGCTTTGTTTCAACTCATGAAATGTCAAAGAAAAAAATGCTGATTCTCGCTACGTGTCTCTTTACAGACGTACTGGTATCAAGGGTTTGAACAATACCATTATGCAACTGAGGAAGATTTGCAACCATCCATTCGTTTTCGAAGAAGTTGAAAATGCTATCAATCCCACTAGACAATCCAACGAATTACTGTATCGCACAGCTGGTAAATTCGAACTGTTAGACCGTATGCTACCCAAACTCAAAGCTACTGGTCACAGAGTACGTACCCACTTCAAAATGTTTTTTTGTGGATAAATGCCAGCGATAACTGACCACCTCTGCTCTAGGTTCTTATTTTCTTCCAAATGACTCAAATCATGAACATCATGGAAGATTTCTTGCATTACCGAGGTTACAAATACTTGCGTCTTGACGGTTCTACCAAGGCTGATGATCGTTCTTCGCTTTTGTCCGTGTTCAACGCTCCTGAATCACCTTACTTTGTGTTCTTGTTGAGTACCAGAGCTGGTGGTTTGGGTTTGAATTTGCAAACGGCAGATACCGTTGTTATCTTCGATTCTGATTGGAATCCACATCAAGATCTTCAAGCTCAAGATCGTGCCCATCGTATCGGACAAACGAAGGAAGTACGCATCTTCCGTCTCATCACGGAGAAGTCGGTTGAAGAAATGATTTTAGCCCGTGCCAATTACAAGCTGGACATTGATGGCAAGGTCATTCAAGCCGGTAAATTCGATAACCGCAGTACGGATGAAGATCGAGAAGCTTTCTTGGTAAGTGAATGGTGAATGGTGGCCGGCCAAAGAATGCATGCTAACAACGCTTTGTTCAACCTTGTGTTTAGCGATCTCTTTTGGAAGACAAGACTGAAGAGCAGAACGATGTCGACGAGGAAGAAGAGATTGATGATGAAGAACTCAATGAAATGCTGAAACGCTCAGAAGAGGAATTGCCAGTCTTTGAACGCATCGATCGGGAGAGAGAGCAACAAGAAATCGAGTTATATCGTCGCAAGGGTGGCCGAGGTCCTGTTCCTGAACGGCTTATTCAAGAAAACGAATTGCCTGATGTTTATAAGAATGATGATACCTACGCCGATGTGGTTCAACATATTGAACTCGGTCGTGGTCAACGTGAAAAGGTCTCTGTCGTCTACGATGATGGTCTCACTGAAGATCAATGGCTCAACGTAAGTGTTCTAATATCGGCCAGCAGCGTGAGGTGACCCAACTAAATGTAATTGTATGTCGTAGGCTATTGAAGATGACAATGTTGACGATGTCATCGCTCGTGCTGAAGCGAAGCGAAGAGGGTTCCATTACGACACTGATTCTGGACCTGGTACACCCAGAAAACGCGGTCGATCGAGAGCTATTGAAGAAGACGTGTCGTTGCCTTCGTCTAAAAAGAGAGGACGACCGAAGAAGGCTGAATTGGATGTGAGTATCCGTCTGTACCCATGGCAGCGCGAACATCGTACTTACTCTGTTTTCCCATCAGCCAAAGCGAAAACGTGGAAAGAAGGGATCCGAATTATCTGGACCTGATCCACTTCCTCCTCAGATTCGTCAGCAAATGACACGCATTTTCATGCAATGCTACGAAGCTGTGGAAAATTCAATTGCCGAAGACGAAGAGACATACCGAGTTCGATCTGCCTTATTTATGGATCTGGTCAACAAGCGTGATTACCCTGTTTATTATACCATGATCCAAAACCCTATCGCTATGAAGATGATCAAGAAGCGTATACATTCGCCATACTACAAAAACATCCATCAGTTCAGGGATGATTTCCATCTGATGTTCAATAACGCTCGCATATTTAACGAAGAAGGATCGTTTGTGTATCAAGACGCCGATGAAATGCAGGTAAGCTGAGATGAACTTTCCTCTGGATGGATGTATTATGGCTGTTTCCAATTGCTAATGTGTATTTGGCAGAAAATTTTTGATTACACTCTTCAAACTCTCTGCCCTGGCGGGGTCCTTCCTCCCCTTGGCAATGGAGATGCTCCAATCCATGGTACCCTAGAAAACCGGCACTTGGCCCACGCTATGAACGATGAGGACGATAGTGAAGCTAGCACGCCTTCAGGGTATCAGACCAGTCAACGAAAGAAGCAAAAGCGAATCACATACGACGATGACGATGAGGAGGAGGAGGAGGAGGATGATGACGATGACAACGACGATGATGACGATAATGCTGAATACGAGGGTTAAAGTAAAGAAAGAAAGACCTATTGTCTTGCCTTCCACCGTCATGTTGTATCTTGCCGTATTTGCGTCCCTTTGAAAAGACATTCCCTTAGTTATTTTTTTCTCAACCATACATTTTGATCTTGTTGAAACTCTTTTTTTCATTACGAATTCATTAGTTACGAGGATAGAAATGTGTAGATCTCTCTGATTGTACATAAAAGTGAATTTTTTTTTTTACTTATTTACATTATGGTTGTTGTTCTTTTTTTTACGTTAGAAGAAAAAGTTAATTTTTGAGTGCCTATCTCCCACCCTTCATCCAGTACAGTCCCACTGGTTGTTCTATCACATCGTCGTAATCGTCGTTATCATAAAAGTCGTCGTCGTCATCGTCATCAATTTTGGCAAGCCAGCTAGACCCGTTGTAGGCAGAATCAACGCTGAGGGATTCATCGGAGGAACTATCCATGGCCCGGATTTCCTCTCGCCACTGGATAAATTCATCCTTGTCGCTGACGCGGATGGTGTTCAGCTTGATAGACATGACCTCGTCTTTGGACTTTTCCATGCGTTGGACACGTCGAAGTTCTGCATTTGCAAATGCTTTGGTTTCTTCAGTCACCATTGGCTCACTCAGTCCCTTGAGAGGTCCGGATATAAGAGGCGGTGTCTTGTCACCTACAGATCGAACTTCCTCCTGTTCATTATCCATATCCTGGCTCGGTGCCTCTGTCGTCTCCTGGTCAATGGTAGCCCACGGCGTCATCAGAGGTGCCAAATAATGGATGTATGAGTGAAGAAGAGTGGGATGTGGACACGATCGTAGGCCCTGAGTGGCAAATAAATTTCCATTGTCAGTCAAATTCATTGGATTGATAGTGGTAAGAAGAATTGGCACTCACCCTTGCCACTCGGTCGAAACCAGATTCCATAAATTCTATGCGAACAAGCTCCTGGTCGGCTGCTTCATACCGTTTCTTGTAGCATGTAGGCGGGTTGGTGATGACAGTGCATATCAACCTCAAATGGGTTATCTGTGTTGGGGCCAATCAATCATGAGGACTTTTTTTAACATCCACGCGACCATGAATGCAATCTTACCAGATATTCAACCACTCCTTCGTCCACCATGACCGATCCGCTGTCTCTCTGTAGATTGATCTTTGAATGTCCTTGTTCTTGACTGACACGGAGCTGGCGGTACGCACTTTCGAATCGGAAATCCAGCGCTCCGGCCAGGAATGCAATGCGCTCGATATACTTGTCCATGATAAACATGAGCTCGCGCATCCAGCTGGTAAACCTTCGTGGGGTTGTCTTGGGCACATTCCCTGTTTCATCCTCGATGAGGAATGGAATTTTGGCTTTTTTCTGGTCTTCCTGGCTGAGCAGTTCCCGGTCTCGGCTGTTATCTTGAAGTAAAGAGAGTAACAGGTCCCATCCATGCACATATTCATTGCAGTCAGGTGAGGTTTGTATGGTGGTTAAAGTGCAAAGAACGTCAAGCATGAGTGATCTTGTATGTATGTCAAACGCATACAATGATTTACGGTTGGAGCTTGTAATTGGAAATAGTAAATCTCGAATCAGCCGTAAGCAGGCGGGCTCTGTCAACAGCTTTTGAATGCCAACCTGTTGTAAAATTGATCAGTAACTCATAAATAAACAGAATGCTTGATCCCATCTGCTTACATCGTGAGTCATCAATGCCTTTATGCATCTGACGATCAGTTGAAGGACCTTTGCATGTCTTGGTGTCCTGTAGATATAATATCATATATTATTATTATTTTCTCTGTTTCCTATTACAACCGTTAGTACCAACGCCTTCCTACCGCTTCACTATGTCGTTCAGTTGTTCCAGTTGGCCAGTCATTCCGCCATATCCGCCGATTTTGAGAAACTCGACACTCCAACTTTTTCACATTGAAGGTAAAATTAGTTTTTATATTTATGGAGTGGTGCCTGACTAATTCTATATTTACCTTGTGGAGGCACTTTTTAGCATGATGTGAATTTCGGTTAGTTGATCAATATCAATGGTATTGATGTTGCTGACATGCAGCATGTGCGCTGCTTGCTCCGGTAAAAACGTGGATTTATTGCTGGGTCGTTGTTGGCGACCTTTTGTCGATTGTCGCATCCCGGAATCTTTTGTCAAAACGCTTAGTGGCCGTAGTATCCTCATACGATCCGTTGGAAGCATGGATACAGCCGATTTGGTTCGTTCATGTTGAGCTAGTCGATGCGATTCTAAGAGTTTCTTCTTCTGTGCTATTGTCAAAGTTTCCAAGTTGGATTTAAGGTTGGAAGGCAATCCATAGTCTCGCTACGAGTTGGAGTCAATTTTCAGAGCATGTGCGCCAGATCTTGTTTGAAAGAAACCTTACCACCAACTGCTCAAAGGCATCATCGACGTCTTCGATTGTTTCATTCTCTTCATTTTTAGATAAAATGGCATCCAACTTTCTGCTCTTGATTTCCCCGTTGCCACCATTAAAAGTGGAATAATGCATAGCACTTTCTGTTGATACCATACTCCTTCTATGGAAGAAGCTGCTGACTTTGCCGATGATAGGGCGTTTGTTCTCCAGTGTGGTCTTTCGAGAACTGTTGTAATTGAGCCCCTGGTTGTATTCATGTATTCCTGGAGCCGACATGGTGAAATCAATCAAGAAGAGGGAAAAATTAGGATGGCAGAAAAAACAAAAGCTAATGGATAGTTACCGGTTAAAGCTACGGTGTTTGTTTTCGATTTCCTTATTTGGGCTGTGAAGGAGATCGATGGTGATTGGCCAGCGGCAGTTGAACTTTTCACGATCTTGGATGCATTCATTGTTTGGCGGTACCAGCTTATTTTTGGCTGGTAGATAAACATGACGAACCATTGTTGGGCTCTCATGCCTAATCTTGGCTTTGACTTGGGTCACTTGATGATCATTACTAACAGTTTGAGAGTGATGGTGAGCCGAAAATAGGGTGGTGTGAGTATCTTAAGCGACCACGATATGCAACCTGCTCGGTGTGGGACGACTGCAACCTTTAAAAAGAAAACTGAGATCAGCTATAAAAGCTTGTCAACCCATTTTTCTGCACAGTAAAGAAGCAATCACTGAAGACCCTTTTCCATGAAATCTGCATTGATTCTACTCCTTCTGGCACTCTTCCTCACCTGCATTGAGGCAGCAGGCTTATCCAAACGTCAATCGTGCAAAACCGATGATGGTAAGGGCTTGCTATAATAACTTTCTCAATGTTGACTATTGCTAAGCCCGCAATTATTTACTGCCCCTACCCACAGATTGCCCCGGAGTGACCTGTTGTAACCTAAATACACTTCAATGTGTCAGTGATCCCAAGGGTACCATTTGTGATATCCCTCCTACCAAGACAACTTCCAAAAAGACCACTACTACAACTAAGAAGACCACTACTAAGGCTACTACCAGTACCAAGCCAACGTCTACCAAAACTACATCCACCAAAACTACGTAAGTATATGCCCGGTAAAAGGCCTCTTAGAAGGCGGCCCATATGATGTCAAGCGTATCGCGTCCACATTTAGTAATTGTCCCTAATCTTGTCTCGCTAGCACTACCGCCAAGGCCACTGGAACTCCTGGAAAGACGGTGGCTATTTCTAGCAGCACTTTGTGCTTTTTCTTACCTCCCAACAAGGGAGGAGACATCGCCGACTCTGAAAAAACCGCCGTAGCATTCTGCCGTAGCACATCGGATGCTCCTGGAGCTAAGGCTTTCCCAAGTGGCTTTATCCAGACTGCGCACTACAAATCTGGAACTGGTTCCGGCGCATGGGTGCAATACACTGGGCTAATCGATCCTTCCAAGTACGGTTTGTCATCCAGTGATGAAGGCGGCCAGTACGATAACCATGGAGGCGGCAGCCCCCCTGGAAGTGCCTGCGCTGGATACAAGTATTATGTCAATCTGGTCGAGCCAGCTGAGAAAGACTATTGCATTCGCTGCTGCCAGAACTCGGCCGACTGTCCTACCGGTAAATCTACCGCTGGATGCCAAAGCATCGTCCCAGGAACATACTCCATCGTTTTAACACCTTCTGTCACCAATGGTACACATGCCGATGTCGCCGTGGCCCCTGTTCTATGGACGGCTCCTACACGGCAGCAACTGGACAGTGATCCAGCACTCAAGAAGGCTCTCGCCTCAGGTACACTCTTCCCGCTTGGCGTCGGCTTGGATACCTCTGCTTAACATCTACTGCCTATTTCAAGCAAGCAAACGGCCTCTATGCTTATTAACTTAAAACCACGATTATGCTGTTTGTATGTCAGAGTAATTTTATAGCGAACATGACCCAAAATCGAGAAAAAAAAAAAGATAACCGTGTATTGGAGTCATCACAGATTCATCATAATAAAAAAATGGAAAGAAGAAAATGCGGTGGTCATACTTTATCTTGAGGATGAAAGCCTTTGGCTAATCTATATAGATTGGTATATCGCAACTGTAAGTTGTACATGTATGGTAGTAATTACACAGCCGGTAAATAAGCACGGCAGACTGGACATTCCAGCTTAATCCTCATCCACTATGGAAACAGCAGTTGGTTAATATGAAGGGCATCAACTCAAGAGAGATACAAAGTCAAGAAATCGTACCTTTTCCAAGCATTCAGTATGGAATAAGTGGTGGCATGGTGTCACCATGTAAGTGGCTCGTCCAAGGGCTTGCAAACCAGCAGAACCTTGCGTCGTAGCATTCACTGGGAGCATACATATGGCACAATCGCGACCAGGTGCATGTTTGGACTGTCCTTCTGATGATTCAGCTTCCTCACTTGCATTGACCCCAACAACCTTGACATCCACATTGGTTTCCTCGTCTTCGTTCGGTAAGATAGGATGATAATTGTATCGCTCGGGCAAGTACTAGTAACCATGCGTTAATCTCTCGTTTTCTCAAAGCCATTTAACGTATTACGATTGTGACTTACTCTTTCCGGGACAAAGAATCTGGGATCCCATACATCCTGTATCATGAGGACAGCAACTTGTAACATCACGTAGGCAGCCAAAACCCAAACCCATTTTGTAGATTCGTGAGCCAAAATGTTGTGGGGACAAGCATAGTAGTCTGGTACAGAATTAGTCAGATTGGCTGTTTAACTATCACATTAACCTTCAGATATACAACTTACAGAGCGGGATAACCAATCGAGTTAAACTCATGCCTATAACATACCGACGGCTTAATGCCCTGCGAGATCCTCGAATAACATTGCGGTAGATCTGAGGTACCCAGAATGAGAATAGACCAAAGGCCAGCACACCGACAACGATGTTTTGCACAAACGTGGACTTGCTAGCAGTCTGGTAGAAAATAAACAACCCTAATAGGAATACAAGATCTGCACAAGCAAACGAATGATTAGCGTGGACCCACTTTTGGAAACAAGAGAGTACACCAGCTTACAGAATCTGTAATATAGCAAAGCGTCCTCCCGTCGTTCGTCTTGGACTGTCCGAACGGCTGGTCTAGCGGTTGTGTTTGCCATAGGCAAGATGCCACCCAAAGTAGATGTAGTTCTTGCAGTCGCTTCAGCGTTATTGATTGCGTCTCCTGCTGGTGAGTTGGTTCTAGCCGCATTCTGTGTCGCCGCCGCCTGCTCTCTATGGGCAGCTTCGGGTCGTTGAATTCGCCATATCACCATTAAATAGCGCATCCCGAAAATAGAGACGAGTACAAAGGTGAAAAAGGCTGTCGTAGCGAAGGGTATAAACACGTTTTGTACAACCACGCCGGTAGTGAGATGAATCAGACAAAGGTAGCCGTCCATGGTCGATTGCATCGCAATTGTCCAATACGATATGTTCGAAACACTCTACACTATGATTGTTAGCCATTGTGCACTTGCATAAAAAGAAAAAAGTGATGGAAGCACACTTACCGATGGAGTAGGCGTATATTCCATTTGATGGATAAGAAGGAAGATTTGAATGAAAGCCACAACGCTTGCTAGGGTAGCGTACGAAATTGCTTTCTTGTAATATTTTTCTATCTTGATCCCGTTGGAATCGTCCATTTCCATGACAATCTCACAGTTTGCCGAATACATGACCATCGATGCCATAAATGGCCCGGGATATCGAACGTTAATTCCTTGTGGATTTTCAAGCTCTGAAATGAGAAAGGCGTGTTAGCAATGTGACTAAATTCAAATGTATTCCCGGATTGTCTCTGCATACCTCTTTCATATTCGAGCACCTCACTCATAAGACCATCTACAGGATGAAGTTGCATCCAAAACTCGAAAGTACAATCGGTAATGTTAGGCATTGAGCGATCTGAGAATGAAAAAAACGGTTAGGGGGTATGATTTAGAGAGGCACAGTGCCTTGATGCACATTCAGTCACTCACCACTATCAATATAGCCTTGACCAGACCAGTCAAGCACTTTTTGTAGTTCCTCCATTTCTAGGCTCAGTTGCTCCTGTAATACTTCTCTGCCTTGGTTCATTGTACTGTTTGAAGGTAACATGTGCAGCAAGTCTTCGGTAGGCATATGGTGGCTGAAGTTGATTGGTGAAATGAGCTACAAAGTACCCTACAACACAATCCATATTTCATAGTAACCTACTTTTCAGGCACAGCCGTCATGTACAAAGTTCCATTATTTACAAAGTGTACACCTTCGGCCACCATCAGTACGCCAAAATCGCCTCGCTCATCGTTTTGTAATCGTATAAACCCCTATGACAACAATGAAAATAAAAAGGTGGTTTCCATTCAGCTTTCTGTTAAAGGATGGTCTATTTGTTATATCCAAAGTACTTACTTCTACAAATTTGACGCGATCTTCTTTGGTGTGCTCTGACTTCATATTGAGTGTGAACGACCCGGGTTGATCATACGGGAAGTCACCTCTTGCTTTTTCAGGCGAGGTAGCATTATTATCTGGTACATTGTTTTCAGGCACTGTAACGTTTGTAGGCATCCACTCTCCTATGAAATGGTCGACTATATAAGTTTCGTAGAATAATAGGAATGCACGTCGGCATTTCAACCCATGGCAACCATACCTCGAAAGATACCAGTTACATTATGGTAAAAATGTGTAACAGGGAGGACGCCGATATCGAGTGGATCCTTAATACCCTTACTCAGTGCTTTTTCTACTTTCTGCTGGACGAGTGCGGGTGTGGGCTAGCAGCAGAAATATTGGTGATGGAGAATAGAGTTAATGAGTGGATGGTGACATGTCGACGACTCTATTCCCTCGTAACGAGCAAGAAGAAAATTGTAAGTCTGGCAATGCTTTCCAATATACATACATGAGATATATTTTGCCCGAATGTGACATTGGCAAGTAAGCTTTTCTCGTATTTGATAGCATCAATCTGATCTTGTACGGTCGGTCGTCCAGCGCGAGCGGCAGTGTCTTCTTCAAAGTTGAGGAAGAGCAATGAAAAGAAGAATAGCAACATGTAACATCCCGATCTGTTTATGGCCTGCCGCTGTACAAATCTAGCGGCATCATTCTGGGATGCATCGGTTGTTTCGTCCATAACCACACAGACTTGCAGTCAAGGTGGGGGAGATATTCTGAGGTCACTGACCTCGGATAATGATGATTTTCACAGTCAGATTGGAAGACTGGCCATTGGACAATTTATATTAAAACTTTGGATTTGATTGGCTAATTTGGTGTGGTTAGCGCCAATAGATTAGGATCATGCATCACGTGGATCGCCTATTCCCCCTCCATTCTCGAGAAGCGTCAGTTGTATCACACTGTTGTATAACTGTTCCATACTTCTAAACGAATCATAATGTCCATGGAACCCAGTGGTATCAAGGTCGTCGACGCCGAGCCTCAATCTAATCCTAGCGCATCTGCCAATAACTCGGGATTGAATCCTAATGTTCTTCTGAACAACACCCTTGATGGTCTCGCTAACTTCAGCTCCAAGATTAATCCTTTTGCCCAGAAGTTAGGAAAAGGTATCGGTCAAGTCAGACAGGTAAATACCACTTGCTATAGATATTACTGTCTCTGAACACAAATTTCAGAAAGATGCATCGTAGTGTATATACTTATCTTGTATTATTTCTGAATCGGCAATTTATAGTTTGCTCAAGAGAAGTTTGGAACTGCAGAGGGAGTCACTGAACTTCCCCAAGAGTATAAGGATTTGGAGAAGGTATAGTTCTTTGAAACAGGCAGTGTCGGTTACATGAAGTGGTTTTGCTTATCGGACCTCTTTGGCACTTCAAACAGAAAGTGGATAACTTACGCGCTGTCCACAATAACCTTCTTAAAGTTACTCGAGTGTATAACACCCACAGCTATGATTACCCAGCACAAATTCAAGAATCACTTGCTGAGATCTCTAGCTCTGTTCAAAACCAGTTCCAGAATTTGACTCTCTCTCCTGCTCAAAGAGCTCAGCTTGAAAGCCAGCCTGCTCAAGTCCAACAACCTCCTCCACAACCCAAGACTTTGAGCCACGCTCTTTCCCGTGCTTCTGTTGCGGTACGTGAATGAAAAAAAAAAGCTACAACTCACAAGTTCACGGGGTCAGCGAACTGATCTATTATGATTTTTTAGAGTGCAGAATATATCGGAGCTGAGGAGCCTCTTGGCGCCGCCTTGTTCAAATATGCTGCTATTTCCGAGAAAGTTGGTGATGCTCGCGTCAAGATGGATGATGAAATTGCTGCCAAGTTCAACCAGCCTTTCCAAGCTACCATCAAGACGTCCATTGAACACGCTTTGCGTGCTCGCCGTGCCGTGCAATCCGCAAGACTTACCTTGGACGCCTGCAAGGCTCGCGAACGAAGTGCTCGCCCTGATAAGGCCGATGTTGCTAGACTTGAAGTTGAGCAAGCCGAAGATCAATTTGTTGCCGCAGTTGAGGAGGCTACCAACCTTATGAAGATTGCACTTGAAAACGTAAGTTTGCTTTCTGTTCATAAAAGGACATGTGTGCAATCCAGTCGTTTTCATCCGACTAATGTGTTTTATCATTGTCTTTTCTAGCCCGAGCCATTGCGCAACTTGGCTGACTTGGTGGCTGCACAAGTCGCATTTTACAAGGAAGCACATGAGCTTCTTGCAGAACTTGCTCCGGAGATTGACGAGATGCAGGTCACTCAGGAATCACTCTACAGAAACAGCAGGAACGAGTAAAGTGGTGGTCAATGACATGACAGATCCAATCCAAGATAAAGTCCTAAAATGAAATCCGTTTTTAAAGTAATGTAAAGTGGCTACTTTATTTTTGAATAGCTTCCCATTACATTATGCTATTTTATCCGTCACGCACATTCTCTTCCTATGTTCCATGTAATTTCATGTCTGGTAATATAAATACTTGAGTATATATTTACAAAATTCACACTGAGGATATACGTATGACAAATGCACAGGGCATTGAGGAACTGAAGCATTTATTGATTGCCCGTAAGAGTACAAAAGAAAGTAAAAGGGATACGGAAGTGATTGCCAAAAAAAAGTAAAAAAAAATTAGATGTTGAGGAAAAGCTCAGAGTACTTGGGGAATGGCCAGTGCTTGTTAGCAATCAAACGCTCCAAAACATCAGCATGACTACGGGCTTCCTCCATATGAACAGCCAAACTATCATGAGCAGCCTTGGCGAGCTGAGCAATGTCCTCAATCTTAATGAACTCGTCAAGTGCGGCTTCCAATTTTCCAACCGCAGTTTGAATGTTGGCGACGATGGGAGAGATTTCCTTCAAGGCATTCAGTTCAGGAGTGCTATCTGAGCCAGCGGTCTTGAGCAGGTTAGCACCTTCAGCAAGTTCGCGTCTGTAGTTGAAAGCACAAGGGAGAATGTGTTGAACCAACATGGTACGCAAAGTCTCGGCCTCAATTTGGATGTCCTTGGCGTATTTCTCCATCAGAATATGGTAACGAGAGTGGAGCTCACTTTCAGAGAAAACACCGAGCTCATGGAGCATGGAAGAGTTGCGCTTTTCTTGCAATTGAGCGAAAGCATCAGGACAGTTGTCAATGTTAGGCAATCCGCGCTTCTTAGCCTCTTGAACCCAGGAATCAGAGTAGTTGTCTCCCTCAAAGCGGACCTTCTTAGTCTCTTTGATGTATTTCTTGATCACGGCACGCATATCATCGTCAGAGGCGAATTTCTTATCACCCTTTTGCTTCTTCAAATCAGCTGTAACGGAATGCAAAGAAGAGGCAACTGCGGAATTCAACAAAGTCATGGGAAACGACACAGATTGCTTAGAGCCGACGGCACGGAACTCAAATTTGTTGCCAGTAAAAGCAAAAGGTGAAGTACGATTACGATCAGTGAGATCACGAGCAATGTTGGGAAGACTAGCAACCTTTAAGTCCAAGACGGTACCACCAACGCGCACGGAATGGAACTGAGACGAACCGAACACCTTGAGCGGACGGTCTTCCTCGATAGAGTTGAGAACGTCATCCAAATGGTCTCCCATGAAGGCAGAGATGATACCAGGGGGAGCCTCATGAGCACCAAGACGATGTTCATTGGAAGCCGAAGCAATACCTGCGCGAAGAAGACCTCCATGGTCGGCCAACGCCTTGAGAATAGAAACAAGGAAGAGCAAGAAGCGATAGTTGGTTTCAGGATGAGCCGTAGGCTCCAACAGATTTTCACCAGTATCCGTCGACATAGACCAGTTACAGTGCTTTCCGGATCCATTGACACCCTTGAACGGCTTCTCGTGGAATAGGACCTTCAACTTGTGACGATGAGCGACACGATGCAAGACATCCATGGTGATCAAGTTATGATCAACAGCAATCATAGCCTCTTCAAAGATAGGAGCCAATTCGAATTGAGCAGGAGCAACTTCATTGTGTCTTGTCTTGACGGGAACACCAAGTTTGTATAGTTCCATTTCACATTCACTCATACAAGCCAGAATTCTGGTAGGAATTTTACCAAAGTAATGATCCTCAAGCTGCTGGTGACGAGGAGGCAAGCCACCCAACAAGGTACGGCCAGTAATCTTAAGATCCGGGCGAAGCGAATAGAGACCGCGATCGATCAAGAAATATTCTTGTTCAGTTCCAAGGGTGGTGTGTACATGCTTGACACGCTCTTCGTCTGTAGCAACATTTAGCACATATAATGAAAGACCCCACAAAATAAACACTAGGTACCTTCACTTTTAGGGCCGAGCATATCAAGAAGTTCCATGGTGGCTTTAGCCAACACCTCAGACGATCTCAAGAGTACAGTCTTTTCATCCAATGCCTCTCCATTGTATGAAATGAAGACGGATGGGACGTAAAGGATTGATGTTCCATGAGGTCCTTCCTGCAAGAACATTGGGCTGATGTGGCAAGAATATGGTCAGATTAGGCAATTTTCCACGGTTTCAAACACCGATGTAAGATGTACCTTTTGGTGTCCCAGACAGTATATCCACGAGCCTCAAACGTTGATCTCATACCTCCAGAGGGAAAGGATGAAGCATCAGGTTCAGACTGAAGAAGTTGAGATCCAGAGAAAGTGTCCAAAGCAGTCGTCTAAACCCATGTTTCAAAGGAAAAAAAATTAGAGTTTACAGGACAAAAGGGCAAAATGTGTACGCGACTCCTTGAAACCAAGCCCAGTATGAACGCAGTGCCCACGCGTGTCAAATAAAAAAGACAACCAAAAAATAAAATGAAGATGTGGGCGCCTACCTCTTCGTAACCACCTCGGAATGTACATTTGAGTGTCAAAAAGGAGTCATGCTTTTCAGCAGTAGAATCCGTTTGAGGTTGGAACCAGTGGGTGAAATGGGTGGCACCACGCTCCATAGCCCAGACTTTGACAGCATGCGCAATAGCGTCAGCAGTGGTCTTGTCAATGATTTCATTTCCGCGGATCTGCTTGAGGAATGTGGAGTAAATGGGCTTGGGGAGACGCTTTGACATTTCCTTCAGAGAGAAGACGTTTTGGCCAAAGATTTCAGATATCCACTGTGGGCGGCCATTCTTTTGAGGATATTCTACATTACGTCCCTCTCTTGAGATCGTCTCAGCGATAGTGGTGGAACGCGCGTCTGCAGACATGATAGTTGTCAAGAACAAGAAGAAGAAATTTGTTAGCGGCTTTTTATACAAAGTCAGATCATTTTATTATGACGGCGTGAGCGACACGGCCACCTGCCAAAATTTTAAAAATAAAAATTCGTTGTACTGGTTGTGGGGAAAGGGCATGGTAGTGCCAGCAGGCTGCAGACAGTCAGGTTCCGGTGGTAGCAAGACAATGGACAGCGGACCTTTCAGTTTTCACAAACGTAGCTGAAGGAGGTTTATAATGCTTGGGATGGCGTTAAACATACAAGATAGACCACTTTACTCCCTGATGAGTCACGGCTGAAAGTATGCAATAACAGACTTTAATTTCACCCTTTGATCGCGTACACTACAGGAGTTCCCTATCAAATTTTCCAACAAATGCTATATACTTTCTAAACGCTAATGTAAATTGAGAAGTGGTCGTAGCTGCTACAGGTTCTTCGTAACTTTTGGGGTATACAGCACGCTGTCGCATATGAATGGCAAGTATCAATGAACATGGCTTGTATCACCAATATAACCTTAAATCCATCTTTGACATATTTCTGCATGACATAGAGCTGCCAGCATACATAGTTTGCAGCAGACAAACAAGATGCTGGTATAACTGCTTCGCATTTGATAAAAAGCATTGAATAGGTACCGTACACACTACAACCCTTGTTATCACACAAGTATCACATAGATCATTGACCCAATACGTGAGTGTACCAGTTGCACCTAACGTCGTTTAAGTCTACCTCTAATCCTGTACATTTTTTAGAGAGAGCATTTTTTTTGCGCTAAATAAGAGTGGAAAGGTACTGTGAGCTGTTGATTATCTCTCGTACATTGGAGGTAGATTTCCACCGTTGCCGGGGTTTGAATTCGTCCCAGTATTTGAGGTGATTGAGACCCCACAGAAACCTAAACCTCCAAAAGCCATACAATGTCCTCATCTAAAGTTGATCCACGAGACGAATCAAAGGTTGTAGCCTTCCATCTTCCCAAAGCTGCTGAAGCCAACGACTGGACCGGCAATGTTGCCATGTACTCCTGTAAGTGCGCTATAACCACTTTGCATCCCCTCGAAAGCATCCGTATTCACATCTATTCCCATCCTCATCGATTTAGCCCTTGGTGGAATGTTTCTTCGAGTAAGTATTTCAATTTCGAAAGTATATGTTGAGAATATGGAGATCCTTATTGTTCCTTCCTGTTTAGAACAAGTTTAAGTTCTTGCCATGGGTATCCGCTTATTTCGGTATGTGCTCTGGCTTAAACACAAAGAACTCTGAGCGAGACACTGCAACTGGATACAGTGGAACGATGTAAGTGCTTTGAGTGGGATCAATTGGGAATTAGTATGGGAAATGGATGGCTAATATGATCGGTCTCAGGCTCGGCTTCGTTGCCCTAGTCACGTACTACATGAACGTGTACTTTACCATCACCCGTCAAGTCCCAGCTGCCAACGCAGAAGGCACCAATTAAAGAGCTTTTTACCATAGGCGCGCAGGCAACGTAATGATAGAGGGACTGGGGTGGTTGAAACCCGATTGTAATGAGCCAAGATCATGTAATAAACACCAGAAACTACGAAGGCTAAAAGTGAACAATGGCCTGGATGTTTATTTGTGTGTGCCGTAGCAAAGCCGACCATTCTCATAAGTCAGCATCACTGGAATTGAAAAAAAAGGATCCGATTCCTTTGCGGCTGAAAAGGAATGATTTAAACTGACTTGAGGAATTGTAGCAAAACTATAAAATCGTTTTTACTCTTTCAACATGATGCTGTATCTTATTCTAGTTTGTACGTATTCTCAGTTCAAGAAAAAAAATAACATCGTTTCATTTCATTTACAGCCATATTGTTTTCTAGGTTTATTCTGGGCAAAAGCTTATTCGATCTCCAACTTGTTCGGCACATACAATGTGACAGCGCCATACCCTTATCAAACATTTCACCCCAACGACACCATGACTATCAATTGGACACTGACTCAAAGTGGGCTGCCAAGACTTGCGGAAATGAACATTTTCTTAGTGTCAAACAATGGTTCAGCCAAAATAAACTACACCGTCGGATTGAACACCGCTCGAGGGTTTGAAAACGTTCAATACTGGGACTACAGTGTTCCATCGTCTATTCTTCCAGGAGTTTATCAGCTGGTATTTGAATGTCGAGAGAGACAAGTCAACCTGCTTGTAACGGACGACGATATGCATATTCCGATCATCGTTAGCAAACCGGGAACACAAACAGCAGTCAGCCACGCACAAAGCTTGGCAAACAGCTCCGCCAACCTCCTAATGATTTTCGTCATGTTGTTGCCATTTTGGTCCTCACAGTAATAAAAAATATCACCTCAGCTTGCTTGCTTCCTTTCCTTTACTTTTCTAAATGACAGTTGACCAACTCAATCCCGCTTCGGCCATGCGTAGGAGGAAGTCTGCTGTGTCCATTCCCTCCGTTATTGCTATACCTCCTACCCCTGTTTCCGCGTCTGACATAGACCCCACCGAACTGTTGGTACCTGAATCCCCAGTCTCTATTCAACCTTCTCTAGACAAGATCCCGCTGGCAGTCACTGCTAAAGAAGACAAGCTACTATCCCCAACTACTGCTGATGACACTCTTTCCATCACGCCATCACAACGTAGTCATTTTAAGTCGCCTTCCGCTTCTCATATCTTAGGAAAACTCAAAAAGAAACGATCGCGGTCAGGCTCCATGTCTTCACAGCGATCGGATGTGTCCGAGCATCAAGTGGACGCAGCGCTGAATGAACAGCTCATAGACGATTTAAAAGTCCACTATGCACACTTGGGTAAACATGTAAAGGATGTCCGTATAGTTCCACCACCTCTTCAACCACCCAAACTATCATCATTTCAATCTGCTGACGAAAATGGGAAGACAGTCACCAATTGGTCAGGTTACGCTCAAGCTGTAAGTATCGCCGTGAAATTTGGGATTGTATCATCCTTTTTACTAAAACTGGGTTTATTTTATTAAAAGCGTGTACAACACATCATCGACTCAGCTGTCAGCAACAAGGTGGACGATGCCACTGAACCCTTCTCCATTTCAAAGCTTAGAAGTAATGCTGAGCGAATGTATATAGTGACTGAACCACTCCATCCCTGGGCGCTTTGGTTGAGGAAGCTTTATAGATGGGAAAACAAAGTGGAGACTGGCTTCTGGTTATGGGTATGTGGCACAGTGGTTATTTTTGACGCACCTTTGTAACTCATATTAACGGAGCGCTATGGATGTAGGTGTACACAGGTCTATGGTATTACGATATGATCCTTCCATTCATCTGTGGCATAGCAGTATGGGTCCTTATGTACCACCGAGTTAATATTGCCTCATTTCGCTGGGACGCTCTCATGACAGATGATATCGCCATGCCTGTCATCGAAAAAGAACAGCCAGTCGAGAAGCATTGGAGGAGATTTCGAAGAAAGAACACTCCACGCACCGGATATGCAGCACTGGAGAAGAAATCTTTATCGGCATGGCGGGCCGATATATACGACAAATATGGTCCAAAAGCGCAGATGATAGTGAGTATAACATCAAAGGAAATGTTGGACTACAAACAAAAGTAGTTAATGCTTTCATTTGCTTTTTAGATGACAGATGCTGTGGATAAGTTGGAAATGACGCGCAAGTAAGTACAATGACAAACACGGCAAACTTTGGTGGCAGATATCATCTAACTCTTGAATAATTTTAGCTTGGTGACTTGGAAGCGGCCATACAAATCACGTTTGTTGCTACTATTCTTTATATGCAGCGGCGTGGCTTTTGCCATCTTGCCCACAAGATTTCAGATCAAATGGATCTTTTTCATGGTTGGAATCGAGTTCTTCGTCCTCATGTCTCTCCGATCACATTATCCACGATACCGTCGTCTTTTCAGCATCATTGAATGGTTTTTGTGGGACGTACCCAACGACAGCGAGTTTGCCATGGAAATCATTCGAAAGCGACACAGAAGTGCAGATTTGGATCACGAGGAATTTGCAACTCAATTACGTGCTTCTAGTCTGTTATCAGATCGAAAATTGGAGGATTCTGACGTTGATTCAATCGATACTGAAAGTATTACCCCACCACAGCCCACGGCATCCGGAAACATATCACCTAAGCGGCCAAGCTCCATTAGCCTCCCAGAACATCGGTTGGTGGATGGTGCTGGAGTCCCTATACCACTAGGGCCGTCCAATGGAATGGAGACTGAACATATCGGCGGTTTGGGCGTGCAAGATAGCAGCGATGACAATAATATGTCTCCACCCTCCCTTTCCAAAGTCACTCTCATGTCCAAGCTCAGCAAAATTACCTCTATCGGCAGTGTAGTGGATGCCAGTAAGTAACATCACAAAAGTGCGAACAAAAGTGCATTGAATGTTTTCTAATCGACCCTTCGTTTGCAGACTGGAGAGCAACCTATAAGGCAATACCAGGGCGAGTCATCCTCGCTGGTGGTATGCTGCAATTTCGTACAACCCGTGTAGCTGGTGCTAAGATTCTGATTGACTACGATACCGACGATATTGTACGTCTTCGTAAAACAAAGAGTATTGATCTTATGCTTTGGCATACCAACGGTCTTTCGATAGATATGAATGATGGAGAGGTATGTTGAGTATCTCTTTTGTGGTAGAACATTGCGAGTGTCACTAATCTCTTATGGCCAAATAACAGACGATACATTTTGAAAATGTCATGAAGCGCGACGACTGCTTCAATGCCCTTTTGGCTGCTTCCGGCAAGAAGCTGAAAAGATTTTAATTATCTCCCCCCCCCGACGTACTGTAGCTCAGAATACCCCTTTCAACTCATAAGACTACCGTACATCGAAGATTTGTAATTATAACACTATTTCCATGCGATTAATGTAGAATATTTCTTTGTAGAAGATAATAAAATATGGAATATCTTTGTTTTGGCAGAATATTAGCACCAATTGGTGATGAACGAAACCACTTTGGCCATTGCTAAGCCACCTCTAGTCAGTGACGTGCATTCAATCCCCTCCAAGTAACTTCCCCGACTTGCAAGCGGAAAGCTTTCCACAACGCTAAACATGTCATCTCAAGCAACTAAACGGTAGGCACTCAACGCATGGACACTTGATAATAATCTTTGCCACTTACCAAACTTCATGCCTTTCCTAGAAAATTTGGCTCTGAATTCTTGTGTCGTGTGCGTTACCGCAATAATCTACCACCATTGCCTTTCGCACCCAAGCTGATCGCAATGCCCTCAGTTGCCCAGCGACATGTGAAATACGAAAGCACAAGTTTGATAGAAAATACTCAGTATCCATTACTGATTGATGACGAAGAACTGGGAATGCCCATAGACAGCGCTTTGATTCAGTATTTGAGCGAAACAGACGGTGATCGCGACGGTATGTAACATGTTCTAAACCTCGCACGTGTGCCTGTAGCTTTCAACTTATGGATTCTCGCCCGTTTAGCTCGACCGACTCAGAATATTAGAGATGAAGACAAAGCGCTTATGGTTCCACCGAGAGAAGACACACTGGCGACTACTGCAGGAGGCACTCGCCGTCCACTAGTTACTTGGTTGCGTCGTTCTGAATATATCCAATCCGATTCACGCACTGCTACCGCCAAATCTGAGACAATAGAATCTAACTTTGCTTATTCTGCCCGCACTGCGCCGCAGCGAAGTTACGAAACGCGTGAAGAGCAGCTTGAAGCCATTGAACGCTCATTTGAACCTCCAGTACAGTTTCAGCATCCACGTAAAAAGCATCTCAAAGTCAAGGCAACATACCCCATCCTTCCAGACACTACTGTTGAAGACAATGTGTACACCATTGCACAGTTTACAGCTAACCCAAGTGCTGACGATCGCCAGACCAAGGACGTTCGCGACGATAACACTGAGCGCGGTATTTTCCGCCCCATTTCTAATCCCCATGACCCAACGGACAGCTATTTGATTTGGTTTTTACCTGATAAGGAGAGTAGTGGACGATTGAAGCGCAAGGCAGAGCATCCTGATGAATCGTATGGTGATAAGGTAAGCTTCATGCGAAGATTTTACGAGCAGATTTGACGCATAGACTGACACCCTTTCCTTTTTCCCAACAAAAAAAAACTATTTAGCCTCTCAAATTTGACGCTATTCGAGATTACACCTACAAAAATGATAATGCACCTGAAACGCAGCATTTGCTCTTTGTGTTGAAGGATGGTGAAGAGACACAGGCTAGTTACACCATCATTCGAAGCAAGATGACTGCTCGTAAGAAGCGTGCTCTTAGCAAACGGTATCAATACGAAGAGGATTATGAGAAGCCAGGAACTCTCAGCATTCGGTACACGGAACCTGATGATACACAAAATGGCATGGAGGTAGACGAATAGAATATGTCATCAGATCATTGTAGCTATAACGCTTGCCTGCGTTTGTAATTTTAGTAATGCAAAAAGTACAAAGTTATATTGTAAGCCGAGTTGCTTCTTACAAAGCTGTATCGCGCTCTATAAAGTGAATTGCTGTTAAAAATCCTCTAGTGGCTACTTTACGAGTGTGCTTGGTAATTCCGGTCTGCCGCTCCTGCTATATCCAGTTTTCTTCGTCGAAGCAAATTTGCCAGCAACTCAACATCAATAACTGTTTCCACTGTTGCCTTGAAACACGCGCTTGTTCAAAGTAATTCAAACGACTCATACGAAGTATAATAGTTGTTACATCTCTCTTCCTTGGAAAACTACAGCTCTTTGATACTTACGTGTGTGATAACATGCAGCATCGGAGTCTCGGCAATGAAAGAAGTGAGCAATTTTTGCGTAAAGTGATGTTCTTCTTCAAGTTCGCAAAAAGATTCGCGCACAAATGCCAAATGAAAATCAGATGTCCTATCCAACATCTGTAGTGTTTGCAATTGTACTCTTTACCTCCATCGTTACCGTTCATTCTCTTCATTACGCAAGCTCTCGCTACCTGGAACCGATATACGGAAATGTTTTTCCTTACTATTATTTGAACGAAGCAACCATGCTGGTTTTTATACTAGCACTCACTATCGTCTCCGGCGGAAAAGCTTTACAGAGAAGAAACACCAGCTACTATAAGGCATTGGATAAAACGCTTAATGCGGCCTCTTTGTTGCTCGCATTGTCGCCACTCACAATGGATACTTTGTTTGTGTTCAGCTCGCGATGGGGCCCACTCTGGGGTCCCCATTTTACACAACTACCAGTACTCTATGGCACTACGTTTCTGCTTGGAATTTCTTGTGCGATTTCTGGGATGCAATGGCTTGTATCTCAGAGAAAGCAGCTAAAGGTTATTCCACCAATGCTATCGCTATTCTTAGCGTATCTTACCTGCAACATGTTTCAAGCACACTTGTTCTCTCGATCATCGTGCCAGATCATCCTTCTCAATAGCGCCACTCTCGGCGTTTCTGGCGCTCTACTTTCAATCTTCATGCTAAGAAGTAACAGTGGAAACGCTGAAGTAGTCACAATCTATCGAAACTTGATACCGCAAGCAATTGTAGCGATGACTATCATTTACATATTTACCAAATCACCTCACTGCGGATACAATCTGGAGCGAGAGCAAGTGGTCCCCAACACCCAATGGGTTATTCTTGATAAAGTAGAGTCCATGACCGGCTGGGTAGAGGTCGTTGAAGAAACTGGTCGCATGAACATGAGAGTCATGCGAAGTGGGCACTCGCTTCTAGGTGGACGATTCCGGGACACCGGGGAGTCGATCTTTCAGACATTCCATTTGTTAGAAGGTACGGGAACCTGAAAGTCTTCTGTCAGAAAGTATGTCCTAACGACCATTCTATAAAGCTGTCAATGTCTTTGATCGACCGAAATCGAATGACAAGTCCATTCGCGCACTGCAAATTGGACTTGGCTGCGGTATCGCTACCAATGCACTATTATCTCAAGGAATTGATGTAGACGTTGTGGAGCTCGATCCTGCTGTTTACCATATGGCTAGCAACTACTTCGATCTTATGCAGCCGTCATCTGTTTACCTTGAAAGTGGTCGCACTCTTCTGGAAAGATGCAACAGGAGCTCATACGATTTTATTCTGCATGACATTTTTACTGGCGGCAGTGTCGCTCCTGGCATGTTTTCAAGAGAGGTCTTGGAATTGGTCAAGCACTGTTTAAAGGACAATGGTATTCTTGCAATGGTAAGTGTACCAGGATGAGCAAGAGAAAGTTTGTGAGGTATGGGAGATTTGACTCTACTGTTGGTTCGTATACAGAACTTTGCGGGCTCGGAACAAACAGATCTTCGAGCAGGCTTGGATATGATCGCTACCACTTTGAACGCCGTGTTTCAACATGTGATATGCTACCGAGATACTGAAGACGCATCAGTCCAATACACCAATTACATGTTTCTCGCCGCAGACTTTCCTTTGTCATTTCACTCATTAAAGGATACCAAGCGCTCTTTCAGCCCAAAAACTGCCCATATCCTGAGCAGACTTGACAAAGTATCAGTTGATATCAATGTCAATATGCCCCATGGCATTATAACCGACAATTCGCTAGATAAGCTTAAAGCTTCTGGAATCGGTGCTGCCAAGGAACATTGGGAGGTGATGAGAAAAATCTTTGGCGATGAATTTTGGCTCACATACTGATTTATTCTGGATTTGTAACAACTTCAAATACTTTTTCAAGCATGTATTTTGTAATACCTTAATCAGACATGACAACGACAAGTTTTATTTTTTGCGCGATTTACGCATTTCATTTTGATTATGTATATAAAGACGAAGATAAGATAGAAAAACATATGTACAAATACAAAATTACAAAGCGAATTATGCCACGACACTAGACAAGCGATGGTCGATAACACCGTTATTGACTATTTCCGTGACTTTTTCCCGACGCTGCTTCATCCGCACTTTAGCTTGGTGTCGTTGCTTTTTCAATTTCTGCAAAGCCTGGACGTCTTCAGAACGCTCCAGGTCGATTTCGGCTGCTTTCAATTTTTGCCATTGAGCATGGCGTTGGCATTTCCTATTGCTGAGGCACAGATGATGACTGCCTTCCTCGATAAGTTTGATAGCAGCATCATCATCTTCCTGTTCTAAACAATGGCTCCATGATTCTTCATCTTCCCACAGAAGTCGAGAATCGAACCCACAAATGCCGCCTTCGTCTGCTCTTTTCGCCTTCATGCCTAAACTCTTGACCTCTTCCATGCCTGCATCGTTGGATTTGTGTTCTTGTTGTCGTCGAATAACCAATTTCAAAAAGCGAGACCGTCGGTCCGCTCTTGCGATAGTCTCTTCCAATTTTGCCTGCTCTTCACGCAAGGTAACCAGTAACTTGCGATCGTCCATATCAGCGGCTGAACGAACCTTGGCCCCGTGCGATTTAGATGTTCGTACATCTTCTAACGCGGCTCGTCTTTTCTTATCACAGTTAGCAATTCGCGCTCGTGCAAGCAACAGACCGCAGTCTCCTGAGCAATATTTCGATTCATCTTCTTTGTTTCCTCGATGTTTCGACTTTGCTGTCCTTGCTGGCTTTAGACAGGCCGGATTGGCACACTTTACTTTCCAAGATGTCTGTTTTCCAGTAGCTATGCAAAAGAAGTGAATATATCGTTAGACTCCAATGTATCCATTCATCCATTCTCATCGTCAGTCCTTACCTCGTGAACATCCCGGACAGTAATACAATTCGATCAATCCACCATCACGTTCGCTCATACCCACACATTCTCCATGAAACCACTGGTCGCATTCATCACAAGCGATCATGAACCTTGGCTTATCATACGGTTTGCGGCAGATGCAGTATAATTCATCCGACGATGACGATGACGAAGGCGCCTTGGAACTTGGGGCTGGCGGTGGTGAATCATTCGCTGACTTTGGTCGCTTGCTGGCCGGTAAATCAATATCGTCCGCGATTTCACGCTTGGTACCTGAGTCTGGAGCCGATTCGGAGGTTTCGCCAAACTGAATTTGCGATTGCGTATTTACAACGCTATTTTGGTGCGTTGTGTGTCCTTGCAAGCTGTTAAGGGAACCCCATACTTTCGCCTTCTTGAGAGGCTTCATTTTAACCACCGGTGATGAAGCTTCGCTTGAAGCTGGTTGAACTACGACAGGATTATATATCTCAACGGATCCTTTCTCCTCGTCAGTTTCGGTATTATCGCTATCCAACGCTGTTTCACTGGTGGCCTGTGGTGGTGCCGCCGTAACGACTGAGGCGGGAGCTAAAGGTGCTGGCAGTGCTGGTGCTTCTTGCACAGGCGGAGAAATCGAGGAAGGAGTATTAGTTTGCGGTTGCTGAGGAACCTGCTGATGTAGTTGGACTTTGTTTTCCATAGTCAACCTCTTTCTTAGCGGCAATCGCTTAGCAGTAGCTTCAGCGGCCGCTGGTGGCTCGTATTGATGGAAAGTCAGCGTAGCGGACGGGCTTTCTGAAGTCGGCGAAGGTGTTATTTGCATGTTTGTTTGCAATGAAGGAGGTTTAGACGAGTAAGATTCCAAGGATGGGGTTGAACTTGGCAAATCTGTTGCTTTGGGAGCCTCGGCTTGATTATTCATGGAAGGCTCTCGATTTAATAATGCGCTAATATTGAGCGCACTTTTTTTAGGCTGAGCTTGCTCTTCCTTTGACTGGTCTTGCTTCTCTTTCGATGGCAGCTGCCACTGACGATAATGGCCATCATTTGGTTGCATGGCGAAGCAAGCGACCTAAATGTGCAGGCAAAGAGGTTTATAGAAGGAGATTGAATGAGGATATTTTTTTTTATTGGAGAACCTAACAATTTTTTATCAGCGTCGCTGATTGCCATGTCTTATTTCTACTGCTGGCGGAAGCATGGAACTTTGAAATACATCATCACTCTCTTCCTTTGAGAACTTAACTATACGATTCTGACGGCCCGTAGGAATAGGTCCTCCCATTGGCGATATTTGCCTGTTCCTGCCATTAAATATTCCCTGACTCGCACCAGATATCATGCGCAAATTCGGGGTTGAGAAGCCTCGCGATGGCGCCAAGTTTCGAAAGTTCAAAAAGGACTTGGCTCGTTCTTTGATACGTGGAGTAGATAAACTCTCCAACCAGCTGTCACCATTTGGTGAAGGTGAAAAGGGACCTGTAACTCCAGCCGACTTTCGACTTGGTTCAATAGGCTTGGGTATCTTCATGATGGATCGACGCAAAGCATTCATACTCGTGGACGATGTAACTACCATTAAATTGCTTTTAGATCTATGGATAGATTTACCAAGGTCTGCATTTCTAGATGGAGGTTCGTAACCTATAGTAAAATGTTAGAATTTATACTCAATCATAGTCCTCGTCTTGATGACAGAAACGAACCTTCTGTCATAGGTGATGGCTTGTCCTTGTTCTTGACCGACTGCGTCCACTTGATTAGGCCAGTTTTAGCATTTATACACTCTCGAAAATAATCATCTAAATAATCAAGTGTTAGAGTCTTGTCATAGTAACAGACCGGTCTAAAGCAACTTACCATATAGCGATATTCGATCACAAATATCGTCAATGTGTCGCATTTGTTCGTACGATCTGGACTGATGGTCTGAGCTGCCTCTTCTCTGCAAGATGCTATCTTCCTCTTCGGCAGTGACTGTAATTTCTGGTGCTCCATCGTCTCCTTGGGTCTGCACAGTAGCTGATGATTTCTTGTTGGACTTGACATACGGACGAATAACGGTTGTATTTTTGATCGGTTGATGAGCATTTGTAGCCAATGGTATCGATTCTAAGCTTTCTGGAACTTTTTTAATGGCTGACTTATCTCCATTATTCACAACTTGTCTTCTCCATACAGCACCCGTCAAAACCTCTCTTTTCTGCTTGCTAATGTTTTCGAGGTCCTCTTGGCTAAATTCAAAGCGTTCGCTCTTCTCTCGCTCGAAATATGTGGATTTGACAGTAACTGGGGAGACTGGATATTCTTTAGAGGAAAACTCTTGTAAGAGTGCACTGAAATCTGTAGATAATCGAAGTTCTAGTTTGTTATCAAATGGATCTTTTGATAGCTCTGTGGGTGTAGTGATCGTCTCCAAGTCTTCCGCAATGCCGGTATCAGTGGCTTTTGGCAGCTCGACGGGTATAATGACTGCCTCCAAGGTTTCCGATATGCCAAAATCGATTTCCTTTGATAACCCGTCAAGTGTATTAGCTAAATTCTGCTTTTCCGGTACCTTGGCAGCAATTTCTTTTGGCGTAGCTGCGATGTCGTCTATGGAAGCTACAGAATCGACTACCTTTTCCGTTTCAGGTATGGACATGTTCGCTTCCGATACCTCAGGCACTGATGAAATTTCATCTATGCTACATGGAACTTTTTCAAACTCTACAGACGTTTGTTGAATTGGTTGTTGTGCTTCCGTACCGTTTTTGTCACATCCTTTTACCGAAGAAGTTGTTGCACTCAAGATATCGTCCAACAACATTACGTCTCCGTTGGCCTCGGCTAAAGCAGCTTCAAGCAGATCATTCAAATCGTCACAGCTTTCGAAAGTAAGATCTTCACTTGTTTGAGATTCAGTATCTACTTCATTCGGTTGCTCCTTTAAGGTACAGTCTACCATTTCGCTATCCGGGTCGTTCAGCTGTCGACTTCTAGTCAGAGCGGTAGGTGCTTCAGACAGGTATGTTTCGTCTAAAAGCAAATTAGGCCGTCCGTCAGTTCCATTGCATAAACAAACCAGCAAGAGGATTTCTACACTCACTCATATCTTCCGAATTGTATTGAGAGCTCTCACAGTCCAGCTGAAACCCGTCTATGACGGATTGAAGGTCTCGGATTTGCGAAAGAACTCCTGCTATGGTGCTGAGATATTAGTAGGCGGGAACCAAGACATGAAATAGCAGAGCACAATTTGCCACAAACCTCCGTCCATTGTTTACAGGCTGTGTATAATGTAAAGGGGGGTAAAAGAGTGAAATAAAATAGTCTTAATTACTTCTCTATTATTATGTATGATTGTAATTGTAGACTGGCCCGGTGTGATCAGCAGCTTCTCGGATTTTTTATTTTTTTTTATTTGGGATTTTACTAGCAAAAGTCTCTACACTGAAGACAAACTCAAAAACGTTACTGCCGCCAATCCCCAAAGATGCCTCGCTTTGACCTCACCTTTCCTAAATCAAAACTGTTGGTACCCATTCATTTCACACTTAAGCAGTGCCTAGCGGTTTGCAGCAACACGACTGGGAAAAATTTTCTAACAGCTTTCGCGAATATTTTGCCCGAGCCGATAAACCAAACGCGCTCTGTCACCACTTTGCTAGTCATATTATAACTCTTCACACGATGTTAATGCAAGCAACCGTGTGAAGTGGGGAGGCGGAGCCAATCATTTGTCCCTCGTGGTACAAGACGCAATAGAGGTGGTAACTGAGGTCAACCCCAGGCATAGAAACGCGATGGTTGTGAAGGTGGAGCTTGGTTATAGCGAGCATTAATGTTAATTGAAAAGATCATCTTACGTATTGTAATAGAAGAAAAGGTTTAAAATCCAGTGGATCTTGTGTTGGGGAAGTCGTCTCAGTCGAGTTGTCAAAGTCAGCTGCGGGCAACCCCAGTTCGTGAACAAAAATTTTGGTTGGCACTTTCTAAACAACGTCACCCCTTTTACCTGCTATTTCTCATCCCAAGGTAGTGTACCAGGCCAGGCCAAAAGCTCGCAATCCACAGAGTTGTTCATTATGCTCTTGTAGATGCCTGTCTATTGTGCTAAACCACGTTAGTTTCTCGTCGAACAACAACTAATATGCTTACCATCACCATCTTCCCTTTGTTATGTTTTCAAAAAACCTAGATGTCCGTTCCTGGTAAGTTTATGCTTTATGCAACAAGACTCCCTTGACACGTTTGCATAATAAGTAACCATACGTTTGTAATTAGTTGCTTTCAACGATATTGGCAAGGCCAGCAAGGACCTTCTCAGCAAGGACTTCCCCGTCGGCAACACTAAGCTCGAAGTCAAGACCACCGCCCCCAACGGTGTTGTAAGTTATAGCCTTCAATTAGCGGCACTGAGTCAATTTGGTAGCTAAACCTCGTTTGGTGTTTGTAGACCTTCAAGGTTAACGGTCTCCGTGATAACAAGTCTGGTGTCATCATTGGTGACCTCGAGACTAAGTATGCTGACAAGGCCAAGGGCATCACCTTCACTGAAGCCTGGACCACCTCCAACCACTTGAACGGAAAGATCGAGCTCGAGAACAACCTTGCCAGTAAGTTATCATGGGTATGGGCAAGGACACCCTAGTATACATGACTAATGCGTAATATCCTTTTTTTGCAGAGGGCTTGAAGTTGGAAATCTTGACCTCCCTCCTTCCTTCCGTTAACCAGAAGACCGCCAAGGTTAACGCTACCTACAAGCAGCCCAACGTCCACACCGTTGCCTCTTTGGATGTCTTCAAGGTAAGCAAGCAGATCAAAGTCAATTGAGACGATGTGAGTCTCAATCAATACAGCGCATCTAACCATTTTCGGTTGACATAGACCCACTTCTCCGTCAACACCGTCGTCGGTCACGAAGGTTTCCTCGCTGGTGGTGAAGTTGCCTATGATGTTCTCAACGGCAAGGTATGTATATGATGTTGAGTCAAGAAAGATTTAAAATGTTGCATTGATCCTAAATATCCATCTGAACCGTTTAGATCTCCCGCTACAACGCTACCTTCGGTTACTCCGCTCCCGTCTACTCTGTTGCTGTCCACGCCACCAACAACCTTTCCCACTTCGCTGCTTCTTACTACCACCGTGTCAGCTCTGACATCGAGGCTTCCGGTAAGGCTGCCTGGGACTCCAAGGGTACCAACCCTGTTGCCCTTGAAGTCGGTGCCAAGATTCAATTGGATGCCACTGCCTTCGCTAAGGCCAAGATCTCCAACACCGGTGTTGTTGGCCTTGGTTACACTCAAACTCTCCGCCCTGGTGTTAAGGCTTCCGTTGGTGCTTCCGTTGATACTTCCAAGCTCAATGAGAACGCTCACAAGCTCGGCTTTGCTTTCACCATTGAAAACTAGATTAGCCATCAAAAATGCAATGAAATTATTTTGTTAGAAATCTTACAATAAATGTGTTAAATCAAATCCACCCGGTAGATGGAACTGTTGAAGGCACAAAGGTTTAAAGTTACGGCCGGTGGCGTTCAAGCATGAAATGGTAGTCATCAGTGTGACCCACATCGCCATCCTAAGCAATGGCATGAATGGTAACGATGTAGCCATGAAGTTGGTGGGCATTCGTTGAATATTTTTTTCCCTCTTGCCCCTGCCTAGCGGGGAAAGCTGGTTGTCGCGAAATTGAGCAAATGATAACGACATCCAATATAGCTGCTTCGTTCTTGTTGTCGTCACTTGCTACAATGTTTGGTCGTCGCCCATTCGCGATAACATTGGGCGGTGTTTGGTTAATAAATACCGTGTTGTACGATTGTTTATGCGACGGACGAAGTATTCGGCTAAATCTGCGTTGTGGCGAGTTCATTTGCCTGGCGTGTGGACCCTCTAATAGGATAGTGCATGATGGAGTCACCACATCTACGGCATTGGTCGTCTGGTTGCTGCTCTCATTGAACTTGTTTTGGCGTTTGCTGTCTGTAGATCCACTGAAGGGCAAATCGATACGCTGACGGGTACATAACCTGCCGGATCAACCAAGTGTTAGCGGGGGAACATTTTTCCTGGCGAGAGCGTACCTGATGCCTCTGACCTGGGCTGCGTGTTGACAGAGTCTCTTTATTGGACTGATGTCTAGTAGTCTTGAGGTAAGACCATACCCTGCTGAACTGGGGTCGCTAGTATTCGGGTAGCTTTGTCAAAAAGCTTTCTCTTCTGTCAAAAATAACAGATCATTACACGTGGAGGAGAGCTGTGGAGTATCTGCAGAGGTGTCGCTGATGTTGGTATTATGTCCATGTTTTCATTGTTCCATGCAGCCAGTCAGAGAACCAAATAGTACGTCATTGTTGAGCTCTGTGTTCACCTGTGTTGCAAATTCAAGGGAGTTGATAGCGAGTTAAAAAAGTTGAGTGCAATTCTTCGCGAGTGCTTGTTGCATGCTACCACCATATTTGTTCTATCATTATGAATACAGTACGACTTTTCACGTAATTCTCCGAGAGTGCTTGTTTAGATGCCAACGTCATATTTATTCTGTCAACTAAAGTACAGTACGACTTTGAGGTTTTCTTGCGAGCGTTGTTGCTGTTTCCGGGAGATGGGCCATACGTCTCATCGGATCCGGTGAAATCCTTACCTGAGGTACTGCTATCTGCCTTGCGAAACATTGGCAAAATCAGGCAAGTAAACTAGGGTTGGGTTTAAGGATTTAGGAACAGGTTAAGGATCTTTCACTGTGAAAAGAGTTAAGAGCGAAACAATTGGCAGAATTGGAGTTTACCCCACATAAGCACCATGAAGATCTTGATGCAGTCTCATGAAAATGTGGGTTAACCTATTGCTGAAGCCAAATGTTTATTATAGATTATTTTATATATGTATCGTTGGTGTTGCGTGAGTTGACCGGCTACAGCGATCCGTGTACGCTAATTCAATTTGGTCTTTGGGGATTGAGCATGGGTTCTGTTGCTGTGCAGACATTAGTTGGTGGAACGTCTGTTTGGCCCGATGTCGGTATTGATGGTAGAGTCTTGCAGATTCTCTGCCTTCTAGAAGACGTCAACGTTGGCGAAGGAGACACCGTCGATCGTATGGTAATAAGTTTGCCTCTGTCAGAGCGGCATTCAGATCTTCTTCTGAGTCAAGATGCTCAAGTTTTGAACTATACTTTGGTTGCTGTGTTACAGCAAAGCTTGAGATTAGAGTTTAAGTGATTCCTTTGATGCTGTGTAGACTTTATTGGTTTTCGGCTTTCAGACTCAAAAAAAAATTGATGAATAGCGGAAGAACACTCCCCCCTTTCATGGCTTTTTCAACATCATCTTCATCAATATCTCTTATGGTGATAGTTCGAAAGCGTTGTTGGACACTGCGGATTTACTGAGGTTACATGTGTTGGACGACTATAGCGCATTGTGAATGATTCTTCAATTGTCACTTTTGGCATCGGAACAGTAAGCTTATCGAGAGCCATGTACGGTGCAGAGCATTCGTTGCATGGATATCGCGTTATCGTTGTTGCTAGGAACATTCTTGCTCAACAACCGAACCATGGGTTCAACAACAGAAGCGAATTTAGGTACGAAGCGACGATAGTACCCTGCGCTTCCTAACACGGAGCGACTCTCATCTTTGCTCCTTGGCGATCTCAACTCTAGCAACGGACAAGGTCTCTGTACTGGCTGCCTAGTATGGGCGGAGGTAGTTCTGAAATTGGAGGTATATGCTCGTGTTCTGATCAGATAGAACTAGCAATTTTTTCCTGCTAGAGAAAGTTTAGATGCATTGGACGCAGTTCCATTGGGGAATTTTGTTGGTAGTAGTGATCGATGTTTCAGAGTGTGGTGATGGGAGAGCGATCGTGGGATGAAGGTGGTATGTGCACAGGTTGGACAATAAAATATGGCCGTCTCAACGGTACAGTAGATCGTACGTGGTGTTGGGTCATGCGTGATGTTTGGCGTAAACTGAATTTGTGGGAACATGATGCAACTGTTTTTCTTTTTTCTCGTTTTCTATGTTTTGTCGTTTTCGTTGAATACTGAGTGATATTGCTAGGAAAGATAATGATATGTTGAGGAGATTCGGAATGGTTTCACCGGTACGCTATGGGCAATTTTATGTTGAATTTCGCCCTGTTATTTTACGCGCAACTTATCTGTCGGCTAGGCTGATGGTCTGATTTTCGCAAAGTGAAATGTCGGAATGTCGAAGAGAATGTTGACTTGCTATCGCACAGGTATGTGAGTAGTATCAAAATGTGCTGCTTCCTTAGGACTCTTTACTGATTATATGTCGGATTGTGGTTCCCCTGTCTTGTGACTCCAGAGATTCAGACAGCCTTAACGCTGTGAAAATTTTTGTGATGTTCGATGGACAACCGATAAAACGTTTCGAACGTATCTCGAGAAGCCCAGTTACCATAGGCGACCACTTCGTCGACTGAAGCGCCAGCAGCAAGAGCACGGGTAGAACCCAATGCCCTAACATTGAGACTGGAACCATTGGGCATGTGAGACTTTACCGCCTTGGTAAGTTTGCTAATCCTTTGGGCGGCGTAAATTGGACTGAAGACAAGTCACTATTATCGAACGTTCTCCAAGAATATCGTGAATGCTTTGCAGAAAAGGTTGAAGAACTTAACCTCTTGGATGAATAGCCCGTAAAATAGCCCTGTTGAAAATGCTGTACCTCATAAAACTCAACCCTATGGTCTGAGTCGGCAAGAAAACTTGTGGCTCTGGACCGGTACAATTTGAGTTGGTCGGCATGGTATAATCTGTTGAAAATTAGATCCTTGTCTTTTAGAATATAGATATCTTCACCATACTTCTTATCGACAACATAGGGATCCATCCAATGAGATACCAGATCATTGGACATGTTAGAGATGCTTGAGTTTACAGCCATTACTGAATATAATCAATCATATCCAAGAGTTGCGGTTGAATTTTCCTCCCATTTGTTGGTATCACGGATATGGCGTATCAAGTAATCGATGCGGAGCGGACATGTGGTAAGCCTTGATGGTTTCCGTGGCAAGGTTGGCTGGCATGTCGGGCTATGTAAGCTACAAATGCTGCTACAGGACAAATCTTGGAATCACTGTGGGCAAGCATATAGTGTGCCCCTGTTCCGCCATTCTATAAGACATGTCATCTGTGGCTATCGATGTCTTCTCCAACTCCAAGATGCATATGCTGGAACCTGCCGATTCGCTTCCGTCGCAAATAAGTCTATTGTGTGGGGACCTCACAACTGATTCAACAGCCGAAGAAGTTTGGCGCGATGCTTCATTCTAATTGGGAAGTCAACTGGCGGGAGGGACTGTCTGCTATGTTGAGATGCGATGGGCCAGGTGTAAAAGTGTAGGGGAGTGTGTCACCCAAAACTTGTTGCTATACGCGAACACAGAAAGATTATAACAACAGTCCAGGGATCCACTTATTCCTCATATAATGAATACAGGCTTTCGGTCTGCGACCTCGGACTCAGAGACCTAACTTTCTCGCCGTTGCTATGACAGTTTTTTGCAAAACAAAAACAAAAAATCTCCGAATCGGGGAATCGAACCTGATAAAATTTATTTGAAGATTCAGCAATTTGGCTAATTGTTATGAAAAGAAAAACCCCACAGTGAGGGAAAACAAAAGTTACATTCGTAACTGAGCTAAGGATGAGCATTGCTGACAGGACTCTGGCGCGTTCAGTTCGGCCGTGAGTTCAAACAAAGAAAAGTACATAAAAGGAAATGAAATAAATTGGGATCTCTTGAAAGTAAAGCAGATGTCAGAAGTGAACACAAAAGATTTTCGGCATTGGGCGTTAAGATCGTCCGTGGTTGCACCGAGCTAGCCATAGGTGATGTCCTGATCGTAAGATGTCGCATACAGT